AGTAGTAGTAGTACCAGTAGTAGTAGTACCAGTAGTAGTCGGTAGTCCATTCACTCACTGTCTGTCTTTGCCTTACATCATGACATCCCTTGGCCACTCTACAGCCTCGTTAAACGGCCGAACCCTTCAGCCTTGTGTACATTTTCGCAAAGCATGTAACAGTGCTGACTTCAGCCTCACTAGACCCAGCAGGGAAGCTTTCAACAATACTACGGGATACAGCATGAAGATCAATCCCAGAATACATTCTCGCTTTCGATCCATTCCTGACTGTCATGCGTGACATCCTTGACCTCACCTTGAGGTACGACCGGAAGCCCTGGCTCCAACCTAGACCATGCTTCACTATCTGCTCCAGCTTCGTCATCATTCTTCTCGCCAAAAGCCTTCGCTTCACGCCCCGTCGCCCAGTCCACTGTTCTTCCGCGCTGTCGCTCCATCAGTTATATCGTGCACAAAGAACACTCCTTGACGATGCAAGTCGGCAAACTCGGCAAAATCCAGCTTGATGCAGTTCCAGGCCGGAGTGTCGCCGACTTGCCATACGATCGTGGCTTCGAACAGGCCGTGGTCAGCTTGGTCCAGCCACGACATTAGCTCGATCCGGACAATCCAGCCTGTGGCGATCGAGACACTCTCTTCTGGCGCTGCATCTTTGGGACCTAAGGACAATATCGCCGAGGACGATGCTGTGGATGGTCCCGGCCGTGGAGCTGACCACATCATCGGTGCCTTCGGAGTAGCTGTTGTGCTTGCTCCCGCCGGAGAGGCTGCTAAGGAAAACGACGATATCCCGGCCACAGAAGACGACGGCGTCCCGGCCAAATCTGGCCTTCCTGGAGACAGGTCCATCGCCACGCCTCTAGAAGACCGCTGTGGCAATACCTCTCCCCTCGGCGCCAGATTCCCAAGTCGATTCGTGCGCACATATACATTCCGACCTCGATCCGACAAATACCGATGGAGCACGACCAACGCGCTATGTGTCGATCTCATCCGCCGAACCACCACCTCATGGCAGACCCGCTCATAGTCGTGATCGATCAGAGTCCGGATGGCCCGACGCGCCTCCACCACAGTCTCGTTGTTGTCACTCGCTTGCTCGAGAAGGTGCCAGGCCTGTGGAAGACTCCAGACCTGCCGGTTCCGCGTGGGCCCCATGTTGTTGGCCACCAGATGCGGCATGGTTCGTCGCGGCACGACCATGTATGACAGGCCGTCGTCGAGCCGGACAAACATCAGTCCTGCGTCGCACCAGATCCAACCTCTTTGGTTGAACGTCGTGTGCAGCTCCGCAGGGATGTGAATGGCCTCGGCCATACCACGAGCCCCGAATGTGCGCAGAATTTGGTCTTCTTGTTGACCACGCAACGAATCTGGGGAGTGAGGCGGCACTTGCGAGACGGATCCGATGATGGCCGTCGATGCGATGGAATTTTCTCCCCAGTTGGGACGACGGATTGGGTTCCTGACATATCGTAGACCGGTGCGAAGAGTGGGTAAACCGGCCCGGTTTAACTGCTTGATTGGGACGGGGTTCGTGAGTGAAGCTGTGCTGGCCATGGCCGAAGACCTCCCTAGTCCTGGCATAGCGAATAACCCAGAGAGCTTCACTCCATCTGGGTTGTCCGATCCATCGCTCACTGACTCCGAAGTGCCCACGGGTCCCGAGTCGAAAGATCTTGCGGAAATTTCGTTCACCACAGCAGCCACACTCATGCGAGTCAACCGTGTCGGGCGTGATCCGTACGGACTGTATCTTGTTGCATTGATGCTTCGCTCTCGTTGTTCATCGGTGCGGACCACACATGCCGGCGGTGGCTTGCTCGGGCTAGATGGATGGAAACTAGGCGATCGCGATCGGCTTGTCTCTGGACCCTCTGGTACCCACGATTGCGGACTCTTCACGCCTGAAAGCGAACTCATGGAGCCGAACGGTGGTAATCCCACCCCCGGTTTCAAATTTGCTGTCTGGTACGGGCCCAATGCTGTCAATGGAGTCGAGACTCCAAGGCCGTTTGTCGAGGTCTCCGCCATGTCCAGTCTGGCGGGTGTTCGTAAGATGATCACCGCAGCAGACTCTCCCACTGAATCCGATGTCGAGCTCACCACAATCAGCTCTGCTAATGAGACAGCAGACCATGGAGAGGTCGGCTCTGGGAACTCGGTCTTCATTGAAACCGGACCAGGGAAGGTCTGGTCGCTGAGCATGGCTTAGTCTTCAATCCGGGGAAAGGCAACCTCAGACACTGCATACCTGATCCTGTCTACTTCGTGGAACACAATGCGTCAAGTTACGACACCTCGTACTGGCAGAGCTCGGGTTGATCTTGAGAACATCGGCATGTAATAGTATGTTCGGTTTGGCGAAGTAATCCCCACGAGATTGGTAGGGTCCAGTCAGCCTTGTCTCTGTCTGAGGTGTCTCTGGGAAAGGCCAAAAGGAATCGTGACAGGTGACACCCGACGGTTCGGAGTACTATACTATAGCAAATTACACACGGGAAGACGCAAGCTGGCAAGCGACGTAGTTGGGAATCTATATGCATTTGCTGGTATTCCAGACTTACCATTCCCCCGGGCCCTCAATCGGCAGTTTCAGCTTGAACGGCGACTAATGCTTTCTGATTTCGATACCATGTTCAAGCCCCCAACTAGTCAAATAGAATCGTCGCCTCTCTACATTTGGCAACCTGTAGCCGAAAATGGCCTCAAAAGGCAACCTCAACTCCCAAAGCGCCAGCTTCTACCAGAAAAAGAAAATAGCAACCCCGACACCCCGGACAAGGATGAACATGCACACTACAAGACAGCATCCGGTCTTTCTGCTGCGGCGCCGAATCAACCTGGTGGCTGGATCGAGTGACTAACACATGCACTACTTTTGACAAATCTGCAGGGATATACTGCAAGGGGGTTTATACGAACCTGAGTCGAACTGAAAGAGGAAGGAGGGGAGGGGGTGATTGTGAAAACGCCACAAAAGCTGCAACACATGACAGAACTGATACCAACTCCAACTCCCACCACGAGTATTCTTTCCTCATTCTTTCACCCAGCTGTTTCATCTGTTCAGGGAAGGAATCGCCCGCTCTCGTCCGCGTTAGTCCACTGCTTCAAGGACCAGGACCCAACCTCTCATACCCGTTCTATCTCAGTTGAACCTTTTCCGTTTCAGCTGTCAGCTGTCAAATAGCGTTTTCTGCCGTCCCTGACTACGGTCTGTGGTAGTTGCAGTTGTCCCTGACGCAGACTCAGGAGTCAGGAGTCAGGACTGGCTCTCGCAGGCAAGGCATGCCAGCAAATGGACTTTACAGTCTTCGCACTGTGACTTCGCTGTGTGTGATAGTCCCTTGTATTACCCCAACGGGTGAGAGTGGCTGGGAGAGAAGTGAGGTGATCTGGGATATTCCCGGATGGGTGACTGTTGCGTCGTCTACTAGTATCTTATAACCTGATTAGATTGATCTTGCAAGACGAACAGAATTGTGTAGTGAAAAGTCTAACTTGCTTGGGAAGTCAATTGTGTCACCAGTCGCAATGTGTGCATGTCCTGAGCGAAAAGGGAGTAAAGATCGTCTTCGCCAGCCGTGTGTGGTGAGTTGGTGGCTTGCCAGATTGAGTAGGTGTGCTGTGTCGTTCATCCTAGGCTGTCTGCGTTGGCATCCAAGTTCGGTAGATATCCGAAGTATCTCGCTCACCCTCTCCCCCGCCCAGTCGCTCACTATAGTAATCAACCACTTGCTGGGAAAGTTATCAGGCTGGCTGGCCGGAGGCAGAGTTTGACTGAATTTTTTAGGCAGGGGAGAGATTATCCCCATTGGTGAGCGTAAGGAAGAATATTCACTCAAGTAACGATTTCCTTACAATTTGCATTTGCATGTCCTCAATCGTGGTTTCACATGCTCGAGATTCAGAATGCGATAAAGTAAGACAAATCCTAATCAAGACTTTCGATCAATATAGAAGTCCAGTCGTACATGTGGCTAACTTTATTCTCACTTCATTGTCTGTAACGTTTGTAGCATCATGGTCGTAGAAATAGAGTTACGAATAGTCGCACTCTGATGTCGCGTCGCTGTCGTGTCAACCGTCAACCGTCAACCGTCAAGCCAAACTTTCTCCATCAAACCAAGAACTTCAGCTGTCAGAGAAATTGTTCAACCGCAATCGCATAGACCATCTACCAACAGCATACACATCGGGGCCAGCAACAGCAGAACAGACATTGCAATAACGATGGTTCTTGCTCCTCCTCCCGCTGCTCCTCGCGGTCCATCGCCACCAGCTTCTCATGCCATTCTTTGGCCTCGTTGAACTCGACGCCCATCATGTCCCTCGATCCTGCCATGTTGACAAACTCCGGCCACAGTATCTCCTGTTTAGCCGTCTCTGTCACCAACACCGACGCACTGTCAGTCGGCGAGACGGTGGTGCGACACACAACTGCCTCAACCACGACTTTTTCCACGATTTTCCAGTCATCGACCTTGACCAGCTTGGTTTGGGTAGCGTTTTTGATCGCCATCGTCTGCGGGCCTCTGGGAAGCATCACCAGCTCGGCCGTGGTTGGCGGATGGAAAGTGGTCATCTGTGAGTTGAAAAGTCAGAAACGATGAAAGTCCATGTCAGTTTCCTGCAACGAGCATACTCTGAGGGAAAGGAGGAGGAATGTGGTTGTGTATATCCTGCCACCAATGGAAACGGCGAAATGTCTTGTCCAAGGGCAGAGTCCAAAACTCTGAGTGGTTCGTGTCTGCCAAAGTGCGAATGGGATATGCCTGTACGCAATGAACGAAATGCAAGGACTGAAGGAACACACGAGATGGAGTTGGGTTTGCGGCTGCTCAACACGCATGCACAACTCATACCTCCCAGCCGATTCATCCTGCATTTTACAGACTGGCCAGCACATGCCCTACCGACGTCGGTGCAATTTGGTTGCTTGAATCCCTGATCAGCCTCGTTTTCCTGGTGGCGGGGACGATTACTGTTGATCTGCTAGCAGCCCTGCGAGGAGTCCGAACCCCAGCAATGATTCCGGGATTGGGTGCCTAGGTCGGCTTACAGGGTCTGATCTGCGCTCTAACTGTGTGTGACCCAGGGTACCATCCTGGGAATGACACAATGGCACTATGGCACTGAGACGGTGAAAAGGGTACTGGTACAGGAAGCTTGACACTGGCACGCAGTGCAGTGATGTGCAGTGGTCCAGCCCGTCCCAGCCCCGGGCGCACACCCTTGACCGGCATTCTCGGATCTTATTGGTCAAGGGTGCGCTGGCAACTCCGGTCGGTCCACGCCACGGCCCATGGCCGCCAACAAACTCAGCGGTACCAGCTGCCCCCGACACACGAGTACGGGCAGTGAAGTGTTAGGTGCCCGTCGCACGAGCGAGGGGACCACCAAGCCCAAGTACTTTGTACTGTTGTTCTGTTTTCCCATTCAACTGCGAAACGAGATGAGGCTCGCACCCAAGTGCAGCCGACTGAGCGACTCGGGATTGAGCTACCGACTTTCTCTGGACGAGACCTTTCTCTCCAACTCAATGAGCACAATGCAGCCCAACTTGCCCGCTCCCAGCCTCACTCAGCATTCCAGTGTAGCCTTTCAGCGCTGGGTTAGAGCCAAAAACATCAGGCATCAACCTCAGGAGCAACGACTCGAGGGCTTGGTGTTCTTGCACGACGACGAAGCCGGAGTGGTGCGTCTGGGATGGAGATTCCAGCGCGCCATGGACACACTCTGCAACGAGGTGCGCTCCAAATCCACCTTTCACAGACCGAGGCGAACGCTTTCTCTGTTCATGCGAGCGTACACAAAGATGCAGAAGACAGTGCTGGTTTTCCTTGTTGCCCGACAAGGCGCTTATGCGCTGGACTTTATCGACAAACATGGGTGGGAAGACCTAAATAGTCACTTCAACACGGTCGGGAGAAAATATCCTGGATTGGCGGATATAGGAACGAGGATATGTCAATGGTATCCGAAGGATATTGACAAGATCCTTGCAAAGGCTGAAGAGATGTCAAATCGAGCCTTGGGACAGTCACTGGAACCAGCAGATTCACACACACTGTGCATGAAATGCCAGAGACGCCGCAGAGCTTACCAGACCCGACAGATTTGTCAACCTCGAAGTGGGATGGTTTGCAGGAGTCAAAAGTCTCACAGAACAACCCTGCTATCCCAGTACATAATCCACGCGCCAGAGATTCACTTCTGCCCATAGAAACGACAAGCTCACAGATTCTTGGTGGCGGCGATCCGACGAAGAGAACGCCGTCCGACATATTTGATCCACATGCTCCAACACTCGCAACCTCTAGAGCGACAACCTTTTCTCAGATCGTAGAGAATTCAGAGGTAGCCTTCACGCAACCTTCTGGAACTGAAAATGCCGCGCAAAACATTTTTTGTCAACATGAGACCAATGTAGACTCCCTCGATTTGATACCACGTGAGGCCGAACCGCTGTTGTCGTTTGATGGTATGGCCGAGCAAAACAGATCGATGCAGCAACACAGCCTATTCCACGATGACCACATGAACGGTCAGATACAGATGCTTCCGCAGAGTGCGTTTGTGACCGAAGGCCCAATGTCGATGAATCTCCAACTTGGACACAACCAGACATTCTTGCCCATGCAAAAAGCCATATTCATACTTTCGGGGGTCGCTACCCACACTGTTCTTGAATATGCCTCCAATGGTGCATATTTCACGAAATGGCACTTTTACAACCAAGACGAAACCATTGCGACTCTCCAGGTGAGTGCCTTCTTGTCGTAGTATATCGCTCAGCAATTGTTGTATCGGTCATGATGTGGATCATCGGCGGAAACATCGGACGGAGGCGCCTCCGATGACATGGCCCAAGAGGCCTTGCTCGCGAAGGAGGATGACATGACCTCTTTTGTTTCTGCTTGTCTGAATCTCCACCTTCTGACGATACCTGTCATCGGCAAGCCTTATCCAGCCATCCTTGCTGCTGAGATCGATGAGAACGGCGCAAACATTCCTTTCTAACACGGCCCCAGGCCAGGGAGATCCCGACGACGCATGAAGACTTAGAGGAGTTGGGTCCAAGGACACCCTCGTAATGCCGGTCTATGGCCTGTATCAGTGGACCGTGTCTTTAATTGCGGACTAGACGCAGACTACCTTCTCTTGAACGATTCTCTTCAATTTCTCCTCGTCCGACACGTCTTGTTCACTGACGGCTATGACGCTTCTTTCATTGATGGACATGACAACGGCCGCGGACTGGAAGAGGCTCGTTCGAGGGGCCGGGCGCACTGAGTATCGAGACTCCTTTCTTCAACAAAGGATGTGAGCACGGTCGCCATACAACATGTTGGTGGTGTGAAGTCTGTCTACCTGTCCAGTGACGCCTCGCACCTCGACCGAACGAGCTGGGGCTCCCGACAACTCCATGTTGAACAACACACTCCGCAGGGCCGTCCCGGTGAGGGGCGCTCACAACCTGTCCCACACGTGATGCTGATAGCTTATCAATCTAGCAAGCATGTGACGAAACTAAAGACGTCTTAAGACCATCGTATTGTGTTCGCAATCGGAGGATGTTATCCCGAACCGAAAACCCAGAAGGGTGACAATGGCAATTCAAACTCTGCTGGTGTGCTAGAAGTACGACAATGTGGCCAAAGTGTGGAAGGGCGAGGGAGGAACAGAAGACGACCAAGAATACTTTCACTCATCTTTGTCGGCACTGGGAGGGACATTCCAGGCCGAAATCAGGCGTTTGGGACAGTAGGATCTTTACCAATCTCTGGACGACCATGCATCCCCTAGTGCCGATATGACATCCCAATCGGAGTGCTGAGAGGCTCTAAGCTGGTTTCGCATCCGGGCCGGTACAGCCAGATGATGGTGTGGTTGAGACTGGAGCAACTGCGTACCAGCAAAAGGACGGGAACGGTACCAGTGAGGGCGACGCCGAGAACGAGGAGCAAATGGAATCACCCCACCTGACGTTTCGGAGACTGATCTACATTGGGATCGGCTTCGAATGGCACTTATCAGTTCAAGGTCGCAGAAAAAGCAGATCAGTACCATTGACACTACGGCAGATGGGACGATGAGGTACCGACAATTGGAACGGGAGTGCCGAGGTTTGAGTGGCACCCACTGGCCATTTGAAACGTTGCCAGGCCTCGGATTTTTTCCGGCTGAATTTCAGGATATGGACTGCTGATGGACATACAGGGGTGTCCAGTCTTGGACAGCACGGAAACTCGGAATACGACAACGTGTCACTGACCGCAACTTGTAGCCCCTGCAATCCAATTCAACATAGACAACACAGCTTCAACTGACATCCAGACCACAGCGCTACAGGTTACTGGTGTGACGACCACGACGACACGCAGCAAGCCGTGTTGAGTACTCAGAAAGAGGCCACTCAGGATTATCCTTGAATCGACACAAAATGATTTCACGTCGAAATGGTCAAGCCGGAAATGTCTCTTCCGACCATCACTATTGGGGACTTCTATCGGTTCCAAACACCCATACTGCATCTTGAACTGACGCACATAATGTCAAATTCTGGCCAGACATTGAATGGAAGGCTGATCGCATCCAAAATTGCTGTCCCTGTCAAGAAATGCAGCGCACGTTACGAACTTGTGCTGTCAGAAGCAAGTTAGGTCATCGCCTGTCTCAATCAGAGTTTCGAAGTTACGGCACTAATGGTCCCGACAATATGGATGAACCAGTATTTCGTTAAAGTGATACACCTCTTCTTCCCGCCGGGAATCCTTTCTTTTTGAGGACGGAACTCGAGTGCGCGAACGATGACCGGCACTGTCGCCACTCTGGAAGTCAATATGCGGAAAGGAATGCCGGCGAACCTTGAGCAAGTTTCAAATAGTGGCTGCATTTCCCAGTTCACGACCTCGGTCTCAAGTTTCGACTGACAACAAATCTTCAACTTCTTTTCATCACCATGCTGGACTGATCTTGGGGTCGTCAATTTATCACGGCTCTGTTACAATGGCACCTCGTCCAGATGACTTTTACTCTCGGGACGACGCACATCGATCATGTCTCTGGCACACTTCTGAACCATCCGATCCCAGCTTCGGAGATGAGTCTTCACCGGTGGGAACCTGGGATGGCAGTGAAACAGTGCCTAACGTCGAGTGGGAAGACTGGCACATCAAGGAAGGGTGTTCGATCCGGGCCTATCGGCCGTGTGGCTACGGTCAAGCTCTTCCTGCGCTGGTCTGGTGCTCCTCAGGTAACACGCCCCACCGGTTGAAGTCTATCTTCACTCTTTGCCAGAACCACAGGCTCATGCGAGATCAGCCTTGGGATCAGGAGGGTTCGACCATGAACCAGAACCGTTGTCCATAATGTGTAACAGTCCGCAGCCCCATTCCAGTCGAACGAAGGCTCCTTCCTGATGTGCGAAAGCAGGACTACAATGTGTCGTTGTGTCTGTGGCGACCTCGCGCCTTCCTGGACAGCCCATCTCGAAGGCGATAGATGATCTCTTCGCTGCTTATGACGCGATCGTCCGAGCACACGAACGTATCGGTCTCAATGGCTCTTTTGTTCTCGGTGGTACATCCATGTCAGTGTCCTACGTATCGGTATGGTTATAGTAGTTGAGTCTAATCCTTGCTCACACAGCGGTGGTTCCCTCGCCCTTCTCGTCACCCTCCGAAGAGCTTTCTGCCATTTACCTCCTCCGGCCGGGCTGATCCTAGTTACGCCAGCCTGTCTCGACGACGCATCATCCTTAGAAATAGTCGACGAGTGGGCACCAACGCAGTCACCGCCATCCAGCAGTCTTGCAGTGCCTGATAGCTTGCGGTTAAGCCCACCGCCATGTTGCCAAAACCTACACAGTGCGACAATGACTTCGCTTGACGTGCCTGAGGCAATATTACGCATGGTCCCTCTTCCTCCCGTCTACATGCTACTCGAGGAGGCGGACCTTTTTCACGCAGCAGCCAGAACACTCGAGAAACGACTACGGAAGACCGGTCACTTCGTGAAAACGAGTTCGTTCCACCGCCCTCCTCAGGTGTCATCGACTCCACGCACACTCCATTTCGACGTGTTTGACCGTTTGACTGCGATCGTGGGGAAATTGTTCTCCCACGATGTGTATTTGTTCACTGGGCAAACCTCGTGGATTCAAGAATGACTCGGAACGTGTGCAGTGGTTCATTACGTGCGTGGAGAAGCGTGACTTGCGCAGAGCATCATGGTTGGTGTGTCGTCACACTCTGAACTGAGCGCGAAGGAAGTTGTTTCATGTTTCGAAGTGTTCAGATGCATTGGTGTTCAGACAGAAAGCCTGCCACGTCCGCCCACGGCCGGGGGTGAGAAAGCTTCCTGAGACGTGTCTTTGTCTTTCATCACAATTTCGAACTACCCGAGTGGACAATGTACCATAGCCCCCAGGGATTCGCCTGTCCAGATCAGATGTTCAACGAGAACTGACTTGAAGTGCCATCGGGAGTGCACAAGATGTGACAACTCCTCCTGGGCCTCTACGAGTGATCTAGTGGCTAGCTAGGCCTTCTGTGACTTGAAGCCAGTCGAATCGAGGCGGAGTAGATTCAAGATATGCAACATACAGGGTCAATACTGTTTAGGATATTTTCGACAACATTCAGACCAAGAAGTGGCCCTGTGACCGTTGTTTCGTTATCTCGGTATCTACCCAACGCTCAGTCTCAACCAACTTCCAGCTCGTGCCCCCAATCAACATCAATGTCGACACGGACGTCGAGTTTGAGTTTGACCTTGATCTTCCCTCCAAGTGTCTGGGGAAAAGCATAGACGGAAGCCACTATTCTCGCGGAACTTTCGTCCTCGATATCGGTGTTGTCTCGGAGAAAGCTTGGTCTCCAAAACTCTCTGAAAGCCATCCAATTGGTTTAGCGTGGAAGTTTGAATCGAATTGGCTTTGGGTGCTTCAAGATTGGGCGAATCAATGGGGAGGGCCCTGCCTGGCACTCTCTGTGCTTGACAGATTGCTGAGGTGCAAGCGGGGTGTGAGCCCGCGGCGTCACGGGGGTTTTGCAACGTTACAGGATGACCTGCTTCGAACCGAAAGTCAAAGGGCAAGAAGTTTCGCCGCCATGCTATGTGGTCCTGCGATGAGGGTCGGTATACGTGTGGATCCGGGAGTCCATGAGCTCGAGAAGTGAGCAGTGTCTGGCACGGGGGACGCAGTGGTTCAACAAGAAAAGTACTGTTTGGGCCCGAGGTAAAGCTACATACACTGTCGCTGGGGTCGAAGGTCGAAGGGCGATCATCACAGAGGCTAGGTTCAACAACTTCGGGGGACAAAGAGTGCTGGCGCGGCAAATCCCCGACAAGATCTCCAAGGATGAACTGAGATTGGTTTCGTCAGTGGCGCAGGACACGAATCGTTGTATCGAGATCAAACCCTATCACACGACCCTTTCGTTGACGCCGGACTGGGCACGGAAAAGAAGAGCCAACCAGAGGTAGGACCGGCTCGAAGTTGGCCCGGCCGTCGTCTAGGCGAGGGAGGGTAATCTTGAGTGAACGTCCAGATCGTGCAAGGGTCTGCATGGGCGTTATCTAGGATGGTTGGGATTGGTTGGCGCAGAATCCAACCCTATACGTTTGTTCGTATATATGCATCAGATGCAGTTGTGCAGTTGAACAGCAGTCAAAAGTGCATGCATGACCCCTACATTTTTTGGAGTTGCAGTGGAAAGCGACCACGGGCCAGCGATTAAGCGATCCTAGCTTCTCGTCGGCGAACGGATCGAATTCGAATTCGAGGGGGAAGTGGATGAAGGGGGTGAAGGAAGTGGGTCCGGCTCCAGGACAGGAAGGCAGTTGTGACCCACTTCCACTTCCACTTCAATCGATGCCATTCAATCCATGGGACTTTTGAAAGTACGGAAGTACGGATTTAGTACCTACAGAAGATGGAAGATGCAGTGGAAGATGGAAGACAGGGGTCCATGCAACTCGAGTCTACACTTTTCATACTACTGCATCAACTGCCAAGCGATATGAATGCATTGACTGCGCTTCTTGGCTACAGTCTCAGGTCGCCTCAGGAAAGCCCATCAACATGCACTCGTCCATCTAGCCTGAGCAGTCCACCCCCGCCAACCCCAGAACGAAGACTCCTCCGGGCGACATCTAGAGCCCAGCCAGGATCTCCCTCCTTTTTGGCGCTGCGCCTATTTTAGGTCGTTTTCCATTCCCCCAACTACATACATTCCCGAAGTTGAAGACTTGAAGTCCACCCTCAGCAGCCCGACCACCTTACTGTTTTGCAGCCGCCTACCTCGCGATCCCCATGACTTCTGACCTAGCAGTCCGGATCGATGCATCTTGTGGACGGGTTTCTTTCTCCTGCTCATCCCTCCAACCACCAGATCATGCATCACATTCTACACCAATCAGCCAACTTGTCACCCTGCAGGACCAGAGCCTGCAGTCATAGGTACCTTTGGCAATGCCGACTTATCCACGCCAATCAATGCGGCGACTTGAGAAGAATGAGACCCCATTGCACCTCGGCACGCAAGCACTACGAGATGCGCGCGTAAGCGATCGCGACAGCGACTGCCGTCGTCAGGCTGCATCGACACTACGGGGAGGAGGGCACCGAGGATACGAAGATTCAGGGTCATCGCGATGCCCCAGCAATTGTGCCCTCCGTTCACTTCGCTTGTGGTCACTTGGGCGATACGGGCCAGTTTAGACAAGGCTGTCCTCCCTTGGACGACTGGCTGACTAGTTGAGTGGACAAGACATTGTTTCAATGCTATGAGCCGAAAGTATCTGCGACATCCTCGTCGAAACTGATATTGCACCGTCTGTGACCAGTAACATGGTCTTTTCCTACTCATTCAGGTCTTCTGGGAGCCCTCTGAACAACACATTCTTGCCACCCTGTCCATCCTCGCCCCCAGGAGTCAAAGGGCCTTTCCTTGCAGAAACCTGTGAACAAACCACACCTGTCGACAGCAGCATCAAGTATATATCAAGCAGATCATCCAGCCCAACAGTCCAGTCATCCAGCCAACCCCCTCCTCCAGAAAGAGTATCCCCCATCACAAAGACAGGAAAATCCGTGGAAGATAGTCTCCACTGACATCGGCCCTGTTCAGCTCCGCATCAAACACCGAAGTGAACAGCTGCAGGATATTCGGGCCCTGCTCGACTTCCTGGAAGGCCATGGTTCCATTGAGCGCCCTGGCCACGGGCATCCTGCCCTTTCTAAACGGTCCCTTCATGGTCAACTTGTACAGCGTGCCGGTCCGGTTGACCATGAACCAGACGGAAACAGGGAACGCCGAGGCTGTGGGCAGTTCCTCCCATTGAACGATGACGCCCGTCTCGGTGATACCGCAGATATCCATCTCAATGGTCTGGAAGGTATTCAGCAAGATGTGCGAGATGCAGGCATGGTCGCGTGCAGCCCGGTCCCCGCCGAAGCCGCGATACTCCAGGTCGGCGACTTTCCTGCGCATCCGCAGCCCCGCATACTCCCATTCAGGCTGGTACCGCTCGGCCTCGTCGGGGTGCGTGTACCGCCAGCGCAGGAAGTCGTGGATCACCTGGGTCAAGGGACACTCGTAGCTCGTGTCTCGGCGGCTCAGGACCGAAGCGAGCTCGTGGCCGACCCGTGCGATGTGGTCTTTGGTGTTGGGGTCCGGGTTCGACGAAATGCTCATGTTCGGCAGGTACTCGAACCATCTCGCCATCGGCCACGGTCCGCCCGGCGGCCATGCCACCTCAGAAGGAGGCACGCCGATCATCCAGGTGATCAGTCGCGAGTTGACCAAGTCTTCTTCGTCCGTGTGTACGGGGCCCGTCGGTGGCAGGCCTTTGCTTACGCGGATGTACGATCGGAAGATCTCGTGTTGCCACGGTGTTTGGTTCCACGGAGGACGGTCGCTGTTGGAGTCTGGCTGAACTGCATTGGTTGAAGTGTCTGGATTTGGTTGGGGCCCAATGCTTGAGATATGGGCACCGCTGTCGGTATTGGTTTCGGCGTTTATGTCTGGCTGAGCACCATTGCTTCCATTGTCCGTAGCAGTGCCAGTCTCAGTCTCAGTGTCTGCAGACTGTTGGCCATCATTATTGTTGGCAGTGGCAGTGGCAGTGGCAATGTCAGTCCTGGGACCGTCAGCATTTCCGGTGCTTGTGATTGTGCTTGTGCCAGGATCGGTATCGGTTTCGGTGCCACCACTCCGCACCGGAACCGGCACATTTCCAGCCTGTAGCAATGGTATCAGAGCCGGGGCAAACTCATCCGGCGGAAGCTCGTAAGCTTCAGGATACAGACAACAGTCGAATAGCTGGAGAAGATTGTCGTCCGTCCATCGGATCGTCACCCTGTTGTAGGCCATTGGGTTGCTTGGAAGATTGTCTGGGCTACGAGTGGGTGCCATTTTTCAAGTCTTGTGTTTGTGGGTTCGTAAGATGGGAAAAGAAGATTTGCAAGATAGTAATAACCAGTAGCACGTCTAACAGTCCTCTTCAAGCCTGATGAGAAAAGCTGAGTCGGGTTTAGGATTCGTGGGGAGAAGGAAATGTGGATTAAATCGAAAGAGAAGTTGATTGCTCGAGAGGGGAGAGGAATCATAGATGTAGATATAGATAGAGATATAGAAAGTCTGTAGGACTCTCCCCGTGTCTCTCACTATCTATGTCCCTGTCTATCTAGCTATACTCCTCCCCTCGGAGCAAGCTCTTGCCGCGCAGACGACTTGTGCCCCCAACCCTGCGGTCTTGGTGAGTGGTCGTCGAAAAGGCCGGCTGCAAGAGCAGATTGGCCCGGCACTTGTCAGGTCGAATGGGGATTGGGATTGTTGGAGGAGTCGACGGTGCCAGCACGTCCTCAAGCGCCATGCAATCAATAGTCTCATGCGACTTGCATGTATACCTACTCCTACATACCTTAGATATGCGCCCAACAATCGGGGGAGGTGGCAAAGCGACTTGTCCGTTCGTTCGTTCGTTCGTGCGTCCGTTCCATCGTTCCGTCTTTCAATCAGCCAGGTGGTTGCCGGGGCAGAGGAGAGCAGAGTAGAAGCTGCTACTCACTGCATGATGAGTCCTGTCCACAGTTCGAGACTGCAATTATCATTGGGTTTCGTCTACCTTCGGACAAATCAATGGTCGCCATGCTATGCCTCATGTCCTGCAGCTTTTCTTTTTTCTTTTCTCTTGCTTCTTCTTTATCGACCTTTCGGCAACCAGGTCAGTCTCGTCACAAGTCCGGTCTTGCATGCAAGCAGAGGCAGAGTTCCAGAAGCGAGACCCAGGGAACCGAGACAACGAGTGGACAGTCAAAGCACCCCCACTGCATGCAAGGGTTGGACCGGATAGATCAGATAGTCCTTACCTTGCCTGATTCCCGAATCCTGGCCCGTCAGACAGCCCAAATTTGAAGCAAGGGGTTAGGACTAGTTCGTTGATAGGTCTGCGTCTGTGTCTGTATCGTCAAACTTGAGTGCCCATTCCATCTCATGGGCTGGAAAATGAGAAACGGGAAACGAGGAACGAGGAAACGAGAAAACGAGAAAACAGGTACGTACGCTATTGCTTTCTTAGTCTCGCGTTGGCTCACGCCGACCCCACCTACCATGCGTACTCGGTGCGGCACGGACGGTTAGGACTCAAAGCGTCTCGCATGCTGTGCTGTGCGTGTGCTTTCCTGTCCTGTCTGGTTTCGGTTAAGCAAGCGCCTGGCTGTAACGACAAGGGTGTACGCATACACAATTCATATGCCGACTCTGAGCTGTAAGTCGTGGATGGCACACACTCACGCGCTATTGAGTCCAGGTCTTTCAGTCACTCGCATTTGACCCTGGTGTAGACCCCCCTGGGAATGCAACGTCAGCCGTGATGGCCTACTAGTATGGTCTGTCTTGTGGTCATGAAGATAAGATACCTAGAAGTTACTTTGCACTTCACTCCATCCGGAATGCGGGAAACAGTGGGGACAGAGACAGTGAGAGCGAGAGTCAGACATCAGCAGCAGACTGTATAGTGGCAAGCATAGGGGGTTTGTCGGTTTGTACCATGCAGCGATTTAGTTGTTGGTGTGCAATAGGAAGACAGAAAGGCACTTATCGTGAACTGCGGCGGAGCGAAGCAAGTGCTCGTCCATTTTCCATTTTCCAATTTCCATCTTCAGAGGAATCAGCAGTGCGAATAGCCTGGGGATCAGGGGCCTTACTGCCTACCATCACCTTGCTGCTTGTCTCGTGCATACCATGAGTCTCCATGCGTGACTTATCCGTCTCTTTCGCCGCAGAGCCTGCCTTTGAGGTTCCCATGTTTTCCTTCAGAACATATTGAGTGACCTGCCACATTGGAATATTGGAGTTCTGAAGATTGATTCGTTGAAACAGCATCAGATTATCTGCTGTCTCTCTGTCTGATCCCTTTCGAGTGCACCGTGGTCCGTACGGACCTCCTGCTTACCATTCGACGTGCCGTCCGATCGAGATTGCAGCTTCACCCAGCCATCGAGTCATGCATGCATCACTCCGGACGGTCGTCTCGTACCGGAAAATCTAAAAAATGGCGCCCTTCATCCATGGGTCTTTCAAGAGTTCTGAAGCCCGGGTCCTTTCTTCTGGTAATCATTTGAGCATCGATCTGATGAACTTGAGGAACCGCTCTTTATTTTCACCATCCAAAGCTTGCTCCGATTGCTCAAGAGATAGCAACGGCACGTCCACCTCCCCAGCACGTTTCCAGCAACCTGATACATTTTTAGATCCTTCCGTAATCTGACAGAGACTTAAAAGCACTTACGGCGTTCATCGAAAACATTCTTCGTGACTTCGCTTCTCCGAATATACTCCGGAGATGGTAGCCCGAGATATGCAACCATTTCGGCGATATGATGTGTTGCTGAGGACTCATTGTTTTCGCCCGCAGCATGGAATAAGTGTCGTTTCTCGAAGAGGTCCCATATCTAGAATGTCAGTTTCAGCGCGAATCGCAGTCAAGTGATACTGTGAACCACATGCATACTTACCAGCACGGCAACATTCAAGACGTCTACGCTTGAGTCCCATTCCATGTCGAACAAGATTTCTGTGACACGATACAGCTCCGGTTGAATAAGACCCCTGTGATGGGTCCCCATTCGAGATTCTCCGAATTCACACAGGACCGGCTGACCCCACAGATCGTCTTTGGGAAGACCCAGCTTGCGAGAACCATAGATTGTCCGGATGTCATCGATGACTTTCACCGGGGAGGGTTCATTCATTTCTGCTCTTTCGAAATCCCACAGTATATATGCATCAGAGACAGTAAACATGATATTCGATGGATTGATATCTGATTCTCTATTGTCAGCCGATATGTAAGCGTGTCAAAGCAACAGAATCTTACCTGTGTGTATGACCTTGGCTTCATCGTGTAGAAACGAAAGAGCGCTGAGTATATTGAACAGCACCCACTTCAGAAGCTGCTCAGTGAGCCGATGTGATGGATTTTGGAGCTGGAGTTGGTGAATGGTCATGTGCATGGGAGGGTGGACCAAGCACAGATGTTGACCTGAGGGACCGTCAAGATGAAAAGTCTCCAAAAGGCTCCGGATATACATCTGACCAACATGTTGCGAGTTGAGAGGGCTGACGTGCTCGTAGAATTGAAGCTCTCGGTGAGGGTATGCGAGCTCAGCGACTTCTCGAGTGCACACCTTGACAGCGACGAAGCTCGTATCTCTATCAAGGTGTGAGCGACGTTTGGAGTAAGCAAGGATTGCCTACTCTATGTTTCGGCAAAGCCATACTGTGGAATGGGCACCGTATCCGAGCTTGCCCAGTACTTTGTATTTGAGGTTGAATATCTCTCCAATGCGCACAGGGTAGAACTATTCTGGGTGGTACCACGGGAGCTGCTCTTCTTCGAAGGGTATGAAAGGTTGCGAGAGGTCCTGTCTTGTATTGTGAGTGCAGACGAATCGCCTCTTCACGATTGGTAATGTTTTAAGGAGTCGCTGCACCTGTCCAGTGGATGTTTTCATTGTTCCATTCGATCTGGTTGCTTATCATCCGCGCAACGTGAATCGGCGGCGGCCCAGGACGTCAGTCGTCGAGTGTTGGAGACGACGCTCATTATCAGACTGACGAGGCCATAACATTTCATTCATTGCTTGGATCCAGAGCAAGTCTGCTCTGCTCGTACGGCTTGACCGTGTGCGGAGTTAACATGCAGCATCACGAATATGTCACGGAGATAAGACCTTTATTATTATCACCGGACGATGATTCGGTTGATGTCCAATACAAGGTACGTACTTAGTTTCTACACCCCCCTACAAGGCTCTGCCTCTGCTAGGTGACTGTCAAGTCAAAGAGGTGCGCAATACGTATTAACATCGTCAAGCGCCCAGGCCACGTTGTAAGAGCGGTGCAAGCAGGATAACAATTACTCCGACGCCAACACGATTATTTGGGTACAAATACCACTAGGTATATATCTGCTAGGTTCTTCATCTTTCTCATATCCCAATCCTTCGTCTTTCATCAAATTTTCGAATCGACCAGCCATGACACCCTCTGTGTTCTCACTTCCGCCATCATCTCCGCGCATCGAAACGGCCAGGACGTTCCTAGCAGCATTCGCCGATCTCTCAACCAGCCAACACCTCTCCGTCCGCAGCGACGACTGCATTCAAATCTTCGCACCCTCGTCACTCAATCCGCCAGCTCCAAAGGACAATGCGACATTTGCGTCACATCTGGCCGGGCTGCGCGACGTCATGTCCGGGTTCCCGGTGACGGCGAAGGAGATGATCGACTCAGAATTCCAGAACGCAGTGACCATCTGGGCGACCAGCGAGGCACAGTTCCACGACAAGCTCAAGGATGACGGACTGTCTGCGGACGAGTGGAACTATCGTGGCGAGTATGTGTTCATGTTGACCATGGACGAGACGGGACGCCGGATCACGCGCATTGTCGAGTTTCTCGATAGTAAAGCCACGGAACGGTTGAGAGGGCTGATGGCCAGAGCGAGGGACAATCTCGAAAAGCTGCTGTCTCAAGACGCGAGATCGTGAGTGCTGAGCTTGATGTTGAATCGTATCTATGACTCCTCTTGGAAGTCCCAAGTATTTGAGGGTGATGTGGCATGATGACTCTTGCATGCTGTAAAGTGAACAGTTGAATCTCCAACATTTTATGTCGTACAAGAGTGTCAGCAGCAAGTGTCAGTAGCAAGAGTGCGAGTGCCACTGCCGGAGCGAGTTTGCCAGCAGCAAGATTAGTAGACTACCAGCAACAACACTGCCGGCAATAATGCCAGCAGCAAGACCGTCAGCAGCAAGACTGTCAGCGGTAAGACTGTCCGCATCACTGCCATTGCCAGCATCAAGAGTGCTAGTGCCGGATCAAGAGTGTCACTGTAAGAGCGAGTGTGCCTTTGCTAGTAGCAAGTGTGCCTGAGTAGCAAAGAAATCCAGGCAGTACTAGTAACAGTGCCAGTACAAGAGTGCCAGCATGAGTGTACGTGAGAGCATGAGTGACCTTGTCGGGAGGCATGATCGGGTAAGACGCCTGAGCTGCTGCTTGCTGTATGCCTGAGTGACTCGCCATTTTGTGAGCAGCCAGCAGAGAAAGAGTAGGCTCTCCTTTGGCAGCTATACTTCATGGTGTTGTGTTGATCCCATGCCCTGGCTGAGCCTATGTGGATATTCTCCGTCAGGCTTAATGCTCGGCATTATGTTGTGTAGGATGCAAAATTTCTTCACCAAACCTTATTTTATTCAGCTTGTCAGACAAAATATTAATTGTCAGTCAACGTGGTGTGCATGGGGTGCCACCACTGCACTCCCATCTGTCCTCTCCGTGCCGCATTCTCCGCGACATCAAACCACGGCGAGGACTGTACTAGGTGCAGACGAACCTCTCCACCCCATGACTTGTGGCTTGCTGCCACGGAGACATTGCTGTGATCTTGCCTGTGGTGTATCACCCTTTTGGCCAGCGTGTCCCTTTCTTGCATTGCTTGCTCTGCTAGTGTCACCGCCTCTCTGCGATGCCCCAGACTCATTCTGCGGTGGTGTGAAATTTGCAACGGCGGTGCCCCCATTTTGTCAGCTGCTTACACTTTGAGTTGCGAAATCATGCTCGAGTGCCTGTTGAGCAGTCAACCTCTGCGTGCATTCATAGCATACTGTCTTGCTGACGAAGTCAATCGCCTGCTCCGTCGCACCCGGTAGGATATCCTTCCATGCTTTGGCTGGGAATGACTGGAATCGCATTTTCCCCCAGTCAGGGTATTTCCTTGCTGAAGGCCACTCTTGATCATTTGGGGTGCCCAGTGTGGTAAAGATGGACTTGATCAACCCGAGTTCACTCCCCATCGGCCCTGCATCAAAGATGGGATGATGCCCATCCCGCACCATCTCCGCAACAACGCAGCCTGCTGCCCATATGTCCAACGACGCGTCATATGATCGGTCCCCAAAGAGCAATTCAGGTGGCCTGTAGCAGGTTGTCCCGACATCGGTGATTTTCGAGTCTGCGGCTTCAGAGTCTCTGTCTTCTGGTGACCAGGCAATTCCAAAATCTGCAAGATAGACTGGGCCATTCATGGTCTTGAGCAGGATATTGGATGGTTTGACATCTCTGTGAATCATCCCAAGAGCATGGATATGTGCTAAGGCCTTGAGGAGTCCCTGGAAGATCATGCTGGCCTGGGATTTGTCTAACCTTCCCGATCGGAGGAGGTTCTCTACATCCTGCCGGAGAAACGGAAAAACGAGAACGAACCGACCCCCAGATTCATGCAGAGTATCCAAGAGTGGGACGATGTGCTCATGATGGGCCTTGACAAGCAGTCGAGCCTCTCTTTCAGAGTTATGTGGGGGTTTTAGCATCGCCGGGTATGTGACCTTGAGTGCCACTATCCTCACTGCTGCCGTGCTGTCCTTTGCCTGCGCCTTAAATATTGTTGACGTCTGGCCATCTGCATGGAATGTTGCATATTGATATGCTCCAAATCTTGGTCCCTCGGTATTGAATAACTCTGGCTCCTCTGCCTCTTCAGTTCGTTCCACGACCTTTGGTGCGGGAGGCCCCTGCAGGGAGCTGATTGCTTGCGCAAGCTTGCTTTGATACTCGTGCTAAGATAGTTAACACCAAATTCCATGTCCAGTCACAAGGTGTCATACTGGTGAAGAAGCCGTATTCAGTATCTCCTCCTCAAGCTCTCTGGCTGCCCTGCGAGCCGCATCCGCTTCTTGCCCAGCGTTTACAAACCCGTTCGTTCTTTGTTGTCAGCATCGTACTTAGCTCTGCTGGCTCTTAGTATAACTCACAATGACACTATATTGCCTAGTCTCTCAGCAAAGCTGATATTGACTGGCATCTTCACATCTGCTGTCCCAGATGACTGTTTGCTGGTCTGTGTCTTCACATACGAGTAGGGTTGTTTGCCTCCAAATCCTGTAGAGGGTGGTGGAATGATGTGCGAGCCCTGTAATACAGTAACCTGTAATCCTTAGCATGGATTCGGACATCCTGGTGAACACATAGCCTCAAGTTGGTCAGTCTAGGTCGTGCAGAAATCAGTACGTTGTTATGTGACAGGGTGTGCAATGCCAATCGCCATTGACTCCTAATGTCTAGACTATAGCACCGAACAAATAGCAAGAGACAATATTGCACCTCAACGAGATCTAGATGGTGAGCAGAACAACGGAACTGCATGCTGAGACTATACTGCATATCCGTTTCATGTACTCCACCGTGAAATCCCTATATATTATATCTTCTGCACTACCGTATTATTAGGTAATCAAATGCCCGGCCTGGGCCGGTAGCTACTCCACGAGCAACACCCGACTCGACGCATCCTCAATTGTTTGCGACGCAAGTTCCGTTATGCAACTTTGTCACACCCTCTCTTAACAGTCTTATCCGCTATTGTTTATGCTTGGGTGACATCTGGGCAACGTCGAGCATGGAGCTCTCACGAACAGAGTATCCAACTCTTCTGGTCTGTCTTCCTACCATCCGCACACTCCGGAACTTTCATCTGACTTTCAATTGCGCCAGGCTTCGCTGCAACCAGAGCAAGCCATAACAGTCCTCAACGATCGCGTCGCCGTCATCTCAAAGATCAATGACGATATCGCCGACTGGCTCTACGTCAGTTTCTTCTATTAAAGTTAACAATAGCAACCACTGAAGTTGTACTAGGAACGGCGCAAGGTCGAAGAAGCATATGTCGCAGGATTACGGAAGCTTGCGCGTAGGCCACAACAAGTTGGAGCAACCACCCTTGGGTAAGGCCAACCCTTCTAGACTGTGAACTCGTAACTCATAGGTCCCAGGATTTTCCAGATGCCATGGCAGCGCATTGTTTCCGGTACCGAAAACCTCGCTGCGTCGCATGAGACTCTTGCGGCCAAGATCGAAAGTGATGTCGAGAATCCTCTGAGAAATTTCGCCTCCCGAAACCGAGAAATGCAGGCTCTTGTCTCAACCCAGGGGAATCTGAACGCAATCGCCAAAGAGCTGGTTAATGCCCAGAAAAAGGCCTCAAAGGGTGGCAGGAGGGCTGACAATGCATCGTCCGCGGCTGAGGATGCGGCGCGTCAATGGGAGACTCAGGCGCCCTACGTTTTCGAGCAGCTTCAGGCGCTGGATGAGACGAGAATCAACCACCTGAGGGACGTACTCACACAGTTTCAGACCCATGAGGTGGACGCGATTGAAAAGAACAGACTTAGTGCGGAGTCCTGCCTGAATGCGCTCCTCAACATCGAGACTGCCGACGAGATCAAGACCTTTGCGGCGAAGAACAGTGAAGGACGTGCTTTGAGAAGACACAGCTCGGCAACAGCAAGTGCAAGACCTGCCAGTTCTCAAAATCGGGTTCCACCAACTCCACCTCCGCCCCGACATGCGGACGACAGACACACCCAGCGTTCAAACTCCGCTGCCGGCCAGGATACATTGACCCCTCGTAAGTTGGTCTGGAATCACATCTCACAGAGCTAACAGTCGGACAGTGCCTGAAACACCCCACAAAGAAAAGCATAGACTGGGCGGTCTCAAGCGTCTGGGCACAGTCATGGGTAGAAGAAAGAGCGTGGTGCCTCCAGCGCCTCCCCAGTCGCATTCGACAGAGGAAAAGCGACGGACCAGGTCCTTTGCTCCCTTCAGACGGGGTGATTCTTCTCGGAGCTTCCAAGATTTGGAGGAGACCGGAGAGGATCTGATCCCAAGCATATCGCGAGATGACCGACCGACATCTTCTATATCGCATGATAGGCATCATGCGTTCCCGACGCCGACGGAGCGGGAGGCTCCTCTTGCCATTCCGAACGGTGTCACAGCATCCCAAGCCCCTCTGGAGTCGAATGCGGAACTTGCTCCCACTCAGCCTGCTTTGCTCGATACAGGGGGTTCATCGCAGACACAAGCCCCGCCATTCCATTCCTGGGGAGAACAGCCACGCTCCCCAAGCAGTGCAGCACCGGAGTCTCCTTTTGCAGGCGCTGCTGCTGACGAGTCGTCACGGAATTTCATGATCCGCGACAAGCCAATACAGGAAGACGAGAGCGAAGCCCAGCTCGCCATGAATAACATGGCCAACCAGCTACGGACTCAAGCGCAAAACTCGGGCCTTAATCGGGTCCAAGGAAGTACGAGAGGGCGGCGAGATGTTAGAAACACCATGTATGTCCCGAGTCAGGCGGAACCTTTTGGAGCATCGGCTTCTGCTCCGCGGCCGCGTCCAGCAGTCTCTATTCCAGCCGGGTCGGGTTCGAGTGATAATGTGCTTGCCTCGCCCATACAACGACCACTAGCCCCAGGCATTGTGCATGAAGATCATGGCCTGGGCTCTGATACGACATCCATCCATTCTTCTCGAAGTCTTGTTGGTCCAAGTCAACACGTCGACCTCCATGAACCGGGCCTTAACGCCTCAGTCGTCGAAACAGTGCATTCGTGGTTCACCGAAACTGGCATCACCAAATCTTTTGTGCTCGGAGAGGTGGCTTTTGCCTACAACGGTTCAGCGTCTTCCGACAGTGACCACGAGATCGTGCGACTACTGCATTTTGAACGGCTAGACAAAATCGCTGCGAATCCCATCTTCCTGACCCAAGTCAAATCCACTGGGGAGTCCATGGCAGAGGAACAAGCCGGTTCATACACTTTGACGACACAACCGATTCGGAGACCAACCCCCATGATTGGCCTGAAATATCAGCTGCACATCGACGAGAGCAATCTTGGACGATACAGCCCTGTACTAGTAACGCCAGCCTGGCAGATCGTCGAAGGTCAGGTCAGTGTCATTGTTCTGTACAGTCTCAACCCGGTCTTCGGCAGCGAGCCGTTGAGCCTCAAGAATGTGACTATCAGTGTCCACCTGGATACTTCGGGAGAAGGGACCGGCAAAGCGGCTTCGGCAATGATGGCACCAACGCAAGGCGCCACGTTCCGTCGCAAGTTGTCGGCGGTGGTATGGCGGTTCAATGAGCTCACTGTCAAACCTGGACAAGAGAGGCTGTTGGTCAGATTCATCACACAGGGCGGCATGCCTAAGAAGGGCAGTGTCGAATTGAAATTCGAGATTCCAGGCCGGACAGCGAGCGAGATCGGCGTCGAGAAGCTGGTCGCCGGTGGAGACAGCAAAGATAAAGACACCGACACCGATCCGTTCGCCGATGATATCGGGGACAGCAGCGCCCGAGGCAGCGCGGAGGAGAAGAGATGGGAGGTCATCCCGACGCATCTAAAGTTGGTCAGTGGACGATACACTGCCAGCTAAGAACCGTCTCTTGTGTTCTTTGTGCCTCAGACATGCAGGTAGAGGAGGATGGCCATGCGATGGCCGTGACCCCCGAAAACTCATCCGGCGCCTGGATATCCAAGAGTGCCTCTTTTTGTCAGATTTGTGCGTCGAAGAGATCTCGCTCCTAGCTGGATAAAAGCTACGTTGATACGGGTCCGGTTCGGTCCATCCATGTCTTCGAATGCCGATGATAGCGAGAGTTGGGCACATAGGCTTGGTAGGGGCCGGAGACGGAGAGCATACATACAGCTTTACAGAGCACAGACGTCGATATTCGAGCTTTAGTTTAAAATTGATGGTTCCAGCCAAATGACTAGATTGCCCGCAATATAGACAGAGGATTCATGCCTTGACACCGAGACTACATTTGGTATTGTTATGCCAGGGCTGGAATGGAGGAACGATGCTTGTGCTCAGCAATTGAACAATCAATATTCTTTCCGGACATTCAAAACAAGGGGTATCTATCTCCACGAGGTATCTGTTTCGATCCCAATATTGGCCTGTAATTCGAGGCTTGCATCACATCATGAGTTGGTTTCACGTCTTCACAGACAACACGCACACAGCGCGGGATTCATTATCGGCTTCAATCCAGATCGATACGCGGTGTGAACCGCTTTCCCTTCGAACCGGAGTGTTGTACAACCATCCATTGGCTCTTCGCCCACTCTCCACAGAAAGACGACGGTTTCATTTTGCTGCAGCCAATGTTCTTCTGACTTTTCCCTCATATCATCACAATCATTCTCGAGTTTGTCGTGAAAGCATGGAAGTTTTGCGAAGGTGCCGGAAGTAAATGCGAGGACTGTACCAATTCCAATAAAGTCAAAGCTGGTCATATTTGCGCGAAGGGCTGCTTTTGCTGGTGTCTGGTTTGTACTCCTCGCTCTGTTTCATCGCCGCTGCCCGTAACCATGTCAGTACACACTCCAGGATCAGTATCCATGTTCATTGCCCGTGAGCCTGTGTGTTGTGATGCTTCTTAAGTGTTCAAGGCAAGCTCCGCTTCTGTACATGGACAAACGCCCAACAGAGCTATCACATCAGAGTCATTGCAACCCTTTTGTAACCCGAAGCACGGTTGTCATTTTGGAAGGCGATAAGCCGATATTCGCTGCCACACAAATAGCAAAAGCTCAAGCGTTGTTTGCGTAATCCCCACGCTATGCAATCCTATGTCCTGAACACCGACCAGGATGACAGGCCACAAAACGCCGAAAAAGACATCATATCGTGACCATACAGGGAGAAATCAATTTAACTGAATTCAACCGTGTTAGCGCCCCGGCCTTCCCTAGCTAGCCGGGCTTGCGCTCGTTCCGCTCTCCTCCGCCGTCGATTGTTCGCGTACTCCGTGGCCCCGCTGGTCTCTGTGCCAGGCGAGGTAATGCTTCCTGAAGGCCCGAGATTGCTGGCTGAGGCTGGGATCGGCGGTGGAATGGGAACATGATATGTCGCCCCTGTGTGGGGATCGATGGCCTGAGTTCCTGGAGGGGGAGGTGCAGGATATGCGGGTGCCGTCATGCTTGGGCCACCTGGAATGGCCTGTGAAGGGTGGCCATGAGGTAGTCCCGAAGACCCTGCTACAGGCGCTGCATTCTGCGCTGCCTGTTCAGCCTCTAGGGCTTCGGTGCGTCTCCAACGTCGGTCCGCGCCGGAGTCTGCTCCGCCCAGCATGTCACTATCACTACCACTGAAGCTGGAAGCGCGTCGTCTCGCTGCGGCCGAAGCCTGCCGCTGTCTGCGTCTCTCTTCTCGCTGCGCGGCGGCCTCTTCCTCTGTCAACCTCCGTAACGTAACGTGTCGGCCATCATTGTGCATCTTGAGCTTCAGGCTCACCGGCGGTGACTCCATTGAGTCGGTGTTCCTACCGCTATGACGTCTCCGTCTGTGATCCGCGGCCATTGCTCCTCCAGATGCACCGGTAAGACCGGCAGCTACTTCGTCACGTAGATGGTGTCTATGCCGCTGGTGTCCCGATCCTGTCGTATATAGTTCGCTCCCTGAGGTATCCATATGAGGAGGAGGCACTGGAGGGATATCTGCCGGTGCAGAGGTCGGCGGACCCGGTGTGACGATTGCAGGGTCCTGTCCCACGGGTCTGATCCTGTCTCTGTCTGCAAGTGCGCTTGCTGCTGCTACACCGACGCCCGCCATTGTCAAACCTCCTGTCCCCGGTCGACTATTTAGCGCACTTGAGAGGTCAGATGCGGACTGACTGCCTGGTCTGTCATGCCGTAATCTCCTAGGCGGAGGTATTCCGTCGCCGGTATACCGATGGGCAGAGTTCATGCGGTCCATCCTCTCCTGTTCCAACCTTTGTCTTCTCAGAGCTTCTGCACGAACATCTTCTTTCCGCTGCCGGCGGTTCTTGAATAGTTGTCGGACGGCGAAAACAGTGCCCCCAGCGGCCAAAGCGTCGCGAAAAGTATGTGACCTTCTGTCACGCCGCGATGGTGAGCCGGATGCATATGATTCACTGTATGAGTAGGATGACCCCGAATGTCTGTGCCCCGAGCCTGGCGTCAACGGCGGCTGCGCCAAAGGATGAGTTGGTCGCACGTATCCGGGGCTGGCACCACCCGGTGTGGTCGGTCGAAGGGGCGGTCGTCCTTCTTCGACGCGTGACATAGAGTCTGTTGTTGTCACCGATTGATTGCCTCCGAGAGGCGGTCGGTATGGGCCAATATCTGAATCATCGTTCTGATCATGCCGGCCGCCGAAAAGCTTTTTGACAGCCGCAACTGCACCACCGATGGCTGCGATCTGCAGAAGTCGATGTGCAATGCCCTTATGAGGAGCATCAGAGAGCTTTTCCTCCGTCATGTATGATGCGCTGCTTCCATCGGTCCCAAATCCGTCTCCCCCATGTGCCCGCCTCGTCGAGGGTCGTCTCCTCCACAATGCCGTAAGCGCTGCACCTGCTGCTCCAGCGGCGGCCAATTTCCCAACTCCGGAGGTCTTGTGTCTATCAGGCGTTGCAACGACTTCGTCACTATAATAGCCCCCTCCGCCAGCCCCATATTGCGCCCTTCGCCGTTCAGCCAGCCACTGTAAAATAAAATATAAAACAAGTAACGCGAAGACGAACAGTGCATAAAGAACAAAGAGATATAGCGGGGAACCGTATAGTGTCAGGCCGAGCGCTATTTGCGCAATAGCCAGTAAAGCGATCGCCCGCCCGAGCCAATGGTGCAACATGGCTCTGACTGGAATGTGCATCCGCTTCTTTCTCTTTTCCTTTCTGTGGAGAAGATATCCTCCGATAACTTGGACCCATATCAAAACGTAAATGGCGACACCTATGCCATGATGTGGGTTTGTCAAGCTTCTGTTTGGACCAACAGCCATAAACCCCAAGATAAACACCACCGTGCTCAGGAGAAGGGTGAGGATTTGGAGCCATATGTGCAATCGTAGCGCTAGACGTGGTTGTCGACCGTAAAATCGCATGAGGAATATCGCAAGGGGCACCGCTCCGAGGAATGTGACTGCGGCTATGATCCCGTGCGCTTTGACCAGAGAGTGGTACCCGGTCATCGTGAAAAAGCGGTTCCCCATGCCTGTGATTGTCAGTGGAGAACCTCAATGGGTATTTGTGCCCCTACCATTATATCTTGTCGTCGCAAAGTTCAATCCGACAAGATTCGGTAACAGGAAGGTGTCTCGGCCTGCATCCCACGTCCCGTCGCCCACATGCATAGTGCTCGAGTCATAGGAGCTGCTGCCAGGTGGTGCGAGCTGTGGTGAGGGCGACATGGCTGAGTGCGCCGTTGACGGCAACGGTTTACGATGGATCTTGCTGGAGGCCAACCTCCTATCCTCGGAGAGTAGGGACCATGCAGCGATAGAGCCTTCGTATCTTGACAGCTCGAGGTGAGGAAGTTTGGCGTTATGCTCTTTCGTGGAGGATGGTGTCTGGTCGCAATCGGGTCTGAGCGGGTGCTTGTTTACTCGGTCCGAAGCGGGGATACAGGCTTGTTTGGGAAGACGTCTGTATGGAGTTGCGTGAGCGATATCGCAAGTCTTGTTGTCTTCTATGATGACACAGAGCAACAGTTTGATATATTATGGAGCCACTTCGCATGTCCATGAGGCAGACTTGATGCTCGATCAATGTCCGTGAAGTGTCAATGCTTTCGTTGCACGCAGTGAGTTCGATGTCACGATCCCGGCCAACTTGTTTGCAAGTCCCGGTGGATAGCCGCCAAGGTCTCGTTGTGAAGGGCGACAGGATACGGCGGATCACGGTAGCACTACGCACGACTAGTTGTGCTCCACAGTATCCAATGGGTATTCCTGCTGCCGACATCGCAGTGCGTGTGACGAAGTACATTTGTCTTCTCGGATCAAGTTACATACCGGGTTGCTGGCCCTGTTGAAAGATACCAGGTATATATTCTCTTGAAACAGATGCTACCGCCGTCCATCCTCGAACGTCATCGTTTCAAATGATGATTGACAACGAACAAACGGCGCGCCATCTCGAAACCCTTTCAAGGTACGACGCCATGCTTTCGCGAAGAGCAGCGTAAGCGCATCCATCACGATGAACTCACTAACGCTTCACGTGCTTTGTTAGGCTCCTGGGATGGATCTAGTACGTCTACGAGTGATGCCAGTTTGTGTTTGACCTTGTCGAAGGCTGATGGTTGTGCACAGCACGATATCCTGGAGTGCTTCGTTCTACCCACAACCCTGGATGAACTGGCGGCGTCGCTCGACTCTAGGCCTGGCCATCGATTTTCCCACACTGAATGTGCTAGGATTCGTCTGCTACACGATATCGACCTGCTGTTTCCTATGTTCACCGACCGTCCGGGCGCAATATGCCGCGAGGCATCCGGCCTCCCCAAAGCCCACTGTACAACTCAACGATTTGGCCTTCGGAGTGCATGCAGTCATCATGGTAATCTTGATCTATTCACAATTCTACCGGTGGCCTTGGTATTTTAAAGTGTCTTCCCATCAGCGCGCCAGCAGACCCGTGTTAGGAATTGTCTGGGGAAGCATTGTCGCCATTGCCGTTGTCGTTATGGTGGTGTTCTGTCGCTCAGGTTGGCAACAGCAAGACCCATTAGATTGGGCCTGGATTGATGTGGTAAGGGAAACGGAAATATACAGCATATACAGCCATAACTTGTCTCCGGCATTGCTAACAGAGTACCAGGTGTATACATTGGGCTATGTCAAGCTCATTTGCACCTTCGTCAAGTACATTCCACAGGCCTGGGTCAACTACAAGCGCAAATCGACTCAGGGATGGAGTATCATGCAGATCCTTTTCGATTTCACCGGTGGCGTTCTGTCACTATTGCAGCTGGTCATTGATGCCAGTCTGCAAGCTGACTGGAGTGGTATCACCGGAAACCCCCTTAAGCTGGGGCTGTCCAATATCAGCATCGCCTTTGACGTTATCTTTATCGTGCAGCATTACCTGCTTTATCGTGGCCAGAACGATGTTTCTATAGAGGTGGATGAAGACTCCCAGCGGCCGCTGCTCGCCCAATGACCGAGCTGATTGCAATGAAGCTAACTAGAATCACCTTATCTGTTCGAGGCCTGGTCTTTGCAGCATTTCAGCCATCTTACCGAAAATCTTTGCCGCTAATGGTCGTGGAGAATGAAGTTGACGGACCATGTTCCAGCACCACATCAGTACCCAGAATCAAACCAAGAGATGAGAAGACGGTACCGGTGTAGCGTGGGGTTGATAGAGGAAATGGTCCTTCTGGCAACGATGCTGGCTTAACCCGACCGATTTTCGCAAGTTTCAGGAGCCTATTCCACAAGCATACGTGTTTCAATCATGACTAGAATGGCTGCCTTATTGATAGAACCAGTCGTGTAGACCCGGGGATGCCATGATACAGGTTCTATTAGTTGTTGTTGCGACAGAGAATCCATTGCACCATAACGTCTGATTCGTCGACCCAAGAATGGTTGACGGGATTCGTCTTAATGCTCTTGCCCGTGGAGGCTCTTGTTAGCGGAGACTATGTCTATCAGACATTCTGCAGGGTTCAACGGGCGGTAGAAGCCCCGGTCGAGAGGATTGTTCCCCATCAAGAGAAGGAGGCAGGCTACAGATGCGAAGGTCTGCAGCTGGCCAACTTGCACGCGGGCAGGCAGGAATGCAGGAGGATGATTCGTAGCAGATGGCAGGTCATCAGGCAACATGCATCCGGTGGGATGCGGATTTGGTTCTCATTGCTCGTCATTAGGGAATTGAAGCCCAAAATTTGAAGCGCCGTTCGCAAAAGAGGGAATGAGGTTGGCACTGACATGAGGCCGTAGGCGGCTTTGAGGTTTGGGTAGGAATGATGGACGGGCGACTCGAGTCAGAAGCAGACTAGACACACTGGCGGTCGAGAACGGATATGCAGTGCTATTGTTGTCGTCGTTGTGGAAGCGACGATGGCAGGCAGCCGCTTGCCCCTCACCTCAGGCTTGGAGTGTCCTTCCTTCCACAGCACAGGTACGGATACTACTCCCTCCACCGCTCGCTCAGGACTACGAGACTTTCTCATCCATCCATGCCTCCCTGCTAAACAGTATTGGAACCTTGCTCCTTGTCACCGCACACCCCCTTCGACGGATCACGAATCATCTCTGATCTTATCGACACCTCAAGACCGCACCACAAGCAAAGTCTCGTCAGTCCATAAGCCGGTCTAAGAACACCAAGACCTCGACTCTCCCAGCCCCTCCCTAACATGCAGTGGTTCGCTGAACCTCGCTCCTGTTCTGATGGGACTTCGAGTTCCCCTCCGCCGTTTCCGCGCCCGGCAGCTTTTAGTTTCAAGTGGTCGGTGTCAGCCTCTTAGGAGTCCAAGTAGCCGCGCTAGTCAGCCTACCATCACCAGGGCCCGGGGAACCGCAGGGAGCCAAAACATATATTTGGATGCTTAGGCTCGTTTCTGGAAAGCATCAGTCTAGACCTAGACTTGTCACGATGAAAATAAATAGATTCCAGCCACTCGAATTGTTCGGATCCCGACCCAAATGCAAGGTGGATGGGCATATGATATCGGAGACGAGCAGTCCGAGTCCTCCGTCAAACGACCATCCTCTCAAAGATCCCTGCTCGTTGTCTTTCACACCAAGCAGGTACAAGTGCTGTATTCAACCGTCAACCTCTGACACCGCGCCCTGTGTGGCAGTGCTCAGCTCAGCCCCGGAACTTTTGTCTCATGCGCTCACCGCAACGCCCAGCACGCCGTCGGTAATGTGGCCTGGAGGGTCGTCCAGCACTCTGCAAATCCTCCGTTTTCATTTCAGCCTTGCAAGCTAACTATCAATCTTTATTACTGAGCACTACGAGCTTGAATCAACAGGCAAAACGATTTGATTTCGACGTGCGCTCTGCTGTGTGTTCTTTCCCCGGCCTCCGCTGCTGCCTGGCCTACTAGAGTTTAGGGTTCGGAGCCTCATCGCCAGTTCCAACCCCTCACCCTCCAGACACAACCTATAAGACACCCGGTATGCCCCAGCATTTCTTTGAATGTCCATCCAAGATCTCTCACCCCTGGCCGAGACTGGTGGCTTGATGCTGGCCGACTCGGTCTCGATCAGACTTTCGGGTCTCTGCACGTATCACGCGATACACGGCACGACGACCGTGGCTCACGAGGTCTGGACCAACACGGCCAGCCACTAGCACTGTCATCCCCGTTATGCTTCATTTCCAAAGTTCAGCCTCCATCCCTCGCATTGCATTGCATGTCTCGATGATGGTCTGTGCTCGTGTGACAATAGTTATGTCATGTGTGTTCCCACGGGCAAGGCCTAGGAGGACTCTCCTCCCCCGTTGCTTGTCGGAGGCTCTGCTACTTAGGCCAGGACACTGACATGGCCTTTCGACCAGATACACGATTGAACATACCATTCCCAAGCAGTCGAACTGGTTGCGGCTTCCCGATCAGCGGCTTCAAACAGGGTCGACGGCGTTGCCTGGCTGGAATCCCACTGCTCTGTCTATAATCCTATCATGTGAATTTTCAGGTCACTCATGTCCAACGATCAGTATTCGGACGAGTACTATAACCTAGAAAGGGATTTTCTCTTGCCTTCGAGGACACCCCCACTGGAAGAGAAACGTCCGAATCTGAGACCGGAGGAAAGTCCTCGACCGCTTGTCGCTTACTACCCATCGTCCGACACGTCTGAAGAGGAGTCTTCGAACTCGCAAAACGCTCAGTCTTCGAGGAGCAGGACACGTCGAAAGGGTCGAACTACCCCAATCCTGGGCGATGGTGTATTGATACGTTCTTTAGACCCTAACCAGGTCGACGTCGCGAACAATGCAGAGAGATATGCCTTGGCTTCCGCAAGCCAGTCAGAGACAGACGAGGAGGAGGCCAGGACTGTGGCGAGACAAGAAACCATAAGATCGGACAACACTATACGCCCGGCCTTACAAGATACAACCAACTCCGTTGTATCGAACAACATCCTTGTTACGGCGAAGGACGTCAGGCTTGATGATTATGACGACTTTCCTATGATCGATGGGTCGCCTGCGAGCTTGACGGACGAAAGACCAGTCTACTCGCCATGTGTTATACCTCAGCATCTGGCCGATGGCATCTCCTCTTCTTCGGGTCGCTACGTCGATCTCCCTCCACAACAAGAGATGTTGAAACAAGCATGGGATGTCCGGCCTCCTCCCAAGATTAGCCCGCGTCTGCAGCTGGTTCCCGAGGCTGCACGAGGAGACAGGGACTCGATCGTTACGTCGCCAACGTTGGGAAGATACACCATCTCACCTCAGGATGTCAATCCAGATGTGATACTCCCTGCGATGCAAAAGTCTCCATTGTTGTCGTCTCCTTCAGGGTCACCTCAACCGAAAATGACGCTACCGTCGATACGGACAACAATAGGTAATATCTCTGTATCCAGTCCCGTCGGGTTTGCGGGGCTGTCTCCCACCGGGCTCCAACCATCGCCTGGTCATCTACAGCAATATCGACCGTCATCATCGTTCCCGTCCCCCCAGTCTATTATGTCTCCACCTGGCCCTCCTACCCATTTCAGCTTTAGAACGGCAACTCGGGATAGCTCCAGCTCCGTAAACTCCGAAATGACATCGGCAACGACCATAACTGTTTCGACACCAGTCACAATAGATTCCAGGGAGTCCGCAGCTATCTCAAGCTTTCATACTGCAGGGAAAGTCCAAGAGCAAGGACAAGCAAAAGGAAGCTCAAGTGGAGATACAATTTTGGAGGCTGCACCTGGGACGAAAGAGGCAGAGCATTCAGGTCATGGACCCAAGACCCCTGACGCTGAGTATCGCCTCGATCTTGAGCCAACTTTGAACGACAACGCAGCACAATCGAGCCGTGTTTCAGTTGGTACATACAAATGCACGTTTCAAGGCTGCGTTGCTGCTCCATTCCAAACACATTATCTGCTCAACAGTCACATGAACGTTCATTCTGACACCAGGGCTCACTTCTGCCCAGTGAAGGGCTGTCGTCGTGGTCTTGGTGGACAAGGCTTTAAGAGAAAGAACGAAATGATCAGGTAAGCCTTACCACCATAATGTTCACAGGTTATGACTGAAGCTGACTATCTGTTACTTTACCAGGCACGGTTTGGTCCATACGTCGCCGGGTTACGGCTGCCCGTTCTGTCCTGACCAGCAGCACCGATACCCCCGGCCGGACAACCTGCAGCGGCATGTTCGAGTCCATCATAAGGATCGAAGCCCTAATGATCCTGAACTACGTGAAGTCCTCAACCAACGCCCTGAATCCAGGAACCAAGGCGGGAAGCGCCGAATGCGCTCTTGATGCTGAAAATATCAACGTTAGCTTAGCCATTGGAGCTAGAAAAAGCGGTGGATGACAGCGCTGTCTCCTGATCCAAAATCCTAGCGAAACTCCAGCAATTCGACAGCGATGCCTGCGCGTCAGAACATTCTAGGATTTCAGCTGTTTCAAAGGCACAGTCATCATAGCCAGACAACCACACGCCTTATCTTCTCCCATGCGTCAGCATGCGAAAATGTGAAAGGACATAACGACTATAATTTGGACGAGACCCTGGGTTTCGTGTAATCACACAAGCTGAACGAGGGATGGTGGAAGCAACATTTTTCGTCAGGACGTCACGGCCGAGGAGATCTGTTCTGAACTGACTTATTTCAAGGCCTTTATGATTTTACGAGTCACGAACCCAATATATGAACTGTAACGAGTTGAAGTTTGACGACTGTCTCCCGCCTTGCATTGCATGCAACATGGCAGCACATGGGAAGGGAGGATAAGGGGGTTTGTGGTCCGTTGGCGAATCTCATATGGACAGTGACGAAGAAACACGAAGGGGAATTAGCACAAGTTGGATGAGGGAACGAGGGTCAGATGTTGAGGGCAGCTGGCATGTTGTTTCGTTATCAGCGACCGAGAGCGATTGCCACATTCGCCGACAGAGCGAGATGGTAGACAATGCAGACACGGTAGAACTGCAGTGGTGCAACCGCCCCATTCACGGTTAAACAAGCATTGCTTTTACTTTGCCCTCCCACGAGAATATCTCACAGGCGGTGTGAAGTGATATACTCAGCGTTCGTTAGGAGCTTCTCTTCTTCGGCCATGCTACCTAGTACGTCGCGGTATGATATACAATGCTACAATGGGTTACAGGCTCTACTTCTCCACAACCCTGGCCCAAGACCCAAAGGTGATTAGAATATATAAGGTCGCAAGGACTGCTTGGAGGCGCCGTCGGTCATGGCGCTTGAACCCCTCTTCCTCCCGAACTGGCAAGGAGGCAGACGCAGACGCAGACGCTCACACGTGCTGCGATCATGTTCATCTCCAACAGCACCATGTCTCCAAGCCAGCTTGAACATCCGGCTGTGGGTCAGCTACACCGCGCTTGCACGTCTTAGAAGAAACGTCAGCATGAGCGAATATGGCCTCGTAGCCGCATCCAATGCTGGAACAGGATGATGTTGTCCTCGGCATGGGCATATGTTTCCGCTCGTCACGAGCTTTCCACGAAAGACCACCGCATGCATAGCGACAGGAGGCTTCATCGGAAGATTCGGTCCGTCTCCTCATATGCGTTGGCTGGATCGCAGAGGATATGGGCGACAAGGATAGTATTGGTTGTATGACCTCCATGCAAAATCCCGGGCTCAGTAGCGTCTGAGCCGTTGTTGACAATGGGGCGAGCCTCTCATGGAGCGACTGAGGCAGATTAGGTGGAAAAGGAGACCAGCAAGAGGCTTGGCTTTCGAGGAGCAGCACTGCAGGTAAACAGTGTCCAAAGAGCAGTTGGATTCGCTCTTATTGGCAGGAAAGAGCTGTTATGAAGCAGATAGGAGCGACATACACCTCTGGTACATACTTCCGACAAACCGGTCCATAAGTTTTAGGAGGCTTCCAAGCCAGAGCTGATTCTATGCGAACGGAGGTTCGCTTAGACATTCCCAGGAAGATTGCCTGACATTGCACTGGACAACCTCTCGGAAAAGCTGGATTGCATTTCCTGCCCGTCCAGCATGCCATTGATTTCTTCGATTGTGGAGGGTTCAACGGTGCCCCAAATGCGCCACGGTCCGTCTTCACCCTTGAAGGTGAGTTTCTGGATGACAACGTACTCGGTATGCTTGGCAAGCTTGAAGTCCTCGTTGGCGAGTTGGTAACTTTGGACGGAATTGATGCGCACAATGCATTGTCGGATGTACGAGTCCGGGAGAGGCAACGGAGCCAGCTTGTCTGAGACCACTCTGGTGCTCGCCCTAGGCAAGAAGACCGAGATGGGCCATTTCTCCAGCCATTTCGGGTAAGTAATGCCCGTATATTTCCTGATCTGCCAGGTCTCGCTCGGATAACCTCTCTTCTTTCGAAGTTCGATCCGCGTCTTCGCCTTGGATAATAATCCATCGCTGGTGATCTTCTCGAGTTCGTTGACATCTCCTCTGGCAAGGGCGCTGTTGAAGGCTTGGTGCAGTTGGCGAGCAATCTCGTGTCTCTCCGCCAGTTCCATAGGTTTTTTCATTTTCTTCCCGGTCGTTGGATCTCGCTTCGCGTCCCACCTTCGGAAGTAGAATATTCTGCACAGGACTCAGTCAGCGGACAATCCTTCACGTACTCTAGAAAGTTTGTCTCGCATACCCATACCAATCCGTCACTGACGTCTTCAGGCTGAACCAGTATAGCTTCGCCCATTTGCCGACCCGGCCACCAAACTCTTTCCTTAAGGTCTTCCTTGAGGGCATTACCAGCGAGTTCGGTAACCGGCCTAGGTCGTTCCCCATTTCCTGCTTGCCTGCATCTTTCATTCGGGTTCTCATTGAATGGGTCTTTGGTAATTGCGAGTCAAGGTTCCTGAGCTCCCCAAGGCCTCCGAGCCTAGCATTGTTGCGTCGAGACGTCGTGAATGAGCGAGTGGAAATGGAGGATAGCGGGAATGCGCATCGAGAACATATCCGAGTGTTCTGTCGGCCAGAAGCCAGGGAGATAGAGACCTCGACGGCCTTTTTTGAAAGTGTGAAGACTGGCCGCGACATATCGGTGTAGCCGTGGAGGCGTAGGGACTTTGAATAAGGCACAGGTCGGGGTACTGCTCTGCAAGCCAGAGAAGAGGTTTCGGTCTCAACCCGAGCTCCATCAGAAGAGCGAGGATTCCTGCCAAGGCGGTGTTGGTATCGAAGTCATTTTTGGTATAGAGGTCATGCTGCCCTACGCGCTCACCTCAGGCAGCGCCAAGCCCGGGGCGCTACCGCCGCCGGATCGTACTATGAACATCCACCCCAGATTCAGCTGAGGATGTGTCCGGTGTCTTCTATCAAACCAGTCTTTACTGACGTGCTGCGCATCACTCCTCGCAAGCAGACGACCCTGTAACTTGTGCATCATTCCTTTTCTAAAATATGTCCTCTAAGAAGGATATGCGGAGGCCTGATCTCGGTTTGTTCAAGAACACAATTTCCATGGGACACAAGCTCACAACGGTCTACCAGTCATACCTTATGTCGAGCCCAAGGAAGAGAAGCCTGCCGACTTCGGGTCGACACTGACTAGCACCATGCCCATGGCAGCTGTGAGTACAAAGTTCTTTCTTGGAATTGGCCGGGACTAACAACGATGACAGATGTTTACTCGAAACAGGTAAGAAGGCGTAAGGCTTTGTTGCGGAATGCAATGCTGACGAAAGCCATCAGAATGCTGGGCTGGTAAGGGATACGCCTCTTGATACCACTGTCAGTGATTGACAAATCCAGGTTGTCACTTTTGACCGCTCTCCTCAACTGGCTGGGTGAAAGTCCTTCACAACAACAGAGCAGCGGTACGCCAGGGTATTTGTCCTTTGGAATGGCACGTGAGTAGAGGATCTGCTCAGTATGTTTGTGGGACGAAGCTAATATTTACAACAGTTCTTGCCGTGGGTGTGGTATGTTAATGAGCAGCTGCTTGTTTTGAGGGCGAAACTGATGAGAGCATCCAGACATATATGCCACTGTTTCTACCACCACCACCGAATGCAGGCGGCGCCGCACCTGCAGTGCCACCTACTGGTTCGACTTAGATGTTACCCTGAAAAGTGTTGGTCATGTATGGTTTGGGGAGAAGCGCATGCGTTGTATGTCCGACTACCTAGGGTGCTGTTCGGGTGAGATGCGTCAAGCGAGAAACGTATTGTTTAGCGACCGCGGAGAGTTTCACAAAGGCCCAATATAATGTAGGCCTACCTGCCCCTTTAGCAGGGCAGAGAGATGAAGCCGGACGATAATATATACCTGGCCCTCACCGGTAGTATCATCGTTCACAAGGGATGCGTGCCTGACTTGCGGGTCAAGCTGCCCTCGGGGCTGGACCTGCCAGGTGACCAATGAATACGTGTCAACAGCAAGAGATGCTGCAACTGGCACTGCAGGGTTAATGGTGGCGGGGCTTGGCGCCTGCACCTGCCTGCGCCTGCGGACGCTGCAGAAACGAAGAGTTCTGTCGAGTTCTTCGTCACCTCTTCCCCCACCCACTTATCATCAGTCACTACTGCAGTCTCCTTACCCAAGATTCTTTCTTCCCTCCTTTCAAACAATCACCAACAACCGCTTTCACTCTCCACTCCACAACTCCGTGTTTTTCAAGTTCCACCGTCGCAGCTCATCCATCGACTTTCATACCTACTTCAATCAACCAGGTTCCCTGAACAGACGAGTTTATGTCAACTATCCAAAACCTCAAAACCTTTGGTAAGCCACCCCTCTTTCAGCCCGCGCTTTGCCACCTTGGCCTCAACAACAACAATGGCCCACCCGTTGTTCTCGCAATGGATACTCCCGGCAGTATCATCGAGAGCATTCGTGGACATGGTCAGAGAGAGCGATATTACTTAGAGCCTTCGATTCTAGGGTACTGCTTGGATGCGGCTGCGACACTTTGCTAATTTGGCGGATGAATAGACCCCTTCGCGGAGGCCGACGACGACACTGGGGAAGCGAAGCAATCCCAGAACTACATCCACATACGCATCCAACGTGAGTTACAGCACTTATCGACCCGGCGATTCTGGCTAACGCATTGACGCAGAGCGCAATGGTCGTAAGACTTTGACAACCGTCCAAGGCCTGCCCAAGAAGTTCGACCAAAAGAAGATCCTCAAGGTGATCAAGAAAAAATTCGGTACGTGTCAAAACATATCGGCGGATTGAAGGACACCTACTAAGACATGGTAGCTTGCAATGGCACAATCGTCACAGATAGCGAGATGGGGGAGGTGATTCAGCTTCAGGGTGATCAACGCAAAGATGTTCAGGAGTTCTTGACTGCAAAGGATGGCCTCGAGCTTGATGCAAAAACCATCAAGGTGAGTTATGTGCACAATTGCAATTCAAGGCCTGCGCTGACCCGATACCAGGTCCATGGCTTCTAAACGCCTACGCCGACGTCCTATGTTATCCTGCCTGGTCATCGAGGACAGTTAGGAAGCTGTCACTCGGCGACAACCTTTCTCCTTGATTGCTTTCATGGCCTTCAACTTCGGTGGCCGTTGCAGCGGCCAATCTACGATAGCATTGTTAGGATGGGACAAGGGGTGGTGTGTTTATGATACCCACGATAGAGATCTGCTTTGGGACCAAGGGACGGTCAGGGTATCGAAACAGCAACGAGGATTGCACGGATTCGACTTGACGGCTGGTATTCTTCGCCGCCGGTGGATAGCAGACGGGGCTGTTGTTGATTGTTCATGCCACCAGCTCAGCTTGATAGCTCCGTAACGAATACGTGGTTGGCGAAAGTGTCGAGATTCCAGAAGACCTCTAGCTTGCGTGTACCCGTAAGAAGTGATCTACTTCCTTTATTGTTCGCAGCTGCCTCCAGACCTTGTCCCACAGCATCGCAAACTTGAAGGGCCATTGTTCAATGCTTCGGCACTGTCAGACGCGCGCCTGCAGGGTGCCCGGGAGGTCCTGCCAAGATCCGGGGTAAAGCCTGTTTCAACTTCCCATAACACGCGTACAAAGTGGCAAGTCGTCTGAACTACATCCTACTGATGCTGGCCGAGTTACATTCCCGCTGGAAAGAATATCTCATGCTTGCAGTGATCTGACCTACAGGCCTAGAGTCGATCATATCAGTGCCTACAAAGAAGGCGGTGCAGCCGCTTCAGCTGCAGCCAACTTCCCACTGGCGGCCAACGGCGACCCAGCTCCATCTTATAGCTCCGTGCCGAACAGTCCAGCCCCATTGCCTGCGACACAAGCGCAACAAGTCTTCGAGAATGCTGCGAAGGGAGGTGTCGCACGCAGTGCGCGATATCCCCGAGTAGCTGTTGTGCTTGGAGTGGGGCCTCGGTGGCATTTGCCCTTACTTCTTTGTCGTGCACTATCTCTGGTGTCGGCGATATGGTGGGCTTGCCGGGCTTGTTTCAGCATCTATCAGCTTGTATACAGCAATGGGAATGCTTCCGGCCAGCGAAATGCACCCCTTGTCAACCATGAGCTGGTTGACAATCAGACGTTCAAACGCCTAGCCATCGCGCAGGTCGGCTTGAGCTTCTTGTGGGTATGGCCTCCCTCCTGCTCGTCTTTTCTAGATTCGCCCTCCCCATACCACATATGTACCAACACGGAGCTGATCAACTCTTAAGGCCGGTGCCGCTGCATACCTTGCACACATGTTCGCGTCTTCCTTGATGTCCCGTTGGCTTCTACATTATTCACCGTTCGCGGTCTTGGTCCGTCTCTGCAGTCTCTCAATCCTGCTGTCGTTCGGCTGCACGCAAGTGTTTCGCCTCTTGGCTGCCACTGAGCCAGACCTCTTCAAACTCAGCCGAAGTCTATTGGCCTGGATCACTATCTCGATTGCTCTGATGCTTGCCTACTTTTGCAGTCAGCAGGACATCTCTTTGGGAACGGACCGGGATGACCGTCGGCGGAGGCAGATATTGCGGCTTAAGTGCCTGTATGTCATCTCGGCCTGCAGTCTCTTCAGCTTGACGGTCGTTGTTTGTCTATTACATGTCGACACAGTGGTCTGGGACCGGGCCGACATGGAGATACTCATCTACCCCATCGTCGCCCGCTGGCGGCAAATGTCTGGGACTATGAAGTCTGAATTATAATGCAATGCCGTTCCAGCCCATGTCGATGGTTTTATAGCAATCAGAAGCATGAACAGCCAACCGAGGTGTCCAAGCCCTGCACCAATCTGCGGTTGGAGAAAGGTTCAAGTCGAAATGCAGATATCATTGCCCCGTGTCTGATTTGCTTCCTTTCCACTCGAACAGTTGAAGAAGACTCCAGTTTCAGTGCAGCCTTCCCTAGTCACATAATACTGATCAACGCTGCAGACCATCGAAACCGCAGATGGCCGCTGGAGCCGCTGGGTGAAGTTCGACTATTGAAACAAACCGATCTCGATTCCACCGCTCGCCTTCATAGTACGATGCCACCAACCTGGTCGCAACATGAGGAGCACTGGCTCCACCGGCAGTGTACAAAGAAGGGATTGGTGCGCTGGCAGCGCGCTGAAACCCCAAAAAACATACCGCATACAAATTGTTCGGCAGGAAGGCAAAGACCTCAAAAGTCTTTCGATCTATCTATCTTGTCCAACACTTTCGCACCCGGGCAAGGAACGTGGGATACAGCTGCCCGACGATTTTGAACCCATTGGTCCCAATGGTACACTTCTCTGCCTCGTGCTGCCGGTCATGCACCCTGATAGCTTCGGGATGACTTTCGAGGACAAACCGTGCCACGCTGGCTGCATAAAGAGTCTGTCTATCCATAGATTTAAGCCTTGATTTGGATTTTCTCCACGATCGCGGTTTGATCCATGGTGGTGAGGCCAGATCTCCCCTGCGGAAATCCCACCTCTACACAAGTACTGCTCGGATCAAATGCCGAGTTTGAGTGCCTCCGAGGTATTAGTCTGATCCGCCTGACGACTTACACGATATATGTTGATTTACAACGGTTGACCCTTTTAAACAAAGGTTCAGGAGTGCCTGCCACCTCTGCTCCGGGATGGTCTACAATCTAGCGCCTGTCCAGATGATGAGGATGCCCAGCTCTGGTAGAACAGCAATGATATGGCAGTCAAACATGTTGGGACCCGGCCGTCTCCAGTCTTGACTCGTGAAGATCTCAGCCATGTAACATCCTCTGGGGGAAATCTGGTACTGTGGACATGATCGGTCTCTTTCTCTGTGCATGTAAGTTGGCCGGGAATCGTGCAAAGTGATAATATACTTGACAAGGAGAAAGGGCCTACTCAAACGAACTCCCATACGCCACGCAACTCTAGCTAGCAGACAGCAATTCTGAAGTATAGGAAGGAGGCCGGCTCACGATCTTTGAGACAACCCACCTCTATAGACCCGAAACCAAAGATCAGCCACTCAATAAAGCAGACAAACAGTCAAATCAAAGGCCAATCTCCTTGGCCAGTCCAGGCTTTCTCGCCTCCAACACCTTCAGAGTCTGCTCAAATACCTTCTTCTGTACTTCCCGGCCCAAATCCGAGTAGATCCACTTCTCGACTTCCTGGTTCTGCCCGTCAGACATGAACTCGCCGTGGCTCTCGGGGCCGGCACACGCGCCGTAAACGAGTGTCCGGGCGCCGACTTCGGTGGACCGGCCGACGATATGGCGCATGACACCTGCGACGATTTGCATGACGTAACTCATGCCGCGGTCGAGCTGGGAGACGCAGAGGCCTGGATTGACCATGGTGATGATGACACCAGAATACGTCGAGCCTTGGGCTGGCTTTGAATCTGGACCTGATGCGGCGGCGCCGTTGAGGCGGGCAACGAGTTCGCGGACGAAGAGGACTTCGAGGAGTTTGCTGATGTTATATCTATAATCAAGGATAAGAAGAGATGAAAGGTCAGTCTCGTGGCCTGTCCGCATGGCATCAGGAACTTGGGTACAGGGGGACTGCGGATTCAAGATGGCATTCAGGCACGGTATTGATAGATTGACACTGCATCCGGAGCATTTATAGCGCAGACATCTTGCCGTAAGGTGACATCAGGAAGCAAACAGTGTCGAAACAGTGCACGACTCACCTATCACTTGAGACGAAAGCTTTCTCGTCGTTCAACCGGGCATAGATATCCGGGGCATTGACTTCCTTGAACTGGGTGAACCGATGGACTTCGGAAGACACAATTTCCAAATGGGGACTGGAGTCAGGATATCGGGCCTTGGACTGAGCCAGCTTCGGCAGGAGGGCCAGTCCCAGCAGAAGCGTGTTGATGACGTTGACCTGGATTGTTTGTTCCCAGCCGTCTTCGACGACAGACCACGAGAAGTTATTGATACCGGCGTTCTCAACCACGACGTCGAGACGGGGCAGGTCGGCTTTGACGCGCTCTGCAAAGTCCAAGGTCGACTGCGTGCTGGACAGATCCAATGGCCAGACTTCGATCGCGTCCGCCCCGTCGGTACGGTGCTTCACGCTACGGACGATATCCTCTTTCGCGGCCTCGCCTTTGGACACGGAGCGCACAGCCAGGATCAGTTTGGCGCAGTCGAGCCGGTAGAAATGCCGGGCGGCTTCAAAGCCCAGGCCGACGTTCGACCCGGTCACGATGATGGTCTGGTTGGCGAACGAGTGGGTGGGATGCGCCGGAGTGCCGAAGAATTGCGAATATAGGAACCTGCGTAGCGCGGCGCCGAACTCGGGTTGGATCTGATATTCTTGAGACATGGTTTCAACAATTCGGTTGGAGACGGGGCTGGTTGTGGTCACAAGCAAGCCTCGACAGTTGAGTTTGGATTGTAACTGGGCAAAGGAGTCCCCAATCCGTTGTAGTTCTCGTGAACTAGACACTCGGGTATCCCAATCCGAGTACTGTGGTCGTCCTTGACTTCGTTCTTCAGGAACAGGTGCGGACTTTTCAAAGGTGGGGGTTACTTTTATCAAGCCTGTCGAGAGGGGTAGAAGGAGAAGCAGATCACTTTATCGTCAAGAGCGGAAGCACTGCACGCGATGATCTCAAGACTGCCAATGCTGTTAGACTGGTTCGGCAACAAGAATCGTCCGAAAGAGTCCTTAAGTCCGAATTCATCGGCACACAATATACCTGTACCTATGTTTCTAATGTGGATTAAACGTGGTACGTACTTGTTGATTCGAGGTTGGCAACTGACTTGGCGACAGATCGAGCAATATGCTATCTCCGGTTTCTGCTGTTCAGGCCGCTTGTTTCCGTGAGCATGTCTTTGCATGTTCCCCTCGTCGGTGAGCATGATCGATTGACGTTCCCGGCTTGGTGATCACAGCCGATGAGGTGGATACTCCGCCTCCTTCCCTGGTCCACACTCACCGCATCTTGCATCTGGAGAATCGTTTGGGGAGGTTGAAGCCAATCATTGTTCTTTGTCTGTATTTACAGAATTCCAAGAAGAACATGTGCAGGAGATCAAGAGATCCCCATCTTGATATATATCGTATGCCTCCAGCCTTCGTGCGGTCTCAAGCGTTTCGGTGAATTGATCCGCGACTCCGTCTTCTCATTCCAACGTCTGGTCTCTGCACCTCACCGTGGCTCAGCCTTCTCGCATCCGGAGAATGGCTTGCGCCCTGATCATTGCCGCTAGCAGGCGCGGCGTGGCCATCGTTGTCGTACTTCCTTTTGCCCAACGTAGAGCTGCGCAATTCATAGCTCTCTCCTCTTTCAAGGGTATCATCCACGACAGCGGTCTCGTCATTCTCGTCTGGTGGACTAGAGTTGGGCGTTGAAGATTCACTGCTGCCGTAATAAGCACCGCCGACGCTTTCCATGACGAATGCGCCCGCAGTGGGAGCATCAAGGATCCTCAGCTCCTCGTCCCGAAACCATTTCGGCATCAGCCACGTCCGCAGTGGAATCAAAAGGAGAACGATGACCGGGAATCCAATGGCCGCAATTGTCTGGGAAATGGCAAAGGTGGCACCGAAGCCGACGAGCTCGAGTGAGACGAACACCCAAATGGCCAGCCGACGATCGATCCGGGCCAACGGATCACTGGCGTCCGTGAGCTCCTTATCACGCGCCAGAAAGAGCATTTTCTGTGTGATGCCATTGCCCATGAGCGCTTGAACGCCCATGACGAAGAAAAGTCCGGCCAGCACCCCTTGCGGGATCAGGTGCAAGACAATGAGAAGAGGGCCGGTCATGGTGACAACGAACAGTAAGCCCTGCGCGAGGTTGCTGACACGCTGCTCGACCACATGATCCGTCACTCGAACGATGTGTCCTCGCGCTTTCTCATCCACGACTTGCCTAGTCACGCAGAGAGAGTTTGTGTGGAATGGAGCTTGTGGAATCAGCCCATTGGGAAATGGAATGCCCAGCAGCCCCGCAACACCGGTGGTCAGTCCGAGTAAAAAGATATCCCAGTGGAAGCCCGGCGGTTTGCGAAGGGGAAACTCCGTTCCTTGAGCAATGAGGGAGGAAACTGTTTGGTCGCGGCAAGATGTTAGTAAGAAACATCCACACTGCACCTTTGCAGGCCGTGGGGGAGAGTAACTTGCCGTTATGATCGAACCAGAACAAAATGGTCAGGAGAACGGCAAATGGAATGGCGAGGAAGACATCGCCCACACTGATATGCCAGAAATGAACAAACCAGCCACGGTCGGCCGTGGGGAAGAAGGCCTTACTGGTAGGCAGTGTTTCCACGTGCACATCCTTCATGTGTCCGATATGGACGAAGCCGGTGAAAAAGACTATCGTCAATGGGGTGCCGTAGTCCTCAATGAACTTTCGCACGTGCCGCTGAAGCAGATTGCTATTCCCTAAGACGCCACAGCCGTAGGCGAATCCCAACACTAACAAACTGACCATGATAGAGAGGTAAGCACTCTCGGCACCGGCCATTCCCCATTGTCTCGTGAGGACCTGGATGCCCTTTTGTAGATAGATGAAGGCCACGTAGAAGCCGAACGTATCACAGCTGAATCGCGTGACATAGGTCAAGGCGTTGCAACTGTTAGTGATGGCTAGTATCCAATGCATGATGAGTGACCAGATGCCGATCCAGGCCATGAAAGAGAAAAAGTTGGTGCCCCGCGGAACCACAATGTCGTAGACAGTGTAGGAGAAGACGGTGATGGGACCAGTGACGCCCACGATGACTAAAGGTTGGGCGGCAAAGATCGAGAATACCACACATCCCAAGATCGAGGCTAGTAACACTTCATTGACGCCGTACGAGTTGTGTGTCTTCGTGAACATGTCGAGGGAAAAGGCGAGCGCTGGTAAGATGCTGGAGAGATGGTTAGTTGCAAGTCATATCTAGAACGATTGTCCTGTCGGGGCGGGATGTCGAAGGGGAGCATAACATGTAGGAAGGGTCTCAATGTGCGTGATGAATCGTATTGGCTGGGTATATCATACTTTGCGAAGTACATGTACACCGTGGCTGGGACCACTCTATAGTCCCATGCATCTGTCCAGTCACTCCAGTAGTACGGCGCCCGCCTTTTCACGTCGTCAATCATTCCTCTGAACCATCGAATCTTGTACCATCTCGGTTGCTGCCGATGTGAGGTCCGCGTTGCCTGACGTATGATATGTTGTGACAGACGCTGTCCCTCTTCAGAGTCGGGTCGGGAGTGACTCGAGTGGAGAGACGGTCGGCCTGGGTGTTGCCATGGTTTCCTTTGAGTGGAATGCGACGAAGAGAGGCGGCGTACGGCGGTAGGCGCGGACCGGGAAGAGGAAGGGGTCATGAGTTCGGTCTGGGTAGCCATAACGAAGTCGCTGCCCGTTATGGACAGCAAGCCTATTTCAGTCACAAGCTGGGTAGTAGACGAGGTCAGGAGTCAGTGCCCGAGAGGAGATGCGCAGGGCGGCTAAGAGCAAAGGCTGCGAGCCTGGCCATTCCGATCGCATGGGCCGAGAATGCCCTGCAGCGGGTTCAGTCCCAAGGTTCAAGTTTGGGAACTGCCACAGATGAAGTCGCACTGGCAATAGATTGCGATTTAGATGCGGCAACTGCGGCGGACACTTGAAGGCGCGGAGGAAGACGCCAGTCGAAATGACAGATGTATGACAGCAGAATAGGTCTCAAATAGCTGCTGATTTCAAGGAATAGCTTTTGTCAGACAGCATATTTTCTTATTCTGACTGCTGTTCCCTCCCCGCACCGCTGATTAAGCCTCGTGGTCACCTTCCTCCAATGGTATTGCATAACAACGATGTAGACTACCTACGACGGTGGGGTTCAATGCGTAATGAGTTGACAGTGTTGGGTGTTTGATTTGTGATCAAACCAAACAGCCTTCATCCTCGACGATTGTTCATGATATCACGCACAAAGTCAGGCTTGAAACAAGGAGAGTCTTACTGACATCATTCCTATTTCAGCCCTCTCGAATACCGACATATATCTTCTCTACGCCATCGCTTCGTCCAGTAAGGTGGCCACATACTCAACCTCTACTGTCAGACCGCCACCATGTCCAACGTTCAGCGACCTGATATCACGCTATACACCGACGCGACGCCCAATGGCATCAAAATCTCCATCGCGCTCGAGGAGCTTGGACTTCCTTATAAGGTCGAACACATTGACATCTCGACCAACCGGCAAAAAGAACCATGGTTTCTAGAAATCAACCCTAATGGGCGCATCCCCGCCATGACTGACACATTCACCGACGGCCAGAAGATCCGACTGTTCGAGTCCGGGAGTATGTTCCAATATTTGGTGGAGCAGTACGACTCGGAGCACAAGATCAGTTACCCGGCGGGATCCCGCGAGCACTACGAGACCAACAACTGGCTGTTCTTTCAGAACGCCGGGCTCGGCCCGATGCAGGGCCAGGCGAACCACTTTGTGCGCTATGCACCTGAAAAGATCGAGTACGGCATCAACCGATACGTCAACGAGACTAGGAGGCTGTACGGGGTGCTGGACAAGCATCTCCAAAGCTCAAAGTGGGGGTTCATCGTGGGAGACCACATCTCCATTGCCGACATTACCACGATCGGATGGGTTATTTGGGCCGGCTGGGCTGGCGTCGACATCGAGGAGTTCCCAACCCTGAAGAAGTGGCAGGAGATGATGTATGCTAGACCAGGCGTCAAGAAAGGCTGTGACGTGCCCAAGCCCCTCAAGGTCAAGGAGTTACTCGAGGACAAGGAGCGTTTGGAGGAGTATGCGAAAGAATCCAGCAAATGGATCATGCAGGGTATGAAAGACGACAAAAAGAGATAGGCTAGCAAGACCATTGCCGTCGCTACAAGGCGCCGTGGCAGATTCTCATGATCCTTGACTTTAAGAGATCGGAGACCTTTCCATTTCGGCCGCGGAGCACCGCGTGGTGAACCACCGGCATCTAACAAACACGTACTTGCTTTAATGCCTTGACAGGTACATTTGACCTCCTCACAGCCCCCTTGTCGGCCGGTCTGCACATGTTGGCCAGGTCGCCACCGGCTCACGTGTGCATGGGCGTTGTTGGATCGCTTGTTCGAGGAAAAAGAACTATGCTATAACGTCTACATGTTTTATCCGGGAAAGTAGGTCACGGCTTTCCCGCGCACTTGCTCCGCCCAGAGCTGGGCCCGACGCCTTGTAAGTGTAGATCAGCCTCTGCCCTCGTGGCACCCGTCCAGGGCACCATCTTCTGGTTATACCACGTTAGATGTTAGACGTTAGACGTTAGCCGCAAAGAAAGATAAGTTCAGCACCGCCCGTCAAAAGGCCACACAGTGGCACCCAATGTTTGATCAGCTAGTTCTTACCCCGTGGAGTGAGCTGGTACTAGTCATTGTAAGGTACCTGCGCAAGATGGCGGTGGATCATGCCGCTGGGATGATTAGGTTGGTGCTCTAGATGGCTCCTTACTCTAAGAGTATATTGTAGATTACCTTGCTTTAGTACTTGCTGTGCTTCCAGTGTGTCGGGTACAGAGGTCTGGCAGGCACCTGCAGGTTCCTCGTGTACTTGTGTCCCAAACGTCATCGCTTTTGTCGGCCAATCCGGGCTCGCAGGAACAGCAGTTCCGGAGTACGGCGCTGGCCTTTGACTGGCTGGAATGCTCGCAGGCTGGGGACCATCCCAACTGTGACGCAGCGTGGTCGCCGCCGGTGGGAGACGGAGAACATATCCGTGGTTGACCTTATAGTGATATATATCGTCAGGTCTGATCTGATCTAATCACTGCCACTACGTAGTTACCTAGTACTGGCTTCAAACCATCTGTATACTATTAGTGCTACCGCGGGCTTCCTCAGACGGCGCGCGCATACCGGCATCGTTCAAGCTGGCTTCTACCATTGCACCTTTTGATCTCTCTATGGGCGCATCAGGATGTTTTGACCGGCAGCCAAATATGTCCCGCACCTCGTTTCGGACTGTCGCCCCAGCCCTGTCCTCAGAACATGGGCAGAGTTTTCTATCGGCCTCCCCGTCCGACTCACGCGGGCGCAAGAAAGAAAGCGTGGCGTGTTTCGCTTGTAAAAGACGGCGCTCTAAGGTCTGTCACTGTCTGCGGCGCGGGTTTGGCCCAGTTGGCTAACTTTGCAGTGCGACGCCGGTGTACCCTGTATTTCCTGTATTTCCCACAACACCGAATGTACCAAGGACCAAAACGACGACGGTCGACGGAAGTTGGCTGTCAAACGCAAAATTGATGTTCTGGAGTGGGATCGCCATCTCCTGGATGAGTTGCTTGCCGCCATTCGCACTGCCAACCCCGGTCAGCTGGATTCGCTTATCAACCTCATCCGGAACAACGCCACCAGGCAAGATCTCCATTCCTTCCTGGATACCCAGCTCGACGGACTCAAGGAATCTTTACATCTCGAAGACGCTCATCGCTACCAAAGAGGAACCCGCCGTCGTATGCTCGGCCGCATCCAAGATGTTGTCAACCCTCCAATATCTGTGCCCGCCAAGCCGTGGACGACGGTGACTGATGATGACGACTTTGTCTCACACCTCATATCATTATGGTGTACCTGGGCGCATCCATGGTGGCATTGGGTTGATGAGGCTCTCTTTCTGGAAGCGATGCAAACTGGAGATACCACCAGTCTGATATGTACCCCATATCTGGTCAATATGATTTTGGCCGATGCATGTGTAAGTCTCATCGCAATGGTTCATGTCTAGCTACGTCTAACGAGAAGCGAACCTGTAGCTACTCGATACGCTGGCGGAAGATGGGTCCGAACCGAATGAGTGGATTCGAAACCAGTTCTACGCCGAAGCGAAAAGAGGGTTAGAGGCGGAGAATGGCCGCGTGTCGATGGCATATATAGCGGCTCTGGGGGTGCAGTGGACTTAGTAAGTCGTCCCCTTCGGCGCTTCTGCAAATGCACTGACAAATTCGCCCTTCAAAGCCTCAACACGAATGGGCAAGATCAGCTGGGCAATGCCGTCCTACATGAACAGATCTTTCGTGCAAAGGGGCTGGACAAATGGCGACAAAAGGTCGAACGGACGGGAAACTTGACGTCGCAGGCGCTCAGCAAGATCGACAGAGCTCTCGATCGGCTTACATGGAGTCTGTACACTCTCCATTCCTGCACCTTGATGAGCCTAGAAAGATCGGAGCTTGTGAAGCCCCCCACTCGACCTAAACCGCCTACCAACCACGACCAAAAGAATCACACGGAATGGACACCATATCCGCAGCCACATACCCCGGTGGGTTTTCACCAGGATTGTCATTACCGCAGTTTTGCCTCCCTCATTGAGGAAGCAGCCAGGGTCGAGACACTTTTCGTGAAAGAGGTCAGCGAGAATTCTAATCAAGTCCTGCACAAACTTGAAGATGTCTGTCACCAGTTGCGCGAGTGGCCAAAAACCCTGCCGGACTGCATGCAGATGAACGACAGTGCCATGCCACACGTGATTGCTTTGCAGTAAGTACCCCGTCACCCTTACATTCTACTCCGCCTCCATCGGCGCTGGTGTTAGAGCCGCAGGCTGACTTGACACCGTGTTCGCCGGAAACAGTGCGCTCCATCGCTGGGTAATAGTCATGATGGCCAAACAACTGGCGGCCCTCGAGGCCGGCGAGTTGAAAAAGCCTTCTTTGGTGCAAACGCCTCAGAAGGACGAGCCGAGTCCCTGGAAAGAGATCTCCATCTCTTCATGCATCGAGATCGGCGAAATGCTCGAACAGATCCGCCTCAATTGGGGTGCCGACCACTTCCCAGTCATCATCATGCAACCCATCGCCACTGCCGTGTTTCCGTTGCTCGAGGGTCTGAGCGACCGCCCAGACTCGCAAGACGCTCTCTTCAAGCTATGTATCACCGTCCGCGCAGCCAGCCGGAGGTTTCGCGTGGGTAAAGGCGTGTTGCTTCTTCTGCATCATACTGCAAAACAGAATAACGTCGTGTTGCCAGAGGACTGCCAGCAAGTATTGGCTGATTTTTCTGCGCGAATGGATTTCCAGCGAAGCAACTCTGGCTCCTCTGAGATTGGTATGGAGTATCTGCTGGAGAAATGGGAGGACCTCGAACTCCACGAGGTGTGATCGGGAAAGTCGCCGCTTTGACGGCAGATGCACGGAGAGCCACCGATCACCACCTTTGCCGGAAGGGAACGCACATGGAAAGCAGATCAGAGACGAATGAATATGGGAAGGCTGTCTCGTGTTTGATGATTTTTCTCGACCATTTTCAGCGTTGAGTAATGTTTGCCATGATGATCGGGACCAGGGTGCATATACAGAAGATTCAAGATCTTACGAATCAAGTCCTCGAAACTCCTGCCGATTGGCATTCACTTTTCCAGATTGCTTACTGCCCTGCTATCTCTCGCTCTTGTTCGTTTGTCCGTGTCCAGGATCGAAAGGCTGAGACATATATATCCACGTCATAGTACCTAACTTTGAGGCCACGCCGCAGAACATATTTTCATGTTTCCCTTCGGGTGCTCGCCCTAGAGATATGTCCGACGGCGATTAGGAAACTTGAAGTCAAATCGAGCTTCAACTGTCAGTGCCGGTGTAAAAGCGGCGTGGGAGTCAGGTTTTTCACGTGACAGGCTTGGCGGGTTTGAAACCTGAATTTGCCCCTGGGCCACTCGCAGTTGACTGCGCCTGACTCGACAACTTGAACTTCTGAACGGTGATCCGAGACTCGGTCATACAATTCCAGTTTTGTTGACCACCTTCTCATCATTCAGTTGATCTCAAGATGGCGTGGCGTAATCAAGGTATCACAGGCTCCAACAACATCCCTCTTGGAACGCGCCGTCGGTTAGGAGGCGACAGCAATGGAGATTCGCATGATGGAGGTGCCATGAATTCTCCTGCCTATGGAGATTCTGGCAAACGAGGGCGAAGTCCTGCCAGAGGTATGTTGCGTGCTTTCCCCTCTAATCTGGAGATGCTAACAGAGCTGCAGCTGAACCCGAGTCCGACGGCGCGAAGAGGCGTAGGAAGCGCAATCGCTGGGGCGAAGCCGGCGAGAACAAAGCAGCTGGCCTCATGGGCCTCCCTACCATGATCCAGGCCAATATGACCGCCGAACAGCTCGAAGCCTACACACTACATCTCCGTATTGAAGAGATTAGTCAGAAGCTGCGGATCAACGACGTCGTCCCTGCAGATGCAGACAGGTGCGCTTGTCGGCCCTCCAGCGCGTGGAAGAAGACTAAACGAACAAATAGATCGCCATCGCCTCCGCCTCAATATGATAACTTCGGTCGCCGTGTGAACACTCGAGAGTTTCGCTACCGCAAGCGCCTCGAAGATGAGCGGCACAAGCTGGTAGAAAAGGCCATGAAAACCATCCCCAACTATCATCCACCATCTGATTACAGACGGCCCACCAAGACCCAGGAAAAGGTTTACGTGCCTGTCAACGACTATCCCGAGATTAACTTTAGTATGCTAACTAACCCTCTAACACTGTTGCAAGCCCCCGTCTTTTATTTCTTCTCTCACGTACTATCGCCTCCGCTTGAAAGCTCTGACGGTAGACGTGGCATCCTTGCCTAACTCTAACCACATTTCCCATTCAAACATGCGCTTTTCAGAATCCGATACTAACACTTAGCTTCTTTTGCGAAAAGTTGGACTGCTTATTGGACCTCGTGGCAATACGCTGAAGAAGATGGAAACCGAGTCTGGAGCCAAAATTGCCATTCGAGGCAAAGGCTCCGTCAAAGAAGGAAAAGGACGGTCTGATGCTGCTCATACTAGCAACCAGGAAGAGGACCTACACTGCCTCATCATGGCCGATACCGAGGACAAGGTCAATAAAGCCAAAGCACTGATCCACAACGTCATCGAAACTGCGGCTTCCATTCCAGAGGGTCAAAACGAACTCAAGCGGAACCAGCTTCGTGAGCTCGCGGCGCTGAACGGAACACTCCGTGACGATGAGAACCAAGCCTGTCAGAATTGTGAGTTGCTCCGGGTTCCTGCCAAGGGTCTCTAGTTCTAACCTCTTTCTCTAGGTGGCCAGATCGGACATCGAAAGTACGACTGTCCAGAGCAGCGCAATTTCACTGCCAATATCATCTGCCGAGTTTGTGGCAATGCTGGCCACATGGCCAGAGATTGTCCAGACAGGCAACGTGGTACCGATGCACGCAACAACATTCCAGGAGGATATGGCGGACCTCAGCGACGGCTTGGTCCTGGCGATGCGGTGGATAGAGAAATGGAGGTTTGTGTCTCGCGCCCCCGCTATCACGAACAAAATGCTGACCAATTCAGAATCTCATGCAAGAACTTTCTGGTAATCCGTCTGGCAATGGTCCAGCAGGCCGCATCGAAGCCGGTCCCGGCAGCTACGACCAGGGAGATGCCTATGGCGGGCCTCCCTCTGGCGCCGATTCACGGCCGTGGGCACGACAGCCCACTGGTGCTGCTGCTCCGTGGCAGCGAGATCGCCAAGAGCGTGACTACGGTGCCCGAGACAGCGGAGCATCAGCCCCACCCTGGGCACAGGCTCATGGTGGCGACAATCGTACAGGTTATGGGGCTGCTCCCGGGCATGAAGCGGCAGCAGCGCCGTGGCAGCAGCAGGCTCCTGCGGTTGGACAGCCGTACGCATATGGGGGCTATCCTGGCTACGACGCCCAGGCAGGCTACGGTGTACCCCCGCCCCCAGCAGCTCCTCCTGGCCTAAGCACCTTCCTCCAGCAGTTCAGTAATGCTCCGCCTCCACCACCGGACACAAACGCACCCCCTCCGCCGCCTGATCTACAACCTCCACCACCACCTGGCATGGGTGATTACATCCCCCCGCCGCCACCGTCGGCATGAGGTGCTCACAACATCTTGAGTGTTCGACAAAGGGCCAAACAAGGTGCCAAATTTGGTTATGGGAACGGCACCGCTTATCGAGGACAGGGTGAATGCGGGACATATGTACGGATGGACGGTCTTGGAGGCTGCGCTGCCTAAGCGCTTCTACTGGTGTGGCGGATTTTTCGTAATTCACCGATAGTAAAAGTTGTACCTCATGCGTTTGTAAATGCAATCCGGGACATGATTGCTCGTACGAGCGATGAGCGCTGGCCCTTCTTACAGGACCACTCTGGCATCAAGTTCTCGTTCAATCTACCTACGCGCTAGTAGTATTTATAGCGTGCGGGGACTCCCATAAGGTTTGCGGGCCAGGCCGGGAAACTACCTCAGGCTGGGGTCGACCAACTCATTAAAGAGCGACTGCCACATCCCGCATGGTCACAACATCCTCCTCAGCCCAGCGACCGCGGGGCAGCGAACAGCAGCTAGACAGTTCTCTCGGGATTCTAGACGTACACAGCATAGGGAAAGAAGAGTCGCACCATTCGTTTAGCCAACGGCAGCAGTCCACGCCCGTCATCCCGTAGAAATGCCCGCTGCAGAAATCAAAAAGAAGGCCTAGACGAAGCCGAGGGCGCCGACAGCCGGATCATCCATACCTCTGTCCCGCGAGCGATGACAGAATGACCGAGTATGACACAATATCAGATCCAGCGGCTGTGGGATGTGTGGAGCACACAGCATGTTCCATCTGTTCGGCTCCGTTTCCACTGAATCACTAACTTCCACCAGATTCCTCAGCGGGCACGTATATCGAACACAACCTTGGGCCTCTGTCACAAGCGGAAGACTGCACACCTATGTGAAGAAGAAGAACAAGAAGAAGAAGAAGAAGACTCCCAAGTTGAAGACAGCACACATGCTAAACGAAGACGGACCTCCCTCCGGAGCCACGTCGACGAACCGCACTGCTCTAACAGGGGAACATCGCTGCTCGAAACTCGGCTGCTGACCAGAGATGGGTCTCGGGAATCTTTCGAACCGGATCTCAATGTCAAGGACGATCCCGCGCACGGCACTTCTTCCAATGGACGAGCTCGGGGTCGGAGAACCTCCCCGGTGTCGCAAACTGTGGATCCGGATGGGTCAATACATGAGCGGAGTAGACCCGTCATCGCGCCCGGTCGCAAACGTCCGCGCTCTAGCTCGGCGGAGGCCAACGACAGCAAACGCAGACGAGAACACAATGACTCAAATCTAGATGTGCATTATAGCACATGGTTTGCTGCCAGGGACGATGCTTGCGAAGACTCCGAATCTGACCCTGACTCCCATTCCGATTCTGGTGCTTCCAATACCAGCCTAACTTCTTGTACGACATTATTCGAGTCTGATTATACATCCCCGGAGTCTGACGTGGTAGGAGACTCCACCGGTATTTGATTTACGGAATAGGACAAGATTGTTGGGAGCATCGCAAATTGCTGGATATCAGAACGTGTCTGGTTAGGGCTTCAAGTGCTCTTTCGCTCGGGATGCCTTCAGAGCTCCCAGCGTTGATACTCATGACTGGTGTGGATAACCCTTTTGAAATACTGCCCCTGTCAATCCTATTCTCGTGGTCAACGTTCGCAACGCCTATGTGATGAGCGTTCCAAGGCCCGAGACTCGTCGATGTCGATACATGTCACCTCTTTCTCAAGCCTTGCCCTTGTTACGCGGTCACTACATCACCGCCATTATTCCACAAAGTCTATATGACACTCACTGCCACGTCTGCTTGACATGTCGGACTGTTTCCGGCACCAAGCTACGCATCAAAGTCAAGATGAGAGTCATCGGATCAGATCCTCCTACAGAAGTTCGGGCATACGTAGTTACATGGAAGTCCAACCCACTGGCGCGACTTTTAGAGAACGCAGTTCGAAGCTGCTGCAGACAGACACCAGTCTTGCCAAATACAAAAGGCCGGCCACATACGAGAATCACGGGTTGAGAACTTGTTCTACGCAATGATGACGAAGAAGAAGGCGATCATTTGCACCTGAAGGCAAAGAGCGACATCTTTTGGGCCATGGAGCACAACCCAGCAGATTGATCTACGGTGTGATGAAGTGGCGGGCGAAAGCGTTACCACTCATGACGTTCGGCCCGAGTCATGCAGCGAAGAAGGGAGGCATAGCATACTCGGGTCCACAGCGTGGGATTCGTAACTCAAGGTTCGTGGCGACATCGAATATCGGGGAAATGTCTCAAGGCACCACTGGATACCCGGGCAAGCAATCTCTCACCTGCAGGCCCAAATGGGTTTCGGTAGTACCGTGGTACAGGGCCAGGAGCGGACTAAGCCCCATAGACACTCTCCGAGATGTTGGTGGGAGACGATAGTTTTGCGGGAGAATGGATCTGTCCTCACTACGACGCAGGAGCAGTGTCCCAATATTCCCTCATGGACGCTTTCGGTTTCTGTTGCTGCAAAGTATTGATCTTTCGAGTTTGCAAGGTCGTTGCATTATATATAAATCCATATGCACCAAGTATCCTTGACCTCGTTGTCCTGCTTGTATGGCTCGAACTGTGAGTCTTGGAGGATCTCTGTCGTTGACATGGATTTCGCCCCAGCAGACCACAAAGGGCCACCGACAGTGACCGAGATCTCCTCCAGCAGGACTCCAATTCCACTTCTGTCGCCACAAGCCAACAGCGGAGTTTGTCGAATCCGACGCGCAATTGCTCCACAAATGGTAGGAGAAAGTAAGCAGTGTTGGCTTTGCAAGTACAGAGTCGGTTCACGCTGTGTAGCGGATGGCGGTGAAAATGCCCCTTTGAATCACTGTAATAGGCGGAGTTCAACTTTCGGTTTTCAAGTCCGCTGAGTGGGACAGGAGGAGCCTCACCGTTCACCGGCGGGGTTTCCTTCCTCCACCAGCGCTGGGGGATCAGGAATGCTTGCCAAATAGGGATTCGAACTCGATGCACGTCAGACCGTTGTAACGGGTTTGATCCGTATCTTTAAATGACCCGAGACGAGGTGTATCGGCTGGGCCTTTCAATTGTGACAACTCGGTCACTTTACGACTGCTGTTTGTGCTGGCTCTCTACCAGTCACAGGATTTTGCCAATAAGTCTGCAATGGCCTCCAGGCCCTTTTGATCGTGTTCGTCGAAGCCGCCGACCTCGGTGCAATCAATGTCAATGACGCCGACGACCTGTACAGCTCTGGGTGTCAGCCATGCCAGCGGACGTTGATGAAACGAATTGCCATTGTCATGTCGAGAAACACGTCTCTTTGGCAGAATAACGAACGATCCGGAGAAACTAGGCAGGACATACCTTTTCACCGACTTTGATCGGCACAACGATCTCACTCCGACTATCGCCATCGCAGGCAATATGGCCGGGGAAGTCATCGACGTCCGTGACGAGTACTGTGCTTCCTCGCTGGGCAGCGGCGCCGCACACGCCTTTGCCAATGCGTATCGTCTGGCAGGCCACCTTGCCCATGAAAGGGCCGAGGATCAACTGATTCGTGCTCTGAGGGTCCAGCACGTAGAAGCCCGACCAGTTTACGGACGCCGAGGGTTCCGGGAGCGAGTGGTACAGATGCCAGAGCAGCGAGGCGGTGTTGGCTGTGTTGGCGACCCAGTTGCGCTGGTCGGCCACGAGGGCTTGGAGGGAGTCCAGGAGTTGCGCGTACGCGGCCGGCTTGTCGGGAGCGTCGGTGAAATTGGCGGCGTCGGCGTGAGGCTTTCGAGGAGAAGAAAGGATCGGTCAGATTGGGCAGCGAAGGACTCGGAGTGGGAGAAAGCAGTTACGATGCGCTATGTTGCGATAGGGGGGTGATTGGCAGGAAGGAGAAAGAGACTGGTTTACCTACCATGATTGGATAGCTGGAGTGAGTGAGTTTTAGGCAAGGTATCTAGCACTCCCTCAGACGACGTGACTTCGGCTTGAGGCCAGGTTTGGAAGCACGATCTCTTTGGGTCTCTTTGGCAAAGACACGATGGTACGGGAGTCGGCGACTGGACTCGGAATTAGGAAGAAACGGCGGGCGGTAGTTGGCCAACAAGTGGAATCACAAGACTGCTGTCGCGATGGGAACCACTCTTTCAAAACGATTGCAACCCATTGATCTGAATCCCAATCTGGATATGGATGTGATATGGATATGGAATCTCGCGACCGGAATCTCGCAAACTGGAAAAGATTCGACGTGGGTGGGCAACAGCCAATGAGAATGCAGTGCGGAATGAAGTTACGCCGAACCGGGGCCGGGACCGGCACCGGCACCAGCATCGGGGCCTTCTCAGGCCTGAGGACGTCTCCCTATTCGTTCACTTCAACCGGTGTCTGAGGTCTGCCAGAAGGTCTGAGATCTGAACGCTCACACCCACCAACCTGATTTTCCACACGGCACTTGTTAGTACACAATAGTCTGATGCGAATCAGGCTCTCTCACGTGCCGTTCGGGGATTCAACGCCTGGCCTGCTCTTATCGCCGGTGGTGATCGTTGATCGTGATTCTTGTGCCTCTATATAAAGCCCGAACCAGTCGGGCCGGTCGGTTTTACCTGTCTGTAAACAAAACAACCTGACCCATCTCAGCCTGCGACAACGACCATCCAACAACATCCACGCCTGCTAGCATCCTCATCACCTTATCATGTCTTGCCCCGATTGTTTCCGCGGCGGGGTGCACGCGCATTCAGAGCCCACCGGGACCATCGAAACCGTACATGGCATGCGGACCTACATCGCCGGCGGTAGTGATAGCGCCCGGTCCAAGTCGACCATCCTGTACCTCCCGGACGCCTTTTCGCTGAAACTGGTCAACAACAAAATCCTCGCCGACCAGTATGCCTCGGCCACCGGCTGTCGTGTGTTGATCCCGGACGTGGTCCCCAACGGCGGATTGTCGCCCGACCTGATGCCCTCCATGGAGATCGCCATGGCGCCGTTGGAGAAGCGAACAGTCGGCGGCGTCCTACACAAGATCTGGATCACCCTGACACTATTGCCCCATGTCGTGCCGTTCATTCTCTTCGGCCGCCCTCACAAGGTCTATTCTCAGATCCTCGCGTACGCGCGCGCCATCAAGGCTGAGCTGCCGCTGGGCGGCAAACTCGGCGTCGCCGGATTCTGCTGGGGCGCGTGGCCTAGTACGAAACTTTGCACGGAACCGGCGACCGAGGGCGGCTCCGAGCGGCTGATTGACGCCCAGTTCAACGGTCATCCCAGCTTCATCTCCGATACGCCGGAGATGGTGGTCGATGCGATCAAGAAGTTCAAAGTCCCCTACGCCTGTGCGGTGGCCGAAATAGATATGCAATTCAACGCAGAGGTCGCCGCAAAGACCGAGGCCTTGGTCAAACAAGAGACCGCCGGTGCCAGTCCGGGCGAGTACATCTACGACTTCCGAATCTACAAGGGCTGTCAGCACGGGTTTTGTGTCCGCGCCATGAAGGAGGACGAGGCCAACTTCCAGGGCGGTCGGGATGCCGCCAAACACGCGATTGATTGGTTCAACAAGTATTTAAACTGAACAGTGACTTTACTGTTGTGGCAAGCTGGTCTGCGCCTGGGAAGGCGCGGCAGGGGCAACGGGTGGCAGGATGACGGAGTCAAACGGCGCAACGCGATGAGAGAAGCATGGCCAACGTCAGGGTCACCGACCCTGATCAATGGAAGAAGCGCAGCAAAGCCCGTCAGCTCATTGCTCGCAGTCGAGCAGAGGCTACATCGTCGCCTCACACCTCATTAATCTGGACAGGAAGAAATGCCCCTCTCCCGAACGTTCTTTGCTCGTCCGAGTTTCCGTGGTGCTAGCTAGCATCTACGCTCTTTGAAAACATACGAATCTGGCGGCATTTCAGTCCGTGCGCCATACCATGGACCCGTGCATGGATTGTTTTCGGATCTTGAGAGAGAAACGATGCCCCTCTCCAAGAAGGTATGGATGGTCCCATCCCCGGAGACGTGGGCTTGCGTTCGTACATTCCATTCGCAATGTGCCATTGCCAGCCACCCAGCCACCCATAATGATAGTCAATACACATTCCTTCCTCCTTCCCTTCAAAGAACCCGAACCCCGCCTCCTCAACGAGTGAGGTTGACAAAGAAATCATGGATTCAATCTATCATCCGTTTGCATCCCGCCTTTGTTTGTCTGGTTCGAAGTTCCGCCACATATCCTGATGCCGGATGTCTTATTCTCTATAGACTGACTCGACGAGTTTCGACAATCTTGCACTGTGGAGCCGAACGCTTACTTTTTTGGCATCTAGGCCCTCCAACATGAGGAACGATCAGACGCATAATGTCGTTCCGGACGTCGACGCGGATCGGAGTGATCCCACCAGCATCTACAAAGACCTCGAATTCATTGACGACCCCGGCAGCCGCGGTCGGTTCTTCTACTGTTACGACCAGGAATACATGAAGGAGCTCTGCTGGGCCTGCGGCTGGACGACAGTCAACCAGGAGGGTACATCGTATGCACCGCGGCTCCGAGTGATGCACGCGCGAGGCAACATGGGCATCTGGGCGATCGGGGATCGCTGGGTGCTCCGGGATGAAACCAACGATCGCTGGCTCGGGAACAACTACATGACTCTGAAATTCCTGCAGGAACAACCGGGCCTAACGATCCCGATCCCCCAGGGAGTCCGCAGCCTCAGTGAACCGAGCGATTCAATCTCTCTGACGCTGGAATCGCGCGTACCCGGTGTCTCGCTATTGAGCATTTATCGCACGCTCTCACCGGAGGAGAAGACCAGCTATGTCCGACAGATGGCCGACGCATTGCGGCAATTGCGCCAGTTCACGGCGCCACGGATGCAGAAGGTCGACGGCAGCCAACTGGACGACTTCGTGATCGCCGAATGTATGACCAGCCGCCCGGGCAATTGTTTCCAGATACCCTACCAGGCGGCCGACTGGCTGGACCACCTGGGCGTGGACCTTCGCATGGGACTGAGTAGCATGCACGACACCGTGGACCCGGCCGAGATCGAAGCCAAGTTCCAACAGCTCAAGGACAACTTCATCGAGTGCGAGCCCTACGTGCTGTCCCACGGTGACCTGAATCTGACAAACATCATCGTCAAGGATGGCAAGATTCAGGGCATCATCGACTGGGAACGTGCCGGCTATTATCCCTGGTGGTACGAGCGGTCCATTAAGTATGTACACGGCGAGTCTGTTGATTTTTTCCAGGCCGTTTGGCCGTTGGTCGAGCCCGAAGTCGAGCAGGAGAAATTCGAAGAGCTACTCAAGCAGCGTTTCTTTCCCGCCCAGTATGCCTGGGGTCACCTTTTTCATGAACACCTGGGCGAAGGCACCACTTGGCTCAAGCCGCGCTGGTGCGAGTGTCACCCGTACACAGGCCAGTTCAAGGGCAAGTATTGGGGGAAACCTCTTTCTTGTCAGATCTCCCAGCTCACCCCCGCCGAGCAGGCTCTGCTCGCCCGCTATGACAGAAAAGATCCGTGGCCTCGGACTCAGCTTCCCGACCACGGCCACGATGAGCCCGATTCGTTGTTGCCCAGTGCCGGGCATGAATCATAAGTGATCATGGAGAAGACAGGAAAAGGGAACCCCCTGGGTTTCATCACAAGGTGCATCGCAATTCCATAGGGTCTTGTCATAACTCACCCTGAAGTGAACAGACGGACGGTTATAGGGAAGAGAGAAAAGGGGGCGGAGGGGAGAGGACGCCATCATTTTGCCAGTTCCACATTTGTAACCAATACATAATAATACTGTCCTGATCCTGCATACCTCACAAAGACGACCATGTGCTGTGCACTGTGGTAGCTTGGTCAACCAGGGAAAGCTATCTTGCAAATCCACACATTTGAACCAAACCTTCTCCTCCCAGCTTCTCTCCTTCGGCAGTGGCATATTCATTGGGCCCCCCTCCCTCTTTGCCTTTGCACCCTGACCAAGGTACCGCGCCTGAGAGTTGCAGGTCAATCAATCTCCTCTAGGACAAACGAGGATGTCCAGGGCCGTGGATCGACTTCTCACAATTGTCGAACTGTATCAGACTCATATATTCTGCCGCCATTCCTAGTCGTCCGAAGTCAGTAAAGATGTTTCACGAGGAGGAGAATGACAACGACAACAACACTGACGATGGCCAAGTTGGAATTGCTTTTGGTTTGACTGAACGCAACTCGGTCGAACCCCGATCTCTCATTGCTTACCGGGGTATGCCTATCCAGATCTAGGATATCATTCACCTTGTCCCAGAACACTCGGTTCGCCTCGCCGCTGCCGCCCTTGGTCTCGATCCACTTGGTTGTGCCCACTGGCCAGTTATTGGATGTGTTTCTTTCCCGGTCATTGTTGGGGATTTCGTCAATACTAAAGCTCTTCTTCATTTCTGGACGCTTGACGATCATGACGGCGTGGTATGCGTCTCCTTGGGCCGTAACGAGTGAGCGTCCGTCTGTGTCTTCCGGAGTAGCAGCAGCCTTAGCGGTGTCGGCGTCGACCTCATTAGCTGGGGCCGGTCGTTTTCGAGTTCGGATCCTAATGGCCGCTCGTTCCTGGCCGTCCAATGCGTCCATCACCGCCCAGAACAGAGAGACATGATCTCTTTTGAGTGGGGCTCCGGCATGCGGCTCACATGAAAGGATGGTCCCCTCGGGCCACTCGGCGTTGGCGACATATTTTTGGATCGGGACAACCAGTCCCTCGCATTTTTCGCAGATGATCGCCTTGCTGGGGTTCCTGAAGTTGCAAAACCAGCAGTCATTGCTCGATACGGGCACGACGGCCGACATGGGTCTGCTTGTGCGGGAGTCAAAGCCAGGAGGCAGATTCGGCGAGAATAGAAGGGAAACGGACGGAAGCCCTAGGCCCGGAATGTAAGATCCTGCTGTTGCTGCTGTTGTTTTGTTGCTTTCCCAAGTGCTCAGTCAAAAGGTCCACTCCTGTGCTTGCCAACAAGTTCAAGTTCCACCTCAGACCTGGGTGTTCAACAGGTTCTGGAACTGCCCTGGCTTCGAGAGATTTGGTCCAGAAAGGGACAGATGACGGGGAAGAATGAGGAGATGAGGTACAAACAGATATATAACTGCTTGCTCTTCTGAGTCTTTCACCCTTTCCATTCTTTCTCTGGCTGTCCGGCCTCTGTCTCTCTCTTCCTCTCTGTCTCTCTCTCCCCTTTGGCGTTCATTGTGAAACCAACTCTGGATGCGCGATGTGTTTGCTTCCCAACCTGCATTCAAAATGGACGTGGATGCTTCCGATCAGCATCAATTGCCTGTGGTGGCGGTGGTGGCAGTGGCGGCGTCGTATTGTGTGACTGACACCCACGCGCACCATCTCTTGCTTCAATCTGAGACAATAGCGCATGCCCGTCTGGCGGTTGGTTCCACGCACCATATTTGCACCACAGACACCATGCCCATGTCCAGAATGTAGAATCGTAGCAGGGTAACAAAGAGAAAAGGACTTGGACTTGTTCTCAACAAAGGAGACAGCACGTTGAAAAGAACCGCTCTGTATCCTGCTGTCTCTGGGTATCATATCACACAGACATGAAACACCTGACCACATACGCGTGATATGATGAGACTTGGAGAGACAGAGATGGGGCTTCTAAGCCCTCTCGATCCGGGTACCCTGAGACCTGATCGAGTCCAAGAGGGTTCACTTTCCAGACACCAAGTTTCTGGAAATGCATAACGATCCGCCATCACCCTTCCAACGACCACAGCACAGCGCCCCGGCCCCACGCATGTGACTTTGAACATCGAAGCTCGGGCTGGATCTCGAAGCCGGAGACGGCACAAAGGTTGGCTTGGATTGTGCTGGGCTGGAGCCGACGAACCGGTCTACGGAAAACAAGGACGGCCGTTGCTTGTTGCTCGTTGCTCGTTGCTCGTTGCTCGTTGCTCGTTGCTCGGCATAGTGCAAGCCAGGAAAGCCATCGTTAACAGAGCACGACTTGCGCCAAATCATCAGCGACAGAGACGAGGTTGGGGTCTGAGTGAGTGTGATGTTCGATGGTAGATGATCATGCTAGGAAACCGACTCTTCTGCAATATAAGCGATGGAAGGGGGGAGGGAGGAGGGAGGAAGAGGCGTGCTGGAAGAGTGATTTGCCAGGTCGGCTAGGTTTCGAAGGCTCATGGATGGAGGCGGAGGTATGTTGGGTACATACCTAAGGTAGGTAGCTAGATAGTAGTTAGTTGGATGGATACACATACACGATATGCGCAAGTGCTGCATGTGCGGGCAACTCAATGTTCAATATCACCATATCTTTTGCGGAAACACGCCCAGTTCACTCCGAAACTCCCAAAGTGTCTCGTACCTCTTTGGCTGTATGCCTTTTGGAACAACCCACCTCCACGCTTGTATATGCAACAGGGACAAAACAAACCCAAAAATCACTTCTGGCATCCCAAGGACGGCAAAAAAACATCAGATCTCCTGGATGTAATTCGCAGGGACGCATCGCGTCTCCCCATTCTTCTCCACGTCGGCCCAGCCATCTCCCGTGCCCATACTGACGAGCACAAATCTTTCACCTTCGGCCATGTCGAACTCGGCATCGCTTTGTGCGGTGTACTGGTACAAAGCTTGAACGTACTTCAACTTCTTCGCCCCACGCTTGGGAGCCACCGCCGGGCCTTGCTTCTTCCTCGTACCACCGGCAAGAATCGACGAGGCCAGCGATGTACTCGAAGTCGATGTCAACGATGGTGGTCGCTCGTGCGCTGGTGTGGTCGCCGCCGAGGGAAGATCTTCCAGATAGGCTGTAGGCACGAAGCCTTCTTTGCCGAAACCGGCATCTACCTTGGTCCATCCGCCATCTGCTACCCATCAGCATCATTCTCAATAAACCGGGGCAACGGGATTCAGTGTAGAATGGTTTCCGCTTACCGTCTGGTTCTAATACCCTCACCTCTGTCCCTTCGGAGAGGGATACCTCACTTTCATCCCTAGCCTCGTATCCATACATCATCTTTGCCCGTGGCTGGCCGCTCCCGTTCGCACCTAAGCCGTCCGTACCACTGACGAACGTGGCAGGAGGTGGAGCCACGATACGGTTTCGTCTTGCCGTCGACCCAGCACCCGCGGTTGTACTATCGTCTTGACCACTTGATCGAGGAATGTTGCCTGGAGCCGATCTCGTCGCACTGGCAGCATAGCCAGACGAGAGGCTGCTCATGGTATCTTGTCGTGTCAAGGACGGAGGAGAGCTGACGCCATTTGCGGCCGGTGCTTCTGTCGCTGCTATTGCCGCAGCTTGCCGTTCAGCCTTCAGCTTCTTCTTCTCCTCCTTCGTCTGCTCGCCGGGGCAGTCGGCGGGGACTTTCATGTGACATTTACTGTGGCATGTAAATCCGCAATCGGTACAAATGAAGCCTTTGGCGCTGAGGCCCCAAATACGACCCCCGCACAAATCGCAGTTCGTGGGAATCTTAAAAGTTTCGGATTTGAAGGCGTGGCTCTTTCCGTACATACTAAGATCGCCAACTACCGACGTGATTGTCGACGTTTCGACTTCAGCGGTCAGTCGCTGACGATCTATGGCATGTAGGTCTTCTTGCACCGCGAACTGTGACCGGACACAATCCACTTCGTCCCGTCGATCTTTCCCGGCTCGGATATTTTCGCGAAGCTTTTTCACGTTTTCTAATTCTCGCCTCTTCTGCGATGATGCAGTTTTGAGCTGATCCACCAAGGGCTTACTCTTCTGGAGGATATTGCGAAGGAAGATTTTGGAGGTTTCGTCCGTCACCATGTTGTCGGCATCGAGCCAGACCGGAGATGGTTCAAACACCATATTAGGAGGTTCCTGCCATTGTACAGCGTTGTGCCGTACAAACATATTGCTGTCGAGCCTGGGATCATTCCTAGGGATCTCTGCAGAGAGGTGGGCCATGTGTTCGGTGCTTCGTTTCAAGGTGTTCGTCTCCAGCGCCGAGGCAAGCAGCCACAGATTGTTGACCTTCGCAACACGCGTCTCATTCAAGTCCTGCAGCGAATCCAGAAGTTCGGGGACGTACTCGTGATAGTAACATTCCTTTAACTTGTTCGTCACGTTGATGCCGATCAGGTAGGTGTTTTTGACGTTGTTCATTTCCGCCAGTTGCTGGTTGTACGCACTCTGAGCTTTGCCCTTTTCAAAAGACGATTCGGCCTTCCTCCTTCGGTTCTCGACTTCTTGACAGACTGTGTCGTATTTAGCCTTCAACTTCTTCAAATCGCCATATGATGAGTCCCGCTCCTTGAGCAGTTTCAGTTGGTATTCTGCGTGACTCTTCCTCAAGTCCTCCAGTTTCCGCGCATTATACTCCAAAGGCGTGGCCACCTGGCTCATGAGATCCTGCGCAAACTTGCCGTGCTCATTGGCGCGCTGTTCCAGCGTGGACAGTTGAGTTGTCCAAGTTGTGAGCGAAGCCGATTCCAACGAGCCCGGAGTTAGGGCAGGCGTGTCACCAACGCTTAAGCTGCTCGATTTCTTCGCTTTCTTGTCATAGTATTTCTTCGCCAACGCCGTCAACTTCTGACTGTACTCTTTTTCAATCGCGGACCGTTCTTCGTAGAATTCTTGGATTTCGGTGAGCCAGGTGATTCCGAGACTGACCTATGGGGCTAGGTTTAGACGGGGTTGAGGCGCGTGAGAGCGGCAGGTTTACTTACCCAGTTGTCGACGGGTTTATAGCCATCCTGCAACTATATCAGCGACCGCGGTGGAAGCACTCAAACAAACACAACTCACTTTTAGTTCGGCGCCGAAGCTGACGGCCGGGACTTGAGCCATTGCGCGTGAGACAAGCGACCTATCGCAGCAGCATCATACAGTGTTCTCCTCAACTCGACTTCACGCGGACCACAATCAAGCGCCCGGTCCTTTCGATAGCTGGCCTGGTTTGTGTACAGTTGAAGACATATTTGCCTGATTTCCCAGTCTGGATTGGTGGGGGACTTGCGAAAGAGGTACCAAGATACTACTACGAGACCGCCGTCTCGTTGGGTGACATTGCGCCTCATGCCGTGCTAGTATTTTGTGGCTCAAGCACCGGAATTTGGAGTACAGAGTAAAACCCCGCACTGGCATTAAGCCTGCGCCACGGACGTTGTTCCGCACCGCCACCAAACACTCGAGGCTCAGTTTTTCTAACCGCAGGAGAATACGAGAAACCGTCTCTCCTGTACTTTGGTCCGGGACTCGAGAATCTGCCTCACTCGGTCGTAAACACAGACGAGCAAAGTATTTTACATCTGCCTGTTCCATACGCTATTCGCTTCAACTTCGAATCAGCGTCTAGCTTGTACTCGCTCCCACCTTGCGCCGGAGGCGTCGCTCGCTTCCAAACATCCCTTCCTGTGCACCTTCAACGAGTCCTCTTGTAGCGCATCCCTCCTCTCCCTTCTACGACCACGCTACCCTGCCACATCCCTCGACATACACACTTCACCATGTCCGTACCTACCTCTGGAGGCGGGTCGCTGGCAGACCGCATCTCCAAACCAGACACATTGAACGCCCAAGCTGAGACCTTTGAACCAAAATCTGGGACCTCATGGGCAGACGAGGTCGCTTCACCTTCGACTGAAAAGCAATCGGCCCTTGTCAATACGGAAGAGAAGAAGCCAGAGGCTTCTGAACCGGTCCCGCAGGTTGATGGAGCTACAGCGCCCTTTGGTGGATCAGATTTGCAAGAGCCAGAGTTCGATGTTGAGGTCAAGTTGGCGGACATGCAAGCAGATCCGAACAATCCATTGTACTCCGCCGCTTCATTCGAACAGTTGGGACTGTAAGTGATCCTTGCTCGCAGATCCATTCACCTGCTAACTCTTCAGGCACGACAACATCCTCAAGGGAGTTATGGCGATGAATTTCCGAAAACCGTCTAAGGTTCAAGAAAAGACTCTACCGCTTCTACTGATGGACCCTCCACACAACCTCATCGGCCAATCCCAATCTGGTACGGGAAAGACTGCCGCCTTTGTCCTCAACATTCTGCACCGTATCGACCTCAGCACCGAGCAAATGCAGAAGACACCGCAAGCGTTAGTTCTGGCTCCGAGCAGAGAACTGGCGCGCCAGATCGTGGGTGTTGTCAAGGTCATGGGTACTTACATGCCGGGACTCATCACTGAAGCCGCCGTTCCCCAGGACGCTGCTGCGCGTGGACGGAAAATCGAAGCCTCTGTGGTCGTGGGAACTCCTGGTACCGTCATGGACATGATTCGCAAGAGATCCATGGATGTCCGAGCGCTCAAAGTGCTTGTGCTTGATGAGGCAGACAACATGCTCGACCAGCAGGGCCTTGGAGACCAGTGTATTCGTGTGAAGGCGTACGCCCCTCACAATCCCCTCTGCTGCGGATGATACTAACTCTTTCCCAGGATGCTTCCCAAGAATATTCAGATTGTCTTGTTCTCTGCCACTTTCCCGGATAACGTGGTCAAATATGCCCAAAACTTTGCACCCGGCGCCAATCAGATGACACTGCAACACAAGGACTTGACAGTCGAAGGCATCAAGCAGATCTATCTCGACTGTGCCAATGATCAGGCCAAGTACGACGTACTGGTTAAGTTCTACGGGTTGATGACGATCGGTTCTTCCATCATCTTCGTCAAGGTATGCAGTTCAGTCATGTCGTACCATGTTCGCTGCTCCTAACAGCACTTTAGACACGAGAAACCGCAACAGCTATCGAACAACGCATGACAGCCGAAGGCCACAAAGTCGTGTCACTGACTGGTGGCTATGAAGGCGCGCAGCGGGATGTGATCATCGACTCTTTCCGCATGGGTCACGCTAAAGTGCTCATCACTACCAACGTCCTGGCTCGAGGTATCGATGTCCAGTCCGTATCCATGGTCGTCAACTATGACGTGCCAGACAAATTTGTTGGCGGAGGCAGATTCGTCGCGGATCCACAGACCTATCTCCATCGTATCGGGCGAACTGGACGCTTCGGTCGTGTCGGTGTCGCGGTGACTTTCGTCAGCAATCGGGGGGATTGGGAGAAGCTGATGGAGATCCAGAGATACTTTGGCACGGAGATGACCAAAGTGGCCACCGACGATTGGGACGAGCTCGAAGAGACTGTCTCCAAGATCATCAAAAGTTCGAGAGCTGGCGCCAACTTCAAGGACGGTGCGACCATGCAGATGTGAGATGGTACACAGGCGAAGTTGCAGTTCTGCCTCAGCAACGGCGGTCATGAGCGAGCTGAGTGACCTGACGTGCGAGGAAGACCTAGGACGACATAATGACGACGATCATGTTGTCCTCCGAACAGACGAACTGCCGAGCTGCAGAACTGCCGAACAGCTACTGGCAAATCTGAAGCGGCAGATGGGCTGATGAAAAACAATACATGGCCGTGAGGACGCACAACGGGAAAGATAGCAACCCGAATGATTTTTTCTTGATACCCACGACAGGTCCGCAATCCGAGATGAAGAATGGAAAGAATGAATCAAAATTAATAGTTGCCACCTTCATCGGTAACATTTCCAGCACACATATGCTGTTCTCATCAACATAGTCAACGTAACGTCACCACGGTCGAACCCTCTGCGACCACAAAACGAAGGGGACATTTTAGTGCCAGTGGCTGCGCCGTGAGCTGGCTGGCCGGGTCTGACGAGCATCGAACGATTCTGGGCCCATGAGACCATTGTAGCATGGACAGTTTGATGCCTACATGTAACGTTCAACCCATTGCGGTTTCAGATTCCGTGAGACCAAACCTCTGGTGGAAACATCGGCGCCCATTTTCTCGCAACAGTCGACCTCTCACTGGGAAATCGTCGACAAAATGATAAACATCTCTGGACACCAGTTTACTGTGCGGAGTAAAAGGTGCCAGCAAGTACGTAGTATGATATGCTTTTTGAAAGTGTGGGATATAGGCACGTTCTAGCCACGGATCGAGGGCAACAGCAAACAAGCCTCGCGACTCAGCTGTTGTTTTGGGACAGATTGGTAGACGCGGGTGTGGGACAAAGAGCGGAGAATTAGCGGCTGGCAATCATCGAATGTCAACCCGCAATCTCATGGTGACAGGGCATTGGTGATCGAGAAGCGAGCAGACATCCGATCTCCGTCATGTCATGATGATAGCAGATGAAGCTTGTCAAATTGCCTGCCAAGTTAAAGAGCCTCGCAGTCCAACGGTCACACACTGCAGTGGGAGAAGCAGTTGGCACTGTGAGTAGGACCTTGTCTTAAAGCGATGCATGCCTTGACGCACTCATCGGCTGCGATGTGACGATCGTCGACCCCTGAAACAGCATCCGCCTGCAGGCATGTTTGTGACCAGCGCACTATTGCTACCTACGCATTGAAGTGTAGATGCATTGCCCCAACTGTGAATTTGAAGAGACTCAGCAGAGCAATGAATTCTCGCAAACACCCACAGTGCCGCTGTCATTAATCTTTGCCGTGGCTAATCATTGTGGGTGAGTGAAGCTCGTGGTGGAAGAATCGATGATCGTGGGCGTCCAGGTGTCAGGCTGCCACTTTCTGTGCAATTTCACTAAGTGCTGCAGGTACCGCAGCCTCTAAACCACATTAAGCTTAAATGCCAAAGTGGCTCGATACTAATTCAGGAACACCAATCAGCTGTGCCCAGCCTTGGTCCTTGTTGTCTCCTCTCTCTGCTCCTATTGGCAGCCTGCAATTGCTCTGAATCTGCCGTCGATTCGTGTTTCCCACACCCCCTCCACTTCCTTGTAAACTGCGCCTTCTGCCCAACTCGAACTCGAACTCGAACAACCGAACTCATGCGTCAAACCACTTCTCGCCATCGGCGCGTCACTCGAATGAATCTTACGATTGCACACACCTGAGTTCCCTCGCGCCTTTACCGGCTTGTGTCTCCTTCACCACGGGCTGTAAGACTTTGCGGCACTTCTTTTCGACTTGAACTCTTCTTCTTCGATTCATTCTATTCAAGAGTGTATTGTCGCCCCTCTTTTATCGACAATACCTCAGTCTCCTTAACATCAGACTTTGGTCGCTCCTTTGCTGTCCGCCAGCTGCGCCGTGAACCTTTTCTCTGCCTCCAACTACCTGTCCGGCCGAAGCCGAGGACAGCTCCTTCTCCATCACGGACGGCAAGCAACCGTCCATCTGACACCCCTTTGGGCGCTTCGAGAAGATCTAGATTGTTTGTTCAAGAGCGCAATATGGCTCACGCCCACGAACATTACCACGAGAGGATGGCAGACTTGGCAAAACGACAGAATGGCATCAGTATCGTTGGCGGTACCGCCTACACCGTCGTCTATGTAACGGCGCAGCCAACCTTCACCGGTGTCATCGGAGGCTATACCACGCTTACCAGTGCGTCTTCGCAAGCCAGTCTTCAAGCTACAGCTGCGACAGCCTTGGATCCAGCGACAGCAACTGCGGCAGCAACCTCTGCACCACTCGAATTCTCCACAGCCCCGACCGAGACTGTGGTTGCGCAGGACTCGTCTACATCAGCGGCTGTTCTAAGCTCGCCGGCGACAACCTCTTTGGAAGCCTCTCCTACGGCATCGGACGTCTTTGGGAGTAACACGCGTAGCAGCACTGCTAAAAGCTCTGTTGCGCCTGCTTCTGCCACGACTAGCTCTTCCTCAGCCAACCCACCCTCGTCAAGCGCTGGCATGTCTGCGGGCGCCAAAGCAGGCATTGCGGTTGGTGTCATTGCGGCCGTCGGTCTCTTCGCCCTCTTCCTATTCTGGCTACTGGGGAAGAAGAGGAAAGCACGTGAGGCTCAAGCGAACAAAGACAACGAGAAGTCCACCTATGGCGCAGGTGCAGCTACCGAGATGATCGATAGGAGTCCACCGCCTAGTGCTGCTGCTCCACGGTTGAGCCTCCGACCTGTCTCTCGAATGCTGCCAGAATTCATGGGACCAGCATCCAAGAGCAGAATGAGCGGCGGTAATCTATTGAACACAGTCAGGCAATCAGGCTCTGCACCGTCTCGTAACCTGTCACCGTCACCTCGACCTCGTGGCCCAGCCGCAGCTCCTCAAGGTCCTGAAGATCCCGACGTCAACAATCCATTCGCTGATCCTCAGAATCCTTTTGCCGACCCGGAGAAGCAAGTTCAAGCTCCTGCACCGGCTGCTGTTGCCCCCGTCGCCAACAACTCTGGACCAGTCAACCAACTGGCTGGGGCCGCTGCAGCCGCAATGGCTATTGCTTCTGCTTCTGCCGCCGCGGCGGCTGCTGCTGAACCAAAGCCAGCCCCGACTCCAGCTCCAGAATCTGCCAAAGCACACGAACCAGCCATGGCAGCACGCTCGGCTCCCGCTCCGAGTCAACCCCTATCATCTTTGGCCACAGCTGCGCCAGCTGAGCTAAGCGCGCGAGATGCATCCTCAACAGCTCCTTCGACGCCGGCAACCCTTACTTCAGATGCTGCAGTCGCGGCTGGTACCGAACCACCTTCAGGCAACGTCTTCCGTGTTCTGTTAGATTTCAAGCCTTCCATGGACGACGAACTTGAGTTGAAGTCTGGCCAACTTGTCCGCTTGCTTCACGAGTATGATGATGGATGGGTAAGATCTTATACATGCTTCTGGATCTAATCAGCTGGCTAACCTTGTCTCCAGGCTCTTTGCATTCGCCTTGACCGCTCTCAGCAGGGTGTGGTTCCCAGAACCTGTCTTGCACCTAAACCGTCGAAGCCTAAGCCATCGCACTTGAACCAGTATGCTCGTCCACCGCCGCCAGGGCAAGGCCCAATGTCTCGGCCAATGTCACCGGCTGGCGCTCCACAAGGCCGCGTCGTTCCCAACTTCAACACGCCTAGACCTGTTATTCCCTCTCAACGGCCCATGAGTCCAGTGTCGAGGTCAATGAGTCCCGCCGGAGGCCAAAGAGCTATGAGCCCCGCGAGTGCTCGGAGTCCAATGAGCCCAGCGGAAAGATCGATGAGTCCTGGAGTCTTTAATCAAGCGCCTCGACCCTTGTCTCCCGGGCCTCGACCACAGCAAAAGCGCAGCGTGTCTCCAGATCCCTATGGAGGCAGGGGACCTAAGCCAATGGCAGTGGTGACTCGACGGCGAAGCAACTCCGCTAGCAGTTTCCGAGACCGACGCAACTCTCCCGTTGGACCGTCAAAACTTGGACCGGGCACAGGTATTGCCTTGTAATCTTGTTGACTTGTTCTGTATCAACCTTTTCAAATGGACGCCGGCTCTTGAGAATCAACCCACCCATCTCAGCAACCGAGATCGCAGATGCGTTTAACATACTGTGGGGATATTTGCACAGCGGCAACGACATTCTATCATACAGCTCAGAGCTTTGTGTTTTTGGACTTGGGCCTGGACTTGTTTCTTTCAACTTGAGCTTTCCGGAGTCAACATCTCGCGCTCTTACTCGGGATCGAATGTGAGGAGTGTTACATTCATGCAGCGGACCATTCAAGTTCCGTTGGCGGAGTATGGGAATTACGAGAGCTGGGGGCGTCTACCTATGGAAAGCGAAGAAGCACGAATGCAGTGTAATGCTGAAACACATAGATAATACCCATGTCAATACTACTCAACAAACTTTGAAAGCATTGTTGTTGTTCCAGGCTATCTAAGTCATCGAAGGAGTCGGCATAGCTCCGCGGGCCTAGGACTATCTCGTATACTAGAGGCCTCTCTGCAACTGGAAGCCTTTGCACACGGGGCAGACCGACGGTCGAAGATGGTGCAATATGCCATGGGAGGAACACACACGTCTTTTGGGCATCATGTAAAGCTCACTCTTGCGCCCACGTCTTGCTGTCTCCTCGACCTTGCATACAGCAAGCTTCCTGCCTACTGCGAGTTTTATACTGCCTGTTCAAAAGGCCTCATGCCGGCTCCTCGCTCTGGGAGGATCAGTTCTGCCTACGCCGCACTTTTCGATTCCCAACAATCAATCAATCAGATACCTTTTCCGCACGATGGCAAGTCCCTCGTTGCATTCGGGCGGTGACGTCCCTATCCTCCTTCCTCACGCCACTGGATTTTAAGGGCCGGGCCGCGTTGCGGTCGCCCGATGCCCGGAGTCAAATAAGGTACATACTAGTAGTGTGTATGCAGTGTACAAAAGCCTGGTTGATATTTTCAACTCGATCTTCTTCCTCGCCGACGACGACCACCAACAAGGGTAGGTTTGGGCGTGTTCTACTCAATATACAGGATTGTCCTGTCTAAACCAGGCCAAAGTCGCTCCCATCTATAAACTGCTTTCCTCTTCTGTGGCCACAGACTCCTTCTGCGCCTCCCAAACACCATTCCAGACCTGCAACCCGCGGTCCCATAACTCATCCAGGGCGTCGTCATGGATCTGGCCGTCTTGATCCAACAGCCGTAGCCGATCCTCCCCACTGCACGGCCAGTCCACCTTCTCGCCGTACAGGAACTGACCGAACGGCCCGAGAAATTTCTTAACCGTGGCCTTGTCGCTATCGGTATAGTCGTAGCGCCAGCCGGAGGCCCACCAAACGGGGATGTCAGCGGAATGACAGACTCCAACTTCAGGCTTGTACCAGTTGTCAAGGGCCTTTGCACGCCAGGCGATGCGGTACCGATGGACCCGGGTCAGCGGCAGCGGCGTGACACCGGGACGAGAGGGCGGGTTCAACAAGACATGCGTAAGTCCGCGCAGGGACGCATGCACCTGGGCGTCCGCGACCATTTGACTAAACACCTCAGCCCAGGCGGTGGCGTCCGGAGACTTCTTCTCGGGCAACTTGTACAAGCCCAAAAGTGCCTTGACGACAGGTGGCGGGTAGTAGTTGGCCAGCTGGGTCAAGAGGTCCTCGTAGTTCTGGGGCGGGTTGACCAGCTTGTACAGTTCCTTTTCGTCGCTGACCTCGCCGAGCAGGACGGAGGTGCCGTTGCGGAAGAGCCGCGTCGTGAAAGTCCCGCTATGCAGCGCCGCCAGGAACGTCGGGTTGATGAAATCGCCATCGGTGCTGGCGCGGAACGTATGCATCTTCAGCTTCGACAGCGCGGCCACCAACTCCGTGGCCGGCACGGCTCTGAGTCGATCCAATTTCTCTGCCGGCGCCGCATTTTCAGGAATGCCAAAGACACCACTCAGCTCGTTGAACTGCGAGGTCAGGATGGGCGAGGCCGTCGGGTTCGGCTGGATCGCGACGGCATTGGACCACAGAAACACCCGCCTGATCAACCGCCGCTCCGCCGGCAGCTGGCTGTCGTAATTCAGCTGGAAGAACGTCGAGTTGGCGCCCGCGGACAGCCCGCCAACTGTGATGTTGTTCGGGTCGCCGCCAAACAATCCAATATGTTTCGCCGTCCATTCCAGCGCGCACCGCTGGTCCCAGAACCCGTAGTTCGAGGGCGTCGGGTCCTCGTGCAGCGCCGCCAGATCTGCGCCGCCGAGGAACCCAAACACATTCAAGCGGTAGGTTGGCGAGACCACGATCCTCGGCGCCGTATTAGCCAGCAGGTCGAACGGGTCGTGATCGTGCTGCTGCATCGCGTCGCCGATCTGGAGCCAGCCGCCATGCAGGCAGAATTGCACGGGCCAGCCTGCTTCCTTCGACGGCGGGCTGCCTGCCGGGACCCAGATGTTGAGGTACAGACAGTCTTCGTCCTGGACATTTTCGATGGGCGGCGCCGAGTGCGCGTTCTCAACCATGGCCAGTCCGTGGGCGTAGTGTGGTTGAGGACATATGGGGCCGAATTTGGTGTAGTCGCCGGGCGTTTCTATTGCCGCCGCTGTCTCTTGCCCTTCGCTCGATGAGAAGCTGAAGTCCGATGGTAGTGGCTGGGGACGTCGCCAGCGTCGTGGACCTACGGGTGGTAATGCATATGGAACTTTGGTCAAGCGGTAGAGCACGATGTTGCCCGAGGGGTCGCGTTGCTCTACACCCCGCAAACTGCCTCGAGACGTGTGCAGGACATATGGATGCGAAGTTGACTGTGTGGGCCGCATCGTGAATGTGTGAGAGCTTGCCTTGAGTCCTGCAGATGCTTGCCGCTCCCCAAGAACGTTACGTCTTCGTCGATAGATGTAGGTGTAGAGATTACGGACAATGGAGAGATACCGTCGTTGATGTCGGTCGGCAATTTAATTATCCCCGCCAAACGCGGAGATTCCTTGCAGATATCGTACGTCCCGAGGCTCCGAGATACGTAGAAAGATAACGGAGGTAGAAAATGTGCAACGATTGATGAATACACCGGTTCAATGATTTGTCTCTGAAGTTGGAATACTCGGGGATGACATGCCCTCAAGACTGGATGGTAACTTTTCAAAGTTGTCGTTCAGCTCGGTGAATGCTTCTCACAATTCTTCCTCGCCAGACTGTTCCTCGACTAAAGCCTCTGCCGAGCCATTCTCGGTGGCCATCCCGTACAGCCTCTCCTCCTCGGCCCCAAGAAGAGGTGCTCTTTCCTTGGGATGTCTGGAGAAATGGCCTACTACGCTCATAACGAAGGGAGAAAAGCCATGAACCATGATCGAGGCAAGGACGACGAAACAGACCACAGGCCAGACCGTGTCTAGCGCTTCTTGATGAGGTGAGTGCTTCGGTGGATGTGGCAGAGGCTCCGAGGTTCCAGTTTCAAGCCGGGCTCTGGATTCAATGGCGAGGAACAAAGCACCTACTCCAATAGGCCCAAAATGCCCGATGAATAAGGCCTCATGATACGTTCGAATGTCGGGGTTGAACCTCTTCAATGTCAGGATTGCCGGTAGTCGCCTCAACAAAAGTATGAGCACCACACAGAGGATCATCTTCCAAGAAGCCAGATTGCCCGTGTACTGATCCCATGGTATGATGGAGCCGAAATAGACAAACATGGTTGAGTTGAGCATCAGATCCAGGATGCTGGGAAGTTTCATATTCGCGGTCCGCTCGGAGAACCAGCCGTCCCAACAGAAAGCTGCCCCCGCGCTGAAGCAGACCAGAAAGTCGTCCAGCCCGAGGGTGCTTCCCACTCCGATACAGAACACCGCAAGCAGGAAGTAGAACACAAACAGCGTCGACTCTTGCACATAACCTCTGGACTCACTAAATCTAAGCGTTTTATTGGCGACGAGGCCCACGGCGATTCCAATAACAATGCCTGCGAGACATTGCCATAACAAGACGTCCGTCAACCAGATACGAACCCCGTGTGCAGCGGAGTTTGACATGACTGCATACAAGGCTGCATAGAGCAATGGGAAAGAACTTCCATCATTACAGCCTGACTCGGCAGCCAGCAGATGGCGCACCCGCTTTGGAATTCGCTGGGAGAACTTTGCCTCAGCAATGACGCTGGCTGAAAGGACCGGGTCAGTGGGAGTCAGGCAGGCTCCCACAATTAGCGCGGTGAGCCAGGTGGTGTTGAGGATGTAGTAGACGATTGTGGCCGAGATCATCCACCCGGCTATCATGTTCGGTCCCAGGAGAAGCCCAATACTCTTCCAATGTCGCTTCACATAGGCGGCGGGTAGGTCAATGCCCACGGCGAAACACTGGACCCCAGTGATGACTCGGGCGAGTTCCTGGGTGATGTTGTCTTCCCAGCCCCATCTATCGACGGGGTCGAGCACTGTGGCGCCATATGGACCGAAGGCAATGCCAGTGAATGTTGCTAAAGGTGGTTCAGACAGATGAAGTCGATTCCGAATGAGGTCCGAGAACAAGGCGTAGAGAATGAGGAAAAACGAGAGAAGGAGGAACTCCAGATGCGGTGTACTGGGTTCTATCTGTGGCCAGGCCATTCTGTGCTGTCTTGGGTATATGTGCGAATCTCGCACATCTCTATGTATGGAAGGTTGGAAGCAGTATGTTCCGTTGAGGGACTGAGTTATGTTGTCGCCATTCTTCGTTGGCAGGTGCAAAGTTTGTTCACGGCTACGGTTGGTGATGATGCGTCGATGCCGGAAAATATATCGAGTCACTGCTAGACCGGGGACGATGACGGCGTGGAGGGTCCTCTATTCAATGCTCCCGTTTCGGTCCCTCGATTAAGGAAAAAAGGGCATTCCTCACTTAAGGCTTGCTTCGGCTATTGACGAGGACTCACGACACTAAAGGTTCGAATCCCGTCTTCGAGAATGAGTACGGAAGTCCACACCAATCGAGAAGATTAAGTTTAACTCGACGTGGCGGTCTCGTGTTATGTCTTTGTGGATCGAAGAAAGATTAAAATCCGGATCGACGATGCTGTATGAAGTGATGGGCTTGTCGAGTTCTGGACCGAGTGTCCTCGCTGGAACGCCACGACGATCAATAAGGACTCGACCTGGAAAAGCTCATCGATTTATCGATAAAGTCCAGGATATCATTGGACAGTGTGTTTTTGAAAGGACCATCCTCACGGGCCAGCCACAGTTGTCGATCAATTGATGTTTGCTCTACCGGGCTTTCTTAACGGACAGATCTCTTGACCCAGGACTTTCAGTTGATTCTCAAGGGTTGACCCTAGGGTCCTCGCATCCGAACGTGATCTCTCTCTCTCTCGAATAGGGTGGTGGACATGACCATTGTGTTCCGAGTGACATGTCACTGAAAGGTGGCTGGCCAATGGGGCCAGATTCGGTGGGATCCGATGAGACAAGAATGCTGCCCAACCGATGAAGCAAACGCTTTTGAAGCCGGAGGGCTGTATGGAGTGATCACGAGAGCGTGAACGGCATGACGAGATGAAAGGATCGTGGTCGATGCATAGAGATGAGAATTAATTAGAACAATGATGATGATTGCAATTTGAGAGACTGGTGTTTTGCAGATCGCAGGCTACGTACTACTAGTAGCAGCGTAATGAGGTCGGTCAGGATTCTAGGCCTGGACAATATTGATACAGAAAGCAGAGGCTTAGGAGGTCCTTGTAGAAGACCTGGGCAAGCTGTCGGGGCTCAGGAGGCCTGGAACGACCCTGATAACGTCAGATAGTGGTTCGCAGAGCTTGCAGGGACCCTCGGACGCCTAATAAGCGGCAGAATCTCCAAGTTCGGCGCCGCTCTAGGTGTCGGATTTGGGGTTGGGTGCTCGACCATACTACGGTGCAGTGGCACTGCCAGTGGCAGTTATAGATCAGCCAAGCCCAAACGAGCCTCAAACTGCAGCTGCAACTGCAACTGCAACGCCGGTGAAGGGCGAAAGGGCGCGCGGAACTGAAGCGAAAGTGGCCACTAAAAACACGCCTCTCTCATCACTCTTCTCCTCTTGCCCTTTCCTCTCCCACTCCCACTCCCGCTCCCACTCCCAGACCCGGCCTGCGGTTCTCCTTCCTACCTGCTACCCTCCTCTTTCAACACCTTGCATCCTAATCTCCTCCTTCGTTACCCTTTCATCTCTCATCCTCCTCTACCTTTCCGCCATCTCAATCATCATTTCGCTCTTGTCGACAACTTGACGACTTGTGAGCGTCGACTCACTTGTCATCAGGCCATCGTCCTTCAAGTTCAATCTCGTCCTGCACCAGGTTAGTCATCCGCCACCTCTTGCTGCTGCCCTACCGCTCCCATACCCTATCTGCAAAGCCCACATCGTTCCGCAGCCTCTCCCTCTGCCACCTATACAACCGGGTCTTCCCTTCCTTTTTCTATTTCTCACCTTTTGCCTTCTTTCATCTACCTCCTTCACAGCCTGGCTCTAACCCGAGCAGCTCCCACTGCTGGTGGCTTTGGTCCTGTCGATGCATGTTGCCCTCAGTCACGTTTCAAGTCTTGTGCTAACCTCATCTGAAAACAGGCTGAGGTCGAGATAATTTCCTCCTCGAATCCACAACAACTCGACAGAACCTCCCGTCCTCAAGCCCTCACTACATCACAGATCTATCTTCGCGTTCATCAAGATTGGTACAGCCTCGGTGCTGTCAAAACACCATCAAAATGACGACCATGGTATGTGGCGGAATTACGGGTTCAAGGGCTGCGTGGTTCGATGCCGAACCTCAGCAGGAAAGAGTTGGACATCAGCAATACCTTCAGAATTTCGTGGCAGGTCGTTCAGGTACTGACATTGAATTGTAGGATTTGCGTGTCGGTAACAAGTACCGTATCGGACGAAAGATTGGAAGTGGCAGCTTTGGAGATATCTATTTGGGCACGAACATCATCTCTGGAGAAGAGATTGCCATCAAGCTCGAATCCGTCAAGGCCAAACACCCCCAGCTCGAGTACGAAGCTCGTGTCTACAAGTCTCTTGCTGGCGGTGTTGGAATCCCCTTTGTCCGCTGGTTCGGTACGGAATGTGACTACAACGCCATGGTTCTCGACCTCCTTGGCCCCAGCTTGGAGGATTTGTTCAACTTCTGCAACCGAAAGTTCTCACTGAAGACTGTCCTCCTCCTGGCCGACCAGCTCATCTCCCGCATCGAATACATTCACGCCAAGTCATTCATCCATCGCGATATCAAGCCTGACAACTTCCTCATGGGCATCGGCAAGCGAGGCAATCAGGTCAATGTCATCGATTTCGGTCTGGCCAAGAAATACCGTGACCCCAAGACCCATTTCCACATTCCATACCGTGAGAACAAGAACTTGACCGGAACCGCTCGATATGCATCGATCAACACTCACTTGGGGGTGGAACAATCTCGCCGTGACGACATGGAGTCCTTGGGCTACGTGATGCTCTACTTCTGCCGCGGCTCTCTTCCATGGCAAGGCCTTAAGGCTGCCACCAAAAAGCAGAAGTACGACCGCATCATGGAGAAGAAGATGACCACCCCTACCGAGGTTCTCTGCCGTGGCTTCCCCAACGAGTTTGCCATCTATCTCAACTACACTCGGTCCCTTCGCTTCGACGACAAGCCTGACTACTCGTACTTGCGAAAGATCTTCCGCGACTTGTTCGTCCGAGAGTCCTTCCAGTATGACTACGTGTTCGACTGGACGGTCTACAAATACCAAAAGAACGCTCAGGCCATTGCCCAAGCTGCAGGCAACCAGCCGACCCAGGAGGACGAGGAGAAGCCCCGGCGAGCACACAACGGCACCGCCGCCGCCACTGGAGTGCCCACCCCTCAACACAACTCCGCCGCCGGTAAACCAGCCGCCATCTCGAGCTCTCGACGCAAGGTCATTGAACGAGGCGCGAGCGGCAACGACCAAGGAGGAAGTGACAGGATGTGAGTACTGAAACCTTCGGTTCCTTGTAAGGGATCTCCTCTGCGTTTTGCTCCGGTCTGCGTGGAGGTTTACAATGGCATCTGACTAATGCTCTAGCCTTCGACGTTAGGCTTCGTTCCGGAACAACGAGGATAACCACTGACGATTATCGTTGAAACGGAATGACTGCTTGGTGTTCTCGGCACTGAACCTGATCCTCCCAACCACGAAGACTGGCTGGTCTTCACACAACAACTCAATGGGCATGTCGGATCCGGCGCGGGGTTTGCTCTAGCACATGGCAAATCCGGAACTGCGAGATACGTGAGACGCAGACTTTATCTGAACGGCTACTCAGCTCCACTCGAACATGCAGTACTCTACGATTACCCACAATCTTTTGGGATACGACAAGTCTTTCGGGACACGTCCTGCATGCGACATCAGACATAAGCAATTTATCCACGTACGACAGTACAGCATCATCATTGCTGCCCTTGGAGCGGATGGACCTGGGACTTGATCCCGTGGCCCTCTGCTCTACCATCATGGTCCCACGTCAGCTTGGACCTATTACGACATCATTTTCGACCTTCCCCTCCCACCTCAACACGTTTTCCTTGTCTTAGAATGGCTTTATGCATACGTGAACATTCAGAGTACTGGTTCATTCGAAGGAGAAGCACGAGATCGAATGCGAGTAGTTCGGGCCACGTCAAAGGGACATGCCGCGAATGTCTCGGGCGGGTTCGAGCGAAAGCTACAGGAGTCCAGGTCGAGGGACATTGGCGAAGGATCTGTTAGGGGACGCTTCTGGGGAGGTTCATGGCCAGTAACTCTTTGCTTTGAGAAAGGCAACATAATTACCTAGTGACGAGGCAGAGAGAGTCCATTGAGGCTCGATTAGCTAGTCCGAAAATCATATCAATGTGCTAAACAATGGAATGTTCCCCGCGTGTTGTGTAAACGGCGTTGTTGACTAGTACTATAGACCGACCTTCTGGAGCTAGACGTGGGAGGCTGGAGGGTCAGAGGGTCATTCTACTCGTCGTAAAGTAGAGCCACTGACCGATGCGGCGTTTTTGGCGGGAACAAGTCCGGACTGAGGCCTCCCAACCTGAGGACGCGGCGGGCTAGATGCTTGATATCTCTACAGGGATACAATGCACTCTGCTGCAGCTTCCGCTAGATGTGAGGGGGTGATTCGAGCTTACGTGTGAGGTCCTTACCATCTTATGCTGATGGTGATAGAGCTCTTTCTACGCTGCCACAGCTGCCTTATTATGTGGTAGTAGGGTAGGTCAAGGTACAGTAGGTAGCTGTCAGGGTCCGGCGTCCACCGGTCTCGCCATCCAGCCCTCGCTTACCAATGATTGTACATAGGTACCTGTAGTAGGTAGAGAGTTACTAGTACGTAGTACGTAGTACGCAAGACCGACTACGGAGGAGGGATAGACTGATTGACTGATTGACTGACTGACTGACTACCTACCACTCACTACCTTACCTCCCTACGCACCTCACACCCTACCTGTCTGTGCACCTCTCCCCTCAACAACCTACTACACCCTACGTACTTCGATCCCCTAACGAGGACTGTCAGTGCTCTCTACCTTAGGTATTTATCTATCTCGACATATTCTTAACACATACTTCGAGGTTTCTTTCATTCAAGTCCGGCTAAAGTGCCCGGTCTGTTCTCTCTGGTCCACAGCCAACTAAGTACGTCCGTTCCTCTCCTTCCTGGGTGTGTCCTATGCAGTTAGTAGTGTGAATCAATGAGAGCTGGGCAGAGATACAGTCGGCATAACATGGGTCAGCAGTCCGAGACTGATTTGTTGTATATTGGACAACTGTGCCTGTGCTGGATTCCTTGAAAAATTGTGGTCTACCTCGCCATTTCCTCACGAGCGGGAGTGGACAGGGATCTTGGAAGGACCAGGTCTAACCCAGGTCTGCCTTGCATCGTGGGAACCAAGAAGAGAAGATCCGGGGCGATCACAACAGATCGACGACACGCAGGAGCTACATGAAGCTACATGAAGCTACACGGCGTTCTCTCATTCTCGTTCTACTCACCGTGGACGGACTACTGCATGATACATACATAGAAGCGCGATTCTGGTTTTGTGTCATTTCGTTACTCGACACCATTTGCAAGAGTCGGACAATCAAATACTGACACTCATCCAGGCGACAGAGCTTGTTGTACAGGCGGCTGAAAGACGACTGGCAAGCTATATCGACACACGAACACACGGACACACGGACACACTTTAGGAAACTGTCCTATTAGGATATTCAGGCAGTCCATCACTGTTGGGCCGAAGAGTGTGATCATCTTTCGCTATCTGTAAGCTCACTTCCACCTACTGTCCTCGATCAAATACCGCGAGAATGGTCGAACTCCGCAAACGCCCTCCTCCAAAGGAAACGGCTACGCCGCCACCGAACGCCAAACGAGGCGGCGGTAGTACAAGCACCGTCAAGAAACTTGCGGAGAAAGCCAAGGGAGCAGTATCTTCCAAGAAGAGTGACGACACCAGTAGTGGTCCAACCGCCGTGGAAGCACCTGCAAAGGCAAACGGTCATGGAGGTACAAGTGCGAAGGGAAAAATCGCTGTCGGAGAGAGCATTGACCCGGACGGCTTCGGAGGTACTGTCCAGACGCACGACGGTACGAGCGTCACGCTTAAGGACTTGTTGGACAAGAGTGGCAAGGGAGTTGTTCTGTTCACGTATCCCAGGGCCAGTACGCCAGGCTGTAAGTCATGCCCTAGCAATGCTGTCGTTTTCATGTGTTTGGGTGTTGCAAATGCCCCAACCCTCAACCTCCTGCATTCTCTGTTTCCCTGGTTCGACACAGGATTTGGATCCTGTCACGTATTCCGAGTGCCATTGCTGGAGACTGAGACTAACACTCGGCCTTGCCACGTGGTGATAGGCACAACCCAAGCTTGTCTGTTCCGTGACAACTATGCCGCCATCACCGAGGCTTCGTTGTCGGTGTTCGGCCTTAGCACCGACAGTCCTAAGGCCAACACGACTTTTGCTACTAAACAAAAGCTGCCGTATCAACTCTTGGTAAGTGCCAGTCACACTGCCCTACTTTGAGCAATCATGCTCCCTCTCCGACCGCATTGTGCTTAGGCTGACGCATGCATACAAACAACCAGTGCGATCCTGGCGCCACGTTGACCGAGGCGATCGGAATGAAGAAACCTGGTCCAGGCAAGTCGACCACAAGAGGCGTCGTCGTGATCGACAAACAAGGCGTCGTCCGTGTCTGGGAGCAGGCAGGTCCCGCAAAGACTTTGGACGCCGTGCTCGAGTATATCAAGACTCAGGGGGCAGAGGAGACTGGAGGACCAGCTGCCACAGGTGCAGCCACTGCTGAAAACCCTGCTGTGGCGGAGGACAATACTGAACTGGCGAATCCAGACACGAAGATGGATGAGGTTCCGCTGATCAAAACTCCTTCCAAGGAGGAGCAAGAGGCCGCGACCACAGCGGCGGAAGTCGGTGAGACTGCAGCCAAGATCGATGCCGCCGTCGGTGAGCTCAAGCCATGAGTATGTCTTAGGCTGTTGCTCGCGGAAAAGCATTCACTTATTCCAACATTTGCTGCTCTTTCGGGAGACCCACAGTGCCGGTTCTGTAGACGCATATTCATATGTTTGCGACACCCGGTGCCCATACTTTCCCAATCCGTTGTAGCTCGTTGATGAATCTCTTGCTGGTGATCTCAGGGCTCTGGCCCCCATAATTGGCGATCTGTAGCGGCGTTCGGTCGTCCGGCGAGTAGAATGGGTTCAACATGAGTTGAATATATGCAGTCTGCACTGCACGAAAGGCGGGTTTCAAGTCGGCGTCTCGTAGGCCCACAACCGCCGGGAACCTTCGCTTGTCCTCGTCTGGGGGAGGCGGGCGTCCCATCATGTCTACGACGATGATGAACTTTATACCAGTGTTGGTGAGCCAGCCATAGGCGGCCAGTCGCTCGTCGATCGCTTGCAAAAGCCCCAGGTCTTGGTCGAGGGTCTTCGTTCGTGCTCGGAGGTCAAAGATGTCGAGACAGGAATTGAGCAGGAATGTCATGTCCAAGTCTTCATCTTGATGCGGTGGGAACAGGGAGATATGTAGCGGATTGTCCTAGAGGAGGTCAGGAACGGTATCGAACAATTGGCGCTGCAGAGCACTTGCATGTTTGCCGATGATGCCAATGCAAGCAATGGCCGGCGTGGAATTGAGGGCCATCAAGTAGCTGCTCAAGTAGTCGAGTCAGTGAACGGAACAGCATGACCACGCAGTAATATGGTCGAGGCATCCTATAGAACAACGGTGCCTGGTTGTTGGAGAAATCTCGCTGTTTGAGAGGAGAGGAGCGCGGAAGCCACATTCGGCCAATGAGCGAGCTTCGAAATTGGATTTGGCCGGGAAGGCGAAGAGGCATTATCGACCTTTAGCCTCCCGACTTCTGTACATTGTGAATGCGCATTCACCTCTTTTCGACGGCTACTTCATTCTTCTTCCTGGCGGCCATTCCAGGAATAACAAAGACATCTTTTCTTGCGGCAAGATGATGTCCTTGTCAAGAACCGTGGCTCCACGAGCCCTGCGAGGTACGAAATTCGGAAGCCAGAGCTCTTCGCCACAACAATGGCAACGATTGATGATAACATTTGTATAGCGTCCACGACTGTCCCCTTCTCCTTAATACGAGCAGCCCCGGCAGCATCGATCTCATCTTCCACCCCGAAATCAGCTACCTCAGTCACTCCAGCCACGACCTCGAACGATGGCTCGCGGTTACCCGTCACAGGCGGCATCCGTCGCGAAGTGCCGCTCCCATCACAGGAGAAGAAACAAGGCGCCATGCAATATGCGCTCACTACACTTGATCAGATTGCCAACTGGGCGCGACAGGGCTCGTTGTGGCCTCTCACCTTCGGTCTTGCTTGCTGTGCCGTCGAGATGATGCATCTGTCCACACCACGGTACGATCAAGACAGACTGGGAATTATATTTCGAGCGTCCCCGCGACAGAGTGATGTGATGATTGTGGCCGGCACCCTCACGAACAAAATGGCTCCGGCTTTGAGACAGGTCTACGACCAAATGCCCGATCCGAGATGGGTCGTCAGTATGGGCAGCTGCGCCAATGGCGGTGGCTACTATCACTACAGCTACAGTGTGGTCAGAGGCTGCGATCGGATTGTTCCCGTGGACATCTACGTTCCTGGATGTCCCCCGACCAGTGAGGCTCTGATGTACGGTATCTTCCAGCTACAGAAGAAGAGTAAGCACCTATTCCTGTCCTGGTTTCGGCCACAGCTTCTGGTTGTGCGGCAGCTAACCTTGATTGCAGTGCGACATACCCGTATCACGAGACTGTGGTACAGGAAGTAAATGGCTGAGCGGCGAACCTGGAAAACGTCTCCATATTCTTTTTTTGGTGGTGGCGTTTTCCGCCTGGGAAATATTATCCCCAGGCCATATTTGTACCTCCATGGGATATGTACAGAATGATATGGTCAATCGAACTCTCATCGCTTCCGTCTCGATATATCACAGACACTGCTGCTGTGTCTCGCTCGACGTTCATGAATCTACGAAACGCCACCAAGGGCACACTTGCACTTGAGCTTGGTTGATCGGATCGCCATCGATCTCAATCTAAAGACAAGAGGACGGCAGAATGGCTGCCACACTGGGTCAATTCGATGCCATGACCTCCTCTTATCCCACGAGCGCATCCTGCGTGGCGAGAAAGTTTCTATATACTCATTAAACCCGCATGAATCAAGACAGTGCAGAGACTTGGGTCATTATATCCTTGCCTGACCTATGTTGGCATACTCATACGCATTCCCGGACGTGTCAGCTACAACCAAACGCACCTCCACTGAGCGAAAGTCGTGAAATCTGTAAGCGTAGTAAACGGAGCACGCAGTGTTTGCACACGCTCAGCATTGCATTCCCATATCCGCAGTACTGGGTGGTGACCAGCAAGAGCGTGTTGAACAGTACAGAGTAACAATCCCGCACCCAACCAGGAGCGTGCTCTGATTGGTCAGATTATAGCCTTGCTCGTTATGTAATCGTTGCGGAGCGAGACATTCTTCCGTCTGCGTGTCTTCAGTTGCCTGCCTTTCTTCTCATTCCACCGCCATCCTCGCAGTCCGTCTTCGAAGCGCAATCACATTGCGTCGGGCAACAGTCCAGTCATGGAGATATCCAAGACAGCACTCCGACGGATCCCCCGTCGAGCGCATCGCTTGGCCAGTGCTGTTCGCTATGGAGATCTTCCGCCCTCCGCTCTAGCATGCTCTCCTATGGCAGTATGGAGCAGGAGACAGTTCTCAACAAACACAAACTTGCTGTTTCCTGGCCCTTCAGGCTTTGGTGCAAGTAGCTCCTCAGGGCCACCCACCTACTTCCAGCGGCAGTCGAGCTTACCCGCCAACACCATCATTCGCTTCGTACCGCAGCAGACCGCTTGGATCGTGGAGCGCATGGGCAAGTTCCATCGGATCCTGCAACCCGGGCTTGCCATTTTGCTGCCAATAATTGATGTATGGACGGACTCCCGCGTTTGTGCACCACCCGGAAGCTAACAATTTGGAAAGCGTATCGCCTACGTCCAGTCGTTGAAAGAATCGGCCATCGAGATTCCCAGTCAGAGCGCAATCACTGCGGACAATGTCACGCTTGAGCTAGATGGCGTGCTCTACACAAGAGTGTTCGATGCGTACAAAGCGAGGTAGGGTCAGACCTCGGTCAGGACGAAGCAGTTTAGCTAAGGTTGTTTGCAGTTACGGCGTGGAGGATGCAGAATATGCTATTTCACAACTCGCCCAGACGACGATGCGATCCGAGATCGGCCAGCTGACATTAGATCACGTCCTGAGGGAACGAGCGAGCCTTAACTCCAATATTACACAAGCCATCAATGAAGCCGCGCAGGAATGGGGTGTGGTGTGCCTGCGGTACGAGATTCGAGACATCCACGCACCGGAAGGGGTTGTGGCTGCCATGCACAGACAAGTTACGGCGGAACGGTCGAAGCGGGCCGAGATCTTGGAATCCGAAGGTCAAAGACAGAGCGCGATCAACATTGCGGAGGGTCGGAAACAATCCGTCATCCTAGCGTCTGAGGCGTTGAAGGCGGAGCAGATCAACATGGCATCTGGTGAAGCGGAGGCTATCCTGGTCAAGGCCCAGGCTACAGCGCGCGGGATCGAAGCCGTCGCGAGTGCCATCAAGCAAGGCGAGGATAGTGCCCAGAGCGCTGTCAGCCTCAGTGTTGCTGAGAAATATGTTGATGCATTCAGCAAGTTGGCGAAAGAGGGTACGGCGGTGGTGGTACCCGGAAACGTCGGCGACATTAGCAGCATGATTGCTAGTGCAATGGCTGTCTACGGCAAGGTGAACGAGGGTCAGATCAAGAGCCTTGCGGCCACGCATTCGTCACAATCTTCGAACGAGCCGGAGAAGGATGTTGGCCAACAAGTCATTGAGGTCGCGCAGCGCGGAGACGCGAAAGACATCGCGCAGACTGTACTTGACGGATTTGAGAAGACGAGAGAGTCGCGGAGATGAGTAGCTGGGACATTGGAAGTGCCCATGCCGCTCTGGGAAAAAGGGACTGGGGAATCTCTCCTTGAAACGCAGCGACGGCGCCACTGCGTGTATTACCACGGGTCGAGGCTAAAAGTTGCACTTGAATGTATACCATCGCCAGCGGGCAATCTGAACAATACAACTTTCCAAAAACATTTGGTTAGAATGCGCATGTGTTTGATCTTTCAGTCCACCGGATCCTCCCTCGTCATGGTGGTCATGCTCACCGAGGAGGAGACACCGCCGTGATGTGGGATGAAGCAGGGTCTAGATGCAACGACGTATCCTCCTAGTCATTTGGAAGGGTGTTGTCATTTGATCCTCATTGATAGTCATCGTGATAGACATGAAGTGATCAACTTGAAGCAGAAGAAAACGCGCCGAGACGTGGACGCGTAGCGCGGTCATATATAGATTGTCAGATGAAACATCTGCAATTTATTTCCCCATATCACCAGCGTCATTCCAAAGGTTTTCTAAATGACATCTCCCCGATTTGTCTGAACATACCACAATCCTTTAGGTGCGAAGCGAACTGTGAACGGCGAGTGACACTCCGACTTCAACAAGCCAGCGCTTCACAAACCCACGTCCTTTATTGAGTGTAGCATCATACTTTTCAGCCCTCTACCTCGCTGTGCCGTCTTCGTCCTCTCCCACAGTTTCCTCTGTCGCCCGAGATGCCCCTCCCACGCTTTTGGAGATAGTCCGCAATGCATATCATCAAGCCGATCTGGCTCACGCATGGGGGTACGTCTACCACCACCCAAGATTCTGGACGCGTTTCAAAGCGCGTCAACTAGGTCGCGCACACAAGCATGAGGGTTCCGAAAGGCTAATAGCGGGATAAACAGGGGAAAAGAAGGACTTCGAAGTGTACAGTTGCCATGTGTCTCCAGACGGGCAACGCCTGGTCACAGCGGCCGGTGGTATGTCTTTTGTCAACGTTCACGCTGATGTCCTGCTGTACTCTTGGGATCCAGGACAGTCTGCTGACCTGATGCTGATGTGCAGATGGCTATGTGCGAATCTGGTCGACCGAAGCGATCTACAACGCTGCCAACGCAAAGTACGACAAGCCCAAGCAGCTGGCGTCTATGAGCTATCATTCTGGCACGATCCACACCGTTCGATTTTCTCCCGGAGGAAAGTTCCTGGCCTCGGGCGCAGATGACAAGATTGTATGCATATACACACATGACCCGAGTCCGCCGAGCCATGCTGCATTTGGTGAGTTCGTTGTTTACTGTCGGCAGGATCGCATGGGCTAAGAGACGATGCAGGTTCAAACGAGGCGCCTCCTGTGGAAAACTGGCGCATTTTCCGCAGGTTGATCGGGCACGACAACGACGTCCAGGACCTAGGCTGGTCATACGATGGAACAATTCTGGTGTCAGTCGGCTTGGATTCCAAGGTTGTCGTCTGGTCGGGCTACACCTTTGAGAAGCTCAAAACACTATCCAACCACTCAAGCCACGTCAAAGGCATTACTTTTGACCCGGCGAACAAGTACTTTGCAACTGCGAGCGACGATCGAACCATAAGAATCTTCCGTTTCACCTCTCCCACTCAAAACTACACTAGCCACGACGCAGTGAACAACTTCATCCTCGAGCAGACGATCGTTCAACCGTTTGTCAACTCACCGCTCACAACCTATTTTCGGAGGTGTTCTTGGGCCCCGGATGGACAGCACATCGCCGCCGCCAATGCGGTTAACGGGCCAGTCAGTGCAATTGCTATCATCAATCGCGGAACCTGGGACGGTGATACTACGTTGATCGGTCACGAAGGACCGGTGGAAGTATGCGCCTTCTCCCCGAGATTATATGGATCAGAGCCCGTCACTCGCCCCTTACCTGAAGGCCATGTTGCCCCTCATACCACCGTCATTGCGTGTGGAGGTGCGGACAAATGTCTTAGCATCTGGACGACGAACAACCCACGTCCTCTAGTTGTACAGCAAGATGTTGCTGCGAAACCTATCTCCGACCTCTCCTGGAGTCCGGACGGACAGACTCTATTCGCGACGGCGTTGGATGGCACCATCTTAACGGTCATGTTCGAACCTGGCGAACTAGGCTATCCCAGACCCATTGAAGAGAACGACCGGTCACTCAGTAAATTTGGGACGTCAAGGAAGGGTCTCGGCTTTCCGGAGACGACCGAAGCATTGCGTTTGGAAGAGCTAAGCAAGGCAGGCGAACTGAAGGGTGTGGAAGGCAGGATGGGCGCTCTCATGGGCGACTCTCATTCTGCGCAACCCGCCACAACCAATGCAGCTGGACCTCCAAATGGCACCACAATGTCAGAGCCATTGCAGAATGGGACAGAAACCACGGCGAACGGGCATGCAGCGGCAAAAGCACAAGACGATTTAAACCAGGCTAAACTGGAACGTCTCAAAAACAGGGTCGAGATCACGAAAGACGGGAAGAAGCGAATACGTCCGCTGCTGGTGTCTGGAGCAGGCGGAGCCGAGTCCTCTCTGCCCCAGACGAAGCTTGTCAGTGCCAGTGCCAGTGCCAATGTCCAGACGGTCGATACTCCGCAGTCGATCCTGGATCTCTCCAAGCCGTTTGATGGTCTCCCTAAGGGTGGACTCGCAACTCTGCTGCTTGGAAACAAGAGGAAATACGCACAAATAGAAGGCGAGGAGGAAGGCACTACAGAAAAACGGGTGCTGGCTGCGAGCCAAAAGGGAGGCCTTCCCATTCTCAACAACACACCCGATGGACTTCTGCCAGCACAACACCAGCCGCCTACCAGCGGTCAAGAAGTCACCCCTGACTGGATTCGGCCTGCTGTTATTAACCCTGCGATTAGTGTCAGCCAGCTGCGACTGGCCGTGCCAAAAGTCCGAGCACACATTGTCCAAGGCATCGAACCCTCAGGCCAGCCAGCCGAAGTCTCGAATGATGCCGCCAACAAATCGAGGGCGGAGTTCGTTTTCGAAGCTCGCAATCCTACCGGCCCGTCGTTAACACCACGTGCACAAGACCGCGAACCGTGTCGGATCACATTGACTAGGAAGGATCAGCCTCTGTGGCAGGATTTCCTGCCTCGCCCAGTTCTTTTAGTGACAGGCAACCATAAGTTCTGGGCGGCTGCGGACGAAGCAGGGTCGGTGTATCTTTGGACGCCGCATGGGCGACGGCTCAACAGCGCCATCGTGATGGAAGCCCAGCCTGTCGTTCTAGCAGCCTACGAGTCCTGGCTGCTGTGCATCACCAGCGTCGGTATGTGCTACGTGTGGAACGTGAAGACAATGTCGTCGCCCCATCCGCCAGTCTCTCTCGCTCCTGTTCTCGATACCGCGATGCATTCTCTCGCCGCGCATCCGACAGGTGCCCCTGCCATAACGCATGCCCGATTGAACTCGGAGGGTCGCATCATCGTCACTCTATCCAACGGTGAAGGATTCGCCTACTCGCCCCAGATGTACTGCTGGCAGCGCCTGTCCGAGGTCTGGTGGGCAGTAGGCAGCCAGTACTGGAACACCACCGACTCGTCGGTCGGGAACATCCAGTCGTCCAAAGCCCAAGCCCAAGCCAGCGGCCCCGGTGCGGTCGACAAGTCTGTCAACGTGTCCTCAGGCATCATCCCCTGGCTGGAGAGGAACACTACTTCCGAAACCCTCCTGCGCGGTCGGGCGTACTTTCTCCAACGGCTCGTCAAGGTCCTGCTGTCGCGCGAGGGCTTCGAGAGTTTCGAGTCCGGCGTGTCCATCGCACACCTGGAGAACCGCATCGCCGCGGCACTCATGCTCGGCGCCAAGGATGAGTTCAGGATCTATTTGCTCATGTATGCGAAGCGACTGGGCGCCGAGGGCCTGCGGCTGAAAGTCGAAGAGCTGCTGCGCACGCTGGTCGGCGGCATCGTCGAGGAACCCCAGCCTGATCCGACCAGCGAAAGCAGTGCGGTCGTCAAGAATCCCAATGCAGTCGAAGGCCGCAATTGGCAGGAAGAGTCCAAGACGATCTGCGGATGGCCGAGAGAAGAACTTCTCAAAGACGTCGTCTTGCTACTCGGTATGTTTTGTTTTATTTCATTCCTCCCTCCCTCGTGTCCATTCCCTGCAACCTATCCCCTCTTGCCTTTATGACTATACCTTTTCTCCTTTCGAACTAATGAAACTTGATGGCCGTGACTAATCTGACCATCCTTTTGGCGCGTCTGCAGGCAAACACCGCGATCTGCAAAGAATCACCGTGCCATACGCGAGGATGCTACATCTTGTTGATGTCGACGAGACGAATCCCGATCCAGGTTTCGATCCAGGTCCAGATGATACTATGACAGCTTGAAACAGTGGACAACCCTGCGTGTGGGCCTCTTCCCAAAAGGAAAACTCATTCGCTTTGGGACCCATCACTATTGCATCTCAACCCTCCGTGCGGCTTTCGGTCGGTTCTGGTTGGACATACGGGCAGGAGGAAGGCACGAGCGAGGCCAAGATCTCGCTTCTTGTAAGGTCGCCATCGGTTCTAGCGGGCGAGTGGGTGGTGCACTTGTTGACCTTGCTGATGTGCAAGTATGCGCATTGTGACAGGTGCTAGAGATACCAAAATAATGAGGCTACGTGCTGGCATTTCGTGGACTGGCAATTGAATGTCCGTCAAACGAGTTCAAAAGGAAGAACAAAAGACTTCACGAATATGCATCGATTAGAGAAGCAAGCTTTGTAGTGGCAGGTTTGACATTTTGCAGCCTGATTGCCTGCGATGCGTGGGAACTGCTGTCCATTCGTCTCAATCGTGGTAATACTATCTAGAAGCCCTGCAATAAAGCCCCAGAGGAGGAAATCTGCTCAAGATGACGCGGTGCCATGGTAGGTGATGTCCACCACATTGAACCATGCCCTTTTCATGGCACGTATATCGAATAAATCCGATTAGGCCGAGCACGGGATAGCTAGATGCGCCTATTTGCTGTTGCGATCCCTGCGGGCAAGGCGGATGCATCTTGGTTCTGAGCGAAGGAGGTGGGCTCAAGCCTTGGCCGCACCGGCTTTGATAAGGAGAATATCACCGTCTTCCACAACTGTAGGAGAGATACGATCAGTATGGACAGGGGGTACAGAAATGCAGTATTGAGGGGGCGTCCACTTACCATAATCTTTGCCCTTGGTCATGATCTTTCCGGCGGCTTTCACGGCATTTTCGTCCCCGTACTCCTTCAACGTCGCGAAGTTGTACACTATGACCTGGATGAAGGTCTTTTCGAAATCGGTATGGATCACCCCTGCGGCCTGCGGGGCCTTGGTTCCCTTCCGGATCGTCCACTGTCGAACCTCGTCGGTGCCCGTGGTGAAGAAGCTGATGAGGTTGAGTACTTGACGCATGGTCACGACGACTTTGGGAAGTGCGGATTTCGTGCTGAGCTTTTTGCATTCCTCGGCCGCCTCTTCGTCGGACATGCTGGCGAGGCGTTCCTCAAAGGATACGGAAATCGGGATGACCGGGTCACCGGTGGCGTTGGTCTTGATCCACTCCATCACTTTCGGTAGATACTTGTTCTTTTGTCTGATGTAGTCCTTTTCAGACAGGTTGACTAGGTAGACCACTGGTTTTGCGGTGAGGAGGAAGAGAGGGTTGATCACCTCGACCTAATGCCACCAAGTGTCTCGTCAGCCTTGCGACCTAGACATCAAGCGGCAGGTATAATCGAAAAGGATGTGATGTTGGTATTCAGGGTTGGAGTTCCTCTCATGGCAGCCTCTAAACGTGAGATTTATGGTGAGGCTGCTGTCGACGAGCTGGGATTATGTCGAGCTAATAGCTCTTGTTCATCATGGTATGTTGGGAATAGGACAAAAGGTATAACAAGAACAAGACAAGAAGCTTACCTCTTTGGGAGTCCAGTCGCCCTTTCGGACTTCTTTGCCGTCTTTCAAAAAAGCGAGGATCTTGTCCACGGTGGCCTCCTCTTCTTTCAGTTTCTTCATTTCAAGACTTTGGCCGCCTCTTCTTGTCTGCTTGGCTAAGTTTTCCTTGGCCTTCTCGACGAACTCGATGTCCTTTAACCTCAGCTCTTCGGAAATGATGTCCAAATCTCGCGTCGGGTTGACATCTCCTTCGACGTGGATGATCTCGGCATCATCGAAACATCGCACGACCTGGAAAATAGCATCGACGGCTCTGATATGCGACAAGAAGGCATTGCCGAGGCCAGCGCCTGTAGAAGAACCTCTTGTCAACCCAGCGATATCATAGACCGTCAAATTGGCTGGCACTTGGGATTTTGGTTTGTAGTGTTCGCAAAGCCAGTCATATCGGGCGTCAGGGACAATGACGCGTGCCTCCTCAGGATCGATGGTGGCATAGGGGAAGTTTGCAGGGTTGCCCAGCGAACATTTTGTGATGGCTTGGAAGAGTGTAGATTTGCCGACATTAGCCAGACCAACCTGATTGGATTACGTTAGTCCACCGTCGCACACACCGAGTGCTTGTTGCGAGGAACATTGCCTACATACGATACCGCTCTTCAAGTTATTGCCCGGCCTGCCTAGCAGGATCTTTTCTTCTTTAACGGCTTTCTTGGGAGGCATCTTCCTTTTAGCGTACCCGCGAGTCTGAGTAGGGTGGTTCAGGAGGGCTGCAGCGCCTTTCTGGAATGTCGGCTTCGAGCAAGGCTCAAGTGCAGATCCGGCTGCAAAGATTGAAATACGGAGGGGAGAAGTGAAGAGCGTCCTCCAAGAAGTGGAGGAGAGCGTGATGTGAGATATTACGGTCGCAGACTCGAGCAGTACAGCGCTCGAAGTCTCTGCGAGTGTCAAATAGTAGTCGGAAGGAGATGTGTTTGTGTGTTATGAGGTAGTACCTAACATTTGCTGTGGTAAGGTAAGTTGAATGAAGTGAGCCACACTTTTTCGAAAATGCCAAGCTATGGCCAAATTCACATTAGTACTAACTAGTAGTGGTAGCAGCGGTCGGCTGTACGGAAGAGGCTAGTGTTATTTACATTTTAGGCATCTTTGCCGAGCAGTCTGAGATGCTGAGATGCTGAGACAAGTGAGCCTTAAACACCGGCTCAGAGAGGCATTCTGATCGATATCTTTCTGTCGATGCACCTATTCGATACGGCCTTGCTCGTGCGGTACGTCACCTGGGTGTTCGGGGCGAAGACGTCGTTCTCGACCGTTAAGGGGCACTCATCCTGCTGAAGGTCCATGTATCCCGGTCGGGTGCCGAGGCTGGCGTCGTAGACGTAAGTGAAACTGTTGGCGTGGATTATGCGGCGCACAGAAGGAGTGACCGTCGCCGGGCTTTAACGGCCTCGGTGCCCTGCATCGCGGGCCATACGAGGTCTCGCTCGTAGTCTGTGGCCGAGTGGCTAAACGGACTGGCCAGGTACATCGCGGCCACCGGCTGAGAAGTAACGAAAGAGCGCGGTATACGTCTCTGGGTCAGTGAAGTTGGGTACCACGGCCGTCAACAGGAGGTATTTCGTGTCCGGTGAGAGTTGGGCGTGGGATTTTCCAGTTACCTCCGCCTTCTTCGACGAGCTTACGGTCCCGAGAAGGCGGAAATCGGCGCTTAGCAGATGTCAAATCGTGTGCCAGGCGATGAACCCGTTGGCCCCGGTCACGAAAATGAGGGACGGCGGAGCGATTGGGCCGGGCCCTCCCGGCTCTGCATATGGCATTTTCGCTTTTGTTTGGATACGAGAGAGGACCAGCCCCCTCATGGCTGGCGAGGACGAGGAATGGTCAACGATACTGAATGCGGACGTGAATGAGCCGTGGGAGAGATGAAGGTTGCTCGGTGCAGTCGGGAAGGGGTGGGGAGGGGTTTAAGCAATCATCCTCGACACCCTGGCGTGCCTTTTGTCCTTGACAGCAGGCAGATCAAAGGCTTCGCTAACCTTGTCGCCAGTGCTGAGAGAAGATATATTTCCAAAACCACAGGTCCACTGTCAGAAATGTACGACAAACCCGGAGACAAGCTGTGTGTCTGAATGGTAGTGAGAGGGCATTCTGCTGCCACTTGAGAGATTGGGTCCGAATTCTCTACTTCTCCTTGTCCCTCTCTTCCCGTCTTCGTCTTCGATCCTCGAACACCAAGTCAAGGGCGGGCCGCAAGAATAGTCCTACTGGGACAGGGCTGAGGACAGTAGCTTCCCAAGAATCTGGTGGCCTTTGTACGGAGTGGCAAATGATGAGGCCGTCGCATCGATGCATGGAGGATGATAAAGATCAATACGTATCTTTTTCGTACCATCCCAAGATATGATACGTGGGGAGTACCTTTGATCGGTGAGGAACGTACACACTAAGTGGTCCCCTGTACCTTGCACAGGGTTAATGTACTGAACCTGGTGCAATTGTTGGCTGGGGGCAAGACAGAGAAGAACGCTATCTGGCCACCATGGCAAGCCTTATGCAGCCGGCGGATAGATAATGGGGGTGCAAACGAAGGGGTCCATTTACGTCGTACAATCATGATTCAAGCAATCCTCCTCCTTTCGGCCCAGAGTGTCCAGAATGCAGTAAGGGATCGTTCTGGCAGTACCATCCTTCTCATATCGCTTGTGAGCCTTTCTTGACCGTGGAAGCGGGAGGATGTAGAGATGGGAACCATGATTTCGAACCTCTGGGGGTATGCCTCCTTGTGTCCTCGAACTACTCTTCCCAGGCTAGCGCAAGGCAATGTGACGGGCATAGAAGGCTCATAGACACGTCGTCCGAGAGTCGACCTCTCTGGGTGGATCAAGTGGGTCAAGCGGGTCAGCTTCAAACCAATCAACTTTCAATATTCCTCCATTGCTAGTCATCGAGGGGCGCTCTAAAGACTAGATAGCGGGCCCTTATCAGCTCAAAAGTGAGCTTATTTGAACTATATGAGCTATATACCGAGGGAGGTAGATACTACTTACCACCTATATTAGGCGCTAACCACGATTTGCATATAGCCAACGGCTAGGTCGGCAGCCATTGAGGAATTCCAATGGAAATGAGAAGCAGGACAAGCCACCCCGTGGAAATAGGTCGCTAAGTATGCTTTGAGGCCCCCAATTGGGCGGGTTGGATGAGAAGTCGGCCATCCTCTTGAAACGAGCAGTAGTTGCACGATGAGGAGGACTGCTATGTAGTTGGATGGCTGTTTCCTGCTCAATCAATACCATGTGACCATGGTCATAAGGGATCCTTTTCCGTGGCGCCGTTGGTGCAACTGCAGCTGCAATCATTAACATTGTAAGCAACTGGTTCTCTCCACCCTGTAGTTGAAGCGCCTTGCCATTGAGGTCTAGGGTTCTTCGAGGCCGAGACCCTACTTGACGTGGGCATCCAAACTCCACATCAATTTGTCGCTATATGTTCCCTGGGTTTCGAAGGCCGTCGCACCACATTTATTCAGGTTCACTATCAGATCCGGGGTGCATGTAGCGACCGAGGTCCCACTTTCTCCTCCCCTGCTGCCAGGGAGGTTACGGCGAGCAATCAGGCGGCCTCAGGGGGTTGCGCGTCTATAGGCCATCTGATCCTGCGTTGTTTCTTGTACCTCTGTAGCTCATCCCCACGACTGACCAATATAGGTCTCTCTACTTAAAGGACACACGGCAAAGCCTCCATCACAGACCACCTCAGCCCTCGGAGTTCGTGGGAAGGGCGAAATGGTGGGCAGGCTTGTTCATCCACCGATGCCGACAACTTACAAGGCTGTTCGTGAAATCAGCCATGTCAACAACATCAGATTATATATGGATCGCGCCGACCAATTCGGAGCCTGTTATCAGGTTCTCAGCTACAAGGTTTCTGGACTCCAAAGAAGTATCTATAAATTTGACACGTATCATCTACGCGCAATAGATACCTATTGATGCTTCGATTTGACCATGTGCCCCCGTCCGTTCCATCTGGCTCTTTTCCATCGACCAAAGGTTTGAGTTCGCCCATAGAATTTTACATGGCGATTTGCGGTTCTATAGCAACGGCGGGATGCTGGCTATTATACTTGGCGGTGTCGTAGGGGAGAGCAAGGTCTACTAGGATTTCCGTCTTCGAGCAGGGCATACTTGCGGACGCCTGAGTCAACTACTGGAGGCGAGAGGAGACATAATTCACCCAAGCATTAAGGCGCGTTGCTTACATAGAATCTCTGGATTGTACCAAGAATGGCAGATTGACACACGACCTACCGGCACCCGAGGCCACAGCACTATCTCGTTTTTCATTAATGTCCGCCTTGTAGATGGACATCACACAACCCCCAAATAGGTGAACTGACCCCCTTCCAACGCTGGCGAAAATAGTCAAGCACCACAAAGGCATAACAACAATAAGTACAAATGTACAAGGGAGTTCAAGTTTATGCATCAGACAGTGCAAATCCCCGAGGACGACCTGGTCGTTGATCAAAGAGTGCTTTCTTTTGACGTAGCTGATCTCCTTTCAACGGTGTATCCATTTCAACTCCAAATAGCGGAGGGGCGGGTAGACAATCGCAGCCCAAGCGGCTGAAACAGGAAGTCCAATCTGAAGGGTCACACAACTGTCAGTATCAAGCCGAGAAAATCATGTCCACTGGTCGGGGACCAGCCATCAGAAATTGGTAAGAATTGGTAACTTACATCAGCACCTCCACCGATCATGGCTGCAATGGGGCCTGTGAAATAGGTCTCGTACATGCACAGAACGGCTCCTACCCATCCGACGCAAAAGGCGATGAGGGCGGCGATCCCCAGTGGCAGTTTGGACTTGTTGTTCCAAGCTTCCCAGTCATAGCCGGATTTCCATCGAAAAGCCTGATCTTCGGCAACCAAAGCGATCCAGATGATGGTCCAGTATCCGATCAGAGCCAGGAAGCCGTTGAAGATGGAGAGGAGATACGCGCGACCGGCGATGGCACAGACGGCGTAGATAATGACGGAGACGGTGCTCCAGAAGTACCGTGGAAGCTTGGCGGGCCACGAGCCCAGGAGCTGGAAGTTGAACGAACAGGAATAGGCGCCTAAGAGACAATGCCACGTTAGTATTGTTTCTTGCGCTCGTCCAAGAACACCTCGTGTCTTTGTCAAGGAACTTGGGGACTTTTTTCGGTCAAACGTACCAGGGACTTGGTTTGCAACCAAACCGAGGGCCAGAAGGACACCACAGAAATTCCCAAAAGTACCCAAAGGAGAAAGAGATGTAATAATCAGTTCTCCAGTCGACGTGTCAAAGGCGGTACCCCAGGCCGGATTGCTCGTAAGGCCGCTGCCGAGGCCGATTCCAATGTATAAGACTATGAGCTTCGAACAGAGGCATCCGCCGGCTGTAAGCAGACAGAGCAAGGTTTTGGAAGTATTCTTTGGTAAGTAGATCTGCCGGGTTCGGAGTGTTAGCCTGATACTCAAGATCGGTTTCTCAAAACGTCGTCTCTTACATAGTAGTCTGTGGCGTACGAGGCCCAAGAGAGCGGAGGGGACATGGAGAGGAAGAAGTAGCTGATTCGCGACGCCAGGAGCGGTTGGCCGCTCAGAGGACTCTTCAGGTCGGTGTCCCAGTGGGGACCAGTGCAGCCGATCATCAGCATAAAAAGAAGGATCTGAGGCATCCAGGCATATCTGGGAGGCGTGTGTCAGCCGCAAGGAATGTAGAGAGAGATTCGTTGTCATTTTCACGCACTGTTCAAAAGTCCTGAACCATTTCATCCCACAGGTAGCAATGATCCAAGTGATGAGGGCCGAGATGATCACGCCGACAATCGGAGTCATACCGTGCCCATTAACTGCGGCTAGAATCAGGCCGGCCGTGAGGCAGTTGACGACACCGTATCCGAGGCCGATGACAATGTTCAGAATGACGGCCAATCTGGAAGGCCACCATCCCATCGAGAACCGAGTGACAACCTGAGTGGTCTGTTAACATGAGAATCTTTGGCTTGGACGGGAAGCATGTACCATGGTCCTGCAGCCTGATTGGGGGCCAAATGTTGCAATGTATCCCGTGCAGAGACATCCGGTCAGGGTGCCAAAGGTGCAAAGCCTGGTCAAGATGTTAGCTTTTGAGACGAGGAGGCTCGACCAAAGGGGCTCTCACAGCATCGCGTCGGTGAACCCAAGCGCATACACCGCGGGGCCCAGGAGACCAATGTTGATTCCGTTTGCCGTGAGATTGATGCCAAACCACATCTGAAACATGTGCATGTAGTCCTTGAGTGATGCCTTTCCTTGACGCTCTTCGTCTGGGACACGTTCGATACCTCGCGTCTCGATCCCTGCCAGACCTTCAATTCTCGCTGACAGTTTTGCCAGTTTGGAAGTGCCATTCCCGATCGGAGTGGTCGCAGTGTGCACAGTTCCTTTTTCCACGTCCGTCATAGACGAGTCCGCAGGGTGGGAGCCAAATTTCTCCATGCTGAGTCTCGGATCAATTTCGAGAGAAGACATCTTGAGTGACCCAAAGGAAACAGAACTTGTGGTTCTCTGTTTCTCCTGTCTGTCTGTTTACCTTGTGACAATCCATTTCAGAAGAGGGACGTCTTCTCGACCATATAAAGAATGTCGCACAGTGTGATCAGCCGCCGCGCCCAATCGCCACACAGAGTGATACGGCGCGTCGTTCCTTGGCCTTGTCGAGACCAACGTGAGGGCTGTGATGCGACACATAACGATGCTGGACTTGGCAATGGCCCGGGCATCCAGGCCTCGACCTTTGGACGTGCGCCATGCGACGGCTGCATTGATTAGCGAGCGACCACCGATGGATTGGGTATCCGGGAACCATCAAGTCGGTGCGCAAGGACAAGATAAGGGTTGTGGGCCTGGAGACTTTCCTATCTCGATGTGGAGAATAACGCCCATTGGAGCCCCATGGTCAGATATCCTTCGCAAGATAAGAACTTTCCGTCGCAACGGGCATGCCTCCGCCGTGTATGAGAGCTAAACCCATTCCAGTACACACGATGGGCTTAGATGGATCAAGAGGCGAAGCTATGGGAGCTGCCGTGTATTGAGCACAGCGCAAGCGATCTCGTCCAATTTCCATGAAGGTAATTCCGTAGGTGATTCCTGTGTATAACTAGTTGCAACGCCGCCTCCTGTACCTGTCGCCCAGATAGAAACAGTCCTGGAAGGGTATCATCATCGACCATGGCAGTATTTTCAGGCACAACCCTCAACGCATTGCTCGCGAGCGCTCCGGTGCCCAAATGGGGTCTCGTCTTGTCCTTGGTATGTGAGCCAAATCTGCTCTCCTCTGCGAGTTGGAACGAGGAAGCCTAGAATTGGGCGATTTCATCTGGAGATCTCAAATCCAGGCAGTTCCGTGACAACGCAAGCCTGTTTCCGCGTCCACCCCGACTCAAAGATGCGATCAGATGACAGATCGAGGTCCCGGAAAGGTGCTGACTGAAGATGACCACAGGTGCTAGTCCTGCTTATAGGATTATGCGTATATCGGCTGGCATTCCACCCGCTGTCCCGCTACCCAGGCCCTCCTCTGGCGGCGTGCACCTCCTTCTATTTCATGTACCACATCTCGACAGGATACTTCCCACAACACTGCGAGAAGCTTTTTGCGAAGTACAACACGGACGTTCTTCGCGTGGCTCCAGATCAGCTTGTTTTCAACGACCCCCAGGCTCTCAAAGATATTCCTGGCCGGTCTGATGTCTATCGGGGAAACTTTGCTCTCCGGGTCATTGGATTCGCGGGTACCAATGTCAGCAACATCCGTGACCCCGGTGAGCACCGTCGCAAACGCCGTTTGATGGCGCCGGGCTTTAGCAACGTCGCCTTGGCCGAGCAGGAGCCTATCCTGACGGTGCCGATTGTGGATAAGCTGATCAAGAAGATTACCGAGGTCGAAGGAGGAGTGGTCAATTTGAGCGACTATTTTGACTGTGTGACAGGCGACATTATCGGGGCCCTGTCCTTTGGTGCAAACTTTGGGATGCTGGATCAGCTGGAGAAGCACCCATTTCTTCATGTCTTACCCAACGTGCTTCGGTTGTCCGTCATCATCCAGTGCATTCCTCAGTGGTTCCGCACGATTGATTGGATCAACCGACACGGACCGAAATGGACTGTGCCCAAGCCCATGAGAGGGGTTTCTGATTTCGCCGGTTACCATCTTGCGGAAAGGAGGAAGCGAGATGCTGTGGAGGTCGACAAGTCCGGGCGCAAGGATATCATCAGCATCATCGAAGCCGGCAACGAGAAATTCAAAGGACAGCCGGGCTATGTCCAACTCGGCGAGTATGAGATGCTGGGCGAGGCCACTAACCTGGTAACTGGTAAGCATGTCTGCACCTCTCTGGAGGGATTCTGCCTACGGCACAGCTGCTGATCTTGGTGCAACAGGAGGCGGAGACACTGTCGCCACGGCTTTGACGGCAACCATGTTCTTTCTCGGCCAATATCCAGAGGTTTACCAAAAACTCACATCGGAAGTTCGGGCTCTCTTCCCGACATCGGACAGCATCAACAGCCAGACGGCAGGAAGAGAGCTGAAGTATCTCGACGCCGTTTTGAATGAAACCATGCGCGTGTCTCCCGTCCTGCCTGGACCTATGTGGCGTCGAACAGATGTACCCATTTCGGTCGCTGGCTATATGGTTCCGGGTAAGACAGAACTGGGAGCGATGCGATATAACATCTTCCGGAATCCCAAGGCCTTTCACGATCCGACCTCGTTCAAGCCCGAGAGGTGGATCGAGGATATGGGGGATAATTTGGACGCATGTCAACCATTTGGTAAGCCTCAAACAGCTCCGCCGACCAGAAGAGCATGCTAATGCTCTTCCAGGACTCGGCCCTCGAACCTGTATTGGGCGTAATATCGCTTGGATGGAGCTAAGACTAATCATCTGCAAACTTCTCTGGCACTTCGATTGGACGCCCATTACCAAGACTTTCTCAAACCCAGAGTATCTTGTGCAATATCGAGGCCCTATGTTGATGAAGGCACAAGAGAGAAAGCTATAGTGAGTCTTGGTGTACGTCAATCCTCGATGGCATGTCAAGGTTCCAACTGAACTCGGGGAATAAAAGCATTTGACTCATGGTGAATTGGAATGCAAGTCCCATTTATGTATCTATTATTGCATCGGCGACGGCGCCATCCGGGACGGAACAAGCATGAGACTATGAAATCGTGGCACGGTGCCGGAGCAGGTGTCCATGTTGTGAATCGAGAGAATCTTGACGGGAAGTTGATCATGGCGAGTCATCGAGTACTTCGTGACTCGCCGAAACCGCCCCAGCACGCAGCTTCAAGAAGGCATATGGACAATTGGAAATCGAGCCTGCCGCGTCAACTGTGGGTGGGTGGTGTAGAATATGGTCAGAAAAATATATTCCGCGCCTGCGGAATCTGCTTTCTCATGAGTTCCAGGATCGAATTTCCCCGAAACAAGGCTTCTCCAGCGAGAGCCATGATCAGGAGATACCGGGTTTCATTGTAATCGAATTTCTCGTGACTCGTCTTCTCTTGTGGTGGACTAAACGGCCATCCCTTCGGAGCCTCATTTGGCACTGAGGATGATTAGGAAGCAAAGCTCGAGGTCTGTCCGCTGCGGTATGCATCTACACGGATGAACTTCTCGGCTCCGAACCCGCCGAAACTGATCATCTTATGACCAAGGTCAACAGGGTGTGGACGGGACCACAAGAAATGACTGCCGTAGATCTCGCTGGAGAAAATTCTGGCCGGACGTTGCAGAACCGTGAGTGCTCTTCTGACCGTTGAACGGATAGTTTCTTTTCCACTGGAAGCCGTCAAGCTCAGCACAGCTGCTTGGCATAGGACCCATAATAAGCTTGGTAGAGATGGTATCCTCCGCGAGGACTACCGCCTCAGATGGCAATGATGTGTTATGTCTTCAGTAGAGGTAAGTGCTCTGATCACGTAAGGTCCATTTTGTCGGCAAGGTAGTCTTGGTCACTCTCGGCGTCGAGTGTCGCTTTCTGCTGCTGCCACTTCTTCATTGCCGCATCGCCGTCTTTGCCCTTTTTCACGGCTTCAAAGTATGCCTCTCTCATCTTGGCATCGATGTTCTCTCTTTTCATCATCCTCTTCAGCCGTTTCTCCTTTCTTTTGCCCTCGACGTCACGAAATACCGCTATTTGCTGCTTTAATTTGGAGACTTCTTCTTCCAAACTTTCAACCTTGAACTTTTGCGCGTCATCGACAGACGAAGAATGGCCCGATACACTTCCCGATACGAGTTCACGCAGAGCTTCGTTGAGCAGGCTGCCAGGAATCCCAGGGCCGGTGATAGCAGCCTCGATGTCGTCGTCCTTGGATGTAGAGAGCCGATCATTGATCATGATGTTGAGGTGATATTTGGCAGAAACACCACAGGTTCCAATCTCGGATGATGACGATGTGAACTCGAGGTTTGGTTTAACAACGTTGAGGATGGTATATTCGGGCCTCTTCTGGTTGGCGAAGCCAGTAGGCTTGAGCATTTCGATGTTCGTAACAGGCTGGACAAGGTTGGCCACCTCATTCAAAATCCGATGTTTCGCAACATCCCAGCGAATCACCACGCCATTAGAATGCCCTGAAAGAAGGGAGGTGCCATCGTAGGAAAGTGTCAGGCAGTTTGCAGCACCGATGTCTTTCGCGGGCGCGGCCCAGGCGTCCTTTGTCAATATCTGTATAGGCGCCGTTCCTGCTGACTCAGGGTTCGATATTGAACTCTTCCCGGACTGTCGGAAGATGTCCCAGGCATGAATTTGCCCGTCTTTGCAGCCGAAATAGACCACTCTGTCTGCGGGATCAACAGCGATGCACATTGCCACGGTCGGGAGTAGTAAGGTTCGAAGAATCTGACCAGTCTCCATATCCCAGATGTAGCAAGTGCCATCCTCCGAGCAGGTCACTGCAAAGTTCGTTGTGATGTCTGAATGGCCGCAAGCAGCTGCAGTAACCGCCGTCCTATGTCCAGAAAATGTCCGAATCGGTGACTTCGACGTATCTTCAGCCCTGTAGCTTCCTCCGGGCTGCATAAAAGAAACGAGGCGTGCTAGGGACCAAACGTGAACACTCGTGTCAGCGGATGCAGAGATTATGAACTCGTCATTAGAAGTTATGCATAGAGAAGAGACCGGCTGAAGATGGGCAGCAGTGGACGTTGTCACTCTGCCAGTTGACACCTCCCACAATATCAACTTTCCCCCTTCTGTCCCAAGCACCAGAATTGAGGCTGCACGAGCGAACACTAGACTGTGGATTCTTTCAGGAAAGGGAACGGTTGCCTCCTGATTTCCTCGATCCCTACTGTAGACATTGACCACTGCTTTGTCGGCTTGTGCTGCGAAGACATGTGAATCACTGAAGGCAACACAGCCGGGTCGGGTGGAACTCTTCTTGTAGCCTTGTCGGAAGGTGTTTTGAGGCTGGACCTCATGGAGGAAGATGCCTACATCTTTAAGGGCGGCGCTCATGTGAGCGGGTACTTTATTTGCAGTAAGAGTGGCTGCAAGAAAGCTTTCAGTAAGCATTTTCAACGTTACGATTCTGACGGCTTCATGGTTGTCCTCAAACCTCCTTCAAAGACGAGTCTGGGAGGAAGGCCCTAACTGATTGATTCGCGTGTCTCGACCAAGAAGAAACTTTTCGTGTTGATGTTGGAGAAAAGCCAGGGAGAAAATATTTTGCAGGTCAGACAACCTCATTAGTGTGCTTGCTGTGTGCGTTTGGTCGATTCTTTTCCAGGAGCGCCTTGTCAGACGCAATCTTCTCGCTGGCACTTGGCAATGGCAGTAGTAGCAGCCTCCGAAGTGTCGCGGGTGTCAATTACCGCCACTGCACGTGATCGGATTTTGCCAAGTGCGCTAATTATATCGGCCTTGGCGTGCGTTCGCACACTGCACCACACGAAATCAGGACGAGAGTCAAGACTTTAGATTTCTAACCCCGACAAACAACTTCACGCCCTCGCCCAACCTTGCGATTCCGTTTTCCCATATCGACTCTTCGCAGGAGATTCTGGGACAAGATGTCGACCTTCGAGCCAGTGGTGAGTTCTACCGATGTTGGATGCAGCTGTGAGAATTAGTTGCGTCGACATGAATAGGTGTTGGATGGTCCGACGAACGGCGGCGGCTGACCAGTTCTTTCTTTTAGGTTGTCATTGATGGCAAGGGACACTTGCTCGGTCGTCTCGCCAGCACGGTTGCGAAGCAGCTTCTGAACGGCCAGAAGATCGTCGTCGTTCGATGCGAGGCCCTCAACATCTCGGGCGAGTTCTTCCGTGCTAAGCGTACGTTATTCCCGCAGTCTACATTCCAGGATTCTCTTTGGGGGGAAAACAAGTTCAACAGTCGCTGACATACCTTGGCCCGGCTCACAGTCAAGTACCACGCCTACCTCCGAAAGATCACTCGATTCAACCCAACCCGAGGCGGTCCATTCCATTTCCGTGCTCCAGCCCGCATTTTCTACAAGACCGTTCGCGGCATGATCCCACACAAGACCGCCCGAGGCGCCGCCGCTTTGGAGAGACTGAAGGTCTTCGAGGGTGTTCCTCCGCCATACGACAAGAAACAGCGCATGGTCGTCCCCCAGGCCCTGCGTGTCCTCAGATTAAAGCCCGGACGAAAGTACTGCACAGTTGGCCGATTGGCTCATGAGGTTGGCTGGAAATACCAGGATGTGGTTGCTAGGTATGATTTGGGCATGATCCGATTGTCAAGGTGTTTCTGTGATGTGCTGACCAGTGGACTAGACTCGAGGAGCGGAGAAAGGTCAAGGGCGCTGCTTACTACGAGCGGAAGAAGGTTGCGAGACGACAATTGGCCGAGGCGCAGAAGACTTCCGGCGATGCGAAGACCAAGGAGAAGTTGGCCGCGCTTGGCTACTAAACTCACCATATCATCAACTTGTGCCTGTGCACTGTCGATCGTTGTTCGCCTTCCGGATGATTCCCAGATCGCAAGGACTACTTGGTGGACGCGTCGTCATGGGCATGGGATGTGAAATCTCAAAGGGGGATTGCTGCGGGAAGTGGGAGTGGACGCACAACGTGGCAGTGGTGCGGGCGGAATCTCTCCCGATGACTTAAGACAAAGTCTCATCTGCACTGGGATGAGCAGGGCATGATGAACCAGTTTCGATGTTGTTGTGTACTGGCAGTCCATCATCAGGCGGCATGGATAATCTGTCGCCCGGGCATGCGTCATGCGTGAGGACTCATCGTTCAAAAACCCAAAAACACTTGCCAATGGAATGGCTATTCTACTTTTTCAGCTTAGATTCCGCGTGGCTTTGAAAGTGCTTCAGCTACGGACACCATGAGCAGGGAAAGACATAAAATGATGAAATCTGCCAAAGACGCCCTCGCTCCAGTGATTTATCGATCGCTCGCCCATCGCCGATCTGACCTGCTTCCAAGGAAGGTACTAACAGCATAGGTGTTTGATCTAGTAGCAGTTGGGAAGCCGTGTTCACGATGGCAGTCTCACGACCGAGTAACAGCGGAGCTGGCATTGATAGCTATGCGCGACAGCTGTAGCCCCTCCGCCCATGGCTCAATTGTCTCAATTGTCCTCAATTGTCCTCAATTGTCCTCAATTGTCCTCAATTGTCCTCCAATTGCAATCACATCACAAGATACGCCGACCAGCCCCGTCTATCGTACTGGCAACCTCGATAGGGGCAAGAGACCTCAGGAAGACGGCTTCTTCTCGTACCGATGCTCCAGTGAGAGCGAGTTGTCGAGAGTAGCACAGCGAGCGCATACCGTGATGCCGTGCATGGGAAATAGCTGAGCCGGCAAATGGCACGACATGCACTTCGGTGGCTCCGGAGGCTGGGAAGCAGATGCAGTACTGCTGGTAGGGACCGGCGGAGGAGGCGGTGGAGGCACGTGGACAGATGGCGCACCGGCCGTAAGAAGTGCAGTTCGATTGTCTTTATCGAGGCCTAGGAATTTCTCGTAGTTGATGGTGGTCTCCACGCCACGGATGTTGGTCGTGATTTGACCTTCAAAGATTCTCATCCGGCCATCATCGACACTGCAATTGGGTGGAAGCTTGTAGGTCCATTGGCCGTGACTGAGACTTGTCTGAGGTGTGTACGGAGTGGGTGGCTCGGGAGCGCCATACGACATGCTGTATGGAGGTGGTGGCTGCTTCATTCCCGAATGATATTGCTGAATGTTGCCGAAGTGTAGAACGTGGGGAGGTTGTGCTTGGGCTGCGGCAGGAGATGCAGTTGGGTCTGGTTGCGGCGGCAATGTCAGTGGTGGGCATGAGGATGACACTTTCGAACATGATCTTGTCTTGAGGCACAATCGGCGAAGTAACATACCAACACCTGCTTTCGCACTGCCCGTAGCACTGTCTGAAGGAGCATGTGGTTTCTCCGAAGACATGATTTGAGAAATCGTGCACCATGCAATGGCTGGTAAGATGATAAGTGGGTGATGTGTCTGAAAAAAAGGTCTCCAGGGGTTCGAACTGCTCAACCACACTATATACCCCGTCCGGCCCTTCAAACGAAATGCCCATTAGTGACTCAGGTCTCTTGAGATGAGTAGAGACATATGAAACCTCTTGTGAATGTGAAACTATCCGTCACAAGTACGGCCACGGCGTCAATTATCCGGGAGTTGTCCAAGCCCCAGTCCGATTAACTGGTCTTCTTCACTTCCCCGTCCTGTTTGTCTTCAACATAAGGATGCTTGATGGTCAGGCACCAAATGTCCAGGTAGTCACAGATCGTGGTGATCACATCATGCACGAAGCTCCCGTAGACACCCAAGGCAAGGCCAAGGGCGAGAAATATGAAAGCCACCTGGTAGATGTCGTCACCAAGAGCGCTGGGCCACAGTCCCAAGTGTGGGCCTAGGCTGTCGACCACCGCCAAAGCCAAGGGCAATATCAAGATGTTCTGGTAGGGAAATCTGTCCTTGACGAGGTGAGCCACAATCATTTGGCCGACGGAATAAGCGTTGACCAGCCCAGCGAAGACGATGAAGGGGACCAAGTGATAGTGCAGAATGACGGGATTCAGCCATAGATAGGCTGGGATGAGGAGCCAGGTGACAGTGATGGGTAACAGCCCCAGAAGTGGTTTGAAAGGGTCCGCGCCTCTTTCACGCCTGGAATCCATAACATTCCAGATACTACTGGCAGTGTTGAAAACAAGGACCAGCGCACCCCAGACCATATACCATTCGTTCCATGCCAACTGGTATAGAGAATCTGGCAGCAAGTCGCTCTTTGGTAGGTCCAGGCTTGGGAGCATAGGCTGTTGCCAGTAACTGGCACCTCCTTTTAGGAAAGTGAAGAAGTAGACCGCGACCAGAATCAGAACTCCTTCGACCGGACCGTTGATTATGCCCAATGTCAAGGTACGAGTGTGATATTCTTCCCAGGTCTGGATGTAGAAGGTGAGGATGGTACCAAAAAGGGTGAGAACCGTCTTCCAGGATTGGCCCAGGTTCGTAGCGGCTGCGAAAAGTAGGACCTCGAGGCTGGTGTTGCATGCATCGACACCTAACCACCTGTGTTAGCAAAGTTCGTACTCCTGACAAGGTCTTGCTGACCGTGGTCAAAGAGCTCGCCCAAGGGACCACTCTGATGTGTTCTCCGGGCCTGTGATCCATCCACTGCATCGAAGGTCTGGTACAGGAAAAGACCGATGGCCCAAGAGAGGTACACCCACGGAGGACAATCGGTGTCGAGCGAAGGGTTGTACCACAGCATTGTGAGAATGTTGATCACCACGAAACTGAACCCTGTCAAGGTGATCTGATCAACTATTAGCACGCGGACGTCTGCTGGGGGAACATTGGATAGATCGCGTACGAGATTCGGGCTGTCACCAAGGTCAGTACCACGCCTCAAGCTGGGTATGGACGGCAGACTTACGCCATGGACATTGGAAAGAGCTTGATTGCCACATTCGTATAGAATGGCTTGAGGATGTATTTCGATGTGAGCGACTTGTCCACCGCCGAGTATTTGTACTCGTGCAGTTTGGCAAGATTGCGCTGCCGTATGTAGACCATCTTGAAGGTGTGAAGTCAAGGAAGACGCGTGAAAAGCCGACACAAGGATAGGAAGCTCCCAAAAGGCTGCAGAGGGAAGAGTTTATTAGGCTAAGAGAGGGTGAAGGTGGTAACGTCGAGGTGAGGAAACCGGAGGATTGGAGAAGAAATATTGTTGATTCCTTGTTCCCGGTTCAAGTTCCTCGCGTAACTCTTTGTTGGCGCAGTTGCACGTCATTAATCCCACTACGTACTGACAATGAGAAATAGTAAAATACTACGACCTTAGTCACGCCTTAGGTAAGTACGTTGATGAGAGCTTCACGTGACTACCCCTATTCGTGAAATGCCAGTGGACGTCGATTCGAGTCTTGCAATTGCTTCTACTCGCCGAACAACCACGCTTCGTCCAGCGTCCAGAGTGTTCGCACTCGTTGAAGAGACCTTAATACCAGCAAGCAACGGGAGCAGGCTGTGCCTGTTTCTGTCATACCTCATGTCTTCTCCTGATAGACTTTCTCAGGATGTTGTAATGTGTACCATCTGGTTGTGCCAACCTACTGCATTGAATTGCCTGAGCAATAAGCAAACCAGCCTTTGACTTATGAGACGACTTAGACTTGACGCATGACGGGTGAGGCCACTATTGGGAGAGAGAACATGCGGCTGGTCACGAATCTACCTGACCCGATGCTCTCAGAGCGGCTGCACCAATGACTTGTAGGTATTGTCTGTTCATTTCATGGCAAGAGAATGGTCAAGGGGCGGCAGGACGCCTTCTCTATGTGCAGTGCAGAAGACGACAAAACAGATTGAACAAGTCCCACTGGTCCAAACACACATATGTAATGTGTTGTTGATCTTGATCTCGATCTCCGTCGACGCGCTGCCAGGGTCACTCCTTGCGCTCAGGGAGGACTCTTCCTGTAACAATAAGTGCCTCACTCACGATTGTCTGCAGTTTGCTCCTGGTCATCTTGGTGGCTGAATGGTTTTCCCATGGCTAGTCTCAGTGCGAAGGATCTCGACTCCTCCCCGCGATACCATCTTCAATTCTCTCTAGTTCTTCTTTTACCTTTGAGACGGGACCCTTCCAGCCTCTGTCAGCGCATTTCCAGCCAATGGATGCACCACCAACATGTGCTCATGCTCCGCCGCAACAAGCAGAAGCCATGTGAGACATCAATACCATCGCGGCACATAATCAGGCCAACGACTCAACTCGGTCCTGTAGCGACCGAGCACGTCACTCCCAGAATCGAAATCGACATCCGAGCTACTCAGTTTCTTGTGATCAACCTCACCATCGACATACTTAGCGGGGAAGGTCAACTCTTCAGACCAGCTCTCCACCATATCCTTGACGTCGAGAGGAAGCACAATCCTACTCCGCCCCTGCCACCAGGCAGGCGAGGCGACAAAGGCCAGCATGACGCGCGGCTCCTCCGTCAGATTCGGCATGCCGGCATGCCACAGCCTCAGGTCGCGAATGACCAGACTGCCACGCTTCGTGCAGGCCTGGATGGGCGGCGAATGCTTGCGCCGCTGTTCCAGCAGCTCCGGCCTGATGGTGAGCGCCTCCTCGCCTGGCTGGCGGTCGTGCGCTTCTTGTACACTGACGTGGTGCGAGCCTACCCAGACTTCGGTCCCACCGTTCTGCGCCGTCACGTCCACCAGGTTGATGTTGACGACATACGCGAATGGGAAGTACGCCGGATGCGCGAACTCGCAGTCCGAATGCACCGGCTGGCGGCCTTCGGCGGTGGCCTTGAGCGCCGTGTTGCCGTTGGCGTAGTGGATGACTGGCCGTGGGCCCAGGAGGGCAGCCAGCACTGCGGCGGCGAACGGGTTGCACCATACGTCCTTGAACATGAGTGCCTTTGTTGGCGGCGGCGCCTGGTCCATGTTGCGGGTGTTCTTGCCGAAGTTGAAGTGGTGGTCCGGGTCGTTGGCAATCTCGAACGCCTCGGGCGCTAGTTTGGAGTTCAACGTATCGAGGTGTGCTGTATCGATGGCATTGTCAAGGACGATGATGCCGTCTTTGTGCAGAAACGCAGCGGCTTCCGCGACAAGTTCCAGCGACGGCTGGCCGGATTTGCGGACATCTTCGGGAATGTGGATGGTGTGGATTTCTTGGTCGTAGATGGGAGTGCTATACGAGCCCATCTTGCTCTTAAAGACTTCGCGCCTGGAGGTTAGGTTATTGATGTTGTTATGAGCCGAGCACCGATAAAACAAGACTGATTCTGGCAAACAACGAAGTCTTCAAATGGCCTCCGTGCAGTCAGTAGCCAATGATCCCTATGTATATGACTGTGAACAGGGTCCTCCCTATCCGGCTATCCTGCTGCCGTAGCCGAGGAATGCTCGAGAGCAGAAACCAAGGTCATGACGATCGGGCTCTGCTTATCAGGCCCTTAGGTCTTAGCGTCATCTAGTCAATGTCGCGCTATTAACTAGGACAGGTGACTTGAGATAGGTAGTATGCATCATATATATTCTAGTGAAAGGCATCGACGGGATGACCCCGGATATGACCGCTGCGGAGACTGAAACGAGTAAGGGACGGACCTTGGGGTCCAAGGAGCGAGGGAGGCTGATCACTGTGGATTCCGAAGATCACCAAAGTATGGACCGTCATGGCACCAACTTGAACGGCTCGACGGTCTTTCCTTCAATGAGAAAACTCGTCTTGCACAAATGTCAGATAACGATGTCCTTGTCAATTCTCACGCCGCATCCTTTAGCCCGTACCTATTATCCCTCATGTAAGTCTTGATCGGCGGGAAGTTGAATCTTAAAACCGTGCAATCCGGTCTCAGCGGCGTCGTTGATGGGACGTTCAGACTACACTGTATCTTCAACGAAAACGGCCGTGTGGCTCTCCCAGAGAGCCAGGACTGGCTCGAGGGGCTCTACACTTTCCAGCGTTGTCAGTAGCCGACTCCGACTCCGACTCCGACTCGACTCCCTTAGCGACTCCATACCTTAGGCTGTCCGGAGCCGGATTAACTATCTTGCGGCCCTACTGTCCTGGGCTACTACTGCTTACTAAGACTCCGTAATAGACCCACCCTGAGAGTCGACTCCACCAGGAGTCGGAGTCGCCAACTGACAACGCTGCTTGAAGGCACCGGCGGCGACTCTAGATTCGCTGTCGAATTCAAGTTTGCTAAGGCCATAGGCACCATTGTCATCGCCACAACCTCATCAGCAGCCAAGGCTGGCGTATTGAAGAAACTGGGCGCTGATCATGTCATCGACTACAAGGAAGTGCTAAACCTCAACTGGGGGAATGTCTTAGGGCACCCATTTCAATACCCATTCTCGCGAATAGTGAGAGTGAGGCTATGGACGAGCAAGAGGTTTTTGTCCCCGTAGGATCACTTTCGGTGTCCGTTTTCTGCTTTGATCCATGCTGGTCCAGGTGTCTGGATTTTCGGTCGACGACGTCTATAACTCCTAATCCTAATTCTGCTCAAGTAGACGCCATAGACGCCAATACCTGAGGTCCTCTGTACCCCCTCCTGCCACGAATGACATACCAGATCCCGATGAAGATGGTTGAGCCCCCAATAAGCACAGAAGAATAGTTCATGTTTTGCGCTGTAACAGGCATGCTGTACGGATAACAGAAGATGACGATGAACACGATGATATACGCGCAGCCTGGGGGATGAATAGTTAGCTCAACTCGTCCGAATGACTGTATAGAATGACTGACTGATAGCGTTCACGATATATCCCACAGCACCCTTCATCCAGAATGGACCGGGGACCAGTCGTGACCGACGAGTCATCAGGTGCGGCAAGATGGCCGCGACGTAAGACGCGGTAAGCAGCACCACCGCGGAGCCGACAAAGGCGTTGAAGGCAGTCGTCGAGCCAACTTGAATACATCCCAAGATGGTCGACAGCACGCCAACCAGAACAGTGGAGTTGAACGGGTTATGCCACGTATGGTTGATCTTGCCGAAAATATTGCTGAAAGGCGTGGCCTCATCACGAGCCATGGCCCAGTAGATCCGTCCAGACGTCAGATAACAGGCAATTGTGCACGAGACACAGGGTAAGAAGATGACAATCAGTAGACCTAGCGCCCCCCCTGCACTACCGGTTGCTTGTCTGTAGAACTCTGCGAGGGGAAACGGAAGAACACTGGCGTAGATCTCGTCGAGGTCGGTGACCGAGTAGAAGAGTGCTATAAGAAAGCAGAGTGTTCTACACCTCGGTCAGCGAATATATGATGAGGTGTTTTCCATGAGACGCTTACGTGAAGAACCCAATCGCGCATTGGAAGAAGATTGCTTTAGGGATGTTGCGGCCAGGGCTAGATAGACATGTTAGTGCACCATACATATAGTGAGGATATCCAAAACTTACTTCGGGATCTCCTCGGCCATGTGAGTGACGGAATCAGTCGTCCCCACGGCGAAAGCTCCGTTGAGCATGCCGGCCAAAAAGACGAACCCAGGGCTGGAAATCCCCGTCTCGTTTTCATAATCACTCCAGACAAAGTCCGACGAGGCATATCCAGCTCCTGTTTGGGACGGCATAATAGCACACACCATGATGCTGATGAAGACGCCAGCAAGACTCAGAGCCATGCCGACAATATTCGACATTGGGAGGGCCTTGTTTCCGAGGAGGACGAAGAAGCAGCAAAGCCATGTCATGATGATGTAGGCCACAAAGGCATTCCACTTTTGAGGAACAAACTCTGGACGGAACAAACCATACATCGAAACCAGCTGGTTGCCCAACACGGAGGACAAGGATGCCACGCCGAAAACCCAGCCGAGGAAATTCCACCAGCCAGCAAACCATCCACAAATGCGCTGATATCGTGGCGCTGGGGTCAATGACGCCCAATGGTAGACTGTGTGCCGTTAGAAGCTGATCTGATCGTAAGACATTGGGCCTGGAGGTCTACTCACCACCACCTGCGGAGGGCACGGCTGAAGACAGCTCCGCGATCGAAGCACCAATAAACCAGTACATGACCGATACCACAATGCTAGACGTTGTCAGATCGATCAGACTTGGTAGGGAGGCTGCTCTTACAACTCGAAGATAACACCTGGCGCTCCGCCATTGTAGATGGCCACTGTCTAGAAAGAGTCTCAGTCTGTGCGCTTGCAGCTGGTCCATTCAGGTAGACCTACAATGGTTCCTGCAAGAGCAGCCCACGTATTCCCGGTCACCACTGCGACACCGATGATGCTGAGGAGCCCAAAGTTGCGTTCGAGCTCCTGCACGTGGCCTGAAGCATTGATCACGACCTCTGCACTCGACGCGTGGGATTCATCAGCTGCTGTAGCCGAGTCCAATGCAGCTGGCTTCTCTTTCAACGTCGACGCCATACTTGAATGGTGCTAAGATTTTGTGCTTGAGATTCATTCGCAGCATCAAACCTCTTTGTTGATGTGACAGACTACAAACTATGTATTTAAGCCCACACAGACCTGTGAGATTCTTCCTTAGGGCTGCAGGGCTTACCAAAGCGATCAAGCGGTCGTCATGGCGTACTCGATGCTAGCTTCAGGGACATCTGATACCCGATTACCAACTTAACAGCTGGATATGGAGATAGTGTAGACTTGACTAACCTTGTACCACTAGGTGTCACAATCACTTCTTATCTTTGCGACGGGGTTCAAAAGGCACAGGAGGTGGAATCATGAAAGGGAGAAGATATGCGCTATTCGTAGATCAAAGGCTGGTTGGTGGCACCACCTCACCCTCATCCATCGTCCTTCATCCATGCGACCGTCGGAATAATGCCTGGTTCGAGACCCTCGAACACGTGGCCATGTGGTTTGAGAATCATTTCCTCTGAAAGATAGGACATCGAGCCCATTCATGTTCTTATCTCGTTGGTTGACTAAGTCAACCTACCAACAATAGATATTGAGTTGCGATTGTTCACGGGCCCACGGCTGGGTTCGTAGAGTGGCCCTACCCTGTGAAAACATGACTCATGTCTGTGATGTACCATCGTTACACTTACATATCCATGAATCAGTAGCAGTTGAAGATGTCAATAAGCTTGTCTGTCATCTCGCGGTACTCGTGATACCCATCCCCTCATCAATACTTCGCGTGTGGTCCGTAGGTATGGAATGGTTGAATCTGCCATATTGGAAACGGTTGCGACTCTGGGCATCTAGATTCCAAAAAAAAAGGGTTTTGTTATGCGCGCATACCCCCTTCTCTATCCGCGCGTATCCTTCACTATATTGGGGTATGGATAGTGGTAAACTCCACATTTACAACAGATTAGAGTGATAATTACAGCATCTATAAGGTTTTCTATTTTTAACTAGCGTCAAAGATCCACTCTTGGCATTGCTTATCTTGTTCTACAGCACAGGCACAGCATAAGTACCTAGTACTACCTACTACCTACACCCTAGTAGGATGGTCACAACTCACCACATTGATAGCTCTTGCATAGGAAATAGTGACTCTAGATCAAACCATGTACGTGATCTTTGATGACTTTGCTTTCTTATGAATAATTACATTCTGCTCATGGTGTCTTGTATCAGAAATATGAAATAGCTTTCGATTCAGACATTCGATTCTAGCACACTGCTTACAGCTTGCCCATGAGTTGCGGTTGGCCCGAAGTCTCCTTGATCATATCAGCTGCCTTCTCCGCCACTGCATAGATGGTAGCCTGGATATGCGCGCTGACATGAAGTGGGAATACACTTGCATCCACGACCCTCACGTTCGTCGTGCCATATACTTTCAGTTTAGCATCAACCACGCCACCAGCATCGCGTGGAAGCATTGAGCAAGTCCCTACGGGATGCCAATCAGTAGTGGTATGGGCAGGGACCCAGGCAGCCCAGTCTGTCGTCTGTCCTTTCAGTGTCTCCGGAGGCCACACTCGTTTCTTAATGATGGACCGCATTGGCTCATGACGCCAGATCGTGTCGCCATAGGCTTGTGCCTTGATCATGATGTCGAGGTCGAGGCTGCCTTCTCCTTGGTAGTACTTTGGGTCGATAACCACTTTGTCATGTGGCGAGGAGGCGTCAATATGTATGGAGCCACGCGTGAAGGGATACTGAAGGATCTGCATCATGCTCGCGTACTTCTTGCCTGGCTCGGAGACGTAGAAGGGAGAGTAATTGCTGTGATCAAACATATACTCCACTTGCCCCAATGAGTATTGTGGGAGAAACTGGCGGCTTAGCATCTTATCCAACTTGTGGAGGGTCGAGTCTCGAGGATGACTCGAGGCAAGATCCTCTGCGCGGCGAAGGAATTGCCCTACTTCCGGCGCTGGAATCATCTTGCTGAGTGGTAGATAAGCCATGGATGCTGGGGTACATGTTAGGAGACCCGACTTTTGTGTCTCGTAGAGCCTCAGTGCCTCTTCCAAGAACTTCGGATCCGCGTAATTGTCGGGTGTAACGATGTCAGTGTCGATCTCGAATACAGTCATTGTCACTAAGTATCATGGTCAGCTATACCTCACGTTGATAAATGATCCAAGGGCTGCGACTGACTCATATGCTCCTGCAAATTCTCTCCGACGTTGATGTTGGCCACACGTGGAGTGATCCCGGCCTTCTTCAGGATGGCCGGGTTCCCAACACCGGATAATTCAAGCAGCTGTGGAGATCCGACACTTCCTCCACAGACAATCACTTCTTTGGAACACGGTATTGTGAACACAGATCCTTGGTACTTGATCTTGACCCCAGTGGCGGTGAAATCTCCGCCACGTTGTGTTTCTGACATGACAATTTCCAACACATGTGCCTCGGTCAAAACATGCAGGTTCTCCCTTCTTGCATTTGGCCGATAGTAAGCACTGGCAGAGTAACTTCTCGTCTGAGTCTGAGGATCGAGGCAGGCCACCGACGTCCATGCCCCTATATTTGAACCTCCGAAGTGAGATTTGTTGGTGTTGATTCCCATGTTTTTCAACGTGGAATGCCAGTATTTATGAGTCGGTGCTATATGTGAGGGATACGCTGTACTGACAGGACCCGATCTACCGTGGTCCTCCGGCTTGAAAAAGGTTTGATGATGAGACTCGAAAGAAGCGGGCGGTTGATTCATCCTCTCGGACTTTTTGAAGTAGTATCTGTGAATTTGAATATTAGTCATCGATGCGTCTTCACCGAACCGAAGCAGACAGGCAAATCACTCACTTAAGCTGTTCCCAGTTCCATCCTTCATTCCCAAGTTGCTCCCAAGCATCGTAGTCTTCTTTGGCTCCTCTGTTCCACACCAGGAAGTTCATTCCGCTGGTCCCTCCCAGCATCTTTCCCCGGGGCCATGGCAATGATGCTCCCTTGAGGCCTTCTTGAGGAACCGTGGCAAAAGCCCAATCATATTTCGTGCCAATGGTTCTACCAAAGTTACCAGGAATCGACACCAACGGCTCATCAAGCGCCGAGAATCCTGCTTCTATCACTCCCACCACGACATTGGGGTTCTCGCTGAGACGTGCTGCAACGACGAGGCCTGCTGTCCCTCCACCAACGATCAAGTAATCGAACTTCGATGTGGCAAAGTCCTTTGGTAGCGCGCTGAATGACTCCATGATTCGCAGCTGACCTGTGATCAGATTGGAAAAGACAGTCAATAGACGATGAGGTCACAACGCGGAATTTGCGTATATTGTCGGTCGGAAACAGACATTTTGAACTCCTCTGGGGCAGGATTGGAAGAAGCCATGCTACTGCTTGTCGATCATGGCCGGCGCATTCGACAACGGCCGTCGGATTCCATATCGGCCGTCGGATTCGCCTAGCTGTGTATATCTCGACCCTTAAGATAAGGTACTAGTTAGCTAAGGCAACACAGGCGTCGAGATAGGGACATGTCCCCTTTTGGAATGAGATGAAACCATTCTCCACCTTTCAACCAATGGGGTAAATCTTCGGCTACGCAGTTCGTTATCAACAGCTGACTGAAGACTTAGTAGCATGCTGTCGTTGCGGCACAATCCTTAGATACCTACGACTACTACTCAGTAGTGCATCATGAAGAGCTACACTGCACTCCATGGAATGTTCAAACTAGTCTCCAAAAGTGCGGATACTCCGCATCTAGGTGCGGTCCTGTTGATAAGGATGGTGCTTTTAGTGCACCTTACGGTGCTGATTCCAGCTGTACGACCTATAAGGTAAGTGAGCAAGGTTTGTTGAACGTTGCAAAGCCTTCTCAGCTTCCCTTTCATTGATTCTTGTAAGATCCTGGAGACCGCACTGAGTTCAAACATTCCTCTACATCATCAAGACATCACATCCCTCGTTATCAAGAAGATACTTTACCATGAGCGGTCAATTTGTGGTACCGCTGATCATCAACGGTGAAGATGTGAGATCGAAGGAAACATTCCCCATTGTCAACCCGAGGACAGGCGAGACGCTATGGCAAGCGGCCAGTGCAACGACAGATCAGGCCAACGCTGCAGCGGCAGCCGGCCAGGCGGCATTTCCTGCCTGGTCGCAGATGACATATCTCGCTCGCCGCGATGTTCTCCTGAAGGCCGCCGATGTGATGGAGGAGCATCTCGAGGAATTGAAGCGCTATGATTGTGAAGAGATGGGCGCTGAGATGTGGTGGGCAACATTCGACACTGCAACGGCTATGGCAATGATTCGCGACGTTGCCGGCCGCATATCAAGCATTGAAGGCACGTTGACACGCACATTAGAGCCCGGGTCTATGGCCATGGTCATGAAGATCCCGTATGGTGTGGTGTTTGGGATTACTCCGTGGAACGCAGCTTGCCTATCCGCGGTACGCTGCATCATCTACGCACTAGCGGCAGGAAACACTGTCGTCCTGAAGTCCTCTGAACTCTCGACACGACTGCATTTCCTGATTGGCGACTGTTTCCGAAAAGCCGGTTGCCCTCCTGGAGTCGTCAATGTGATTGCCCACAGCCGCGAAGCTGGCCCAGCCGTAATTGGAGCCCTGATTGAGCACCCCGCCATTCGAAAAATCAACTTCACAGGATCGACGGCCGTTGGAAAGATTTTGGCCCAGCAGGCGGCCAAAGCAATGAAGCCCATCTTGCTAGAGCTTGGTGGGAAAGCTCCGATGATTGTCCTCGAGGATGCAGACCTCAAGGAGGCTGCACACGGTGCTGCCTTTGGTGCAAACTTCAACGCGGGACAAAACTGCATGGCTACCGAACGCATAATTGTGATTGAATCTGTCGCGAAAGAATTCGAGGAGGTTTTGAAGGCAACATATGCTGAGCTATACCCCGACTCCTACCAGCCTCAACCTGCGGTCCAGCTGGCTGGAGCCAACAAAGTGAAATCCCTTGTGGACGAAGCTCTGGCAACTGGATCTGAGATTATGTTTGGCAAGAAGCCCGAGGGAGGCCAGGTCATGCATCCGATAATACTCAAAAACACCCAAAACTCCAAAATCCATTACGACGAGACCTTCGGACCATCTGTCAACTTCGTTGTAGTCCCATCCGTGGAAGCGGCCATTGAGGCGGCCAACGATACAGTATATGGCCTTACAGCTGCGATCTGGAGCAAAGACCTGGCGAAGGCGCTCAAAGTTGCAACGCAGATTGAGAGCGGGTATGTATCTCGTCCGATGAGCTGAATCTTTGCTAACAATGGTTTTAGAGCTGTCCATATCAATCACATAACGGTCCATGACGACCTGACTCTACCCCACGGTGGTGTCAAGGAAAGTGGGATGGGACGATTTGGTGCTAGCTGGGGTATCAACGAGTTTTTGACTCTCAAATCGATAACGTTCAAGATTTGAACTAACTTATCCTTTGTGTTGATATAAAGCATTGATGTTATGATTAGCTTGACTACCAGCAGCTCAATCGCTTCTTCAGTTCTCCCGATTGCCCTGTGATATTGTTGAGCCAGCGGCGGTCTGTGCTTGATATTCGAGTTCCGGTATTGAGCGACCGGGCTGCTCGACGTTCCGTCCTCCATAGGGTTGAATGAACAGACACAAATTGTAGTTGGATATAAAAGAAGATTCGAGGAAATCAGCTGGAATTCATTGATTAGTCCTTCAAGTGGAAATGTTACAATCTCTACTTCGTTGCGTGCAGAGATACGATCTATTTCTATCGGCCATCTTTCCCCCAGCAGATTCTCTCCAGCCAACCAGCCCTGGCAGTTGGTCTTCAACCATCTCTCGCAGAGCACAACCAACAAGGGTCCAATGAACCTCTGTTACCCCATGGGTTCAACAACTTACTCGGTGACTCCGCTGGCGCAGTACGGATGTCAAAGGCTATGTTCGCGCATGGGATATAAGATATATGGTTGCACTCTGGGGGGTTATCCCTCGCCTCGTATCCTGGATGGGCAGAGAGTGCATTTATCACCGTCGACTCCGACTCCCTCATCTCACACAGAGTCGGCTCCCAGGGTGGGTTTATTATAGTAGGCTGTAATTGGTAGAAGGTATAAGAGCGTCTAGTAAGCAATAGCAAGCCGAGGGTAGTCAGGCCGTAATATAGTTAATCCGACTCCGGATAGCCTAAGGTATAAGCGAATAGGGAGTCACTAAGGGAGTCGACAGTGGAGTCGGAGTCGGAGTGACTAACTGACAAAGCTGGCATTTATCTCAAGGGTATGTACCGGATTGCAGGATGTCTACAACAGGTCGTATGTGTGATGGCCGCCTTCTTTGTATGATAAGACTAATTCATGGTATCGAATAGGGAGCGTGGCTGGGGTGTGCTCTGTCTAGATCCTAGAGCGAACCGTGTCTGAGGCCTTAGGATTGGTCTCATCCCGGCCAACCTGCCGAGACAGCGTGCTTCTTAGGTTTTAGTGTTCCCTAGTTCAACGTCGCATTGTCGACTAGCACGAGTGACTTGAGAGAGGCACGATGCATTACGCATGTCCCCGAAGGCGTCGACGTGAGAACCCCGGATATGACCGCTGCGGAGAGTGAAATGAGCAAGGGACGGACCCTGGGGGGCCTGAGGAGGCTGTTCGCTTCAAGTTCGTCATGTCGACGTCTGGCGGCCCGGAGGCAGAAGATAGGGTGGAGCACTCAGGGGTCGGCGCCAGTCCGTAAACGTCTGGATATTTCCTTTTTAGGATTACCCGCCCCCTTCCATTCTCCTCAGCTTGACATAAGGATACCACTTCTCCACGTCTCGTGGTGAAGGCTCACAACTCCTCCCAATGATATCTCCTTTCATACTAAAATTCCCTGATCGATCCAGACATGATTACTCCTAAATCGCGCTTCGCGATGCCTGGGTTTGTAAAGCTCTGATATTCCCAACGGTTGGTAATCACATTCAAGGTATAAAAATACCTCTTCCCCTCACACAGGAGAAATGCAGTAGACTTCTCTCTCCCTCTCAACCCACAGGAGCAGCAAACCATCAAGAAGTCCACCAGAGTTAAATCCAGTTCCGGTCTCAAACAGCTTTGGACATGGCAGCTCAAACAGCCGTCACCCAATATGTGACGGCCAACAATGGCGTTCGCTTCGCTTACCGCCGGATCGGGACGCAGGATGGCATACCACTGGTGATGCACATCCACTTCCGCGCAAACATGGACCTCTGGGATCCTCTGTTCGTCAACACCTTGGCCAAGGCCAGACCAGTCATCATCTTCGACAATGCCGGTGTCGGGCGGAGCACGGGCGAAGTTCCAGACACCTTCCAGGGTTGGGCCGACGACTTGCTCTCGTTCGTAGATGCCCTCGGCCTTAGCAAGATCGACCTTCTCGGCTTCTCCATGGGAGGCTATGCCGTCCAGATGGCTGCCTTGACAGCACCACAGCTCATCCGCAAACTGATCCTCAGCGGCACCAGTGCTTCCAAGCCTTCAGTCGAGCATGTCGCTGGTGTGGTGTGGCCGCGTGAGGACGCGCCAGCAGCGCCCATCAAAGCTCTCAAAGATGCAGTGACGCAAGACGAAGTCAAGGATGCATTGGCTTTCTCGTTCTTCTACCCCGACGAACCCGGCCGCGCTGCTTTCCAGAAATACTGGGTCCGGGTGCAGGAGAGGACAGCAGAACCACTCATTCTCGACCTTTTGGATCGCGACGGTGGAGCGAAGCGTCAATTCGCTGCGGCCATTCATTCCTACAAAGACAATCCGCGTGCGTCGTTCGGCAGGCTGGGTGAACTTATGATGCCGGTCTTGGTGGCCAACGGGGACAAAGATCTCTTGATCCCGACGAGCCGCAGCTGGGAGTTGATGACGCAGATTCCAACCGCACAATTGATCATCTACCCTCGCGCTGGACATGGTTTCATCTGGCAATATGCCGAGTTGTTCGCAACTCATTTGAATATGTTTCTTGACGGGTCCGAGTTTGACAATTTCTTGCCCAAGTTGTGATTTGGGTCACTCAGCGGACCGAAGAGGAGATTCAACCCAACTCCAAAGCTTTTTGCCATAGGCATCTTGAATACCATCAACCCACATGATCTGCTTGAGTTGATTTCTTGCATCATTCCATGTATTTGGCCCGCCACGCGAAGTCTGATAGTCGTGCAGCCTCCGCGCATACCATCCCTTGTCTGGCGTGGCTGAGGACACCAGGCCACCCATGAAGAGCATCCAGAACAACAGTGTAGGTGGTATCACTCTCAGATGCAGGCTGGCAAGAGACGTTCGCATCTCTCCAGAAAGAAGGGTCGCAGATGACTCCATGAAGGGCTTTTCTCTTGTCAGGGTCTGAACAAACACCAAGCCGGTGAGTCTGCAGAGCTTCTCTACGCCGCTTTCTTCCAAGACGTTGGACATAAGCATGTCATGTTGGATACACGTTAAGTCTTCATCGTAAGCTCTTGGATCGAGGGGAATCTGCTCTTTGGCTGCTTGGTCCAGCGTTCGACACAGGCAGGATAGTTGAAGGAAAGCCTCGAAAAGCCTTGACGACAGTCGGAGCCCCGCAAGCATAGAGGTGAGAGCCTCGTTTGGTCGCACGTCAAGAATCATAGCACGGTCGAGTGGAAGAGTCGTTCGCGGTGGGCGAGGCAACCGAGGCCGAGTCAACGTGTCGACAGCGCCAATAATATCGGCACGATATATCTTCATTCGCATGACGTCCTGAATTGACTCTACTCCTCCTCGGACGTGAATCATCTCAGACATGCCGGCGTTGTGCATAGCCCACTTGTCATGGTGTCCGAGTTGATTCTCGCTTAGTGCTAAGCATGACACAGCCCCGATTGTCACGTCCGAGAGAGAGTTGGTACTCAATCTGCGATTAAGACTGTCGAGGATGACTTTCATAAGGATCTCGGAGTCTTTGAGATGTCGATCCTGGCGACAGGCGCGGTAATGTTGTGCGGATGAGAATAGTATAGTATGAAGCAGAGTCTTGTCCGACACTGCTGCAGGGAGCCACACTGTCTGAATGGGATTATATTGGAGAGGGATGTATTTGCTGATCGGAAATAATGCAGCGGCCACATGGGTAGAGTCTGTGTATTTGACAGTTAGACCAGGGGGGAGGTATCGGAGTTGGGATCCCCGACTCACAATAGCTAACGAACCCTTGGAAAGCGCTGGCTTCGGGCTCAATGAGCGAGTATAGCGGAGACGCGGTACCGGGAACATGATCTCCTAGAGTAGACCGAAGCGTCGTCGTGCCGGTGTGCTTCCGACCACTAGACAAGGGACTTTTTCTGCGAGGATCCTTTTCCTTGCTTCTACCTATCGCATTCGGGGTTGTTGCTATCCGCTTCTTTCCTTGCGTTTGTCGCGTAGGACTGTCCGATCTTGAAGGTTCGTATGACATGAACTGCAATCCTGTAGGTGCACTCTGGGTCTCCTTCGTGGCTGAGCTCACGTCCCGCTTGTAGTGTGACGATGCAGTGTTGACTGAACTTTTGGCCACAGTGATGGTGACTTCAGGAGTCCTAGATGGCGGCCCATGGCCTGCAAAACGCCCAGATTTCGTTTTCAACCTCCTAGTGCGTCGTTGCCAGCTTCGGTCGACCATGAAGAGAGGCTGTGCGGGGAAGATGACCACCTCAGCCATGTTGGGTCGAGTTAAGAGGCGAAGATAGGATGAAGCGATCCTTGTCACACGACCGTCATGCAGGCCATCCTACATGCTCCTCTCGATCAAGCCCATTGCGAGACCTGTATCCAGAAGCAATTGAAACATGAAAGACGTAGGCAATATGGCGTTGTAGACGGTGGAGCAACAATGTAAGTAGGTGAGATGATTAATATTCGAAGACTGGATGTCATTGAACGCGGAGTCATTCAGAATATTGCGGTAATTTTATTTCCGCTATCGCAGCCTTGCCTCGGTTCATGCCATCCACCAATGGTGTTCTCAGCCTGATCACAAAGACGACAAGCTGCCCACAGTACAGCAAAATCTACTGCAACAAAGAAGAATCCCTTGGGGAAGACCAATGCCTTCCAGGCCTCACAGATGATGGTCATTGTTTGCAAAAGGAGTAGCCCCTCCATGCGACTATGTTGTTATAACGTCAGGGAGGCAGTCCGTTCCAAGGAAGGATAAAAGAGTCTCAAACTGCCGCCTGTCCCTGAGGGTATCGACGGCTGGCCATTCCTGCGACATAGCTATGTAGACAGATGGAGAGGGCGCCTGTCTCAAGGAAGGATGCAAACCTGAGAAAATTGTGATGTGTCTACCGGACCTAATGACTGGTTAGGGCTCCTGCGACAATGTCCTGCACCAACATGGAGAGCGCCCATGAATCGTCAATCACACATCACCCTGAGCAAGCCATATCGACATACTGACTATTTGGACTGCTAGTTGATCCTGTGAGCCTTAAAGCGGTTCCGGTGTCCTGCTCTGTCGGCAAATACCTGATGTAAATATGGCATGTATGCTCCTCCGTATGTATCAATACTGCACTTGATGCCCTTCTACTCAGCCGTGGATCAGCCTTGTAGTTCTCCATGTCACCCCCCTGTTGCCCCCGTTGATCGAAGCTATCTCTCTATCTCTCCAGCTTCTCCTCCTATCAAGGTGACCGCAACCGATAGAGCAACTACAGTTATCAACGGTCATCGCACATCCCCGCTCAAAGCCTCAAGATGCGGAAGTCTTCTTCGAAATGGGTGCTCGCTTCAAGGTAGCTTCGCCATCGCGTTGCTACTAATGCACACAGGGCAGTCGGTCCGCGTTGCAGATTGGCCCGTGATATCTCGCGGCGACTCCCTCTATCATGAACACCATCCAGCTTCACGAAGATCGGCAACGTCTTCTTGTATGTCAGGCCGACAACGAGCCACCATCGGATTATGGCGGTAAGTTTATCCAATGACAATTGTCTCGTAACGGGTATTCGGCCGCCTCACCATGAATGCATATCTATACCAACAGCAGGGGTGATATGAAGTTGATAGAGGGCTTCGACCTCTTATCTCCCCGACAGCACGGAGATGTATATCAGTTGCTCAGTTCCTGCCCACATGATACCCTCCTGTGTTCTCGCTTCCCACCCTTGCATTGTCGCTGGCAGTCATCGAAGATGGGGAACCCAGAAATAATGGACAAAGATGTCGAAACTAACAAGGATGCGGCTGCCATGATAGCCACTGCCTCTCTCGAAGACCTCGATGCAGAGGCACGTGTCGCAGCAGACGAAGAACATGGCCATTCTTTCTTCCAAGCCGTCAAATTGTATCCTACCGCTGTCGGATGGTCTCTGTTCTTCTCCCTCGGTGTTATCATGTAAGCGGGATCAATCTTGCAATACAAACTGAAGAGACGACCTGACGCCTCGCTATACAGGACAGCATTTGACCCGCAGCTTATCGGCCAGCTATACGCTACCCCAAAGTTCCAGCGAGACTTCGGGTACCTCTACAAGGGCAACTGGATCATTTCGGCTCCGTGGCAGACCGGCCTGAGCATGGGCAACCCAATCGGCCAGGTTGTCGGGGCTCTCTTCGCGGCGTACCCGATGGAATGGTACGGGCGGAAGCTTACGTTCGGGGCGTGCGTCATCTTCACCACGGGCTGCGTCTTCATTCAGTTCTTCGCCAGATCGCTTTCCGTGCTCCTGGCAGGGGAGCTGCTCGGAGGCCTTGTGCTGGGATCCTATGCGGTCATCGCTCCGGCGTACGCGTCGGAAGTGTGCCCCCTGGCGCTGCGAGGTGTGCTCACATCCTGCACAAACATCTGCTTCGTCATTGGCCAGCTGCTCGCCAACGCTGTCATCGCTGGAACCCATAAGCTCGACACTCACTGGGCCTACAGTGGCGCTTTCTGTGCCCAGTGGTTCTGGCCATTGGTGATTCTCATCGGCCTACCGTTTGCTCCAGAAAGGTAGGGTCACCAGACTACTTCTTGGCTTCGCTTACTGACATTTTCCCAGCCCGTGGTGGCTCCAGAGGAAAGGTCGAATCGAGGAGGCGGAAAAGGCTCTGAAAAGACTAGCCTCGCCCGATGTTGACGTCAAACCTACCCTGGCCATGATCATCGAGACGGACCGGCTCGAAAGAGAAATGGAGTCTGGCTCGACGTACTGGGACTGTTTCAAGAAGATCAACCTTGTTCGAACAGAGATCGCCATAGGTGTCTACACCATCCAGGTGCTCTCAGGCATCTACCTGGTTGGTTATGCCACTTACTTCTTTGAATGTAAGTCCCATTTTTCACATGATATACCAACCACCACTAACAGCGCCGTAGTGGCCGGGCTACCGACGGATCAAGCGTTCAACATGGGAGTCGGCTTCCTTGCCATTGGATTCGTGGGCACCTGCCTTTCCTGGGTGATGCTGATTTATTTCGGTCGGCGAACTATCTATAATTCGGGGCTTGCCTTGTTGGCCGTGCTGCAGTTCATCATTGCCATCCTAGACTGCGCTCCCAATTACGACAGTCGGCCAGCGATCGCATGGGCGCAGAGTGTGTTGATGCTGATCTGGAATTTCATCTACGATCTGTCCATCGGTCCGGTCTGCTTTGTGTTGCTTTGTGAAGTCTCGGCAACCAGAGTCCGCGGTAAGACAATCGCACTGGCCACCGCCGTGCAAGCGGTTGCAGGGATTGTCATGACGGTGTGCATACCCTACATGATCAACGCAGACCAAGCCAACATGCGTGGCAAGCTCGGCTTCTTCTTCGGCGGCCTTGCAGCTGTGTGCCTGCTGTGGTCATACTTCCGAGTTCCCGAATTGTAAGTCACTCCCTGCGATAGTGGACTTGAAAAACAATACCCATCTTGAATACTACCGAATACTGCTAACCATGACATGAATCTACAGGAAAGGGAGAACGTACCAAGAAGTGGACATTATGTTTGAACGGGGCCTGAAGACGAAAGAGTTCAAGGACTACGTCGTCACAAGATGAGCATGCAGCGAGCATCTTGGTGTCTACTAGATAGGAGCTCCCTGAACAGCCTCACCTTCACCCCCTGACCGATCCAAGCATGTCATGGAAGCCTCTGGTCACTCCTTGAGCAACAGGATGAGCAACACGATATCTCTCTAGTCATGTGAATACGAATCAATATAGTATAAACTTCGCCGCCGTGTCTTTAATTTTGATTTTGTTCCCGTACTTATGGCTGCCTCCTCTACATCCCGTGTAGTACCCATCGCCCATATGCTCGACTCACCCTCGGGAATCTCTTCCTTTGTCCACACTAGCCACTAAATAGTCACTTGATACTATGTAGTCAGTAGTCATCCCGAGACGAGACGAAGATAACGGTTTCGGACTGGTCAATATGAGGGAGCTTGAAAGAATATCATGCCATGACAGGCCTTTAGCGTGCATCTTGCACAAACACAAACATTGCGCAACGGAAGAAATATGTTCATTGTACCGAACAGATTCAAGTTTCGACTTCCCATTTTTGATGCCTTCCCCTCTGAACTCCTTGAACACCGGGTATCGTGGCGCATAAGATTGTGAACTCGTCAGACTGAGAATCCAGTGCAGCCTGCAAGGCAGCTCACGATCAATCCAAATCCATCTCCTCCTCCGTGCCGCCACCAACAAGCATCTTCCTCTTCTTCTTCTGGCGCAGTCTCTCTTCGCCGACGACTCTGGACTTCTCCATCTCGACCTCCACCTTGACATGTTCGGCCATGGGCTCCGTCTCGGCACGCGCGGCCTCGAGATCCGCGAGTTCCTTGCGGATGAGGTTTTCTCCTTGCGCGATGACCTTGAGGTCCTGCCGTCTCTTCGCTTCGCGCTGGGCCTTGCCGCTGAGCCTCTTTCTCGTGTAGACACGCTCGCGTCGCGATCTGATCTCCTCGATCCTCTCGATTGCCTTCATCGTGGCGGCGACCAAGTTCCGGTCGTATTTCACAGGGACGTTGCGTCTCTTGGCAAATTGGGAAAGCAGCAGGTTCTGGTCGACGATCATTTCCTTGCCACGCAGCGCACGCGATGTCTTGGTCCACTTGAGTTTGCGCGGCTGTCGCTTCATCTTGAAGTTTTTATGGCATTTGGACCGACAGAACCGGAAGACTTTGGCATCGTTGCGGACGAATGTGATTCCTTTCGACGGGTAGACTGGACGAGAGCACAGATGGCATGTCTCGATCCTATAAGCGTGTTAGGTCTGTTTGTCTTTTTTGGGAATCACAATCTTGACTGCAGCTGGCTGCGCAAGGCGAAGGTCGACATACCTCATGATGGCGGATAGATACTTTCGAAGAGCGGTGGTCTTGAATCCGCACCTGAAAAGCTGTGCAGTCTAACCTGGTGCGTCGGCAACAAAAAAGACAGGCGTGGAGGACGGTGGTTTCACGTCTCAAAAGTGTCCTGGGCTTTATGCACCCTGTAAAGAGTGATCTGGTTGACAGCAAGACTGTTGACCGGCCTCTTGAAAAGTTGCACTTATCGTCCTGCGACAACTTCTCTGCCATCCGCTGTACTACTACGACTGCAGTTCGAGTTCTCGAAAATTCTTGCCAAGATTTTCCCCCAAAGCCGGAACCTCCCGATCCGGCAACAGAGCCGACATTCACGCCGAAGGCGAATCTTTCACAGTTCTGTACTGCTACTATACTACGGACTACTAGGTAGTCAGTCAGACTTTCGAGTATCGCAGCCTTTCTAGCATCTTCAACCCTGTGAATCTGAACACACTCTGCCCCTAAGAGGGTTATACAAACATCCAAATCGACATCACAGACATCATCTACACCGTGATTGCAGAATCATTGTTACATCGCATCCCATGGCATCCACAGTCGCCGTTGGCGCCGGCATTGCTGCTGCTGCTTTCTTTGTACGTTTTTCTTCTATGCGCTTTTCTCTTTTCACAGCATCCCAGTGTTATAGTCTTACTAACCAACGTTCTGCCACAGGGTCGCGCAGGTCTAGTTGCTTTCCGTCGATGGCGCAACCCCAACGGTCTCAACGCTCTCGGCCGACCATTCTACAAAGGCGGGTTCGAACCGAAAATGAACAAGCGCGAGGCCGCTCTGATTCTGGACCTGAGCGAGCGGACACTCAGCAAAGACAAGATCCGAAAACATCACAGAGCGTTGATGCTCTCGAACCATCCCGATCGAGGGGGCAGTCCTTACCTGGCCAGCAAAATCAACGAGGCGAAGGAGTTTCTTGACCGAAACGGGTGACCGCTGGGCCCTGGCTAGGAAAATGGGCCACGAGGCGAAATCTCATCTGAAGAGAAGAGGGCCATGGAAAAGTCACGGGGACTGTTTGACTAGAGTTACATCTTCATGGCATAGCGCAGGCGTTTTAATGGGTGGGATACATTGGCGACAAGCATGCAAAGATTTGGCTTGCGATTTTGATCGGGAAGAGCAGCAGCGACTGAGCTAGGTGTTGATTCCAGGGTTCTGTACAGTATATCTCCACTCGACGATGGTGGACTGGACACTTGTACAATCAGACGAGGAATTACCTGATGTTGAACATCTTTTTGCCATCTTATGTTCAAGACACAACGCGATCCATAGTCGCATCGTATTTGACGAAAGCCCATACACAAACTGAGATACTGCGTGTATATAGGGTGTACAATCAAGCCGTATCTACCTCTGGACATTACTCAGGTGTACCATCGAGCCGCCTCTGGTCTTGGACACAACCAGGTCCATCTAGGTGTACACACCTAAGTCTATCTATCTACAATGTTGCTCCTACGAAAGATGGTCTTGCCTCTAACTTTCCAACCTCTCGCACCGGTCAAAGAACTCTTCAAGGAACTGATTATAGCTCTGCTCCACCTCCCACATCAGCACATGCCCTTTCCCCTCCCAGACTTTGAACGTGATCCCCTCGCCCAGCTCCTCCTTCAGCAGCTTCGCATGGACGAACGTGAGCATGCGATCCTCCGTGCCGTGCAGCACAGCAATGCGCTCCCTGCCGACCCGGTCCGCCAGCTCCTTGAGCTGCTGCGGCGATTTATGGTGCCAGCCGGCCGCGATGGCCTGCAGCACGAACCCCTTCTTGGTGAAGCCTTGGGTGTCCATTCGTTTGGCGAGTTCGCCCGCGGCAAACCGGTCGCGGTTGGTCGGATAGTTCGGTGCCTGCTCGGTATCCGGCTGCCGGAGAAAGTCGTCGGAGAACAAGCGGTGTGCGATCTCGTCCAGCTGCACGTCGATGTCGCGCGGGATGAACATGTTGATCCGCTCGCGGAGGTTCTGGATGAAAGGGATCGTGCGCACGAGGCGCGGAGCCGTAGACACCAGGCTCAGCGATGCAATGGACTCGGGGATCAGCAGGCCGAGTTCCTGCGCGATCATCCCGCCCATACTCACTCCGATGACGTGGAGATTGCGTTTTCGCGAGGACGACGACTCGGCCGGCAGCCATCCTATCTGCTCGAGCAGATCGACCGTATCTTTGGCCATCTCCGACGTCGAGTATCGACACGTGGGCTTGTCGCTGAGGCCCATGCCGCGGTTGTCAAACACGAGACTCGAATACCGCTGCGCCCGCTCGTGGCCGAAGTATTTGGTCTGTCGCTTCCACTGGGTTCGATAGGCGCCGAGACCCATGATCCACTAGAGACAGAATGTAGAGCATTAACACGCAATTCTGAGAGACGCGGAAGAGGATAGTGCTGGGTTGGAAGGGGAGATATCGTCATCCGACCGCATCTAATGCTGGACAAGGCACTTCTCCTGCTCATGCTGGTGCGAAGTGCACCAAAAACAAAGCTGTATTGTATAACATCTCTTTCTGGCGGTTCAAAAAGCACGATGAAACAATGATTCCTTCCACCTCTTGAAGGACATTACACCGGAGTACTCAGAAGACCAAAGGGCAAGAAAAACTCACAACCAGCTTGACATCTCCAGTACCATGGATCTCCCAATGAAGCTTAAACGGACCCCCCGGCCGTCCTTTGGCGACTTCACTCCTCCCCTGCTTCGTAGGCGGCAGGTCCCATTCCTGCGACTTGAAGCCTGGGTGAGCTAGGATCTCTTTCGCCTTCAGTGGCATGTCTGTCGAACCGCTTTGAGCAGCCTTTCAGCCTCGGAGACTTCCCACACCAGAATGCGACTTTCAGTCCGGACCGCACCGCTCAGAAGTCAGTGTTGACAAACGAGGCTGTTGAAGACAAGGATATGAGATTGTGGGTTTAACGAGCATATAGAAGCTAGGTCTACAAGGTATAGTCGGTGTCGGTACAATCTAATCTACTGTGATAGTACGGAGGAGAGGCCGGTCGGGCATTCCAAGGCATTACGTTGTCCTATCTTCTTACACTATAGTATCTTATCTGATGTGTCTATGATAGGCGTTACTAGCCGGTTCAGGTAGGTAGTCCCTGCCGTACCACTCACTCTAGAACACCGAGGTCAGAACTGTATACTGCCAAAGATGCGCAATCGCAGTTGCAGTTGCAATGCGAACAGACGGGAGGGCCTTGGGGCCGTGTCGCTTCTGCATGTCTCATACAGTATTTTGCAACATTGCCTGCCACTGCAAAGATGGGACAGTCCTGAGTTTCAAGGCACAATGACCATCGGAAGGCTTGGTATGAACATGTAGAACACAACGGACCACCTACCGGGCAGATACCTGTGTACTTGGAAGGTACCTAGCTACCTAGCTATGAGCCGCAGCCTGCTGCACCGTGCCGCATCTTAAGGATCGGCCATAGATCTGGCTTTGGTGTGTTAGGAATCGATCCCCGATCCTACCCCAGCCGCGGGTGGTCATCTCCAGGGTCTCGTAGTTAGATCCCAGTACGACCCTGTGAAACTTCGATGGTTCGGATCTTCCAGCCATGATCAGCGTGACGCCAGTGATGCGGAGCTCGCGGACACAGCCTAACCTGGCATGACAATCATCAACGCTACACATGTTTATCATGCAGATCGAAAGGTGGGGATGACAGGAAGATCAAAACAATCGAGCGCAAGTAAATGATAAACGCAAGGAACGGGAACCTGCTTCTATAGCAAAGCTTCATCATTGATTCGTTAGCGGGCCAAACCATCGCAGAGTTGGACTATCGATTAATCCTTGAAGGACAGCTAAGACCCAAGCCTCGTCGAGCTTGGGTTGGCACGAAAGAAGGCCTGCTATGATATCACTCCTTCCAAACATGCCACAAGCCCAACCCAGTCGATCCGGCCTGCCATGAAATACGCCTTCAACCAAATTCAGAATGGTTCAGATGTGGTAACTGCAACCTGTTCAGCGCAAGAACCGGGGACAGTCCCACTCGCTTTAACCTCGTCAACTTCATTCCAAAATGAGTCAACTCCTCGGTGCTTTCAGGCTCTGTCCGCGGAGTAGGGAAAGTATAAGCTTCTGGTTTCTTCTTTTCCTCCTCGAAACTTCCAATATAGAACACTGCAGCAAGGCTGCAGGTGGCCCGCAATCCCCTGTATTCAATGTGGGCGGCAGTTCCTGATTGTCGGCAAACCTCCGGCAACGCGTCGAAGTCTCCCCAAACTTGTGTACGGATCTAGTAGTCCGTGTTGGGTGGCTTTGATCATTATCCTGCTGGACCGTCCCATCTGTCATCGGGGATCTCTGTTGTCCCACACAATTGTTCGTTTCTGATTTTCTGGCCACCAAGAAATACGTACAGTAGATGGTGTAATTTCCAAAGAGTGTTGCCAAACGAGTGTAGAAAGCAATGTCATTGAAAGACTGGACCAGAGAGACCCAAACATATCGGTTCGCCGGGCACGTGGGTCCTATTCTTCCATCCTGAACATCTCTTCATCATCCATTTGAATTTCTTTGGCATCGTTGCTGCCGCGGTAGTTTCGCTCCTCTGACAGGTTCTGGGTCAAGGTGGGGGGATGGAGCTGCAACAGTGGATTATAAACGGTGGTCAATGTGCTGTCGGAGGACTTGCTGTTGAACGACTGGTACTGTTGCGGCAGCGGTGGTACAGGGGGCACGTCCACACCTAGGAAGGTTGGTTTGGTGCGAGGGGTGCCGCTGTTGAAGGTGAGGCCAGCTGCGGCAGCTGCAAGGGTGCCGTCATCAGTTCCGGACGTGCTCGGGCGGAAGTCTACACCGGAAAATCGGTGAGGTGGTAATCCAGGCGACACGACACTTTCAGCATATGAACTGGACGGGATTGATCGGTAGGAGCGGGAGAATCCATGGTTGCCGCTGATGCTGAATCGTTTTGAGCCCGGGACCGGATAGGCGGCTTCGCTCATGGGAGGCGGCGTGGTCTCAACCGAGCTTAGCTCGTCTTGCATTTCGGACGAGGAAAAGCCAGGAGAGGCAGATGAGCCGTCACTGGGATCGTTGAAGGACGCTTCATTATCGGATTGGCCCATGGTCATGTTCTCCACAGTCATGTTACACAAGACGGAAGCCGCTTCCAACAGTTGAACTTGCTGATGCTTGGAGATGAGCAACTTGGAGGTGATGGCCCATGCCGGATCATGCTCCCACCTAAAAAGCATCAGTTACAAGAACACAGCGACTTATCCTGACTGGACCAGGACATACAGATGCTTGGTGAGGCAGCTGCTATGCTTGTACCCCTTCCCACAAGTATCACACCGCAAGTCCGAGCCTGCCTTCTTGCCTTCGCCCTTGGTGAGATACGAGCCCTCACTTGCCCTTCTGTTGCGGCTTTTGTTGCTCAGTCTCTTGGACGACGCAGGCAGATCATCATCGTTGGAATTGTCCTCGAGCGCATCATTGTCCTGCCCCGAGGCCGCGCTCGGAGGACCGTTGAAAAAGGAGTGAATGCTCGGCCGGGCACTCATCGAGTGTGCTTCCGTAATCTTTCTAGAGCCTATGCTTCTCCTGTGACCTTGTAGCGGCATGACGGACGCGTCCCCCTGTTCCCTCAACGCGGCCACTATGGCAGCCTGGGCAGTGGAGGACGAGGCGGCTGTGTTGATACTCTTCCGACGATTGACTCGGTGGGTGGGATTGGAGGCAGCCAAGGAGAAGGAGTGGGAGTGCTGTCTCGAAGAGGACGAAGCGTGTCTGGAAAAACTGCCCGAGATGGGACGAGCAGTTGGTTGTTCCTTTGTTTAGGAATTGTCAGCACGGGCGTCAACTTGGGCATGGGCCAGGACCTCGACTCGACTCACCTTTGACGACGCCATGATGAAGAACGGGCGTAGGAATTTGAGACGACTCTCGAGTTCAAAACTGGCGGCAGTCTTGAGACTTGAGAGCCGTCAGGAGATGGATGGCGGCAACGGGAGGTGTTGCGTGGTGGGGTGACAGACTTCCGGACCGATTGAGTTGGGGAGTCGCGTAGTAGGAGGTAGAGCTGGGAGCAACCAAAAAGAACGAGCAATCGAGCCTGGACGATGAGCTGCGGCTGAAGCGCAATCGAGTGAATCCCCGATTAAGAAAGTTGTATCCAAATCACGGTGTGGTACGGTCCAGACAACGATGAGCGAGGAAGAAGAAAGTCGGGGATTGTGTGCACAGAGTGGTTGTGGGAGTGTGGGCGTGTGGAATGGTGGAAATGGTGGAATGGATGGCGGAAGATAGTGGATTTGGCGTCCTCGCCCGTTTGGAAGAGCGAGCGAGGGTAGTTTAGGTTGTGGTTGTGGCTGTGGAGATGGCCAAAGGGACACACTGCACTGACTTGACAGACACGACACATAGACAATCAGCTGCTGAGTTTGGCAGGAGGACGAGACAGCCCTAGTACAGAGAGGTCGACCCCTGTTACTACCTACCTAGATTTAGTACAGTACCTCCCAGACGGTTTTCGTTAGGGAGTCAGGCCTTGTGATGAGGGATGCTGATCCTTCTCCATGGCGCTTCTCTGGGGGGCTTAATCATACCTAATTCTAACAGTTCGTGGCTACGAACGTACCATTCTTTTGGCTTTCCCCTCCCTCGCAATCGCGCTTTTGGCTGCGATAGTTAGAGTGGTTCCTTGCTTCTGGTTGCAGCGGGGTCGCCCGTGGTTGGGTCTGCGAAAAGTGCCTAACAGGCCGTGCAGGAGATTAATGTCTACACAGGACTCGACTCGGTATGCTCAACGACCATTCAGTCCCAGCGTCTCACCGAGACGGGCGGCTGAGATGATTGCTTCGTCCCCTACACGCGCGCTTTCACAATCCCCGAACGGAGGGAAAAAAGATCAGAGAATGCGAACGCGAACGCGAATGGGCTGAGAACGCCTGGAATACAGATAGTGAAGGGCCCCAGAAAAAAGTTGAGCAGGACCTAGGATAACGGCTTGTCAATCTTTACTAGGACTGATCATCAGCCAAGTGCGCGGGATGGGTCGAGGATGGTTCGAGCCAGGGTCACGGCAAGGATGCCTCTACAAGAGTGTCGACATGCGACATGGTCATGGGTCAAGCAGGGCAGCAGGTCCAAACAAGTACCAGTCCAGTCCCTCTCCAACAAGCCCCCAGGACAAGGCGACGGCCTGTTGCGTACCTGACTAACCACCAGGTACCTACTGACTGGCTCGAAGCTCCAAACGCATGCTCTGGGTGCCTCTCGACACAGCGGATAGTGATATTGCCTGTATCAAAGCATGGCTTTCATGGTGATACTCAAAAATGCCCTGTTTGGCCACTGGCCATCTAATAAAGCAAAAAGAGCGAATGCCGGGACGAGTTACAGAGTAGAGCAAAGCCGAGACAACAAGGGAACGGGCCTCATATGGGCTTGTGAGGAGTGATGTGCATACTTGGAACCTGGCCACCGGGAGCACTTGTCGCCGGTCACTGCAGCTCTCAGTTCTCCGATCCATCTCCTCTCCTCTCCTCTCCCACCGCACGAGCTGAGGGATGCAAGGACTCGGAGGGCCTCTACCAGTTATGGTACAGAGTCACTGTGCTAAAGACTCGCAGGGTAAAGATGCGCGCTGCCGTACAGAACAATCAGTAGGCCGCGGCGGGCATAAGTTGAAGTCCACAAATTAACATGCCTCAACCCCGCCAGCCACAGCGACCTAGGTGTTGATTGGCAGACTAGTGGTTTAATGGCTGATTGGCAGATAGGGATAGAAAGAGGAGTTCCTTGACCCCTCAAACTAGTACTAAGTACCGCCATTATTATTATTAACCTGCCACGAAAGCTCCAACGCAACCAACGGGCGTCTCGCCCGCACCCAAAAGTGCGTGCTAATACTCTGTAGTACGTACTAGTACTATAGCTCCTCAAGTGCAAGTGCAAGTGCAAGGCAAGTGGACATGGTGGCAATTGAGCTGTCGCAACAAGATCCAGCCATAGTCCAACAAACTGCCACAGTGTTCAGTTCCATATGCGAACAGGTGCAGCAGGTAAGGCATTGGCCTGCTGCTATGGAGCACTGCCAGGTATCCCTATCCTACGACTCCTACTCCTGTGGTCCTACAAGGTTACCAGGTAGGCACTTTTTGTGGCCTCCACGGTCGGCTGATGAATAGTACGCGAAACATCACAGTCACGCGGCTTTTCGAATCCACGATGCCGTCATCGGCGCAGTTGGCGGGCGCAGGTGGTGACTGCCAGGTGGTGGGCAATTGCCCGCAATACGGAGTTAGTTACATGGTAGGTGACCATGATACTAAGATACGGGCGGAGTCGTCGTCGTCGCCGTCGTCGCCGTCCCCGTCCCGTGGTTACTTGGATGGGGCTTGGGTCCTGTTAGTGCTCGAGGTCAGCGCCAGCACTCGTCACCAAGCTCACTACGCCTTCGTCATCGCCTGAAACCAGAGACATCATGAAGCTGAGAACATGCCGGTGATGGCACGCGTACATTGTACCTTAGGCATGGGGTCCTGATGTTGGCAGTACCCAATAACAAAAATAATATACGGACCACAGTTTACACGACCTGATCGAGCACATCAGGTACCACGGTCCATGCTGCCGGGCAACTTTTTTTCGGGCGTGCTGATCCGCGTGGCACCGAAAGCATCAATCATCATCGCTGATCCCCATAAGCCATGTATTCTGATCTACAAGCCCTACCGCAGTACAGAGTACAAAAACAACATCACGACTTGCAATACTCCTTTGAAGTATTGATCACTGCTACTAAATGGTTCAGCCCAGATGGAGTGACCACACCCTGAAAGAATTGTCCACAGCACAAGAGCTCCCCTTCATGTTGGTGCGCCAAATATATCTCACTGGAGGAGCATCCAGTACACTGGAAATACATCGGATCTACAGCCGTCTCCAACATGCGCTGAGCAAATATGCCTTGTCTTATCTTCCGAAAGCGGCCAGATCATTAAAAGTCCCGAACTTAACTCGGATTATCTCGTGCTATCACGGACGGCTGATAGATAACGTCGCCGCTAAAGAAAAGGATGGGCAGCTTGTTTGTTGTTGGCCAACAAGCGTCAACGGTCCCTGCAGTGTGGGCACCGGCGCCCCTTGTCCCAGGGGTGAACGAATGCAGAGATGCAGACTTCGGCTTGTCTAGCACTAACCACAGTACAGTATAGTGAGATGCCAGATTCAGAGAATACGGTGCGATAACAGCCATCATAATGGTTTCAAAACAATAATGGGTATCATCCATCAGGTTGGGATGTCCGAGTCTGCCGAACGGAACGGGGCAGTGGGCAGACAGCTGCCTACTAGGTACCTATCCACAGTCCCTACGGTACCTAGGTAGGTACACAGCAGCAGATACAGTACGCACTCGGATCGTGTTCATGGTGAGACATGATCTCAGCGGATATGCTTCCGCAAGAACAAGCCCGGCTACTGTGAGTATTCACGTCTACATACGGTACATAATGATGCATTCCAATGGGTGGACCTAATCACACTTCCGGTGCCAGTGTGTAGGTAGTGTAACAGTACAGGATCCATGCTCTTTTACATATGGACAACTTCACCTTCTTATCCTCTATAGCAGCCTCAAGAAACAATAAGCAAGATCAGCCTCAATTCAGCAGACACCGTCGCTAAGCAGATGTATACCTATATTAAGTCTGATCGCCTACCTAGGTAAGTATAGATACAGCTCTGTAGGCTGATCTCACTCCTACGGAGTTCGCAACCATCGCGATTGGAAGCGCGTTCCGAAAGCTAAGAGTCGGCCACCAAGCCAACATTTTCAGCACCTATAACACGGGGGATCAACATGGGGGATCATACGCTGGCACTTGATCGCCGGACCGGGTGAGGCGTGAGGCTGAAGGCTGAAGGCTGTCGTTTCTTCTGTTTTGTGGCTTCGACCATGACACATCGCCCAGACCCTTTGCAGAAAGCCAAAAAACCAAAAAGCCCCATCCTCTCTCATCTTGTCATATCTTGCCTCTTTTGCTGCCGGTGCCGTGGATCTGGATTCTACCCAGACATCCTTTCCTGGATCTTGTCGTCGTCGAGATCTCTAAATTCTGCTGGTGTGGGATCCGCTCATCCGATACCATCACTTGCGCTGGCGGGGTGTTTACTCCAGACCCACCTCCTGTCCCTCGTTCTATCGTCACCACAAGTCAGGACAGCCCAGACGCGTAAACACGAACACCAAGGATCCTGGAGAGGCCATCCTCGAAAGAAAAGATAAACATAATGTCCTCCCAACAATCCTGGGCCGCGTGGCTGCTTGATTCCTATGCCTCGTCCGTGTCTCCTGTGACATCCGACTTCCCCGACCGTCACCACGACTCTGCCTCTGCCTCGACCTCGACCTCCGATTCGCCTTACACCACCGCTACCGCACACAGTCCACAATCTTCCATATCCAGTTCGTCCCCATACGGGCCCTACGTGCGGACAGGAAGAGGCGGGGCCGGCAATTTCACCTGGCAAACCGAGCTGAAACCCAAGAAGTCGTCTTCCCCGCTCGACCTCGAGTCCCAGCCGGCACCGCAGACTTCACTGAACGAACGTCGCAAAGCGGCTGCCAAACTAGAACATATCAATACAGAGACGGTGCGCCTGAGACAGAGTTCGGCACAATATCTCTCGGTCGGTCGAGGCGGCGCAGGGAACTACGTTTCCCCGGCCGAGAGAAGCCAGGCAAAGAGAAGTCCGAGTCTTCCTTTGAGTGTGAGCTCGGCCAAGGCCGGCAGCCCAACGACCCAGTATCCGTTTCATCCTGGAAGAGGCGGTGCTGGAAATTACGCCGCTGCTGCCGAATTTAATGGGCGTGCAAAGACGGAAAGCGACGAAGAAGAGCAACGCATCGCCCAACAGCGAAGAGAGCAGATCATCGAGGAAGTGGATGGTCTGCTTCAGCCTCCTCCGGGAGCATGGCTGGGTCCTGAACGCAGAAAGAGCGAAGTCATGTACGAGGCAGTTTGAGGGCAGAATGGGTTTAATGGTGGTTCACCTGGCCAAGAGCCCGAAGCAGATTTCCAGGATGTACGACGATTTCTCTACGGCTCAGAGCCCGTAACGCACCCCCTTCGCCATTGACAACGGCGATCAAAGGACTGGGAAGATCCCGACATACTGAAGCAGTCCTGAACAGATTGGGTACGGGACAGGACTTCCTGAAACGGAGCATAATCTATACATCGCACCTCCGCTCGTCGACCAGCTCCTTATCAATCACTACTACCGCTACCCCCAACCTCGTCAGTCGCCGCGCACACTCGCTCTGAGAGGGAAATGTAGTACGATGCCTCCTGGCAGACAATCCTTCACCAGCTGGGAGTGCTGGAAGCTGAGTATTGGAGGCCTCTTCCTATACTGTTCGTCGGTGGGTCGTTGCGGGATCAAGGTTAATATACACCTATGACCCGCCCTTCGGAGATGGTAACACGAACACTTCCCCACTATCGTCCTCGACGACGAGAAGGGATCTTAGCGCTGTACACTAACAGGGAGTCGGCGACCGATTGCCGCGCAGCATTGGTACGCCACAAGACAGCATGGCTGAACCTCCCTTGAGAATCTAGGCTGCAGACCTCGTGCGGTGCCTTCTATTGTCTCAAGCAACCGATTCAACCAGTGCACCAATTATGCTGACCCCCCAACACAAATGCCTCCCTTTCCTCCCATGTGGGCGAACAAGTGGCACAAAATAGTGCAGCGACGTGACTCAAGCTACGTTCATTACGTCTCATATCAAGTCTCGGAAGACCTCTCAATTCCTTATCTCCATCTCAGTTGGCGGGACGGAGACGATCTACATTTGGAGCCCTCGGTACTCTCAACAAGGACGGACCTTGCTGTAGGTGTAGCAGAGAACAGAAGACATCAATAGCGAGGAGCTGAAAAACAAGTTCGAAGTGCGGTGTTGTTCGACCTCGAAATGAACCGTTTCGAAATGATCTGGGGTAGACTCGTGCCTCGCTGTTGATTTAAGAAACCACCAGGACATGAACCGCGCACATATGTCCGCGATTTTCCTGCCCAGGTTCCACTCAGCCTATGCATGGTATTCAAGCTTTCTGTGGTCTCGGAAGAACCTAACGACGGGCAGCGACATATTCTCCTTGTTTTCTCGGCAGATCATATACCGCTCTTTTACTGTCGCGTATATGCCAACCCCGATCCATCAACATCAGTAACATGTCTAGAGATCTCGGGAGCTATGCCACGAGTTCTAGCTGAAGACTTTGTCAAAGTACTTGACGAACGCATTCCTAATGTAACGCGAAATGATACTAGTCAGCCAATCACTCTGTCCACTGGTTGAATGCCCAACAAAACCATGCATCAAACAATCTGCATCATTGACGCAAGGAAAAGGGATGTGACATGTCCTCCAGGTTCGGTTTGGTTCGCAGGTTCAAAAGGGGAACGAAGGGACGTGGTCTAAAAATGGGTGGTGTCATGCATCAAAGTCACTCACCTCGGCGGTCTAGGCACATAGTTCCTCTCATACTCTTCCAGCTCATCCATGTCTTTCCTCAGATCGACCTCGTGCGGCTTCAGCCATTTCGTCTTCTTGATGAGTTTCCAGCCGACGAACAGGATGGGAAACACGCCGATCATGGTGTAGCTGAAGAAGAAGGTCGGCACGTCCCAGAACCCGGGCAGGAAGACGGTGTAGCCGCCGACAAAGGTCATGATGAAACAGCCCGTCAGGGCATAGTAGGCCGAAAACGGCTGCAGCCACGACTTGTAGGGGAGGCTGTTGCGGTCGATGCCTTGGGCGTCGAGCGCGTTTTTGAATTTGATGAAGGTGAATGCCATGACGGCGAAGTTGATCAGTTGTGATGCAGTCACCTGTGTGGAGGGTAGAGAAGATGTTTATTAGCATTGATCTGGAAGAAAAGTACATCATATCTCGTTGAGGTGCAGTGCAGCTTGGGCAGATGGTTGTTTTCTTTTCTGTTGGTTTGGAACCTACCAAGTTGACGAACCAGCTCAACACCACGGCAGCGTCGTTGCTGACCTGCAAAAAGCTCAACAAGCTGATCAACAAGACGACCAGGACGCAATAAACCGGCACGCCGTTCCTGGTGCAGCGGGTGAAGATCTTGGGCGCCTTGCCCTCGAGGGCGAGACCGAACAAACTGCGACTGGCGCAATAGACGTAGCTGTTGCCGGCGGAGAAGGCGGCGCCGAGGACCATGGCATTGACAATGTGCGGCAAGACCGGAATGCCCAGGCGGTTCATGGACACGACGTAAGGCGAGGCGGCGGCGCCGGGCTTGCCGGACGAAAAGGCCTCGGTGAGCTCGGGGTCGTTGTAGGGGACCAAGATGCCGACACACAGCGAGCCGAGCATGAAGAAGGCCGTCAGCCGGTAGAAGACGGCCTTGTAGGCCTTGGGCAGCACGCGGCGCGGATTCTCCGCCTCGCCGGCCGCCATGGAGACGTAGTCGGGCCCGGCGATGGTGAAGGAGGCCTGGATCAGACATTGCAAAAACCCCAGGAACCGGCCGAGCGAGCCGTCGTAGTACAGCTCGGTGAAGGAGCCCGGGTTGTTCCAGTAGCGGAACCCGAACCGGTCGCCGAGCGGGTTGCCGCCCAGCATCGCGATGAAGGTGTAGATGATCAGGCCGATGATCAGGAGCACCTTGCCCAGGGCGAGCCAGAACTCGGACTCGCCGTACCATTGCACCGCAAACACGTTGATGATCCCGTACAGCACAATCACGATCGCGATGATCCCGCCCGCCGGCACGACGTCCGACCAGAAGTGGATGATGACGTTGCACGCCACGATCTCGAAGGGGACCAGCATCGCCTCGAACACGAAGAAGTTGTACCCGGCCGCCACGCCGAATGCTTCGTCGACATAGCGTCCGGCGAAACGGATGAATGGCGACGAAATGGGCAGGTACGTCACCATTTCGGCCATGCAGTTCGTCACGCAGAGGATGAATGAACACCTGGGGAATATTGTTAGTGTCAGAGTCAAGGCATGCTGGATGATATGTGGTGCTATGTTTCTTTGGTCCGGCTGAGCAGTGAAGATTGTGGTTCTTCCGAACCAAGCAATTGGTACCAAGGACGCAGTCGCCAAGCGCTGGTTGTCAATGTGAGGCCACGAGCTGCCCGGCGCTTGGCTGTTGGTATTCTTGCTTGTTCTTTTGAGACAAGAGTACGACACTCTGCAGGTGCTTGTTTCTTTCCTTATCCCAGGAGCGTCCAGGAATGAAAAGGAAAGAGAAAAAGGAGATCCGGAGACATACCAGATTGTAAAAGCCAGAAACAGCGACCCGGGACCCCCGTTCAACAAACCACGGCCGATCTGGACATACAAAGCCGTGCCAATGGTTCCCCCAATACCTATGAGCTGGATATGTCTAGGCTTGAGCTTTCGGTGGGTCGAATCGTAGCTGACATTGAAGCTTTCAGTGTCCGAGGGGACTTCGGCCAGTCCGTAGTTGGACTTGAGCGCGGCAACGACCGAGTGTTTGCGAGAACTCTTGGAGCCTCGTCGGATGTCTTCGTCATCGTGCGAGTGCGAGCGGGTATGGATCCCTCGAGCAAGAGGGGTCTCGTCCAAGATGTGGGGAGGGATGTTCTTCTCGCCGTAGTCATGGGCGGAAGACGACATGATGGGAGCCCAAGCGGTGTTATCAAACAGACTTCAATGCAACTGAGGGACAAGACTGAAGAAAGAGCATGGATATACGAGACGAGAGGGGACTATTTCTCCATGACATGACAAGACAAGGGACTTCGATCTCTCATATAAGATACGTGGTTGTCGCAACGGGTCCAATCTCAAGGTACATACGGCCTCGTCGATGACATGGGCCACGGTCCACTCAACCCGCTCGCCGCCAACGCAGGGAAAGGGAAGGAAAGTACATTAACGCCCCGTCCTAGCTGCAGTGAGTAGTGGACATCTCAGACGATCGAATGTGTGGCGCGGCGCAATTTTTTTCTGGAACCGGCCTGGGGGCTTGACTTAGCTGTTTTGAAGCGACTTTTTAGGCCTACCAGTAAAGAACGTTCAAGTTCGGGAGATCCTGGCGAGAGGGTTACATGACCAAGACTCTTGACGGTTGATGCACTGCAGTGTGACGAACCGTGGCCCATGGTGCCATTTTCTGCTTCCGGGATGGGCTTATCTCGACCAAGAACCGAGATGCTGGAAGCTGTTTGGAGGAGCGTGGTCTTAGCCGCGCCGGTCTCTCGAGCGATCAGAGAATAACCTGTTGACGGTGACTGGGCGCATCCAAAAGAACATGCCGCCGCCGTGCCAGGGCCTCGAGTGCTAAGCCGCTGCCAGGGTGGAAGGACGTAGTGGTTAGTGGGCGCCCGGGAGAGTGAATTCAGGCTCGTCAGGCTGGGCTGACGCCACTAGTCCGCCTCGGGGATCTTGGCACTGGTGCCCAGACCGACTACCGCAGGCCGGCCGGGGCGGCGGAGCAAAGAGGGGGGTGAGGGGTTAGGGGGACGGTTCTTACACCTCTTAAGGCCGTCATCATGGCTGCAGATGGATGAGGGATCTGAGTTCTGTGCCGACGTTCAAGTTGGGGGTTGGGGCTGAATTCGCAGTGTGTCCGGAGGTGGCTGTTCTTCTACTGTGGCCACTGTCCAGTACTGTGTACAGGTAGTAGGTAAGTGGTACGTGGAAGACCCAGTTAGGCAACGTGAAGAAGGCTGACGAGGCTAACTTGAGGCATACTGGGAATCATACCCTGCTATCAGCGAGGATCATTTCTACAGAGTACTAGGACTGTGTACTCTGTAACGCTATCTCAATCTGGAGTACTTGTCCTCCTACAGAGATGCCCAGCTTGCCACGTAGACCCTACGTACTCACTACTCTGTAGTATGGCCGTCTCCTTCAAGTTGTCCAGAGTAACATGGCTCCCACAGACACAGATTCGGAGTTGATAGACCGTCAAGACAAGACAAGACAAGGTGACCCAATCGTAAGGCACAGATAGAATCTCCCTATTCGGCTATCGACCAATCTGTCATATGGCTATCGTTGTTATCATCTCCCCCAGTGGAGATAGATAGATTAGCTGTCTCTTCTCGGGATTTGCTACCTTGAATACGGTATTGCAATCCCCTACCAAGAGAAATCGAGAGTCTATCTATGTCTTGATAGTCTTAAGGCACATCGGATCCGAAAGCGCCTCGCGCCATGGCATACTGCTTAGTGCATGCAGATTCAATGCCGCGATATCTATCGCAGCTCTTAAGCACAATTCGGACCCTTCGTTAGTCGAGGCCAAGAGACCCATTGTCTCTTTAGTGTCCCGAATCGCCTTGTGTCTAGACCGACAGGCTCTCGCTGGCACTGAACCCCTGCCACTCACATCGCTCGGTTTACCAACACCTTAACATGAGGTGCAGCTTGGCCAGCTCACTACTACTGGACAGGACATTGCGAGCACACGGATCTCTTATACCATTAATTTATCGGTGCTGCTGATCATTCAATCATGTCGATGTTCTCCTTCCAGGTTTCGCTTTCGCTTTCCTCTACGGTCCTTTTCTTCCTGTGCCCTCACAGCTTGGTGGCCCGAGACATTGTTTTCCCTCCCTCCGCTCCGGTACAAGCCAAGCTCAACTCCGACCATAGCACCTCTCACAACTTGAACCCTGCTGCCAACCCGGGCTACTATCAGACTTATCGGTCTGCCGTGGGCGCCGACAAGGATCATTTGCTAGACTATGATAAGTTCGCAGGACTGACGACCTTTTCCAATCTACCTTGGGTCCACTGCTTATCGCCCGACAACGATGTCGAGAAGTACGACATTGCCTTTCTGGGGGCTCCTTTCGATACTGGAACTACAGGAAGACCTGGAGCGCGGTTTGGCCCCACCGGGATAAGGCTGTAAGTGCAGACAAGGAAAGAGAACCCACGCGTGTATTGCGAGACGAGACTGGCTCGATGTGGCAGGTTCAGTGATGCCAGAGTTGGGTCTGCTGCAATATTTGTCGAGTAAATATTCGACCGTGGTCTCAAAATCCTAACCTTTCAGTTCCGTTCTGGTCTGGCGTGGTATGTACTTGTATACCTAATAACGAACCTTGTCTATTTAGGGGTTCTCGACGAATCGAGGCGCCCGTCGCCTGGAGCCCCTACACCCACGACAACACGTTCCTGTCCTGGGCAAGGATCGTGGACTGCGGCGATGCACCTCTGACGTTCCTCGACAACACCGTAGCCTTGCAGCAGCTCGGGGAGGCGCACAAGATCGTGTCCGGCCGCACGGCCAATACCACCGAGGTGGCAAGCGTGCCTCGGATCATCACCCTGGGTGGTGACCACACCACGACGCTGGCAGCGTTGCGGTCGACGGTCAACCACTGGGGTCCAGTCAGTGTGATTCATTTCGACAGCCACATTGACACCTGGGTATGCTTCGCTCCTTGATGATGTTGATGCGATAAACCATGCTGACCGCAGTGTTTGCCAGGACCCGAAAGTCCTAGGTGGTGGGATTTCCCATTATGCAGGCGTGAATCACGGAACATTCCTGCATATTGCCCATGAGGAGGGCTTGATTCTCAACTCGTCGGCGCACGCGGGCATCCGGGCGCCGACCATGAACAAAAAGTACGACTGGAAGAACGACAAGCGCTGCGGGTTTGAAATCATCACGGCTCGGGACATCGACAAGATCGGTGTTCAGGGCATAATTGAACAGCTGAAGATCCGTGTCGGTGACTCGCACGTGTACATCTCGGTCGACATTGATGTCCTGGATCCTGCCTTTGCACCGGCCACAGGCACGGTTGAAGTCGGCGGATGGACGACCCGAGAGCTCTTGAGCATCCTGGATGGGCTGGAGGGTCTGAAAGTGATCGGAGCAGATGTGGTCGAGGTCGCTCCCGCTTATGATAACGTGGGAGAGACGACTGTCCTTGCCGCGGCTGAAGTGGCTCATTCTCTCATGAGCCTGATGGTGGAGACACCTGTTAAGCCGCTGAAGAGCTGAAGGGTGAAGATACCTATCTTTCGATATTCTGTACAGACCTGCCGTATACTATAGGATACCATAGACAGTCCGCTCGACCATAGAAGAAGGTGTCCATCGCTTGATTGAGCGCAGGAAATGCTGGGTCCTCGTGGCACCGCACGTCTTTGCGTCCCAAGCGAGGTGGAAGGCACCCTCAGGAAATGATTTCCCTAGCATGTACCTGGGTTGACTTCTAATTTCTAACTTCTACTTCTCACGTTCAAGTTCAAGTTGTGATCGCCATATGATCCTGGAAGGCGTTGACCACTGCAGCCTGAGTGCAGTGACAGTTCCCTCGCCGTGGGGGACTGACAGAAGAATTATCGACCTTAATACCTCTAAGATGCCAATGTACTCACCAAGAAGTGTGAAACCCATCCGTCAGACGTGATCTTTTGCATTAAGGCACTAGTACTAGTACTAGTGCCTAGTTTTGCGTCATCCAGACCCGCTAGACCCATTGCAGTGGCCAGCCAATCATGCAAAACGGAACTGAGGGGCATTTATTGTCACTGGCACTGCAACTGGCAGGCAGGCCACGTTCCAGCTATACGTCAGGTACGAGATAGCAGGTAAAACCGCAGCATCGACTCTCTTCTCTTTTCTAGGTTTCCTCCGCCAATACTCTGCCCCGCGATTGATTATTTTATTGATTGAACGATTCCAATAGTTGATTCCCCCCAAACGAGAAGAGCCCTGGCACATCCATCGCCTGATCAGTAAAATCGTTGCATCCCGACCTTCTACCAAGACACCAGAAAAGTATGTGTAATCAAGCCTCCCGCAGCTTTCCACCGCATGCTCCATTTATTGCCAATTCCCATCACTGGGGCAGTGCACAGTTGCCAATTGCAGTCGTCCCGGGCTCCGCCAGCTCAGCACGGCTTCTTGCAAGAATCCCCACGTTGTCCCGGCCGGTTCCTGATCATCTCATCTTCTGGTTCAAGCTTAATTAATACTTACAAGCGAAATCACTTACTCACTTACTCACGGCTCTATCTATCTAGTGTCTGAAATCAAAAGCGCAAACGGCCAAGGTTCGTGTTGGATATACTGCGCACCGCCTTGACTTTCCTTCCTATACCATCACCACCACCATGACGGACGAAACCTCACCGAGTTCCTATACAGAGAACAAGCGATTCGAGCCCAAAGTCAAGGTCGACTTGAACCCGCCGAAAAACGACCAGATCTCGCTGGAAGAGTTGGCTCAATGTGACGGTATGCTTTCCATATCCATCTCCGGGGAAGAATAGACATGGACTTTTCGGTTTGGGAGAACGGAATGGGCTGAGAAGTGCGGATCGCTTTTGGCGCGCCTTGTAGGAACACATCCAGACAAGCCGACGTGGGTCGCGATCAAAGGAACTATATTCGATGTGTCCAAGAACCCGGCATATTCTGAGAAAGGCCAATATCATGGTGCGTGCCAACTGCCAATATCCCCCCCAAAGTGCCTCTTGGCCTCTCAATGTCGCGGCGTTGTCGGGAACAGTGCTGCTGCGCAGGCATGCCGATGCAAGACAAGTCGACACCGAGACCGACACCGAGACCAGGCGCTAACAGCTCGGCCATGGCTATCTGCTACAGTGTTCGCCGGAAAGGATCCCTCTCGGGCGCTCGCCCTGTCCAGCCTGAAACCTGAAGACTGCGTGCCGGAATGGGACGACCTCGATGACAAGTACAAGACCGTGCTGGATGAATGGTATACCTTCTTCAGCAAGCGGTATAATATTGTGGGCAAGGTCAGTGCTAGCGTCTTGTTCCTCCAGAAGCTCTGAATGCTGTGGTGATTCCATCGCACCAGAGTAGTCGACTGCCAGTGTGGTTGGCCGAAAGAGACGGGACAGACATACATACAGCATCAAGCCTGGCGGTGTGATAACCATTGCACGGGGCATCGAGGAACATGCCCTCACCACCCCTATGTATCCTTTGGGACAGCGGCTGACCACTATTCCCGCTACAGGTCGCCGGCGCTCAAAATACAGCAAGCAATTGATTGACTCTCCAAGCGTTCCGACCCTCGGGTGATGACACCCCGGGCAGGTGCATGTATGAGATGTGAAGCGATTTGAGTACAAGCAGATCAAGACATTCTCACTGCCAGGACCGATGCAGCTATATATCTGTGATTTGAGGTTCATGGGAGGTATCAGTACATAAGACCGAAATGTACGTGTGTATGTCATGCATCAACCCTTGCGCGTTTTCCTGGCTTGACGCTTCTTCGCAATGATCCGGTTCCGTTTGGCGACACGGTTCTTCTCCTCGCTGTCCACGGCTTGCGCCGGTTGAGACGCCGGCTCCTCGGCACCCTTGTCGTCCCGCTTGCGCTTCGAGTTCTTGCCTTTGGCACCCTTTTCTCCTTCGCCGGCTTTATTGTCCTTGTCCCGGGGTTTCCACTCCTTCATCTTTTGTTCTCTCTCGCTCCTCCGTTGCACGACCTGCGCGTTTTCAATGGCAAACTCCACAATCAGTCGCTTGCCTCGCTCACCATCGGAGTTCGGGGACTTGACGTAATGGCCATTGAGCCAGCGCAAGCCTGCAAGAGCATTCCGATGCGTCACATACTCGATGAAACCATATCCTCGGCTTCGACCGGCCCCTTCTTTGACTTTGCTGCCCTCTTTGTTCTCGAAGACGACCTTGGCCTGCTTCACAATCCCCTTGCCCGAGAGCTTGCGTTTCCGCTCGGCTTCTCGCATCTCCTCCTCGCCTCGTTTCAATTCTTCTTTGCTGAGCGGCTGTCGAAGACCGTCCTTGACGTCCTTGGTGAATCCCACCACAGCTTCGCGGGCAAGAGCCTTGAGTTCCTTGCTGCCGATCCCCCGCGGGATGTTCCTGACACTCAATCGAGTCAGACTCAGACAGAGATTGGGATTAGTCTTGATCAAGCGTTGCCGTTGTCGAGCGCTGGTCTCGCGGACGTCAATCTCCGCCTTTCCGAGCTGCTCGTACAGTTTCGATGACTTGGAGATGGAGCCCTCGGAAAGCAAGTACAGCCGCCGTTTGTCTCTGTCGCGGATATCCCTCTTCTCGCTGGCTTCACTGGCTTTTTGCTCCGCATCCTGCCTGCTCAGAGCTCTCGAGACCTGCAGGACACGGCCCTCCATCGTGTATTGCCCGGATTGATCCGCAGCCTCGTTCTGCAGAATCGAATGTTTGAGCGTCTCGCCTTTCCGTTTCTTGTTGCCGTCGGCGTTGTCAGCCGGGGCTTCATGCTTGGGCGCATTCTTGACGCAGTTCTTAGCGTCTTCCTGGTTGAAGAAGCATACAAAGGCAGTTCCTCTGGACCGCTCCGTCTCTGGGTCGTAAACCACGCGGGCGTATCGGATCGGTCCGAATTGGGTGAAATGTTCTTTCAGGATTTCGTCATCTGCCGTGAATGGCAGGTTTCTGATGAACACAGTGGTATCGTTCTTCGCAGCCCGGTCTTGGTCGGCTTGACTTGGCTCCTCCAGGTCCGACTCTCCTTCGGACAGGCCATCTAGACCGTTCAGCTTGTCCATTTCATCGTCGTCGGACAGCTCGCTAGAGCTGGTATCGTCTTCGACGTCTTCAGTAGCCTGTAGGTCGTCCTGTGAATCAGCCTCCGAGTTCTTAATGCCGTTCTTTTCAGTGCCGAGTTTGGTGGATCCTTCCGTCTTGTTATTCTCTGCTACAGCGGCTGCATCGTCTGCAGCATGCTGCTGCTCTTCCCAGGTCTGCTTGTCCACCGCCCAGTCGACCGCGAGGGTGCGTCCGTCCACCACCTTTCCATTCACACCTGCAATTGCCTTCTCCGCATTCTTCTTGCCGCGAAGCACGACGATGCCAAACCCGTACTGCACTCTCGGCCCTTTCTTCGGCACGACGGCATGCTTGACCTTGCCATAACTGCGAAACAGCAGGGCGAGGTCGTCCGAAGTCTTGATGCTCCACGGCAGATTCCTGACGATCAGTCTGGGTGGCTGTATTTCTGCTTTGCTCTTTTCTCTCTGCTCCCTAAGTTTTTGGGCGGTCGTGTTTGTCCCGCTCTTGCCTCTGCCTCCGTCTTCTGCATCTCTGTGCCGGGACTCAGCAATCTCCACCTTGATCTTCCGCCCGTCGAGCGTAGAGTTGTTGAACTGCGCCACGGCCGCTTGGGCATCTTCGGCGTCGACGAACGTCACAAAGCCAAATCCTCGCGAGACTTTGGTCTGCGGGTCGACGACCACGGTGGCATGCTTGATGGGGAAGGATTCCGAAAAGTATTCCGTCAGTCGTTCCGTCGTCACGGAGGCGGGCAGGGAGCGGACAAAAAGTGACCGGCGGTGGTCTTTGTCTTTGGCATCGTGGCCCGCCTGTGGTTGCTGCGTGGCCGACTTGGTCCCTGTCGAGACAGCCTCGTAACTCCCGCTGGAGAGTTTTCTCCTTTTAGTGCCCTGCTCTATTGACATTATTGGGACCTTTGGCTTGCTCTAGAAGACAAATCCATGATCAAGGAAAAAAAGTTGAGATTTCCGCATACAGTAGTACTACTGGATTAGTACTAGCCCTTCTATCCGACGCTGGTGCCAAGGAAAACTGAAATCTGCGGCGGCTCCCCTGCTTTAGGAAAGAGGGTGATGCCGCCCTGTACTAACCCTCCTGTTCAGCCAAAGGAAGCTGGTTGAACCTCATTATCTTGAGTGGCAGATGGTAATATGCGGCCATCATCAATACAGAAGCCTGCGAGCTTTCGGTAGTTGCAGGAAGGATATCTGATGCCGCTTAACAACAAAGACTTTGGTTCTACTAGAGCCGAATGTGTTGAATGCTCCGTGTTCGAGGAAGCCTGTACATGCTGTGTACTGTACCTGGCGTTGATATTACGAAGCCGGATAGAAGGCCTCGGCCGGCCTAGGTACTGCAGCTGAAACCTTACCTATAGGTACTCGACGTGGAGTATCGAGATGTAATTGTTTTGGCGCTTCGTGCAAAGAAGTGATTTATCAGTAACACCCAACGTAATATTGTTGGTCGGTGCAGACCTCGCCCAGGTAGAAGTGAAAACCGGCACGGAGCACTCCGAGTCCGTATGCCCAATTTATGACGTAAGGACAACAGTACAATTTATGGGCCACTCAAGGAGATATCATAGGTCGGTGTATCTAGGTACCTATAGGTTGGTTTGAAGGCAGAACGACCTAATGATTACAATATCTCCGGAGACTTAGGTACTGATCGGAGAGAAAGATCTCAGGGACTCGCAAGGCTTTGTGGGACTGACGCTCTGGTGAGTAATCCAGGTTTAACAAATTCGGTACCTTCCAGTCTCGAGGGTTCAATGGGCCGAGGCAGAGCGGAGTTCTTCAGGAAGAGTTGGGCGAATGGGAGTAACTCCCCAGTCCCTGCAGTGGATTGGCCGGTTGGCCGCTACATAGTACCTGTCTTCGCCTCAGAGCGAGGGCGTGTGCGAAAGGATCTGCAACTCCGAAAGGATACAACCAAATCCAGTTCCTCACTCCGAGGATCAAAACGGTCGAGTTGACTTTTGCGCCCGGAGAAAGCACCGCCCCAATCAGCGTCCCGGCATCTCCGAGCTGCCAGACCTGTGTGACGAAAGTTTGACGAACGTCCATGCTTCAACTTGTAAGCTGAAATGAAGTCAGTGTGCACCTCTGGTGCACGGGGATTTGAATGTTAAGCTATATATATATTCCCCTTCTGCCTCCTGGCACTGTACATAAATACGTATCGACAATTTTTTGATTCCTCACATTCACCATGTCTAATTCATCTGATCGTGCTCCGGTTCCGGATCAGGCCGAGGCTGACGCCTTCTTCCCATCACCATTTTCGCTGACGCAATATGTGGCCCCCAAGACCGACTTTGATGGCGCCGACTATCCCAACGCTTATAAAGGGGGCAAGTGGAAGATTCTCATGATTCCAACACAGGAGCGTTATCTGAAGATGGCGGATGGCAAGTTCTTCTCCACCGGCAATCACCCGGTAGAGATGCTCCTGCCACTCCTCCATCTCGACGCCGCCGGGTTTGACATCGATATCGCTACCGTGTCGGGAGATCCAGCCAAGTTGGAAATGTGGGCTTTCCCCAAGGAAGACGACGCAGTTAAAGCCATTTTTGAAAAGTATAAGCAGAAGCTCCGGCAGCCACTGAGTCTGCAAGATGTCTGGAAGGACGGATTCACAAAGGACACGCCATACATCGGCGTCTTTATCCCCGGTGGGCACGGGGCGTTGAACGGCCTGCCATCCTCGCCTACAGTTGGAAAGATCCTGCGATGGGCCGACGCCAATCAGCGATATCTCATCACCCTCTGCCATGGACCGGCTAGCATGTTGGCCGCCAACGTTGGAAAACCCGAGGGCAGCAAGTTCATCTATGAGGGATACAAGATTGATGTCTTCCCTGACTCGCTCGACTCCGGAGCCAATATTGACATCGGCTACATTCCAGGCAAGATGTCCTGGCTCGTTGGGGAGGAACTCCGCAAGCTCGGCGTGATTCCCATCAATGAAGGGATCACTGGCGCAACCCACCAAGATCGCTATGTGCTGACAGGTGACTCGCCACTGGCATCCAACAACCTGGGAAGGCTTGCCGCAAACATCCTTCTCGACGACGTTGCTAAGCGTTCATAAGGGCCTCTCGATGGATTGATAGGCTTGGTTGCAAGTCTCGGTGGATATGATGCAGGGATAGTCTCGATGACTGGATTGGTTTGCGAGGTACTTCTTGCTTCAAGGTTAAAGTACACTCGTCAATGTTGTCATCCTACATGTATATGAGGCTTCCTTCACATAGACTGTATGATAGGCAGGAGATGACAATCAATCTTTCTCCAAGTTTCCTTTAAGGTGGTGAAATTCAGACGCTGTGATGGCTGATGGTTGTAGTGTGAGGGAAAACTGGATAGCCATTCCTCGTTGCCATCGTCTGTCCATAAAACATACCTATGTAGGTATGTACCTAAGGTACGTATGGTAGTCCTACTGCCCGAGGCTAGTACCAAGGAAAACTGAAATCGGTGGCGGCTCACCTTCTTAGGAAGTAGCATGATGCTGCCTTATGCTCGCCCCCAGCCTGCGCGACGACTGTTTAGCTTCGAAGTTGCGCTAATGGCCGGTATTAAAGCAGCACCTGCGCTGGTTAGTTCAGGCTAGTACTAGTGTGTCGCCAGCAATGCCGCTTTGCCCCTTTTCAACAACCTATCGAGTCCTCCTATCCGTCCAGCTGCCTCCGCACTTTAGGTTACTACTACCGACTAAAGCTGCGAGAAAGTCAAAGCCTTATATTGACATCTAACGAGCTTCGGCAGACTCAAGGAAACATCACCCCAGAGCTGTTAGACGATCCTCCTCCGCAACTGCCCTATCCAGTTGCCAAGTCTTCCTGATGATTCTGCATCAGAACAATCTAAGGTAAGGTGCAACGTCTTTTAGTCTTGGCTTTGTCTTGTTCGAGATTGCGCTCGGGACGAACGCGTTCCCAGCGTAAATTCTTGCAGAAGTAGTCAAAGACTCAAATTTCTTCGTTGACAGCTTTCCGGCGGGGCTATCATGCTACGTATCGAAGAACAAGTACTATCCTAAACAGGTGCTAACCGGTTGGCCAGCAAACCAGTCATCCCGCGTATGTGTGGCCCTGTCCCGAACAAGAAGGGTCATCCCAATGCAAGTATCGTCATGATGAGCGAAGACCATTGGGCAATAGGGGGCGGTCTTATCCAAACACATTTGGGAAAAGGTTCCATTGCTGCCCCTCTGACAACATTGATTTGACATTTCCAGCATCGCAACCTCCTCTGCAACCCACCCCCCCCCCTCTCGTGAGCTCGCTTCCAGCACGGAAGAGTCGGTGCGTCTCTCCGCGAGGAGCAGCGAAGCTCTAATCCATGGTTGCCTCGTTGTATGTTGGCAACTTGGTCTTCCTTTCATGCCCCTCGACAGCTTCGACCGGATGGTATTCCTTAACAAACGCAGGCTCGATAATATCCACGACAGGCTGTGTTCGTTGTTGCAGCTCGGTATCTCTGAAGGTTGGCTGAGGTGCTTGCGATGCAATCCACCTCGCGAGCGAGGCAAAAGCATGACAACCACGAAGAAGAGGCTGGCACTCCATATCAGCCACGGTGTCAGACGATAAGAGTTGGGGACTTACGTGACGGCGATGTCCAACCCTCTTTTATGTTCATAGTTGCCCACATGCCTTGTCGTGTAGAGGACGTAATCCCTGTGCATCGCTTCAAATTAGGATATGCCACTGCAAGAGCAGAATCTGCCTGCATAGACGAGGAAAGGAGAGGCCGGGCATGTGTCGCAGAGCTCGGAGCATGAGTAGATTGAGGTTGCACCCGCTGACAGCCACAGGAGAAATAAGACAAAATTGATGATCATTGCCCTGGCATATCTGTGGGACAGGTTGGTGCTCCATCCCAGCAAGGCTGCTCCGCCGAAAGGTCTTTCAAGGAAGATGAGCACGGCGAGGGAAAACGTCGAAATGCAGGCCTTCCCAGTGCGTCAGTGGGTGGTGTTCCATTGGCAGAACATTATCACGACAAACAACTCACACAGGCCAAGTTGTGCTGGAGCTTCACCAAGGTCAGGCATCTCAATCCGTCCACCAGCCTCCGAGCTTCATCCCCAGCGGTACCAATCACGGTGACTGAAAGGAGGAATTGGACCAAGTATGCCCACCAGACGGCCCATAGAAAGTTGCTGAGCGTCAGGAAGCGCGCCATTGAAGCGATGGTATGTATCAAAGTTAAGACTGAGCCAGAAATTAGAGGAATAGTCTTGTTGCTTGCCTCCAGGATGAGCAAAACGAGGGCCTAGGGAGCATCCTTATAGCTGCATCGGCGGTGATGGGCCATTCTTTTCTGCCACCTCGAGTGACGGTGACGCTGCAGAGTTACCTCTCCATGGACCATGTCGTCCAGCTCGGTCTTCCTTCTTCACAAAGGCGCCGATGCTGGGTGAATGGGAATGGCCTGGTAAAGGAAGCCTCTAAGCCTCATGTGGAAGCGACGGTGTACAGTCCCGACGACCATTGGCTGCCGTCGATGAGCTGATGCTGGCCATTGCCCCTGAGGCAGAGATGGGCGCGTTTCATGTGTGAGGGATGAATGACGACAGCCAACACAACCGAGGCCGGTTGCCTTGCAAGGCTGAAAAGAAAAATTGCCAAATAAGCGACGATCTGAAACATGGGGCTGACTGAATACGGAAGAGGTGAGCCTGGACCGGCCTGCTCTACCTGCATGGTTCCTGAAAAGGCAGCCTCTGACGTGATGAGGGTGATTGCGATCTGGCAATGATCTCTCTCCAGGGATTCCTGATGGCGGTCTGCTGCTTTCACGCCACCTCCGGTACCGTTCAAGCAGAGCCATATTCAAACCATGTCGAAAGGTAGAAATACCCCCGTGACTGCTTGCTGTAAATTTTGTTCAACTGATGTTAGGCAGACCAAGCTCATTCTCTACGAAACCTCTGTTTAGCAAGAGAGCACACTCTAATCCCATCATACAATGTCAACACCTACCACCAACTTCGTTCGCACTGGTGCACGGCACCCCTGGCACGACCTCAGTCGAGGCTATTTCAACTGTACGTCTGATACCTGCCGGCAATCACTTGCTAACCCTTGAACAGCATTGCAGTGTCTCGTTACCACGTCTCACTCGTTCGTGTGGACCAGTGCAACCGGTATCACATTGGCCGCGCTGCTCTTCCTGTTTGCCTTTGCTCAATTCTACTGGGTCCTTAGGGGCCTCAACCTCCTTTTCAAATCCCAGACCTTGAAACTTATCTGCGAAACCATGGAGTTATCTCGCGGTGGCCTGAATGCCATCGGAGACCTTTGGAAGTATCACATACGAGGCTATGTACGGCCTGGATCACAAACCACAACAACACGCCCTCGTGGGATATGTGTCAACATAACCGTTGTGCTAATAGCTATTCTTCTGGTCGTGGTCTTTTTTGGCTTCAACATTGGTATGGCTTTCACTTCTAAATTGGCCACCGACACGCTCGGCTTGTCCGATTCACCATTCTGTGATATTTGGCAGCACCCCTCTGGAGTACTCGCACCCGCAGCCCAGGTCTGGGAGGAAGAAGCAGAGAGACGCGCTCGACTCTATGTCTCGACATGCGACGGCAAACCCACTGGCACAGACGGGTGTAACCTGTACTTCAACCAATCAATCCGCTTCCATGTCACCAACACCTCCTGTCCCTTCCAACTGGATACTTGTGATGGCGCTGGGGGGCCGCCTCTCCGGTTTGACACGGACTACTTTGACTCCAGAATACTGGGGCTCAATATCCGAAACAGTCCTCGCCTGCGTCGAGAAACTGTCTGTTCTCCCGTGGTCACCGATGAGAGATATGTCCGCTTCCATACTTCGCCGTACGGGTTGAGAGCAACCGAGTACTATTATGGAAACGGCGGCCCCAACCGAAGATGGAATGGCATAGATTCGGAATTCACCTACAACTCGTCTGTGACCTTTACCAAAGACATACCCTCATACAGCGTTGCTACATTTCGAAGCAAGTCAAGTGGAGACTATGCATATATTCTGCCCGAGTTCCGCGTTCCCAATCATACAACAACCCTGCTGATCATCGAGGATGGGCAGCTCTTCTATCCTGAAAAACGTCAGGATCCTGTTTTTGCAGCACATAACCAGACATCCGACCCGCTGGGTCTTAATTGATGGTACAGCGGTGCGCACCGTGGAGGGGTTCTGATCTGTGCTGATAAATGGGAGATCTGTCCTCGCAGAAAGAACGCTCCATGCTGGAACACCGACAACGCGCCGGCACCGTTTGCTCCTTCGGATACCGTTTCCGAGGAACAGCTTGTCTACGCGCTCCTGTGGCATGCGTTGCTGAACTCCAATACCTGCTCATCCATCCGTCGGAGCCAAAGCTATGGGCTTGACGCACAAATGCATATCAACAACGATCTAGTGACGGGACTGGCGACGCAGAAATGGCAGGTCGAAGCAAGACTGCTCTTCTAAGCGAGTCTAGCTCGTCTACGACAAGACTTACATGATATCCAAAGAGGGGCTGCCAAAGACTTGTCTGGATTCCAACGCACACTGCCGGAAGCCTATCGCGGGATGTGTCACATCTATAAGTTCCGAACGGTGGGTTTGATAAATGTCAGTGTGTCCTGGACTATCGCTTCATTGCTTGGCGGCTTTTGTGTTTGTGTCGGATTGCAGACATACGACGGTCTATACATCTTCGTTTGGGTCATTGTGGGGTTGAAGGTTGTTCTCTGGGATTTGGCCCTAGAGGGCATCAAGTGGCTGGGCGAAGGAGTCAGCAAGCTTTATGAAAAGGTCGCTCGACTGCTTAGCCGGCGACCTTAGCACAACAAAGCAGATTTGATATGGGAAAAAGAGTGAAGAGAAGTGCCGCGGCTACGTCAAGACTCAAGCATACGAAATGAAAGAGCTTTGAAGTCGGGCCATGAATTGAGGGATAAGACGAAGCCAGGTCAAGCTGAGAGATAGTCCTTACTGGTCAGTGGTGCTCAAATGGCTTTTGAGCACAGTGATGCCTTCACCTGTCGTCATTCAATATTCCAATCGTCTCCTCCACGCGCCCCTTCCAAACCGTCGCCGGCTCTGAGAGTTCTCAGGATACCATGTCATCTTTTCTCATTAAGATAGATACATTGATCATGTACAAAGTGAATCCGTCATCATGCACTTTTATCATGGTGTGGTATCACAGGACAGACATTAGGATGGTTCTGTCTGAGTAACAGAGTACTCGGCTGTTACGTACCTATCCCTATGATGTGGGGCAAGAATCAAAACGGGGGCTTTATCTTATCGGGGATGGAAATGTGGACCTAACGGTCCCCTCCGGTTGGTCGAAAGTAAAGCCTAATCGGACACAGCTCCATCGACAGTCATGGGAGAGCTAGATCTACGTACTACCTACACAGTTGGGGATTTTTTTCCGGGCCAAAGAAGACATCGAATCCGCAATATATAAACTCATTTCCCATGCGGGATTGAACAGAGGAGCCTACACTAGCTACACACTTCCCTTTCCAGCTGTCCATCATCTCAACTCCAGGCCAGGACTTCCGGCGGTAGAACATCTGCACACTCCCACTAGCTATTCCCCCTCATCGATTACGTCCAAGGAAAGCTTGAAACGCCCGCCAGCCCAGACTACCGCATTTTACGATGCCTCTCGTCAAAATCGACATGATCAAAGGCGTTCGCAGCCCTGCCGAAGTGCGAAAGGTTGCAGATGTGGTTCAAGATGTCATGCTCAGCACCTTCAACGCTCCTCCGCGCGACCGGTATGTTCCCCGTTTCTCCTCTTTCCTACACTTCAAAATCCATCTCAATGAAGTCTATTCTTGTCTTCTGGGCGGAGACACCCCCCCTGTCTTGTCTGACCATACTCATGAACCATCTACAGTTACCAGATAGTCACGCAACATGAGCCGTACGAGATCATTTGCGAAGACACCAACCTGGGCTTAACGCGGTCGGAGCAATTGATCGTGATTCAAATCTTCCAGCAGGGTCGGTCGACCGAGGTCAAGCAAGCAACGTACAAGGAGCTTGCGAGGAAATTGGAGGAAGAATGCGGCGTCAAGGGAAACGACCTGATCATCAGTGTGGCGCAGAACACCAAGGAGGATTGGAGCTTTGGGATGGGAAGGGCACAATTCTTGACCGGAGAGTTGTAGAGCAAGTCGGAAATTCGGTATGATATGATTCAACCACCATAGCGCACTTTAAGAACTGTCCTCCCCGAAGGAATGAACTATCAAGTGTTGTTCCATCAGTCGTTTCGATTTTGATGAGTCGGATCCAATCCTGGGGGGAAATGTGGACCTATGGGGTCCGACGATATCCTCTCTTTATGAGCCATCCAATCTGCGAGTCGGTACTTCTCTGCTTCCCGCATCCTGGAACGACCAGTAAGAAGGACAGTTCAGACCTCTTGGATCAACTCATTGCGGATTAGCTAGCTGGATGCTGAGTTATGGTGAAACGTTATTGACCTGGAGTGGAACAGTGCTCTGGCTTAAACCAGGTAATGCCGAAATAACATGTAACTCTGTATGTACAATATCTAATATATCGACGTCCTCGATTCACACCTGACCTTCAAACGCCCAGGCCATGATCCTGGGGAATATCTTCTTGCCATCTTCAGCTTTCTGCAAGGCTTTGTGGAGGAGTGCAAGGCCCTCGGGAGTTGGATCCGGCAAATACGCTGGATCTCTGTGGTCAACAAGACCCTGGGCGATGCTCGGCGTCATCTCGGGGTGTCCTTGGAACGTCATGACCTGTCCAGAATCGGACATGGAGATTTCGAAGTTCTCGGCCAGATAATGAACCCCCGGCGGCGGCGTTTGGACCTCTCTTCGATGAAACTTGTAGAGTTGCTTTGAGACACCATCAGTTGCCAGCACCGATCGGTTTTGTTTCCGGAGGTCAACTTACCAACGACTGGTAGCCCTTGAAGAATTGCTGCCCTCGCTCGGTGAGTGGGATCTCTTTGACATCGATCTTTTGACACAGGGAGTCAGTAGAGACGCGCGATATACGAATCCGATAATGGGGAGTCTGGGGTATACCAAAACGCCATCTTTTCTGTATCCTACCGTCCCGCCCAAGGCTCGCGAGATGGCCTGATGGCCCCAACAGATGCCGAGCAGCTTGGTGGTTGGGCTGTTGGCCACCGTATCTCTGATCCAATCCAACAGATTTGCGACCCATGGCTCGGGCTGTGGAAGCGTGAGGTCGGCCGTGCCGCCGGTAAGGATGACGAGATCGAAGGACGGTGCATCAGGGACGTTGCCGCCATCGATGGGCTGGAAATGCTCAATCACGGCATCTGGTTGAGACTGTAATACCAGTTTGCTAAGCGTGTCGAGCGTTTCTCGGCTCCAGTCCCCTTCCCAGTTGTAGTCGCGAATGATCGCAACCCGAGGAGGGCTTGGTGTTTTGGCAATCATCTTGTCATAAGGTGTTGTTAGATTCAATAATCAATCGATACGATCGGGTATGAGCCTCAGTGCTTCTTCTGACTTCAAACTTTGGTAGATGACTCGAAAGAGAAGAGTGAGGAGTGATGAACGACTTTCTTGTTCTTTCTTACCACTCCCCTGATCTGATAAGCCTTGCGCCTAAGTCCGCTTCGAGCACATGCGCTCGTTCAGCGAGGAATCGATCCAATGAAGGGAAAGTGGCTTATCTCCTGTGTATTGTGGTAGAGCCGCTCAACGTTGGATCTCCAGCAAGGCTGAATATGGAAGGAGAGTTGTAGGCATCGAACTCCACCCCATGTCGTTTTAAAAACATGCCAGTCAAGTGAAATTAACAAAAAGCCCAAGCCTTCGTGCCCCGTACAGAGGGAAAGCGGGTACATTTTCCAGACCTTGACGTACGTACAAGCCCGCATTTCCGTCCGTCTGTTACTGTCCTTGTACGGCCTGAGGAGTATCATTTCATCGCGCCCACCAACTTCTCGTAGATCTTGAAGCCGCTACCCATGTTGATTCACTACAAGCCGCCCAAATGGTAGTTATGCCCGGACCGAATGGATAGCCTTGATAATTGGTGAGTGCTGGTCGACTTTCCGGTAGAATATACGGTGGAGCACAAGCGCATTTACGTCAACGCGTTTCGTTCTCCCTCAAGCAGATGCAGCGCATTGTCATGCCATTTTCTGGCCACCGTCTTGCACTTGCCACAGCCTCGAGCTGGTAATGGCGGAAGAGTTCGATGCGGCCGACTATCTAGCGGCAGAGTCAGCAGTGCAACAACCTGCGCAGCCGCAGGGGTCTGGCACTCCTACAACGACCGGCGCACCCAAAGTCGTCCAGCCGCGGCCGCAAGCACTACCGCAGAGACAAGGCCCTTCTGCCATCCTGGTCTCGACTCGACAAAAGGGGAATCCGATCCTGAAGCATGTCACCTCTGTCCCATGGGAATGGGCGGAGATCCCTTGCGACTATGTCCTTGGTGCCACGACCTGCGCACTTTTCCTCTCACTCAAATACCACCGCCTGCACCCCGAGTACATTTACAGTCGCATACGCCAGCTCGGAAAGCTGTACAACCTCCGTGTGCTGCTGACGATGGTGGACATCACGAATCACGAAGAGGCGCTGAAAGAGTTGGCGAAGACGTCCATGATCAACAACCTGACCCTCATTCTGTGTTGGTCGTCCCAGGAAGCAGGCCGCTACTTGGAACTCTACAAGTCCTACGAGCATGCCTCGGCTGCCTCCATCCGAGCCCACCAGGCAGAGACCTACCAAGAGAGTCTGACCGAGTTTGTCACCACGCCCCGCACCATCAACAAGACCGATGCCGCAAGCCTCATATCCAACTTCGGTTCTCTGCGGGCTGCGGTCAACGCGCAACCGGAAGAGCTGGCGCTGGTCCCGGGCTGGGGTGAGAAGAAGATCAAGGCTTGGGTTACGACGGTTCGCGAACCATTCCGTGTGAGAAGAGCTGCGAAATCTAGCGCTGCGCTGTTGCGGCAGGAGAGTACTATGGCGTCTGATGGAGCATCCACTCCGGCTGAGACATCGGGAGGCGCGGCCACTCCCATTGCCATTCCCATTGGCACTGTGCCCAGCCTGAGCAGACAGGCCTCCAGCGCAGTAAATACTCCGCAACATACTGAGGCCGGTCCGAGCCAGAAAAGGCCTCGACTAGAGGAGTTACCGGTTGACGACTTTATGTACGACGAAGAGGCTGCGTTACTGGCGCTCGCCGAAGAAGAGGCCAGGATGACAGACGCCGAGAAGCCCAAGGCCGCCCAAGCAGTGACTAGAAAAGAACCCGAACTCAGCGAGGGTGTCATGGCTGCATTGGCTAAGTTGCGACAAGGGGGTTGAAGGCTCAGTGATTCCTCTTGTTCTGTTCTGGACTCTGAACCAACTGGTTGGATATGAGGTTGCGATATCTTTTTCACCAGCCATTACAATCTTGACGACAAGAGAGCCTGTGTTTCGCGTGTCGTACGGCCTGATCTACCCCGACCCTATTGTCTGTCGGCCACACTACTGTCCAGCCAAATTGACGACAACGGGGTTTGGCTGTCTTGCCCGGAGTCTTCAAACAACCCGGCTTCCTACCCGAAGGCGACCGTCGACACAATCGTCGAGGAGAACTTGTCACTGAATTCAACACTTCTCTCTTCAGGCGCAAGTCTCATTCCGCATCTGAAAGACCAGGCGAGATCATAACGACGCCTTGGATGCCATAGCACATATGTATTGCGCACACTATGCCAAGGACGAGTCTGGGGGGTTCATGTCGGCACAGGAGACCTGGCAGATGACTGTATCTTGCGCGGCCGAGATTGGATCAAGACCAAGTATTCTATAAAGGACCCGCTGCAGCGTGGGAAGACCAGATTCCAGAATCGTCGATGGAGAGTTGGGACACCCGGACCGCAGGGCTGCTGCTGTGAAGAGCCGAGGGAGAATGGGGATTTGTCTTTGTCGGTTTGAAGACTTCAGGGGACGGAGGGACCACGGACGTTCCGTGATGCCGGGTTGCAGTGGATTGGATGGACACCCTGAACATCTTTGGACAGCAATTTCCCTTTTGGCTATCTTGTATGTGATCCGCTTTGGGGGTTTTTGGGGAGTACTACTGGCCTGGTTCTGAGTGTCGAGCTTGGATATGTCCCGACACAGTCAACTTGAAAGGCATGCCGATCTTCTCATGATCCTGGCTGTGGCGAGTGCGCCATTGCAGCATGTTTATTGCCTTGTCCTTCGCAGCGAGGCAGCTGACGGAATGAATGACAGTGATGAAGTCGAGCGAACTGTTTTTACATGGAGAGTGTGAGTCACGAGTTTTCTATCGGTCCGATTGTATTCGATATGCCATTACTCGAACTGCTTAACGCTCGCTTGCCAAATCAATGTACAAGAACATAATATAGACAGCATTAAGAAAAAACTGACGTGGAATTCAGCCCAAGAACAGGTGCCCAAGTGTCTGGGCTGAGTATTCTTCTGACCCGAGGGCACACAACGTCTTTTTGTCAAGTGACTCCTCAAGCGCCGAACACTACGAGCACAAGTCAACTACAAAGACCCCAAGACGCCGCCCATGCCCCAAAGCAATGCATCCGTTCATCAAATCTGGAAGTTTTTGTATCCCTCGACCAACCCATCTCCAGCCTTGGTGATCGCCACCCAGTCAGGCACGTAGTGCAACGCTTCGTCAAAGGCAGGAATCACTCCGACCTGATTCACATCGCTCCAAAGACACACGACCTTGCCGCGCAAAGAGCCGGTCGAATCATCGCTTTTCCCAATCTCATCGCTATCGGGACTGTCCCAGGAGACGTCGACCGTCCAGGCTCGGTCCCAAGTCCTCGACCAAAGCCGGATCTCCCGGCTTCCACCCTCGGGAACCGGAGTAAAGCGTTTGTCTCGCGGTGCCTGGCCCGTGACGTGGAACGCAGTGATGGGTGAGTCAAAGGTGAGCTTGCACGATCTTGTGTTTTTGCCGTAGAGGACGAAGCGTGCTTTGTTGTCGCTATCACTAACGTTGACTCTGGTCACGTTGAAGTTCAGCCAGCCTTTGTATTGTTTCTCAGGCGGGGTTCTTGACGCTGCATTGCCGACATTCGGAGGAATGCCGGACCAAGAACATCTCTCGAGGTTGTCTGCCGGTCCAGTTCTTATGCAAGCCAGCTCCTGCCCACTGGAACTAGGTAGACTGGCAATGGCGCGCCGTACATATGGTGGGACCCCTTGCAGCGACACGGAATTGTTCCCAGCGTCCAGGTCGACCTGCTGCTGGAAGAAGAGCTTCAGACGATTGTCTGACGAGAAAGGGAAAGCCGTCATGTTGTAGATCAGAGTGCCGATCAAGACCAGGAAGAGGAACATCGGCACGTGCCAAGTGAAACGGTGCAAGATCGGGACCACAGGACTAAACAGAAGTATCGTACAAACGGCAATGGTGATGTATACCAAGAACGTGGAGCTTCCATCTTGGCCTGTCTGATGGAGAGCCTCGGTCATCAAGAGCGCCAGCTGGCCGACGAGGATGAAGTTGATGGGCACAATGACGATCAGCTGTATCACCCACAGCCAGCTCCATTGCGACTTGCTCCATTCCTGTTCTTCGAAAATGTCGAATTTCTCGTCCTTGGCCGTCGGTGCAGGGCTCTGCTCCTCAGATCCTGGATGATACCCTTTGAAATTTGAGCGTCCTCGGCTTCGCAACAGACTGGACCTCTCTGTCGGCTCGTCTTCATCATTTTCGTTTTCTTCAACAATATCCTCCTGGCCCGAAGCAGAAGAAGCCTGCGGAGGCCTCGAGTTGCTCCGCGACCGAGATGCCGCTTGGTCCTCTCCAAACTTTCCACGGCAGTACGTTGACTTCTTCGGGAGGGAAAAGAGTTCGAGGTATGACAGTAAGGTGGCGAACCATACTGTGGCTGCGTAAACGAGAACGAAATACGTGCCAACCATATGGAAATGCTCTTCAAACACGGTGGCGACAACCAGGAGGATCCACCAAGCAGCCCACATCCAGGAGAAACCGTACGCACGCGTGAGCGACGAGGGTCGACTGAAGTCTGCGGCGCGGCAGAAGAACCACGCCACGAAGACGAATGAAGAAATCATCATGCTCCACACAGCCCACTGACTACTATGGGCAATATGTTGGTTTTCTTTCACTTGGAGGAATGCAAGAGCGATAGGGGCGGCGCAAGCCATAAGGAAGATCAGCGGGAAGCGAAAGAATCCGCGCCAGCCATAGAGCCGTATCTCTTCATCGCTGTCGAGCATATGGTATGGCCGCGACCCCGACCACAGATAGAATTTGTCGACGCGGTAAAGCAATGCCAGTGTGACGAGCAAGATGATGGGCCCGATAACAAGCAGAGTGACACATAGGGCGAAGAAAGTATGTGCTTTTACGACCGCAAACGTCCGACCAAACACATCGAACCATAGAGCAGAACTGCCGGGCGTCTTCCCTGGCTCTAGGTTTGTGTTCAATGAGGCGGAAGTCAAAGCCTGAGACGTAGAAACGGCAGCCGAAAGCATGTGCCATAGCGAGCTCTTGTGGGTATGTCTCGAGTCATCCTGATCAGTATGGTAGCGTGCCCGGGGCCCGATAAAAGCAACGTCCAGTCCACGATAGCCCAGTTTGCCGTTGAATACAACGTAATCTGTCTGACTGCGAACCAGGCCTCGGTTAAAGCCATCGGCAGAGGCCGATGACCCAAAAGGGTACTTCGAGTGCGCATAAGCCTTCGTTACAGCCTCGTCTGTGCTTCTGAACAGGGCAGCCCGGCCGCCGGCGCCGGCACCTTCCAGGTTCAGAAACGTGCTCACAACTTTGGACATGGGATGTTGGCCGAACACATTAGCTCCATTCAAGAAATCTTCTTCACCATTATTCAAGAGGAGAACAACGCCATTCTGTGGTTTGTTTCCCGGCGTGCTGAAGTATTTCACCAGTTGCAAGACCGAGACCACGCCGACGCCGTCATCGGTCGAGCCGAAGCCCGTAGAGACACTGTCATAATGGGCGTTGACCAAGACCGCATTTCGTTTGGATGGTTTCCTATTGGAATCCAGCCACCAACTCGTTGTATCATCTTCACTACCCGGAATGTAGACTATCAGGTTGGTTCCCTCGAAATAGACGCTGGTACCAAAAGAAGGGGATATTCCACCCGAGGAGAACGTCGAATTGGAGACGGTATCGTCAAAGACGTATGCTGCAGGAGTTGTTTCCGTGGAGGATGAGGTACTGGCAGCATTTTCTTTCAGGATAGACTGAATCCGCTCAAGCAGCCAAGCATGGACTTCGTCGTTCCGGCGACTGTTGTAGGGGTGACGGGAGGAGGTGAGCAACTGGAGATCGAGCCATGCTTCGGTGAGGTTGATTCCATGGATAGGAGTCTCTGATTTGGGAGGAGAAGGGACACCGGTATGTATGACGAGAAGGCTAATGAGGATGGCGATGTAGACGAGACTGGTGAGGATTGTGACAGGCCAACGAGCGAAAGCGAATGGGTTCCAGGACCACGCCATAACAAAGAACAAAACGAGGTATCAAGACATAGGGCGGAGAGGTGAATGTGACAGCAAGGGCAGGCAGAGTCATGAATAGGTAGGGAGCTTGAGTGTCGGGTTCTTGAAATGTCTGTCCCCGCATTGACGAGCTGCAAGATCAAGATCCTCGAAATTGAATGCAGCGCAGTTCGAGCTCGAGCTTCACATGCGAGTCATTCATTGTCCACCAGCCCGATGAGGTATGGAATCCCGCCGTTATTCATGCATCTAATGGGGGTGACGGCGATCGAGGCAGACGCCGCTTTTGTCAACAGGCTCCAGCACAACAATACAGACATGACGTAGCACAAAGTATCCCAGTTGTTCAACCCATTCTCCTTACTGAATGTCGAGCAACACCACCCACACACCTGCACCTTACGCTTACCTCGCTCTCATCAACAACTTAGGGACCCACGGCTCTGAACTACTTTGACCCTGAGAACCATGTCTACAATTGCAACTTTACTGGGTCTACGCTCCAGCACCATGACGCCGGTGCCGTGTCTAGCACCCTATCACGCCATCTTCAACTTCATGTTCGCCTATGTGTTCCTCTCTTCACGCATGCTCAAATCGTCCTATGGAATTGACCACAACGTCAACCCTCGAGAAGATGTGGCTCGGTTTGGAGAGAGGGCCGTCCAAGAAGGCAAAATCACTCGAAAGCAACTCAACTTGCTAAAGCGCAATGAAGCCGCTCATGCCAACGCCATGGAGCACTTTCCTGTGTTCATCGGTAGTATACTCTTTGCGGTCGTCGCAAAAGTCCCTAACGACACCATCAATCGTGCCTGCATGATCTATTCGGTGGCAAGATTAGTCTACGCGATTGCGTATTTGGCCGTGGACAAGGTGCAACTTTCATACATTCGGAGTTTGGCCTGGTGGGCGAGCAATCTCAGTTGCGTGTACTTATTCTGGCAGAGCGGTAGGGCTTTGAACGCTTGAACACAGAAATTGCTCGAACATCTATCTGGAGATGAGTTAGTTGGTCTATTGCTGTGTGGGATCACTCCCGAAGTTGAAGGTGCCGTCCCTGTACGGGTTTGGGGAAAGGCCTTCTACAATCTCTCTACTTGTCTGTCCACTTGCGACAGGGTGCCGCCCCCTGTATACAGCGGTGAGGCCATCCTGAATGGTCAATGCGTTTGATGGCCCTCAAATGGCATGCGTTCAAGATTTTCCTTTGTTCGCCAGTGGAGGGACTAGATAACGTCTACATAGTACTACGTTGTGATGATCATTCTGAAGTTTCAATAGTATCCGATGCCGCTAGCCCATCGGCGCCCAAACGCCGACATACCGACGTGCCGACCTTTTGGCCGTTTCCGGTCTAGCGTGTGGGCTTGGTAAACTGCCTCTTCCGACTTCATCGAAGTTTCTCTCACGCTTCAAGTTGACAACTCCCCATCATACTATTCTGCTATCACTCCATAGCGCGACCAAAGGTGCTTGGACACCTTTCGCCTCAGACCTGGTAAGCCTACGTGGCGGCCCTTCCTACCGTCCTCCGTCTTCTCTATCGCACAGATCGGTACCTGCTCAGTGTGGCGCGTCCATGCACTCTGCATACCTAACTTGCGACGACCCTTGGTCCCGCTCTCGTCTCATTATCACCGCCCTCCGATGCGCATACATTCCAGAGTAGGTGGTCAAGAGCCGTGGAACTACGTACTGCCAAAGTCAAATCCCACTTCACACGCCTTTGCTAGTCGTTGAATACGGCTGAACTATCGGCGGACACCAGGCATAAGTTGCTAGCGATTCACGGCCACCACGCGCTTTGATCTACCCTCGGAGCATGAGGACTTGAAACGCCGATCCTACTGGGAACGTAGAAGGTATATCTACTGAACGGTTTGTCTCCCCCTCTGACTGCCAGGCTTCTCTCTGCCCAAGATCTGTTTGTACCTCGTTACCGCTTCACTACCTGCATTCTGCCGTCGACTGTGGACCTGCGACAGCCCTCCGAACGCAACAAGTCGAGAACGAAAGAAAAATTCTCGGCCGCACCATTAACACAACCATGGCCATCATTACTAGTCACCTTCCTCCCATTTTCTATGCGATTGCCGCTATCCTGATAGGCACCGCTCTCATCACATACATGCTCGAAATCATCAACGTGGACATTACAGCACTCTTCCGCAGCAAGAAAGGAAGACTCGGCCAATCTGCCTATCAACCAATCTGCGAGCGGTTCCTCAAGACTCTCGCCATCTCAGACCCCACCCACCCTCCGTCTATCTCCTCAAGTATCTGTTCGCGTGGTTACCTTGAGACACTCCCTGTACGCTCAGGACCTCGCCCAACTGTGACGGGCATCAGCCAACCTCGGCAAACCACACAGCTACCTTGCTTGGACAAAGAAGCTGAAATACCATCTCGCCTACGAGACGTCATCACAGCCACCTGCGTCCGATATCCGACGACGACCTACCTGGGTAGCTCTACTTTCGAGATCGATGGCCCCGTTACACTCTATGCACGTCAGCGCATTTTCAACGAGACACAATATTACGGCGAGATCCTCCGCGCTGACCGCGCTGGCGGTTTGATCCAGTGCACCTTGCATCCGTGTGATGTGAAGACCGTAATTGAGAAGGGCTGGGGGCAGCGCCATCCACTCACTACGCGTCTGGCATCTTGGTTTGCCATGCACGAAGCCCACATCAGCCATTCACCAGAGTCTAGAGTGGTCCTGTATGCGCCTAGGAGCCAGGCGGAATTGGAAGTCTTGAAACATATTATGCAGGCTGCCGTGTGGGGGGTTGGTGGGATCGATCCTCAGATCGACGACGAAAAGGTGTGAGCGCCACAGTGTGCGCGCAATGGTGTGTCGTCGGCTGTCATCACTTGGATGACTTGTCTCATCCACAGTTAGATTCGCTGCTCGATGGATCACCTTTTGCAGGCGGCACTATCGATTATGTATTGTATATGTGGTGGTACTGCGCGCAAGGATGGTGGACCTTGGAGTCGGCATATGAACGCCGAAGGTTATCACGAAGATACGATATGTGGCAATAGGACTTTTAGACAGCCTGGGAAGTCCCGACGATAGACTTTGCAATGCCAGCATGCTGCAGACGTAGCAGGCCAAAGACACGTCGTCCTCAACTCCAAGTTTTCTTCTTTTCGCTCCATATCAGGTCAGAAAGCCCATCCCTTCCAACATTGGGATACGATGCGTTGTAGTAGCGAAGATCTCCCGCAGTATTGAAATCTCAGATTGAAAACTCCTACTTATCATGGTCAAAGGCTTTTAACCCAAGGCTTCTGGAGTCCAAGATTTGCTCTTGGTGTGGCCAATTGTGATCATGCCAGCGGCAAATCAATCCCCCTAAGGCCTTATTCCAGTCTCATTGTACCTGTTTCTGTTTTCCTCTCAGTTATGCTCGATCCCCACCAAAAGCACACTTCCTGCGTACCCCGAATGGATTCTGATGTCGAAGCCGGCATCTCAATAGTATGTCGCAAACCGTGAGTTCCCGTTCAAGACGTCGACAAAGTTCTGAGCAATGATGCGGTCCGTCTGTTCACTAAAGTTTGAAGACAAGTAGGTAAGCCAATATTCGGTAATTAGTATTTCCCATCCATCTCATAACTCAAAAATGCTCGAACACGGCATCCTCTCGTAGCCTTCAAAGTTCAAACCAGTCCACGTTTTATCAAAGAGACGACTCACCTAGGATGTAACTCGTCGAACCAGAGGAACGCATCCGAATTTGTCCCATTATCCCTCTTGACACATACCGTCTGGTTGAGATCACAATCGTTCTCATAGCCCCAGACGCTCTCGCCGCCGTCCAGCACGCCCGTGCCGTTAAGGTAATTGGAGGGAGCATCGTAGATATCCGAAATCAGGCTGTACATGTCGAACAAGGCGAACCTGGCGCCCGGGTACCGGTGCGCGACGAGGTTCTCAAAGAGTGTCCGGTACTCCAACACGGCGTTGACGGTCGACGTGTACTCGTGCATCGTCTCGGCGATCTGGGTCAGATTCGCCGGTTTCGCAGGCCAGTACTGGTTGGCGCCGACGCCGTGGAGCGAGGCGTTGGCGTACAGCGGGGCCAGATGCAGAGGCGCCGTGTTCATCAGCACGAACATCCGGCCGCCGCTGGCGTACAGCGCGTTGAAGACTTCGTAGACGCACGACGTGTAGTCGCTCAGTACTTTGCCCGGGACCTGCGAGTCGGTCAGGAACGCCCAGACGCCGAGGTCGTTCGTGCCGATCCACAGCGCGTACACGGCTGACGTGGCGGTCAGGGACGGTGTGAAGAATGGTTCGGGGGAGATGAGTTCACGCGCAGAGCGGTCAGGTCGGCTTGGAAGGCGGGGAGTTCGTATTCCAGGACGGAGGGGAACGGTGCGTTGATTGATGAGAACCATCTGTGGTAAATTGATAGGATGGAGTGTTAGATGTGGAAACAACAGATACATATCCATATCAACGAGACAGACAAGACTAAAGTCTCTGGAGGGAAGGGCAGACAGACCAGACAAACGACAGACCCTTGTGGGTGACGGTGCCCGGCCGTGGAAAGATGGGTAGGTGTATTTGTGACGAGAGAGAGGGAGAGAGAGACAGGAACAAACCATCAGCGGGAGATCATGAGAGCTTACTTACCTGGGAGTGATCTGGTTCGAGCATACGGCACCAGACACCGCGTAGTCGTAGAGCGTCGTCTGGGGCATCCATTCGCTTCCGTTGCCGTTGCCGCTGCTGCTTGTATACTGGATCACGTATCGAGGCCAGGTCCGTCCGCCGCTGGCCGTGACGAAATTCTCAGGCGACAAACTCCCCGCCGGCGGAGCTGTGCCGTTGTGATTGATGAACCATCCCAACCGTGACTCGTCCGTGTAGCTGTCGCCGAAGGTGATGAGGGAGTCGAAGTTCGACACAGACCACGGCTGCGTGCTTTCGTGCTGGGACCGAGCGTGCTTGGGTACAGAAGCGCCCGTGGTTGAGGGCACCAGCAGAGCGACGGCGGCGAATGCTATAGCAAGCATTGTCGCGGGGAAAGAGGTGGTATGCCTCATGTCGAGACTGGCTAGTTAGACCGTTGCAACTCGTCTTATATCCAGACTTGATTCCTGGTTCAGAGGTTGACCTGGATGCTCGACTCGACGAGAGATTCAAATCTTTATATTTCCGAACAGGTGCATGACGAACCTACCTTTTTGCCTTTTCCTGGCTGAACTGCAGATCGGCATCAACCGCGTAGGTTCTTGGGTAGACTTACCCCATTACCTAGCCAGGGATGGTGAATTGGTGTAAACCCTCTGGGGCCCAACTATGCACTCCACTGTATGTCGCATAGGAATGCGGAGGATGCTTGTGGTCATCACAAGCTATAAGCTCCAACAAGCAAGTGAAACTGAGCTGGATGGCATCTTTCCACCAGTCGGATGTTTTGTTGTTTCAACCGATCTGGAAGGTCGCTAAAAGGTGTAAGTGTTGACAAGCATCAAGCAAGACATGAATTTAGCCTGAAAAGGAGACCTGTCTTGTCAGGGGTTCATTCACGGTCCCCCGCAATTCATTGTCTGTTCAGCAACGTTGTCCATGCAGCAACCCGCCAGAAGCACCTCCTGTCGACAACTCTGAATCTGATGGCCGAGCCGATCACATCTGGATTTGTATCCTGGTCTCGGCAGGCGTCGTCTTCCCTGTCCAACCGGCCACCACCCACGATGTTCCAGACGGCCATCCTGAAGTCAAATGACTGCACCGCCCTCACTTCCCTTCAACCATCTTGCGAGCCTGCTCCGGCGAGATACGTTGGCCCGTTCTGTCATAGTGCTTGGATGCCATGAGCCGCCATTTCTTCTTGTCGTAAGAATCAGCCCACATCTTCACCCCTGCAGTTTCGCCTGTGGTCTTTGATTTAGATTCGACCTAGATGTGTGGAAGCAGCAGTTAGTATCTTCAATGAAGGCTTTTGAACCTCTAGCTTCGCTAGACATACCTTCTTGTTCTTGTAGGCCTTGCCCGCTGCTTTATCCTTCTTCTCCTGTTGTCTCTTGAGTCCCTCCTCTCGGTTCTTGGCCGCTTTGGCTTCCCTCTCTGGATCTTTGGCCTCGTTTTTGTTGTTCTTGTCTTTCTCCTCGTCGCCCTTGCCCTCAGATTTGGCCTCGAGCTCTTTCTTGAAGTCTGGCAATTTGTCCTTGACTTGACGCCAGCGTGCCTTAAGCTCACTCTCATCGGTGTAGCTGGTGGCCGCGAGGATGTCTTTCCATGGTGTAGTTACGTCTTTGGCCTTCATGCTGAGCATGATCTGATCGTCGGCTTCCGTATCATTGTCGTCTTTCTTTTCGCCATCTGTGGCTTTGCCATCTTTCTCTGCAGCTTTGTCTTCAGCCTTGGCTTCGGGCGTGACCTCGGATTTAGCCTTTGGCGAATGGATCTTTCCACAGCAGGAACACTGAATGCTGTTAGTCATCGCTTGCTTGCTTTCTTCCTCGTGATGAAAGCAGATATGGTGGCATCGTGGCCGCGGAGACTTACCGGCTGCCGTTTCCTCGGCTTAGGGTCAGGAACACCTCGAAAAGCGTCAAAAATGGACACCTTGATGGGCTTAATGGTGCCGTCTTTTCGAGAATGGTACAATGTGAATGACATGATGGGTTCTAGAGACAGCCTGGTAGAGATGTCTGACAAGAGAAACTGTGCTTCCTGCAGTGACGTGATTAGTGTTGACTTGAAAGATGGAGAGATGATGGAAAGTAAAGAATAGTGAGTCAAGATCCGCTGGCGTGCCTGATCAAAGAAGCAGGGTCGCTAGCCAAGCCATGAGGCGCGAAAACCATGCCATATTGAGAGTGCGTAGAATAGTTGCTAGGTCCGGACTTACATGTTGCGGTGACATATTCATTCTTCTTGTGCAGCAGTATAAGGACAATGGGAGTAGATGGTAGACTGGCAGTGCGCATAGTAGAGAGTATGTTCGGAGTATAATACACCCTCTTCTCGCCCAGGTTGAGCAATTGCAAAGCTATCCTCGGGGGCCAACAGGTGCTCATACAAGCTTTCATTGTCCTGTCAGACCCAGCCTGTATTCACAGATTGGTGGCCACAGTGGATAGTCATATTCTCCCATGGTCACAGACTGTGAATGATGAAGACAAGACCGATAAGAGGACTTGATATCGAGTTGTGACAGTCTCAGAGTTGGGTGACTTACTGAGAAGGGTTGCTCTACTCACCAACTCTCGAGGAGAACGATAGAGATTGTCGATAGTACTGCTTCTCTATCATCGCACTTCTCCCCACTCCAACGTGGATGGCAAGCTTGAATTTTTCATGAACCTCTTACCCGATGATCCTGGTCGCCATGAGGGAACTTCAACCACCATCAAATGTCGATCTGTTTAGTAAGGGTTTTGGAGGTCTTTCGTTGCTTCCAACTTCCATGCAGTCTGTCCGTGGCCAACAGTTGACTTATTGAGTAGCATGGAAGAGTATAGAGCACACAGTGTCTCAGGTATGTTGCTTTTGGTTTAACGATGACTACCACTTCTTGGCTGGCCTTGACTGGCCATTGCTCTTGGATGTCGATATCTCGCACTCCAACAAAAGGGAACAAAAAGTGTCCGCAAGGAGCGCCATTGAGAACCACCGTGATGGCAACGTCCGACTCGAGACCTCAAGAAGTGGAAAGACTGACATAAGAGGATGGACGAAGGGAGTTGAGAAAAGGGGTTCGTGGGTGTTAAAGCGGCAAGGCTTGGGATAAAAGGAGTATGGTCTGTGCTCCTCCAACTTGAACTGCAAGGGGCATCAATTGAATTGACTTGAATTGAATTGAACTCAACGCGACGATTGAGACAGACTGCGGACTCAAATTGGTAGCGGAGACTTTCTCTGTGCTATGAATCGCCTCTAACAGTCGAATCCCACGAGAACCACCCTTCCCGATCAGAGAGCCCCCGTACAGCTCTTCTTCGATTCTCCAGCACCACAACCACCGGCAGATTCGAGAGATGCGCTTCGGGGCAGTTGCGGCCTATGCGGCGTTCGCAGGATGGATTGGGGCCGGCCTGGCACACAACATCCAACTCAAAGCGCACACGAGAGAGTGCTTCCACGAAGAGTTGCACAAGGAGGACAAGATGACGGTGACGTTCCAAGTGGGCGACCGAGAGTTTGGAGGATCTGGGAATCTGGACATTGATTTCTACGTATGAGATGTTCCTTCTCCCGCCTGAATTCACACTGATGCGATGATCCATCCAGATCCTCGGCCCTGCCGGATCGTATGAAACACAAATGAACACCGTCTCCTCGGGCGACTATTCGTTCGACGCCCGCATGGACGGGAAATACCTCTACTGCTTCAGCAACGAGCACTGGTCGGCCAACAGCAAGGAAGTGTCGTTCAACGTTCACGGCATCGTATATGTGCCCGAGTCTGAGGCACCGCAAGATCCGCTCGAGCAAGAGGGTAAGTCTCTCATCCACATTCCACTCCACATGTCCCTAACAGCATAAACTGACCATGGTCCTTTGCGCTCACTAGTCCGCAAACTCTCCGAACTTATTGCCCAAGTCAAAGATGAACAAGCCTACATCGTGGTCCGGGAACGAACACATCGAAACACGGCCGAAAGTACGAACTCGCGGGTCAAATGGTGGTCGATCTTCCAGTTGGGCGTGTTGATAGGAGAAGGCATATTCCAGGTGTGGTGGCTGAAGCGGTTCTTCGAGGTGAATAGCCGTCCCCTTCCATAAAAAGAATGTCTTTGGTGATACTGGGATATTCAAGTCTGCATCTTGTGTGGCGGGAGGAGTTCTTTTCTCAGACAGGAAATGAGCTGACCAACTTGTCTGCCATAGGTCAAGCGGGTTGTATGATTAGACATGAACCTTACGATGGTTGAGCACAAAACAAGGAAAAGTTCTGGTGTTGATGTCTCAAATGACCGTTTGCAATATCCTGTTTCCATGCTCCTTGAGCAGTTTCTGTCCGGTCATATGTTTGAATCGAGGGACGTTTGGCATTCTCCTCTATGCTCTCAACGCGGCCGGGCTTATGAAGGTCCTGGATCTGGACCATTGAATGCGGTGCAGGCGGCAGTGTCGCAAGGAACTGCTCATGACAACGAGTAAGACTGTCAAGGGGCATGTACTATGCTCGAGGGATGTTGAGTCGATCCAGATACTCTTCCTCGCAACGCCTGCACCAAAGCTCAAAGGCATCCATCTTGAAGAAAGACTCGTCCACGAAGAGATGTAAGATATTGTTGCCATCCTTGACTGTTCAACGAAGACAAGACAATCCCACAACCCAGAGAAGACCAAAAGACCAATGTTGGTCCCCATAATGGTTTCTCCATCTCCTCCAGCAGATCGGCGGTCTCACCGTGCTTCATGGTCGAGTTGTCACAGCGCTTGTGGGCAAGGGCAGTAAAAGATACTGCCAATGTGCAGGGGATACTGCAAATAAACCACCATTCCATCTGTTTAAGCCAGACCGGACAGCGGCCGAGCAGATACCAGGTCACGATATAGCTGAATCCTGACATCGCCGTTGGTTCATTGAGTAGTTTTGTCGGCTGAGATGGCGTAATTCCTTGCCGCCAGTATCCTCGCTGTGACTTTTGATAGATCCTTCTTCATCCCCCCTCTCTTCTCTCCCTAGTATACCCCCACACAGGTCGCAGATAAGTCCAGTCCTCCCGCTGTCCAGTCTGCAGCTGTTTCATATCTAATTGGTTCACCATCGTCAACGACGGCATTGGTCCAGCAGCATCGGATATTGCACGAATAACATTCCTACCTAACGTACATGAATTTCCCGTTAGAGTACGAATACGAGCATCTTCGATCGGCCCCAACCCTGACACCACCAGGGAAAGATCAGGCCCCAAAACGTAACCCAATCAGGAATAGAATACGAGGTTTCGGGATCCGAGACGAGCTTCCTTGCACTTTTGCCGGCCAGATGCTTTGAGAGCGACTGGTAGTAGGTCGCTTGTTCACCAAGTCATGTCGTTACGAGCGCGGGGGAGGGGAATCAATCAACTACGAGTCCGTTCTGCCACCCATGTTTCCCCCTTCCCTTCCCCTTGTCTTTCAGGTGGCCCCGATGTCCTAAGGATCCCTCCCTCAAACCCAATCATGATGCAGAATAGGCTGGCAGGCCTGTCTGTTGCCTGGATCTCGGCTATGCTTGTGGTACAGCGTTGAAGTTGCGCATGGTCAGTTTCCCATCCTTCTGCAGTCCGGATGAGCTTGATTCCGAAAGAGAGGTCGTACTGGTACTGGCTGTACTTGGCCATGTTCTTTGGTGTTCTGTTTCCATGAAACCTGAAACCTCGCCTGATTTCGCCTTCTCTTTGTGCATTCCAGTTTACTCCTCTGAGCGTGTACTTTGCAGGTGTTGGTTTGTGCTGCGTCACCACATTCCAGTTGGCCCCTGAGGTGTTTGTCTTGCCAGCTGACGTCTAGGCGCACTGCACTCTGTGACATTGAACTGAGGCAAAGGAACAAGCCAACGACCAGAAATTGGGAAGCGCGAGATGAGGTTCCCATGGTCTAAACCAGCGGAGACGGACATATCTGCCGTTCCTCCAACGCCGACTGACGCGGCGTTAGTATCGGCATCCCCAGATCCCAGCCCAAAATCGCCGGCGCAAGACAGCCATCCGGTATTGGTATCAAGCGACATTATTGATTCCGAGAAAATTGAGGTGGAAGCAAATATAACAGCACAACAACAGCAAGACGAACCCGTGAATCCTCTTAATAATAGCAATCCCACGGCCGAGCAGCATCCGACCGAGAAGAGCGACGCGAACCACGACTTGACTCGCACAGTGTCTGCTGCCACCGAAGCCAGCGACGGCGGAGCGCCAGGGGAAGACGATGAATCAAAGTACATCACGGGCTTGCCGCTGCATCTGCTGACGGTTGGGTTGACTCTGTCGACTTTTGTGATTGCTCTGGACAACACCATCATCGCGACAGCCATTCCGAAAATCACCACGGTGTTCAACTCCCTCAACGACGTGGGCTGGTATGGCTCGTCATATCTCCTGACGACTACCTCTCTGCAACCATCGTTCGGCAAAGTGTATACCTACTTCAACGTGAAGTGGACGTACATGCTAGCCCTGGTCATCTTCGAGCTCGGCTCCGTGTTATGTGGCGCCGCGGTCAATTCGACAATGTTGATCGTCGGCCGAGCCGTGGCGGGCGCGGGAGCAGCAGCCCTGTTCTCCGGTGGCATGACGATCGTGGCGTATTCGGTCCCCCTGCGCAAGAGACCGATATATATTGGTCTCCTGAGTTCCATGTTCGGCATCGCCTCTGTCGTGGGACCCATCCTGGGAGGCGCGTTTACTGACCGTAAGTCGAACCAGAAAGTGGAAGAATCTGCTTATTTGTTTCCAACGACTGACACCCCCCTTCTCAGGTGTATCATGGCGATGGTGCTTCTACATCAATCTTCCCATCGGCGCCATTGCCATCGCCGCGGTTTTCTTCTTCTTCAAGAACCCGGAGCGCAAACATAGCAACTTGACGACAAAACAGAAGATAGGCCAGATCGACCTGCTCGGCGCTTTTTTTCTTATCTGCGCCATCGTCTGCCTTCTCCTGGCTCTGCAGTGGGGCGGCACCACCTATGCATGGTCCAACTCCAAAGTCTGGGGCTGCCTGCTGGGGTTTGGCCTGCTCATCCTCGTCTTCACAGGCATCCAGATCCACAAAGGCGAGCTGGCGACGCTGCCGCCCCGCATCATGCTGCGGCAACGGACCGTCTTCGTGTGCGCCTTCTTCTCGGCTTTCCTGGCCATGGGCCTGTACACCCACATCTTCTATCTGCCATTCTACTTCCAAGCCGTCAAGGGCACCACCGCAGAGGGGTCCGGCATCCGCACCATCCCGTACTTGGTCAGCACCACGATCTCGTCGATCGTCGTCGGCGCAAGCATCACCATCCTCGGCCCGTACGTCCCATTCACGTGGGTTGGGTCGGCCGTCTTCGCCATCGGTTCCGGTCTGTTGTACACGCTGAAGGTCGACTCGTCGACGGGCACCTGGATCGGATATCAAATCCTCACCGGGGCCGGCGCGGGTGCATGCGTCCAAGTTCCGTTCATTGCTGTGCAGGTGGTGCTGGGCAAGAAGGACATGCCCGTGGGAAACGCGGTTGCCATCTTCTTCAATTCTCTCGGAGGGGCCATTTCCATCTCCATCGCGCAGAACATCTTCTCCAACGGCCTGGTCAAGCAGATCCCCAAATATACCGATGGCGTGGATCCCCAAGTCATCATCGCCGCGGGCGCCACGCATATCCGCGAAGTCACTCCGCCGTCACAATTGGCCGGCGTGCTGTATGCGTACAACATTGCAGTGACGAACTCGTATATTCTGGCCATAGCATGTGCCGTACTGGCGTTCCTGTTCTCGTTGGGCTTCGAGTGGAAGAGTGTCAAGGGCAAAAAGCTCGAAATGGGCGGCGCGGCATGATTGTTTGCGGGAAGTAGACATGTCGGAGGTATGTACTAGACAGACATATATCATCTCACAAGACACCGGATGAGACAATCTCCTCCTCTGATAGCTCCATGCGTATTTCAAGGTCTTGGATCTCAGTACTGGTAGGACTTTTTTCGTTCCAAAAGGTTGAAAAGTTAAAGTTCAGGACATCGTCAAGCAAATGAGACGCATGTCTCGATCTTTGAGTGTTTGTCCAGGTAATGCTTTGCATTGGGAACCACACATGTTCCACCGGTGCAAGCTCAGTGTACGGCGCCCGGTTGAACAGTAGTGTGTGCGACGCTCCGTTGATACCGCGTCCCAGACCAAAGAGTCTGATGCGGTTCTCCTCCGGAATGTCACTGCAGACAATGGGCTCGTCGACGTCCCGCTCCTCGATCGTAAGAACCACAGATGCAATTGTGCTCAAGAACTGCCCGTCCAGACCGCAATGGTCTAGCATCTCGGTGGCTCGCCTCCGGAAGCTGGCATCACGGTAGCGAGTTGCGACCAGGAACAAGATAGGAATCAGTCTAACGCTGGTATGGGGCATGAGAAGCTGCGCCTTGACCATGAGATACTCCAGGTCTCCGGCATAGATGTCGAAAGCGGATTCCTGCCTGAAGGGAGCACAGCGAGACAGCACGTGGAGGCACACGTGGTACGTCCGCAGGAGATGGAGTTCCGTGCGACTGGCCGAAGCTTGTTCGGGATACATTTGCGCTGCAAACCAGTTGAACTGGTCGAGCCAATCGTTGAGTTGGTCTGTCAGGTGCGGAACTGTATGGAACCTGGTGGCGGGAGGTTGGCCGGCGATGCGCAGAGCGGTACACTGGGACGCGATTCTCTGCAACGACGCGACGGCCTCTTGGATGCTCGTCATTCCTTCCTGTAGCGGGGGTTTTGGAGGGGTCTGCAAGTCGAGTGCTTCGGCCATCCGATGCCTGCCTAGCAGAGGCCAACGAAGGTGTTGTGGTTGCGTCGGTTCGTTGAGTTCCCCTATGACTAAGCCCAACCTTGAGAAGATATGGGCCACCTCATCTACTGTTGCCGACCGACGTATGGATCTGTTGTGGTGACAACATGCCAGGATGCGACGGCCTGCAACGATATGCTGTCTGGCTGCGAACCGGTTTTGTTGGAACTCGTCACACAGGATCAGCAAAAGGCATGCGATGAGAACCACGGCAGGATCGGCGTTTCGGGTCTGAGCCAGCGTTCTCAGGCCTCGGCCATAATGCGACAAAAACACCGGGTCGTCCATGGGCGAGGCTGGTTCAGAGACGCCCTGCTTGTGATAGGCAAGACACGAGGCTGCCAAGATGAGGTGTTTGATGCCCTCGTCCGCATGGCCTGCCTGGAGGACAAGCCGGTTCCAGAAGGACTGTCCGCCGTAATTGAGCAGGGATGGTGCGCAGAGCTCAGAGAAGAAATGGAACCTTGTCCGGGCCTCATGATCGCGGTCCAAAGTCGGAGCAGGTACATTCATGACCACGAGCAGCGCGACTGGAGCTGGCTGCTTGGGTGCAGGATAGCCATCACATTTTCGTCCCGTGCTCGAGCAGCGGTTGCATGATGGCCGGCTCTCATCGCATTTGACCCGCCTTATTCTGCAATCCTGGAATTAGTACCGGCTTGTCCCTAATTCATGTCACTGGGTCTTGAGCGTACTTGCAGGTGAAACAGCCTGTGCCACTCCTTCTGCGCTTTTGGGTTGCGATCATCTCGTATGGCCAGTGAGGCGTCGCATCCTAGTCATCCAATTTGTAGTGCCAGATGACTCATGACTGAGCAGGCCATATGTGCTTCTGGGCTTTGTTGCCTTCGTAATGAGGACATTGTGTATATCGTGGATCATATCTACCCGAGTGTGGACCGAGAAGAATATACTGTGTAGATGGCGGACCCTGGGATTGCAGAGTTGAAGTTGAAGTCTGGAGTCGATTCTTAAGACCGAGATCCACGCTCTTAAGTCCACGCACTATGATTGGCCCGCTCGCGAACTATCCGTTAGCTGCAGATGGAAGAGACAACAGACAAACATGTCACTTTCATCCTCCCTTCGTTTGCTTCTCTCTCGAGGGAAGCAATTCGTCTGCTTTTCAGCTCATCATGCACATCTACCGATGTTACTAGCACAGTTGCGGAGCTGAGAGTTTTACATTGCCAGGCTCAGGACCGAGGTTATGGTAAGTCCGTGTTGTCACCAGCACAGCACGTCCATGGTATATAAAGAGGTGTTCTCTCCCAAGATTGACGTACGACATCCATCATCCAACACGCTCTCTGTCTTATCAATATGTCTTCCATTACCCCCGCCCACACTATCGTCCTCATTACGGGCGCCAATCAAGGCCTTGGCTATGAGTGCGTCAAGAAGCTGGCCGCCGAACAGCCCAACTATCACATTATCTTGTGCTCTCGGAACTTTGAGCGAGGCCAGGAGGCCGCAAAGGCTGTTTCCAATCTCGCCCCTGGCACATCAGTCGAGGCACTGGAGCTTGACATCAACAATGACGAACATATCGCAAAGGCCGCCAAGTTCGTCCAGGACACTTACGGTCGCCTTGACGTTCTGTTCAACAATGCCGGTATCGTCAGCGACCCCTCTGCCACCACTGTCCGCGAGAGTTTTCTCAAAGTCATCGAGACCAATGCCGTGAGCGCCATGTGTGTGACCGATGCGTTTCTACCCCTGCTTAAGAAGGCCGAAGTGCCCCGACTTCTCTTCATGTCGTCCAGCCTGGGCTCATTGGCCCTGAACTTGGACAAGTCCTGGCCTTACTATGCCGTGTTCCAGGGGAGGCCTTACATCACGTCCAAGGCCACCATGAATATGATTGCTGTACTTTGCCACGTATACGAGGGAAAGGACGGCATCAAGGTCAATGCGATCAATCCTGGTTACCGAGCCACCAATCTCAACAATTACAACAAAATGGCAGGCAACCCGGCTGATGGAGCCATCGAGGCATGCAGGCTGATCGTCGATACGGACAAAAATGGCCAGACTGGCACATTCACCTCCACGGAAGGCATCGAACCCTGGTAGCAAAGAGGCTCCAGCTTGGGATGAGCAGCCTCCACAAAATAGCTTATTTCAATCGATTCTTTAAGATTGCAGTCTGCCTTTCCACGTAATAGTGGTTGCTATTACCCGATTGAAGCTATTGTGCCATTATCAAAGGGATCTCGCCTAAGCAGGTTGAGCGACCGAAATATCATTCTTCTGCTGCTAGAGTCAACCAGCTTTCTCTCGAAAGGCTACCACAATGCTCTCGTCAGTAGTGAGGGTGATGCCGCTTCTGTAGTCCTCGGTCACGAGGGATAGCAAGTGTTATATACATATATTTGGACGACAAGTAGATTATGAACCTTTGATGGTGAGGTACTAGTAGTAGGAATTATAGCTGTTGAGCCTGAGGCACGGACGAATAATGCCAAGAATGAATGCCAAGACATATTATCCACTTTGGACAAATAGCTTTGTATATTTGACCCGCGCAATTCTTTTCAACAATCAGTGGTTATAACCATTGGTTGTCTATGACACTATGGCCGAGTGGTTAAGGCGTGTGACTAGAATCATCTCGAGATTGATGTGATCACATTCCTTCGGGAGCACAGGTTCAAGTCCTGTTGGTGTCGTCCATTTCATTTTTGATTTTTGTAAATTTTCCAGATCAAAATATCCTCCAAACTAGGTACATGATCCATAAACTACTATTTGTTGTGCTTCAAGGCCTACTAGCTACCGTTTCTTTTTGATAGCCGACGGTAATGAGCACAACGTCTTCTTAAAGAGTCTATTCCATAGTGGTCCTACCGCCAAATATCTGAGTAGAGCTGTGCTTCTAGCATAACAATTCTGGTATATCTACCCAGGTACACACTGATCCTTGCTTGGAAACTTTTGTAGATTCCTAGGACACATACCTACTACTAGGTAGACTGGGAGCTTCTCGCGTGAAGCCTGCAACCTGTGCCTGCAGACGCGCTGGGTGACGTAACGCGTCTGCTGCGTTCAGGCAGGTGCGACCACAACAAAATCGATATGGGTTCCTGCAATCTTAAAACTATACATCTGCACAGAATACATACCTATGTAGGGAAGCTACCGACGCGCTGGAGTATACCTCAGGTAGGAAAATCTATGTAACAAAGATGATGTTCGGCCCCTGAATCGAGGTCTGGTGGGAACCCGGAGTCGAGCATTTACTCAACGAAGCCTGACCTCGTTCCACGACCGCGACAAAACCATAGGTTTCGTTGAAAGACCTACAATCTCGAGCGTGAACTGGCCTCTTTTCGAACAGAGGCTGTGCAACCCAGATCGTTGCACATTGCTGTCCTGTGGCGGTGAGCAAACGTTGGCAAACGCACTTGTTTCTCGTGCAGCCGGCGGGTGATCCGAAGTTTGCTCCAATGGACAGTTGGCCTTTCCACGACACTCAGTCTGTTGCCTACTAGTACTAAGGGACATATTGAAGGGCGGCGTTGGTATTCGAGAACAGCCACGGTTTGATGTCTTGTTTGCCCTATGTCGATCGTTCCTGGTTATACATTGCGACTCGAATTTCTGCTGTTAACTTCGAAATAGAAGCATCAAGCAACCCAGTCACTGGATCGAGTTTTACAGAGCGTTAGGATTACTGCAACACCGAAGCCGTTCTCTTCAACCCAAAAATCGATCGACGTCGCCAGCGTATCCGTCTATCACTGGCCGATGGATTTCTTTCATCCCCGGAATGAGCGAGTCGTGCTACTGCGCAGAGACGGACGACATGTCGATCGAGCGGTCATGCTGCCCGGCCCGCGAGTACGGCTCGCCACGCTTGTCATCTCGGAGCATCAGCCACGGCGACGCCGACGGTATCGGGACTACTATTACAATGACTACTTCGATGACCGTGATTTGTGAGGCGTCAACAGAAGGAGTAAATCTGCGGAGACATGCTAACAGAGGTAGATACCGCTATCCTGGCAGAGATAGAGCTCGGACTCGCAGGAGAGTTGTGCTGAACAACTACGTTTCGGTCTGGTGAACAATATCTGGGAAATAAGGTGGAGGTGTGCTACGAAGCTGGGGTGATTAGATGGGTTCGTTTGCTACGGAGTTGGGTTTGGGAAACATATTCAGGTGTTGAGGGACAGAAGTGTACACCAGATAGACTCTAGGACCTAACAGCACCAACTTACAGAGTTAAGATAGCTAGACTCTAGTTCCGAGACAGTACCGTGTATTTTCGGTCGTTGACAGCTGAAGAATTACCCAACAAAAAGTCAAGACAGCACAACCTTGTTCTCGGCAGGAACGCCCTGCTCATCTCCCTTGACCTGGCGTTGACGTGCTAGCATCCACCGATACACCTCCGGGTTGTTATACGCGGCGGTCCAGCTGTCGTGCATAAGGTCGGGATATCTCGTAAACCGCACTTCAGGGGCGCCTGCCCTCTCGAGCGCCGTCACCATCTTCTGCGACGCCCGCAGGGGAATGATATCGTCGCGATCGCCATGTTGGGCCCTGGCCATGACCATGTTAGATTGCCGACCTCAAACTCCAAACATTTGACTCACCAATGCGGAATATGCTTGATATGGCTTACCCTCAGCTCATCCCCGCCTCCGCAGACGGGCATGAGAGTGGCGAACCGATGTGGCGTGTGTAGGCCCAATTCCCAAGTCCCATAGCCGCCCATACTGAAGCCAGTGACGTGGATCCTGTCCAAGTCGACACGATAACGCTGTACGATCTCATCCAGCAAGGCTGTCAGAATCGATGCATTCCAGCCGTACCCCCAGTCCATATTCAGCGAGGGCGACACGGTAATGAAGTTCTCCGCCAACAAGACACAAACCTCGGCAGGGACAGGGTAGGACGACTGATCGCCCTGTTTGATCTGCTCGGTCTTCCTGAAGCGCTCTGCTGGAGGGATGGAAATCGAAGGCGAGGGGTTTGGATTCGATGGATCGGACTTGAACCTGTTATAGCAGAGAATCACCTTGGGGATGCCATGACGGAGCGACACAAAGGATTCATTGCGGCCCCGTTGCGACTCGCCTGCGCCATGGAGGAAGAGGATCAAGGGCCATTTCTTGTCCGTGTCTTTATCATACTGCGGCGGGACAGATACGAAATGCTCATAACCAAATGGGGCGTTGGAGGTGCGCTGGTCGAAAAACTCGAACTTGATGTTCGTGGTCTGCGCGTAGGGATGGCCGGGCTTTTTAGGTACGCTTTTTTTGTCGGTCGACATCGACATGACTGTCCTAGGAACGTTCTTGGGGCCACGCTTTGCGACATGAAAGTCGTGGAGAGAGTTTGGATTGATTTGAGGATCGTCGCGGACGAGGGCCGAAGTGCGCGTCATATTGACGTTCATCCGCGCAGGGATGGCGCTTCCGGGGCGAATGAGGCTGGCGGCGGCAAGTAGCAGCAATATTCAGGTGCAATTCAACCTTCTGGAGGTGGTGCTGGTATAGTATCTAGCTGTTAGAGCATCAGGTCGGTGTAGGTGGAGGCTGAGTGGTGAGTTGGCAGCCTGTAATGCCGGACTGGGTGGCTATTCGAGCCTGGGAACAGTAGTCATCCCCATAGCTCTTGGTCGCCGATGTGATCTTCGATCTTCCAGAGTATAGGTTCAGTAACTGAAATGAAATATGGAAACCTTTGACAGGCCATTGAATTGTCACCTTGGATATTTCATAGAGGGCAGAGTAGCATTGAACTGGCTGCTACCGTTGTAAGGAATAGAAGACTGTTTGTACTTACGCCTTCCGGTCTGCTACCTCCGAGAGGACCTGAAACGGTTCAGAACATATACCTTCGACCGGGGGACACAAATTTGTGTATACTTTGGGGAGTGGAAGTGAGCAAGATTGCATTTCGTCCATATCGTTGAAAGGTTCAAGTTCATGAGGGAGATCGGTCAACCCCCCAGCTAACCGAGATAGGCAGTTTGACGCCTATTACGTAGTGCCGATGGGCGACGCAGAACCATCACAAACAATCAACACCTACAGGACACTGATACCTTAAGCTCTGGAGGCAACCGAGACTAAGGGACACAGCTTTTTCCAGGCTGGTCCGCGATGCAGCGAAGATGGGAAATACCCAAAGCGCGCGTAAGATATCTGCGCAGGACAAGTGAGTTGCGCCCACCGCCAGAAAACCAATCTGGCCGGGGGACCACACGGCTAACATCTGACCATAGAGCAATCTTGGACATGAAGAACCAACGCGATAAGCTACGACAATACCAGAAACGCATCACAGTCATAACCGCCCGCGAAACCGAGATTGCCCGCGAATGTCTTGCAAAAGGAGACAAAGACAAGGCGCTCCTCGCCCTGCGCCGGAAGAAATACCAGGAATCCCTTCTGTCCAAAACCGACGCGCAACTGGAGCAGCTGGAGAAATTGACCAACAGCGTCGAGTTTGCGCTGGTGCAGAAGGACGTCTTCTTTGGTATCCAGCAAGGCACGCAAGTGTTGAACATGATCCACAAGGAAATGGGAGGGTTGGAAGGCGTGGAGAAGATGATGGCAGATACAGTAGAGGCCCGGCGGTATCAACAGGAAATCAGCGAGGCTTTGGCAGGGCAAATGTCAAACGAAGATGAGGACGAGGTTGAAGACGAACTGGAGGCCATGGAAAGGGAGGTCTCCGGCGTCAACGCATTACCTGACGCGCCCAACAAGACTGTTGTAGGTGAAGGGACTCTACCGGAAGCGCCTAAGACCGAACTAGAGGTGGAACAGCAGAGGATACAAAAACAAAAAGAAAGAGCTCGGCAAAGAAGGATGGCATTGGAGGCTGCTTGAATCTAGACTTGTGTTTTTTTGTCTTTCCTGATGGTGGTACATTGGATGATGGATGCATTTCAGCGTTAGGCATGATGCTGTTTGACGTCCTGTCTACTGTCCCGACATGGACTGGCCGACATTGGTCAAGCCCTGAATCAGCTTATGATCTTGCGGGTTCGCGGCTGCTTCATACAACACACTGACTGGCTCCCGGTTGAGCGCCATGAAGTCGCCCTTGAAGCCCAAATATCCTACTTGAGTGACATCTTCTTCTCCGCCGGAATGGTTGTCTTCGAAGAAAAGCGTGATGGAAGTGGTGCCGTTCCAGAGAGCACGGTTCAGCGGTATGTCCATGACATCGTTGCTCTTGGGTAGATCCAGTGTCTGGGTCGGCTGCAGCTCGGTGGCCATACCGAAATCCATGTCGTCTCGGTTGCGGAAGAGTTTGAGTGTGGACGGTGCGGAATCGGAGTCTGAGGTGCGGATGAGAATAGAGTACAGCTTGCACGACCCTGCGAATGGGACATGCATCAGAAGTTGTTCATCCGCGTCACTTTCGAGAGTGGGTCGCTCATCAAGACGTTCTTCCCAGCTCTTCTGGACAATTGCTGCGCCCGACCCGGGCTCAGCCTCGTTCAGAGTAGTAATGCCTTCAAAGTTGATTTGTTTGTAGAGGTTGGACTGCAGCGCTGGTTCTAGATCGTGGGAGTGGTCGTGATCGTGATCGTGCCCGCCCTCATGGCCGTGGCCGTGATCATGACTATGTCCATGTCCATGATCGTGATGGTGATGAGAAGCCATACTGCGTTTGATACTCGTGAAATAGTATTGGGAAGGGATGTGAGAGATTATTCAACCGCTACTCTGACATTGCATCATTGGTGAGCGTATGGTTCATAAGACCCCGCAGAGGCCGGTGCAATAGAACGATTCTCATGACTTTCACAGTCAATTTGAATGTCTGGTGTTGTGAAACTATAAAATCTTGGGTTGCAGAGGCAAGAGCGATGGACGTTGGACGGTGACTGCCAGTTCAGTGGCTGGCGGGGTTTGTTGCCGTCACGTCTCTCCTGCCGCTTTAAGGAGCATATTCATTCTGTTGGCCTTTCCATTTCTTTTCCTTTCCTTTCCATTTCCCCATTCAAGTTGTTATCTTTTCCTCCTCCTCTGTCTCAACACCATGTGTAGCTTTACCCCTTCCCTCACAAGGGAATGGGGTTTCCTCCAACAAGACCACGCCGGTCCCTGATACTTCCAGCAAGCTGAATTCAAGGGAGAGACTGTGATGTATCTTATACTGACCCTTAAGGGCGAGGCGCCACCGAAATATGGCCTCGTCGGTAGATCTGAGGTGTTGCCATGGCAGAAAAACACCACCATCGGCAGAGGCTCGACCCGACAGACAAAATAAGTATAAACGCCCAGATCTTACCATCACAGGAGTGCCTCTTAATTACCCTCTCATTCTCTATCGAGGAGATAATGTTTGGATGCATTATCCACCGTCTAAAACGACGTTTCCAGCTGTTTTTTCCCCTTTATTTGGAGCCTCAACCGCTCTTCTAGTCTTCACTTCCATTTTCCCTTCACCACAGACAATCAATCAAGTCTCCGGAATCGTGGGTGCGCCGTGGGCCTCATGCACATGGTATCCTCATACGCGCCTGGGCTCTGAGATTGATGCAGTCGCAGGTTGAGGCGGCGGATCTCGTCAGCCATGTGACGAATCTCCACCTCGGAGCGGTTGATGTAGCCCACGGCATCTGTAAGGACATCTACCTTCCGCGTCTTCCGGTTGGCGTCCTCGAGCAGGGGCAACGATGATGAGCCCGTGGCTTTCAAAGTCCTGGACAGCTGTTCAAACTTTCGGTTCAGGTTGTCTCGGTATCGTCTTTCGACAGCGGTGTGCATCATTTTGGCCCGCAAGCCAGGGTCATTCTCGTCATCACTCGACATCGAGGGGCCACTGCGTTTCAAAGTCCGTCGCCTCCTGTGCCGGGGGTTACTGCCATTCAATGCTCCTGTCTCAGAGATGATGGCCATTCTTTGGATCGACTTGGACGATGCAGTTGGGTTGAAAGGTCCGGTGGAGTCAGGCTGTATGGTCTGTTTCCTGTCTAGATCTGATCCAATTGCGGAATCGCCGAGTCGGTATCCCTCCATTCTCATCGAAGACGCGTCCTGCAACCCGTCCCCCACGGAGCTCGGAGTCAGTTCGGAGCCTGAGAGCTGTCCTTTGTGCTGAATGTAATGCAAGGCTCGGGAGGACTGATCTCCCAGAGTAACAGCAGGAGCAAGAGGAGTGTCGGAGTCGAGGTTGGTAAAGATCGAGAAAGGGTCTGCAAACCATGAGAAGGGTTCATTGGTGTCATTCGACATCATCGTGTCGGCGGCGGCGTCTTCATTGTTGATAGCTAACCCATTTGACATGTACCACCCCATGCTGTCCATTATGCTGATATATGGCGTCTCAATCGCAGAACGTGAAGTGTTTGATGTACCCTTGGATCGTTGATGAAGATATATCGAATCAAATCCCAGCTTGATTGCATCCGCACGCAGTTGAAGGTCATCAGTCTAGCAGATTGATGGAGACTGGACTCTTTGATCGGTCACTTGATGGGGAGCAACAAGGCTTACCTTCTTCTCAAGGACTTCGGCGCTTCAAGTCCTGTTTTGGTGTGCCACGGTTCAGGGTGCCACTTCCACGACACGGTTGCTCCTCCTATAGGGCACAGTGGCAAGATACCACAGCAATCAGAGCACATGCAAGGACTCACTAGCTCTCAGGGGAGGATACCTAGCTTAGCCTTCTCGTTTACCGCCATGACACTGGTAGGGAGTGGCCTGATTTCTGATAACAGCCCCTGGCCTGGACCTAGAAGAGAGAAGAAGACAGAGGGCCAGAGGCTGTGCTGGACTGGACTGGACTAGGGTCCGTCATCTTCGTGCGTGTTCCTTGCAAAAAGGCTGAAGCACCGGGTCATTTCACCGTGAATCTCATTGGATTTTCAGGCACGCTTGTCACTCCACCTTCGCAATTACAATTCCGCAACAACAGATCTCACTGTTTCCGCGAGTCGCGATTGGCTCCATCTTCTGAAACTCTGGGGAATCCAGGGAATCTAGGGAATCCAGGGAACACAGAGAACACAGGGGAACACTCGATAGTTATGCCAATAATACAGAGTAGCCTGTCCAAGCGAACCGATGAGACCCTCCCCAGCAAACCTCGGCAGGCTGTTGTTGCGGCATTTGCCGTTGATTCCAACGCCTCTGTCCATCTCCCGTTGGGTACTTTTGGCGCACTATAGACGCCGTTGACGAAAGGGGCGCCCTCAAGAAGAGGGGTGATGCCCACCTTCGCTTTGCCTATGGTAAATACAGAGTCCCATATGGTCAGTGCAGTGCCTTGCCATGGCGGTTTGATAGCACCAAGCCGTGATATACCGAGCGTGAGCACTTGAGACTGTTGGTCGTCGACTTCGCCAGAACCTGCCTGGAACAACGGTGGACACTGAGAACCTGAATCAACAATCCGCGGATATGCCATCCGTGCAAGCTCCAGCCAACACAATATTGAGTGAGAGTAGTGGACATGTCACAGTGCTACTTACTACTGCTCTGTACTATGTAAAGTCGACCACTCACTGTCACTGGCAGGCCAAATGTGTTGTCAGGCCTTGGCTGCGATTGCCGTCCCTGATTGGCTGGTTGCCTCTGCCTGAGAACTCTCTCCTTCTACTGCTCTCTACAGACTAGGTACCAACCTGCGAAGTAAGCTCACACACACACATTCACTCACTCTCTCACTCGCTCACACAAGTACGATAACAGTGGAAGTTATTAGACGTTACGATCCTTGACCCGCTCACAGCGTTGCGAATCATGCAATGTCCACCTGCTACTCCTTTCGAGCCTGCAGTCTCCAGTCTGCAGGCCGAGCCAATACTTTCTGTTCCGAGTTGCGGATTTTCTTTCCGGTCGTCTCGCCTTGCTGGTTTGCCAACACCTTTGGACCCTGCCTGCTGCCTTCTCAGACCACTCCGTCGCGCTTTGGGCACAACCCAATCGATGCTGGGCCTGGGGCTTGGAACTACTACATGATTGATCAGGAACAAAGAAAGGATACCGGGTTTGCAAAGCCGTAACTCGGTATAAATTGGCACATCCGGATTGCCACCTTTGAAAGACGCTGCGCCCCGGCGGTCACGCATTTTGCGGAGAAACTACGTCTGTCGTGCATCATGCATTGGCTACCTGGGTGCCTCCGGTGCTCAGAATGGTGTCTGACTCCTCTCTAAACCCCCAGATAATAGGTAATAGGTGTGGCACCTATCACGGGTGATATTCACTATCACCATGGACATCCGGTAGGTCGCGCTTCGAGTTTGAGATTCCCGACTTTCCCCCCGGTCAACTGAGCCTTGATGGAATAAACAATAGTATAGGCTGGAATGTCCCCCTCCTTCATCGCTTACTGCACTTTCCTAATGACTTCAACTTTGGCTTCTGTGTGGCGTGAGCGGAATCTCGGCGTCGAGGTACGCAAATGGGAGAGACCTCCAGACCTCCAGAACTTCACGAGACGATGCTCTTCCACCCAGTTGCCACAATTGACCATAGAGGGCGCATCCTGGAGTCACACCATATGCCATCATGACCTAAAGGTCTCTATGTAGGCCCGCTTCTGCCTTACTTGAGTGTTTGCTGTGGCCATCACTCTGTCTGTCCCGTGACCTTGAACATATGGTGACGCCTGGTGAGCCGGTTGAGAGCCGGTTGGTACCATATCTACATGTATCTTCAGTCTGTTGGACATAATTTCATCCTGACTCTTATTGTCTCTTGTAACGGAGCAATTGAACATTTGCCGTTGCTTATACTAAACACAGAAGTCCCATGAACGATAGCTCATTCCCCATCAGCGATCGCCGACACTACAGAGCCTGCCACGGGTTCAACTAACAATATGGCATCGATGGAAGAATATCCGCCCAGAGTGCAGCTACCAGAGACTGCGTTGCAATTGGGCAAGAACCTGTATCCTGAGCCTTTACATTTCAAGACCATGGAACGCCTGGTCCAGTTCCGAAGAGCGGCCGACTATATATCCGCTGGTTTGTGATTCATTCTGAACAGACTTGTCTCCGGGCTGACATCCTTCCAGCTATGATATTTCTCCGAGACAATGTTCTTCTTGAACGCGACCTTACTCATGACGACATCAAACACAACATTGGTTGGCCACTGAACTCTTCTCTACCTCGCTCGGGCCATTCTAATAGGAGCAGGCTACTGGGGAATATCTCCAGGCATCACCTTGCTCTACGCGCACCTTAACCTGGTCATTCAGAAGTACGATCAACAAATGATATGCCTGATTGGACCCAATGAAGGTGTTCCTGCTGTTCTGTCGTGTTTGTGGTTAGAGGGCTCTTTGGAACGCTTCTATCCGCAATATAGCAGAGACCGAAAAGGCCTTCATAACCTCATCTCTGGGTTCGGTGTTCCTGGAGGTTTCCCAAGGTAACCAACCACCTACATTGACGAAAGCGCAACATCTCTGATCCCTGTTGCAGGCATCTCAATGCTCAAATCCCCGGCTCCATCCACGAAAATGAGGATCTCGGCCATGTCTTGTCTATGGCATACGGCACCGTCATGGACAAACCTGACTTGATTACCGTTGCCGTCATTGGAGACGGCGAGGCCGAAACAGGTCCAACCGCAACGTATGTGGCACTGCATACATATGAACGCAGTTGCAAATGCTGACTGTCATCTAACAGGGCATGGCATATGTGCCGATATATCGATCCCAAGTCGTCGGGGGCGGTGATACCCGTTCTCTATTTAAATTGTTACAATAGCTATGGCAAGACCATTCTTGGTTCCATGGAGAACTCTGAGCTCTGTTGCCTGTTTTCCGGCTACGGGTATCAGCCCTACATTGTCGATGATATGCAGGATATTGATCGAGAGCTGAGCATGGCCTTGTCCTGGGCCATTGAGACGATCCGAGAGATCCAGCTCGCCGCAAAATCCGGCGACAGGACTCTAAAACCCAGATGGCCCATGATCATCCTCAGAATTCCCAGAGGTTGGGATTATCCTCAGCTCAGTGGAAGTGAGAAGCTCGCCGCTTCCCTCAACGGTCATCGAGCCCTTCTACCGCAAGCCAAGTTCAATGAAACGCAGCTGCGCCATCTTCAAACCTGGCTTGCCTCCTACAAACCTGCTGAGGTCCTTCCTGATGGGACAGTGCCAGAATCCATCGAGCTCATATTTCCAGCCGATGACAAACTCAAATTAGGACAGAACAGAACGACTTGGGATTCAGCACATCGTCTCGACGTGCCCGAGTGGAGACACTTTGCGGCGGCGAAGGGCCAAGACCATAGCTGCTTGGCAGCTGCGACAACCTATCTGGACGCGGCATTAACCCTTAACAAAGATTCGTTGCGCATATTTTCTCCAGACGGTGTGGTGAGTTCCGATCTGCTGGACAGGCTTCCTGACCGAACATTGCGATCCTTCCGCTGGGACGGCGACAACGTGAACCAGAGCGGACAGGTGGTGGAATTCATGTCTGAGCATACTTGCCAAGGTAAGTCTGCTTGAGCAGCCCTTGAGTTGCCGGAAATGTGCTGATGAAATCACGAAGGACTGCTTCAAGGCTACACCATGACAGGCCGAACCGGCATATTCGCCGCGGAAGAGAGCCTGTTTCCGGTGATCGCGACAATGGTGACCCAGTACAGCAAGTTTCTAAGGATGCTGAAAGACACGCGGTGGCGAAAAGATGTCAGCAGCCTGAACTATATCTCGACCGGCACCTGGACACGCCCCGACACGAACGGGCTGTCGCATCAGAATCCAAGCTTCATCGGCACTGTTCTCAACCTGAAATCGGCGATCGGAAGAGTCTATCTGCCACCCGACGCAAACACCTTCCTCTCCACAGTCGCCCATTGCTTACGGTCGAAGAACTATATCAATCTGATCATCTCCTCGGGCCATTCGGCCCCGACCTGGCTCACACCAGACCAAGCTGACATGCACACGCGGGCTGGAGGCGGCGTGTGGAAGTTCGCCAGTACCAACGACGGCATCGACCCCGACGTCGTGCTGGTGGGCGTGGGAGCGGATATGACGTTCGAGGTGATTGCCGCTACCGCTTACTTGCGGCAACTGGTGCCTTCGCTGAGGGTGCGTGTGGTCAATGTCACGGATCTCATGATCCTCGGCCATGAAGGGTCTCATCCGCACGCACTGAGCCAGACCGACTTCGACACACTGTTTACGCCCGACAGGACCATCCACTTCAATTACCACGGATACGCCAACGAGCTGCAGGGACTATTGTTCGGCCGACCCAACCTCGATCGGATCACGATTTCCAGCTTCCAGAATGAATGTACCGCCACAACCGCATTCGGCACTCTCCTGAAGAATGGCTGCAGCCGGTATGATGTCGCGGAGGCGGCCGTCCGAGGAGCCGCCAGATGCAATCCTCATGTTGCTGTTGACATGCAAAAGCTGGTGGCGCACATACGGCATGCAAAGGTCAAAGTGGAACAATTCATCTACAAAAATGGCGTCGATCCGGAAGGAACGTTCAGTGCGCCCAAACTCTCGAGGAGCCACGGTCAACGTTCTTTAGATGGGGGAGAGGATAGGGAATCACACGATCGGATACTGCATCTTCCGAAGGGCAATCTGTTGTAGTAAGGAAACATCTTTGGTTGATAGGCTTTACGACGGAAGTTTTCGGGTGGATAAACTTTGTCGAGGCTGTGGAAAACAAATAGCGCATACGGAAGCACATGTGGGCGTTCGGGCACTGTACGGTATGTCAATTTTAATTTCGAGATGGGAGTCATATGCTGGACAATGACATTTCCTGTTGCTTTACGCCAAAGATGGCCTTGCTCACACCATTGGACTCGGACCAGAAGGACTGAAATGGTGAAATATGAAACAAATCTGACTCACGGTCCCTCGAGGTTTTCTTCACATGACATATCGTCTGCAACAGGATCGAATGTTTTGGGGGTCGTTCTCCGGTGAAGCTCCCTCTCATCAAACGGAGGCGACACATGGGCCTTCCCGCAAGAATAACTGCTGCAGTATCACTACATGTAGTGACGATCAAGATGATTCAATATGCCCAGCTGGTCAACTCGAGTCGTTTCTCACGGGACATGTAGGTAAAGTGACATGCAAACAAACAAGAAGTCCTGTCACGGCTGGAGTCATATGCTCTGGTCGAGCAGGGCCTATTTAATAGTGAGAATCGCAACTCGATCCTATACTCCCTCCACCCTTCATCCTCAGCACCCGAGAAGATTGTGGGAAAACTCATGTTTTGGGATTATCCGGTCTTGCCGTTTTTCGTTGGTACGACGGACCCTTTGCGTATTCAGGGGCTAAAATAAAGGGGGTTCAGCCCTGTCAAAAGCGTCTATAATACTAGTGTCTAAATTGTGGTTAAAGCCCTTGGCGCTGGTCGACAAAAAGGACATCAATCAAATGGCTGGCGACCTTTCTCTCTTTCCTCCATGCAAGACAGCATGTCAACACAGCATGAAGCTTTGAAACCACTGCCCAAAGGCAAATGGCGCCAACTGACTGCAGAGAAGCAGAGGAGCAGCACTGTACAGCTCTCCAGGTCGAGAAAGCTATCAAGCCCCTACTAGAAACCAGGCTGCAGCTTGCAGAAGCAATCGAACAGACAGCGATATAATATGGCTTGAAGAATGACAGAAACTGCAATCGAGTGGACTTTGAAGAGACTGATCACAAACTTTCGGGCTGCTCGTTCACGAGTGGATGTCAAAATCATGGTTTTGTGCGCTCATCACAAAGACTCCTCCAGAAGCCTCGCTCGGAACTGCCATGAAGGTTGGTGAGCAAGAACAAAACGGTAAGTTGTAAGGCGAAGAAGCCTTCTACCATGGACCGATTGTGGCAATATTAATGGTAAGGACCATTGATGTGAAGCTTGACATCTTCATCCAGGATTGTCGGGATCACTGTTGTCCAGAATTTCACATATTGATGGGTTTGTGGATGCGTGGCCTGGAAGAGAAGCTTGTCTTTGAGAGGGATCTTTATATGTCAGAAAGACTGTGTCCCAGGTCTGGATCCCACATGGAAAAAGGCGTGTCCCAAGGACTTGTTCTTCTCTGAAAGGTTCTTACCACTCCCTCCCATGAGACTGCTGGAGCACTGCACGATGGACAGGAGGCATCTGGCCCAATACTGTATCAATAGGCGGTCGACCGGTGTGGTCTTCCATGGCGTTGACTTGATGAGAGGAATGATGGATATATGCTGTCCACAGCTATCGGCTATCGTGCTTAGCCTTACGTCCAGAGCCATCTCCGTTCGACGTCGCACACTCTCCTACGAAGCTGGGTTCGGTCTTTCCAAATGCTCACGACATCTATGCCGGGCGACCGCCCTTCTCAAAGAGAAACTCATCTACATTGGTCTAGCAGCATCGTCTGATCATGAGGAGTCCTCTTCGCCAAGCGCTTGCAAAGATTTCTCCCTGTGTTGGCGTCGACGCGTCAGGATAAGTATCTCGCACTTTTCTCGCGCGCCCTCTTCTAAACCTCTCCCACCACCACCACCTCTACCACTCCCTCTTCTATCCATCTCCCATCAATCCTTCTCATCCACATCCTTCACATTCGTTCGATACCTCCGAGCATTCGTTACCAACCCTTTCTCCTATTCAACTCTCGTTGCCGTTGTCGGCGTGAATCATTATGCTTCACGTCGCCTTCTTCATCCACCTGGTGGTGGCGCTCTTTGCCCTCACCTCTGGTGCTACCGATCTGGCAACCTTTACGGTTACAGAGACGGCTAGCCAGCTTGTTTCTCTTGGTCTTCCTCTCACTGCCACTGTCACTGCTACTGCGGTCACTTCCAACGTCAGCGTCGCCGTCGCCGGCACACTCGTCAGTCCATCTGTCGTCGCCACGCTCACTGAAACTGTCTCTACTGGTTTGACTTCCAACGCGACTGTGACTGATGACACTGCAAATTCCACTGCGGCACACGCATCAGGTATGGAGATTTCGGTCAGGTGAGGTGAAAGTGAGGTGGAAAAACTGACCTCAACCGCAGTTGAAATCTCTACCGGAACGACCACTACTGTGACCAGCACTAGGTCCCTTACTTCCACCATTGGTAAGTCAACATGAAAACGTCTTCGGCAGGTTTTAGTTACAAATGCTAATTGAGACAAACAGTTCTCGGTACCAACTCCTCCACTGCCACTGTTGCCAGTATCTCGACTGCAACTTTTGCCAATACCTCCACTGTGACCATTGCCAACACCTTGACTGCAACTGTGGTCAACGTTTCCACTGTGACTGCTGTGAATACCTCGACTTTTACTGTCGCGAATACTTCAGTCTCCGCACACCCAACTGGTAAGTCTTCTGGTCTTGTGTCGCGCAGCGCAGCCTGTGCCCCGCACAAAGAGAAAGAAGTGCAAGGCTGCGCTGTGCTGCGGTATACAATGAAACGCAGGCTGACAAGACATTTCTTTCCAGCTCCAGTCTCAGTCCCTCTCCCTCTGTTGCCTCCATTTGTCAATACTACATCCACAGTCACAGTGACTGCGAACTGCACCGACAATAATGGCAGCTTTGGCCATACAGTGACCCAGACATCCTATGTCAGCGGTGGGTTGGTCTCGGTGTCTCGTACGACATCTGTTCCTTTCAGCGACCCTGTTTCGGGCCACAATGTGTCGACCATGTTCGACCAGTCCAGCACCGTCAATATTGGCAGTATCATCCCATTGAACGCATCCACTACAGTGGTGCGCACTCTGACCGTCATCCCCCGTCCTGCTGTCACAGCTACCGCTTCATCTGTGTCCGTCTCTGCATCGGTGTCTGGCGCAGTTGCAGTCAGTACTGTCTTGACTAGCAGTACCAGTACTAGCACTGAGATTATGACCATCACTGCCAGCGGTCCTGGTGTTGCAACTAATCATACCTCTTCTGCCGGACTGAGCACCTTGACGACCAGCTTGATGAGCACCCAGACTTTGACTGCAACTGCTAGCATTCCAGCCACTACCACCATTCACACCTCTTCTGCCGGATTGAGCACCTTGACGACCAGCTTGATGAGCACCGAGACTGTGACCATCGTAGCCAGCATCACAGCTACTACTGCGCACCCTGCAACCGCAACTGCAACCACCGAGTCAAGCACTTTGACCACCAGCCTGACAACCACTGTGATTCCTCTGGTATCTACATCAATCCGCACCCTGACCAACACTGATACTGTGTCATTGTCATTATCGATTTTGTCGACCGCAGTCCCTGCCACCACCAGTGTTGTGACCAGCAGCATTACGAGCACCAAGACTGTGACCATTCCGGCCATCAATACTGCTCCTGCTTCTGCTTCTACTGCAGCGACATCAGTTCTCTCCGGTTCCGATGTGACCACCACCCTGACCAAGACCACCATAGTCACGGTGACACCAGCATCTATCAGTATCGCGTCTCTTGCGTCGCCGAGCACTGTCGCGGCTTCTAGTGCGCAAGACTCAGACACCTCTACTACAGTCACGCAGACACAGACCCTGACGATCGTGGCGAGCACTCCTCTTACAACCCAGACTGTGACTGTTGTTGCAAACACCACTGGCGCCGGCACCATTACGCAGTCCGGTCTTGCTGGAAATGCCACCACCTTCGACACCACCATCCAGTCTCTGACCACTATCACCCAGGAGAACGTGACGGTCACTGTGACTGCTGCTGCTACCACTGTTGTCTTTACGACTTTGACCACCTCGGTGTCTGGCAATGCTTCTGTATCTGGATCTGCAGGTACAGCCACATCCACATCTACCATCACCCAGACTTTCAATCAGACTCAGCATACCGGCACAGCCATTGGCACTGGTACTGGAACTGGAACTGGTATAGTCATCGGCACTGGGATTGGTCTTGACACTCAGTCCATCGGCAGCACTACCTTCCACCCCATTCCCGTTCCCGCTCCGATCTCAGCCACCCCGTCCATCTGGCCACCGATCACTCCATCCACAGGCGGAGCCGGTCGCGCAGTCACCCCACCTGGCTTCTTCAAGCGGATTGCTCGTCTAGTCGCCGTTGTCCAAGGAGTCGAGAAAGTCGAGAGCGAGAAAGTTGTTGTCGAATCGAGCGGCGGAAGTGTCACTGCCAATGCCAATGTCTCCACGACCTGCACTACCAGCGGCACCACTGCTATCCAGTCCAACGGCAGCACCACCATTACGGAAGTGCCGACTCCTTCTGTCTCAGCATCTGCATCTACAGGAGCCGTCAACCCAACTTCCACTTCGACAACTACCGTCGTTTCTGCCATCACCACCACTCGCTCCACGACCACCGTGACGGCCTTTGTGACTTCCCACACCACTGTTCCGGTAGTCAATACTACTACAGTTCCACTGTCGGTGTCGGCGCATCAGATCAACGGTACTACTACTACTCAGATTACTGGCACTGCCAATGCCACGATTAATGCCACGACTGGTACTACGGCGACGATTACTACCATTTCACACAATGGTACTTCTACCGGCTCAAGCACTAGCACTGGTACCGGCACCGGTACTGGCAACCATACTGCTACCACTACGGCTACCATGACAGCTACTGGTCTTCCTCTCAGTGAAAACAACGGGACTCTCGTCCTGAATACCGTCTCCGCCACCACCAATGCCATCAGCAATGCTACCAGCACCACCAACGCTACCAATGCCTCCTTGAACGCCTTTGGCAATCTAGCTCCGTTCCCGACTCTGCCTAGCACCGCTGATCTTACTCCTACTCCGGCTGTGACGGTCCACGAGAGTGCGAGTGATAGCAGCAGCGTCGCAACCACTACCACCCATACGAGCACCTACACTCCATCGACAACCATGACTGCCACCGGTTCTGGTTCCGGTTTTGGCTTTACTACTTCGTCGGGTTCGAGTCTGGCTCACGCCAATCCGCTGACCAAGTCGTCGATCATTGTTGGTGGCTTTATGCTCGGCGCTGTTGCGGCATGGCTGGTTGTCATCTGAGTTGTGTTCACTTACTCACTCGGTCCAGTCCACTGGTCAGTCGGCCAACTAGTAGCCACGAGCAGCTACACTCCACTTGCTTCATGGTGCAACAGAAAAAGAAATCCTCCAGAGCTTTTCACCGGAGGTTCACATGCAGAACAAGGAATGTCGACCATCACCCATTGACTCTTGCACAGAGAGGGCCAATCAGGCTTGAAGGCCATGCCTGACATTGCCTCGACGTTCCAATCGGAAACGTCACGTCGTCAACGACGCAAGAAAATCCAAGAAAAGGTTTCATACCAATGTTTCTCTTGTTCTGTATCCTGCTGCTTTCTGTCGCTAACACTACCACCTGCTTCTCAAACCAATGCTTCGTCTCCCAATCACTGTTGACTACTGACCCATCGTCTCATCCACATATGTGCAACTGTCGGAACTCGACGACGAGCCTGATTAACCCTGTTTCACCTTCTTCGCCTCCTCCCTATCTCACCCATTCTTGCCAGTGTCTTCGATCTTTTCGATTAGCCCTTTTGCAGTTTCCTCTTCTCCAGGCTGGACTTCATCGTCGGCCGCAGTTTCGCGTTGATTGTCAAACTTCATTTCCCCACTGCCTTGTCTGTCCTTCGATCGCCGAGGTTCACCTCCTTCGGTCATTTGCTGCAGATTCACATCACTCTTCAGTGCAGATAGACTGCCAACACAATCCCTGTACATGGCCGTCCAGGGCAAACTGTCAAGCTGTGGTGCCTCTGACCGGCCAGAAACAAGGGGCTCCTCAGGTGGCTCACTAGGCTGCTGAGACCGCCCACCCACGGATCCATTTGCCCCCGGACCCCAGCGAAATGGTCGAGAGTCGTGACTACCGTCATGGCCTGCAATGATCTCCAGCTCCGGATATTCGACACTGGCACTCATACTGATACTGCTTCTATGTCCATAGGTCTGCGTATACGCTCTAAGGTCAGAGCTGCTGTTGCGATAAATCCTCTTCCACTTCCCTACCAAACCCCTCCCGTTCTTCTTGGTCCGCAAATCCGCCGATCGCTGTTCGTTGATACTATTGCGCAGAATGTCCAGGCTCCTGCTTTTACGCTTGTCAATATTTGTCTTTCCGAACGGCAGTCGTCTCCATGATGGTGGCGTGCGTAAGCTCATGGACAACGTCGATCGATTCCAAGATGCCTGAGGCGTTGGGTAGGTTGTTGCATTCTCGTCAGTACATTCCACAGCAAAGTCTCGAACAGCAACCCCGTCGCTGGCACCTGCTGGACCACTCCTGGCTTCTCTCGTGTAACTGGGAAAGCGTGCCCACAGACCCAGGAGATCCCTGAAGGGAGTGTTGGACCCTTGACGTTTATCATCAGGAGTGGCTCCAACGATGGTGAATCTCCTGCCCAAATCCAAGATACTCTTTTTTTTTGGAGCTTTCCTCTGCAATTCTTCCCCTGCTTTAAATATTGGGGCGCTTCGTCGTGCACCAAGTCTGGGAGTTCGCTCCGATGTGTCTGAGCTACGCCGGATAGTAGGCTTCTGATCGTTTCGAGTCTTGTAGAGAAGGCCAGGCTGCAATCCGCTCATGTCGGGGCCATGGATTGACTCTCCAGTGACGACTTCCCGGTCGGAATTGGCTGCGCTTTGACTTGAGGCCGAACTTTTTCGCCTTCCATTACGGTCAAATCTGGGGGCGGTAAGAAACCCACCCGCCAGTCCATGTTGAGGCTCTTCGATCGCTCGCTTGAAGGTTCGGCGCCACATATCGGTGGTTGTCTCTTGACATCTGCTTGTAGAATCATGGAGGCGATATGCGTCCTGGTCAGACTCCATCCGTCGACGTCCATTGCCAGGGAAAAGATCAGAGCTGGCAAAAGACAATCTTTCAGATGACCGAGAGGATGGATCAAGCTCGATCTCACAATGAGTGGACCTCTTGGAACCCGATATGGTGTCTGGCTCAATATCACTCATCCTTTCGTTGAAAGCATCGTGGACCGCTTGCGTGCTGACTTCTGTAAGTTGTTCTCTTCTGGAGTCTTGTATCTGCTCTGCACTGATCTCACTCATGGTCTCATAATATTCTGTTGAACCTTGGTCATGCCTCCGCTGGGAAGCGTTTACCTGCAAGTACCCAATCTTGTCTCCTGTCGGCATGCTCGCGCTTCGCTGTCGTTGAATATGTGGGTCGACCTCACCGACTCCTTCGACCTCCTGTCGGGTTTGCAAGGACCTGCGGCCGAACCAAGCGCTCTCCCCTGCAATCGATGCGTGGCTTATACTACCACTCGATGACCCAACGGGTAAGCTGATGGACTCTGATCTTCCACCGACTGCGATACTGTTCGGATTGCGTCTGGGCTTTCTGAACATGCTATTTCCAGCCATGCCGATATCACCTTCATTCCAGTGTGATGATGATGCGGGATCATCATTTGCATTTCCTCTGCCGGGCATCGAGTCGACTGCAGTTCCGGTCGAGACCACATTTTTCAACTGTGATTTTGACTTCCCCAAGGGCATAGCGTTCTCGAAGAGGCGCCGTGTCTGGGGATCCGATGGTCGCCTGTTGTGCTCAATTGCGATCCAGCTGGGGTGACTCCCAGTCAGGGACAGTCTCCCGAGAGCTGGCCACCCATCTATATGCTCACTTTTGGCCTGATCGATACTGGTGCGACTTGTCTCTGGTCTGGATCCGGTCGCAGTGATGGAAGGACTTGCAAGTTGTTGGGAGATCCTCATGTTGTAGAGATGTACAGAGCTTCGGTCAGAGTCCGCAATTGATTTCATGTCTCTACTCAAGGCATCCGAGCCTCCCGGTATCGATGTTTTGAATGAGTCTTCATCAGTGCTTTCCTCCGTTGGCGGTATTTTACCCCCATCAGGGATGTCTTCGTAAGATGATTCAGTGGGAGCGCTTCTTGGGCTATGCTCAGCAAACTTTGAAATGAAGTCAATGAGATTTGGGTTCAGATTTGAGAATAAACTGTCTCGGTTGTTCTCCGCAGTAGAGGCAAGGCTCTCCGTTTCAACGGCAGCAACAGTAGCACTAAGCCTTCGCAATGCTTTTTCAAACTCGAGGTCAATTTCTCGTCCGTGGGGGTTGAGTGAGTTATTTCTCTCGTTTTGCGGCGGTGAGTGAGTCATCCTCATTAAGCAAGCCGCATCGGGCAGCTTGATGGTTCCACTTGATAGGCCGTCGCTGAGTCTCTGCAAGACCTCTGTAGGTGACCCTTTATTCTCCAGCAACACGAGCTTGGTGAAGGATGTCTTCGACGGTGTCGAAGGCATCGAGACACCAGTGTCAGCCTGCTGAAAGCCTGGGGGGTTCTTGCCCGTGCTCTGAGATGTCAGCACGTCTTCATTAGCGGACAAATGGACGTCGACCGTCCTGAACACATCTGCCGCCGTGGTAGGGCTCGGTCTCGTGGTGCTCTCTGTATCATTCAACATTGCCGTCTGAATACTCTTGGCATCACTGTCGTATCCTCCCTCGCTGCCTCCCCGGGACATTAGAAGCTCAAGCAGACCGGTGGAGCGTTGGCTCAGAGCAGCCTCAGGGATGTCTACTGCCAGCCGCTGCAGGGACATCCCAGTTGAGTCGTGAGCGACGTCATCTGAAGTGTGATGCTTGGAGCTACTCTTGCTCAATCTCGACTCCGAAATCTTTTGCCTAATATGGCTGCCCAATTGCTCCAGCCGGCCGGGCTGTTTCCGTTCTTTACCTGGCTGCCCGAATCGAAAGTCAACATCAAGAGACTCTTGTCTTCTGGCAGGCAGGGCCGAGGATTGGGACGCTGTGCGGTAGCCACGCACAGACGAGGAGGAACGGAAGATTTGGCGCAAGGCATGTGTGTCCGCAACATTGGAAGGAGATTGGCCGACGGCGTGAGGGACAGTCGAGGCAGGTAGTGGTATCGACAGAGCAGATGCAGGATTCTGCAGGTTTGAGAGATCTGAGGGAGGGTCTCTATCAGAAGAACGAAAGCCAATGCAACATAGCAGGGGTGAAAAGGCCTGTCTGATCCCATGCATTTTCGGTCACTCGAGAGGTTGATTGAGGATGACAAGGAATGGTATGAAGAGTAGAACAAATGTACACTGGTAAGCTCTGCGTCGGCACAAACCTTTTGCGTCTTGAAAGGGCAGCCCCTACGAGTCGACGCATAGAAGTCACTTGGCTTGATGCACAGGCAGACCAGCTGAAAACTCGTCCAGCAGTGTCCATGGTATGAAAGGTGAAAATGGAAAGGGCAGAACGCAGCAACTGAGGGAAGGAGCAGAACGCCAAACAGCAGCACAGCGGCACAACTTGCGTATATCACAGGATATCATGCAGTCCAGTTAGTGCTTTGCTACCACTCTCAGAATTCTTCGAACTTCAGGTCCATTGGTATGGTGGTTGCATCCCCAGTAAGCCGGATAGGGATATACCACCCACTGCCATCTGATGAGCAATACAGTGCACCACCCATTTCGCACCAAAATGTACCTGTATGCTCAGCTGTCATGATCAAAGCGATTGGGAGACTTAGTCACATGCGGTATTCCGAAACATCCTACCTGATAGATACCTGGAATCTATTCATCTGGGGACTAAACTTGTCTGAGGCAGAACTTGAAGATTGCTTCGAGGTTGGATACAGGATCTGCTATGCGGCACAAATACTCTGCCGGAGTTCTACGGCGGAGGGAATCTTCACATTCATCATTTCTCTCATGACGTCGATTCCTCCTCTGGCTTATGGCCATCATGAGGTGATAGCAACTCCATGTTTTTCAGATATGGAGATCGAGGAACTGGCCGCTGATGGCCGGCCAAAAGCCATCTTCAGTCTGGATATCCCGGCTGGGAAACTGCGAATATCCAGTCCACCCACGGTTACATCCCCTCAAACAGGCTTTTCATGGCTTAACAGATGTCTAAGCCCTTTCCTCCCAGCAGGATATCCTTCAACGGTCACCCCAGACTATACGCCGTACCAGATCTATAATTCACTGCAGGCCTTCGCTTCCACCATCGCAGGTTTACTGGCATCAAGAGCAGTCTTTGTCGGAATGGGCGTGGGATCGGAAGATGCCTCTCTTGTCACCACTATGTTGTTACACATCGCCCAAGAGACCATTGGTCGCGTTGCCACCATTGTGTTCGCCCATCGATTTTCCCAACGTATCGAGGCCGAGGTCAAATTCTACCGGTTCTTCGCCGACATCGTCAATGACACAGCATTCATGCTCGACTGCATGAGCCCTGCTATGTCCACCCTGGGTCGTGTCATCACTCTGTGCGTCAGTAATGCCTGTCGCGCTGTATGCGGAGTGGCTGGTGGAAGCAGCAAAGCCATCTTGTGCTCACACTTTGCCAAAGCGGGTAACATAGGGGAGCTCAGTGCCAAAGGTGGTAGTCAAGAGACCATGGTCAGTCTAATGGGCATGTGGGTGGGAGGCGTCCTTGTTAGCAAAGTCCACGGCACTGTTGCGACCTGGTCATGTCTGATTCCTTTACTAGTATTTCATTTATGGGCCAATTGGAAAGCTGTGAGAAGCGTGTGCCTAAGCTCTCTCAACACTGACCGCGCCTTGATATTCTTCCGCGGCGTTCTTGAAGGTCAGGTCAAAGACGCGCAACAGGTTGGGGCGGAAGAGACTATATTGGGTCGGCGCACTGTATCATGTGGGCTTCGTGGGCTCTATCTCACCCGCTTCCGCGTTGGCGTTGGTGTAAACGACTTGGTGGCATGCATGTATGGTCGTGCCGACCACGAGTCTCGCAATTTGCACGACCTGATAGACTTGTTCCACATCTTTGGCGAGGAAGAATACGTGCTTTGGTTCGATGTGGACAAGAGAGAGGCACTGATCTTGCTGAAGGACACCGCCACAGGGCCTACACAGGCCCGGAGTATCTGTCATCTGCTTCGATGTCTCAGAACACAGGCAACCACAGCATCCGCCGCAGAGGCTCACGGCAGAGAACAAGGGAGCAGGCCCATCAAGAGAGCCATCGAACCCTCCGAGAGGCTGCACGATAGTCAACAAAGGCTGTCGATGTCCACGGACGGGTATCATCGAAGCATCCAGTTACTCCTCGACACCCTCCATGAAAACCGTGAGCAATGGAGTCGCATCCGGGATCAGGCCGAAGAAGTTGGCTGGGACCTTGGTCTGACCGATTTGGTGAAAGGACAAGGCGCTCGCATTCGATTGAATGATGAGGAAGTCAAGAAGGTCCAATAACGTAAACAGATCCATCAACAGTGCATCCTTGCTGCAAAGTTTGCAGAAGACAGGATTTGAGCGCCGCAGTTGCAGTGTCTTTGATCCGCATCCATCAATGGCTTGCACAATGGGTGGAGATTGCTCAGGACGATTGCAACCTTGGTGGAAGATCGTATCGGTCGTTAGGTCATGAGATCTGCTTCACGCACGCATGTAATTAGCAGAGCAACCTGATCGTCCCTTCAAGGGATAAGGCATCCGGGCGGACATGGGCCGGAGCCTTGTTCCAAGCAAGTTCCGACCCGTCAGATTGAGGTTTCCTCGGATACTAGTACGGCGAACAAGCGCTGAGACCAGATTGCCAATCTGGGCAACATTCTAGAAGGGCGGAAGAATGTGTCTCGGATCTGTGGCTGGTCAGTGGGTTTTTCTGTCAGGATTTGTCTGGTGGCGGCGGGCACAGGAGACAGGGATGCGTCAACAAGTAGGCCACAAGATATTTGTTGCTGCGTGTCTGTACACAGTACGTAGTATCGGTGACAAGTGTGGCGTCCATCCACGGAGCTGAGCGCCAACATGCCAATTTCGTGTTTCAGCGCCCGGAACCCGGAAACCGTTGTCGAAACGGCCAGTCATGGTTGATTGGGCATCGTCAGGAAACAATATTCGACACACCGTTGGCGACAACCTTCTGGCAGAGACCTCTTGGAGGGCGAGCTCACTGTTATTGCATGATTCAAGCGCTCGAACAGGATCTCTCGAGGAGACATGTCATAAGGGATTCGGATATAGGCACAAGGGGCACCCAGTAGCATCTAGAGACATATTCGTTGCCGCCACCTGCCATGGACCGACCACGTTGCAGCTGACACGATGATTCAGCGCTGATGATGAATTCCCAGTGATGGCTCCAGTATCCCTCTTTTTTCCTGTGTTGGTTGAAAAGTCTGAGGGACAAAGGGGTCGGATGGGCCCTGACAGATGTAGTCGTTCAGCAGGAAGTCTGGATAATTTTCCATAGGTATCGGAAGACAGGGACGCATTCTTGTCCAGGAATAACTTCCCTGCAACAGGCTGTGGATTAACGGCGGAGGCGAACGGCTGCGGAACAGCTGTGTGGACATTGGTGACGAGCGTCTTGTCTCATTGAACGATGTGATGAGAAGGGCGTGGTAACGTCGTGGCCGACCGGGGGTCAGCGCACGCCGCAAAGGTGCGTACCTCCATTGTGTGGAGATGCTGTGGTGCCAATACGTGATGGTGGGATCTGGAAGAAGCGGAAATTCAACTTCTGTTTTGATCCCTGTTGCGAGTTGGGGACGCTGTGCAGTGGTTCTAATGATGGCGAGGGTGTACGGGGGTGATCAAACGGTGTCTACGACAAGGACGTTTAGAATAAGCGCCACGATCAGAGTGAAAGACGGCCGTACTCTACTCTGTATCATGACTTCTGGAAGACGCGTGGAAACCAAGGGCAGTGCCCGCTAGAAAGCGTAGAAGACCTGGTGGAAGCCTGGGAGAACTACTACTGTGTTACTAGAAGCCCCAGGAGCCCCAGCTAGAACACTGTTAGGTGGATATCGCAGCCTAGGGGCCTACTAGGTGGTGCCTAGAGTGAAGGACATTCGTCACAACTGACTGGGGTGATGGCCCGTGGTGCCTGATGGGATGACATGAGAAATCGTGGTTGGATCGTACAAGTCGCAGTTGTATGTTTGCCAATTTCATACAGTGGTTGATTACCTGATATCTTCACAGAACCTGAGGCTCTTCAAGGAGTATGCCGCAGTGCCTTGAGATAGGTAACATCAATATGGAGACCTTCAGTCGTCAGGGTGGTCCACGATCCCACCACGGACAGAGTAGAATGGTCCCGATCTTGCTTTGCGTTAATACCACTAGCACACTACGATTCTCCTCTTTCTGGGACTTGAATCTGATCAACATCATAGGTGGCTCCCCCCATCTGCGGTGCACCCAATCTTAACCAATATTGACCCTCGGAGCCGCCATTAGTTCAGTCCCTAGCCTTGCTTTAGGCATGGCTAACAGGGACTAATGCCTGACGTTGCACTGCGCACTTGGCTCATCCTTCGGCCTTCTCGAACCATTTCCTGCCCTGTGCGTAATATTGTGCTCCTTGTGCCTGTGCCTGCGCCTGCGCCTGCGCCCTAGCATTTCCTCCTACTTCCTGCGTTTCCTGGGTATCCCACCGCCTTGCAAACGGCACGCAACAAGAAGAGAAGAACACAGACATCTTTTTCTTAGTGAATCACACGGTTCACCATCCTCGTGTCGAGCCTGTCGAGACCGCCGTAGCCCCCAAGGGCCCGATCATAGCCCATACGTTTTTTGGAGGTCAGCGGGTGCCTCTACTCATCCAACCCTCCCGCTATCGACGTTCTCACACATACGAAACTCTCCACACGCCTCCTCCTCCTTTCCTCCCTGACACTGTGGCCGTTGCTCACCACTGCTACTGTTGCCTCCGCCGGGCGCCTACCTGTCCTGAAAACGACCCAGATCCATCAGTTTGGCCGACCAAGCATGACTCTTAACTAAACTCTCTCCATACCTACTGGCTCCTACTACTCGATCGGTGTTAAGACCATCCACTTGTCGGGTATTTGTGGTTACCTAGCCTCCACCACTTCAATCAGGCTCCTTCTGCCATGACTGTGCTCAGGCCTTGATCTCACTAAGCCCAGAAGTCGGAACAAACCTAGGGCTCCTCAAGAGGCGATTCCTCCAACTACTTCATCCATACAATTGTGATCACCTAAATTCAATGTCTGTGCTGGACTTGTTTTGCGGTCATCATTTCCTCGCCAGCACCCAGTCGCTCCTTTGAACCACCTACACACGATCTGCAAGCCCGATCGATCGCAACGGCGGAAAGCTGTGGCTATCCTTAGACGCGATCTTCTGGCCAACGCCCATCTGCATCTGAGCCAACTTCTGCCTCCGTCATCGACTCCAGCCACGCTGTTGACGGCTTTGAGAGCAAGCATTGGAAGGTCGCACGACAGCCTGTCTGCACCTCAATTGTACCGACGTTGAACCTGTCACGAATCCAGATCGCCCTTCACACCTTGAAATTGGTTACAGAACTAATTCGTCGTTGCACAACATCCTTCTGTGACACGAAACGAAGCTTTCCCACGGCAAGACTCTCGGCTACTCACACCCGCACACCCCTCCTCACACGGCCCCTCGGACGCGCAGTCGTGACGCTTAAGTGTTGAGAAAAGCAAGAAGAGAGGCTTCGGAGCAGCAAACGAAACACTCCGAGTTCTCCCTTTGCGCCAAACCCCAGCTACCGAGCAAGCTGGGAACACCCTTTCTGTTGAGGTTCGGTCTTGAATAAAAGGGCGACTAAGGGCGAAAGTTCAGCGCAATGATTAAAAGGAGGTCTACGAAAAGAGTCTGGCCATACACACCTGAACCTTCGCCCCGTCTGGAACCCTCTATCTACTCGTTGGAAGAGGTACCGGAGGTCTGCGAGATGCCTAGTGACGAAGTCCCTCGGGCTCGACCCATCAGTGTAGTGGGCCGAAGAGAGGGCCTCATGTCCCCAGCGAGACCGACGCTGGACGATGTACTTGCCAACAAAGCACCATCTCCATACACGCTTGCTGCGTTTACCGCTTTTCTTTCACAACAACACTGTTTAGAGACGCTTGAATTCACCACGGAGGCTAAAAAGTACGCCGACAAATTCGATGAAGCATCAGCAAGCCTTGCAGGAATGCCGATCACGGTGGACGCACAGGAGGGCTGGGAACTGATCCAAGACTGGACTCGCATTCTTGATATCTACGTGAAGCCTGGTGCGCCTCGAGAGATCAATTTACCAGCGGAGGAGCGGGACGATCTGCTTGAGCAAGCCTACGAATTGCGACCGCCGCCTCCTGAAGCATTGGATGCCGCCGTAAAACGCATGTATGATTTGATGTCGGAATCCATCTTCATCCCCTTCTGCAACAGCCTTCAACAATTACCCTACGCCCAAACATACGACGCCCTCTCGGATTATGGCCATCTGAGTGGCCTTGATCCACCGCGGCTCACCTACGACGATCGAGGCATGCACCGGCAGATGATATCCGCTCGAAGACGCCGGTCTCCCCCCAACACATCAGCTGCATCGTTTGAGACCTCCCGAACACTTGCATCGCCACACCGATCGGCCCCTTCCTCGTCACTGTCATCGGCATTGGGTCGCCAAAGCGGGACGCGATTAACCCACCATATTTCTCCATCGTCGGTAGTCTCGGAAAGTGCGTTGACCGATAGTAGTGGAGGGCCCGACAGTCCTCCGGCTGGCGAACCGGACACCGTCGTGATGACTCCCCCGACAACCCCGCCCACCAGTGATGTTGGCATGAGCGGTATGGGCCAGGTCAGTGGAGCGGCTTCGGTACACGCTGCTAAAATCCACCGAAGCGAGAGTGGTGGGTGGAAGAAGGCGATGAAACTATTTGGAGGCAGCAAGAAGAAGAACGAGGGCTCTGACGGATAACATGAGGTTGATTTCAACATCAACCGGTGACTAATTGTTTCAAAGCATTGAGGTTTTCTGGAAGCAGAGCATGGTCGTTATGGGATTCAGGCATGACACGGGCGTTGATTGGATTACAAAAACCTGCAGCACAGCATTTTGGTCACGGACTGTCAGGTTGAATCAGGATTCACGACGCGGTATGAGATACGAATGGGCATACGGCGTTGGGTGGCCTCGCAGACGTATCTGCAAGCAGGCCTTTTCTTTCTTTACGCAGTCTCGGGGATTGGCCTGGACTACTGCCCCGGCATGGTAACCCCTTTTCCAGGGTGAACAGGCTCGGAATTGCACAAGGGGCCTTGAAGCTCTCCTTGGGGTTAAGGATGGGCCTCCTCCGCATTGCCACAAACAACCTTGCGGTGTAATTTGTGCAGCCAGGAGGGTCACGACGAGCATATGGTACGATAATACAAGTAGGCAATATCAAGAATAGTACTGCCATACCATGCTAGTCCCATGGCTACGTGCCATCGAATATCAAATCTCGGTCAATCACCTACTACTAGGTAGTAGTATGACATAGGATTGTTCACAACATACCTAGGTATCCTACAGTACATCGTCTCGCTTCCGTACTTTCCATCAGGGTCTTGACGAAAACTGATAGAGAACGTCATGCCGCTACTAGTCCTACTAATGTTGGTGCATCGGAGGAGTCAATGATTGTCAACGCCCTGACTCGCCGCTGGGAGGCACACGGACTCTAGAAAGGTCAGTGTCGAGCTGGTGAATCGGACCCTCGAGGTCGGAAAGGACCCTTGAACAACGACGTCCATAGTGAAGTCCATCCGATGAGGGAGATACTGATAGCAGCGATGGCTGTGCTCTTATCCAATCATCAAGACAGACAATCTTAGGATAAACACCCAGGCAAGAGAGTCGCAGGGAGACTACAAAGTATTCAAACCACAGCACAATCACGATGGTGGCTGATGAAATCATACATGACTCCCAAGAGACATCACGTGCCTAATAGATCGAGTCATGTGTCTGATTCTCATCCAAATTTGTTCGTTGCTGCTTCTCGTTGTCTTCTCATTTACCTTGCCGTTCACTCAGCTCCTCTATCCTCGTATTCTGTGCCGTGTGGACAAGGCTCCTTTGGTTGCTTGAATGCAAGCTGGGGTTTTAAGTTCCTTGGGACACGGCTCGACTACCCAGGTACCAAACTGTTACTGAAGCTGACACAAATGACCAGCCATCGATTTTGCCAACGCCTTGCTATATCCTCTGCCTGTCTCCTTCGATGACAGGCTTGCTTGTGGCAGGTAGCCCATACGTACCTAGTACAAGAGTATCTGAAGCTCCATGCTAAAAAGCAAGCTCGCTACAAGTCACCGGTCCATCCTCCGGCGTCTGGCGAATCCTGTGGCACGTCGCAAGGTCGATGATTCATCATCCCTATCAGCCACAGCGGGATATTTGTCCCTCCAAAAATAGAGACGAGCACGATACCTTTATACTACTATTACTAGTACTTCAACACCGTCCCTATCTACCCACTTAGGCAGGCAGAGACGACCATCTCTTCGTAACGACGGCCGGAGATGATGTTGGTGGAAGGTCTTCACTGCCCCGGAATTTCCTTCCCCTGATCACTTTGCTCTACCCTTCTGTCGGTTCAGCTCTGGGCTTTATCCAGTGCCGTGAGTCGTTCAGCCCGGCTTTGACAGGTGGGTCTCCCACCTGGGGTTGTCAGATCCTGCCCATCGATTGGCCTCAACCGAGAGGCTGGAATGCTGATGACAGTGAACACACCTTCTCCTCTCGACGCTCATCACCAGCTACTATCCCTGTGTACACAGAACTCCTCGATGGCGTCCGACCTTATCTTATGATCCTTTGACCGACCTCAGGGCACACATCGACATGGCAACCACCTCTTTCTTTCTGGCAGATCCCTCACAGCGCCCTATCAAGCGGTTGTGGCTGAGGCAAACCACCACTGAGATGCCACCTTCGAGATTTTGACATAAAAGGCAAACCAACATGCTGACGTTCTCACCAGGGTAATTACAGCATTGGCCTTGTCATTCTGCCGGATGCTGCAATATACATACCTTATTTTCTTTCTTCCCGTCTGGTACCATTTCCAACTCTTTTGGTTGACTATGATTCCCTTCATCCAATGCCGGGAAAGTACTCTCACAGCGTCGCCTTGGCTGACTATTCCAACCGTGGGCTCGACTATCTACCCGATGATCTATACTTAGATCATCCACGGTCCCTCCGAAGTCCTTCGCCTGTCAATGGGCCACAGACCGTGAGCCCGATCTCTCCTGTGACACCTGGGGTAGGCCCAGGTGCAACCTTATCATCTGCCTCGAGGTCGTACTTTCCCCATGGACAGGGTTCTTCCAGAAATACCAAAAGACAGTCCATCAATGGTGATATGCCCGGTCGGAGGCAGGATCACGCTCGGATACCACCGCCACGACGACTGGTTCTGGACTGGGAGGAGGGAACCCATGGCTCTGCCACAAACATCAAGGAATCTCAGTGTGTTCGATCAACTTCAGTGCAGCCTCGCCTCTCAACGAATCTCCGCGCATCCACGTCATTCGATGCCTACACTGAGAAGGAGGTGTATCATCCTCAATTAGCATCGCGGGTTTCAAACGACGATGCTGCCAGACAGACAATGCTCTCCAAACCGGTAGAGAGTGCATCTCGACCTAGAAACCGGAAGTATCAACCCAGAGACGATGTCGAAAACTTCCAACTGTTCAAGGATCGGGGCATCCCTCTTTCACCAGCCCTTAGCCATCATGGGGAACCTCTTCTCTCTGTTCAAGAGTTCCTCAATGCTTCCTCCATGGCGAGAGAAGCGAATGGGACATCCAAACAAGGTCAATTCGTATCGAGTTCTCCCACCTCCTATAGAGGCAGACAGTTGCCTCAAAGCCCTTCGTTGCAAGGGAAGGGAGGCAACAGAAGCCTCGCATCGTTGAAGAGGCCCTCGATCCGTTCACTAAGGCATGACGGTGGGATCAGTTTTGAGGGGTCATCAGACGAAGATGATGATGTGGCACAGACCACACCGGCCATCACAACATGGAAATTGAGCCCGAATCCTACAATCTGGGCAGACGAAAGTTTCCGGAGACGAAAGATCATGGATCTTACGCAGGAGCTCCATATTCTATCTACGCAAGGCGCTCGAAAATCCGGGCCAGAACAGAAGTCACGTCAACAGCGAACCGAAACTAGGGGCAGACAACCGCGAATCAAGCACACCACCACCATGTCGGATTTTGAGGACAGCGAACTCAGCGAGCTTGACGGACTCGAAATACGTCCTACTCAAAGGTTTCCGAGCCTCTCCAGGCGTCGTTCGACGGATCGTGATGGGACGTCGCGGGAACAGGAATATATCCCTACCCGGTCAGACGGTCCACTGAGCCCTGTCACTCCTCATTCAGCACGGTCCTTTGATCCTACAGTACAGGACATACATGTCTCAAAAGCCAAGGCAAATGCTCCCAGTTTCTCCTACAATGGGCATTCCGATAGAGACTACTTTTCTGGAACCTCACCCAGGAAGTCGCATACGCCCGGACGACCCTATCGCAACGTTGGCGAAGACAGCCGGAAGCATGAACCACGGGGAAATGGAGCGCTAAATTCGTCTCTGACCAGCGGTACGACGATGATGGCTAGTCAGGGGTACCACGGACGAAGCAACAGCATGTCGGCTGCCGATGCCCTTGGAGGACGCTCTCAAGGTCTACATACGATACCCTCGCAGCACCGTCGACAAACTCTCGCATTGAGACCTTCGATCTCGACGGCAGTGGCCTCTGATATAGGGACCAGACCACGACCTGGTCAAGGAACATCGGCATCATCATCGGCTGCAAGACGTGGTAGTTCCACCCCAGCCTTCGGTGTACCGAGTATCGTGCGCAATCCCGAGAAGATAGCCGCAATCAACGCAGAGACACGCAGACGCTCGGGCGCCCAACCCCGAACAAACACGACGTCTATTGCACCGTCGCAATTCCCTGGAAATGCTCCCTCGCTCCAAGAACGGCAGAGAAGTCGCCATAGTCTATCGCTGGTAAGGGGCAGACACGCCAGTTTATCGGATCTGGCAGGAAGCTGGGGCCGTGACATGAAGAGCCGCTTCGATGCTAGATTGGCGAAAGAGCGACCGCCTACAGAAGCGAAGCCAAATATAGAGGATGCAGAGACAGCAAATAGGACTGCGGCGACAAAGGCCGAACAACCCCAACAAACGACTTCCAGACTGTCGCGCCCTCAGACGTCCAAGCCGGCCCGTATCCGATCGGCCAGTTTGAGTGCTCAGTCCTTTGGACACTCATCGATGGACCCACCAAACCCTCGCGCTCGTCTCGCCCCTGAGGGGGATCATATGTTCGACCTCGCTGCGAGTCCCCCGGACACTTGGACTGGAGGGGACTTCGGCGTACCAGCGGAAACAATTGAATCGCATGCACCAGGTCGGACGCTCAGTCTTCATCAAGGCATGGTCGAAAGCAAGATCTTCTATCCAGACGACAACGACATCGTATTCAGAAGACATGAACGGAATAATGACGATAACGATAACGACAACGACAATGATATCGACGACGACGATATACTAAATCATAACGCAGCGCTTCCTCCACCGGATATCTCGCGCTACCGTGCCCCCTCTTCCACCAGGCTGAGAAGGAGTCTTGAAGAGGAGGAAGACCGAGTCATGACGATTTTCCGCGTCCTACAGGACGGTCCGGATCCGTACATTTCCAGGCGTGCCGAGCGAGGCAAAGTTGAAACGGAATCGCAAACCGAGAAAGGAGGGGATCAACCTCACATCAGACCCCAGATGTCGATGACCTACAAGACAGGCCGGGGCAGCATAAGCAGGAGCAGCAATATGAGCGGAACCGGGAGCGGGCACGGAGGGAGACGGAAAAGCTTCCTCGGAAGGATCATGGGGCGAAGGGCGTTTTCTGGGACACAGGTGGACGCTGTCTATTGAATGAGCGGAGGTTTCGTATCAGCTTGAGGATGAGGAAACTTGTGCTTGTGGCTTTTATCAGAAAACTTGTGACTGTAGTGGGAGGCTGTAGTGCTGCGAGGGCGTTGAGTTGCATGTATCATACATGTGCTTTTGACTTCACAAAGCCACAGAGTTCAGGTAGCTCACGACGTCGTCTCTATCATGACATGCTGTTTAGGTTTAAAAATAGTTGTTGAAAGGCCCAGTCGATTTGGAGGAGTTGTGGTCTGTCTCCCCTTTCGAGTTGGTTTGTAGATAGGAGACATCTCGCAGATACGATACTCCTTTTCGGTCATTGGTCCGAACAGTCATTGACAAGTCCAAACTGTAGACTCTGTCTCGACGGACCGATAGGCACCAGGGGATGCTACGGTCTCCGTCTCTTGCATGGAAGGTCAACGCAACGAACACTGTCAAGGAGATTTATTGTCTAAGGTCACGTTGATTGTGGAAGGTATGTTATGTACGTACATCTTGGGGGGAACCAGATATGGATGGATCTTGCTGTGCCATACAATGCATGCCATCAGCAGTCCTTGCTTGTGTGAGCCATATGGAACATAGCAGGCATGACATGTGCGATGTCCCATTCCATCACAAAGCTCCCGCGACTGGGCGGCGTCGCAACCCGGTCCTTGACCGTCAGAGAGGAACACGGCAGTTCCCAAGTCGCCAGTATCTCATCTGATGTCCTCCGCAAGATGTGAAAAGTGTTGAACATGCAAGAGACCCAAAAAGCAAAACAACAAAAACCAGCTCGCTCATGCCCGCCCCTTTTAAAATGCTGCAGACTGAACGCCGACTTCTTTCACCCGAGCTCCTTTTAAAACGTTGCTTTTTCTATTCCCTCTCACGCGAATAACCCGGCGCCGCCGCTGTTGACGGCCTCAATCTCCTCTTCCGTCCACTGAGGGCGCCAAAACCTCTTGGGCAGTTCATTTCTGTCAAAGTACTCGCCTTCTCGGGGCTCGACTGGCCCAAGAGCCTGTCCGGGAGTGCCGCCGATGCGTCCGTACGTCATCACCCCCGAGGTAGGTGCTTGGTAGGGCGAGGCATGCCCCTGGCCGTTGCCGTTGCCGTGCTGGCTTCCTAAAGGACCATGTTGCTGTGCCTTGGAGCGGTAGGTAATGAAACTGTCGGGGAGAGAATGGGTCGGCGAGGCAGGATGAGGGTGAGGAGCGTGATCGATTGACTCTGCACATTGTTAGTTAGCACCGGTCTGGATGTCCACCAGGAAAGACAGCTTCTTGGAAACACTTACTCGGTGGGGTGTGCTTTCCGATGAACTTGATCAGGGGAGTCCGGTGCTGAGCTGCCCGGAGAAGGAGGGAGGGACGCATTGTTGTCTTTTACAGTATGGTGTAAGCTGTTAAGCAGGAAGGGTTGTTCGACCTGGCGACGGCGGCGACGGCGGAGTCGGGAGCTGGTGAGAAGAAGACGGGTGGGAGTAGACAGATTCAGAGTACGACTGGTTTAGATATAGCCTGGATACTGGCTTCGATTCACAGTCCAGCGCTAGGAGGGACGGGCTATTCCTGCTCCGCGAAGCTTCGAATGGTTCTGTGTGTCTGTAGGTAGGTATCTCTCTCTGGCATGCGCCCTGGCACTCGGTACCTAGTCCGGGACGGTTCGGCCGAGGCAGTAGTGGTGGTGGAGCTCCACGGCCGGTGGTGGGAGCAATGGGAGATGGTATGGGGAGGAAGGAATAGAAGGCGGGCGAAGGTGAAGTCGCTAGAATAGCTTAGGTAGCTAGAGACGACTGTGTGTGGTAGATAATATGGTAAAATAGGTAAAGGGCCTCGCTATAGATTTCACCTGTGAGCTGCCAGACGCCGGAGTAGCAGCTGCTCTACAGAGTAACCGGCCGGTGGAGATTTTGGTGGGATGGATACAGACGCAGCTTCAGGTTGCTCGCCCTTCAAGTTGTCGGAGCTCGCCGCTGCAACCGGGTTCAAGTTTGCTTCTGGCTAGGCGGAATGGCATCATTTCTATATGTACTTTTTCTCTCACGCGTCTCCGCCGTCGGCGATACGCCCTCCAACACCACTCACTGACTATACTACATGTTGCTCCAGGTACTATGCCCGACCTTAACAGTGGTCTGACCGTTGACTACGACCAACTACCAACTACCTAGGTACCTGCACCACTGATCGATGGTCTTTCTCCTGCCTGGAAATTTCTAGTCCATGACTTTTGTGTCTGACTGCGCGCCGTCACTCTCACCCGCCCTTATCGATCACGCCCTTCTACTAGCCCGCGTTTCCCCGTCTTGTTAATCAACCATTATTGACACCTCCTCGATTTCGATTGTCGTCCATCTCGCAGATGATGTGTCTCGTGACTGTCGACGCCCTACTGATCCACCAACCTGACCGTCGGCATAATTACTACGCCTGGTAAGGTGCAGGCCGGCTACCGTACATCGGCTACCCAGCTACCGGCTACCGGCTGACCACAACGGGCAACCGAGAAGCACTGCCTAATCTGGTTCCAATGCACGAATTCGCCCTCTACGGCCAAGTGTCGCGAGATGACCACCATCGGACGCTGCAGCAATTAGCTGGCTATACACGCATGCAGCCGCAGGAGACGGTCGAGATCCACCTTGTCTTCAAGCCTCGCACACCCGCCGGTTTGGACCACCTCCCTTCTGCTGGTGGGTCTCAAGGGGTTATGCAGCAGGATGTTCAGAAGCTGAAGACTATGCTTAATGCTGGGCTATTCTACCTGCAACTTGTTGGCGAGGTCGTGCCAGACAAGCCCAAAGGCACAGAAAACGATGAAGATGTCGCCATGTCGAATGGGGACGGTGATCATGCTGAGTCCGACAGGTCAGCGGACGAGAAATCGGCCGTAAGGTGGTCGCTCGATTTCAAAGATACTCCCGAACCGGGCAAACAACCTGTTAGCACCCGGCTGGTTTCCCGCATATCCATGACCGATGGAGACTTTGTCAGATTTCTCGATAACTTTGGCTACGAGTAAGTGGTATGGCTTTTGGTCCTTGACGACCATGCTGACGTTGGTCGCGTTTAGGTATGTTTCTCGTTACATTGTCGTTGGCTCCAAGTTCTATGACCATGACACCACTCTATTTGTGCACAAGGTTTTGAGACTCTCCCAAATATCTGCAGACGAGGCAGTGCGTGACACCTCGTTTCTTCCAAACATTACCGAACTGCCGGAATTGGATGGCTCGGGCGGATACACCATCCAGGCATCTATTGATGTGGTTGATGGCAACAATCCCGAACTCAAAGAACGTGCAACTCGGCAGCTGCTGGCGCTGAAAGAAGCATTGAAGCAGGCAGTTGACCTCACTCCGGGAGATCGTCTATCTCTGGACACACGCGTCCCCGTAACTTCTACTAGAACTCAATGATAGCACACTGCAGCGAAACACAGCCTTGCTACTACGTACACTGCTCGTCAGGCTGCACATGGATTGATGACTAAGCGTTGATGACTAAGCGATCACGTGCTGCTCTGGGTGCCTAGAAATGACGTCTTTCCCCAACGCGTCTGTCGCGTTGTCTTTCGAAAATCGACAACTTGACAACTTCAACCTCGTGTGTCTCATGCAGACACTCAACCAAACTTGAATACCGTATCACTTTCTTTCTCGGCGTCTGATTGGACCTGGCTTCTCGCGTATGGCTTGCTGCACCAATTCGCCAGTCTCTTTTCCTGGATCTCGTTTGTTTTCGCGGCCGTGATGGGACCCTCGTAACCAGACCGTTCGCCATGAAAAGATCGGCTCCCCAACCAGACCGTCCCATCTCCCCACCACCGGTCAAGCGGAAACTCGAATCCACCACTACCAGTAGGTTGGAGGAGGGGTCTGTCAGTAATTGATACTGACCAGAGGTAGACAAAGCGGTTGCGAGCTTTTTCAAACCTGCCTCGCAGAAGGAACCCGAAAAGTTGACATGGCGGACCGTCGAAAAGACCCTCATCGTGGGTCGGTATGATGCATCTAATGTCCCGCCTCAGACTCGTACATTACCGGTCAAAATCGCTGCTTTCGACCTGGACGACACCCTGATCGTTCCGAACACTGGGAACAGATGGGCGCGGACACCGACCAGTTGGAGATGGTGGGACCAATCAATCCCTGGCCGGTTGAGGTCACTCTACAATGAGGGCTACCTCATCATCGTCCTCAGCAACCAGGGCAACGTCAGCCTCAAAGACAACCCGAAAACCCTTCAGAAGGATACGGCCAGCCTCGCCAATCTGAAAGCCCAGGTCTCCACCATTTTCCGTCAGTTGGATGTGCCCCTCAGTATCTACGCTGCAACCGGTCAAGACCGATACCGAAAACCTCGGACTGGTATGTGGGAAGAAATGCTCCAAAACTATGATCTGCACATGGAAGGTGCCGTCGATATGGCCGCTTCATTCTATGTTGGCGATGCTGCAGGCAGAGCAAAGACCGATAAAAGACGAAAAGACCATTCGACCTCGGACAGGTAGGCATCTTTCTTCCCGGCTGCCTTGGTTGAGATCTCATGCATGTAGGGACCTGGCGGCGAACATTGGCATCAACTTCTACACCCCTGAAGAATTCTTCCTCAACGCCACTGCAGAGCAGTATGACCATGTCTTCGAACCAACGAGGTATATCGAGAATCGACAGTCCTCACAACTTCCATCGGCTGGTCAGCAAACCGCTACGGTATCTGCTCCATTTACCAAAAACAGCCCCCAAGAGCTGGTCATCTCCTGTGGCTCGCCAGGCGCTGGGAAAAGTACCTTCTATTGGGACGTTCTGCAGCCACTGGGATATGAAAGAGTGAACCAAGACATTCTCAAGACAGTACGTGCGCCTCACCCAAACTTTGTCATATGCCAGTGAATCGTGCATTCCCCGCCCCTTGTCCTACCCTCTGGACTATCAAACAACGCTGGCCGGCTCCTGCATGACGGTACTTTAGAGACCTTGTTTCAGGCTAAGACATTGTTGTGCAAACAGCGCGAGAAATGTATCAAGAAGGCAAAGGAGCTACTGGATGCTGGCTTGTCTGTGGCTATCGGTATGTATGACATTTCCTGACCACCTCTCGCATTTCCCATGTTCGAACTTCCTCCCCTACTAGATTCCAATACCCCCTTGGCCCCACCTATCTGCTTTTGTGACACCTTTCATTTGACATTTCGCGTGGTACACGCATGACATCTGTGTATGCCTGATTGCGTGCCATGCTTCATGCATGATCCCTGTCGTTCTCCGTTTCTCTCAGCATGTCGACGTTGCACGACATTGCACTGCACGGACTTTGTGATGGCTGGTCTTCCCCGCAAAAATCCCATACACGGAGACCATGATTGCATGGGCAGGACTTTCTCTCTGCAAGGCAGATTCCAATCCAATCTGCCCATTTCCTCTCCGCTACTGTCTGTTCTACTCATCTGGTTACGATGCGCCTCTGGGACATGTCCCCCTCCATCGAAGACTCCTGACTTGGTTGGCCGCGTGCGCTTACTCGACATGTAACAGACAACACCAATGCCGACGTCGAGACTCGAGCACACTGGGTCAGGCTTGCACGTGAATACAACGTGCCTATCCGATGTGTTCATTTCACAGCTCCCACCCGTCTAGCTGAGCATAACGATGCAGTTAGAGCCATGAATCCCGATACGGTACGTCCATGCTACCTCTGTTCAACCAGGCGCTCCTTCCTGCTGTCGTGGTAAGAAGGCTTCGAGATCTCTTTGCTGCCTCGAAAGATATGCCTGACGGCTAGCATGTTGGTGTTGATGGAATATTGGTATTCTTTCCCTCGCTTGGAACGGCGACTGACTTGCCCTAACCACAGATGAACCCTGAGAAGCGGACGCTTCTTCCCGGTATTGCATTCGCTTCGTTTGTCAAGCGGTATCAAGAGCCCACATTGGCAGAGGGATTTCAAGATATCTACAAGGTCGATTTCGAGGTATGTGCTGTGCTGTCTACTCCGGCCTTTTCACACCGGAATACAGTATCTCCTTCAATGCTTGCAGCATTTAAATGCAGACTCGACAAGTTTGAGCTCCCTACTGACAGTTCCTCAATGGAATATAGTTCAAGGGCACCGAAGAGCAAAAGAAACTCTGGTCGCGATACTGGGTTTCCAAGTTTTCCACTTAAAGCGGCGGCGTCGGAGTCTTCATACTCTGTGGACAAGGCCTCGACTGGCGCTCGCTTGCTGGTACCCAGGCCAAGCTGTCTGCTACTCGAGCAATCCGAGCCTGCAAAGCTGCCGGGCACGACCGCACATGAGAACTCCCTTACGATAACCCTGACCATCGCGGGGACACCTACCGAATAAGAGAAAAAGAAGTCGTACTACGACGTTTTACTCCGTCTTCACAGCCGCGGTCGTTGAAGAATCGAAGACATTTTCAAGGAAGATACTTGCTGTTGGCGTGTTCACGAACGCCGAGCGAGACTCACCCTGGCAAAACATCGAGGAGGTTAATCAAACATGCAAGCTTGCTACCTACTACAGCCGCATATCTCGCCTCGACCTTAACTTAAGCCTGGACGCTGTTCGCTAACCCGGACTCCACTCCTCTCTTAAAGCCTCTGATAGTCATCGCCTGCCGTCTCATGAGCTAAACGATTCAGCACTTGCGGCTCGGAATTTCGGAGGTCAACTCAATTCCACCCGGCAGCACATCTTGCCTCAGGGCGAAGAGAGTCAAGACATGGGTTTATGGGTAGAGCATGTCAAGGGGACGCCGTTCCAGGCCTGCCTGGGGAAAGAGCAGGTAGACAACGAACTTGGCCACAACCCGGCACAAGGAGAACCTCTTAACCGAGCACCTGGCCTGGCATGAAAGAGAAGAAGGATGAAAGGAAGAGGAAGACCAGCGGGGGAGCAGAGAAGACGACCTTACTTAATTCCACAGAACGTGTATCTTCGAAACAACTCATCGAGCAGCTTCTCCAAGGGAACGACGGCTCTATGAGAGATTACTACTACTCTCTTCTCTCATTTAGCAACTACTAGTGCAGTTCTCCACGAAGACCGATGCAGTTGTGTCTCGCATGAGGCCCGAGGCTCCCGGTTCTCAAGCGATAGGCGAGCTTCGCACAGTATTGATACTAACAACTGTACTGGACAAGCTCCCCACCACCAGCTTCCTATCTGGACATACACACCACCTTCATACGGGGCCCTCGGTCTCCGCTACTGGACTGTGCCTGGGAAATGGGAAACTGGATCTGATATCATGTTCTGCGCAGTCATCGATGGGGTCCAGCAACACCCACAGTCGACGCACTGTGAACTACAGGTCAAAAGTCCGCGGTGGCCTGACCGACCAGGGAGCGCCCACATAGTGTATCCCAGGAGCTCCGCGGACAATGTCCATAGCTGGGGTGCGGGAATGGTCGCCCTTCGGGAACATAGCTGGCGACGGTCGTTCGGAACCCGAGCTACGTCGCGAGCGGAGGTCACGCAATGTCTCTGGAGAATTGGCATGTTCCCGCGAGGATGGCAGATTCGACGATGCAGGACACTCACTCACTCACTAGTACGTACATTCTCGGCTGATGATACCCCCTTTCGAGTCTGAATGGGCAATGTAATAGTTTCCCTAAAAGCCGTGCGTCGCAGTCGACCTCTTTCTCATGACTTAGTTCTCAGGTGCCATGATTTTCTAGGACTCCTCTCAAGGAAAAAGGACGTTCATGGATGATACCGACCCTGATGTTGCGTCGCTGTAGTGCATGTGTCGAAAGTCCGGTCTCGGAATCTCCGTTGTCTAGGTATCTAGAATCCATGAGAGCATACCCACCCAGGTTCAGCAAGCACCTTAGGTACATACCTCACATTACCTCACCTTACGATAGTATCGGTTGGCACCGGAAATCTGCTACCTATCTACCATGTACCTCTCCATGAGGGTTTTCCCAGGTAAGGCAGGTAGGTAGGTAGGTAGATGGATAGATAGGTAAATAGGTAACCGCTTGACCTAGAACGGCCTGGTTCGCCGGATCTCGTCCGGGGCCACGCGAGTTGAGCTGAGCACGGGATGTCTTCATGTCTGTGCCCGAAACCCTGGTACCGAAGTGCACTGACCAAGCTGAGTGGCTCCCGAACCATCGAGGCCTCACAGCCATCGATTTTCATGGGATCAAGGGACCAGCATCCACCTGAGAAGCCCCCAAGAACCAAAACAATACCCGAAGTAGGCAAAGGGTCTTTCAGAAGAAGCCACAGTGGGAAAAGACTTTCTCGAGAAAAGTTATGGGTATATCCCATCCTCGACGAGATATGATTGGATTTTCCAAGTTCAGGGTTCGCTCTGAACGTGGGGGATGGGTAAAAGAAACGCCTCTTGCGGCCACTTGCAATTGCGACAGCAACAGCAACAGCAACAGCAAGGGCATTTGCGCATGCGACCGGGGTAAAGGGGGTCAAGTGCCAGACTTTCACTCACTGCTGGATAGAATAGTGTCGTAGCTGCGTCGGCTGGGGCTCACGTTGAGAGCACGTGAGTTCCTCTCGAGTTGGTCCATAGCTGGCCTTGTGGTATCTTCATGTTCGGTGGTTTTGGGAAAGCTGCGGTTCCTGAGTGGAGAGTTTTGTTCCCACGAACACAAGTCTCAGTAATGTCTCGGTTGCTGCCGTTGCGTGGATGGTCGCCTTTTCACGCCGAGCGCACTGGGTAGGGTAGTGGTGCTAGCCAGAGCAGTGCTCAGAACTTCCGCCAAGTGTACCTACATATGCTATCGACGACATGCGCCGCAGCAGCTTGCGCCGGGCGCGCTGGCATCAGAAAGGTGGTGGCAGTGGTTGATCATTGTACGCACTTCGTATTGTAGAGCCGTAGACGAGGTTTCATGCCGCCCTTGCAGGACTATCGATTGAGGCGTCACCATCATCCTGCAAAGCCTTGGTCCAACATCCAGGGTTCCAAGGTGTTGATAAGCTGGCAGAAGGATGAGCCTGCATTACGGAGCGGACGTTGCTGCACCTAGGGCTTGCACAGTCCTGCGGTTCATTGCTGTTCTTCTCTTGCGTGTTCCTGTTCCAGGGTGTCAGAGAAATGGCAGTGGAATTCGGCAAAACGAAACAAAAAGTCCGTAGTAGCCCGCAAAAGGGTTGAAGTCGCCTATCTAGCAGGGGGATACATCTTCCGTTGGGTATACCAGACAAGCGCGACGGCTCCCATGGAATGCGCCATCGTCGCAATAACACGACTTCTCTATGGTAGACAACTTCGATGGTGAGGTGGGCTGACGGAGGAAAAGGCACGAAAGAAGCGTCGCCGATAGCTTGAGTAAAACCAGGTCCCGATTGGAGGCCACCACAGTCGCGGACACTACACCTCGAAGCTGAAAAGTGCCGAGTCTCTCGCTACTTTGAGTTTGTCAAGGATGTAACAAGAGCCAGACACCATTTTCCCAGCCACCCACATTTCTCCATCACCCCAAGGTTTGTCGAGACATGTTTGAGAAAGCGCCAATTTCGTCATTCATGGAAACACTGACATATGTCTCCAGGGTGCGTCGCTGCTCCAAACCATGTATCTGGCTGGAAACATCGGCCATTGGTGTTTGAGCGCAGTGGCAATATGAACTTTCTAGACGAGCGTGGGAGAAAATTCTTTGGTAGCTTTGACCGTTGGGCCGAGCACGTTGAGGACTAAGGTTTTCCGTTCGGCGTTGTATGCAAGGAGGGCGGCTTGCTAGGATGCCATGTGCGAAGGAGCCGCTAGGTCAACGACGTAATTCTTGGAAAACATACCAGACGAGCAGAGTAAAATAAGTGCCGCGCCGGTCGCTGGGGATGTTCGGAAGAAGTGGCCTTTGGGGAAGGTCGATAACAATTGCCGAAGAGAAGGGCGGTCTAGTTTGCAACCTGGGTATATCTGATACCGTTCCTGCATGGCTGGCTGGCAGTCTGGCATCAATTCCCCTTGGGTCCCTTGCATACAGTCGGTTGTCAGTGGTGACTAGCTTTCAAAGACGGGCGGAAGCATCAAGGCGGCACGGCTGGCTGCTATAGCGTCGTACCACGGCGCTGCTAGACGTTGCCACACAGCAGCGTCGGACTGGAAATGTGTCCAGTCCACCACTTATATACTGGCAACCGACTGCGACAACCCGGGTATTGTGCTGGCCTCTGCCTAGAGCAGCAGAGAGAGAGAATTAGCTTCGGAAACGTACAGGCGCAAGCCCTCCAAAGCCCTGCGGTGGCATTATTCTTCGTGCTCTTTGACGGCCGTGACAGCGAGCCACCCGTACGATCCAGCAGGGGGAGGCTGCAGGAGGGCGGACGGAGGACGACAAAGCAAGCCACAACGGTCATAAAAATGCTGACGTCTGATGTTGGCTTGCCCAGGATTCAGACCTGACTGATAGAAGGGCAACCGAAGCTCTCACACAAGCCCAAACCATTGTCGCAAACGGAGCCAGCTGTCTTGCATACCTTGGTGGTCAGTTCTAAATATTGTGCGGCCGTATTTCTTCCCAAACCAGTCGGTTCTTGGTATTTCCTTAGGTTGAGACCATCCACTATCGACTTGATGCCGGCACACGTTTATTGGCATTTTATTACTCTGTACTTTCAGCCAGCCTGAACGATAGCATCGGGTGTGGTTGATTTGGGGGCCATTTGTCGAGGGATTCCGGCCATAGACCAACCCCAGAAGGCCAGAAGCCTAGAAGGGGTGACGGGTCCGATCCGATCGGGGTCTTAAGTGACAATAGAATAGTGGAGAAAGAAGGTAAAGGAACCGTGATTCTGTCTCGACTGGCGTCCGGCGAGGGGACTTTGAAATGCTAGCGGGCGAGTAGTTCGGCTGGTCCTGAGTGTTTTCTGTTCTGTTGTTCACTGTCCACTGTCAATCTCCAGTCCTTTGCACCAGGTTCGTCAGGTTTAGCCGTTGGGCGGAGGCGGCCATGATGTTAATCCACCGCATTATTGCACCCAGATCAAAAGGCCGGTAGGAGGCTAAAGGAGAGAGGATCCAGCAGGGTTGAACCCTGTCGACCGTGTCGCTGAGCTGGTTGGACGGACAGGGGAGAGATGGAGAATGGAGAATGGAGAGAGAGAGAAAAGAGAGAGAGACGGTGGAGGCAGCTAAGAGAAAAAGTTCGAACCAGGCGAAAGCGCAGCCAGCTCCACGGCACACAACTTTTCTCTTGGTGTGTCTTGCCTGCGCCAGTGGCTGCACCGACTGCAACCACTGCAAACTGCTGTCTCCCCACGTTCAGAAGCTGCTTTATGACTTGTCAAAACACCTCCCACCTTGCACCTCGTCTTCTCTTCGACTCTGGCGCTCCTTGATTGCATTCCTTCTCTCTCTACCTTGTACACATGGCACTCGACTGATGGCACACTGGCAAACAGGCTCAACCACCAAGCAACCTCGGCCAAACGTGACTGGTTCCATCACGGCTTGACCGACCGCAGACTCCAACACCAACACCAACACACCACACGAAACCTGGACCAACTTCTCGCCTGCGTCGTGTTTGTCACCAGCAAGCTCAGGCCTCGTCGAACACGTTGTCACTGCTATACAAACAAACAGCTCACATCGACTCGACTCGACTCGCGTACACTGCACCATTCTCGCAACGACCGACTACCAGCCATCATGCGCGTAGCTGTCCGACTGTGACCCAGACCAGTCGACGATTCCCCTGTTCCCTTCGCTTCTTCGCATACTTCTACTTGGGTCTTCCCACACACTCGTTCACATCTACGAATAATACGTATTGTCCGATCAACCTCGGACCAGATCACCATGGATAATCATAATCCATACCCTTCTGCTGCGAATGCGCACGCCGCTCATTCTTCGACATCCTCAGTCAATCTATCCTCACCCACCACATCAATGTTCTCCAAGGGTCACTCGTCACGCGGCTCCAACTCGTCGATTGCCTCGTCCCCAATACCACGAGAATCGCTTGACATCTACGGGGGCCCGAAAAGGTTGGAAGATGTGACGGAGGAACCTCATGAGAGAGAGGAGTTCGAAGGGTACACTTTGGTCAGCGACAGAACGTATGACTGGAGTGACTGCGACAAGGCTTTCGCTACTCACCACGTCCACTCTTCCCCACCAAGCTCCCCTGGACGACAACACGATTGGAGCTTGGAAGAAGGCGACGAGTGGTATGCGCAGGCCTCTGGGCTGGGTATATTCAAACGACGGAAATCATTAGAACAGCCCGTGGCCGTCAATCGTCACCGTTTCAGCAGTAAGTTCGGCTCGATCTCACGACGTTGGAAGAATCGATCTGCTCCAGGACCGCAACTGTCCATCGCCACCCACATCGACTCTCCCGTGTCTCGGTCCGGATCTTTCAAATCGTCGCAAGTTCGCAGTCCGGTCCTGAGTGTCATATCGAAGCACGAGAGCTTGGTCTGTTCGTCTCCAGTGATCCCGGAAACAAGTGAACTCTGGTTGGAAGCGGAAGCGGAAACCCGCGCCATCGACATCGAACAAAAGCCTGCAGAGGAGGAAGAAGAGCCATGTCAAGCGACCACGCCATTATTACCCCCCATTCTGACCGAGCTTGAGAAGAAAGAGGCCCCGGTCCAGTCTCCTCTTCAATCACCTGCCATCGCACCCACATCTTCCATGATGAGCTCGAGGACGTCCGTGGAAGGCTCGCTGTCATGCATTCCGTCACCGTCTCTCTCAACTAAGCCGTCGATGGTCTCGATGCACAACCGGTCTCGCACAAACACCATGACCAGCGCGCCTTTTGGTGACATCCCGGCCATGCAACTCCAGGATGATTTTTCCGACCCGTGGGCTGTTCGATTGGGTCATGCCAACTTCACCATCTACCCCGAGCCATATGTTCCGGAAGTCATTGACTTGGAATCATACACCGAATTTCGCAACAACTGGGACCAAGCTCGCACCAACTATGCCAGGCACATCACCCGGACCGCCGAACACTATGGATCGACTTCCAAAGTGTACAAACTTACCGAGGAGAAGTGGGCAGCTGTTGACGAAGCCTGGAAGAAACAACACACGCTGATGCGGACGGCTCTCGCTCCTGTTCTGACTCGCTTGAGCGATGGCGAGTTGGATGTGCCAGACTCGGCCGCGTCAAGTTCGGTTCTCGAGAAGCCCGCCAACAAGGTTGTTCTACCGGTCATCGACGACAAGAGCGGCAAGTTTCCAAGACTCGGGGATGGAGAGATTGTTGGACCCATGACGGTAGCGCGACCTCGCGCATTGACCGTCCCCGGCAGAGGCGTGGAGTCAGGGAGTTCTCCTCTACTACCGCACAAGCGTAACCTCATCAAAATCCTGACTGACATTTTCCGCTCTTGAATGTACAACTACCCGTCGTGCCGACCTTGTACAAACATTTTTCTTTGGCTGTACAAATCTTCAAGGTCTTTTCAGATTGGCGGCGCTATGGGACGACTACATGGCTTCTCTCACAGGCCTGATCGAGAAGATGTTACCGATACCATTAGACACGACTTCCGATTCAAAAGCTCTTTGTCGCAATTGGGAGCCAGTCCCGTTTCAACGATCTGATACTTGATATATCAGATGTCTAATGGACGAGTCAGCTCGGCGTCAAATCATTGCAATTTGTTCTCTGTTTTTTGTTTATGTCACGACTAACGACACGACGCTCCCTTTGAGGAAACACGATAGCAGCAACGACTTGCGACATGCAGCAACTTCAGCACATTGAAGTATATGACGACACTCATTTGAAAGGGCGGAAAGAAAAAATGAAAATGAAATCCAGATGGAGTTTTCGGATTCTTGAAAAGACCAAACTGAATCGCTGTTGATTCGGGCCCGAATCAGAAATGATTTTACTTTTGCTCACATGGCGGCTAGATCATCTGCATTGACCTCTCCCAACTGAGGTGGAGAGGGATCGATGTATCTAGCGCAGTCGATGTTCACCCAGGATATTCCATATAGAGCTGGCGTGAGCAGTTGCAAAGAGCAGACAGCAGATAGAGAGGGGAGGAGTGTGAAGAGAGACTGTCTAGACTGTCAAGTCTAGTGTTGAGAAGAGAACCAATGAAGAAAAAACATCAAAACCTAGCATATGATCGGATTTGTTTTTCTGCTTTGTCTTGTTTCTAGTGAACAAGATCCAAATCGTCGTACTGTAGATGAGGAACTTGAACTACTATGATACTGGAATACTAGTAGCCGAAATGTCAAAAGCAGAAACCCACAACCAGGCGACGACCGATCTCCTTCCTACCTACCACTTAAGCCTGTTATGCACTTTTATCTTCCATCTGTTTTTACACACGCTGTTCTGTTCGGGGATGGGATGTTCATCTTAGAGATAGGAGGCAGGAGGCAGGAGGTAGTAGATACTAGGTAGTTAGGCAGCGAGCAGTTGGGCAGCATAGCAGCCTCCCTAGTATCCGATCATGGAAATATGTATCCCCATATTCCATATCCCCTGAAGTCTTGACAGCCTTGCTTACCTAAGTCAGGTCCACCAGGTGTGGACCATCCAACCATTACTACCAGCAACACTATTACTACTATCTCTTGTCTCTTGTCTTTTGTCACTCTATTCAATAAGACTTAATAACTACTTACTTTAGGCGATTGCATGGTTCCTTTTGATTTCATGTTTCAGTCTTTCAGAGATATAAGTATTGTAGGTGAAAATCTAGCTTTAAGAGCCCGGAAGTTATGTCAAGACACTAAACACTAAACACCGATCGCTCAATAATGAACCATCAAAACATTCTATCTCTAAGTGTCCACGAGGGCACTTTGCATTCTATATATGTGAGTGAGAGTAATAGTGAGAGTGAGAGTAGGAGTAGGAGCAAGAGTAAGAGTAAAACAGTAAGAGGAAGAGAGGGAGAAAAAGAAAAGGGACATCCTCAGTTCCTAGCTTACCCCCCCATACACTCTCTTCCCATTTATCAACTTCTCATATCACAGTCCCCGTCCCCGTCCCCCTTTCTCCTTTTTTCTTCCTTTTCCTCCCCTAATATCCCCCATAACCTCAGTGAACAACTGGGCAAAGAACATCCTCGTCTCCCAAACGGGCAGGATCACCGAAATCAACGCGGATCCAAACACCCACAGGAAACTGATCACGATCCACGCGGTGAAGAAGTGTTCCGAGAAGATATAGTGGCTGAGGAACATGGGGATCGGGATCAGAAAGTCCATGATAAAAGGCAGCACGAAGGACGAGATACACGCGAGCTTGAACGCCGAGCGGAGCGCCGGTGACGACGGGTCGTCTTCGAGCGCCGCGTCGATGGACATTTGGCGTTCCTCGTCGGTGCGGATCACCGAGGATCGACGACGGGCGGGGGAGGTGGTGGAACTGCGGCGTCGATAACCGTGACCTCTGTCGTCTTTGGTCACGACGTGTTTCTCGTCTGGAACAGAGGCGGGAGGAGTCGATGAAGCTATTTGTGTCTGTGTCTGTGTCTGTGTCTGTGGTGTTTCTCCGCCAGATTTGACCGCTTCATCGGGGGTGCTGGACCGACTGGACTCGTCGGCGACGACCTCTTCCGCGTCAAACGTGTGTGCGTGTTCCAGATTGATGGCGCGCGTGGCGGTCCAGTCGTAGTTATCCGGTTTGATGAGAGAGACTGAGACAGAAACGATCAGCCCGGTCATGATGGCGGCCAGGTTGCCAGCTAAAGTGGCGTAATTGGAGCCCGTAGACGCGAGCGTCAGTTCGCCGTAGTAGACTTGCGCCTCGGCCAGCCAGGCAGCCAGGCCGACGGCGAGACCGGAGACCGCGCCGGCCACGGCTCCTGCGCGCGTCTGGCCTTTCCACGTTATGGCGAACGCCACAGGGAAGACAGCGCCGCCTATCAACAAACCCATCACCAGGAACAGCCAGCCGAGGTCGATACCGATCACGTTCCAGATAATAGCGAAGACGGCCATGGTTAGGCCGAAGACAGCGACGTTGACGTGAGCCATAAAGATCAGGTTCTGCGGTGTCGCGGTGGGCTTGATATATGCTTTGTAGACGTCGAATGTGAGGATCGAGGATACGGCGATCAGCTCGGCCGACGCGCAGGATGTGACGGCCATGAAGAGCGTGATTAGGAGCGCCACGGCGCCGGACTTGCCGAGCAGAGCACTGGCCGAAAAGGCTGGAGCGAGGCCGGCGGAGATCTGACTCGGCGAGGGCGCGTTGGGATATGTTGGGAACGCTGGGTTGTCTGTCAACGCGACGGCCGCGAGACCCAATGTCGTGGCGAAGCCGAAGGGGATCGCAAACCACGCGAGACCGCCGAGGATATAGGCGCGCACCGCGGTCGTAGGGCGAGATGCGATTGCTCGTTGCCAGTAAGCCTGGTCTAGAAAGACGGTGCCGCTGCCGGAACAGAGCTGGATCACACCGAATATGAGAGCGTTGTTTGATTTCAGGGTCAGGTAAGACCCGTGTTGGTTCCCGTCCACGGGGCGAAGGTTGGCAGCTTTCTTGAGCAGCTCGTACATTCGCGCAGGCGACCCGATCAGGTCGTCGGACACGTACACCTCGAACATGAAGTAGAGGATGATGACCATCAGAATCAAAGTGTGTGAGTAGTCGCCTGATAATCAGCCTTGTTAGTGAGGTGTTGTACGCCAGACACAAGAACGGTGGTTTTGTTTTCTACTCACAGAGGAAAGTGGCTCGAAGGCCGCCCATGAGCACATACGCCACGACGCCAAGTGGGATCAGGAAAATCGCTGCATAGACGTTCATGCCGGTCAGGGTCGTAACGACAGCAGATCCGCCTAGCAAGAGTTGCGACCCGACCAGGACATTGGTGACGAGAGCAAAGAAGATGAAGACACAGTGGGCCAGCGTGCCATAGCGTACTTGGATGATCTCAAGGTATGTGTGGCACCGAGGAGCATTCATCTTGGTCTTGCAGGCGAGGATGGAGAACATCAGGATCTGGACCGTGGCACCGGCGGCGTACTGGAGACTGGTTAGCTAGGTGGTGTAGAAGAAGACAGATGTATGGAAGATATGCTTGCCCAGAACGGTCCTGCTACACCGTAAGTGTAGGCGACAGTGCTACTCTGGAGGAGGGTAGCTGCCCAAGTCCATGCAGACACTATACCAGCCGCAATCAGACCAGGCTTGACGCTTCGACTGGCGGTGTTGAACTCTTCTGTAGATCTTGTACTGAAATTTGTGTATCGGTTCTGAATGATTCAGCAAGTACTCTTTCGGGAGGATATCTATGATCCTACCTGCAACGCAGAGATACCGATCATCACCACAGTAAAGAAGAAGCCGACGCCCACAACGACGCCATAGCCAACGCCTTGCGGCAGAACGGTCGACACAGTGTCCGACATGGTAAGATACGATCACAGACAGAACCGAGCACGACTGATAACGAACAACAAGAAATCTGGACCAGGGAGAAGGATGAGCTCATATAGGAACGACTTGACCCTTGGATGTAATCACTTCTGATAGATAGATAGATTTATGATAACGACTGACAAGGCCGGTGGCTGGAGCCGGCCAATCGTTTGCAGGGTCCAAGATAGAGACTGCATCTGACCTTGTACCATGGGTAACAGGAACTGATCGCGTCAGGAGGCAATCCTGCCATGGCGATAAAAGACCTAGCATGATTCGATGAGGCCTTCGTATCAAGGGCTGACTGGCCTCGCCTAGACGATAGCCTCACAAACCGTTGCGATATCGTGGATCTCCGGCGCCATACTAGGACTAGTATCATTTCTGACCCGCCTGGGTGAGATTCCGGAGAAATTTCTTTCCTGGAGAGCGGAGGTGAAAGGTGGTCGCGGTGATCTGCGAGGCTGCCACTCAGGACGATCAAATGGTTGCCAAGGGGTGAATCGATCAGGGGTATGGGCAAGTCTAGGTCGAATAAGGAAGCTCGCAACACCATCACGTGTAAAACGTTGAATGGATGAATGATTCTCCGCTGCTAGTGGAAGGCGAGTTATCAAGTAGCGTCAGAGTGGTTTGTTGACATGATCTGGGAAGATATCCGCGGCTTACACCCGGAGAGAGTTTGGCGCTTGTCAACTGCTGGGAAAATGATGACAGAATGAAAAGAGCTCGAGTGGACGGTGGCGTTTCAGGAAGGTCGATATGTTGTCAAAGCGCATCCAAACCTTGTGGATTCGGCCATGGTGAATCTGGCACTAGTTCGATAAGCCGCTGTTCGAAGTCGAACGGGACAGCCCCGGTATTGTGATCCGAGCCAGGTTGAACTCGTCTGTTGCAGGACTCGATCTGGCCAGTACGGCTCGATGCTCGGCTCACCAGCCGTCCGCCTTCCTCACACGCAATGACAACCCGCCTTGGGGTTTGGTGACAATGCCAAAGTTCAGCTTGATATCCTCTGCGGTGTCTGGCGGTTGATCGACAAGTGCCCATTCAAATGTCCCAATGAGTCCTGCCAACAAGGTTGCAAACTCGCCTCTGGCAAATCGTTCACCAATACAACTCCTGACACCAGCTCCGAAGGGGATGAAGCTGTAGGCCGCTTCTTCCCCATGCAGACTACCATGGGCATCAAATCTCATCTTTCCATCTTGTCCATATTGTAGAAACCGATCGGGTCGGAAGTCCTTCACATCGGCACCCCACACGGCTTTCGCGCGGTGGGTGCCCCAGACGCTGGCTGCCACGATCGTCCCAATTGGTAGGAGTTGTCCCAGAATGACAGTGCCAGGCTTGACAACTTCTCTTCGAATGATCGGTGCAGGAGGATACAGCCGGAGTGTCTCGTTGCTGACAGCAGCTAAGTATGGAAGAGATTCAATGAGTGCCGCGTCGACTGGCTCGTCCGAATCAGGCGCTGGGAGGTGACCATGGATTTCTGCACGTAAGATGGACTGTACTTGTGGATGGCGTGCTAGGAGGTATAACGCCCATGTCGTCGCAACGGAAGTCGTATCTTGACCGGCTGCTAAGAGTGTTGCTGACTGGGCCACTAGTTCTGTGTCCGAGAGAGGCTGTGGGAATCGAAGAAGAGTGGAAATGACGTCCGTCTCGGCAAACTCTTCAATTTTGGAGGGAGACTTTTCCACGTCGGCGCTGACGAGAAGCGTTTGCTTCTCTGCAACCGCGGCTCTTCGGGATTTGATGAGTGGCAAAACGGCATCGTTGAGGGCTTTGTTGATGCGGTCAATTTCGTACCGTCTTGCCATGGGCATGCGAAAATACAGCCACTGAGGAAGCAGGAACGCCAGCAGTCGGAAAAAGGAGGCGCGGGGGTCAGTCGAGTTGGCCAGAGGGGTGGCTCTGGCGAGCTCGCCGTCGGGATTCTGGATGGCGTTGACATTGACCCCGAATCCAGTGGCAGCTATAATGTCGAGGGTGGCACGCATCATCCAGCGATCGACATCAATTGTAGCAAATGAAGACAGATTACCATCCTTGTGGAGGTCTTTCTCTAAGGAATTGACCAATTGTGTGGTGTGATACCAAAACCTTGGGAAGAGGTTCTTGATGTACTTGAACTTGAAGGCCGGGTTCAGGGACTTCCGTTGACGCTGTCCAGCAGTGTAAGCAAGCAAGCCAACCGTATTAGTGACAAGGGATCTCCATACCTTATGTTCCTCCTGATCAACGACAACGAGTCCCCGGCCTGTGATGTGTCCAATGAGCTTTTTGGCGACAGCGACCTTGTTGAAGTTGTAAGCATGCAGAAGAGTCATCTCCTTAACACCTTGGGGTTTAGTGATCAGCAGTCGTTCGCCATGGAAAACACCAAAGTAACGGATAAGCCCATCATTGGGAGTTTCGTTGATGAAGCGCTCCAGGTCAACGGGTAGGGGTTCGAGTAGGAACGTCTTCCACCATGGACCTTGGGCCGCCAGGGGAAGTTTCCGAAGAGGACTTAAGCGCGGTGATAGCCAAATCAGGCAGACTAGAAGTAGAAAGAGGTGCAGAAATGCCGCAAGGCATATGAATGTTGCTGGAGTCTGGGTGAAGTAGATACCGAGAGCATATCTCACGATGGAGACTGCGCCTAGGAGCGTAGTGAGAAAAGTAACATTCATGTTGAGTACCGAGGAGGGTTTTTCTGGAAGGTCGTTGGCCTACCCAGAGGTACGACTCCCAGTGCGCTTCATATATACCGGAATACTGATGGCGGTCAAGGCCAACCATCCACCTACCGTAAGCATGAAGGTGGTGATATCAGACATACCGATGATTACGCGCCTGCAAAAGCACCAGCGCTCTGAGGTATTACTCAGCTGACAGGCAATTCAGAGGTGTAGAAGCCTGCAACGAGGGCAGGAGGCCGCATCTCTACCGGATGCCGTGGGAGCAGCAGATTACCTCCATCCACTGCAGACTCTGCCGCGGCGGACAGGCCTTTGGAGGGAGCCTGATTGTCAATGGGGTCCTAAGCAGTGACGTCGGAGAAACAACCCACTCTGGAGGCGGCAGGATCGTATCTTGTTGATTGAGTCGTCGTGTTCAGATATACCTACCATTCAGAAATCCGTATGTGCTTTATGCTAAATTGTCGACGAACTGTGATATGCAGTGCCAGTGGTTGAGATGAGACGAAGTGGAAGAAGCTTGAAGTTGAGGTCGAACTTGACGCGAGGCTTATCCGTTATCGATAAACTATTAAGCTCATCACGTGCTGATAAGAGCCTCTAATGCCATGACGGAGGGACAGAGCGATAAACGTCTTTCTTTTCTCCTCGTCGTGCCTCATCTTCTGCCTTGTAGGATGTGCAGGATGTGTCTCCTCGACAAGGAACAAGGGCAAGAGTTGAGTGGCAGGAGGAAGCCCATGCCAAGTTCATTCCAAGCAACAGCATCAGACGAGACACAAATACAGGAACACACGACATCCATCACATTACAGTAGAATCCATCAAACCACGAACTATATATTCCATGGGGAGAACGGAAGGCCAGTCAGCAGCGTCATACACTCATCGGTCCGGCAATCAATCAATATCCCTGTCGTCCACCTGTGGGACCTCTTCTCTTCTCTTCCTCACTGCAACCCGCTGTGAGCTCCTAACCAGTACATCATCTGCAGATGCAATGTTTGCTTGCTTCGACAGCATGTCGCCCCAGGGAAACGCCCTGACGAACAGAGACATACATACCTACCCATCGATCATGGAAACATCTCCTCCAGGATCATCGGCGTGATCTTCTTCTTCCCCAACTTCTTCCAGCGTTTTGTTTGGTGGAGCCGATCATCTCCGAAGACTAAAAGAAGCCAGAATCCGCGGCCCGCTACAAAGTCCGATCGTTTATACGATAAAATACGAAGAAGCCATCACATCTTCTCAACATCTCCCTAATATCTTTTGTCTTTCTTCCACTACTCCCACCGTTCCTTTTCCTTTACACTCCTCCTCGAGGGAAAATCTGTCTGTGCCGGGGGATGGTGGACGAAAAGACAGCTCGACAAGAGCCAGCATGGTCGACCGTCAACCCCACCGATGACGCGCTCGCGGTCGACGGGGATGAGAAGAGGTCCATCTCACTCTCCGGATCCAAGACCGGGGCAAAATGGACCACCAGAACAATCAACACGCTCACTTGGATGCCGCCATGGTGTCGATACAACCCACAGAAACCTCCAGTCTTTTCCGTCTGGCATAACGTCCTCTTCGCGTTCGCCGGCGCCTTCACCGTCGGCAATCTCTACTACAACCATCCGATCCTGAATATTTTGGCCAGGGACTTTGACGTGCCGTATGTGACGGTATCACGCATCCCGACGTTGATGCAGGCCGGCTATGCGACGGGCTTGCTGTTTGTGTGTCCGTTGGGGGATCTTCTGAAACGCCGGCCCTTGACGTTGGTGTTGATCTTCTTCACGGCGACTATGTGGTACGCGCGACACATTCCGTTCATGGCCAGTAGTACTACCTACCAACCGCAGTCTGGATTCTACTCCTACTCCTATTCCCAGCCCCAGTCCCAATCCTACTCCCAGTTCCCACCCCTTCTCAAGCCAACCTCCAACCAAAAAGACAGAGATCCTTCTCGCCTTATACTCATCTAATACTCACATTGTCTTTTCTTTTTACAGGATCGGTCTCTGCCTCACCCGTTCCTTCACAGCCTTCTGCGCCATCTCATACATGTGTGCCATCACGACCGTCATCCCACAGGTGATGCTCCCACTAGTCGCGGAGCTCGCGCCGCCACACAAACGCGCCCTCTCCCTCAGCATCGTGACGTCGGGCAATCTTCTGGGGATCGTGATCGCACGCATCCTCTCCGGGGTGGTGACGCAATACACGTCGTGGCGGGACGTGTACTGGATCGCGCTGGGCCTGCAATTCCTGATCCTGAGCGCCCTGTGGCTCTTCATGCCGGACTACCCGTCGACCAACCCGGACGGACTGAACTACGTGAAGATGATCGGCGGGATTGTGCTCCTGTACAAGAAACACGCCGTGCTGGTGCAAACGGGCATCATCAGCTTCTGCATCTCGGCCGCCTTCACGAGCTACTGGACGACTCTCACATTTCTCCTGGCCGACCCGCCCTACAGCTACAGTCCCGTGGTGATCGGGCTGTTCGCGCTGATCGGCGTCGCGGGCATCCTGCTGGGCCCGCTGTACGCGAAATACCTGATCCAGCCGTTCGCACCCATGTTCTCGTGTCTGGTGGGGCTGGTGGCCAATCTCGTCGGTGTGGTCGTCGGCACCTACAGTGGCAAACATACCGTCGCCGGACCCATCATCCAGGCCTTCACCCTGGACATGGGCCTGCAGATCACCCAGGTGGCCAATCGCAGTGCCATTGCCGCCATCGAGCCGAACGGCCGCAATCGCGTCAATACCGCTTTCATGCTCATGACCTTTACCGGCCAGCTGACGGGCACGAGTGCCGGTGCGAAGCTGTATGAGCGCGGTGGCTGGGTCGCCAGTGGGAGTCTCAGTGTTGCCCTGGTCGGGTTGACCTTTCTCGTTTGTCTGGCCAGGGGGCCGTATGAGGACGGCTGGGTCGGTTGGGGCGGCGGATGGGATATCAGGAAGAAGAATCTGGCTGAGGCTACGAGCGGGCCTGTTCCGGTGGCGGTTGCGGGTGTGGAGCCAGCCGACGACGAAGAGAAGAATCTTTCGCCCGTGAGGGTTAGGCTCCGCAATAGTGACGAGGAGAATCAGCGTCAGTCTGTCGCCAATGCCGACCCGATACATGTGAGTGTGGGGGCGAGGCAGGATAGGTAGGAGTGGCAGCGGATGTCAAAAGCGTCGAGGAGAGACTGAGATAGGAACTGGCTTTGAGATAGACTTAGACATATCTAGAGACTCTAAGAAACTAATGCAATAATGAGTAATGATGACTAGCAGACAGTACGGACTGTGTACGATATGACCACTGATCAAGACGACAAAGACTGAGAAGATGTCCTCCATCTAATATCTAGAGCTGAACCATGGACGAGATTGAAACAAGCAGTCGGCACGTTGTTGAGAAGAAGCTCTCCTCAATCAGAGTACTGCATGCGTCTCAATCAGGAAGCCCGTTTGACCGTCATCCCAATCGAGCCAGAGATATGTGCATGTTGAGTCCTATATGTCCTATGTAGTTCAAGAGACAGATATGAACAGGTGAAACCGGCGCCCGTCCCTGAATCTTACCATCCTTTCACGATAAATCCAGACTCTGTGTGACTCGGTTCACTTCTTGTCCACACAATCCATTTCAAGTAGTGGATATCATATCGCCACGACAGCGTGAGCATCGATACAGGCTCAAGCACGCATTGAGAACCTGCTTGCACCTCGTGATTTTGTGCAGAAGAACCGCGTCAGGACTTCTTCGTATGGCCCCAGTCCATGCCCTGTAATATGGTAAGCAAGTCATCATGGTCAGCGCGTATAATCAAATTTATCTTGATAGTCGGAGTCGCCAACTGCCAACGCCGGGAGAAGATAACAAAGAGAAAACGAACACGAAGCTGTATACGAGGGAACAAAAGTATAGTCGAGACTCACCAATCCAAGAATGGCCTGCCCCTCACTCAACGCGCGACTATTCTTCTCCCCTAGCCACTGTGGTTCCAGACGGTTCAGCCCTTCTTCGATGTCGACGGCCTCCCCACCCGCCACGAAAAGCGCCTTGCCATGTGTGCGTGGGTCGGCCCCGACCTGGATGATATACTTTGCCACGTCGCTGGGCTTGTTGAGTGGCAGGTTGTTATCGACCCACGCTTGATGGACGCCGGAGAAGATTTGGGTGTCTGTTGCCCAGGGACCTATAGTAACGAAATTGGAGAATGAAGTTAGCAAGGCCCATGTATAGCAAGGAGTTGAATCGAGCGGGTGGTGTGGAATATGTCTAGTAGAGCAAGGATTCTTCACGCAGGGGATATCAAAGGAGGTGGATGGTTGGTGTTGTAGCCACGGAATGAGAGAGCGCTCAGAACCGGTTCCCAATCCATTGCGGCTCCATGTGAAGTCTGGGACAAAGGAAGAGAACAAGTGAGCAACAGCAGCATTGCCACGATCTATATGGCACGAAGTATAAGGAAACAAACGCACATATAGCATTGACCCTCAACCCGTACACTGGTGGAGCAAAAGGTCTTAGTGATCGCATGAGTCCCATAATACCATGTTTTGCCGCCGAATAGGCGAACAGGCCAGGCGACTCTTTGAACCCGGCCAAGGAGGAGACCAGGGTGATGGCTTTCGAGGAGACAATGGATTCGGGAGTGCTACTTTCTGGGTCGAATGTGTGGTTTTCTTTCAGGTATGCCACTGCCAGTCGGGTGAAGTACATTGTGCCGTTGAGGTTGATGTCGAGTACGTCGGTGATTCCAGTCGGTGGCTATGATACAACAAAGTTGTCACTGGGTTAGTAAAGTATCATGTCTCGAAGTCCTCAGTGAAGAACAAAGGTAATGATTTTAAGGAAGATCGATGAAATGAGGTACTGTATCAGGTAGGAGGGCGTTCTGGAGCTAAGAAGGTCTAATCTCATGCTGGATCTGATAGACTTACCTCTCTCACGCTCTGTAAGTTCAACTTATCTGGCTCCCAATATCCCGGTCGCTCCGCCACTGCTGCACAGCTGATGGCCACATCGATCTGTTTGTACTTGTTGTACGCCGCGTCGAAGAGCGAGAGGAGTGACTGATAGTCTCGCACATTGACCTTGAGATACGTCACGCTGCCCTCTGATGAAGGAGAGGAGCTGCGTAGCTGCTCTGCAAGCTGCGAGCCATGCGCCTCGCTCCAGTCGCCGAAGAAGACATGCGCTCCGGAGTGGTAGAGCTCGGTGACGGTTGCTGCACCGATGCCCTGAGCGCCGCCTGATTGATATTCAGTACAAGCGTGAGAATAGCCAGGAGTATGATGAAGGCGTTACAAAGATCGATAAGTTCAGTGATTCAGCGTAGTGTTAGACGGGACTTACCTGTAATAACCACTACTTTGCCTTTGACTGAATCAAGGGTCGCCTGGTCGACCACAACTTGAGCCATGATGTAGATTGAAACTTGGGCCGGGTAGTGACGATAGCGACCTCAGGGATTGAATGTTTATGCAGAAGAGTCGCTGGCAGACTCTCACGTCTTGAGATAGATGCGATGTCTGCTTCTTCAGAATGACAAGACCAATCCGCAAGGTTCGGCAAACAGAATGGTACAGATTGAATCCTTCATGCCCGTCATCGTACTTTTCCTAGGTACTTGTGAGGGGACCGGGTCACCGCAACTCGTCCACACCTTTGAGACTAGTGTGCCGGCCCCATCGGATGTCGCTTTGGTCCATGACTTCTCGAGCGGCTCTGATCCCGAATGGCGGAATTGGGGGGAAGAGACAAAACGAAAGCCGGTTGTCAAGGCTGTGGTTGAACCTTGCTATACCCCACATGGGGAAATGCCCCAATTCCCCGGACTGACTGTTGGGGCATTCCCGAACGGTTGTCTACTCTTGCTCGACGTTCTCGATGCCTACTTGTTCATGTTTCAAGGGCAACGAGAACAAAGATCCCCAGCCGATAGACTGACAGAAGCCGCTGCACTACATCTGGACGACTCATTCTTCACGAGAAATAGATAAGAGACCGAGTTGGCGGGTTAGAACGGCCGTGGAGCCTTGCAACATCTAAGCGCCAGTTGCTGCGATTGGAAGACGTACCAGATGGCGGTCCAGAAGAAAAGCGTGATCGTGACTGGTGAGTGATGAGTCGGTCTAATACCAGAAGTTGTTGAAGACCAAAAGATATACGTTGCTCAATGTTTAAACAGGAGGTGCGTCTGGCATCGGACTTGCGATGACCCGACATTTTGCTGGGCAGGGAGCACACGTCTCTGTGCTGGATGTCAACCCGGACGGCGCGAGTATTGTCCAGCAGCTCTCATCGGAGTTTCCAGAGGCGGGATTCGTGTTCAAGAAGGCCGACATTCTTCAATGGGACGAGCTGGCTCGTGTCTTTGAGCAGGTATATCAAGAACAAGGACGGATCGATGTAGTCATGGCCAACGCCGGCATTTCCCGGGAAGGCACGCTCATCGTTGATGAAGAGAAACCGTCCAAACCTATCCTTAAGACTCTCGATGTCAACCTGACAGGGACCATATACAGTGAGTGAGCAAGCTTCGACCGAGGTAATGCACGTATGCTGACCATGGTCGGTAGCTGTGAAATTGGCAATCCACTATATCAAGAAGAACGCTGTCACTGGCAGCGGTGCGACGGCATCGAAAGGTACTATCGTCTGCACAGCTTCCAACGCCGGCCTGTATCCATTCGCCGTCGCGCCGCTCTATGCCGCCTCCAAGTTTGGCGTGATCGGCTTCGTCCGGTCACTGGCACGGTCATTATTGAAAGAATCGATTCAGATCAATGCTCTGGCGCCTGCTGTTCTTGGTGAGTGTGCTCTTTTTGGTTTTGACAAATAGAACTGATTTGCTCCTCTTTGCAGAAACAAATATTGCTCCCAGCAAAGAATTGTTCAAGCCGATGATCATCACACCAATGTCGACCCTGACGAGAGGCGTCCAACAGCTTGTGTCCGATCCTTCGTTGACCGGGCAGATTGCCGAGATCCATGGACAAAACGTGACGTTGAGAGAGCCGTTGCCCTACATTGACGAAGATACTGGCAAGAATATCGAAACATTCTGGTCTCTCGGATATGCTTGAAGGGGATTCTCTGGGACGGGAGATCAGGTTGGCTTGGGCCGACGGAGGATCGAGGACGACTTGAACAAGGCGGCAATGCCATGCCGGCTTTATAGTCAGCTTGGACGATACCGATGGGGATGGCATGGATGCTGAGCCTACAAGGACTCCAGGGATACTAGTAGGTCGTACGCAGGACCAGCAACCGAGGGAGCAAGAGAGAGAGAAAACAAAAATCCGGTTGTTCGGCGAATCAGAGCAGCAGCATTAGTTATGCTCCTTGGGCAGCCTGCGCCCCTAGAGCTTCCCCTCGCTTGCCTAGGTAGGTAGGTAGGGGACTTCTAACCTGCTTAAGCTTCCCCATTATCAAAGTGACTCGATCTTCCCCGCGCTGGGCGAGTCTCGGGCGGAGAGAGCACTGCATAGATGAGCCGCGGCGAAGATAGAATGACGGACTCGGACAGTGCTGAAACAATTCCATTGAACTAATAATAAGAAGCCAGGTAAAACACCAGAGATACCATCTTGAGGATAACACCTCATACCTCTCTATGTACCTTGCCCGACATATCATCTCCTTTTTGACCCCTGTCCCTGGTGCTCTCTCACTCCCCAACGGCACTGGAACCGGACGACCTCCGCAAAACATCCCTCGTCCTCATCTCCACCCCCAAACTGCATCCTGTTCTGGAATCATGTCCTCTCCCAAAACTCGGCTGAGCAATTTGGCCAACCACTTCCTTCATCCCGGCTCGAGCTCGCAACAACAAAACAAGAGCATCGACGATCTGACCATTGATGGCCACACCGTGGGCACCCCGTCATGGTTTAACAACCACGCCCTCTCCCCGGCCTTCTTTCTTCCCCGCGCCGCAGCCATCGAACCCAACGCTCCCGCCATCTACCACCGAACAGCCAACGACAAGATCCTTCGTCGAACGTACATTGAATTCGCCGACCGAGCTCGCGGGTTTGCTTACTACATCAAGAAGAAAGGGTATAAGCGAGTGGGCATCCTATGCACCAACACTCCGGCCTTCCTCGAGGCCGTCTTTGGTATTGGCGCCGCTGGGGCTATCAACATCGCCATCAACTATCGGCTGAAGAAGGATGACATTGCATATATCTTCGACCATGCGGACGCAGATGCCATTGTCGTCGATGCCGAATTCGTCGACCTGCTTGACGACTACAAGGTAAACCACCCCAATGTACCTTTGATCGTCGACACCGACACCGATGCCATTCAAGGCCAATTGTGCGGTCCTTTCGACGAAGCCGTGCTTGAGGGCTTGCAGTATGACACATCGAGAGGGTCTCATGGGTGGGACGCGCTCGAAACCCAGGCTGCGGATGAACTCGCCGTTACCGCGTTGGCCTACACATCAGGCACCACCGCTCGTCCCAAGGGCGTCGAATATACTCACCGAGGCGGATATCTAGCGGCATTGGCCAATGTCATCGAGTCCGGTCTCTCGTATCATGATGGTGAACGTTGCAAGTACCTGTGGACGCTACCAATGTTCCATGCCATGGGATGGACGTATCCATGGGCCGTGACCGCGGTGAGAGGGACACATTACTGCCTCCGCAAAATCGATTACCCCGAGATCTGGCGCTTGCTGAAAGATGAAGGCATCACCCATTATTGCTCCGCTCCGACAGTCAACACGCTTCTCTGCGCAGACTCAAATGCTGTCAGACTGCCCAAGCCTGTCCGGGTGACGGTGGCTGCCAGTCCTCCGACGGCACATTTGTTTGAACAGATGACCAATCTCAACCTGCACCCTGTGCATGTTTATGGCTTGACCGAGACATATGGGCCCATCACAAAGGGTTATATCTTGCCGGAATGGAACGATTTCGCCAACGTCAAGGACAAATATGCCAAAATGGCCCGCCAGGGTCACGGCATCGTCACTTCTCTGCCAGTCAGGGTCATTAAGACCGACCTACCGGAAGGGACGATTCTGGATGTTGAAAAGAACGGCAAGGAGATTGGCGAGATTGCCTTCGCCGGTAACATTTGTGCTAGGGGATATTACAAGGATGAAGCTGCCACCAGAAAGTTATTCGCTGGTGGTGTGCTGCACTCGGGCGATCTGGCCGTGTGGCATCCAGACGGAGCGATCCAAATTCTTGATCGTGCGAAGGACATCATTATCTCTGGTGAGCCATACGTCTTCTTATATTGTGTGTTTGCTGAATTGACCATCCTATCAGGAGGCGAAAACATTTCTTCGGTCGCTCTCGAGTCCATATTTGTCACGCATCCGGAAATTCTCGAATGCGGTGTCGCCGCTGTCAGCGATAGTCATTGGGGGGAAAGACCCAAGGCATTCATCACTGTGAAGCCCGGATCCAGTGTGACTGGAGACGACGTGATCAAGTGGGCAAAAGATCATCCAGGTATCAGTAGGTTTATGGTGCCTCGGGAAGTCGAGATCGTACCCGAGCTGCCCAAGACAAGCACTGGGAAGATCAGAAAGAACGTCCTGCGGGACTGGGCCAAAGGGAAACGAGAAGAAGAGTAGACACTTACAAGACAGTGTTTTTACGATTCTGGGTTTTGGTATGCGACATATTTCTTGATCTCAAACTTGAACATCCATATGCACCACGCGCTGTGTGAGACTGACGACACGACCGATCTGGTGGACACAATGTCGAAGTATTGCGAATTGGTAGTCCCCATCTCTGAGCATGTTGCTCTCGCAAGTGTGTCCCGAAACACATGAGGACAAGCAGTTCATCGCTTGTAGTTGGCCCCTGATGATACCCGGGCTCAATGCCTGACAGGATCGATTGGAAAGCTTTGTCCCGGGAGGGCTGGGTAAGCAACTCGAGACGGGGACTCTTTGGCACAGGCCGGGCTGGACCCTGGAGCACCATCTCCCGCAATGGTTCTATTGTGGTACCCGAGGCATAAGTTGGGGAGCCCCAAAAATCACTATTGATTAGGTATTGAAGGGTGACCTCCGCCGAAAGAGTGGGTATATGCCTGTACAAACACTGTAAAACCTAGGTACGCTGGAACAGCACCTTTTTGTCTGAACTTGTGACACCACAACCTTTTCTTATTCTGTCGCCGGGTCGTCGGCCATCCGATGTTGGGATTGACAGGACGAGGGGGAATGGGACTTGATGGATGACGACTTCCAGGTTCGTAATTGTGTAGTGGTGTAGTAGTACTAGTAGTAGATACTTCACCTACCGTGTTGGCGAGATGCCAAATGCAGCTTAACGAGCCTAATACTGCAGATTGTCGGCGACCCGGAGGTTGAAAGCACCGCTCCGTTGAGTTCCACACGTCATTGCTTTCAATAACCTGCCAGTGCGCGGCCTCGATAGTAATGAGAAGGGCGGAAGACGCTTGAACAATATATCAGAAAGCGGAGGCGTGAGTTCTCTTGTTCTTTCGAGACACAGCAGATATCGAAGCCATGCAAGCCATGAGTTGTGCATGCGGTAACCATAACTCTGGTCAAGCCGAGAGAACCCACATCCTTATGAACAGCATGGGTCATCGTTGTAGGCAACCTGCTACCCGTGGCGAGTAGCATGGTCCAGGCGTTAGAGCCGCTGCTCGAGCGTCGGTAGCCGTTGTTTAGCAGACCGTCTATCGTTGGTGAAGCAGAACATGGTGTATTATGGTCCGTCTCTTGGTCCATCATTCGACTCATTATTCGATGCCGATTCGAATGAGATAAAGGACGTGCATCTGCCGTTGAGCAAGCTCAGTGGGTCAACCTGTTGATCATATAGCCATCTCGGTGTCTCTTGTCACTAGAAAAGCAGTAGCCTTATAGGTATGGCCGTCATTTTCCATCGCTCCTCGGGGCAGCATCATTAGTTGCAGCTAAGCACGTCTCGGTAACGGAGGAAGGGGTCCGGGGAGGATCGTAGTGCATCATGATCGGGTGTATCTCTTCAACATGGTTATTGCAGCTCTTCGAACAAGCATTTGTATGTGAAGCAAGAAGTAAAGAATAGATCGATCAATGAGTTTTGTATTGGTCAACAGTGGAGAAGATTAATAAGAGGTGGTGAAGAGGTAGTAAATAAGTACCTAGGTATGTAGTGAGGCGATACTAGGTGGACTCGTAGTTTGTCATCAGTGTCAACAATCCTTAACAGTTGATGGCGGTGGGAACCTTAGGGCGCCTCTGGAGAGGTTGACGTAGGTGTTGGGCGCAGGACTTAGGGACCCCAGCCCCCGGAGGATACGCCTAAGACGCTTCGTCTGTCGCTCAAAGTGCCCAAGGCATGCAACTGCGCTCCAACTGCACTGGTCACATCACAAATCGCATCGCTGCAGTTACTTGCCCTCCATTACTACTGCACCACTGCACCATCGACAACATTCCGCCCTCTACCACGTCCTTTCCTCCTATCTCTCATGTTACAAACCCTCGGCCGCCTGCACCTTCTGAGACAGTCCAATCTATCCTGACCTGCAGTTGATATCCTCGGAGCATCTGTTCTCAGTCTCATCCTGCGTCCTGCTCTCCTAATACCCTGACGAAAACATCACGTCGGCCGCCATCCTGCCTGCCAGTGCCACGCAGCCTCCTGTCACCGCCGTCGACCTCCTGGCCTCATTCCTCCTTCACTCTGGCCCCCTTCAACCGCATTCTCATTGCCCTCCTCTCCATGCCGAACGTCTCCAACGTCTCTACATAATACAGTTGTCGCCTAGAGAAATGCACGTAACAAACCTGTTTGCGTCCTTCTGAGTCACCGGCATCATTGTCTCTGTCCACCGCAACCGGATCTGCTGAAGACCAACGAACACAAACACAGACACGACAGATCGACAACCCACTTCCCACGAGCGATGAGCATCCTTGTCTACACATACGCGTTCATAGGTATCCTGTGAAGAAGGTGGACTCTATGCAATACCAAGAAAAACCTAGCCCGCCGACACGACATACACATACCTGAACCTACCTCTCCTCACGACGCCTGGTATTGGAATCATGGCTGACGAACTGCGCTCTCGATTGTCGCCCCTTCACACTCGAAATATCAGCACTACCACCGCCGATTCAGATAGCTCGGACACCACCCCCGGCCCTTGTGACGATGAAGATACCGACTACTTCATGGCGCATGCCAATGACTCGCAATCCTCGCTTGGAGCCGTCACCGCCACTCGCGATTGTGACGACGACGTTGACATTGAACAGGTCCATCGCCTCTCTCCGATTTCCAAACTGCCTCCAGAGATCCTGATTGCCATTCTTTCAAAGTTGACGACTACCGCCGACCTTCGCAATTGCATGCTGGTATCATATCCATGGGCATTATACACCGTTGGCATTTTGTGGCATCGACCCCTCTGCAACAAGTGGTCGAACCTGCTCAATGTCGTGGCGGCCCTGGGAAAGGGCGAAAAGAGTTATTTCCCATACCATGAAATGGTCAAGAGATTGAATCTATCGGCAATTGCGGACAAGATCAACGACGGGACAGTACAACCTTTCATGAGCTGCAAGGGCATTGAGCGACTTACCTTGACCAATTGCTCCAAACTGACGGATTTTGGCGTCGCCGGACTGGTTGACGGTTGCAGAAAACTACAGGCGTTGGATGTGACGGACCTGGATGCCTTGACAGACCGTACATTGCATGTTGTTGCCGCCAACTGCGCCAAACTTCAAGGTCTCAACATCACCAACTGTTCGAGCGTCACAGATGAATCACTGGTCGACATTGCCCAGCATTGCATGCAACTCAAACGACTCAAGCTCAATGGCGTGGTACGAGCAACAGACGCGTCAATCACCGCAGTTGCAAGAAACTGCCGCTCGATCCTGGAGATCGACTTGGCTGGCTGCCATTCCATCACTTCGGAATCTGTCACTGCTCTTTTAACGAACCTGACACACCTTCGCGAGCTCCGCCTGGCACATTGCATCGACATCAGTGATGCGGCTTTTACCAACCTACCTCCACGACTGACATTCGATGCGCTTCGGATTCTGGATCTTACGGCGTGTGAGCAAGTCCGAGATGAGGCCATTGCGAGGATGATCCCGGCTGCTCCCCGATTACGAAACCTCGTGCTGGCTAAGTGCAGACATATTACCGACCGGGCGGTTACGTCCATCTGCAAGCTGGGCAAGAATTTGCATTACATCCACCTGGGGCACTGTGTCAATCTGACTGATACCGCGGTCATTCAGCTGGTCCGAGCCTGCAACCGCATCAGATACATCGACTTGGCCTGCTGTTCGAGGTTGACAGATGCCAGCGTACGCCATCTGGCACAACTCCCCAAACTTCGTAGGATCGGCCTGGTGAAATGCCAGAACTTGACGGATGCCAGTATTATGGCTCTGGCCCATGGACCAATTCTGTTCAGTCCGACTGGCAAGCTCGGAGTGCCGTCGCAATTCGTGTCACTAGAAAGAGTCCACCTCAGCTACTGTGTCAATTTGACTCTCAAGGTATGATAGATTTGCCCTTGCAGCTTGGAACCACCACTTACAAACGACTAGGGAATCACTGCGCTCCTCCACAATTGCCCTAGACTGACACACCTGTCTTTGACTGGAGTTCAAGCCTTTCTTCGAGAGGATCTGACCCGGTTCTGTCGCGATGCTCCGCCCGAATTCACTCACCCACAACGAGATGTGTTTTGCGTCTTTTCGGGCGAGGGAGTCTCACGCCTTCGGGAATATCTTATGCGACTCGCCATGGAAGAAGCGCAACGAGAGAATCGTGAGGCGATTGACGATAGTTTGCTTGACGGGGTCGATAGTCCCGGCGCTGACACCATGTCCGACGACGGTACTTTGGATGGAAACAATGATCACCTCATGGATCCGGTGTTGAACCCCCATCGACACGGGGTATCTTTTGCGAGCACCCCCCGTTCCCGACCTCGACCGCGAAGTCTACATGAGCTGCCCAGCTATCACGTCGAAATGCCACTGTTGCCTTTTGACCAGGTTCAGCATATCGGTCCGTGGACGCCGGGAGTGCCATTCACTCCTGAGGCTCGCGCCGCCCTTGCATCACCACATCTTAATTTGATCAATTCCGGACTCCAGTATCAATATGATGGGTTCGAGCCTCGATCACGGAGCCCCGCCTTCGATGTGAGTGGAGAGTATGTTGGCGAACGACCTGGGAGCTCGTCGCGTACTCCTTCACGGAGGCACACTATGGAAGCTGGGTCAAGCATTTTTGGTCCTCCACCAGTCCCGGTGCATGGTTTTGCAGAGAGCAGTTCGAGACCTGTCGAGCTCGGCCATTATTCGCACGATCCCAGAGCTAACTATTTCGGGATTGACGACATTCGACGGTTTGCACCATGGGGAAACGCCAGCGCATTCGCAGCAGACCCTCTAAGAAGACCCTTGGCCGGCATAGCTTTACGGACTCCTGCGGAAATACGACAGTCTTATCTCAGACCCGAACCTGATTTCAGCACATTTGATGCGAATCACGAAGCCATCATGGCCACAATCCCTGGCAGTAGTTCTGGTAGTCGGCATCCTTCCAGATCCAACAGCCCCCATGTGACCAGAGTCGACAGCCGGACTCGTTTGAGTAGTCTGTTAGCGCCACAGACTCGGAGCTATTCCTCGACGCCTCTCAGTCAAGCAGAAGGTGCTAGACGGAGCAGCCGAGACGGTCGGAGCCGAGAAAGACTGCGGATGGAAGAAGAGGGGCACCGACTAGCCATGCTACAAGCTCTTGCAGAAGCGGATGCCTCACAGCAATTACGGCCCGACTTAGCGCCTCTCGAGTCTGACTCCCATATTGACCTGCCGTTTCTACCACCAGAGTTGATGGAGCGGGTGGTTAGGCAACCCGGGAGCCAATCTGAAGGGGTGTCAGAAGCGCGCCCTGAGACGAGGCCTCCGACGCAAACCCGGGATCCTGACCATGACGTTACCATGACACAGTAGAAGACGAGCATGCACATGATTCACGTCGCTAGATGACATGTTGAATGAAGCGAAATCCCACTGCAGGGAAATTACAAGATAAGGCTTGTCCAGGGGGACATATTGTTTTATCATTCCTCAGCAGGCTCGCACCGTTGCGGGATATCAAGCATTTTCCAACGCCATCAGACGGCATTTTTCTCGAGCAAGCGAGGAGTTCGGTGTTACAGTGGCATAAGGTTAGCGGGTGGAAGGGTTTGGGCATGTTCTCCCGTCGACGCGAATGATGAGATTAAGACAAGCGAGCAGGCACGCGAGCAATGCATGAGCACTTTCGTTCAGGCGTTGAGAGGTCCACAAGCTGGCCGGAGTGAGATGCCAGAGTGGAAGGCGGCGAGACAAGACAGCGTTCTCCGTATCCCATTCAGTCAGAGTTAACATGGACATGACACATACCTTAGCTCCCTACCTAGTACCTTCCTAGATACCTCCGAGGTGGATATTGTTCTATCGTACAGTTCAGTTCAGTTCAGTCCGTTCCATGCAGCTAGCTCACTGTATAATGATCATTCTCGCCAATTTGAGCATCAAAGGAAATCTAGTTGGACTGAAAGAACTTAGCCAGCATGCTCACGGGATTCGGTGTAGACTTCTCTTTGGTTATCAGCAGTAAAGGAACAAATGTGACAGTGTAGAACGTTCTGTCAGGTGGTATTATACATTAATTGCGAGTATCTTCTATCAATCATAGGAGAAGCCATCTAATATGACAGCTTCTCCGTCTAGATCTCGAGTAGCCAGTCAAGGCTCGCTTCCGATCTTCTTTCTTCTCTTCTTCTCCTTTTTTCTTCTCAATCTCCCTAACCAATGCGAGACTAACATCCGATCCGACCAGGAACGAATGCAGTAAGTCTCTGGGAGCGAGGAATTGCCGACGTCTCAAGCCCCCGTCCGGTTCAGGCAGTGGCAGATGTTTGCCACCTCCGCTTTTTTCTTTGGTATTCAAAAACGCCGAAAAAACGCCGTCGCGCCAGGCTGAGGATCCACAAATAACAACAACCCGAAAAGGAGAAATGAGGACACCAAAACGTGCTTAAATAATGGGGACTGTATGCATGTGAGAGGGCAGAGGGTGTCCATGCATGTCGCATGGTCGCGTCCCCTAGTCTCTGTCGACTCGACGGATTTTGGATATGATGATAAATCCGGCGCTAGAGGGGCGAGCAGTCTGAGGATAGAGCGCCAAACGACGCATCATGAACCTGGGTCGTCAAGGGAGTCGGGCATGGAGATGGAGCATGTTGCTCGACACCAGCGTGTTTTGATGACTCTGTAGAGACTCTTTTGAGGGGTTCTTGTCGCATTTGTAGAGAATCGATCAGTCGTGTTTCTCTTGGGCCAAGGGTGAACCTCGATGATTGATTGATTGAGAGTGAATGCTCTTTGATTTAGTCACTCTTGGAAGAAACATGCGGGGTTGTTTTTGTTTGGTGCACATCTCTCGCGCTGCTTAGTCTTTGTTGAGCTTGGCCCGGACACGAGCTCCAAAGAAGTAGAACCCGAATGGAATGAAAACCATGCCGACGCCGATGAAGGCAAGGAGCCACGAGGCCCACTGCAGACCGAGAGTGTTGTACATCTGGGTGGTGAACAAGGGGAAAGCGGCACCACCGCCGGACCGCAAAAAGACCTTGGCGGCCAAAGCGGAGGCGGCGTATTTCTGGTACGAGTCGATGATGTAGTTGTTGACCGAGTAGTAGCAGAGAACCATGCCAAACCCGAAAGCGATTCCAGACGAGGCCTGGCCGACCCAGATAATGTGCTTGTAGGAGGTGGCGCCGAGAATGAACAGCGCGATCGGGATGAAGGGAGCGCCCCACATGGCACCGATCAGACGGTCTTCCGGAGTCGGGGCGCGCGCGAGACAGATCCTCCGGAACTGCTTCTCGAGGGTGGGCGTGGCCACCAGGGCGAAGGCGGCGCCGATCAAAATGGGAATGAACATCAGCCCGATCTGGCCGTCGTTGTAGTGGTGCAGCTTGGTGAAGATGACCGGGTAGGCGAAGAAGAAGGCGTACAGCATGGCGTAGATGAGCACAATGTACATGCACATCAGGTCCAACACGGGCTCGGTCAGGATCATGGTGATGGGTCGAATCAGACTGGTGCGGATGATTTCCTTCAGCGTCAGCTTGACCTTTTCCTGCTCGGTGATGATGTTCGGGTCGCCGGTCTCCTTCCTCAGCTTCTTGGCGCGGCGCTTCAGGATCACCGGCGCGTACGTTTCGGGCACCAGGGCAACGAGGACGGTGACGGCGCCCGCGAAGGCCAGGTTGGTCCAGAAAAACAGGTCGAGGCGCCCGCTGCCGACGTTGATCCAGCCGCACACGATGGGCCCGATGACGGGGCCACAGTAGGGCGCGGCCGCGAAGTAGGCAATGGCCATGCCGCGCTCCTCGAGGTTCCAGATATCAGCGATCGTGCCGCCCGCCAGAGCGAGACCCGAACTGGAGAAGACGCCGCAGATGAAGCGCGAGGCGAGAAGACCGCCAATGTTGGGCGACAGTGCGCAGGGGATGTTGAGGATGGTGTACATGCCCAGCGAGATGATGTAGACCGGCCGTCGGCCGATGATCTCGGATAGCGGCGACCACAGCAGAGGGCCGACGGCGAACCCGCAGACCATGATGGAGCAGGTCAGGATCGCCACTTCCAGCGATACGTTGTACTTGTCCTCGATCAGGCCCAGACCGCCCGTGACTATGGACGAGCCGTAAGCGATGCACACCACGAGCAGAGACGCAACCATGGTGATGTACCATCGGAAAGCGCGCGACCAGTTGTGCGGATTCTCAGGATCGCCGATCTTGAACGTCACAAACTCCTCGTCTTTCTCCGCGTGCTTTTCCAAATCGCCTTCCGACACATAGCTGAGTCGTCGTCCCAGTCGCGAAGGCACTGTCGATACTCTGGACCGGACCTGTTCTAATGTTCTGGCTGGCACGAGACCGGTCGCGGTTTCGAGCGTGTACTCTTCAGGGAACACCGGGTTTTCTGCCCGACCAAGTTCGGGGTAGTTGACGTCAGGCGCCGGCGGTGTCTCTGATACGCCCAATTCTTGTAGCGTCTCACGAGTCTCTGTTCGTTGGAGTCGCAAGTTATTGAAATCTTGATGTCCAGCTGTCCGCTCCCGGCTCGAAGCCCGGGAGGAGCCTGACGATGATATCGACTCTGGCATTGTTGTTGTTGTGATGATGATGATGATGATGGATGGATGGATGTCAGAAAGGGGAGAGATGGGTGTCTGTGATGTAGAGACAGTAATGCACGCTCAGCGAGTGTGAGCAGCAGTATATATGAATTTGTGTAAATAGGTGTAATATGTTCGAGTCTGAAGACTTCGACTTGCAGAGGGAAACGACAGCCAGAGAACAGTGCATGGTCCTTGTATTAATATATTGGATTTGGCTTTGGGTTTTCTTGTCACTCGCTTGCAACAAGGCTGACGGCCCCTGCACGGCGAGCCATCATTGGTCTAGGCCTGGCTGGCCGACCTTTCTCCGACACCGACCTCTGGCCGCGTGAATTCCTGTGCTGGCTCCACCGACCGTGTTACAGGGCGGTTTGGAACGTCAAATGTTAGGTCAGCGTCGCTAGTCCTCGTTGATCCAATGATAGACAGGCCAGAAGCGTCGGAGGTTTTCCCGGCCAAGCCACCACCTTGCAATGTTTATCCGGATCCTTTAGCCATTGGTCTGTATGCTATTGATATTCGACTTAGTGAGCCCTTCACTGAATCCAGCGTCGAGGGTTTGTCGAGTTATGTCCGATGCAATATCTGTGAGAAGAAAAGACTAGACCAGGATAAACGCCGAGTAATAAGCGAGAAGGAAGTAAGCGAGGCTATCACCGCCAGCTTGATATTGATGCAGAAGCTAGGAGAGGTGATCGTGATCGTGTCTGTCATTATTGCATCAGTATTCGGTCAGGTTGCGAGGATGAAAAGAAACGGCGTCGACTGGAGGGACACTGCATTGCACTGCGATACCTGATGTGCAATGGCTCTTCATCATGGCCTTTGTCGATCGTCTTGGCCGTCGCATGTTGAACGACAATCGACCGACCGAATCGAGGTCTGGAAGCATGTCGGTGGCCTGAGAGAGATTAGAGAATGAGAGAGATGAGGGAGATGGAAGCAGAGAGAAAATGATCAACGGGAATCAAAGCCGAGCTGGAGAAGCGCCTGATCCTTATGTAAGCAGCAGGCAGCTGATCATGTGACTTTACGGTGAGTGGTAAACTATGTAATGCAGTCTGCTTGCTCCGCCGTTTTCTGTATATCGTATTCATTTTCATCACCCTCATTCATCAATGTAAGCGCCCGGCTTTTACAACCTTTTCCACGTCTCTCCACTGTCCAGCCCCATCTACAAATGACAATCCAGACCAGGCCAGCAATACAAAAATACTCCCGCCTAACCAAAGCGCTTACTGGTCAATACCTGGATTGCTAATTATATCGAGCCGTATCTGGACTCTGCTCTCATGTCAACCTCCAACTATTGCAAGGTAGGTCGGTAATGTGCTGGTGATGGTTGCCTCCCTCAGTTAGAGATGCACATAAACCTTCGTCTGTCTCGGCTCGTGGGCATGATCGAAAGGATGGCCATCTCTTCTCGCTACGGGTGTCACTGTGCTCAGCACAATGTTGTCGTTGTTGGGTCGCGGTGATATTCGCCATAATTTGCTGCTGGTAGTGTGTCTAGCAACCTCCTACCTAGCCCAGGATGTCTCTTCGCAACTGGTTGGATGTGATGTTCTCGGATGTCAGAATGGCTGCCATTTGGGGAATGTCACCACCTCGTTTATCGGCACCACGTTCTTCAACACCACTGTATCGCCGGATGCGCCTCTTACATGGACCGTGGGAGCATCGACCCAGGAGAGCTCCAGCAATTCGACAGAGCTGGAGTTCGTCAAGAACTTCTACCTTGGGTATCCATCCTCGGCGAAAATTGCCAGCACATCGGAAATTGTGGGTTGTGCATTGTTCTTTGAAGGCATCGCAAAGAGCATTACACTCAACGGCACTCTTGAATACGGCCCCGTCACTTGCGGCCAGACACTTGGGGATGATTGTGTCAATGATCTTGTGTCGCAAGCCCAGCGACAGGTCAAGAGTCTTAGCGACCCCAGCGACAGCAACACCGCTTCCGTCTGCTTCACTTTACAGGCCAGACTGGAGGCACAACCGCCGGCCTCGTGTCGGTCTACGGCCACAGTGACCTGGGGGAATGTTGTCGCAAAAGGTAACCGTTGACAACAACTCGCCATTGATGTCCCTTGACTGATTTATTACCACAGAGATCTCTGGTGCCGGTGTGAGACTTGATCCGATCAAGCAAACAAGCTGTCATCCCTCCACTGGCGGCTCTGATTATGATATTGCTCTCGTTGAAGTGCAGACGGTTACATCAGAGGATGTGTCGAGTGACAACGCGCCATTCGCCTTCAGCATGACGCCTGTGCTGACCGTCTTTTTCAATTCATCCGGAGCAAATCCGGGATCCTCGGCCTTACCCGAAGCACATCTTTCCTGCCTCAAGGTCGTCCAGGATTCCTCCCTAACCCAGTCCACTACGAATACCGCCGCATCGTCGGTACCACGTTTGCCTTGTCTCATGGCGATGTCAGTACTTGCAATGAGTGCTGTTGCATTCGTCTGAACATGGGATACAAGTGTACCCAGACACAATCTGCGATTCGAAGGCCTCCCTCCACCAAGCACATGGCCCGGAACCGAAGGTTGAGGAGTCAACAACTGATCAAGATCCTGCTGTTGGCTGTCTGTGCACTTCATGTTCCAAATCCGGAAGTACACTCATCCAGACGGAGCAGACAACTCAGTGGTGACGTGGTAGCTGGAAGCCATGACTGCGGATGGATGGAGGATGTTCTCTGTGAGATCGGTGTCAAGGACTCGTTGATTGACACAAGCACTCTTGATCCCTGGTCAACTTGACACGAGGTAGACTCGACTCCGCCTCTCATGACTTACAAGATGGCAGTATATAGGTATATGAGTGCACCGCCAAGCCAGCTCTCCTGCAGATGCACCGAGGGTTGTCTGGCCGTAGTAAATAGCATTCTGACCACGCTCCAAGTGACGAGAACTCAGCGTTAAATGCTTGAAGGTTCCACCGTATATATTTGCATGTCTCCTCTCTATACTTCGCCGTTGATTTCTCCGAGCATCTGAGGTGCCATATGCGCTCGATGCATATCAGACCCCGACGACGTTCTCATCTGTCGATCAGCATAAGAGCCAATCCATCTATTCCTCGTCCGCTTGGGCGTGACGCGAACAGGAAGCGGACGTCACAATGTCGAGAACAACTCCTTCCGCCCTGTTCACCCGTCGAACGCTGAGAAGCCTCTGTCGGAACCCTACGATCGACTTCTTCTATTCCAAATCCCCGCCATCGAGACCCTTCACGCACAAGCCTTCTCTTTTACTCGTCGCCCGACCGTTCTCACGCCCGCAACTACCATTCCTCCATCCCATCTCCCGCACGAATATAGCACAGACCCAACTCGGCCGATTCATTTCGACGGAGCGAAAACAGCGGTGGAAAGCTCAACTATGGAGCCAACTCCGGTTTCACGCCTACCTGTGGCCATCGGTGCTACTAGCCGCCATTCTCTTGCTTGGAGTCCAACATACGAAACTGGAGAGGGACTACCCTACGCCTCGGGAATGGACGTTCTGGAGTCGTTGGATACTGCGGGATGCGAAATACACCGAGTTCGGCGAGCATTTGTTGACGGATTGGGAGAAGGCGGGCTACTTATACACGGAAGTCATCAGACGGCTTGAAAGCGAGAAATATGACGGGCAGAACTTGATCGAGGGTGAAGCGAGCATTCGAGGCTCGTTCGCGAATGCCGGGTTCGACATCAGCGCGAAGAGCGAGCCGTGGCGGCGCGGGTACTATGAAGCTTTGATGGGCGCTGGTCGTGCGGCGGAACATCTGGATGGGATGTGTAAGAGGAAAGGCCAGGTCAGGGGACGAGTGTATCCGCGTGAAAGTATTCCAGGCCCGGACAACCCACGACCGAAACCGCTTCCGTTTGACAAAAACAGAGGACATGAAAATGTGCCCACGGCGGACGAAGTCGAGGATGCTTTCCCGCCGCCCGAGAAATTCTATCTCAAGGTTCTCACCACGAACGGCTTCGATACCCGGCAGCGACTTGAAGCTGCAATGGCATATGCCGACTGGTGCGACTTCAAGGGTCTGACCGAGACCGCGGAAGAGACGTATCGCTGGGCCGTCGATATCGCCCAGGCAGGAGTGCCTGGTAGTGCAGCAGATGTTGTCGATATGAAGACTGGGGTCATCCACAAAGACAAAGAGGATGTCGTGACGGAGAACATCCTTAAAGTGTGTACCGCGCTGGGCGTGCACCATGCCAAAACGGGAGACGTCAAGCAGGCTCTCCCGATATTCCTGAGTGTGCTACGGGCCAGGAAGAGTCTGCCTCCTCCACCCTCATCAGGGCCACTGGACCCAACGGTGAGCGGCAGCACGAACACCCCCAAAGGTCAGGAACAGAAAGATCAAGGAATCTGGCCATACGTGCATGCCTTGAAAGACCTGATCATCGAACGACCCTACCCTCCGGCCCCCTCGAGCGGCAACGAACGACCGTTTCACACTCTGAAGGAGGCATGCGAAGAGGTCGGCTTAATGACCTATATCGGCGAGATCCTCTTCGCCACCAGCGACAGCGAGCGGGAAAAGGGGCTCAGCTGGACCCGCGACAGCGTCGAAGCCGCCGAGGCCGTCATGTGGGTCATGGACGAACGCAAGGAAGACGACGGCAAGGAACGGTGTCGCGAGTGTCTCGAGACCGGCCTGCAGAACTGGAAGGCCATGGCTCGTCAGATGAGTCGACTCGCTGCCCAGAAGGAACACGAGCTTGCAGATGCCTCTGGCGGGTCTGGAAGCGGAAGCGGACTGTTGGGGTCGTTGGGTTTCGGATGGGGACTAGGGCTAGGCAAGGCGAAACAATTGGAACAGCTGCGTCAGGAGAAACAGAGGTGGGAGGAGGAGAACATGCAGATCGAGTTGCGCAAGGAGAAGACTTTGCCTCTGACGCAGCCCCTCAAGCCGGTGTCGAGAGGCTGGATGGCCACTTCTTGGTGAAACTGAAGAGCAGGGCACGGTGAGAATGGAATGGCTGAAAATAAGATGCTTGAATTCTGCTGGTGGTTCACCATTCATGAATGACATGGTGCCGCCTACCGCGAGCATCATGAACATGAACAAATCGTTGGCGTGTTTGTGGATCTGGATCTGGTATTTCATGAGCGGAAAAGCTTGCTCTTCTCATGTGTTGTTGTAACGATGATTGATTTCGGAGAATACTATATGCCTGTTCTTCGACATCAACAAGGCTGTTCCCGGAACGGCATCTTCTTGCCCTGTGCGGAATGAACGAAGCGCACAAATGATATATCTATTCTCTCATCTTGAAGCAATTTTGAGGGAGTAAAACCAGACTCTGCTGAGCCAAAATGAATATATCAATATCAATATCAATCCAAGGTTCCTGTCGGTCAGTACTTTAGTTATCCTTGATAAAACATTGTGATATCCAAGATTCCATTGATGTACCCTAGATACCTAATTAGTAAGGCCATCATCTCCTGGTTGGCTTCTCCATCTCCATATCCATCCATCTCACCTTCGACTTATATTCTCCTCGTGTGGCATCTTCGAATATTTTCTCGAATATATCCCTGGATATACCATCCCAATCACAATAACAAAGGATGAAACCGGTTCGGTGTTTACTACTCAAAGATCTCATTCACGACAAGAGCCGAGCAGGCCAATATAGAGAGATATAACACTCATCCCCCGACGCCCACATGGAGAGTTGGACTGGACTCTTGTCTGCTCCTGTCCAGTCTTTCCCAGCCTCAGTAACGAGCTTTCTCTTTTCTCTTTTCTCTTTTCTCTTTTCCCTTTTCCCTTTTCCCTTTTCCCTTCCTTCCCTTTCTTTTTTCTCTCTTTTAGCCTAGAGATTCCATCCTTTCCAGCTTCGACACTGGCCGCGTAACCCTCCACCGACTTGCCCCAAACTCGGTCGATGTATTGTATTTGGGGGTATTCCCCTTATGGTCCAAAGAGAGTTCTTTCTCCTTCTGTTCGTTGTCTTTCCTTTCCAGGCCACCGGTAATGAAAATCCTGTCTCAAGTCTTATATCGGTGGTAGAGACGACGGGTGGACCTGATGTTGGAACTTGACGTTCAGGTTGACCGGTACATTGGAGCAGGGCTGCAGGGGTAAAGGACGCTTGAGCCGGGGTTCAGTTTGGGTTCAATGGACGTCGTAAACTAATGACTGTAAGGATTGACCCCATGACTGTAAGAATTGATCCCATGACTGAAGGCGTTTGGGGGATGTGTGTAGGAAGGAAAAGGAACTGGCACTTGGTCTGTATCGAGGAGGTAAGGATGGTAGGGTAGGGTAGGATAGATATGGTTAGTAGATTCGATAGACAGATGGAGAGGTTGGCAAGTATAGGTATCTATAGAGGTCCCAATGTCCGATGCAGAGTCTGCATCATCAATGAAGTTGTGTTTGATTCTTTGCTCCAAGACGGATTCTGTATGTGCTACTTTTCAAGGCCTCCATAGATGGATTCCGATCTTTCCAGCTTCGACACTCGCACGTAACCTGACTGGAATGGCTGATTGACTCGGGATCAGGAATCAGGATCACTGCTCACCCGACCAGAGTCCATGCCGGATGTTGGCCTCGGTTTCTTTAGATCTCTCCGAGCTGGCGAATGGAGGATACGCAAAACGCAAACCGCAAACCGCGGAATACCTTGACAAGATCATCGAGGTCTCCTTGGGCTCATCATGTCTGTTCGATCAAAGAGGTAGTTCCAAACTTGGAAAATAGACATAGACGGGACGTGAATTGTGGAGCGTGGAACGTGGCACAAACAACTCAATTGTCTGTAACTCGTGTCAAGCTCAAGCTTAAGCTCAAGCTTTTCTCTTCAAAGCCACCCCCGCTGCACTGATTCTAGCCCAGACCAACAAGAAGGCGGTGATGAAAATGGCGACGCCGCTGAACAGCTGCACGCCCAACCAACTGCCGGTGTTGTTCAAGATGGCGCCCGAGACCGGGGTGCCGACCAACAACCCAAAAGCGCTAATGAAGAAACACTGGCCCATGCGGGTACCCAGCTTGCGCATGTCTTTGGTCAAGGAGACGACAGCGACAGGCGGCATGGACACAATGGCGCCAGAAGAGAGACCATAGACAATGACAAAGACGACGATGCCGGCGAGACTGTGGACGGCCATCCAGACAATAGCCAGCATGGCGGTGACGACAGTACAGGGGATCAAGACGTTCAACGGGCCGGCCAGGTCGGCGATGTAATTCGGCACGATGCGGCCGGGGATACTGGCGGCGTTGAGGATCGGAAGAAGGTAAAAGCCCAGATCGACGGAGGTGATGCGCTTCTGGATGGCGTACTGCTGGATATAGTACACGGGTCCGTAGAAGCCGATGAAGGCGAAGAACATGGCGACGCAGAACAGCGTGTACGGCAGTTCCTTGAAGGCCGCGAAGTCGGTCAGATGGCGTTTGTGCGTGGGCGTGGCGCGCGGCCGCATCACCAGCACCGAGAACCAGACCGTGGCCAGCGACAGGAAGCCCAGGATGCGCGTCGCCCAGCCGAACCCCAGCTGCTGCTCGACGCGGCGGAACACGATCGGGAAGATGACGCCGCCGAAGGACGAGCCTGAGGCTGCAATCCCGCTGGCCAGCGCCTTCTTGCTCGAGAAGTACTGCGGCAGGATCGCCACTGATGGGATGAACAGACATCCGTTGCCCAGTCCGATGCAGAACGCCTGCGCCAGCATCGTCTGCCAGTACTCTTTGGCGAGGGAGGTCATCATGAACCCGAATGGGATCAGCGTCGCGCCGGAGATGATCAGGGCCCGGAAATACCCTGCGTCGTAGGCCGGGCCAGTCACGACCCCGATCATCAGGAGGAGAAACGCCTGAATGGATCCGATCCACGAAATGTTGCTGGGCGTCTGGTGCCAGAGCGGGTTGTTCTCGTAGTATGTCTGAAACACGCCGAATGCGTTGACGGTTCCCCTACAGGTGAGGAGAGGGTGAGTTTAGTTTGGAGGGAAAGACGTCGAGATGTAACAATGCTTACCAGCTGTTGAAGAAGAGAAAGAATGACCCCAGGACTTGGAGCCAGGCTCGAAATCCTCCGTCGGGAGGAGCCCCGGGGTCGTCGTGTGCATTTGCGGCCTCGTCAGTGGGAAAGGAAGGCTCTTTGTCGGCGTCAATGTCGATGTTGGCTTCGGCGTCCAGAGCTTGATCGAGAGAAGACTGCGTCCGTACGGGCACCAGTCTGGTTGCGGGAGAGTTGCGGTTGACTTGGACTTCCTTCTCGGTGTCGTCCTCGACGATCGTGGACGAACTCATGGCTGATGGCCGGGAGAGGCGCGGTCAATGAGCGAGCGCGTTGGAGATGACCTCTGTTAGATATCCGACTGTATTTCCCACAGAACACGACCAGGCTGGGTGTTGTGTGGTTGGAGGCGCGTCTCTCTCCCCCCCAATTCTGGTCTAGCCGTCAAGAGATCTTGCAGTCGGATGCGGAGAGCATGTCAGTCAGTCGCCAGCATTGAGATCACACAGAAAAATGAGGAGAGACTGAAACAGAAATAGAAATAGAAATAAAATTGTCGTCGTGCATGGACCGGCAATATGACTACGTAGTCTGTCATGGGGAGGAAGGAGAGAACAGGAGGTAGATGGATATTTAACGAGAATCTCGTACTTGACCGTTGTTCGACACAATCCAAATGGTATGATGGATTCGTACACAAAGAGGAGAAAATGGAGAATGGAGGCCTGGATTGACTGGACTGACTGGACAGAGGACGGACGGATCCCTTGAATCTCTGATGCTTGTCTGTGCCGAATATCCGGGGAAGTTGGTGGAGTTCATTCTGACAGCGACACCGGCCGTTCTCCTGAAAGATAAGATGGGAAGAGTGATTGAATATCTCTGGTAAGATGTCTTGTCAAAGGAGAGAAGGTCATTTGGTTGTACGATGATGATAGATTCATATTGTATATATATGTGTGGTCCCCCAGCTAGACGGCCAGTGTCTTGTATACGTCGTGTTGTATCCAATTGGTAGACTGTCTGTTCTAACGCACCAGATACCGACGCATTACTCCTTCAACCTATAATCTGTCAGTCTGTCAGCTGCCGCTCTCTCAGCTAGAGTTCTCTAGATCTACATTTCCGACCAATGTCTCCCGTCTCTCTTGTTGATGCTCACGGTATCTTCGACACCCGGGACAACTCAGTATATTGTGTGTTCTCGGCGGCGGGTTCTCGGGCATTGCATTAATGGCCTCCAACATCCACACCAAACGTTCTAGGGTCATGGCAGCAGGAATGCCGTCGGGAAAGAACTGATCAAACGACATCTGAACCGGCTCATGCTCCAAGTCGGCCAGAGCGACGGTAGGATCGGAGTCAAACACGTATCTGGAGTGGAGGGTGATCATCCAATTGATATCTTTGATTTGTCGGCGGGTGAAGTTGCGCTGCGTGCCAAAGACGGCGTTACGCTGCAGATCGTGGATTCCAGTGCGATACATGGGGATGACAGCGGTGGCGTAGTAGTCACACCAATAGTAGAGCTGGGTGCGTCGGAGCTGTGCTGCAGTCTTAGCTGACAGGGCTTCCAGACGAAAGTTCAGCCACGTGTGCCATTTGTTCTCGTCGCTCATGATGAACGAGTCCGAGTCCCAATTGAGCCCGAAGTCGGTGTGCGAGCGGGCCAGTCTGGGCAGCTGTTCCATCAGGCCTTGCAAGGCTGGGCCGGCTGCTGCGAGACCGAGAGCGCCGACTTCACGAGGCAGTTCGACGGCCAGGGAACGAGCGTGGCGTATGCGGCGGAACGGCATCATCAACACCATCAGGTCACCCTCCTGGAAACTCAGCGCGTAGATGTTGTCTCGGTTACGGGACAGTAGATGGTCGGCCCGCGGCCCATGGATGCTATGCTGGAATCCTTTTCTGTCTCCGGGGCCGGTGCATGTCCATCCTGATCCGGCGAACCGAAGATGCACATGCGGTAAGTTGAGGCTGGTGTTGCATCGGGCAGGGAAGATGTCGTGTGGTCCTCGAGGCACCGCTCCACGTTCGGCCCATTGGGGTAGCAGCCAATCCAGAAACCGAGTGACTTGTTGGTATCCCTGGATTAGCTGCCCTGGGTCTCCGGCGTCGGGACAGTGGACGTTGATGTGGATGGCCTTGAATCGTTCAAAAGGGATCGCTGGTGTCTCGTCCAAGTCTCGAGCATGATGAGAACGAAGGTCGATAGATGTGATATGTGTGGAATCCGACCCTCCTGACGACGACGACCCGTGTACAGACACCGCAGGCATCTCGGGGCCGACATTCAGATCAAAGATCAGCACATAGTCTTCGTATTGGTAGTGGTCGAGTTCGTGGTGGATGGCACGACTGGCACGAGTCAGCGCTGGAGCAGAGCGTTGTCTCACACACTCTTGGTATATCTTTTCTCGGAGCTCACCTGACAATCGTCCCAAGTCTCCCCATGGAGTAGAAGCCGTAGAGGGATCCATCTGTCTGTCGTGCACGCTGTGCAGGAGATTTGTTGTTGTGGAGGTGATGGTGAAGATGGGCGACGAAGGGATGAACACAGATGGAGAAGATATAAGATAGATATATTCTTTCAGGGAAGATGTACAAGGCCCTGAGGACTGTACGAGCGACTTGAGTGTCCAGACAATGGATATTGTCTCTCCATAGCCCAGTTGTTCTTGGGCAGTGGGAGTAACAATGGCATTCTGCTACCGTCTTTGTGGCCAGGACACCACAAAGGGAGATCGGAGACATACCTTTGTGTATACCAAGACAGACAGGACAAGACAATGACTGCCAGTGCTCTGACCTTGTTTGTCTTTCTTGAGATCTTTGTGACATGTTTGTTCATCTTCCTTCAGCTTGACCAACAACCTGACAGCTTTTGAATGAAATGGATCTACACAGATATGACTGAATATCAACAGCGACTGACCAGACAGATCCTACCTCAAGAAGAAACAACGACAGCAGCATCAATGAATGCATATGATATGATATATGACAATCTTCGAAAACCCAATAAATTCCCCCAGAATAGAATCGGCCATAAACACCGCCCGCCGAAGTTCGATTAACCCACAAGTTCCCAATCGTTCAAGAGTTTCCTAGTTCAAGTGTCTCTCTCACCAGACCTCCGACAGCTGTTTAAACAGCATTAGGATGAACTACAAGAACATTGCGTCAGCATATTGAGTCATCGAAAGAGTCATAGACAGGGGGGCGATGAGAGGGAAAGAGATTCATCAAGCCTTACCTTCAACGATGGCAGGTCCGAACAAGACGGACGTGGCGGCCAGGGTCTTCTCGTTGTCGGCGCTGGTGATGAAGACATACGACTGACCCTGGGCGATGGCCGGGATGGTGACGGTGATGCTGTCGCCATTGATCTCGCCCTGGACACTGACGACGTCGAGGCCGGACAGGAAGGTGACGTACGAGCCGGCCGGAATGGACCCGGCGGCGGTCAGCACGATCGAAGCTCCAGCCGCCGGTGGCGCGCAGTCCTCATACGGCGACGGGGTGGGGGTCGCGGTGCTTTCGGTGTATGTGTGGGTTGGGTTGGAGGTCTCGTGGGCGGCATCCGTTGTCTTGGTGACCATCTCGGTACCAGATCCGGAGCCTGAGCCAGAGCCTGAGCCGGAACCTGCGCCGGAGCCGGAGCCGGAGCCCGATCCTGAACCTGATCCTGAGCCCGATCCTGAGCCCGAGCCCGAGACTGCGGAGCATGAAGCTGATGCTTCACCGGCGCCATGAGCACCCTCACCTCCCTCGGACTCGGAGCCCCAGTTGGCCCAAGACTCGGATCGACGTTTGATGGCCGCGCTCGGAGAACAATCCGGGCCCTCGCAGGTGCAGCTCGCCGTCGCATTGTAGGCCAAGGCGGGGAATGGCACGAAGGGCAACGCCGGGTTCTCCGGTGGGCAGGAAGTGATGAAGCCCGCGGCCAGAGTAAACACCGAGGTGGGGTCCAGAGGCTGTTCCGCCCCGGTTAGTCACAAGCTTCATGGGGATAGCCATCTTCCCTGGTTCAATCTTACAGTTCCATATGGGTTTGCCATGGGGACCTCGCCGATGGCAGCGCGCTGATACGAGGTATGCAGGGCTTCGGTCACCAGAATGGAGCCGGCGACGGTGAGGTAACCCTTGTCCGTGATCAACGGGGCGCCCGCAAGGTAGGCCGATGTTCCGACACCCTCAATGACCGAGGACAGAGTGATGAAGGAGCGCCTAGGGATCGAATCAGCCATCACCGGTTCGAACCGTCCATCGTGAAAGATCAATAAATGCTTACACATCCGTGTACGGAAAGCTGTACTGGCAAGGGACGACGGGTGTAACGCCTGCGGCAGAGAGAGCGCCCGAGAGGAGCGTGACGTGCGATTGCTCATCGGAGGCGATGTACTTAAGGTTGTCGTAATAAGTCTCCGAGTAGCCAGCCTCCTCGAAGTCGTGCAAGCTGAACTTTTCGAGGACACCCTTGTAGAATGCGTTCTCAAGATGCTCGAGCTATACATAGCAAGTCTGTCAGTGACTGCGTTTCCACAACCAGGTCGATGGATTCAATTCGTACCGTCAATGCAAACTGCAGGATGGTAGGATCAATATTGGTCGACTGCCTTGGTGTAAGGAACGCCGGCATGGCGGCGACGCTGGCTGCCCAAAGACTGCTTGCCATGATTGAGTGCCTCATCTTGACGGTCGAGAGGATCTGATGACAGAGTACTAGTAGGTGTGCTGTGTGTGGAAGGGAGTGGACAGAGACTCTATGTAGAGCTCCAGATACAATGAAGGCAAACGAGCGTCGGATATTGAAAGAGAGACTGACTGCTGCTGTGCTTGCTGTTTCTACCTCCTGGGGCCGGGCGGGCTGCGACCAGTTTATATATCTCACCCATCGACCTTTGAGCGTGCATCAGCCAAGTTGAGCATCGTGATGACAATTTGGACTGACCATTGTCTCAAGACGGGAAAGACAGATCTGAACGTTATGCCAATCCCCCGGCTGTCTGCTTCCTACGGGGACTGACCTATCATGCTCCGCACAAGCGTGAGGCTTGGCCGATCGAGGTCGCCATTGGAGCGCACATGGCCTCTTTCAGCACGGGTGGGGAATTGTTCCCAATTTGGCGTGATGGACTTGAAGCATTCGTCGACGAGGGTTTTCAGAAAGGGCAGAGAACAACAAACTCGACCCAAAGCAGCGGTGAAGGCCATCAATTGTGTCATGACTCTGAACTCGGACGAAGATTCCAAGGGCGCAAATTGTCACCCGCGGGTCGTTTTTGCGCTGAGAGCCATCATGTGCCCGTGCCCCGGGGGTTGAGCAATGGGATTTTCGGGACTCGAAGGCTCGAAGCCATAACGTTAGGCATTCCTGACCGTTGATCCCCCGCATCGGCGCATAGACACTCGCGCACTAAGATTGTTGACAGAAATCGATCTGTCGTGCAGGTGCCAGTCGCTAGTCTGAATCTCCAATGATGGAATTTGCGCCTCCCCCCTTGCTCTGACACTCTGCTACTTCCCCCGCAACAGTTCATTCTCGTTCGTCGTGGAAGTGACGTCTCCTGATTTGCCAAAAGGCAGAGGAGTGATGGAAGGCTTGCTGTGGAAGCAGGGAACAAACACAGGATGCGGACTCGGAGCGAGGGCGCACCTCCAACTTGCCAGTCATGCAGTGGGTTTCAGTAGGTAGGAGGTGTTCCGAATTAACAGGTTTGGCGCGTATCGAGGACATCAAAAGTGACAATGCCACGGCGGGTGTCAAGATCTGTGATGACTTTGCCCCCGATTGGGAGCAAGATGACGCCGCCTTATGCTGTGGCAGGCAGCACTACTAGTAGCGAGTATAGATTACTAAAGGTGGTTAGTGTCTAGTGAATTACTAGTATGAGGCTGGAGCCGGGATCCAACCAACGCCGCCGCTCCAACCAGACTAAGAAAAGTTCGCTACTAGTAATAGCAGCCGCCCTCCTCCTCCTCCTCCCCCAACTTGAAGGACAAGGACTATCTACCAACCAGCTTGTGTCGAACTTTCGAGCCTTGCGCTCTCTTCCAACCATCCATTGGCTCTCAATGCACGACTGCATTGTATGCAGTTTGCCGCGAAAGACAGAAATAGAGTCATACTCCTTGACTGAACACCCTCTGCTCGTCCCCGACCACCGATCAGCGTCCCCGGCCTGGTCCTCGGCCTTCAGCGTCGGCCGTTCATGAACAATGTACTGGATGAAGACGACTCTCTCGTTCTCTGAGCGGCTGGCTTGGTCGTGGTCAAGCAGGCTCTGTCTGTGGCATCTGCCGCTGACCGCTGACCGGTGAACGTCGACCGATGTTGTGAGCCTTCCAAACTGGCATCAAAGCACGGTAACGAAGGGGTTGTACGTCAGAAAATGCCCGATCTCGAGACCGAAAACATACATACCTACATACATAGGTAAAGGCAAGGTAGGTTGTGGACAAGAGAGAAAACTCTACTGAAATCTTTCTTGAATAATTGTGCTCTTGTTGTCTTTCTTTTCCCTCATCCTCGTTCCTATCATCCCATCATCCCTTCCTCTATCTTGACGGTGGTCGTGTTGGTTTCTTTTACTTGTATTAATCTTCTGGATTCATCTCACCGCGCTGGTCGCTGGTCGCCCTTCGTCGATCCTTCTCGTCTCCAACCAAACCACTGGACCCAACGACTCTGATCAACTCCTCAGCTCAGCTCAGCTCAGAGCCAACTGCTGAGAATCGAATACTTCGTCTCCTACCGAATTCAACCATCATTCTCATATCTGCCTGTCCAATGTCGCCCACAATGAAAATCACCACCCGCCGAGTCACGACGGGCGAGATCTTCCCCATCTCCCAGCCTCAATCTCAATCTCAATCTCAGTCTCAACGACAAGACCAACCGTCCAAACCCTATCGTCCACAAAGCCCGGCCTTACATCGCCTCTCCAAGTTCCGCACCATCGTCTTCCCCATGCTCATTGTGCTCGTCTTCACCAGCCTCGTCCTCGGCGCCATCTACGCGTACTGCGTGGCCAATCCGCACACCGAGATCGCCGACCGTCTGGCGCAGAACAGCACAGCCGAAATCGAGGGGTCACTGTTTGGAAAACGACGACCATCGATGTTGTCGCCAGTGAGCATCTCCTCCGGCATAATAACACCTCGTTCAGCATCCACCGATGACGATTCACAATCCACTGAACCGGCAGCAACAATAACAGCAACAACAGATTCAACTTCAGCAACAACAGGAGGCTCTTCTTCTTCTTCTTCTTCTTCTTCTTCACCTTCAAGTCTAGCATTACTCTTCTACACATTCACCACTCCCGGAATAAGTCTCTTCCATCTATCCATGGAAATCCTCATCCACCATCACACACCGCACCACCTGACCCTACGAAGAACATACCTCGCCATCATGACCCTCTCTTCATTTCTCGTGGCAGGCTGGATCACCACCCTTGGATTCTGGATGCACTGCGAACTAGGGCCTACGTTGCATAATCAACATGATTCCGGTCCTACTTCCAGCTCCACGTTCAGACATATCCAAGCCCAGGCTGCAATCTGTCCCGTCCAGGTTCGCGGGCATTTCATGTACGGGATCCACGAAGTGAGTATTTCCAAAGCCGTGGTCGGCGGGATCATTGTGCTGGTCTACGTGTGTCATGTCGTGCTATTGGGTATGGGATTCAAAGCTCAGCGCCGGGTGTGGAGACTGGTTGGTATTGGTGGCGGAGGAGGGTTGGAGCATGGAGAGGCTAGTGAGATTGTGATTCGGGTTGAAGAAGATGAAGAAGAAGATGGACAAGGACATGGACGTGAGTATGAGTATGGAGAGATGATAAAGTCGTAAAGACTCGGGAGATATCTTTGGAGATCAGAGAAGGAGGAAATGCTTCTCAGCAAGACCTGAGCAGGGGGTGAGTGAGTGAGTGAGTGAGTGAGAACATGGACTTTGTATGGCTACACTACCGTCCATTTTGAGCTGGATCTACCGCAAGGCCGGAGCTTGCTTGACATGAACATGTTCTATTAGATGATGTGGATTGGATGCGGAAGAAAAGGGAAGGGATCAATCAGCCTAATGCTCATATCAGGTTGTGGATGGGGGACTACCTACCTGGGTAGATGGAGTAGGTATGATTATATGATATGACAGATTGAAAACGATAAGGCTTTTTGTATCCTCTGTGGAGGGGGATGTAGACCAGCTCTGGCTCTGGCTCTTTGCACAAGACAGATTGGGGCCCTTTCGAGCTTGAAAAGGGGGGAGAGGGGATGGGCAGGTTGAAGGCGATATCATAACCCGGCCACGACAACGGCGGGTGTCTCATCAAGCGAGAGATCGGCATATACACTGGCATGATATAATACATCACACAACGACCTTGACTTGAATTTCCTTCGGGGCTCTGGTATTGTATCTCTAAATCATTCCATTCCAAAAGTCCAAGTGTGTTCTTGTTCTTCAATTCGCTTCAAGTGGGACGAACTCTCATGCTCATGAGAGATGCATGCCCCCATCGGTCTAGTCAACCGACAAGTAACCACAGTGCCACATCCTCTGTTGTCCTTCAAACACTGTAATTGATTGATGATACATACCACCATTTCTCCCTCCATAGCAAACCATCTCCACAATTCAGGCCTTGACCTTCTTGCCCTCTTCTTTGGCTGCCGGTTGAATCCGAGCCATCATCTCCTCGCGTTGCATGAGATGGCCGACGCGCTCCAGGAGCCCCAGGAGTCCTCTCATGCTGGATCCCCATTCATCCAAGATCTCCTCGGGGCCGCGCTTCACCTCGAAACTGACCACTCTCGCGGGCCGGTCAATACGTGCGTAGACCGTCTTCTTGGTCACCAGGTCGGAGATATATTTCTCGGTTTCGTCTTCAGACAGGTCCAAAAGTTCGGTGAGACGGGGGAAGGTGATGCGGGTGTAGTATTTGGCGATGACTCGAACGTTGTGTTCGATCACGCGGTGGCGGAGGGCGTCGTAGCGTGTCTGCGCTTTAGGATCGCTCGGGTCGGCGGTCTTGGAAAATATATCGGTCGAGCAGAGGTGCTCGCCGTACTGTTGCTCGATCATAGGCCAGCGCATCAATTCGGGGATGGTGAATTGTTTGAGCAGCGCCGCGTCTTTCGGCACTTCGGCGTTACGGCTGTCTTGTGCAATCCGGTGGAGGAGATCGGATTGTTCATTGTCGTAAGGGGCCAGAAGGACGAAATAGATGACTCTCTGCAGAACGGCACGCAGTTGGTCGGGGTTGTTCTCGACGGATTCTGTATCCAGGACCTGTCGGTAATGTTTGCAGACTTCGAGGTATTTGTCTTCATGTTTCGCCAGCGTGATTTGTTGTTCGTAGAAGCGCAGTTTGAGGTCGGTCACGTCGTCTTCCTTCTCCGGCGGAGGCTCGTCGGCAGACCTGGTCTTCTCCTTTTCTTCCCGCGCCTTCTTGTCCTTCTCCAACTGTTCCGGTGTCTTCTTGGGTTTCCGGGCGAAATACCTCGTGCTGATCTTTCGGCTGAGAATGCTCGCTTGTGTCCAGTCGCCGTTTTGTATACATAGGTCCACCTGCTCGAGGATGAATTCCGTCTTTTCTCTCCGCGTCATCGACCCAAAAGTCTCGACTTGAAGTTCGCAGAGGATGTCACACGCCGATTTGATGTCGCCTTGCTCCTTCTTGATGTTGGACAGTATCCGGGTGATTCTAGCACGCTCGACTTCGACGAAGATCTAGTCCCTGGTCAATAGGGCGTTGCCAGAAGAATGGAATTCACGAACCTTGCCCTCAGTCACCGTCCGTAAGGCCTCAATGACGGTGAGTTTGATATCCAAGTTTGGCGTGTCGTCAAGGAATCCCATGACAACCTGCACCATATTGGTAATCGCTTGTTTGAGCTGTCCATGTTTCTTGGATAGCAGTTGGACTTGCTCGTTGAGTAGACTCCAATCTCCAGCCTCTTTACATAATGTAACGATTGTAACTAAGCATCGAGATGTCGTGGCGAGATCTGATGACTGTGGTGTTGGTTAGTGAGACTGTCGAAGCGCATCATTGGGAGAGGTGGCATACCTGTCTGGCTTGTTTTTCGAGAGGGATGATCTTGTCAATCGCCTTCTGCAGATCTTTCTACACACGAGTCAGCGGCGAGGTCCTTGAGAGAGAGAGAGAGCACCTTGTACCTTTGCTAGAGCCTCCGCCTCTGGCAGCACCTTGTCCGCCTCTTTCGTGAAGTCCTTCTCCGCCTTGAACAGAGTGCCGTCCGACATGATGGCGGTAGTACAATCGACGGCTGAAGGAGTGGCAGTTGAATTACAGGAGAGAAGGCAACAATTCTGGAGGGAGCAAGGAGGTTGGAGTTGGCCCGATGAGAATGTTTGAAGGAGTTAGACGTCGATGGTTCATTAATTACAAGTTGTCCGCTGTCCTGATGATGAGCTCAAACGGCGCAGGCGTTGGAGATGCAGTGCAGCGACTTGACGCGTTGCTTGGCGCCTGATGCACTGCAGTCCGTAATAAAGATCCCTACATCCCCTACTCCTATTTGCCAGCCTCGCGCAGAGACTCCTATAGACGGCACAGTATACTCCACGATATATACCACACCAGGCATCTGCACACATCCTCTGTGCCTTTTACGGCCATCTTCCCCGGCATAGATTTTATTCAGACCAAAAATTATCGGCTCGTAACTCCAGCAAATATTCCCATTCTTTCAGCCACCGATAGCCAACCATCCGAGATCTATCCAGCCTTGCCTGCACTCATCATGTGTCCTCTGATCAACACAATGGAGCTCTGTTTACACGCTACCCAAGAACCCCTGGGATTCCAGCATCAGGACGATCTCGTGCACGATACTTCGCACAGTCTGCTTCTCACAGTCGACAGTCAGGTCCGCATCCTTAGGAGCCTCGTACGGGTCATTAACACCGGTGAAGTTCTTGATCGAGTTCCTCCGGGCTCGCGCATAGACACCACGCTTATCCGTCTTCTCGCAGTATTCGAGGCTGGTGGCGACATGGACCAAGAAGAAACTGCCGTATTTCTGCACTGTTTCCCGGGCGTCCTTTCGAGCCGCATCAAACGGTGCAATTGGCGCAGCAATGACGGCTGCACCAGCCTTGGTCAGCTCAGCGGCGACAAAGGCGATACGGGCAATGTTAGTGTCCCGATCTTCCCGCGTGAAACCCAGCTCGGACGACAGCTCGTGCCTGACAGTTTCACCCAGTAGCAGTGATACAGGGCGACCACCCTGTTCGTTGAATGTGACCTGCAGCGCTCGAGCGACAGCATCCTTGCCGGAGTTCTGGTAACCCGTCAGGAAAATCGTGAATCCCTGTTTGGCACGGGGAGGATGCGCCTCTCTCAGCACCCTGACGACTTCTGCGTACGAGAACCATTCTGGGATGGGTGCGCCAACCCGGAGACGTCGTCGAAGCTCGGTACCGGAGATATCCAGGGTCTTGACACCAGCAGCGACCTCATCCTTGGGCTTGTATTCGTCGGTGTCAGGGAGATAGGTCATCATCTGAAACTCGACGACTTCAATGCCCAGCTCGTCACGGTATTTCTCCACCGCATATTGAGCATCATATGGACCGTAGAAGTCCTTGCCGGCGCTGTTCTTGCCAGGGCCGGCATGATCTCGTCCAATGATGAAATGAGTGGCACCGTGGTTCTTTCGAATGATTGCGTGCCAGATGGCTTCACGAGGACCACCCATACGCATGGCCAACCCAAGCAACCCTAGCACGGCCATCCCGTTAGGATATCTCGGCATGAGCGCCTCGTAGACACGGACACGGGTGAAGTGATCAATATCACCAGGCTTGGTCAAGCCCACCACAGGGTGAATGAGAACATTGGCCTGGCGGGCACGAGCTGCACGCACTGTCAGCTCACGGTGAGCCCTGTGCATGGGGTTCCGGGTCTGGAAAGCCACCACCCGGGCCCATCCAAGCTTCTCAAAGTGTAACCGCAGTTCTGCGGGGGTGTATCGTAGAGCAACATAATCGTAGTGGTTGAGTCGGTTGACGGCCTCGACCTTGCCTCCAATGTAGAACTCCGCGGTGCTCTCCATAAGATATTTAATGGCTGGGTGCTCCGGGTCCCCACCAAACACCTCTTGCGCCTCCTTCTGCTTGTCAGGTCGGTAAACATCGTCCACTGTCAGGATCGCAAGGTTACGGTCGTCTCTGAAGTCTCGTAGAGTGAGCCGGGAGCCTGGCTTGATCTTCAAGCTCTCCACGCTCTCTCCAGAGGCATCCAAGCAGATAGGCATGCTGAAAAGCGCTCCACTAGCCAGTCTGAGGTTCTCGACAACTCCATTGTAATCCTTCTCGTTCATGAAACCCTCCAGTGGGGAGAAGCCACCGTTCATAATGAGTTCGAGATCGCACAATTGGCGCTCGTTGAGGATGATCGCGGGAAGCCGGTCGGATTCCTCGACCAGCTGAGCATGACGAGGGGCATCTCGAGCAATGAGATCCTTCAGGATTCCGCCATGAGGTGGGTTGGCCATGGTGGTGGTATATTAGGTGAGTTGTGGGAGGCTCCAATGGTATCGGTTGGTATGCGGAGACCAGGTCTAAGAAAGATGCGGGCAGTGTGAAGGAAGCAGTATAGAAAAAGGGACAGGGAGAAAAGGACCCGCCCGAGCAGAAGTCAGAACCCAGGGTATATATGCACCAAGAGCCTTGAGGAAGATCAAGGCCACGTCAGGCCTACAAGAACACTAGTACTCTGAATGATGGTCGCACGTAGCAATCAATTCCCGCCGCGAGGCGTGGCAGTGGCAGCGGCAGCTGGGCAGGAGAACAAATTTTCGCCTGCGTCGCAGCGTAGAAAATTTGTTTAATGTGCCGCCCGCGGTCACGGTGGGCACTGCATGGCATGTCATGGCATGTCCGCTCAACCCCCTACTGTCACCTATCCCACCGCTGTCAGCCCCCTTGTCGAGTCTCTCCGGTTGGCTCACGGGAACTGACAGGGGCTCACCCCGGGCATAGTCCAAGATCGCCGGGCCCTGGCAGAAGTGCCCGCCGTCTATGTGCACCAGTATAGGTGGACATTTGGCCGCTACAGAGGTCAAAGGAAAGTCTAGGGAGCCCCCAACCTCTCAGGGGTCGGTCTATGCCTTACAAATGTCGAGAAGCGAGCAGTAATCCGTTGCTGACGATGGCGATCTTCCATCTCTCCGCCGTCCCTCGGTCTCTCGGCACAGATATGAAGCACTACACTGCTTGTTAGCCACAAGAGAATGTAAAATTGGCACTCAAGAGGTGATACAGGTAAGCAGGCGGTGCACTTTGCACGACGACACTCTTGTCTGAAATAGACAAGCGGTCAATTACAGGTAGAATACAACAGAGGACGCCTGGATGTTGGGTACGGCATAAGCCATTCAATTTCGTCTTATCGTCTATTGGATTTCTAGACAACAGCCCCTTGAATAGAGCCACTCCATAATTCAATTTTTGATCTTCCTCTGATGCCTAGAGGTGCAAGATACGTGTCGCAAGATCCTTCATGTCGTCCATAATGCTGTGCAGTGTATTGCTGCAGGATTTCTCCAAGCCATCGCTGATGCAGGTCCCTTTTCCCCGAACGCCGACGCTATACTGAAATAGAACAAGAGCAATAATCAATCTCCAACTCGAACATCATTCATGTTTCGATGCGGACCTTCTGCAACGCCTGATCCAAGGCTTCCTGTTCCCTTTTCTTCTCCTGTTCCATCAGGAACTGTGCGTACTTTGATCGCGGGTTGTGAATGCCACATTCGCTCTTCGGTTTGCCCTTCCACCGACCGGCGCGCTCGTCTTCACCTTCCCTGACGGGTTGGGTCGAGTGCCAGTCGCCGACACTCTTGTACCCCTGATCCAGAAGGGCGTTGTAAGGGACTTCATTCTCTTTCATGTATTGTTGGACCTGTTGGAAGCTCCAGTTGGCCAAGGGGTTGATCTTGATCAGGCCAGCCTCGTCAACCTCGATGATGTCCAGTGATCCTCGGGCACCACCTTGGCTTCTTCTCCTGCCGGTCAGGACAGCATAGGCTTGCAGTTCCCGGTATGCACGCTCGGCCGGCTCCACCTTGGCCAAGTAGTCATACCTCTCCTCATCAGTCTCCCACAGCTTGTCTCCATACTTGGCTGCAAACTCTTCTGCGGTCTCGGCACCTTCTGGCTTGAATGTGTGGATGTTGACGAGAGGGTACTTGGCCCGGACCTTTTCTACCAATTCCAAGGTCTCGGAAAAATGGTGGAGGGTGTCGATGAAGATCAGGTCAACCATCTGAGGGCGAGGGATCTTCAACTTGGAGAGCATGTCCAACTGGACGAGGCCTGTCAGACCAAACGCCGTGGTCTGGTAGAGATGTGGAAGGGTGGTGATACACCATCGAATGATCTCGGGAGGTTCGAGGAATTGCAATTGTCGGTTGAGGAATTTCAGGTGAGGCTTGGTGAAGTATACCTCAGGCAGTCCCAGCTCACTGTTGTTGCCGCTGGCATATCCTGAGTCGGCCCCCCTCAAAGAAGGGCTGCTGTCGCTGCTCCCACTGGGAGACTGGGTTCTGGAAGACATGTTGAATGGACGAGGACTGTGTGGCAAGCAATACTTTGGTACTGGGGGGAGATGAGGTAAATGGGACAAAACTTGAAGGAGCAGACAGCTTGAAAAGAGATCAAGTCGGACCAGGCAAAAGAGAGATGATGAAAGAGCTGGAACCCTCCCCCTACCTACCGTATTTTTACAAATCAACGCGCGCAATAGTAATATCATCGTCGAGCACGCAATTCTGTCTGTGGATCAGCTTCCGGATGTCGAGAGCCTCGCCGGGCACCGACTGCCGGTGCGATGATGGAAAATAAGAAAAAAAGTCGAGATCGGGCGGTCACGTGCAATCACGCCATCGATGGCAAACTTGGGTGATGAGAGCTCGCGCCTTTTCATTGGGCCATCGCCAACCTCAGCAATGTCATTCCTGTCGCCTTGCTTCGATCGAGATGGGTCAACTGGGACATTGCATCGTTTAGACTCCATCCAGAACCTGGCTGGAATGGTGCTAACATTAGGCCCGTCTGTCCGGGCGAAGCAGCTTCGGCAGTCGGTGACAAGCGCAGGCAGACTCGGAGGTGACCAAACCGCTTGCTCAGCCGTTTGTCTATGAGCACCTCATCTAGCCAAGATTGACGAATTTCCGGACGCGGTGGATGGTAGGAAGATGCCTCTGCCAAATGCCAGAGCTGAGTCGTTGGCAATGAGATGTCGTCAGGGTTGATGTCGTGATCAGAGGCATTTCAAAAAGATCATGATGCCTGGGGATGCCGCGGGGATATCTGTCAGCGAGTCACGTGCTCAGGGTCCACGTGAGCTCGGGCACGTGTTCATCATCACGTGTATTCTCGCGTCCTCAATCGTGGGGGGCATTCGCCTCTATCAGCTATCTACAAGAGCAAAAGTCGGTTGAAATGTCAAGGAAAGAGAGTATCGGTAGATCCCTGACCATCCAGCCAAATATGAAGTGCACAACTATCATTTCTATGGCATAGAAGTCAGTTTAGGCGTTGAGATCCAGGGTCTTTTAGGTCAACATGGCACCGCGTCTGCGACCGGGCGGCGGGACGCTGATACTATCTTCTAGGAAGAGCTTTAACACCATCTATGAGGAATCCTGAGTGTGCACTACTATACGAAGAGCAGGAATGCTGGCGTCCGTCAACCCGTCTGTTGATGGTTCTTGCCCTCGACTCTTCATCTGTTTATGCTTTGGGTTCCTGCATTGGTCTGGCCGATGACGTCGCCGTGCAGCTGACAGCCTGCGCCTGGCTTTTTCCCTTTTTTCCCTTTCTCAATCAGCCGCAATTGTCAACTGCACGCGTCTGTCCTTCGCGAACACGCACACGAATACCCACCAGAGCAGACGCAGACGCAAACCCGCATCACTGCAGGGGTCAGCGCCTGTGGACAAGCATGGCGTCTCCTCCTCCTCCGCGCTCCAGGAATCTCAGCCTGGCGAAAGAGACTCTAGCAGGTAGCTCCTATCTTGACGATCATCTCGAGTACAAGTCGCATCAGTCAGGACCCTCAACGAGCATCGATGGCATCCTCGACCAGCCTGACAGAAGTCTTCGGAATACCTTGTCAAGCACCTCGCTCGTGTCGAGAAGATCCATCAGTGCAATCAGTCCATCGCCTATAATGACTCAAGATAGCGGGACTGTCTATACAATTTCTCATACCAACTGCGTCCGGGAGCCTGGCGATGCTGCCAGACTGGTCGCCACGATATACTACAATTCAGCCTCTCCCAGACACCCACATATCCATCCCGACCAGTCTCCTCCTGTGCGACCAACGGACCCATACCCAATGCCTGAAATAGCAGAGGGTTCAGCACCGACCACAAGCTTCTCTGAGTATCCGCTGGAACCGCCTGCTCCAGAACCCGAACCGCTCGACCATCTCTACGGAGCTTACATCTCTCAACTGTGTTTGACTCACTTCCTTGCCACCCTCGACAGTCTTCTGATACACAACAAATCCGAGGAACGACGACTCATCACTTCCCATCGATGTCTTGCGCCTGACCCGGTCAAGCCTAGGGTCGTGGAAGTGACCTTTTCGCCTCCTCCAAACCCCGAATACCTTCCCTCTTCACTCATCTCGAAACACGAGTCGATCTACAAGTTTGAGCGAGAATGGAATTGCGAGATTGTGTTGCAGCCGTCGACCGTGTATCGTCGTCACAAACGCCTGTGTGTGTTCGACATGGATTCCACCCTGATTCAACAAGAGGTGATTGATGAAATCGCCGCTTTTATTGGCGTGAAAGAGGCCGTGGCGGCCATCACTGAGCGTGCCATGAATGGCGAGCTGGATTTCGCCGCTTCGCTTAAGGAAAGGGTAGCCTTACTGAAAGGTGTCCCTAGCCATGTCTTTGAGCATCTCAAGCCAAAACTCGTCATCACCCCAGGCGCAAGAGAGTTATGCAAATGTCTGAAACGGCTCGGTTTTACTCTGGCTGTCCTGAGTGGCGGGTTCCAGCCTCTTGCCGAGTGGCTCGCAGGTCAACTCGGGCTGGACCACGCTTTTGCCAATCATCTGGTCGTCGACCCTGAAACCGAGACGCTGACTGGCGAACTCGACCCGGCTCATCCGATTGTTGATTCCCAGCATAAGCGGAACTTGCTGATCAGCCTGGCCGCCGGAAGGGATATCCCATTGGCGCAGACCATGGCTGTCGGTGATGGAGCTAACGACATTCCCATGCTCCAGACCGCAGGGTTGGGCGTGGCATGGAGGGCAAAGTCTAAGGTCCAAATGGAAGCTCCTGCGAGATTAAACATTGGGGAAAGCATGCTCGATTTGATCTATTTGCTGGGCCTGACCAAGGAGGAGGTCGACGAGCTTCTGAAAGATTGAAATTGATTGAAGCGAAGCGGGGTCAGTTGAGTGGATGATATATTCACTCGCGCTACATCAAGCCCTTGACAGGTCCAGAGTGCTGCGAGACACGAGTACAACGGAGGTATGATTATGGCAGACATTGCATGGAAATCCCCCAGTGCAGCTGTATCTCTACCGTCGGACAGAAGTATGAAACATCGGAGCTGCCATACAGCTGTCATCCAAATGAGCATGCATCATGTTTTGGCCGCGATCTCCGTATTTTAACTCTTTCTCGTGAGGACGATATTGTCACATGAGCAGCGAGGTCAAGAAGCAGAACCACCTGGGCTGGCTCGGCCTCCTCACCGGATCACTGCAGCTTCCAAATATCCAACGACAGACTGGCAAACCTCACAAATGATACTGTTGCGGGTTATTGACCTTGATTCCCGATCTCTCCCAAAAGCCCTCGACTGCCATATCCTCTTGGCCACTAGACGCCCATGTCAGCTTTGTGTCTAAACATAGGGTGGATTGGATCAGTCAAAACTTACTCCTGCTTCTCCACGATTGTGGGCTCCGTTTGACCTTCGGCCTCGTTGGGATTGCGGAAGATGACATTATATTTCTGGCGTATTGGTCAGCAGCATATCTTGGGTAGCCCACGAGAGCGACTCGGAGAGTGATGTCTTGAACCTACCATGCCCAACGTCATATGGATGGCCGCGGGATTCTTGACATAAGTCTCCGTGGGTTCCTTTCCATCGATCAACGCCCTGACATTCTTCGCCACAACCGCAGCCTGGCCCATGCCGGGCCTTGCGGCCTTTTGCACGCCCGTATCAGCGATATCACCGAGCGCAAAGATATGCGGGTACTTCGGATCGAGGAGCTGCAGGGTCGGGCGGACACGAACGAATCCGTTCTCCGGGTTTATCAACGAGCCGGGACTCGAGGGTTCCAGACCGGCCACCAAGCCGTTGTTAGGTCTCTGGCCGGTCGCCAGGATCACCAGCTCCGTCGGCACGGTGGTGCCGTTAGTCAATTGGACATCGAACGGCTTGGCCGCGTCGGTCGGGAACCCCGTCGGCGGGACGACGACGCGCGTGCCCGTGATCAGCGTGATGCCCAGCTCGGCGAAGCGCTTGGCGATCAGCTCGTGGAATTTCTCGTGGAACTGCGGCATCACGCGCGCCCGCGACTGCACCACCGTCACCTTCTTGTCCGGGTAGTATTCCTTCAGGTCGGTCGCCATTTGCACGCCGACCGCGCCGCCGCCGGCAATCAGGATCGACTTGGCGCGCTTGACCGCGTCCTGGTGCCTCTGCAGGTACTGCACGGCCGCGGCCTTCTCGTCGTGCTTCATCCCGGCCGGCTCCGCCAGAGTCGTCCCCGTCGCGAGCGCAAGGTACTCGTACGGAAGCTGCTTCGACCCTTGCCATTCGCGGTCCAGGTCGAGGTGGCGCGGGTGCACGGTCACCACGCGCGCCTGGATCACGGCGTGGTTGGCCGCGTTGGGCAGGCCTGAGAAGAGCCCGCTGTAGGGGATGAATGCCTTGTGTTCCTGGCCTGGGACGATGGCGAACCGAGGCTGAGAAGAGATATCGTCATGTCAGATCTGCGAGTTCTGGACTTTGGGGATTCTGGACTTCTGCACTGAAGTCGATTGGAGACTTACAAACGTGAAGAGATGGTGGAAATGGCTATGCGGCTCGATCAGAAGGACCTGTAGAACACATTTGGCTCAGTATGATATGACAGGACAACTGACAAAAGGAGTGAACAGAAACAACATATAAGAAGAAGCTTCCCTCACAGAAAGAGGAGCAGCAACAACTCGTTCATCAGGTACATGTAGGTACTCACTCTGTGTGTCGAAGGTATTGTCTGTGCAAGCTCCTTTGCTGCAGCCTAAATACATACGTCCGAATTAGCTTTTTGACTTCCATAATAGCCCTCCTGGAAGAGGGAAAAAGGGGAGGGGGTTTGGTATCATACCCGTCCAACATAGGACCCTCCGACGACCACGACATTTTTGAGAACAGTAGTCATATTTCTGTATTCCGTCGTATTATACTGGCTTTCCCAGAAAAGAGAAAGTATGCTCCGGGCTGTATGTTCAACCTTCCTGGCTGGATGACCGAAGCTTGTTAAACAGCTTTTTACCTCTGCCTCTTGGTCATCGGGCACAAATCGAATTCGGGATTTGGATATTTTTTCTTTCAGGACAGGAGAGAATGAACCAACAGTAGTAGCAAAGGAACTCAAACCAACAACTAGGAAGATCAAGTGTAGTATAAGTAAAAACAAACCGGCTTTCCACATCAATCGATATAGTCTATACCAATACAACTACTAATAGCACCATCACTTTCAATCAGATTTGTATCCTCCACGACCCCGATATACGGGCCTTATTAAGATACGTCGTACCGTTAGTTGCTCGCGCCACGCTGCCCGCGGAAACCGTTCCGCCGCAATGATTGGCCACGATGGATCTGATTAGATAACTTGTTCGGCGTTAAGCCCTTTTTGCTCCAGTTTTCTTCGGCCGAGGATTGCCGGCCCGCGCCACCAGATAGATACAGAGTAGATCAGGTAGATAGACACAGAGTAGATAGATAGATACTTTAGGTAGATAAGACAGATCAGATATACCGTACCTAAATGTTATGACTAGGTTGAACGACCTACGTACATGGATGGTACTCTGTATACCTTAGCTTAGTGTGAGTGGGTGTCGCAACCACGACGGGGCTCAACTGAAGCCGATGTTTATGGCCGAGATTTATGGACGATCGGACCTAAAATCGCAAAGTAGGGTACCTTGGACGTACCTACCTAGGTATACTCCGGCATCGGTGAAGGAGTACTGTACGAATTCTTGTTTACATTGTCCTTCGGTCTCATATTCTCCGGCGCTCATTGATGCTGGGTACCTATACTAGTACCTTACGGTAAATGCAATAATTCAAGACCGAGCAGTTGACAAGGACCAGGCCATAGCCCCGAACCCGGTCGCCTACGGACGCTTTGCATCGAATCCTCGGGCTTGCCTAGTACCGGCGACGGCGACGGCGATGGCATAGTCAATCACATCAATCCACCGCTCGGGAAGCGGATCCGGTGTATCCTCGAGAGGCGTGCGGCAACGCAGGGCGTATCACGCATATATTTATCACGTCAGCTTCCCCGGGCTTTCATAGCTACAACAAATGGACAGAAGCTTGTTTCTTTCAATGCGTTGCAAAAGCTGGTAATATTGGTTTGAGCTCGCTCGCCAAGGTCGCATCTCATACAGGACAGGATAGAGCAAAAGAGAGAAGAAAAAGAGGGAAGAAGCAAAAACACATGCATGCTTGTCCGATGACACAAGAACGAGCAATGCCAACACCAATGTGATCCCAGGCCATACCATGCCACGCCACGCCTCGCTTTGTCCTTGTAACTCCAGCTCTTTAGTGGATATCCAGCTTCGATACAAAATGACATGTAGCCAAGGGTATCCATCCGTTCGCCTCAGCAGCCATTCAAGCCAGGCTCATTACCATCAAAGCTGACCAAGATAGAGACAATGTCGTCTCTGCACCAACACCCTTTGGATGCAAATCCTCGCTTTTCCTCTTCGAACTCGTCCCTCGGATTAATCTGATGTGCCGCCCACAACCTGGCCATTACCGTTGGTGATGCTGAATGCTTCAAAGTCCGCAATAAGGTGAAGATTGCCGGAGCCAACGTCGACTGTGGAGTTGGAACTGCCATTCGTCTGGGAGGCGAAAAACGCTTCCATTCGTTGCTGCGCGTCGATAGCCACGCTGATGGTGCGGGATTGCTGCAGGACATACAGAACCACAACTCTGGCAAAGTCAAGCTCTTTGCCACTCGCAGTCGTTGGCAAGCCTGCATCAGAACCACTGCTGTCTCCAGCTGCGCCAGTGGACCCTGGGCCTGCGCTTGACTCGGTCGGCGAAGGGCCCGAGCCTGCTGCCCCAGTCACGCTGGTCACAACTGCGACGCCTGCGGCGCTCGATGTGCTGGCACTTGGTCCAGGAACCGCACTTGAGGACGTGGCTTGAAAGACAATTCCGTTGGATGTGCCGACTGTTACGCTGCCCTGTCTCCTCTCCATGCGCATCTCTTCATGAACTCGAGCAGGCATGGTGACTTCGGGAGCAAAGGACATTTCAGGAAGCACCGCAACTCGGTCATTCGGGAGAGGTTCCAGACCAGGCACGATGATAAACCGTCTCGTTTTCGTTCCTTCACCAACAGCGCTGGTGTTGAAGTCGACCAGAGAGTTCTCACTCGTGCATGAGAGATTGTTGGAGGAAAAGACCGAAAGAATCGTGGACACGTTCAAAGGTATGTCGAACCGAGTCTGGCCATCAGAAAGAGGAGGTAATATGGATTGACCAAGAGTTGCATTCTTGTATTCGATCGATCCGTCTTGCATGGTCTTGATCACGCAGTCGTCGGTGCTTCCAGGATCGTCACACTGACTACCGGTGAAGCCATTCGAGCAGATGCAAAGGCAGGTGTTGCCATTCAAGATGCTGCTGCCCCCGTTGTGACAGGGGTGGCTGCTGGCACAACCGCTGTCTTTGTGGTGCTCTTTGGGTACAAGAATTAGAAAGACGGGGACTAGTACAGCAGCGGCAATCAGAATGATGACAAGGACAACCAGAGAGAAAAATAAGGGCAGTGTTAGACCACAACACTTCCGTCTCTGCTTGTGGGTGGCTTGAGATTTGGACAAATCCGTGGTTGAGGCATAAGCGCCGTCTTTTTCGCCCAGAGGCCATTCTGTGTCTCGTCGGGTTGTAGGAGTTCCTCCCATTGCTGGCGCCGGGAAAGCTGAAATCATATCCGACATGGTGGAATGCCGGTTGGTAGCATCCAGCCTGTCACTACTGCCGAACATGTCCAACATGCCCAACCGACTGGCTGTCTTGCCTCTGTCCAAGTTTGCAGCCAGTCGCGTCGCTCGTTTGATCAGATCCGCCAGGCTTGTCGTACTCCCCCGGTTTTCAGATTCTTTTACCGCATCCATGTCCAGCCTGGGAGGCCGTCGGCCAGGAGGAATCTTGCTGCTCATTGATTGTTGTTCGATGCCCAGTCCAAGCAGGTGATTGGTGGACTTGCGAGAATGTCCCGAGGCCGGGGGTTGCTCCAACATGTTTGTGGATGCTATTGTCTGAGGAGACTTTGGGGTCTGAAGAAATTCCGTGTCTGCAGAAGGCGAACCTGGAGGGGAAGTATCAAAGGGCATCCGCACAGGTGTGTAGCTTCGCGATCCAGAGGTGGCAGATCTGCTTTCGGTAGGTCGACCGTTGATGCCCGCAGCCACAGCCGCACTGATGGCATTCATCGTCGCGGTTCTGCTCGTCTGGATCGGCACAGACGGATTCTCCGGTACCTCCTGCTCTAGATGACTGGCACTATTCTTGATGGTGGTCATGGCAGGTTTCGCTCGCTTCCCAAGACTTGCCTGACGCACAATCTGTGGACTTTGTTCTGGAGAACTCGGTCGACTGTGCTCAGGACTTGGCCCAAGGCGATCTTCAGGTCCAAGAACCTCGCTCTCCGCATAGACTGATCCAGAATACGCTCTTGGAGTTGGGAAACCTCGCGATCTCGATGCGGGGGTCGTCCCTGCGCTGGGAAACCCATCCGCTACCGATGACATGTACGAATCGTGCATGTTGTATCTGCGACCAGGAGATTGCCAGGGTTCTTGCTTGGCTCTGCTCGACCGAGATGCAGGAATAGGAGGCGCCGTGGGGAATATGAAGTCTTGGATTAGCATGCCACTCGCCGCAGGCCTCTGCTGTTGACGTTGCTGGCCGCCATATCTGACTGGCGGCGGCGCCACACCGACACCGGCTGGAACCTGCCTAGCATTGAGCTTGACATTGGGCGCAGGTCTAACCGAAGGGTGAGGAGGGAAGTCTTGGTGTTGCTGGTATTGTTGATATTGCGACGGTTGAGAATATTCGTAGATCGGCTCAGGATGCTTGTAGTTGGGATAAGCAAAGTTCGTCTGGGTCCCCTTGGGCCGAGGATGATCCATGGTCGCAGTGAGGAATTATGGTAGAGGTAGAGGGCTTTGAGAGTTGTCGCGACAGCTTCAGCCTTGTTGTAACAGTGGTAGGTCACAACTGCGGACAAAGGGTATCACAGAAGGTCGGGCATGTTCCTGGCATGCGACCGATCGGCAGTGTGAAGGACTGCGCTCGACAGTCAGCCATTGATACCATCAACACATTCACTCCACGTGTCCAGTAAGGTTTACTCAAGCTTCACTTGAGCACCTTCTTGCTGTCAGTCCCCGAGGTGGGATTGCATACCTTTCCGTGTGCAATATTCGTCCGACAGTCCTCTCTCTCAATTACTGATTGCAGCAATTCAAGTAATAGTAGTCATTATCACGCAGCTGCGCCGTTTCTGAAAAACCGGTCGACTAGTCGCCTGCGAGGATTGTGGATGGAGAAACGGCCGAAGCGAGCCGTGAGACTGAATGCGCGTGAGGTGGGTATGAAGGGATAGAGACGGTGAAGGTGGCTATCAATTCGACTTCGACGTAACGGTGTTAGGTCAGATCGACAGTCGGTGAGAAGTAAAGAGAAACGAAGTCGGCTTTGTGAAGTATGAACGAGCGACTCTTGCGCTGCAATCGCCGGAATGTACCCACGGGGTAGAAATGTCGTATCCAACGAGAGTTCTCGGCAATTGAGACCGAAAGAGAAGAGGATGATCAAGATATGGGTGAGGCACTGAAAGGAAACGGTGAGAAGGGAACGACGAGCGAAGCGAATGATGAGTGAACTTGAAGTGATCGAAGGTGAGTAGTAGAGAAGTAGTAGTAGACACTGCAGTAGACACTGCAGTAGACAGTAGACAGAAGGTAGATTGGTGTAACGGCGACAGCAGCAAAGAGTCACAGCAGCTGGACGAAAGCGTGTCAGGAGTCCAAATCATGTCTCCATGTCCATGTTTCCCTCCAGCCTGGTTCCTGGTTCCTGGTTCCTTCATCCTTACCATCAACAATCCCTCCAATCGATCACTACCGGCCTCGGGTTCTCACAGCGGCGTGTCCATGCAGCCATGCTCAATCCTCCAGGGTCCCTGGCCGTGGACTTCTTTAGTTTGCACGCATGCCCGCTTCATTGGCTCGGTCCCCTGTCAAACCACGGCTCGATGAGCCCTTGACACGTTCGCGTGCTCAAGAAGCGGCCCTCTGTTAGCTTCACCTCCACCACCAAACACCGCTAGACATGGGCCAGCTTCCATTCTGAAACAAGAGCCTCCTAAACCATTCCTCCCTCTCGCCTCCTACGCCCGCCGATGCCGAGTCTTGAGAAACACGTTCAGCTGCAGCCATCCTTGGCTCGCTATCGAGTCACAAGAGCAAAGACGCGAATACAGGGAAAAGGGGTATAATGATGATGGGTTAACATTCAAGAGTTGGTCTTTACGGCAATGCGGCAACGTCGGAACTAAAAAGAAAAAGATACATTCTCGCACGGACAGAGGGTCTCCCATCTACCCCAGAAGTGCCAGTGATCGGACCATCTGGAGCATTGACAGGCGGCCGCGGCCACGAGAGGGACCAAGCGTCCACCAGGTTTACTTGTTCTTAAACAGACAGCACACACAATGCAACTCATCTCGACCTGATGTCGTTCTTCGATACCGTCAATCAATTCAATGACAAAAAATACCACTGCCTGCCTAGAGCCTTCAATCATGACCGAGACACGACGCGTCTTGCGCAAACGAACAAACAAACCCGGTGACTTGCCGAAGGACCTGTGGTGGATCACTAGTTGGATCATGAGATGGTCATCCTTATCACGTTTGTTTGACCCGTGTCCACCTCGCTTCCACCGGCCCCAACCGGCCTGATCCTCTGGAGCCTCGAGGCGCTTTACACTCCACCGTCCACAACTTTATCAAGATCATTTCATCTCATCTCATCTGGCCGATCGCAGTTTAAGTGTCCGCCACGGCACGTTTTCAAGATTACGTCTAGGGCCCGTTTTCAACGTCAAAAGTCCACAAGCGATGTAAGCATGTGCTTGAGCTCAATGCTGGTGTTCGCTTCTGTGGGCTGTTGCAGTGAAAAGGGACAATTGCCTCTTCATGTTAAGATCGACGCGCTATCATGCTGATATCGGTCGCATGCATTCTTCCTTGGGGAAAGATGGGTGTCCGTCCGCTGCGTGTTGCAGCCCACTCATCGATCAACTTTTGCTCGATAAAGTCTTATCAACCGTCAATTACTGAGTGCTACTGCGCTGATTTCAGAGCTCGAGATCGTCCCAGATGCAAGAGATGCGTAACGATTGATGTCAGAACAGTCACATAGGGCCGCCATCTACATGCTCTACGGGGTTATAATCCAACGCCGCCAGACATTTGAAGGTAGGGGCGATGAGATATGTTCTGCAGATGTGTTTGTTCCGGCGAGCCATCGATAAAGGCCGTATCATGGCAAGTGTCGGCAGATTGACCTGCCACAGTAAGTCGAACCTGCCACAATCCACCTCACACATGGCTTGATTTGTACAGTTTGCCATCATTGGACTTGCCATGTTTGGCGGTCTCATGGACTGTCCTGCTCCGGTTCCTCCTCTTGCATTCTTCCCAACCAATTCATCGCTCGTTGCTGTCTGCGCTTTGGCCGTAGACGTCCGTTCTTTGCCCCAGAGGTACGCCCAGTCGTCAAATACAATCTCGTTTGACCCTACATACGTTTACATCGACCGAACCAGCAGCATGGAATATTCTCCTGGCTCGATCCCCTCGACCAACTCTTCTAGCGAGTCGGCACAATCGTACCTTCTACCTGGGACTCCAAAGCGTACGTTGTTGGGCTCAATCCCGTGTTACTTCGCTTCCAGAAGCAAAGGGAGCCTGCATACTAATTGGGAGACCATGCAGCACCGTTCGACCCTCCTCGAAGACGTTCTTCCTTGTTCTTCACAAAGGTTTTACAGCATACGCACTCTCCCAAAACTCCCGGAGCCAAATCTTCAAACTCCTCCGGAATCCCACAGGCTGAAAGTGGACCTACGAAGTCCAACATTGGCCGTAAGAGATTGGCTTCCCCCTTAACAAGATCAATCGTCATGCCAGGTCATGTTGCACAGATGCAAAGACTTTTCCAAACAGCAAAAGCATCCCTGCGACTTGACGTTCGATATGCCGTCTCACCAAACGGTGCTATTGACTCCAGGCTCCCCTCAACTCCCGAAGAGGGTAGTACTGAGAGGATCGATCTTTCGGTCACGTCCAAGGAGCAGGGTTCAGAGACCCCTTCTCAGGAATGGAGATATTCCCGGGCTCCAAGGTTGCTTGCTGAGTCAGATGTGGATGTTAGGGAGCCTTTCCCAGATGCATCTCCCCAGTTACCGGCCATACACTTCCTCAACGAGGATCAGAATAGCATGTCAGTTGCTGAACCACCAAGCAGCGGCTTTACTTCGCATGTGGACCATACAGCCATTTCTTGCCGGGAGACGGATGAGGACTTTCTGCCCTCCTCACCGCAGCAGCTGAGTACGAGTGACCATATTGATGGACAAGATGATTCCTCATCCGCGGCTGCGCTTGAGGGACCTCTGACGGAACTACGAGTAACCGGCGATGATGATATGGACGTTGACCTTGCAGATGAGTCGCCTCTTGTCAATCATCTCAATCGCCGGTCCCGAAATACAGTTGTTGATCCACAGCCATCTCCCGGGAAAGAGCGGATGATCATGTTATCTGCTCCGGCAAAAGCAGCGGCGGACTCGGCAAGGGTCAAGCGAGGGATGTTAAGCGGTCTGTTTCCCAAGCCTCCAACGCGCAATGAAGGTGATGCGCCCCTGTCGTCTCCAAGATCGCAGCAGTCCCGCGAGCGTGCCGCTACGCCATGTCCAGATCCTCTGCTTCATGAACGAGGACCTGTGGTCCTTTGCCCAGATCCAGGATTGCACTATGGGTCGTGTACGCCGAGCACATTCGGTTACAGTAACGTGACCCCAAGTCCTAACATGCAGTCTCATCACAGCCATCGGCACGATCCCCATCAAGGCATTCCCCAAACTTTGCTGCCCTTCAACCGGGCCACAGCAACTGGTAGTCCGGTGCCAATGTTGAAGGTCAAGTCACCCCCACCTTCGCCTGGACAGATAAGGCCTCATCATCGCGATGCTCATGATGCATGGCACAGTGCTCCACATGGCAGCCATGGTCAACAGCCGCATCGCCACCGCGACCTGTTGAACAGAGACCGCCCACGTACCGCTGCCGAAAACTTTCGACCAGGTTGGTACTATGCAAGAGATAACGCACAAACGTCCATGCCACCAGGCCCGGCAATGTATTCCTTCTCAACAGCTGCTGCCAAAGTAGACGGACAAGACCCAGCGCCTGATTCGAGGATCCGGGACTCATACAGGACTGATACTCTGACCCCGCTGGCTAGGCCTCCTACCCGTTTTCGAAAGAACGGAATGGTCGCCCTGGCCAGTGCTCGCGGTGTTGGCAAATACTACGGAACACCTGCTTACGGACCCAGACCGCCCAGTCGATCCCACCACCCAAGGCCAGTGCAACTACATGGTTCCCAGATGTTCCGAAGCAGTCCTCCGAGATCGTCCCCAGACTCTATTCCACATCCGCATTTAAGAAAACGCTCGCGGGAGGTCGAATCGCCCACAATCGAGATTTTGGAGGACGAGCCCCTGGACCCGAAGCTAAGACTGGAAGAAGGGGATGAGGTAATTGAGGTCGATGACGAGACAAGAGCTGCCGTCCGCATGAGTCTGTATGGTGCCCCTGCTCCAATTACGCCCAGTGAGGCTGGGAGAGGCTTCAAGGAGCTGAGTCCAAACGTCGTGGCCTGGAGGAAAGGCACCCGCCCTCCAGGAAGCAGAAAGAAGAGACGGCCAAGCTATTGGGATGGTGATCTCGAAGAAGTCGTGCGAAGTCCAGCAGCAAGACATGTCGTCAGTTCGCCCGTCAAGAAGGATGACGTGAAGTCTCAGCAGGCAGAGGTGGAATTCCACGAGGACTCGCCAACCAAGGAGATGATAATAGATGACGAACCGGATGCCTTCCCAAGAATGGCAGACGAAGGTGCGGTCCTGCGGGACAACGTGCAGATGGTGAGTTAGCTACTAAGCTCAACTCGCACGCATGTGTTCCAGCACAGAAGGACAGAAGATTGCCTATGGATCATGCGATAGTACTCGATATCGGTAGTTTACCATTCGTCAAACGTTACGATAGTGCGGTATTGTAGTATACCCGCCCTCACGGCACCAGAAGCCATCAAGATGTGCTCTCGCACCTGTAGAAATGGGAGGATTCACAAGTTCAGACTCTGGCTGACTTGAAGCGTACATCAGATAGTATTTGCCTCTGTATCACCGCTTTCAGGCCTCTCCGTCAGGTCAGGCTAGGAGGCCTTGCCAGATGGTCTACAAATCAATCCAGCTTCAACACTCTCGACCGTGGTTCGGGGGCCGCAGCTGAAGGGGACAATAGAGACTGTCTCCTCGTGGATGTCTTGGGGCTACGTTTGGTGTTGGAGGTGGAGGTGGAGGTGCCATGGCCCTTTCTAGGTTGACGCACATCTTCTTCATCCGGAGCTCCCATGACTGTCGTGATGTCTTCGTCGCCGTGGTTGTTATTGACGTCTTCAGGATCCTCGTACATGCCATGTACACCCAATTCGCGCCGGAGCCGCCAAATCTCCCGCTCTAGACTGTCAAGTGCAGACATTGTAGATACGAGGTCTGGGATGGTCGAGGATACGGAGGTGTGGAAATGGCTTTGGCACTGGCGTAGGGCTGGGGCCACGAGGATGCCGTACCATCTTACAGGGTCTTTGGATTCTTTCTGTTTGGTGTTGGTGTTGGTGTTCGGCGATGGTTTGGACTCAGACGAAGTGCTAGATGTCGAGATATTTTGTGCAGATGTGGTGGGAACGGTCGTCTTCTCGTCGGACGAGGGGGTTGACTCAGGTGAAGGCGCGTCCTTCTTCTCGCGCCCGCTTGTCAATGTGGAGGTGGTGGAGTACGAGTTGTAAGAGAGGGTGTTGGCAACGCTCGGAGCACCCGAATGTTCGATTCCACAGGCAGCGTGCTTGGAGCTTGAGGGTGATGAAGACTGGCCGTTGTGCCAGAGTCGGGATCGCCGTTCGGCGTCTGCATCTGCACCTTCGCCTGCATCTGCATCTGCGCCTTCTTGTTCTTGGCTCAGACCTTGCCCAGCAGTTGGGGGAACCGAGGCGGTCGGCGGTGTATAAACTCCTTGCAGCCTTGTGTCTCCTTCAGCTCCTGACCCCTGGTATACGTTTCGCTCCGCGGAGCCTCCGTTTCCTGCGGATTCGTAGCCAACCTGGGCTACCTCTTTGCTGTTTGCATCTGACCCGGTGCACCTCCCGTCTTCTCCCGCTGTTGAGGTTTCACTGCTTGTTCCGCCACCCTTGCTCTTGCTTTGGCTCTGCACAATGTGCACCCTCTTCAAGGCTTTCATGCGCTTGTCATAACCTTCTTCTCCATATCGTCTGCCTGGACCAAGTATTGAGTTTCGGTTGGCCTGCGCCAGTGCGAAGAACCCTGCAGAGAAGTCCTGGGATAGCTGCTCGCGGAGCCGGGTGTAGGTGTCTAGCATGTCCAGGTAGGATTCAAGAAGTGTATCAAGTCTGTCTGAGAGCTGTTCCGTTCCCGTGTCATTTTTGACTCCAGTCTCTTGCAGCGGCGGGTCTAATGTTCCGTCCTCCTCCTTTTCTGATACTGGTATGGAGTCTTCCTTTGGCTCAAGACTCGGTGACTGACTCGAGGGAGGAGACGGGAGCGAGGACGCCATGTTCGCGGAAGATCAGTTGATGCTGCTCCTGCTGCTGCTGTTTAGAGACAGTACTGGTAGTACATCAATCGCGACAAAGTAGAGCCTTCATTCTGCGAAATGAAAAGGGGCCTCGTATACTTGTTTGCTTGACCATCAACAACACTGTCGCGCATTACTGAATTGCCATTGTAGTGTAAATGTCGAGTTGCGGACACTCGGTCGTATCGGCGATTCCAGGCCGTTGCGCCGACGGCAGACATTGACGCAATAGCAGCAGCAGCGAATAATCGCCGCTCCGAATATTGTTTCCAAAGGTGCCAGGCTGCTGTAGTCATTCTTCCGAGTTCTTTTCCAGTTTGTACTTTGTACTTGTTACAATCCATATACGCCCAAGTCTCGGGTTTGAAGTCACAAGTCAAGGTTTTTAGGAACTACGGATCTACGGGACAAATTGACTCCCCGGTGGCCGTCTTTTCGCATCTGCACCGCGACCCCACGAAATCAGCTGTTCCCATCTCTTCAAGTCTTCTTATATATCACGCCACTCCGCCGATTCAATACCATAGCGATACAATCCAGATCGCAGCGGGCACTCCACGCACCTCTGTCCCTGTCGCGCTCTCTCCACGCATCGCTTGACTCCGCACCGAGCCTTTCCGACATCCCCGGTTCCCCGTCTGCCAGGCATGGCCTCCGCGGTCCTGACCACCGCGGCCGACACGTCTGCGTCTACGGTGCGGTCACTGTATCGGTCGCTCTTGCGCACCTCGAACCAATTTGCGAATTACAACTTCAGAAAATATGCTAGGCGGAGGACGAGAGATGCTTTCCATGAGCATCAGCACGAACAGGACGCCAGACGGGTACAAGAGTTGGTGCAGAAGGGGTTGAAAGAGCTGCAATCGATGAAGGTGAGTCGACTGCGCATGGCGTCAATCGACGGGTCTTTCCAGGATGGGAATGGCACAGAACGACATCCCCAATCCTCGGGCCCTGTTGCAAGCAAGCACTCGATGATTCTTGAACCCACGAAAACATATGTTACACGGTGCATTCGGGAGCTGACTTTGGGTCTTCTAGCGGCAAACCGTGATCTCTCAGATGTACCAATTCGACAAGCTCGTGGTGGAAGGCGGCGCATCGGTATGTTTCCCCAACTGTTGAGGTTGCTTTGCTCAAGTGACTTTCCTGCGCTTGGAGCATGTTCTAATATCTCTGCAGGGCAAGGAAACAGGAGGCCATGGTGGTATCATGCGACAGAAAGACACAGGGTATGGTTTCCAACTCCCGGCCTTGAGATCCCGGTTGCTAACTCTCGCAGGTGGGACTGATGTCTGATGCATGCTGTTCCTTTTGTCAACAGTTTGTGTATAATATTCGTTGTTTGCGCTTAGATGGACACTTCTGTCGACATGGCATAGTACAGACAACTCTTGTGATACCAACAAGACTCTATTTCTCTGCTCCCTCCTTCCTCTCTTCCTGTCTTTCTGTTCTGGTAGAGCATCTCGCCTGGTCTTTGCAGCTTTGTGTGTGTCTTGTCCTGTTCACACTCTCCAGTATTTATTTAGGTATGTTTTGAGTTGTGGTATTGCAAACTGTAGTCATCCTCATCTCCCTCATACCTTCCCCCCTTCCCTCCTCCCTCCTCCTGTCTGATGTCTCTTGACTGGTCGGGCCCCGTCTTCACTGCCCTGTGACTGGCTCATCGGTGAAATGTTGATCCAGCCCGACCGGCTACTCCCGTTCTTAGCGTCTTGCTTTTGCTTGGCTTCTTCGGTAAACCTTCCCTTTGTATGCCTGCATCTGTTAATATCATTTCTCCAGACGCGTAGAGAGTAGATTCCTCTTTGTAACTTCATCAACAACCATCACTTTCATCCACAGATCGACAGGACAGAACCTGTATCTTCCCTTCAATATCATATCGCAGACTATCTCACAGACAAACAGACCTCTGAGACACAACCAGAGAGCATTCCCAAAGGAAGGGAGAGGAGTTCATCGTCATGGGTCCGGTACGTTCTGTCTCCAAAGATCGGCTGGATGCCGTTGCAAAAGCCACAAAGTCTACGTTTCTTCGTCGCCTTCCCAGCCGCGATATCCTTGGAGTCACATGTTGTCATCGTCGTCGCGGTTGTGGCTGTGGCTGCGGCTGCGAGGGGCTCGAAATCACATGGCGTCGTCGACCCCCGGAACCGCCAGCGCAGCTCACTTCAACCTCAAAGCCACAACATTCGCTACCAGATTTTACTTTCACTTTTCCTTTTACTTCTACACCAAACCCAACCACACCACCAGAAGCAACGGCAACAGCAATAGCAACGACGATATGGCTGGACGTGGAGTCGGACCACGCGAAGGGGGCTCACGCCCTGATTCGTTCGAGTGTGCCGGCTGCGGGAGGGACTTCACGTTGAAGAGAACCCTCTATCGACACTACCGAGACCAGCATCCCGCCCTTGCTGGAGATCAAAAACACGATCCCAGCTGGATCGTTCCGATCCAGGGAGGGAACGGCGGCGCGGCGAACGCACAGACTGCTCCGGCGTCTGTTGCTACTACCCAACCTGCCGTTCCAGTCGGGGCTGGTCAAGGTGGTGTCGTGTTGGGGGCTTCTCTGCCGGGAAGTATCCCTTCTGCAGGCGGCAGCGGCGTTGCCGCAGCTCCTCACTCGTCTGGTCCGCTCTCTCGGCCTCCAGATCTTCCTGCTTTTGCTTTCTCCCCTTCTCCTTTTGCCGTCCCTTCCTCCTCGGGTCCTCCGGCTGCTGGCTTTTCCTTCTCCCGCCCTTCTTTTCTCTTCTCCTCCGGTCCTTCGTTTTCGGCTGGCCCTCCCTCTCCTCCGCCTCAAGCTGCTCCTCCTTCTCCCCCTCCGGAAGTTCGTGTCAATTTCCCCCCTGTATGTCCTGAGCTGGCCTCAACCTCCATCAGGCCCGGCAACTGCCAATTGAAGACTGTTACTAACGGAAGATAGCTTCGGTCCTCGCGCTCGACGAGGAACCAGGAACACAACGCGGCCGCCCGGAACCGTGCTGGGGGCATCGACTTCGACCCCACCGAGGGCTTGCCAGTGCGCAAGTGGGAGAGGGCCACGGTCCGAATCAACCAAGATGCCCCTGCCGATCCCACCCAAGGCAACGGCCAGGGTGCACAGAATAACAGCAATTACCCATGGGAAGAGCTTCCGATGCCTTCTTGGGCCAATTCATTAGCTCCAGAAGCACGGGTAAGCACCGCAATCTCAGCATTTGCACGATCCCAGCACTTTCTCCTACCTGTTCTCGGACAAGTCTGTCTGGACGATTGGCCGTTGACGGCCGTCATTGCTGCTTTCCACAAAGAACCTCCTAAACAACGTTGATTTGATCACATGCTGACATGTATCCCGCCATTAGGAACGCCTTCGCAGATCCCGCATGGGCAACACCAATGCCACGATGTCCGAATGGGACCGAAAGACCGAAGAATGGATACCAGCCAGAGAGATCGAGGCCAGAAATGCCCGTCTCAAAGCACAGCATACCTCCGGCGTTCCAGAGTCACCAAACTCGCATGAAGAGGATGACAACGAAGATGACAATGACGACCTGTTCGATGCCGACGGCATGCCCACGAAGCGGAGAAGAACAAACCTCGGTCCGCCAGAAAGAGTTTTGGAAATCAAGAAATGGACACCCATTGATCCAGCCATTGCCGAAACTCTACCCGAACCAAAATACCTTGCTGATCGTCGACCTGGCATGGAAAGCCTCTACGGAGGAGCATACAAAGCCACAAATGGTTTTGGAACGTTGGGAATCAACGCTGGCATCATGTCGGCTGCTGTCGGCTTTGACTTGGGAGACGGCTCAGGCTTAGGAAATGCTTCAGGCGTACTAGGCTCTACAAGCACGGCACCTGAACCTGCACCTGCCCCCGTCCGACGGAACATGCCTCCGAGGCGCAAGAAGAAGAAGCTCGGCGGTCCAGGACGAAGAAAGGCCAATCCGACACCTGCTGGAGAGAACAACCCTGCCATAGCAACAGGAGATATCACGATGACTCATACATCTGAGGGAGACAACACTCAGTCGGCTACACACACTGGTGAAACAGACACACATTCACAAGGGGAAGCGGATGGATCAGGAAGCGAGAGCGAAGGCGAGGGCAGCGAGGAAGGCGAAATTGAGGATGCTGCAAAAGCACATTCTGATGCCACCGCACACACTGCAGATCTGCAAGCAGACATTCAAGCAGCACAAACCGGAACTACAGGCACTGCAGCACACTCAGATGTTACGGCACCAAGCACAGCAGACACCGAGATGCACGAGGCCACATCTGCTGATTTATCTTCAACTCTCGAAACCAGTCAAGCACCGACCGCTAGACAACAAGCGGCGGAGGATGTGGCGATGTCTGAGTACACTCACATCAAACCACAGCCAGACTCAGCAGAGCCCTCGACAGTCAACGCTGCAGAAACAGAGACCGCATTTTCGGGTCTAACTGTCTCGGATGTAGTTCAAGCAGATGCAAATGCAAATGCAAACGCACCAAACAATCCAGCAACGACTGTTGAACCTCAACTTGAACCCGAACTTGAGGCACCAGCACTGGACCAGAATCCGCAGGCCACAGCGGTTGCACAATCTACCAGCAATGGAGAAGCACCAACTCTCGAACAGAACCCGCAGGCCACAGCGGTTAGCGAACCAACCACTGAAGACGTCAAAACTGAAGACGAGGTTGCCGCCACGTTCGAACAGGTCGATGAGCAGACAACAGCTCAAGACCAGAATCAAACCGAACCCACTGAGTCAGTCATAGTCACAGGCACAGATACTGATATGAACGATGCTCAGCCCACGGGTCCGGCACAGCCAGAGCAGGAAGCAGCACAAGCTCCAGCACCAACACCAATGCAGGTTCAGACGCAACCAGGCGAAGAACAAGAGCACCCACAGCAAGATGCTGATGCTGATGCTGCACCAGAGCAAGCACAGGATACTGCTGGAGAGGTTGATCTGCTTGGGGGTTTGGAAGCTGCTGTCGAGAAGGAGCACAGAGCGTTGTAGAGACCATCGATGGATGGCGGACTGGGAGCGTGGATTGATGCTGACCAAGTCAAGGCGGATGATCGGGGGATGATCGGAGGATGAAGGATGCTGGAGATGTTTTTGCTGGAGCTGAGCTCACACCAGAATTCTTGCAGTTTGCTCACAAAAGGAGTTCAAACGTTCACAGATGGAGTCGAGCTGAATGGAGCCGGAGCCAGGAAGGCTGGCGCAGATGTTGTACGGTATTATTACCCGAGATCCGGGCTGCCTTGCTTTCGCAAAATGTGTTGCTTTTTTCTTTACCAGCTGCATGGAACGGAGGTCAGGCAGGGGCTTGATACCAGCTGAGCTACAGCACCTTCAGAGCTTTGCGAGTCTGAAACCAGACAGATGTTACATGACAGACATTGTACAATTACCAACAAAAGTTCACAAACAAATCAGTGCACAGCATGATTCTCCATTTGGGTTCATTCTCAGAGATACCATTGTAGCCTATGGCGCGTGAACTCCTGATGAACTAGGTCGGCAAGTCCATGCATAAGCAAGGACACCACCATACCTCGACCATATTGAAGGGGTTTTTATGGATACAAAGATGAGTTTGGAATCCCCCGTTTCCAACTCCCGTGCTCTCGATGTACTCTTTTTCCATCAGCACCATTCTTCCCCGGTTCGCTCTTCAGCTGCACAACAACCTCCCATTATCACACGCTTTGTGGTTCCAGGCATGTTGGATGACGACTGATCTAGTCGAATGGGTTGGTGCGAGTGCCCCAGTAGGTGAGGAACACGCTGAGGCCAACAGTTTCCAGGAGACGAGAGAGAACGCCCACGGCAACAGTGTCAATGGGTCGGTTCTCGACGACAAGAGCGGAGATGAGCTGAAATCAAAGTTAGTCTGAGTTCCTGAGGTATTGGAGCAAGTGGGAAGTTAGCACATACCGAAGGGCTGTACGAAGCTGCGAAGACCAAGCCTCCCAAATAGGCCGCACCCTTGTAGCTCAGTGTGCCGGTGGCATTGATCAGAGCAGCAACACCGTAGGTCTGAACAGCAGAACCCAGGATGGAGCTTCCCCAGCTAGCAGCAGCGGTGGCAGTCTCCTTCGACTTGAAGAACTCTTCTTTGCTGTCGGCAGCCTTGGCACGCTGGTAGACATCGCCGAACAGAGGGGCCAACACTCCAGCGCCGGAGATTTGGTTGAAGACGACGCCCAGGGCGATCGCAGAAGGCTTGACAGGAGGGAGATCTATGAGGAAAGAGATGTTAGCTTCATGACTTCTTTGAAAGAGTGCTCCTTCGAATCCAAAAAAGTGAGGTACAGTTTGAGCTTCGAGGTGACGTAGCAAGAAATGGACGGGGCAGTCCGGAATCAAGGGAACAGAACGTACAGTGTAGAGTGGCCATTGTGGAGAAGTTGTTTGTGAGGTTGATGAAAAGGGTTTGCGATTGAAAGATCTGAAGGTGATGGATTCAGTTGTTTGGTACTGGAAGTGCAGGTGTGTGATGGAAGAGAAGGAGAGTTGAAGACGTGGATTCCAAGCTGCAGGTTATATGCGGGAAGAAAGACAGCGTGTGGTTCCCAAAGTGGCTTTGCAACTCGATGGTGGCAGCAGTTGACTTGGTGAAAGCTGGCCAACGACGCAAACAATGACGACACGTGGGGAGCGCGGGGGTAATGACTGGAAATTACTGCCTCTCTCAACAGAGTGAAGACGGATACTGTGTGTTTTGAAATGTAATGACACCTTCTTTAGCGACACCGCCGATGATGTCAGTGCCGAGGGCTGGCAATTGAGCATCTGACGTTGTTGGAGCAGGAACCTTCTCGTTCCCGATCGGGTTCAGTCGATTTCGCAATTTCGTTTGTGGGTTGCAACTGATGATGCTGGTCATTATGTTGACCAGATCCACTGCATTGTCTGTCCTGGATTCCAGTTCATGGTTTCTACGACCTCATACTTCGATACACCTACTTGAAGATCACAAGTCTGGCGCCGTCTCTTTAGCTAGAATCTAAGGCTACCCCGGACTCCGTATCCGCAAAGCTTTCGACCAATCATCTCTTTCACAGCAGCAGCCTCTTCCAACTGCGTCTTTCCAAGTTCCCATGTTCGAGGAGTCACAGTAGTGAGTGTTCTTTGTGATGTTCACCTATAATAGACCATGTGCTACTCAAAGTTGAGAGTTCTTATGATCGATCTGATTGATTGAACTGCGAGATGTGATTGCGCGTTGTTGTTTAATCAATCGCACAAATGAGCCTGAACGCCAGTGTGAGGTGAAAATTGATACATACCACCAACTCCAGTGACGAGAATCCAACAACAATGCCGTCCTCACGCTCTCCGTCTCCTGAAAACGATCTCTTTTCTATATCCACCACACTTGTCCCTGAGCGGGAGAACAAACCCGCCACCACCACCGGTCTCACTTTCGACGATCTGCTTCCCAGCAACACTCCTCTCCTCCTACATGAAGACCTTCGAGAAGGATGTGGCGGGCAGTTGTGGCCTGCTGGAATGGTGCTGGCGAAATACATGCTTACATATCACAAGACGGGTTCTCTGCTGGGAAAGTCGATCATTGAGATTGGCGCAGGCGGAGGCCTGGTCGGGCTAGCTGTAGCTCTGGGCTGTGATATCGACACCAAGATATGGATTACAGATCAACTACCAATGTTTGCGTTGATGCAAAGGAATATTGCCTTTAATAAGCTTGACGCGAGGGTTGGTGCAGAAATATACGACTGGGGCACGCCTCCGCCTTCAAGCATCCTTCGCAACGGAACCGAGCATCCTGAAATCGTTCTTGCCGCTGACTGCGTGTATTTCGAGCCCGCCTTTCCTCTTCTATTACAAACCCTGAAAGACCTCATCGGCCCTTCGACGACATGCTACTTTTGCTTCAAGAAGCGCCGGAAAGCTGATATGCGCTTCATAAGGGATATGGTAAAGACATTCAACGTGGAACCCGTCACCTATGCAGGGCGAGACGCAGATCAACGAGAAGGAATATATTTGTATCAGGTTCGAAGAAAGGAGAGGGCGAATCCCTGACGTGAGACTGGTCAGTTTCACCAAAAAAACATTCAATCAATTCTTGCAATGGGTATCTCATTGGTATCTCTCATCATGCCAATCATCCAAATCCCTCTCCCTACAAGAGTTGACCAATGCACTCAACATGAGGCATATCGGTGGTCTTCCGCGCTCGAGGAATCAACCATTCAAAACAGATTAGCCAATGATGCATATCGCTCTCTGTGTCTTCAGTGAGACCGCAACAATCCCACACATGTCCGATATCTCAATCGAGATTCGGGCTGGGTCAGGCCACTAGTAATATCTTCTGGTTCCCCTCCCATCGGTCCCGTGCATGCGCCTGCTTCCCGCTGCCTTTTGTCCGGAGCGACTAGTCAATGTGCCGCGGAGCTTGAGCATGGCGCCTGAGACCTTGTCGCTTATACTTGTCTTGCGTCGCGGCGTGGCAGTCACTGGAGCGCGGTTTGTCCGAGTCCCGCCAAATCGACTTCTCCGAGCTGGTTGGGGGGTGGTGGCTGTCGCGCGAGGCGTTGTTCTGCCGCGAAGACGTTGCATGAGCGTTTGCTTGATGCCCACGGCTCTGCCTCTTGCAGTCGCACCTGTCGAGCCCGGATGGTGAGTTGTTGTAGTGGTAGTGGTGACTGTTGTACCACCTGGGTGATGCCGAGTCTTTCTTCCGAGGACCATTTTGGCGACTGTTTGTCTCTTGATAGGATTCTGTTAATGTATCTTCTTTCAACTTAGAGATGTGAAGTTGCTTCCGTAGTGAGTCATGGGGTAAAGCCTCCAGCGAGTAGGCCTACGCTTTTATGAACATGTCTTTGTTTCGACCGAGCTGGGTTACTTTCTTGATCGTCCAACAATATGACGAGAGACGTCATGTTTCCGGAGTCCAGGGTGGCTGGTCTGGCCAACTCGCCGGGGTGCTATCAGGCATCCTGGCCCTAGTATGATTGTAGGAGGCTGTATGGTGTTGGAGAAAGCAGGTTTTGCTCCACGCCTGCGCATTTGGAGTATGGGATCGACTCGATAGACCCACGATGATGATGGATACAACTACAGTATACTAGTAAGCTGCGTTCCTTTTCCCAGTCTCCAACCTTGGCTGACGCAGGGCAGGATTCGTTTCGGAGACAGTCTGGGATACTCGTCGCAGCACCAATGTCATAATTGGGTGCCACAATCTCATGTCGATCTCCGTGGGAAGCGAGCCGCGTGGGAGAATCGTCCCTGTGGCGGTGCTCTCTGTTCACCACAGTCGCTACTCCTGGACACTGGTCGCGATGGCCTGTACCAGGTAGGGTGTGGGTAGAGCAACAAGTCGCACTGCAGGAGATCCTGTCAAAGGGTGTAGAGCAGTTCAAGCTCACAGCGACCAACCCGTTGCAAACATCAAGGCCATGATATTGGACGATTAGATTGACAGAGCTTACGAAAAGCACTATGGATAGATCGTCTTGCCCGGGGGAGCTTTCATGTTGTGTCCTTCAATGGCAAGAGATAGTGTAGAAAGTAGTGCAGGAGAATCAGCATCTGCACTGCAGTGGGCTGCAGTTCTAATCTTCTCACCGCACGCAACTTGAACGCCCTCACACCCACCTACCTGACGCAGACAACCCATCTGCGGCCCATCACTCGCATACGATTGTTCAAGCCTTGACTTCCTGCATCATGGCTTCTATCGGTCGTAGACCTTGGGCTGTCTCGGACAAGACGACGTTCCTTCGCTCTCGTGAAACCGGAAACCACACTGTGAGCCTTGAACCGACCACCATCCCAGCGAAACATCGTTCACGACAAGGCCGTGAGTCCGGTAGTCGGGCTACAACTCGAGTTTCCAAACCACGAGAGAGCATAGTCAAAAGCCAAGATCCTTGCGCAATACTCGCAGATAGATTCTCAGGCATGACACATAAGGTCCGAGCATGATCTGAAACTAACTTCCCACAGCAAGCCTTGAGCAGTACCGAGAGACCGTCCACGAGGAGGTGACCAAGGACTTGAAAGATGTACAGCAAGACTTAACTTCCAGCATTGATGATCTTACAGTCAAGGTCGAAGAACACTTCAGAAGCCTCAACAGTATCGAAGAGCCATTGCAAAGACCGTTTTTCGCAGAGGTTTTGAATGTACAAACCAAGCCGAACATCGCAACTGGCGAGGGACATCAAGAGAGGCAAGAAGTCCTTCTCAGTGACCGGGTCGCAGCGTTTCGCAAACTGCGGAAAGATAAGGAGCTTACATTATGCAAACTCTGGGAAGACTGGGAAGAAGTCCAATTCGAACTGATCGGCCTGGCAGCAGAAGTCTTTGGCCCAGAATCAATGACATTCGCGCAATCCCGGGAAGAGGATATGAAACCAGGTCAAAAGGAGAAGCTGCAGAAAGCTCTTCAGCCTGTTCAAGGTGCGCACCAACAGGCAAAGGAGTCATCCGGATCTTTGGAGGAAGACCTTCGACATTTTGAAGCGAGCATGCTTTCAATCGCTTCCAAGACCAAAAAGACAATGACGGATATGCAGCAGGTATGTGTGCTTGGGGGCGCGGTCGATGGCCACTGTATTCTGACTCTGCTTGCAGCAATACAACATCCAAAAGAACAAGATTTTCCAGGGCCTTCGACGGCACATCGAATTACTGGCAGCCCTATGAGTAGCTTTCACAGATTGACCGGGTCGTCTGAGAGGGAAAGGGACAATGCTGCCATCGTAAGTCCCTTTGTTGAACGGGTAATAGGGTCAACCTCGTCCAGCATGGATGGTGAGACCACCCCAAGTGAAACGGCTGACCCGGAGTAGCAGGTCCCTACGAGAGAAGAAGTTGATCGAACCGAAAGCTTGAAAAGGGGGACAAAGAATGAGATGCTGTGCCGGATATACAGTATCTTGCGGTTATCCCAGGCTTGTCCGATAAAAACCGTGAATAGCCGGGATTTGATCCAAAGCCACCCTTCGAGCCGGCTTCCGAGCGGGAGCGTCGAACATTTTTCTTCTCTGGACAGAGCCTTGCCTGTGCATCGGCCTATGAACCAATGCCTGCACGCGACGCGTTGCTAGGCACTGCATCTCTTATCTGCGGCGAGGCATAAAACTGTTTTGCAGAACATATTTTTGACCGCAGAAATGCTTCCAGTCCACGTCATATCTGCGAAATTCTGCTACGTCGTATCTAGCCGCGCTCTGCATCAGTTGCGATGGATCTCCTGATAGGGTCGTGTACTTGCAAAGGCGCACATCTTTCAGAGGCGACCCTTAGCGACGACCATGGATGGGTCTACACCAACCCTTCAAGCAATACTTCTGGGCCCTGAAGGCGGATCCAAGCCTTGTCCCGCCCTGTTGATGCAGATTTCAAGATGGACATCTCCATCAGCGGCCGTTGACAGATATCCACAACAAACCGATATCCGTTGCCCCAGATGCTCCAGATATATATGAGTCACGGTACAAGCCCAGGTTTGTTGTAACTCCTTATATTTCTTGCAATCCATCCTTTCACTTCCACTGCTCCTCGTGTTACCACTGTTGCCTCTGATATACTAGCCTTGATACCGCTATTGCCGCACGCAATGGCTCCCGTTGCCATCACTCCCATCTCTCCCCCTTCGCCCACCTTGGACGACACATCCAAGTTGACCAAGGCCGGGACGCAAACCATCTTGTCCGAGACCGTCTCCAACAGCTCACCTGCCGTTGCTGATCTCGATGCCTCGAAACTGATCTTCACCCCGAACCTGAACCCCAAGAGCGTTCCTGCACCGAATTCGCCGGAAGTATGGTCTCAAAACTACACCACCGACCATATGCTCACTGCTCGCTGGACCGAGCAATCGGGATGGGAGGCTCCTGAAATCCGACCATATGGACCTCTTTCAATCATGCCTACAGCCTCCGTCCTGCACTATGCAACCGAGTGTTTCGAAGGACTCAAAGCATACCGAGGTGCCGATGGCAAGGCCCGTCTATTCCGACCCGATCGAAATGCTCGACGATTCCTCCAATCAGCCACTCGCATCTCCCTCCCAGGCTTCCCGCCTGAGGAGTTCCTGAAACTCCTCAAGAAGTTCGTTGGCACTGAGGCTCCCAAGTGGATCCCAGAACCCGGCCAGTTCATCTACATCCGGCCGACGATGATCGCCACGGCACCGGCCCTAGGCGTACAGAAACCGCGTGAAGCACTCCTCTATATCATGATGGTTCTCTTCCCACCCCTGGACGAGCCTTCTCCTGCTGCTGCCGTCCCCAAAAGTCTACCCGCACCATCCACGCAGACACCGACACAAGAAACGAAACGTCCTGCAGCGGGCATGCGCCTCCTCGCCTCGAGTCACGACATGATCCGCGCCTGGCCCGGCGGCTTTGGCAACGCCAAAGTCGGCGCCAACTACGGCCCCTCATTGGTGGCCCAAGGCGAAGCCCGATCCCGCGGCTACGACCAGATCCTGTGGCTGTTCGGTGACGAATGTTTCGTGACGGAAGCCGGAGGCAGCAACTTCTTTGTTCTATGGAAGACCCCTGAGGGCCGCCTTGAACTCGTGACCGCGCCGCTCGGCGATGGCGTCATCCTGGAGGGCGTCACTCGTGCTAGTGTCCTCGACCTGGTCCGCCGCACGAGGCCAGACATCGATGTCGTGGAGCGCAAATTCACCATGCAGGAGCTCCTGAAGGCCGCCGATGAGGGTCGCTTGCTGGAGGCGTTTGGTGCAGGCACGGCGTTCTTCATTGCGCCTTGTTCGGATATTCATTTCCGTGGAGTCGACCTTGTGCTGCCTCTTGGGAAGGGGGTCCTTGCTGATTTCGCCATGGGGATCAAGAAGACTCTGAAGGACATCATGTATGGAAATGAGCAGCATGAATGGGGAGTTGTTGTGGAGGAGGAAAAGCTTTGATTGCTTCATGCTAGTCTTTTACTTAAGTACGGGAAAAAGGAGTCTGTTTCAGATAGAAGATATGATTTAGTCGAGAAGTCTGGGAATGGACTCTGGATGATCGACCATGACCAGGATGTCTTATTTCATTGATTCATTCGGAAAGGCTCTGCTGCCACTGTACTCGTACATCTTTTTGCACATATAAAGGTAGTGGGATCCAGAGACTAGAGATCCCTTCATCTTGCTCGGAAAAGGACATGCCTGGCCCAAGGGGATAACTCAAGATGGTGCAAGATAGAGCCCCGATATTACGGACCGGAACATAGTGGCGGCTGCTTTTCATAAAGCAAAACTCTGTAAATGTGGCATGTGTACAAAGGAGATATCCTTCATGAGCTCTCCCCCTTCGCATCTTTCGACCTTCCACCAGTGCTTTGTTCCGTCGTCTCGCGGGCCTCTTCGGCCTTCTGGCCCTCGACGTCCTCGTGCTCGGGCTCGGCGTCGTCTTCCACTATGACTTTCTTTGCCGAGAGAAGGTCCGCCAGACTGCCGTCCTTGTGCATATTGATCAAGATGTCGCAGCCGCCAACGAATTCGCCGTCGACGTACAACTGAGGAATCGTTGGCCAGTCGGAGTATTCTTTGATGCCTATATGGGAAGGATGTTGGTTAGTCAAGGTGATCATGCCGCGCATCGATGCCTGGGGCTTTATAGAGCAGTACGGGTTTTGTAGGGGAGACCAGCAATGCCGACGGCCCATGTAAACGTCAGGGTTGGACACATACCACTTCTCAGCTCTTCGTCTTCCAGGACATTAAAAGCTGTGAACTTCCGCGGGTCTACGCCTTGCAGACCCAGAATCTGGATCGATGTCCGACTGAACCCACACTGCGGTGTCTCCGGCGTGCCTTTCATGAACAATACCACCGGCGCCGACGCTACAGCCCTGTCTATCGCCTTTCGTACTTCATTAGAGAGTAGTCTCGTTTGCGACAGCGAGGCGCCGATTCGTGGGAGGAGGCTGTATGAGGTGGAGGTCGGCCGCAGGGCGGCGAGGGCTCCGCGCAGGGCCTGTTTCAAGAGCAATTAGCATTCTCGACTTCGAAGCCTGGACATCGGTTTCTCAAGACGTACGGGTGCCCGGAGTGATCGCTGGAACATTTTGGTTTCTGTGATCTGGAGGATAGAACTGATAGAATGAATCGAATCGAATGCAACAAGACTGGAATTCAAGTTGCGGACTCGACGAGAGGCGAGTGAGTTTCGGTTGGAGCAAAATAATCATCGCCATCGTTAATAAATGGATGATGTCAAATGTTGACAAATTGACCGTCGCCGTTTCGCTTAGATATTGCTACAACACTTACTACGAGCAAGGTATCTATCTATCTGCCTGCCTATCTGGTATGTTGGCATTATATCCCTCATGATAGTGCTGCAAGCCTACAAATCCTTGGATGAACGTCGCAGAATGTCTTCTGCCGATGAACTCAAGTTGTAAGTCTTTTGGATAGTGTCGAGGGCTTTTGCAGCGCCCACCTTGCAAGCTGAGTGTTCCAGCTGAAAGCAGTATACACCAAGCGTATCATGCCTTCGACAGAGAGATTCTCTGCAGCTGCCTACGCCGATGACGGCAAACACCACATTCTTCTCGCAGCCAGCGGTTCAGTCGCAACAATCAAGATACCCCAGATCGCAGCAGCCCTCTCGCGCCACGGGAACGTGTCCATCCGCATCGTCCTCACCCATGCCGCCGAACAATTCCTGCAAGGCCAGTCGCACGAACAACCACAGCTTAAGTCCCTACTAGATCTACCGAATATCGACGGCATACACCATGATGACGAGGAATGGTCTAAGCCGTGGGTGCGCGGTGACAAGATTCTACATATCGAACTGAGACGGTGGGCGCATGTCCTCCTGGTGGCCCCCCTCTCCGCCAACTCTCTGGCGAAAATGGTCAACGGAATCAGCGATGGTCTCTTACTCAGCGTCATCCGGGCTTGGGATACTACTGGACTCGTGGACATGCGCAAAAAGAGGATCTTCGTCGCGCCGGCCATGAACACGGCTATGTGGAGACACCCGATCACCAGGAAACAGATCAAAGTCCTCGAACAGGAGTGGGGGGTTGGCGACGAGGGATGGATCACGGTCTTGCGGCCTATGGAGAAAGAGCTGGCTTGCGGAGATGTGGGAGATGGAGCCATGATGGATTGGAAACTGATTGTCGAATACATCGAGGTTCATTTGGGGCTTGATTCACAAGACGTTCCGGCGACGGTGCAGAAGACACCAGCCACGTTGAACGGAGGAGAGTGATGGTACAGTTCTGACACGTTCATGCCGCAATGGGTTGTACAGTGCCCTTCGACTCCTCTTTCGACCGGCGGTACAGGTAGTCACCGAGCAAGCCGACTGACATTGCTCCACCTGTGAGCCATGCTCCGTTCTTAAACCACCACCAACAATCCCTCACGTCTTTCAGGTTCACCCGCCGGATCATGGTGCCCAGCGTCAATGCCGCACCTCCGCAGCTCCCGATGAAGAAGATAGGTCCGGCTGCCGCGAAATATCCCGCTGTCGCGAGAAGGCCGACCTGGACGGTCGAGAAGACGGAAAGGGCGGCCTTTGCGTTATGCTCGTGCGCTTGGGCGATTGATTTGATGCCTGCTTTGGCGTCGTCTTTGATGTCCATGTAGGCATATACCATGTCGTACGTGAGCGTCCATGCCACACAGCTGGAATACAGGGCCGCCGCGGCTGCCAGGGCGGATGGATCGGACAAGAGATCAATCCCCAGAGCGGGAAAGCCCATGATGGCACCCCAGGAGAAAGTCAGGCCGAGAACAAATTGGGGATAGTGTGTCACCCGCTTGGCCAGAGGATAGGTGGCGACCAGGAGAAGACTCGGCACGCCATAGTACAAACAAGGCAGGGGGAATTGTAACAGAAGAGTCAAGCCAGTAAGAAGTTGGGCACCCAGATAAACAACCGCCTTTTCCACAGATATCGCTTTTCGTGCAATCGGTCGTAGCTGTGTCCGTTCGACGTGAGGATCCAGATTCCGGTCCCACAGATCATTGATGGTACAGCCGGCTCCACGCATGATCACGGCGCCGGCGAAGAATAATGCCGTCGTAGACAGCACTTCAAGTGGTGTCGCCATGGGCACTGCCATGGGTGCAGCCAGAAGGGTGGAAAACAGGCATGGATAGAAGAGATAGTAGGTTCCGGCTGGCTTGTCAAGGCGGATCAGCTCGGCGTACGGGATCCATGATGATGGGAGTTTGGAGATGATCCCGGTACTGGGTGGTTTGTAGACGGTAGGTAGGCCCTGCTGTGGAAGGTCTGGTGCTGGTGTGGTTGATGCCGAGGTCGATGATCGCCTCGACTGAGCTGTAGGGTACAATGTTGTCCATGAGCCGCGCGAAGTCTGGCACGACCAGTTGAATCTGGAGGTCTGGAGATATATGTGACTTGGGGCTGATATATTCTGAGAACGGCAGTACGCTGCTAGGTGACCGTACCTCGGAGTACATCTACTCCATAGAGCCCGGGCAAGCAGCACCATCTTTGTGAAACAAGTGTAAAAGCTGACGCGGGATATAATGTACTAGTAGTTGGAGATGGCGAGGCTGAAGCTGGTCAGGAGTATCTGGGATACATCATCGGTACACTGGCGACGACGGCACCAACTTGTGCTCGAGGTTTGGAGTCCAGGAGCTCACGTAGCAGACAAGCAGCGCCTGAGGTCGATATCTAGATCTTTTGCTTCAATAAACCTTTCTTGAGTCCACGAAGACGTTGATCCTGTTTCATCTGTGAAGGAACTATTTTTCCCCAGCTCGATATTTCCTTTTTGGGACTAGCGCCGTTCTGGCCGACTGAGAGTCGCGTCGCGCAACTTGAATTTCATTTCATGTCGAGTTGCGATTCAACTTCTTTGCGCCTTCACCCGACTCTCTGCCATTTGTTCCATCAGTACCTTGGACTCGCCTCCCGCACTTCACCGCGAAGTCACCTCCCTCTGTCTGCGACTCAGTCCACTTCACTGTTCGCAATCGCCTCACGAAACCTCTTCCAAGCCACCCCGCATCCTTTCATACTTTTGTTTCGGTGAAACTTTCTTGAAGGATGAAAAATATCTCGCGCACTTTCATCAGGAAGAGAAGACTGTTCAAGGAGTGATCTGGTGAGGACTGGTTGGTCCATATCTCACACCATGCCGTCGACACGACCTCAGGCGGCCTTTGAGCCTATCTCCCCCGACTTCGACGTGAAAGGCTTGGTCGAATCCACGCCGAACTTCGAGTGGGTGGTACGTATCCACTGCGACATGATTGACCATCAAGGGATGGAGAATTTTGAGAAGTTGGACTTGATTCATGTGATCCTCGGCGGCAAACCTCTTGTCATCGAAGGGTATGAATCCCGCCTGGACAGATGGACATTTGCGCTTCAGTGGCTACGGGACAATTGTGGCTCCAAAGGTGACGTCGCACGGGGAGATGGAGAGTGCCTAGCTGACTGGTGGTTGCAGTGGAAAACGCCCGAGATCTCACCAAGAAGGCCAACGTCCCCCTGTCAATCGGTCACTATCTCAATAACATGGCCCTTCTCACCAACCAGTGGACTCCTGAAAACTACAAAGATCCTCAACGCCAGCGTATGTACCTGAAAGACATTGATTGCCCGCAGTTATGGCACGACAAACTGTCGGAAATCATTCCTCCAGCTTTGTTCTACCTGAACGAGTCGACCGGGGACGTAGGTGGATTTGGAGCCGTCGACGAGAATGACCCAATCAGACCCGGGGTGAGGAAAGGAAGGGGAATTGCCAAAGCTGGTGATCTGATGAGCAGCCTACCGAAAGAAATGCGAGCCGAAAACCTGATGTGCTACATTGGCCACGAAGGCACGTACACTCCCGCGCATCGTGAAATGTGCGCCAGTCTTGGTCAGAACATCATGGTGGAAGCATCGACTGGCATGGTTGAAGACGGAAAGATCACCAAGCCCGGCTCTTCGGTCTGGTTCATGACGGAAAGCAAAGAGAGAGAAGTTGTTTCTGAATACTGGCTCTCAAAATTGGGCCACGACATCGAACTCGAGAATCATTTCGCACAGATCAACGCATGGAAGAACGCGCCTTTCAAGACCTACATCGTCGAACAGAAGCCTGGCGATTTCATCCTCATTCCTCCATTGGCTCCCCATCAGGTCTGGAACCGAGGTACTCGCACCATGAAGGTTGCCTGGAACCGGACAACGGTGGAAACCCTTGAGTTGGCGCTACATGAAGCACTACCCCGGGCCAGGCTGGTCTGTCGCGACGAGCAGTACAAAAACAAAGCGATTGTCTACTACACCATGCAGAAATACTCCAAGCTGCTTCGGACGGCGGAGAAGGTCAGACAGAAATCCGGGGGGTCCAAACACAAGACGCCTAGTGATGCCAAAGTGCGACAGCTGGAGAAGGACTTTCGACGGCTGCACCACCTGTATACGGAGATCCTGGTGTCGGAGAGTTTCCTGCCTGATCGGCCAGAGAAGAATGTCGAGAGGCTCACCTACGACAGCAACATCACCTGTTCATATTGTCGCTGCAACATCTTCAACCGGTTTCTGACATGCCCTACTTGCGTGGAGGAATTACCCAACGGCGAAGAGGACACGTACGATGTCTGTTTGGAGTGTTACGCCATGGGCCGGAGTTGTGCATGCATCTCTCATCTGAGGTGGGTCGAACAATGGTCCTGGGGAGACCTGGTCCAGAAACACGAACAATGGCGCCGTCAGATCCTCCAATATGAAGGTAAAGTGACTGACCGCTCCCCAGTCTCCCTCAAGACGGAGCTCGATCGACTGGGGAACAAGCGAACTTTGGCACAGATTTGTCAGTTGGAGCTGGCTCGTCGACCTTTCCATAACATCAAGCACCCGGAGCCTCCTGTCGCGGAGGAAAAGCGGTTTGAACATTTTGTGGATGCCAAAGGCCAAACACGGAAGAGGATGCGACGATCCGAGAAGTTCGAACGCGAGCATGCCAGGTGTCACATCGACTTCCATTTTGAACCTAGGTGGAAACAAGCCTCCTGCTCCAAGTGTGGCAAAAACTACTGTTATGGGACGCTATTCCGAGCGTATGATATGATGCCGCAAGACGTTCTGGCCGATCCAGATTGGCAGTGTCCCAGTTGTCAGAACATCTGTTCCTGTCGGCCGTGCCGCACGAAAGCCGGTTACAAGTACCAACCTTACACTCCATCCTCGACTTTCGTCGGGCACAACACGAAAGCGGTCGCCGATCCCAGGTCGGTGGAGAGCTTGGTCGACTTTAGTTATTCCAACTTAGGCTGGATCCAGAAGGCGGGTGATGACAATGGTGCCGATACTCGTCGTTTGAACCAACGCCGGAGAGAAGCCGACGCTGCCAAAGGCAATGATCCCGAACTGGGTGACGATTATGTCGATGGTGACGTGGGCATGAATGACGGTATCGAAGATGGCATCCTCCGCCTGGCACAGCATAAAGGCATTCCAGTCGACCCAGCTTTGGCGAATGGTGCTGCCGTACCCAATGGCTCCCCTGGTGATGAGGATGAAGAAGACGAGTACGACGAAAATCCAGAAGGAGCGAAGAACATGGATGTTACGATGCCGGCCGACGCTTACGCACCACAATTTGCGGTCCCGGAAGGCGGTATCCTTCGAAATATGGAACATGCGTACGATCCCACCGAAGCCATCACGTACGACTATCCGGATCCCGAAAATGATCGTCTTGTTGCAGTTCCCCTCGAAGAAGAGGCACCTTCACCGTCGGGCTATTACCCGGCCGTGGCCGAGGACAATGGGGAAATAGAAATGGTTGAGAGAAAACGGAAACGGACCAAGGTTGACGAAGGGGATCGTCCATATGGCTATAAGAAAGCCAACCCAGCCAAGGCCAAGAAGGAGCGAAGATCTCTGATCGTCAAGCTGCGCGTAAACCCCGAAAAATTAGGCGAGCTTGAGAAGCTGGCAATGATGGCGCGGCAGGCTTTGGATGGATTTGGAGCCCCTGCGCCAGTCATTGGTTCCGACTTACAAGCTCTCAATGCTTCGGCAGAAGGGCATCCTGGGGCCATGCCAAGGAGAAGTCGAGAGGTTGAACCTATTGAAGTCGACCAAGACGATGATTTTACACCGGGTCGTTATCGCGACCGTCGGAAGCGTACCGACGGGGCTGCTCTTCCTCCTCCCGATGCCGACATCACTCGACGTCAGACTCGATTACAAAATGTCCATTACGAAGAGCCCTCGGAGGAAGAATTCAGCGAGGTACTTCCAGAACCGTCGAAACAAGTAAGCAAAGAGACCCATGTCGTCCGATTGGATGATGCGGAATTCGACTTTGGCTCGGACTTGGTGTCAGCGGATGGTGGTGAAGGGGAAGAAGAGGATGCCGCATCAAGCCCACGGGTGGAGATAGGGCATGATCCTGCATTAGAGCCGGCACGACCTCCTACCGCCAAACTGACAGTTGCGCAGAAGATTGTGTCCCCTCGACGAGATTCCACGAGCGGGAAGAGCCAGAGCCCAGTTTCAGTGTCATCCTCAGTTCCTCCGCCGCCGAGCCGCGAGGCGACAAGACCTGCCCAGAAGACCTCTGCTGCGCCCTCCAAGTCTCTTTCTGAGGCTGCGGCGAACAGAAAAGCCAAGAGGGCCTCAATCGAATGGATGCAGAATGACAGCGAGGATCTGGACGATGTATGGTCTCAGGATTCGTTCATGGAGGACGACGGGCCTGCCTCGCCACCTAAAGAACCCTCTCCGCCTCCCAAGCCAGCGCCCCGGCCTGTCGTGTCGATCAGCCGGAAGAAACAGCTTCCCTTGGACAAACGACCGACTTCCAAACCTCCTCCAGTCACAGTCTCGGTCGACGCCTGGGTGGACAGTGATGATTCGGACGACGAGCCCCCGGCTAGAAAAGGACCCTCCTGGCCTTCTGTTAATGACAAAAGCGTCAGTCGTGTGGCACTGGCGAAGGGACCTCCGGCAAAGAAACGAGGCAGACCGCGCAAGTACGGTATCTAAGAACGAGGCTTTGTACTCGATCTGATAATGAGGCTTTGCACCCTCGATCGGGGTCGAGGCCCGAGGTTAGCTGTCTGCGTTAGCGTGATGCATGCATGCATGCATGCATGGATTCAGAAACAATGGGGGTTGGAGAGCGTTTGAGCATGATTATGATGATGATGAGCATGTCAGGGACGAGCGCTACCTTCGAACTCGAGCTTGAGATACTTTTCCTGGCAGTGGCTGCCCGCTGAGACAATTACATATCTCCCATGCCTCCTGTATTGGATGATAATCCTGATGTGAAGCAACTACCCAGTCTGTATGCTCTGTTCTCGTACTGTATCTGTCATTAGCAGCCGTAGACGGTGAGAGATGAAAGGACTTTGTTCCTGAGCAAGTAGTTGTTTTGTTGCATCCGTAGTAGTCTCGACACTACATAGTAGGATTTACCCCTTTTCGGGATCTTGCACAAGGCTGTGACTGTCTTGATGTATAAAAGCCGGAGATTTCGGGACCATAAACTCCGACCAGCCGATGACATAATATTGTACTACGTACCACAGTACGTACTAGTTTGTGCAGTGTGGCATCACGTCGCAGGTCGCAGCGCAGCCTGGCGTGCACTGGCAGTGTGGAATCGAATGCTGTCGAAATACTTTACTTGCCTTGACCTGGCGTTCACAGTTCACCAACTCTGCACGAACTTGAATACAACCTTCTACTAGAGGCCAGCTACATACAGCTCTGCAGTGTGTTTCTTCACTTGCATTAATTATATCCCGTTGTCATTGTCGTCCCACGAAGCTAGCCTCCTAAGCCTGCCGGTGGTTTCAATTTCGATTTCGTCCTTGGTGCTGGCCCTCCTCCTCCGCGACAACAATGAAGGGAATACGGTCCATGCCGGCGCAGAACGCCCATGTTCTGGAGCAACTCTTCCAGACCCGTCCTGCCCTCCGCCGAGCATTGCAGCAACTCCAACGACCCGGGCCGTCGCAACAGGTCTCTTCCTTCCGAACGGGCACGAGAGCAAGACAACAAATATCGCAGCAGCAACAGCGCGCATTAACGACGCGATCATACATCCATTCGCAACGACATTCTACCAAAACTCTCCGTTCTCAGAAGAGACCTTTGTCTTCTACAAATCCAATCTGGCAAGCGTTCCGCAGGCGCACCGGCACCGGCCGACGGACCTATTCCTCCAACACCACCGGAGCAGGAACAGAAGAGAAACTAAGCCTCTCACAACGGCTGAAGAAACTGTCCCGCGAATACGGCTGGTCCGCTCTAGGCGTATATCTCCTCCTCACGGCGCTCGATTTCCCGTTCTGTTTCCTCGCCGTGCGTCTGCTGGGCACAGACCGCATCGGACACTGGGAACATGTCGCCGTGTCGTACATCAAGGGCGTGCTGAAGTGGCCTGTCTCCAACCAACAGGCTGAGGAGGAGATCAAGAGTGCCACGGAGGAGCTGCAGAGGGCGGAAAAGGTCGGTGTCGAACAGGGTGCGAGTAAGAGGATCTTGGAGGAGGAGAGTCGTGAAGTGTCCAAGGAGGAGGATGAGGATGGTGTGAGTGATCATGGATACAAGGAGGCGGAGAAGGCCAATTCGGGTGCGAATGCTAGTATGTATTCCCTGCCTTCCTGTCCTGTCTTGTTTTGTTTTGTCTTGTCTAGTTTTGTCTGCCCTTGCTTCTACTATGCTCTGTTTTGTCATGTCTTGTTTTCGTCCAGCCCTTTGCTGGTACGATGGTGTTACAGCGCACAGTCTGATGTATCTGCTTCACCATATGTCCCGTCTCTGGGTCTGGGATATTTGGTTTCTCCTCCTTGAACTGGACATGCCCTGTCTCATCTCTACGTCCGTCTGGTTGACCAGCCGCTAACCTTCGTCTCTTGCAGGTATATGGACCCAACTTGCCCTCGCTTACGCCATTCACAAATCCTTCATTTTCGTGCGCGTCCCTCTCACAGCCGCCATAACCCCCAAAGTGGTCAAGACATTAAGATCTTGGGGCTGGAATATCGGCAAGGTCCCGAAGACGGCTGGCAGCAGCAGCAGCAGCAGTTCCGTGGCTGCCAGTCAATCCAGCAAGACGGGAGTCAACACCAAGGGATCGGGAGTCAAGCCAGACGATTGAGCTAGGGTGATAAAATACCGGCATTGGCTTTGGCGTTGACATTGATATTGACATTGGACCATAGGAGGTGTATTGACGGGTGCAACAAAATATTGGGTGGCAAGAAGCAGGTAGATACAAAAGTGAACCGAAGCGAAATGGGAGAAGAAAAGAAAAGTACGGATAGTTTCCTCACCACTCCATTATGTCTAATTGTGGCAAGTCATGTCTTGTTCACGGCCTTTTCTCATTTCTTTTCATGGAGGGAGAGGAGATAATGTAATAAGTTGTCAGACAACAGAGCCTATTTTATTAATATGGACACACCGTTGGCCTTGCTGTTCAAAGGCTTCGAATACAGCATGCATGCTTGCTCGTGCAATATATGCAGCGATCAGTGTAAGTGTACAAGTACAAGTACATGGGCTTTTGGATTCATTCCATATCCGCCATAACAACAGGGAGCAATACTTCGACTATGTGATGCTCATATCACTCCTGGGTGTCGTATGCCTCTCCTGCTGATTCTTTCTCCTTATACTTTCGCAGTCTCAATTTCCTTCAACTCCTTCCTTCTCCATCCAAGTTTTTTCCTACATCTCTCCTCACCTCTCTTAGCCTTTCTTTTTTTTTGACACTCTCAGAAAGAAATTGAAAGAGCAGAAAAGTATCCTGGTTCTGGTTCTGGTTCTGGTTCTGGCTCTGTCACACTATCATATCTTCGCTCCCGCCATGGGATCATTCGACGAATCCAATAAATGCAACACCTTCCCGTCCCTAGTTTTCAGACTCCACTCCAACGTCTCAAAGAAGGCATCACTTCTCTTCCGAATCGACACGAACTTGACCAGGGCCTGGTCCTTCTTCCCCTTCACCCAGAACGAGATATCGATCGTGCCCTGCATCGGCGCCAACTCGCCGCGGATCCAAGGGATGCGACTTGCGAAATAAATCTCGTCGCCGAGCAGTTCGCGCGCCTGTTCGTTGGTGCGCAGCGCATACAGGATCGCGTTGACGGTCGAACTGCTGGATTTCTGGTAGTTGAAGATGGCCAGGCTAGCGACGCCGATCAGCAGCGCGAACAGCGGGAGGGTTGTCGTCCAGGCGCCTCGGCGAGGGAGGTCGGGGAGGGCGCGGTCGGGTCGGCGGGACAGGAGAGGGCCGCTGCCTGCTTTGGGCGGAGGGACTAGAGGATGGATGATTTGCGAGTTGGGACTTGAAGAAGAGTTGATGGGGGAGGTGGAAGTGGATGTGTTTCGTTTTGAGAATGTCGTTGGTAGTGGTTTTGATAGTCTAGCTGTCCTCGTTGAGTATCGGGCGCTGCTGTGTGATGGTGATAGCGGTGTACGGGTACATGGACGGGTTGTTGTACATCTGGGCATAGATGTAGGGGTAGATGCTGGTATGCGGAAGATGCTGGTTCGTGTGCTTCTGTTCATGTTTGTGATGGTGCTGAGGCTGGCGCAGCTCTCAGCTGGGGTGTGTCGTTGCGTGGTGCGTAGGATGGAATGGCGTAGCGAGAGAGGCAAGCTGCGAAGAGCCAGTGGGTTTCGTGCCTTCATCGGCGTGACTGTGAAGCTCTTTCGAGCTTAGCAGTCTGGTTGGTACTGTTATGAGGCGAGAGGAGTGGATGATCTTGAAGGCAGGGATTTGGATACTGCAGTGCTGTAGGTATGCGACACAGGGGAAGAGGAGTTCCAAGTGGGATTCGAATGTTCTGTGTTAACTAGTACTTGTACAGTTGATTCCTGTGCAGACTCGAAGATGAAAGTTGCATTCAATTGAACTCCGAATCCGCAGGAGACTGCCAAGGCTCTGGATATTGTATTATGTCAGCACGCAAGGCTGAGAAACAGGGGCACAGCCTCGTGGCCTGATTGCTAAGGGGAGTTTTACCTGTTTAAGTGAGTACATGAGTCTGACTCCCAGTTGAAGCAAGGCAATGATTAACTCGTCGCTACTTGTAGACTCTTCAGATGTGCTCCTCAGACTTCACAGCTAGATATCAGGACATTCGACGGCGCAGGAAGATAGATCCACCGCTCATGTCAAGATATTTGCACTGACAAACGGGCCATCAGTATGTAGAATTATCACACATGAAAGTAAGTACAAACCTGACACTTCTTCTACAGATGGCAATATTATATTATCTTCTTGTACTTTTGTTTCCTCCAGATCTAAATCGAGAAGTCCACCGGGACGAGTTTTGACCACCATTGGTAGAATTCAGGCGTCTTGCGACCCTGGATCAGATCGTCGATGGCACTACCATACTTGATCAAAGTAGGCTCGCTCCAGGCCGTGCCGATCAGGGCCAGACCCACGGGTATACTATGCGCATTGTGCCCGACCGGCATGGTGACCATGGGATAGCCCGCGACGGCCGGAACACTGGTGGCACCACCGTTGGAAGGGACCAAGAGGGCATCGAGCTTGATGGATGTGCCGTTGGGGTAGGTGTACGACAAGGCAGCGTCGATGCCTTCTTCACGAGACACCCTATTGAGGTAGTCCAGACACTCGTAGTACGAAGAGTTCATTTCGCCCTTGGTGGCGGCGCTGGCGAGGAACCCGTCCTGGCCGGACTTGAACCCCGCGACGGTGCCGGGGATGCCGCCCTCGACGCCGGTGAATTCGATGTTGTAGGCGATGATGTCTTCGATGCCGCGCAGGTTGGTGTTGTTCAGTTCTGCCAGGTAGTCGCGGATGTTGTTGTAGAAGTCGACGTTGACGCGATACAGCTCGTTCAACAGCGGCGACGGCCCTACCGACCAGTCCCAGTCGTCCGGCGACAGGATTTCCCGGTAGTGGGGGAACTCGGTGCCGTTGATGATGGTCGCCCCCGCGGCTTCGAGGCGCTTGACCGCATCCAACAGCTGGGCCAGGTTGGCACTGTTGGCTGTTTGATTCCACAGCGAGAACCAAGGCAGACCGAAGACGGCGCCTTTCAGGGCGTCCTTGGTGGCCAGGAATTGCGTGTAGTTGCCGTCCGAAGGGCCCTGCTGGGCAGACGTGTAGTTGTCGCGGGTGTCGACGCCGACAATGGCCTCGAGGGCGTAGATGGCGTCTTTGAACGTTCGACCGAACGAACCCACCGTGTCCTGGTGCACGGATTCAGGGACAACGCCGTTCCGCGACGTCAGGCCAACAGTGGGCTTGAAACCGATGATGCCGGCTCGTTGGGCGGGCGCGATGACGCTGCCGTCGGTCTCGGTCCCGAACGCGATGGGGATCATGTTGGATGTCACGGCTTGCGCGGATCCAGAGGAAGACCCTCCAGTGGCGGCGGAGAGATTGAAGGCGTTGCGAGACTGCCCTCCGCGCGCCGAGTAGCCGGATGACTTGGAGTTGGATCTCATCGAGGCCCATTCGTCCAGAGTGCTCTTCCCCAGCAGCACAGCACCTTTCTGCCGGAGCAGCTTGACCACGTGGGCGTCTCGCGACACAATGGACCCCAGAAGAGAATATGACCCGGCAGTGGTCTCCATTTTGTCTTTGGAAGCGATGTTGTCCTGGTGGAGCGTGAGCGAGCATGGTCGAGGTTTAGAAACAAGAAATATCAGGTGCATACCTTGACCACAAATGGGATGCCGTGCAGCGGACCACGGACAGTGCCATTGGCACGCTCAGCGTCTCGCTCGTCGGCAATGGCGAGAACGTCCGGGTTGACTTCCATGATAGCACTGGGCACCAATTAGTACACGATTCCTCGCAGTTCCTTTCATACACGCAGAAGGCTAGCTGTCACTTACTTCACGTAGTCATTCAACTGGAGGATTCGACCCAAGTAGCACAGAGTCAACTGTCGAGATGTCAAGTTTCCGCTGCTCATCCATGCTTGCATCTGGTCGATGGTAGCCTCTTCCAATGGCACACCGTAGCACTTGGCCATTGGGAAGGGGTTGGCATCGCCCGAGATCCTCGAGTGAACGGTGCTGTTGGGATTGACCCAAGCGCCGGCATCTGCACTGGGGAAGTAGCTGCTGTCATTGGTGAGGTATGGTGTATCAAAGGACAGTGTGGAATTCAACCCTCTCACGACTGAGAAGGCATTTGCTGTGTGCAGTGTGGTCAAAATCCCGTAGAAGGCAGCTGTCACTTTCCCCATAGCTTTTTGGTGTCTGATGTCTGATGTCCGATGTTAAGGTCTACACCGCTCAGCCACGTCCGCTGGAGACATAGTCAAGCTCTTTATAGCCCGGCGAGACGGCCTCTAGTCCTGCATCCGTACCATGCACGCAGCTGGAGTCGATCTGGGGTAGACCGGCATGGTTGACTCCACCATCAAGGCTTAGAAAGCTTCCGGTCGTCGAGCTATTGAAACCTTGCCTTGGGCCAGTTCGGTCCGCCTGGCCCGAGTCGACAACGGACCCAGATGGCCTACCGAAAAAAAGGTGCCGAGGGCCCCGTACTGAGAACGTCCTTGGTTAGGCTGAAGCGGTGTATATGTCAGCCTACCTTTTGAGAAGTGGAAGATGAATATCGTCCAGAGTACGTATTTTGCCAAAAGTGTGGATTCTCCTATCGTGGGCGGCGCGGTAAGCCGACGAGGCTTTTGGTATCCATCCCAATCCAGTAACCGGTGTCCGTTATCAAGTGGGTCCCCAGTGGGCCCTATGGTCATTTCGGACCCAGCGATTCGGGCGGTCGAGGGATAGATGAGATATAGCAGCACTTAGCCGGCCTCCGACTGTCAGTCTATCTCTGTTGGCCAGCTGGGCTAGCCTGAGTAGAACGTCATCAGGAACCTGGAAGAAGACAGGCTGCCAGGTGGACCAGCTACTTCTCAAGACAGCAACTGGAAGAGTCGTTGTGGCCTGCACACTTCCTGACCTCTCGAATCCTAGCCTATAAAGTCGGCCGATTGAGGGATTCCTATTCCTCCATAGTCTGGATCTCTCCGACCCATCCTGTGAGCTACCACGAAAAGCGACCTGCTGTGGCCTGAAAGGCTTCATCACTAGTCTTTCCCTCGGGAAGCTTGCTGCAGCCGCTCTGCAAAATCATCCGTGTACCCACTATCCAAATACTCGACGACTTCATCGATCAGATCTCCGTCTTGGCTCATCGTCAAGATGAAGAAATACTCGTTCTCATAAGGGCCGGCGTCCGTGTCAGCATGACTTTTCAGATGCAGCACGACCTTCCGCTTTTTGACGTCAATCACGGTCTCCGCCTCGTCGATGTTGCTCAGTGTCAACTCTCGATAGACGGACAGGAGAGGCTTCAAGAATCGCGCGAACTCGACATTGTTCTTTGGCTTTCTGGCTCTTGATGCCGGCAACGTCCGGTGAATGCATCCAGAGCTACGCACCGATAAGATCGAGGCAATGGTCCATTCGTTGTATGCGCGGATGAACTTGTCGCTGGTTGAGAGGAGCTGCGCGCGAGTGGGCGCCATATATATAGATAGAAAACGGTAAGTCGATCAAGATGTCAAGTCTGAGCTTCTGCTGCTCGTCCATGAATGTGTTTACCAAGTTCCCAAATATGCTGCGATTACTGTAGATCGTGGTGAGAAGAGACCGATACGATGCTTCTGATAGATGTCAGGGCTGGCCTGCCCTGACATCATACATATATACAAGCATTCTACATTCTACAGAGGCACCCAAGTCGAAGGGTGTAGAATGGGATTGAGAGGTACGTACTAGTAGCGAGCTGGGTACATGCCTCCCCAACGACAGGACCTTTTGCTTCCAAGAACCAATATCTCGTCTCCTACTGGACCAATCCAAACCCAATGCCTATCCATACACCAGCCCCTGCGGCGAATATACTCGCCCACCCCGGCCCACGCAGCCTCCAAATCTCATAGATATCAACGACACACAAGACCAATCCGCTGAGAATGACCGATCCCATGGTCCGTGGGTTCTCTTGGTAGTCCAGCCAGGCGAGTGCAATCCCGATGCTGAGATCACGGGCCCCAAGGAGGAGCATCGATGTCGAGACGGCGGCGGCGTGGTTGTCTCTATCAGTCGGCAAGCTGGAATTTTTGCTGGTTTCTGTGCCTCTGCCTTTATGGCGGTCTGGTGTAGTTGCTGTGTGTGAAATCCCCGAACTGCCGTCACTGCTGTCTGGATATATGCCGAAGCATTTGGCCGCGAGGTCTGGGCATGTGATGGCGAATGTGCCCAAGCCAATGTAGCTTGTAGCCACTGACAAGCCGAGGACACGCCAGGTGGATGGTGAGAGATCCATTCTGATTGAGGATGGAGGATGGATAACGGACCTAATTACGAGTCAATGGTTGAGACGCAAAGAGCTGTTCTCAGGAGTGATGTTCCCTTGATGTTAGTAGCGGGAGACGTTGGAATTTGATAGTAACAAGCCTACCAGCGAAAAGCAGAGAACATAACGTCTTGGGACAGGCAACAGCTCTAGATACCCGGGTGTCGGGGTGTCTGTGTGAGCGATTTAGAATCCCACAGAATACGAATACGATGCGTGACATGTCGACGAAGTTTGGGACAACCTGTATGGCTCAAAGCCTTGGTGGTCCGCGAGACTCGAACACCAATACAGCCAAGGAAATGGTACAAGCAAATGGTATATCGCGGCACGTTTTATGTAGCCGAGGATGGATCTGCCCTGAACCTCTATGATTCCCATCGCTCAAAGACGAGGCGTCGGTTTGATCAAATCCCAAATAGCCCTTGAATTGCTCTATTAAGCAAATTGCATCGGGAAGATTGATATTTCGACGAGGACGACAAAGTGTGGTGCATTCCATTGCATGAGCAATGACGCGCGTAGCCTGTGTCAGACTGCAGACCCTTTCCTTTTTCTCTGGAACATTCTGCAGCTATGGAGGAACTCTTTCCATATGTCTGCTTTCCTTGGCCGCAGGCAGAACGACTGTAGAAGTCGCAAGCGGCACCATTTCCGTCCCCACCTGCTCATGTCCATCAAGTAACCGCCTCTCAAGCGAATGCTTCTCCGACACAATGTTCGACAAGCGAAAGTCCCGATATCTCTCCATGAAGAGCAAGAAAGCGAAGCTAGTATGTGGCATCTTCGGGCATCTCAAGTTTCGTGCGTCACGCTCATGACATATCTCACGCCATCTTGCCCCAAGGCACTCACCACAAACTGACTTGCCATATCGTCGTCCTGAGCGGCCACAGGTGCCTCACTGTACTCTTGGTACCAGTCCTGCCTGTGCTCACCACTCACTAGTTCATGCCTCGCAGCAGACACAGCCGCCTGCTTGGAGAGATATATTCCCCTGATCTCCGTATGGACCGAACCCGAGCGGCTCTGGATTGTGCGTAGCAAGTAGAACAAATTGTCCCAGACTCTGCCGTCGAAAGGCTTAGACCGGACCCCAAGTGAATTCGGTGTGGACTGTATCTCGACGTCATGAATCTCGTCCCCCTTGCGAGCGTGCACAAGGACATTCTGGCCATATCGCCACGATGAGGACAGCGGGCTGGTGAGATCGTTCTCGGCGTACTCGTTCAGTACGGATCGAGGATAACCTTCGTCTTCGAGTCGGTGCAACCCAGCCGTTTGGGCCGAATCCAAGTCGGTATAGGTTCCGCAGATTTCCGTGTGGATGGACGGCGGAGAGTTAGTCACAATGGTCCGCTTGACGTGGAAAAGATCAGGGACTAGAGATGTTCGGCGCGGCATGATGGACATGATTGCAATCGTGACTGTTTTAAGGGGGGCGGAGATGAGCTATTCAAACTTGACCATGAACCTTCTCACCACGATAGACAGAGAAAGCTTCGAGGGAATGGACGCAGCATTCTCTGCACCACAGCCCCTCTTTTGCAGTTTTTCTCTCTACATCTTCTTGTTGCTTGCACGGATCACGAAGGAGGGGGTTGCGCGAAGATGATAAGCCCGTCAGCATGAAACTTATTCGACTGCACTCCTGGTCGGGCAGCTCTCGGAAGCTTTAGACCAAACGTTGATAAGCATGGAAGAAACCCCGCATGCTTTGCTGAACCGTATTTGTCTCTTCCGTCATACAAAGTCGCACAAGGTTGAGAACAGAAGGGATGAGGGGGTAGCCGTAAGGTGGTCTGTAGAGAAGATAGAGCAACGCATTTTTGTTGGATGCCGCTGATTCGCAGATACGTACAATCAGGAGACGAATCCGGCGACGGCGATTGAGTTTGGGCTCTGAAGGGGGCGACAGGAGCATTGCATGGCAGGCTCGGTCATATCTGTTGGACAGGAGACGCTGCCAGAAGTAGCAGCATGTGTTCCGTCCACATCTGGAAGCGAAGACACGAGGCTGGATCAGAGTGACATGACATGAACTGAGGAAGAACATGGACCTGAAGAAGCATGTCGTCGCAGGCAGGTGGAAGCTGTGGTAAGCAGGATGACTAATATCTTAGTCATCCGGCTGCGCTGCCAAGTCGCGATATTTCCATTCGCCTGCCATTCAAGTTCAAGAGTTGAACAGCAAGCAGCTCGAGTCCAACGACACCCTTCGAACTCGGACCTAGCGAAAAGATTCTTCGATCAGACGTTGCGCGCGTCTCCGAAGATGCCTCCGACTCCCAGCAACCTCCTAGCCGTCCCTTTACCTCCTCCTTTCCTCCTCCCTCGCTCTCTTCTCCGAAAACCTCTCGCCGGCTGCTCACAGAAACGGACGTTTGGCATCAAATCAATAGAACCGCAACCTAAACACAACCCTTACAATGTGGTGTCCGGCATTAAGCCGCTCCTATCATCGCAAGCTGCAGCCTACGAGCGCAGAATAAAATCCGACACGCTTCCCTTACGAACCGGAGCTCTAGCCATCAAAAAGGGCATGACCGCAATATATGACGTTGAGACGGGGAAGAGGATACCTTGTACCGTTCTACAATTAGACCGGAACGAGGTGGTGAGCCACAAGACGCGGAAACAGCATGGCTACTATGCTGTCTGTGTGGGCAGTGGGTCGGTCAATCCCAAAAACGTGGCCAAGCCAATGCTGGGCCATTTTTCCGTGCAAGGCGTCAGCCCGAAACGGCATCTGCAGGAGTTTCGTGTCAGAGGTCGGGATGGTCTCTTACCTGTTGGCGAGGAGATCCGGGCGAATTGGTTTATGGAGGGCCAATTCGTGGACACCCGCTCGAACTGCAAAGGAAAGGGTTTCGCAGGCCCCATGAAGCGATGGGGGTTCCACGGTCAGGATCGAAGTCACGGTCAATCCCTCAGTCACCGATCCCATGGTTCGCTGGGTCAAGGACAGGGTGGTGGTAGTCGTGTGTATCCTGGTAAGAAGATGGCGGGGAATATGGGAGGTCAGCGGAATACGGTGCAGAACCTGAAAGTACTGCAGACCGATCCTGAGAACGGCATTGTGGTTGTCAATGGTAAGTTAGCCTTCGGTGTGCCTCTATGATTTGTGGCCAGGACTGACTGTGGTGATATTAGGTGCCGTGAGTGGTCCCAAGGGCTGTGTGGTCCTGATTCAAGATGCTCTGAAGAAACCCTGGCCTCAAGTGCCGGATGCTCCGAAACCATCGGAAGTCAATGCAGAGCTGTGAAATGCGGTGTACGCAAAGACTGAAGCATAAACACTGCCGCGGCTTTGTTGGACCATCAATGTATCATCAGCCGGAAGGGATTGGCCTGGATCAGCTCGGACAAGAGTAATCTTCACGCTCTATACCGTCAGGACACGGAGAATACAAGCCATATTTGTGTTATAGCCCGGTTCTTCGAACGAGGAGCTGAAGCTGTCACATCTGTCCGTTCTCCTGGCACCTGTGAGATAATTCTGACCTCGTTCATTCATGTCCAAGATCCTATATAGCTGGCAAGGCGGAGGAGAATCTTTCGCCTCTATAATCGGGTGTGTGTTGTTCTATGACCGAGCCTCCTGGCGCGAACATTGATTAAAGTGTTTAGCAATGGAATTAGTGCGGGGCGAGAGGTACACTGTTGACCTGATAGCGCGAACAATTTTTCAGTGGGAGGTATGGTGTACCTCAGGTCACTTTCGAGGAAACATTTCTACTTGCAGGTGTGAGCAGAGAATTGATACTGTGAAAGTAGTCTGATCTGCCCTGGTCTTTGTCCATGGAATCCAGTGGTATAGGCGCAATGCTAAGTGGTGTCTCGTCTTGCTTTGTCTTGCTTTGTCTTGCTTGATAGTACAGCCTCTCATCTACTTGGTCAAGCGTTCACTCCTCTCAATACTATGGGGTTATGTCCCGGTGCTCTATAGCCCACACTTTTGTCTTAAAGACACATTTCAGTTTGTTCCCTCGCGCATTTGTGGAGGTATATAAACCCATCCATTCGCATTCAAAAATTCACTCCAAATCATTCTATGCTCCCTTATAGTCATACCTCAAAGCCTGTAACTGACTCAACCCGGTCTGGATCTCGCCCATACTCCTCTTTGCCATGTAAACCATGGCGAAAATGACAGGCGGCAACAGCAGAAAAAGCCACAGGCCTTCAGGGACGTCCGGCCTTGTTTTCGCATTTGAATTCGAATTCGAACTCGAATTGGAGCGATACACCATCGCAGCCAGGAACAAGAGAGCACTGATCGCCGCGTTGAGCAGGGGCAGATATCGCGTGATAGGACTCCCAGCACTGTCTGAGAGAAGTAAAGTCGGAAGGCGCCGGCGCTGTGTAATGGGACCGCCGGATGTTGGCGCGAATATCGACGATGGAGATCTCTGTGAGGGACCCGAGGCGCCACCGCCGACATTAGGCTTGGAGTTGGAGCTGAATCCGGCATCAATGTCAGTGATGGGGACGAAGTACATGATATAAGCGCTCGCCATGAGCGACGTGATGCTCAAAAGACAAAGCGTGGCCATGGATGCCGTGGTCGATAGTGTCAAGTACCGCAAGAACGGGAAAATGACGATGAGTGGCAGACCGGTCAGGACCAGGGTGTATTGTCTGTTGGAGGCCGACTCGGAGGCTTGGAGGTTGGTGAGGAGGTGTTCTTGTTCTGTGGGAACACAGAATGTCAGGGATCGGTGTCATGATTGAGAGATAAGAGTTGATTACCGCCGTATATCGACGAGTATTTCAGGGGGAAGTAAGGAGTTTGAGGCAAGAGATATCTTTTCAGGATGTAGGAAGGGCAACTGAATATGTAGGGAGCAGAGGGTATGTGACAGCAATGCAGATGTTGCAGCCATCTTCGGTCAGGAGTTTGAAGCAACTCATTCCATCTCCATCTTCATTGCTGCGTCTTTTATCCATTGCAGAGGGATTCTAAGTATCAAAGGATGGGGAATCAGAAAAACAAGTCAGATACATACACACCTTCTTCATCCATTTCTTCAGGTGAGAGATCAGTCCCGTCATCTTCGTCGCTGGAGTACCTGAATGCTCGTCGGAGGCGAGCTGCCGCACGAGCATTTCCTGTTTCCATGATGTCTTGATCCTCGGGTTCAGGGTAGCATGCTCTGAGTCGCCGGTGGACTATTGCACATCTAGTTGGTATTTACCTCGCCCAGGTGAGTCGCAGCAGGTTGAATGGAGGTCTGACCGTCGCCCTGGCTAAAACTGTGAGCGATATAGTGACATAGGAGGCCTCTTGGGAGAACCCTGAGATGTCTGTGTGACAAGTGAGATGGCCCAAGTAATATATTGCTTGGGCTTGTAAAGCAACGAAGTGAATATCCTCAATTTGAATAGCGGTCTTTTGCCTACGCCTCCGCGCTGCCTCTTTATCTTTAGTACTAAATCACTCGACTTAGTGCTACTAGACACTTTAGTCCTTTTTTCTACTAGACCAGCTCCGAGTTTAGTCTATTGCGAACTACCAGCGGAAGGTATGGCGAGTGCATATTCGACCACCTTCTACTCTGTATGTGCACAGCTCGTCCACTATGAGGACTCCTACATTCGCATGACATTCACCATATCAAACTCGCAAGACAAATCTGTTGGGTCTCACATATCAATTCGCCTTTATCGGGTGAAAGGGTCTGGGAGTATATGAACTTTTTTCTATCTCGTCCCTGTGGGTATCAGTACAGTTGGTCTCTTCCTTTCCAGAACACTGTAGACCTGGTATGAAATGTGAAAGAATATTGCTGCAATGATGTCCGTCTACACTGGAGTCGCGAGGTGAAAATCATACTTCGCCACCTATCTGCTCTCTTTCATGACCGAGACCATGTACCAGGCTCAACAGGAAACGCCGGATAGAACAAGAACAAGGAGAAATCTTTTGTTTTGTCAAGTCGAGGGAAAGACAGAAACCATCCATTCCACTAGGATATGGGAACTTGGATTGCATCCGTTGGTCCTCGATGTTAACCGGCCTCACGACCAGACCAGTACCGCGAGGTGTTTTCCGGTCAGCAGCGGCGCATTTGTTTGCTTAGCCTGCTTTAGGCGTCCATTCCGTTGGAAATATATCACATGTCGACCGTCTCGTTGAAGCGCAAAATCCCATTCGGCTTCATGATTCCATTGACACCTTCCGGCATCATCGTCCATCCTGTCGCAGGCTGAGAAGGAGGAGCCTGAACAAACTGATTATGCTGCTGTCGTCCAGTGCCAGATGTAGTGGTCGTAGCAGAAGCAGCAGCGGTTTCCGAAGCGTCCGAGACCAACACGAGCCCTGCTTCTCGAATGGTCTCGATCAACGAGGGCACCATTTGTAGAATCCGCGACGAGCACGTCATGCCCATGAAGTTGTTCATCTGCGCGAGACGGGCGGATTCTTTAATCGAGGTGCCGTGGCTGTGGCCACCAATGGCGTTCGTACCGTCAGCGGTGACATGAATGTCTCTGCTCGCATTGCCAATACCTCCACCGCCACCGTCACCCCTAACATTGCCGCTACCGCTGACACTCACACTAGCATTGCCGAGATCATTACACAGCAAGACAGGGAAATTGGGTTGTTTCCAATTCAAGGCCGTGCAGACATTCGGGTTCCCTGAGCTGAAGACAATCGAGCGAGAGAGATCTGGCGACTGGGCTCGTAAAGAACGCGCATGGTCGAAGACCTCGGTCAAGATCGAGTCGGCGAACGTATTGATGTCGATGCCGGAATATACACCCAGCTCAGGATCTTCGTGGTTCATTGGGTACAGAATGTGCAGGTTGAAATTGATCTGGGCGGGGACTGCAGCTAGGACCTCACGCAGCGCAAATATCGGACCGGTCAGTCGATCGCGCCAGTCCATGATGTCGATGCTGCGCAGTGTCGATGTGCCATCGCTTTGCAGGAGGCTGCTGCTATTGGATAACCCGAGTTTGTTGAAGACGTCGAATGTTACCTGGGAGATGCAGACGTCCATGTTGTTGTAGGGGATGAAGTACGATGGATAGATCACAGGGATGCCGTCACGGGTCAGCTGGACCGTCAAGCGCAAGTAGTCCCCAGACAGACTGGATCCTGTTACGAGTCCGCCATGGTCGTCGAGCGCGCTTGTAGCCTTCCAATATGTGGCGAACTGGGTGATTTCCAGTGGCGTGCCTCGGTATGGTTTGATGACTTGGAAACTGAATTGGATTTGACCGACGCAGCGCAATCTTGGGTCGAACAGTGGCAGACAACACGTTCCGGCACTGCTTTCGATTGCTCGGAACAGGTCGGGCAGGGCCACCGATTTGGCAATGACTTTGGAACCGAACGTCGGGAAGATTTCGAAATCCACAGCAAAAGTGCTCAGTGTGTCCACTTGGAAATAGACCGATCGAGAGTCCTCCTGGATAGGCAACATCAAGTTGCGAGGGATGAGATCCGAGGTTTTCGAGGAGATGGTCAAGCGGGCAGCGGGATATCGCGCTTCATTGAAGAACTGAATGGCCTGCGCCCCGCGGTCGAAATTGATCGCAATGAACGTCTTGGTGTCCAAGAAGTTGTGACCATATCGGCGCATGGGGATGATTGGTGGGGGTAGTGAGAGGTCAGGGATCCCGTCTACCTCTGCCGGCGCCGGCGCGTCAGGAGTGATCTCCATGGCGTTCAACTGATTGTGTGGAGGGACGAAGGTGCCGAGCCTGGAAGAGGACCGCCTCTCCGCCTGTCGATGACTGCTACGTTCCCACAACAGATCCATACACTCCAAATGTCCTTCCCATGTAGCGTAGTACATTGCCGTCAGACCCTTCTCGTCAAGGGCTTCAGGATCGGCCCCGTTCTCGAGGAGGACGCGCAGGCAATCTACGCGACCTTCGCTGGCCGCGTGGAACAACGGCGTCCATTGATATAACTTGTCACGCTGGTTGAGGTCCGCTCCATGTTGTCTGAGAAGGAGAAGAAGCGCTGCCTCTTGACTCGATCGGGCGACCAGATGTTGTGGGAAGAGACCTTCTGCGTCGGGAAGTAATTTCGCCCTCCGCTCCAGCAGCATCTTCGCAATGTTGACGCATCCGTGTTGACAAGCCAGATTCAGTGGAATATGGTCAGCGTCTGAATCAGGATCGATCCTAGCATTATGCTGGAGGAGTAGGCGCACACAGTCGTCCCGGTGACGCACAATACTGTGTATAAGAGCGGTAAAGTTGTCGTGGTCTTTCATGTCGATAGTGTTGGGTCCGTGATCGAGCAATCTCTGCACCATGCCCAATCTTCCTCTGATACATGCATAATGCAGTGGTACTCTTCCATAGACATCCAATCTTGTCGGATCGACCTCGTGGGTCAAGCCGTATTCTAGGACAATCTCCTTGCCGTAGATGGTGGCCTCATGTAGACAATTGCGCTCGTTAATGTCGTCCTCGGCGTTGATGTCGACGAGTCCAGATTCTAAGAAGACACGCAAGGACTCGTCGGGTGCTTCACTGATCGTGGCAAGAAAGATTCGCGTGAATCTTTCGCCAGCGTCTGCTGAAGCACTCAGTCTTGCGATCCATTCGCGCAATGCGCCGATATTGCCGGCTGCAGATGCTTGAAGAATTTGCAAATCAATATCACTTTCCTCGGTGCCAACGCGCTGCCCGATCATTCGGTCTGTAGATCTCGGAACTTCATCCTGGGTATTCTCGCCTTCAGCAAATGCCTCAAGGTTGAGTCTAGCGGTAGTAGCTCGGTCTGCGAAATCTCGAAGCACGTCACGGTTGAAACATGGCTGGATTTCGACCGCACGCTGTAAATAGATTTCTTTCGTTCTCGACTGACACAAAATTAGCGCGCGTCAGCATGATTGTAAACGGTTTTGCACCTTTGACGTTTTGTCCCACTGCAAAATATCAGTTTCTGTCCCCAAGGGGTGAAAGCCGAACAAACCTTTTTGAGAATTTTGGAAATAGCCGTTTCGTTGACTTCAACGAAATGCTAATGAATGTCAGTTTTTGAGTTTCCCTTCAGCTTCGCTTATGGCGCACTTGAAGTTTGTTTAGATCATTATCGAACTGTTGAAACCCCTCAACTAAAGTCGCAAAACTGGCAGAGAGCCTGGAGTTGGAAGCTATTCTTGCTAAAATGACTCGTTTCTTATCGAGTAACGTTTTGAGCCGGAGCGAAAACTGGTGAAATTAGCATGAGCTCTGAAATCCGCTCATGAACATACCTCGGCTTCTTTCTGAAGATAGAAGACATTGACCTTTTCTATCTCACGTTCCTAATCGGTTTATGAGCCTCTGTGGTAAGAATTGGGCGATCTTTCACCCACCAAACGAAAGAAGAAGACTTCTTTGTTCGCCCGGAGGGCTGACTGCGTATCTGAGGCAGCTCCTTGAGCACTGATGGTCGGAGTGGCGCTGAGCTGCTTAATAAGCTGAACCAATTGTAAGCAGACTCCCAGGATGAGAGCATTGACATTGTCAAACCTTCTTCAGAGCCTTGTAGTTGAGAAAGCTGGCAGCATATTCAGGAAGATCCAATTGCTGGCGTTGGATTTGCTTTCCAAATTTCCTGATCCTGAGATTAATCGAGGTCTCGACCGTGGGAGATAAGTGTCATACATTGTTCTTGTGACGGCCGGTTACGGACTCGGCTCGATCGCAATTGAAGAGAAGTCAGCCAACCTTAAGAGGCTCAATATAAGGTTGGTCCCTCCAGAGAGCCGCAGGGCTGAGTCAGCGATCGATAGGACCAGATAGAGATGGTCCAAGGCGAGATATGTCGTGCATCGGATTTCGAGAGCGTTGGAAGAAGGGTCGGTCTGGAAACGCGCTGCTATCGAAACAGCAAGAGCAAGACGGTCTTCACGGGAGTTCCTTCGCGTGCTCGATTTTTTTCCAATCTCAAATTGCAGTGCGCCGTTACCGTAACCAAGAAGAGAAAAGAGCAAGAAGCAGCTAGTTCGGCTCGTTTGCTGAGTTGATATGGAAAGTTGGGATGAGAATGGTGGGTTACACCAATCAAAGCCCTAGAAATCGGCACGCGGTCCTATTTTGTAGATGGAGATGATTGTGACACTGTCTGATGCTTGGAGCCTTCGGTTGTCGAGCACACCACTCCGAGCGCGGCGAAATCGAGGTCAATGGTCTCTCAGAGCGTTAGCAAAAAAGTGTGGACTTAGATTTCTGTACGTCGAGGCTACAATGCGGTGAAAAGTTGTCTTGGCCGTCTTGATTCTCCAGCATCAATGGAATAATGATGATTGCTAGTAGGCCATTTTTCCTAGTACCGGGAGCAAGTCGTGAAGCAGCAGCCAATAAGAGGCGCCCAAGAGCAGTAATACATTGAGTCATGATACAGCCTCGGCCATCGCATCATGACTCGCGCGAATTGTGTATCATGTGACCTCTGGACGCATTTCCGGCGATAAGGCGACTTTCCGCATGCAGGCAGCTTTAATCCAACCATCACGTTTGTTCTTGGTGCATAGATCTTTGGATGTCCCAAAAGGGGCTGCACGCGACTTTTCGATAGTTGCACTGGGAAAAGTGCCATTGTTAGATCTCGTATACCCTCTCCTACGTGCCGCAATCTGCCAAACAGGACGACTTGGAATTTGACAGGACACTCCTTCAAGCACACTGTTCCAGCGATGACGTGCAATTGCTCTACGTCGTCCATCCCTTGAAGCAAACGCACGGGCAGCGCGTCCCCCCGAGCCTCAATCGAGTACATACCGCGACTCTTGCTCATTCTCTCCTCTTTTTTTCTATCTCTCTTATCTCTTGCTCTCTCTCCTCTTCATTGTCACGTCGACTTCCATCTTGACTGGTAAAGTGTATAGAAAATCAAGTCAGAAGTCCGTCCCAATGGCTCCTATACCCGTCCATACGGGCTCGCCCATCAACACCAACATCCCTTCTTATCCAGGCGGCGCCTCACCCAGCACCGCAGCAGCACGATATACTCCTGGGGATCCCCAGCCAACACCAACGACGGCAACCACGACATCGGCTCAGAATGCTTCTCCTTCAAGCTTGCCCGCCCGACCTGGCGCTCCCGCTGTCCCACAGCCGACAAACACGGCCTCGAGCACTTACAATCACAGGCTCGAACCAACAACAACCGCGGCTCTGCCTACACAGAGCACGCACGTAAACGACAGTCCTCCACTGCCGCAACCCGGGGCGCTTCCTGTTCCATCGCTGTCTAGCAATCAATCTCCCAAGCTCTCGATTCCCCCTCCGCCGCAGCCTGGTCAGATGCCGCATTGGAGCCCTTCGAGTGCTTCACCTATCCGCCACGCCGTCCCGTCCCAAACGCCCACCCACTCTCGCCCTGGCCCTCTCTCTGCTCATCAACACTCGCCCGCTCTCTACACTCCTGCTCGCTCCATTCCGCCGGCGGGCGTGACTTCGAACTACCCACAAGACCTGTCCCATCCTCCTGGATACATGCAGGATTCGAGGGCCTCGTTCGACGATAAACCCATTGAGTTCTGTCAGCCGCTTGAGAAGCGCGCAAGTCCCACATCCTCAAATAGAGGTGGAATACTGGACGCCGAGCCTACTTTGGAAACAGGGTTCGACGAGGAGCCAAGCGTGCTGGGCAGTGCCTTGGCTTGGGCCAAGGCGGCAGGAAAGAGATTGTCGAAGACTGAGGCGCAAATATGGAAACAAATCAATGGCGACAGTAACAACTAGTTGGGTATGTCGAATGGATGGATTCTAGACAAGTGTTTGGCGGAAAGATCAAATCCGATCGCAGGCGACACCACCACAGAAAGTACAGCAGCCGATGCGTTCGAAGCATCAACTAAGGTCGCAGAGCTAGGAGTGTTTCTGCCGTCGTCTCGGTGAGTCTGTATTTGTACACGATAGCCAGGACACTTCAGCACGGGTTGGGTGGGGTCAAGCGCGGATGAAATCTAGAGGATGCGCATATCATGTTAGACAAAAAACCAGAGGATCACACTGGCCAGTCTAAAGGGACAAGCACGCGAATTCAAAGCAAACCCGCAGGGCACAAGAAACCGGCTGCTGCAAAAAGACTAGGCAATAAAGTACAATCGGGATTTGGAGTAACAACGCAGACGTCCAGGCGAGAAGAAAAGCGCATGAAACCAGTGTCACAACCCATTCGAGGGTCAGCAAGACCAAGCGTGCGCTCACTGCGGTCTTTCGTCATATTGATGCCCGTCAGGTTGCCTTGGCTGTCGCGCGCGCCGCTGTAGTCGTCGCTGAACCCGTCTATTTGCAGAACCTGTGTTGCTCTTTCTTCATCCCCTTCTCCCCACGCAAGCAAACCCTTAGCTCAAAGCTCGGTCACCACCCCTAGACACCTTCCAACTGAAGGCCAACCGTTCACCCATATCACTTTCCGTGCGTTGCAGGCTACTATGCAGCGATATTTTCTGCATATGGCTAGCCGCGAAATCGCTGGTAGATCGAGGTGAGACGTTTAGCCGGAGCCACCCTTGAATTTCTTTCCGAAGATAAGAAGTTGGGCCTCTGTGATAATATTAGCATGCAGCGCTTTTGAATCGAAGTCAGAAACACGTACGGTCGTAGATGGAGAGCACACCGGCACCGGCGACACCACGGAGGATGTTGGCACCAGCACCCTTGAAGAAGGATCGGATACCCTCAGCAGCCATGATCTGCTTGGCAGCATCCAAAGAACTCTTGTACTTGACAGCCTGCGAATTTTGGTCAGATATCATATAATTCAGTGGACATCGCAGCCACGTACCTCGCCGGATGTCATCATCATGCGACGACGGATGGTATCAAGCGGGTAGGAAGCGATACCAGCACCAGTGGTAACACCCCAGCCGAGCAAGAAAGAAGCCAAGAAGTTACCCTCAAGAGGACCGACCAGGAGAACGGGCTTGATGGAGTCGTACATGCCGAAGTACAAGCCACGGTAGACGATTATACCAAGAACGGAAGGACCGAAACCACGGTAGAGACCAGCAATACCATCAGAAGCCAAGGTCTTGCGGTAGACATCGACCAAACCGTTGAATTGACGCTCACCACCCTTCTTGGCGGACTTGGCATCGTTGGCAAGACGAGTACTATTTCGATCGCATTAGTACGGGTTCGGGGCAGCCTGAGAGGTCAGATCCAATAACATACCGAGCATAGTCGAGAGAGTAGACGAAGAGAAGAGAAGTGGCACCAGCGGCACCACCAGAGGCCAAGTTACCAGCCATCCACTTCCAGTAACCGTCGCGCTCCTTCTTGAAGGCGAACATCGACTTGTAGGTGTCACGGAAAGCGAAGTTGAGGGCCTGGGTAGGGAAGTATCGGATAACGTTGGCAGTGTTACCTCTCCACAGAGACATAACACCCTCATTCTTGATGGTTCGGCTGAAGCACTCAACGATACCGTTGTACTTCCGGTCAAGACGACCAGCCTTGATCATCTCATCCTATTGACCAGTAAGCTTCTGTTGTAGTGACTGCGCGCAGCATATTGTGTCTGTAAAAATGTATTTTATCAAGGATATGTTCTATTACCAGCTATTCGCTGATAACCGAATCCACGACCTGGAATCGGATATGCCCGGGTTGTGGAGGAGGCAGTGAAGACAATTAATCGCAGGTATGCATACCTGATTCTGGATCAAGAGCTTGACACGCTCAATGGGCGCAGCAGCGGTTTTCTGTCTTCCAGTCAGCTTTCACAGTCCAAGCTATCATGGAAAAATCCGAACTTACCGAGACAGCGGCGGAAACACCTCCCATCACTGTAATCTCATCAGCATACGTCCTGCAACGTTGGAAAAGTCCTTACAAAAATCCACGGCAAACGGGGGGATGCCGAAGACGGCTTCCCTCTTTTGAGGAACCTCGCCCGACATGGTGAGAGATGGTGATGAACAGGGAGCGGAGAGTGAAAATGTTGATGGAGTTGAAGATGCAGAAGAGACGAAGAAAGATGAAGCAGCAGGAGCGGACAGGTATTTTTTCAAAGGGATTGGAGCTCCAGTGCCGCTAGACCGGGATAAGACTAGCGGATTATCGCGGGTGCGATGCAGCGCAGGCCAGCATTTTGCACAGTTACTACTATACTGCTGCTACTACGTGCCTAGGTACTGTGTACTACCTACTAGGTAGGTCATCCATTCTAGCAGGAGGAACGCTGCTGCCGAGCGACCGGATGTTCCTCTTTTTCCGCCCGGGCAATTATCGTCCGCAATCAAAATTTTGCCCTCATCGCAGGGGAGAAAAGGAGCGCACCCACTTGCACTGCGCTCCCAATTGCCATCCCCTCCTACCTACCTTCCTACCCAAGGAAAGGCCGGCGTCTCACTCCCGCCGTCGCATTCCCTTTATGCGCCATCTATCGCATAGCAACAGTCCGCTGCTCCCGTGTCCTACCGGCTATAATCTCAGCCACCGTCGATTTCGATTTGAGCTCAGGTCTCCTTCCTCGGTCTTCGGGCTCTACTAAGGCCACACCAGCCTAACCGCCAGTCTCCCGTCATCCCGTCCAATCGTCCCTCGTCCGGTTGTCGACGATCCATACAGTTCTTCCAGATTGACAGAAACCCGCTTCTCCATCCATGTGGCGGACAAAACTTTAGGAACAATCCTAGAACAAGATGTCGATGCTCCACCAGGGCGGATCAAGTCAACCATGGATGTTGGCTCAAATGCTCCTGCCTGCCTAATATCGTGCGAGCTTGCTGGATGTCAGAAATCCCAGGAACCTGCCTTACACTCCAGGAGGATGTAAGATTCAATACTCTGTGCCTTTGTTGAAGCCGGGATCGCCTCCAGTGTATAATACAACATGCCTACACGAGATTCGGCTCCCCGCTCACAACAAACATTGCTTACCTCATACTTGATTATGAGGGCTGACATGCCTGAAAACGGCTAGAGTCGACCACATATATCTCAAAAGGCAACAATATATCAAGAGGCGGGCACCTTTTTCAAGCTGGATCGAGCCTGATGGGCTCAACAGTGCAATCCAAATGTTGCAGGGCCTGTATCTGGTTTCCATGGAGATGAATATCCAGATATCACGAAAACTAGGATCGACTCGAGTGGGCTTTCACCAGTACATCGCGGCATTCTACCAGAATGCCGGGATCACAGACCACTGAGACGAAGCAGTAGTACAGCCTCGATCCTCAGATTCCGTACGGTCGCCGAATCTGCGCAAACTGTTGGATCTTCCGCGACACCCATGGGTCCGATCGGCCCAAAGAGGTAGTCGAGCACACTAGGGCAATCCGAGAGATCCCAAAGCCCGAGGACGGCTGTTGTCCTAGGTGCGAGTCAAAGATCACGGGCAAGAGTACGGCCACCTGGCGTCTGGACAAGGAAGAGATGGAATGGGTTTGCCTGATTTGCCATTCCCAAGCAGAACGTGACCGAAAGGTCGTCACAGAAAAGCCACGTGCGAACAATCGTGAACTGATCGAGCAGCTGCCAAATCCTGGTGGACCATGCCCGCACTGCCACCAAGTCCCACCAAAAGGTCTTGAGATTGACCCAGACCACACAGAGTTCAACAGTTGGGAGCCTGGGTTCGGGAGTCCGCTCAGGACGAACTCAGACTTTGTCAAAGCAATCTACCTCGCCCAAGTCTTCCTCTTGATCAAGAGCTACCATCAAAGTTTCGAGGAGTCCCACTCCGAGGACTGTGGGTGAAATGGTCTCAAGGCACATCCAGTTCGCGTGGATGTGCAGTCATTGCCTTAGAATGGTCCGGCGATCGCGGACCGGCGTCCCTACCAAGTTGACAGACCCACCTAAGCCGACCAATTCACAATGTCCGCATTGTCAGAAGGCAATTCATCCTAGGAAGAACACGTGGAGGAGAAACACGTGGACAACAGCAGGGTCGCCGACGTTGTCGTTTTGGATCTGCAACAATTGTTTCCTGAAGTTCCAGAGACTCAGGAACAAGGAGGCCAAAAGGCTAGCTAAGGCCGGGGCCAAGAAGAACAAGCGGCGTGATGGGGAAGCTTGAGAGTCGATAAGGAGTCTGTGGCATCTGCAGCTCAAAACATGCAAGTCACCATGCCTGCGGAATAGGTGAAGGTTTATGGCAACCTCATATTCCCCGGTTCTCGACGTGTTGGTCGTATCACTTCAAAGTCAGCCTTGGACTCGGAAACCATCTGCCGGATCACCGTTACACAACACGTCATCATCATGACGAAGTCAAACCAAGCGATTGATACGCAGCAGAGACCAGTGACCAGCAATATAGCATTGTTCTCGAACGCTGGATCTTGACCTCGAAGGGCTCCCAATACCACCGACTCGAGCGTTGCGCCCGTGGCTGTCCAAGCCGTGACCATTCCAAAAGTATCTGCAAATGGATGTGTTACCACTTCGCACGCGATCACTGCATTGGTTGAAGAGGCTGACCGCTGTGATTGATGGAATACGCGTCACACTTGCATTGACGCTGAAGCCTGCTACTTTCGATGACTGCAACAAGCAAAGTTGGCAACATGAGAGTAATACGCCCGAGTCCCAGACAGAGATTTTCCAAGTTCCTGTTTCAACGGTGCGTCGGTGTCCTCTTCAACAGGGTTCCCGCCCCAATAGCAACACGCCTCCACTGAAGAAGCCAACGCTATTTACGCCGACGATGCTTTGATACCACGGCGTGACACAGACCTCCATAGAGAGCAGCCTGATACGGAACTTCGCAGGACTCGTATCAACAAAGGTAGAGAAAACGAGTATATAGAGCCAGACGAGGCCGAGGTCGAGGTCGATGAGAATGGGGTAGTAGCAGAATACCCAAGCCACGACAACGACGATGACGATGACGATGACGATGACGATGACGATGAAATATCGAAAAGACTGTATACTAACAGAGCGCTCCACCCGGAAGTCGTAGCGTACCTTGACCGATGGAACAACCGAGTTCCGCTTCCCGTCCCAATTTGGCGACACGAAAGTTACCTAACCAGCTACAGAGCCAGGCCGTCACAGATCGTAAAGAGCCTTTGTTTGGCGGCAAGAAACGTCAAGGACCCCGATTCGCTCCGCGCTGTCTCCCCCAACAGGCCTATGACGTTCAACTGGTGGGCATTCCTCGGTAGAGTGTCCCCAGACAAGGCTGTTGATATACTGCTTGCACACACCCCCGTCGCAGTCCAAATCATCCTCGGAAACCCACAGCTGGAGGCAAAGCACCTCCTATCCTTGCCCTTCAACTGGAGGAATTTGCTCCTACAGGGGGTGTATACGGACCTGGTGGAGTACGATGGAGAATTCTGGACCTATGGTGGTTCGGCCCGTGGCCAAAGGGGAATCCACGGCAGGGTGATCAAGTTGATTGACACCCCTGGTGCTTGAGAAGGCCGGCGAACACGAAAAACTACTCGCCAAGAAGGGGGCATCGTGTTCAATCCGGTACGCTGGTTGTAAATCTGATGATCCTATAGTCATACTCCGGTGTCTACCAGATATGGTTGTAGAAATTTATGTCTGACAACAATGATGAGGTGGAGGCTAGTCACTATCTGGCAAAGTTGAATTGGGCCAAACTTCAAAGTCTGTAAAACTCAACCACAATGGTCATGCTCCTTTGGACTCAGGCATGTAGCGGGAGAACCACAATATATAAACAGTCGATCACCTCTTGACAACTTTATACTCGAGTGAGGACGGGCTGAGCAGGTACTTGAACGGCTCTTGTTAAGAACAACCATGTTCTATCAACACGACATTCAAGCCACAGCCTCGCCATCGACAGTTCCCTTCTTGTTCTTCCTTCTCCGCTTCTTCTTCCCCTTAGTTCGGATATCCACCTCGACGTCTTCACCGTCCGGCTTCTGCTCTGTGTCAGGTTGCGCAGGAATCAACTCACTGGCCTGCAACCCTTCCTCGCTACCGAAAGTCTCCTGACGCCATTTCCTCAGTCTGGCCTTCTTCCCCAGATGCTTGAGGTCTTTCCGCTTCTTCTCGGGGTCGCGGAAGGAAGCGAGTTTCTTCAAGCCAACAAACTCGTTCAACTGCTTGTCGTCGGCCAGGAGAATGTCTCGGGCAGTCAGACCGAAACTCTTGGGAGATGTCTCGCGGTATCTGAAGCCGACCTTCTTCGACATCGAGTTGTCCAATTCGAGTTGCAGCTGCTTATCGACCAGTTGTTCGATGATCCTCCGCTCCTTCTTTGCATCCCGCTTCTTGTCTTCCTTCAGCTTCTTGCCGCTCTTCTCCGTCGGAGCAGATGCTTCTGGGTCTGAGAGGTCAATTGCCGGCTTCTCTGACTCGTCGAAGTCGGGCACAATATCCTTGATGTCGATATCGTCGTCGAACTTGGGTTTGCGGATTTTCTTCTTCTTGTTGCCGGACTCAGCTTCGCTTTCGTCGCTTCCAACCTCCTTTTCCGCATAATACTCGTCGCCGAACCGTTTCTGCATTTCTGCTTCCCATTGGGCATCGTCCCAATCTTCGTCCACGAGATGAGCCCAGTCTTCGGGTTGGATGTCGTCGGTTTTGATTCCCGCGGCCTTTTTTATCTTTCGTACTTTTTCCTCCAACTCCTCGATCTTCAGCTTTCGAAGCCGAGCCTTTTCTTCCCTGCGTTGCTGCTTTTCGGCCTCCTTCCGCGCCTTTTCGGCTTCTCGCTTCTTCTGTCTCGGGTTTGCCTCTTCTCTTCTTACCGAATACTTGGCTGCTAGATCTCGGGCGTGCGAGCGCAACTTCTCGTTGGACTTTTCAGGGTCTTCAAATCTGAGATTGTATGCCTCTTCAAACTCGTCTGCTCTTCGTTCTTCCTCGTCGTCATCAGATTCGAAAGGATGTAGGTTGGAATCGGTCGGTGCTGCCCAGGCTCTCGAGACCATGAAATTGGACAAGAACGTTTCCGGATCTTTCTCGGCATCTTCCACGTCAAGCACGACTTGCTGTTTGGCCGGCTTCTCTCTTGGCTTGGCAACGAGGAAGTCGTCATTCTCTGCTTCCTCCTCACTCTCCGACTCGGCGGCCGCAGCGGCTTTGATCTCGCTGACAATGGACTTTTTCAGATGTTCCTGCTCTTGATTGTAGGTCATTGGAGCCGTCTCATCCAGCTCTTCAGTGGCAGTCCCATTGAGCAGGTTCTGACGGTGGTAGTCTTGCAGATGCATCGGCTTTTCCTTCTTCGACTTTGACTGCGCAGAGATCTCGTCCTCGTTTTCCGTGTAGAATGTGACGGACTGGTCGTAGACACGAGGATCTTTCGATCGAATGGCATTTATCGTCGCCATGATTTCCGCGTCCAAGGTCTCCGTCACCAACTCCCCCTCGTCCTCTTCCTCGCTGGTAGAGTCATCGGAGCCAGATTCGTCATCGCTGTTCTCTCCATCGCCTCGTTTGCGTTTGCGCGGTGTCTTGCCATGTTTCTCCTCAACTAATTATCGTCAGAATGGTTCGCAAAGCACATGGTTGACACGACACATACGTCTCTGGAGTTCCTCTCTTTTTTTGTTGTATTCGAATCGCCGGGCAAACTCTTCGTTGACTTTGAGGTCGCTGGTCTGCACTTCCACTCCAGCATCTTCGCTGTCGGAGCCATCGCTGCTCAAAAGCTCTCGAGCCATAATGTGCAGAAGGCGAGTGCTTGGATCAAAGAGGCTCTGTCATGAAGTGTGTTAATAGTAGTCTGTCTGTAAGGGCACTGCTCGTCCCCGCATGCCATGGGAAAAAAGTGACAAGAAATTTTGGCGGTGGAGCGCAGTCAAACTGTCTCTCCACATACTAATCTGTAGTAGTGCATACTACCTTAGTACTACTACTACTACTGTTACTAGCGATAAACAACAAACTCCGACTCCGACTGCGGTTGACGTAGTAGAGAAAAGACTCCAACCTCAACGTGAAACACGCATATCCATCCCAAACACACTTCCATGACCACCACTACTACAGGAGAACTCAACTACTAGTATTTCCTTCGACGAATGCTACCCGCCAAGTTGCTCAAAGGCAACGTGATGCCTGTCCACAATCCAGCATCACCAACCTAGTTCGCAAGTGCTCGCCGCCCTCTCATCGCGTTCGCATGCACGATCACGATGTCACAAATCTTGCAACCGGCCGAGGAGGTTGGCAGACTGATCAACCTCGTCCCCGTTGCCCTGAAAGAAGCTGCACTCGACTCTCCATCTGCTCGCGCGTCGGTAGTGCACTATGGAGAGCAGGTCGAGCTGCTCGAGAGGTGGCTGGATGACTACATGAAGGCTACGAATCGACTTGTTGCGGAATCAACCACCCTGGAGAATGTCCTCGACAGCTTTATCTCTCATTCTCTCCTGCCCACGACGATATCGGAATCAATGCTGGACCACGACTATGTTACCTTGGCTATGAAGAGATATGGAGACGGTGCCAAAGACTACTGGATGAGCATGATAGCTGTCGTGAAGAGGCTGACGACAATGGTGGTCGAACCCATCAAGTCCTTCCTATACAACGATCTCCGGGCTTTCAAGGATGCTCGTCGCGCCGTGGAATCCTCGCAGAAGACACTCGATCACCTCCAAGCGAAATATGCGGGGCTTGGGAAATCCAAGGAAGCGTCATCTCTGAGAGAGGATGCATTCCAGCTGCATGAGGCGAGAAAGACGTACATCAAGGCAATGATGGATTTCTTCAGCGTAGCGCCGCAGTTTCGCTTCGCACTGGATCGCATGCTGGTGAAAGTATTCCTCGACCAATGGCGTGAGATGAAGGTTTCCAGGGATAACACAGCAGCAACATTTCAGCGGAACTCGGACGAAATGCAAAGGATAAGAGGATGGATGAACGAGATGGAGGCAAGTGAGAGAATGTTCCGAAAGGAGCTCTTAGCGGCCAAGAAGAAGCTGGAAGAGGCCGCCGAGCTGAATGCTCGTCCATCCCGAGAACTCGAAGACTACAGCATGTCGACAGTGCCTCAATTTCCAGGTCATGCTCATACTGCCAGCGCCTCCACCTTGCAGCAGTCCCCGAAGAGAAACCCCCACCAGACTGGGGAAAAACAAGGCTGGCTATATTTGCGGACCTACAGTGGCAAACCGACAAGGACTATCTGGGTCAAGAGATGGGCGTTCATCCGCAATGGTGTCTTTGGGTGGTTGGTGCAGGGTGCCCGAGCAGGAGTTGAGGAGAGTGAGCGCATTGGCGTCTTACTCTGCAACGTTCGGCCAGCACCGGCCGAAGAACGTCGGTTCTGCTTCGAAGTCAAGACGAATAAAAACACCATTTTGTTGCAGGCCGAGACTCAATCAGAACTAGTGGACTGGATCCGCGCCTTTGAGGCGGCGAAGTCGAGAGCCCTGGACGATGCAGACGCTCTCAAAAACATCCCTGGCACAGGCAATCTTCAAACTGGTGCCGCCTTCGCGATATCTGCGCCTCCGGTGCCGGAGTTTGGGACATCCATTCTAGGATCAACAGAACCAGGTGCGGGTGGCGACGAAGGTGCAGCGCTCGAGAAGTCGAATACTCTGCCCATCCCGGGGGCGGAACACCTTCGGGAAAGCAGCATAGATCTGCCTAGGAAGTCGACTGCTATGGACGAGGGAGGTCATCGTGAGACTGCTTCTCGCATCATATCGAAGTTGGACTTGCACCGAAAGAGCGCAGCATCACCGCAGGTTTCTGCCAGCCCATCGACCCCAAATCTGGCTGGTGGCGGCATCGCAAGTCTGATTGCTGCCAGTCACGGATCCATGCCTGTTGGCCCGAGCATACCCATGGTCGCCAATCCTGAGGGAGATGGTTCAAAGCTACGAAACACGTTCATGCTGGCACTCCGAGATATGCCTCCCAGCACTCTTGCGCCATCCACTTTGGCTTCAGTGCCGTCGCCTACGAATTTGAGCAGGTCCGCCGTAGTCATTACAGGCGAACGAGGTCTAAGCCCTGCCCCTGATAAGACAGGCATCCCGACGAGTCTTTTGTCCAATGTGTGGGGTACGAACAATACTGCGGTGGTCAACCGGTTAGAACGCGTCGAACCGAAGATGCCTCCGCATGCAATGCTGGGGACACAAATAAGCCCTGTGCTGAAGCCTTCCTCGTCGCCGCCAAAAACATCCACATCGCCATCACGCACCAACGCCATGTCTTATTCTGCTATCCCGCAACTTGACCTGGGTATTCCTTCCCCCAGCACTCGAAGCCGCACTCCGTCACCGAGTAAGAGAGGGCACAGGAATACAATTAGTGTCGATCGTGATTCATTCAACCAGTTCAGAAGCGAGCTGCTCGTGCCGGACTTTCCCAATTACTATCCGCTCCAGCTCAAAACGCAGGACGCACAATTCAGGCTTCTATTCCCCAACGTGCGACACGACGAGCGCTTGGTCATGGTATTTAGGGCGACATGGAATCCCAGCGACCAACAAGACTTCCCCGGCCGCGTATATGTGACTCCGAGAGACATATACTTCTACAGCAACCATCTTGGCCTTGTTCTGACGACCAGTGTTTCTCTAGCGTCCATCGATGAAGCCACTGCAGCACCTGGGAGAGACTGCGACTTTATCTTCTTGCATCTGAAAGATCTTGGGAGCGATGGAACTGCCCGGCGGATCACCATCAAGACCTTCCTCGACCCACTAAGACTTCTGCAGCGACGGTTGAACTTTCTCATCAGAAACAGTGTTTTTGACGAATCTGCTGGACTAGAAGACATCATCAAGAGATTACTGAAGATGGAGAATGAATCAGTTGAACGCAGTCCAAGTCTCGAAAGCTGGGAAGATGTCTCTCCAAACACGCCAGTCGACGTGGGTGGCCCCAGGTATCGTGGTAGAGCCTCGACTATTGGGACCGAACTGAAAGGGCCCTTACGTGTCGACCGAGCACTTCATCAGACCCCACTGGGTCTCAGAGAGTCCAAGTTCAAGCTGCCAGCACATCCGGTCAAATATGTTCCTCCTGGGAACCTCCGGCTTGCGGAAGAAAGAGAATTCGACATCAGCGCGAAGGCTCTATTCCATGTCATGTTCGGAGATAAGAGTGCGCTCTGGCAGTTGCTACAACATGAACGTCGCGCGAAAAATCTCTGCCAGGGACCGTGGCTAAGCATGGGAGAAGGCCGACTACGACGAGAGTTCGCCTTTGACATTCCCACCACGAACCTCTTTGGCCAGGAATCGTACACCCAGGCCCGAGACTACCAGGTGGTAGATGTGAACAACGACCATTTGTGCTACGTCGTCACGGACAAACGCACTCCATGGCATCTACCATTCCGGGACCGACAACGACTGGTGAGCAAGATTGTCATCACGCACGTGGCCAAAGCCAGATGCAAGCTTGCCGTGTTTGTCAAGGTGGAATGGTTGCACGCACCGTGGATGTTTGGACCGACGATCGAGCATCAAGCCCTGCATGATCTGGAACTCGATTCGCGCGATCTGATAGACCTCGTGGCCGATCAAGTTAGGAAACTTGGGGCACACAGCCGCACGAAAAAGGCAGTTCAGATATTCGGGCAAGTCGGTCATTCGACAGAGACGACACAACTGCTTTTAGACACGGCGGCGTTGAACATCGAGCTGAAACGACAGCCGGCCAAGAAGACGATTGCCGGCCTGTTGGCACAAACGGCCGTGTCTGCAGCTGAAAGTGCTGCGGGAACTATTTTGGAGAGTCTTATAGGTCTTGTCAGATGGATGGCTCGATCGTTCTCCGCCAACAAGGTCATTCTCGCTCTTCTGTTCTGGAGTGTCCTGTACAATAGCTGGCACACGTACCGCGACTCGCTGGATTGGTGGCACGAGCGCCGGGCCACCAAATACATGGCTCGTCTGGGCGTCTCGCCCGACGCTGTCATGGGACGAGCAGTCTATGCCAGCGACCTGGATCAGGTTCTGCACCAGGCCGCCGATCTTCCTCTACGTGACTCCAGTCCGTGCTACAGTGTGTTTTATGACGAACACGATCCCGAAAACATCGACGTGACCAGATCTGGATCCGGACATGGCAACAAGCACGACGCTCTGCAGGTTCAATCTGCCCGTCAACGGCTGGGGATGTACAGACATGATTTGCTCGTCGGTATGCGCGTGGTCAATTCCGTCGAGAAGGAATTGATGCAAGCCGCCTGGGAGCAGTGGGTCGTGGATGAGGACCGTCGATGTCGTGTCGTCCAAGGTCTTGTTCGGGACGGTTCAGATTCGACTTCGGCTTTGGACGCCGCTAATTCAACTGGCATGACTCAGGATCTGAAGGGCTGGTACGACGAGTACTGCACCAGCTGTCGTAACGAGTATACGAAGATACACACTTGAAAAGTCAAGGGAGAGACGAACACGAACACGCACACAAACACGCACACAAACACAGCGGATTGGGGGTTTGTTTGGTTTCCCTGACATTGTTATAGCAAGTAACCGCATATACCCCCATTGTTAGCCTAGGCTTCCTGTATTGGGAATAGAATAATGATATTCTGCGTCGATTGAGCAGGCTGCAGTAGTTTCGGCCGCTCTTTCGCGCATGTTTAATTGATTATCTCTACTGACATGAAACACAACTGACCGACAGGAGAGATGGCCATCTCTCTTTCTCTCTCTAGCAGAGGCCAGGCAAGGCATGAATCATGATGTACTCGACGGCGTTCTCTCTCAACTGAATACCATGTGCTGAGAGTTATGCATGCCGCCCGTTTGAAGCTGTTGTTCCATCTCGTCATCGCCGTGACCGGGTGGAGGGTGGAGGGTTGAGCTAGCCTGTCCATCTCCTGCGTCTCGAGCTGGCCGTTGATATTATGGCGTGGTGCTCTGCTGTGACCTGTCGACAATTGGTTTGCCTTCGGAGCGATGCGTCGGGACTAGTGCTGCTCACTGCTTCCTGCTCCCTGGTCTGATAACTATACATTTCCATCATTTCATGTCGTAAATTCAAGATGATATCTTCGACGCGTGCACATGGCAGCCCTTCCCCACTCTCTGTTGGTTCCAGCCAGACGGCGCTGTTCTGGGCAGGTATCCACAGTCTCCTGGTGAGAAGACCGCTCAGGTGATTATCATCCTCAGACAAGGCTGTCGACATATTCTGCGCAGATGTAGTGTTGGAATCCGGCACGATTGCCAGAGCCAAGATGTGCCCCGTTGGTCGTAGGGCCGGTGTTAGCAGTAGCAATAGCAGTAGTGGTGTTTGAAACCGATTTATTCGTCTCCGGCTTCTTCATAGTCGTCGGGTTACTCGGGCCAAGAACCCGCGAATCCGACGAGTCTGCCTGTCTTGGAGATGTGGATCGCGTCTGGATCTGCTCCACGGTGTGCTGTGGATTTGGTGTTTCTGCCTCTTTTGGCCTTGTTGTGGTGTCTCCCTGCGTTTCCGAGGCTGTTCGTCCAGTCATCTCAGCGTCCACTTGTGCCGTGACTGCACTCGAGCCGGTCATCGCAATGCCATCCTGTTCGTAACCAGTGGTAGTCTTTTTTGTAGCGGCCATGTCGTTCTCGATCATGGAAGTATCCTGGTCCAGATGTACCCGTCTGGCACTTTTACCGTCTTGATCCTGATCCGGCTCGGATCGTCTCTTGTTGCTATTGTTCTCCTCAACGACGGAGCCTTTATCAGCCTCCTCACGACTGGCTGGATCATGAAAATCTGGATGCAGAATAATGGTGTACCCGTCAGTTTGGACGACCGGCTGAGTCCTATGAGCCGAGACAGTCAGAGCAAGCCACTGCGCTTGCTTTGGTGGTTGTTTTGTGCGCGATTGTTTTCTGCAATGCCGTCAGTCCGGTCCTTGCCATTCACGCTGCTTGGAAGCTGGGATCTGCAATGGGCTTTGGGAATCTGTATTGACAATGTGGAACTTATGACAACGATAGGGGGCAGACTCCAGTTCGACCTCCCGGACGGTAAACCCAAGACATGGTTTTAACAGTGGGTAACATGGTTTTAACAGTGGGTAACATGGTTTTGCCAGCGGGCAACAGCTTCCAAGGATCGAATCATATCAAAACCTCGACTTTGTTGCTGAAACAAATATGTTGGGTTGGCCTGATTCGACAGTGTTGGCTGAAAAGGTGAAGTCACTTACATGATCGAACACAGAAGTTCCAAAACCCATTGTACTGGGATCAACCCCGTCCACGTCATCACCTTGACATTTTGCGGCCGTGTTTTTTTCGGAGCATGCGAACCCTCATGGATAGGGTCATAGAGATCGGGGACTTGATATCGACTTATGAATGGGTCGACGCGGTCGGTGGTCTGGACGCGCGGAGATGCTAGCGAGAGCATGTCGATGTATTCGAAGAGGTCGAGGACCGACTCTTGCAGCTCTTCGGGTGCACTGGATGTGGATGTGTTGCCATGAGAAGATGTCGTCTTGGCCAGTACAGGGTGTGTAAGGACGTTCGTGGTCAAAGTCGAAGGAATAAGAACATTCGGTAGCATCTCGACCGAAGGGGACAAATTGATAATGGTGGGATGGTGGGCAGTAATCGGTCCTATCACACCAAATCACGTCAGTGGACTGAACCTTGCTATGTGGAACAAGCCCTGATTATTGCCGTGAAGCAGATCTGGCGTTCCAGCACATGACTCAAAAGATTCAAAGGCCAGGAACCGTACCTTTGAGTTCCGCAGCATGGTCGTCATTGAGGTCTAAAAACAGCCATTGAAGACTATTGTTTAGGACATTCTTTGCTGCCCAGACAAGTCGTTCAAACCCTTTCTTTCCATGCAGCATTGAAGGGAGGCGTAAGTTGTATTCGACCACTGTTTGGTGATAGGTCAGTTCAACCAGCATTGACAGGCCACTCTTGAAGATTGGAGGGAAGATAAAAGGGAGTTCAACGATGTGATAAGTCCCAGCAAGATTAAGAACGTAGCAAATTCCAGCGAGATCTGCAGCGCATCTAAACCAGCAAGATTTAACTGCTCATTGAAACAACCAAGTGCATTGGTGCAACACTTACAGTACCGAGACTTGACATGTTTTCGGCCTCCTGAGCGGACAGGAGTACCTTGAAGGCCAGTGTGTTCATAGACTTCCTTTGCGAGTTCCAAGCGCAAGACTCCTGTATCCGAGAAAACAATCAGCAGGCTGTGCCGTTGTGGTTTTATTCGAAAAAGAGTTGGCCAGAGGCCGAAGGATGGTGATCAAATAGTAGTCGTCTTAATTCTATACTCACCGTCTTGGAGGGTGATGATGTTGTCCACGCCTGCTTCTCCTTCAGAAAGCATGAGAATATTCCCTAGCAGACACAAGACAATGTTAGACAAATATCAAGGTAGTGCTTGATGGTTCAATATTTGACAATCGCCAAAGACAAGATGAGAGGATATGGGGGCAACAGGACACTGCCAGCAACAAAATCAAGTACAAAAAACCAGACCGTCAAAGCGTCAAAAAAGGGGGACTCACCTCTTTTGATGTATTCTGTAAAGAAGTCTCCATCCAACACCTCCTCCAGCTTCATAATCACCTTGGCATACCTCAATTCTGGCAAATTGCTGGATCTCCTCACTCCGGCATCCGAATTTGTACTCTCATCCGCATCGCCTTTCAAATCTCCGGCCTTGTCACCATGCGAAAGAACGGCTCCCATCGACATCTCCGGCAAAACAACTCTGACGGACTTGATGAGCCCCACATCCCGGATCGTCTTCCACGGGCCCTTTTTCGTCGGCGCTTGAGCAGCAGACGCGGGAATGTACGCCGGCAACGGACCCGACGAGATATTTATCTTCGGGGTTGGATTCGAAGAGGTGGACTTTCCAGATGAGGACGCAGCCGCCGCCGCAGTAGCACCGGTCCCGGCGAATGGGAATAACGTCTGCATTTCATTTGGTGGATGGTCGTGCACCACCAAAAAGAGATAGAAGAGAAATGGACATCAAGACAGGAACACCGGTATGATATGATAAAGGGAATGTGAAATGCAAGAGGGTAAAAGGTAGAAAGACCGTTACTTTTGAGTTACGTCCCTTGGTAGGTCACCTCGGCAGGGTTGGTGCTAGTAGAAAGGGGAGAGGATCAAGACGAGGCTGAAAACCAAGAGGATTTTGATGCCAAGATTCAGCCTTGCGCTAACCATATGCGTCTTGGCGGGCTGAACTCTCAGCCTCGTACCTGGAGAGTTTACAAAAGACACATAAGGGGATGGACTCTCTTGAGAATTGGCAAAAACAATCAACAGTTAGGATTCCCAGATGGTCACCCACTCTAGTACTAACTAACCGGTATCAAGCTTAAGTACCGCTGAGCGAACGGGAAGCGCTGTATTCTTGATCCTATGGTCGATTGCGGAAGCAAATGTGGATATCAAAAATATCAAGTTTGATTTTTTCGGGTAGGACTACCACGTACCTAGTCGCCACTCCCGAATACTCTAATCTCCGGTATGGACCCCAGAGCTTGGAAGGGAGCTAAGATATCTTTAAAGCAAAGGTGCCCTAAAGTCGAATTCATGCGAGACTGGAAATACGCTGGCCTCCGTGGTATTCCGTTAGCTGCCGTGTTTAACATAGCCGAAACAAGCGACTGGAACGATTCAGGAACGAATTTGCGCTCTGGACATTATATCAGGTTTTGAGGAAAAGGAGAAAGGCAGATCCTGCTCCGGGAGCTGGAGCCTTCATCAGAGAGGACCTTTGATGTACAGCAGATGACTCGACGGCGGAATCTTGAGAGTAATCCAAGGACTTATGGATTGAGCCTGTTTATACGAAAGGACGTGCCAGGGAATGCAGTGCCTGAAGTGCTCGACGAGCGTCAACTTGCATTTCCTCATGAACTCACTAGCAGAAGCAACTATAGTGGCAGCCACCTCGATCGAGAGTCTAGGCCCTAAGTACCGAGGAGTGAATGCTCAGTCAGATCATGGCCGACAAAGTCTCATTGAACCTATCTAGTAATAGAGCCGTAGAAGAGTGGAACACAAGATCAATATCACTAATTCTCAATGCTCCGCATAATTTCAGACACTGGAGACCCCAGTGAGGTTGGTCAAGAAGGAATAGTGTGTGCACGATAAAAGAGAAGTGTCGCCAACCGAAGAGTGTGAGAAGAGCAATCTGTGCCTTCGACATTGGTTCTTGATTAGGAACAGACCCACCATTCCAGGCGACATGTACCGCGCGCGATATACCCATCATAGGAGCCCAGCTTACCAAATACCTCTGGACTCGGCTATAGAAGCTTGTTGATCAATGTTACCGTTATGAACCAAAGCTACCGGGGCTGTTATCTCCAGACTTATTAGATGGGCCTGGCAGGCCAGATCTCGGTACCCTGGCATACGGTCTACATCTCATTGCCAGCAATATCTGCACAGTCTCCGAGCCACGTTGCTCTAAACGAAGATAACATTAAGCCACGATTGATGCAGGATGTGACCTTGCTGGACGCTTATCGTGCAAGCCAAAGGGAGCGGGTTTGCGCCTGTGTTTGCCCATGTCCTGGTCGGCTTACGATACCGCTACGGAAAGGGAGTCCCGACAGCCAAACACGACACACACAGCCATCGCAACATCCCCAATCATGCCCATTGGCGTGCGCCTTGGAGGTGTTATCTATTAAAGAGCACAGTACACAGTGCTGTCAGGAGAAGCGATCATCCAACAACATCTCCTAAAGCCTAATCTCCTGGGGTTATTGTCTAGCTACATCGAAATGGGGGCCTTTGGTAAGAAAATGCAATTGAACTTCTTCGAGGGTGCTTGCACCGGCAGCCACACAGCAATCGGGCAGTGGAAGTGAGTCGAACAGTCTCGCCAAATTACGCAGTGGAGCCCTCATTGACATGATTTTACCCTTGCAAGATCTCCAGAGGATAACTCGCGCACCAAAGACCGATTGGACTACTGGCTGTGGCTGGCAAGGCTGGCGGAAAAGGGGAAAATCACCACCGTTTTCATCGCCGACAGCTATGCCGGGCACAACATCTATGCCGGCTCTGCGGATGCCTCGTACAAGGGTGGATCGCATATTGGCAAGCTGGATCCTCTGGTCATTGTTCCTGCCATGGCTGCAGTCACCCAGTCGGTGTCGTTTGGCATTACCGCGAGTACATCATATATTGGTCAGTTTTCTTTTTGCTTGCAAACTGCAACGCATTTCCTTTTGCTGATACAAGAGCCGTGTAGCACCATATGCTCTGGCTCGGACATACTCATCCCTGGATCATCTGACGAATGGCCGCGTGGGGTGGAATATCGTCACCAGCCACAGCAATTCGGCCGCTCAAGCATTTGGCCGCGACCAAGTCGTGCCTCATGACGAACGATACGCCGCTGCGGAGGAATACATGGACATTGTGTATCAGTGAGTTTTTCGTTCCTCCCTCCACTTACTTTGATGGCAGGCACAAGACTGACTGCCGACCGCTCCTGTTGAGACTGTGGGAGAAGTCGTGGGAAGACGGGGCTCAAGTGTGGCAGGAAGAGCCCGAAATGGCATACGATCCCAGCAAGATCCACAAGATCCACTACGAGGGCAAATATCACAAGATGCACGCGTTCCACCAAACGCATCCGTCGCCACAGCGCACACCGCTTCTGTTCCAGGCTGGCTCGTCCAAGGCTGGGATCCAATTCGGTGGCAAGCATGCCGAGGGCATCTTCTGCGCCAATCCGACGATCGAGTCGACCAAGAAGTACACGGCAGCAGTGCGTGCCAAAGCCGTCGAGGAAGGCCGCGACCCGAGCTCGATCAAGTTCTTCCTTGGAATCATGCCCATCATCGGCCGCACTTTGGAGGAGGCCGAGGCAAAACTCGAGGCCGCTCGAAAGCGAGTGAGCATCAATGGCGGATTGGCCAGGTTCTGCGGCTTCACCAACGTCGATTTGAGCGGGTATGCACTCGACGAGGAGTTCAAATTCGAGGGCAAACATCATGAGAATACCATCCAGGGCGTCATCGACAACATCAAGTTGATCTCAACCGAGAAGGTCTTCACTCCCAGAGTCGTCGCGGAGATGTTTGCGCTGGGCGGATCCGGACCAAGACCCGTAGGTACCCCAGTGATGGTGGCCGATTTCTTTGAGCAGTGGTGGAGAGAAGGTGATCTGGATGGATTCAACATCAACTGTAAGACTACCATGTTGACAAAGCAGCAATGAACTAATGGACATGCAGACGTTTCGAATCCCGGAAGTTTTGAAGACGTAGTTGAACTCCTCATCCCCGAGTTGCAGAAACGAGGCATCTACTGGGACGATTACCCTGTTCCCGGCGGGACAGCTAGAGAGAACTTTCAAAGCCTTCCGGGGCAAAAGCTGTTGCCGCCCGAACACCCAGGAGCCAAATTCCGATGGAATGCAGTGTCGAAAACTGCGGAGGTCAATGGACCAAAGGCGGTAGAGGAAGATGTTCAGGTCGAAAAGATCAAGTTGAACGGTACAGACACTACCGTAGTGACAGTGACAGCAGCATAGTGAATGATGTATTGGAGATCCCATGTATCAGGCTCGGTGTTCCGTTCTCTCTAACTCCAATAGGCGCTTGTCCGTAAGAACATGAGAGGCGACAGACATGTCCGATGAAAGAATACTAGAATGTGAACACTGAATAATGGTCTCCTACCTTGGTGAGAGCACTGTCTGCAAGTCTAGCATCAGCCAGGCTGTGCCAGATAATCGTGTCTCGTATCTCCCACGTCACTCCCTTTGGGGTGCTGATATAGCCTGCCGATCTTCTTTGGATGTCCACCATAAAGCTTACTGTTGATGAGCAAGTGATGAATGAGTGAGTGTGGGCTTTCCCGAAGTCTTCATCTGCAGTGGGTTGTTGAGGGCGGCGGTAGTAGGAGTCTTGATCCGCCCATCGCATGCTACGAGCGCTGTTCTGTATGGACAAAGATAGACCCACAATTGCTGATGGGCGGGAAAGACGACGACTTCCGACAAGCTGCCACACTGCAAGGCAATTGGATGTTCAGCGGTGACACTCATCACTTTGTTAGCACAATAATAGAAAAATATTGATTCCCCAGGCCTAGAGAGCCCTTCCTCGCCATCCTCTGCCAGGCGGGACCGTGGGCCGCCTCTGCAGTTACCTTCCGCTTTCTAACCAAAGCCTGCATCAGCCGCTGCTCGGATCAATCATCAGCAGCCTAGATCTAATCATTGGGGGCACCAAACACTCAACTTTCGGTTCGGACTGGCCTATTGACCATGTCGGGAGCAGACGTGGTTCTGCCAATGCCGCCGGTCCCATTGCGCCCATCATGCCCTGCAATTGGGAGGCCCTTTGTTTTCTCTCTCCGCCTTCCAGCCTTGTCCCCTCCCGACGACGCCTATCCGGTGAACGCACAGCCTGCCTCCAACATGCCCACGAGTACTACCGCCCAGAGCAGTATATAGATAGTTCGACTGACAGTGGCATGGGGACATCAGACCACTGCGTTTTCTTGGGAACAAACCTGACCTGGCTGGCCCTTCCTTGATTTGTTGCTTCAGAGTCATAATGCCTTCCAAACTATCACAATTCCTAGGTTCTTTCAACTGTTTTCGACAGAAGCCTCAGCCCACTCTCGTCACGTCCATTCCTTACGAGGTTGAATCGAAGGGGCTTCGGGTCTCGTCTCGGTCCATCCACTCCAACGATCAGGCTCCTACTTCTACTTCTACAGAGAGCACACTTCATGCTCCTCCTCTGCAGATAGAAGTACAGCAAGACAGCAAGAGCAAGAGCAATAGCGCTCTGGTGGTCGTTGGCAAAGGCCAATATGAGCTCCGAGAATCATTTCCCTTCCCCAGCCTCGACCACGAAAGGGAAGTAGTCATCCGCACCAAAGCGGTTGGGTTGAACCCGATAGACTGGAAATCCGTGGACTATGGTTTCTGTCTGCCCGAGTTCCCCTGGATCACGGGCAGAGAAATGGCCGGAGTGGTGGAACATGTGGGTTCTGAAGTCACGGAATTCCACGTTGGACAACGGGTTTGGACCAGTAGGTTCTTCTTCTCTCTCATTCACTGTTCAGATCATAATGTGTGATGGCAAGCTGATCTTTCTCTGGCTAGGCACATACTACAAGGATCGCCGGGCAGGATGTTTCCAGCACTTCGTCACCGTACCGCAACATACAGTTGCACCTATTCCCGCTGGCTTAAGCTTCGAAGAGGCCTCGTGCCTGGGAGTTGCAGGGTTGACCGCCGCAATGACTCTGTGGCGATGGCTTCAGGTGCCTGGCTCGCCGAGGACTGAAACGCACAGTATCCCTAGCACAGGGTATATCTTGATATGGGGTGGCTCGACCGTCACCGCCCAGTTCGCCATCCAGCTTGCAGTGCTGGGCGGGCTGAAGGTCATCGCCGTCACTTCTTCAAAGACAAAAGCCCTGGCAGAGGCGCTCGGGGCTTCACGCGTGGTGACTCGCGACGGCAAGTCCGGAGACGAAATCGTGGCCGAGATCAGACTCTTCTGTGGCGATGCCATCACGCGGGCGATTGACCTCGTCGGCCCTGAAACGGCGAAGCACTGCCTGCAAGCCCTGTCACGCTCTCAAAAGTCGCTCTTTGCACCCCTGGCCATGTTGTCTAGTAAGGCTGTTGTGCCCCAGAACATCTCGGTCGAAACGGTCGAGATGAAGCAGTTCGTACTCGATCCGTCGTCGCAAGCATATTCGCGGGCCTTGAACAAACTGGTCGAGGAGGGAAGAATTATGCTTCCACATATCGAGGTGCTGGATGGCGGTTTGGATATCATACAGCATGGACTGGAGCGGATAAAGAAGGGCGATATGGCCGGGAAGAAGGTCATTGTTCGTATGCATTGATTGAATAAAGAACATGTCGGGTTGGAGCACTATCCACCTGAGGTCATGGAAGCCTCAAAGGCCATAGATATCAAGGGCATTGAGGTCTCCACCACAAAAGGGACAGACATAAGAGGCCCAACTGGGACCTCTAGACATTGTCACCATCGGCATGAACACCCTAGATGACTGTTAGTCTGTTATGTGAGTGAATGCCTATCAAGGCATGGAATAAGCTCGGGCAACGCTCTATGATGAGGATACATCGATATAAACCTATATAACCTTATGAACGTACCCACTCCAGGGGTGGATAAGTCGAACACAGGGGATTCATCTTGAATATGTCCACCTGCCAAATTGGGAGATACGTATACTATGGACTGAAGGAAAATCCTGCTGAGTTATTTTACTGCTAGACGCTCTCAGCTTCCTCTGATCGGTGGGTATGAGGTGTGATCGAGATGCAAGAGCTGAGTTGGCAAATTGCCCATATCGAGCCCCTGATCAGGAGATGTTTCTGTCTTGATCCCAGCCATTATGAAGCTCAGTTCGTATATGTACCACAGGGAGGGGCTTTGCAGGTTTAGCTTCATTTTCGACACTCGACACTTCGTTTGCTGTATTTGATCTAACTCTTATCTATCACAAAAAAGTAACCTCCACCACGTCTTTGTCATCTCTCTTCGCTTGTATCCACACTCACACACACTAGACACCTACACGCATTCAAGTCGCACCAACAGTCTTCTCCGCCATCTCTTCTCCCTCATCATATCAAACCTTTTCCTCCAAAACGCGTTTGTCGGTGATAGTGGGCTCTTTGGAAGTAGTCTCGGTGGCGCCATCTTCTGAGGAGACGACAACGCCCTCAACGACTTCATCAAGCGTGCCATCAAACTCTTGTTCAATGCCGAGTCCAGGCGGGGGGAAGAATTTGTTGATCACCAGAAATAGGATGGCGCCCAGGAAAAAGCCTATTATGTAGGTGAGCTGGTAAATCTTGACGGCGCCACCGGTGGTACGACCCATGATACTCAGGACAAGGCCGGCTGGAGGTTAACAATCGACATTAGCTTGATTGACTGGAAATTGCGGGGATCGGGTTGAAGACTCACGCAGCGATGGGATGACGGTGACAATATAGACGACCCAGGCACGCACGTTGATGCCGTGAAAGTACCAGTAGATGGAGCTGTTGTTGCCCACAAACAGGTCAGGGATTTTCCACATTCTCTTGCGAGTGTACCAGTAGTCGAGGACGAGAACGGCGGTGCACACTGAAGTAAAGACTGGGGAGAAATGTCAGCCGACCAGGGCGCGCCTTTATGGAGATCTCAGAAGTGGAGTAACTTACCACCAAAGCTGGAGATGACTGAGAGAAATATCGTAGCCTGTGTGAAGAATCGCCAGGGTTGAACAATGATGCCGAAGGCGGTGAGGATGATGGCACCGCGCTGGGTCGATATGTATCTGGGGAAGATGCCCGCCAAGTCCATTCCGGCTCCTACATTGTTCTGCGTGACGTTGACAAAGACCTGGTGAGACCAGATGGCCAGGCCGGCAAAGAAGGTCAACGCACGGCCGCCGGAGGTGTAGTAGTTCGTTTGCGCGTAGGTCAGGATGTCCAGTGGCTGCCACATGGCTGTGCCGTAGTGGCTTCGAGTGGCACTCGCGGTCAAAATACCCAACAACCCACAGATGGTGATGCAGACGGGTAGCGCAGTCGAAGCTCCAATGAGGTAGTCGTTTCTCCTTTTGGAGAATCGAGTCCAGTCGGAAAATCTATCTGCAGCACCACCGTACGTACCGGCACTGTATTCACTTGGGGTCAGTCTCGTTTGGGTCTAGTGGTCACTTCCTTGGTGGAAGCTGGTGTTCACAAGAGGAAAAGGAAATCACTTACACACTGCTGATGCACTGAAAGAACCTGAATGCACGGGTGGAAGTTGAAACGGCAATGGCCGGGGCGACCAGATTGCCAGCTGAGCCACCGTTGGTGGCAACAGCCCAACCCATGATGCCAAAGACGGTTCCGACGATTCCAACAAAGACAGGCCACATGAAGGGTTCCAGCTTGTGTGGCTTGATCCAGATCACAACTGGCAGGTACAAAATGATATAGAGGAAGAAGCCGACAAGGTCTTTCGTGGTAGTCCCGGAGCTACAACCATCAAAGTCAGATATGTCATGTTGCGAAGAAAGCAAAAGGCTATTCACCTCTCAGGAAGAGTGTTGTGAAGGCTCTTCCATTGGGGGAAGATGGAGCCGATCATGAGACCGATGGCCTGACCACCGTAGACGGCTTGGAGACCGAACTGCGCAAAAGGGTCAGATCTTGTTGGCAACAATACAATCGGGAGGGCACAAAAGTACTCACAAAGACCATGTTACTCATCAGCTGGAAGAACAGAGGCAACCACATGCCGCGAAGGCCGAATGAAGCCCGGGCCATCATTGTCTAGCATGTCATCAGTTACGACTGTTGTGATCCCACCGTTGGTGGCCATAAGCAAGGGAGATACTCACGTATCCCAGGTGCTTTTCAGCACCTGGGCGGCCGCAGAGCAAGGCATTCAAGCTGGCGATAGAGGATCCGATGATGATTGCTCCGCAGGCCTCGCCAGCAGTCAATCCAACAGCAATGTATGAACTCCCGATGGCGAACGTCGACAAGCCAGCGGCGCAGGTGACCCAGTAGACGAGGAAGGCTCCTCTCCCGTAGGTACGTTCCTTGGGGACGATGGGGTACAGATCATGGTTGCCCCATTTGGTGGTACCCCGGTCTGTATAGATATCCTCTCTGGCGGGCAGCTCCAGCCATCTGAAATATTGCTTCATGTTTGAAGACCGTGAGTCCCGTGAGCAGTTTCGTTTGAATCTTCTCCAGAAGGGAAAAGAACCGTCGTATCTGTGAAGGACGCATAGTCTCCCGAGGCGAGCTGGAGGCAACTATATATGCTTGCTTTCGTCTATGGCATATGCCCGGTAGCAAACTAATTCATGTCTGCATGGACTGTTATCATTGCCCGCGATGGTATAGTAGAAAGCCAACCACCCAATGATCGCCCTGCCACCCTTATCCTGAACGTTCAAAGTCCTCCCGGGGTAAGCTCAGAGTGTACGTCTGCAAGAGTAGCCTTGTCGCTATCAAGAGGAGGTGACGTGTCTGTGTGAGGGTTGTGGGAGAAGAGGAGCGGGAGGGCCTGCCGACGGTGCTGTTCTTCGGCGTCTTGGACCCGCCCCTACTACACGAACTGTGTGCTTAAGGTAGTCTGGACCCGTGTATAGGATTATAGAGTACACGGCGCACGTTGTGGAAGATATCGATATCGGTCCAGACGTTGCACCATGGAGGTTGGCAAGATAAGAACAAGTCCAAAAACAGCGGACAGGTTCCAATTTAGTTTGTGGTGGAGCCGCCGATAAGTGATTGGAGGCGATCTGGCTAGTCAGGCTGTCGTGCTTTTCCCAGCGGGCTCAACTCTTTTCACTAAGTAGAGTAAGAGAGTTCTGTGTGTTGGGCTGATAGGTGTTGAATGTCCTGGATTGTTTTACACAGTCCATGATTGAAAAAGAAACCAGCTAGTATAGAGAGACACGATTCAAAATGAGAGCCTTGCAGCCAGCTATGCGCTCTGAATAGACGAATCAAGGGGTCTGGAAGTGGGACCAAGGACAATCAACGGGTACGATGAATGGCACTAGACACGGTATAGCATTCTAAGTGCCAGCACGGTGCCATCATGATTCATGCGGGCCAGGTATGTACCCGTTGTTGTACCAAAACGTCTCGTCCGCAGGAGTCCAGCCTACGATGCCCGGTATCTTCAACCTATCGTCCAGCTGTGCCGCCGGCACAGCTGAGGCATCGTCCATGCCGATATTTGTGTCGTCCCAAAACGATATGGTCTCGCCCGTCATATCACTGATCATCTGTTGCAGGTCATCGGTGACGCTGTCCATGGGTGTATCATCATGTAGGCTCTGCAAGGGTTTCTGCATGTCGCCCTTCATCGAAGTGACTGCAGTTCGGGGAATGTGTTTTCCTTCCTCGATCGCCTGGATCACCGACTTTTTCACCGCCTCAAACAGGTCCCTGTATTTCCTGCTCGGGGGCCACCGCTCAGCCATTACATAGAGGATGATACTGCAATCCGTCAGGGCGCTCAGATTCCTGAAACTCATGCTACTGGAAGAGTCGTGCCACATGCAGTAGACAAGCGTAAGGCCTGTGGAATTGTGAGCCAGATACAGACCAGACGAGACTTGTAGCTGGGGGTTAGCTTACCGGACAGACATACTGACTGTAGAGACAACGACGTGAATGCAATTGGCAACCTGTCATGAAGTCTCCTGTATGTCTCACACATGCCGCGACATGCTTCGACGCAGAGTGCAAAGTACCTCCCATCGACCACTTTCTCGTATAGACGAGGTTGAAGGAGCACCCTCAGAGTTTTGTAGTAGGACGCCATCTGTGAATACAGCATATTAGCAAAACACTACAGTCCCCAGGGCGTCCACATACATATGAGTCGTAGCTGCGATACACGTCGCTCTTGAGGTTTCTCGGCTCGCCCGAGTCCAGCTGTATGCTTTGTGCTGGGATCGCATCTTTCCAGGCATATAGCTTCTCAAGGAATGCATCGGTAATGGCATGGATGGCGGACGAGGGTTTCGTACGATCGACCCGGTAGATTTCATGTTGGATTTCGGACTCAATTTTCTTGAGTCTCAACAAATGGATGATCGTCGACATGGTTGTTTGAGGGTATGCTGGGATTGACCGGTCTTGCTCTGCAGCCTTTCGCAGCACTTCGACGTCTCGAGTCGCTTCGTCGACGTCGAGCGGTAGCTGTGCGAATTTAGCGGAGAGCAATTGATTATCGACGCAGGAGATTATACCTCAACATCGATATCATGGTCGGATATGGCCGGCGGCCGTCCCATGGCCATGGCACTTTCGCGTTCATGCCAATAGCAAGTCCAGAAAATCCGCTTGTTGGTCTCGGATTTCACAGAGATTCTGGCGGAGCGTCTTTGCCTGTGAAGCCCCAACTCTATACAAATCTTCATCGCAAGTCCAAAGAAAGTCCTATTGTCTTTGTCTCAGAATGGGTCTCCAGGTTGAGCTCGGCAGGGATATAGAAGGAAAAGCTTACCATGCACCTGGCTCTTTGGGCATTCGATAACACTAGAATTGTTCCGGTCATTCATCAATCAACCAGACTACAGGATTTCGAGGTCACTTACATGCTGACCCAATAACATCAGATATGTTAGTGAGCGGGTGTCCCCCAGACGTAGAATTGCTTCTCTGTTCTCCAAGGCGGCGTAGTAATACATTTCGGGGTTGAAGAAATAAGTTGACTCGCCTGTCTGTGGAGCAATTAGAAAATGATTTAGTTCCATCTCAGCACTGTGAAACACAACAGGGATCAAAGGTTAGGGTGACAGATCCCTTGGTGTTCGGGAACATCACCTATCTTCCTCGCGTGTGTGGCATCGATCTCGTCTTCAGCCGTGAAACAAAACCTACCTTTTCGAGAAAGTGACCTCCAAGTCCATAGATCAGGCTGAGAATACTTTCTTCGTAGACGTCGTTCAAATTCTGGCGTCTGCTGTGCAGATCTAGAATATCCGTCGAGAGTATTATAGGGAAGTTCGTGGTGAGATGCTTCAAATATCCATACACCATCTGGTCTGCAATCTCGGGATTGAGTTTGCTCAACTGAAATGAGTCTGCGCCTGAAAACGTGCCGAGATTACCTGCCAGAGGCACTTCTCGCCTCAGGTCTCCGTCATCAAGTCCCAGATTGGGCAAAGTGAGTTGGATCTTGCCGGCCAGAGTGGCTTGCAGGGCTCGACCCAGAGTGATCGCAGAGGCTCCGCCAACATAAGACCCGGCAACATCCAGGGAAAGATCTCGGACAGCGTTCAACAGGGGTTGAATGCCCCCTTCCTCGCCCGCATCAGAGTCATCGGCTCTGCCCTCCAAGTCGTCCCAGTGGTCACGAGAGACGGTGCGGTCTCCTTCTTTGGTCAGGAGTTTTTCGAGCTCGGCGACACGGTCTTCCAGAGCCTTGATGTACGACTTGGCCTGAGCAGGCTTCGGGAACGATGGTATCACATAGTGGCATTCCAACTTCAACCGGAGACATCTGGCACATGAAGGCTGATCACCATTGCACTGGATTGTAGTTAGACAATTGTTGGACTCGACCTCGGGCGCGGCACCAACCCTCTGCTTACGATGCTTACATCTCTGGCAAGCTAGTGACACACGTGGTCTCCGTGCGGGTTTGGAACCTTGTGTCGCGGGATTATTTTCGTCGGCGTTCTCCAAACTAGACACCGTCGGTGGGCTGGCGAACTCCTCCGACTCCATGTTCGTGTCCTTGTCAGCAGTCACACGTGGGATGAATGATAAAAAGCGCGAGTTGCTGTGCATTCGTCAAATACTTCTGGGGTTTCAACCCTAAAGATTCTGGATTGTTTGATGATTGAAGAGATTTCGACGGTTCTTCTCGGTCTCACCGGACGTTGAGATAGTCTGGCCCGGTATAATCTCTTATCAGCGGCCACATCCATAGCCAGATCAGTGCTATGCCAGACCAAACGAGTGGGGTTGAGACTAGCCTTGTCACGAGTGTTTATAGGTTGTTCAAGGTACAGGAAGTCTTATCTATTATCGGTTCCCGCAAACGTCGTTGGAGGTGCCCGAGTAGCTTTCGAGAATAACGGGTTGGCCTGGACAAACCAAGACACTCGTCAGTCAGCACAGCTGTGATATCAATCTTGTCTCAAGAGTTAAGAAGCAGTATCCTTAACGGCATCGTGGAGGTTAAGGACCATTTTAGGTTATCGCCGCTTAACCCCAAAGGGATAGCCAATAGAATGGTTGGTTCAGGGCTCTCTATGTGGATATGACTCTTTGTACTAGCTACTACTAGCTAGATCCACCAGCCTTGTCGGCTCACTGCACATCGACCCGACACTCCCATCCACTCCTGGCATACACCTCCTTTTCTGCCGCACCCTTTGCGGGGGACTGTGTCGCAGTGGTCGTGGTATATCACCCTTTGCTATTCTGATTCCTGCAGAATAATGAACTACCCGGTTGATCTTGATCCCGCAGTTCGTGAAACGCAGCTCCTGGGTCCCGAGCTGCCCATACCCGCTGCAAGTCAAGGAGACTCAAGGTGGTACTCTGTCTAGCTGCGATCTGCTCTTTGTCTTGCATTTTCCAGCCCCGCCTCGTGCCAGGCTACTCCTCTTATTTGCCACTACCAGTAGGCGCGGAGGTCGGCATCGCATCCCGCTGAGCGGGATCATTTGCCTATACTATACTCATGGGTATCCGTTTCGCGTGCGTGCTACACGATCTGCAATGGCCAGAGACCCTATTCCATGGCCTGACGGTGCTGAAAGGGTCCGGATGCAGCCCTGTAGAACATCGGGAATCGGCCAGCCTTTGCGCATCCGACTTCCCCATAACATAAAATCAGACGAGGGTTCAAAAAGATGAAGCTTGAGTGTTTTCTTCATTCTCTTACTCCGCCCTCGCACCTCACACTCACGCTCACACTCAAACTCACACTCACACTCCTTGTCCTCTCAGCCAGCTAATCCGCAGCCACTCAACCAACGAGCAAGATGGCTCCCAAGAAGAAGATTCATCTCAACTTCTTCGAGATGGCGTGCAACAGCGCGCACATGGGTCTGGGAATGTGGAAGTGAGCAGTTCCACCCCCCGAGAGTCCTGGCCCACGCGCAGACATATAGTATACTGAACAACAGCGACACAGGAATCCAGGCGATATGCAGCCGCAGAAGGACACGCTTGAATACTACATGTGGCTCGCGCGACTGGCCGAGAAGGGCAAGATCACAGGCATCTTCTTCGCAGACGTGTACGGGGTCGACGACGCATTCCCCGGGCAGATGGAGGCGCAGTTCAAAGCCGGAGGAAACTGTGCTCAACTGGATCCGCTGGTTCTGGTCTCAGCCATGGCGGCCGTAACCAAATCCGTGTGCTTTGGCATCACCGGGAGCACATCCTACATCAATGTACGTCGTGTGTGCTGGTTGACAATTTCGCACGAGAGGCCAAGCTCGCCCACAGCGTGCATGCTCTGACTAACGATTTCTATTCTAGCCATTTGTTCTCGCTCGGACGTACTCTACTTTGGACCATGTGACCAAGGGGAGGATCGCGTGGAACGTGGTGACCAGCTACTCGACATCGTCTGCGAAGGCGAATGGCCTGGACGACATCACTCCGCATGACAAGAGATATGAGAAAGCACACGAATACATGGATCTTTGCTATGCGTAGGTCAACCCCCTCCTTTCATGTGGCTGCGGCATCGATAGTGACAAATGGACCACAGGCTCTGGGAGGGATCGTGGGAGGACGGAGCCAAAGTGTTCAACCCAGATACAGGGATAGCATACGACCCCGAGAAGGTCCACAAGATCAACTTCATCGGGAACCACCACAAGACGTCGGCCTACAGCGCGGCACACCCATCTCCGCAACGGACACCCGTCATCTTCCAAGCCGGGCAGTCGACCGCGGGCAAGGCGTTTGCTGCCCTGAACGCCGAAGCCATCTTCGTCGGCGGAGGCAAGGCCGCAGACACGGCGCCGTACGTCAAGGAAATCCGCGCCGCCGCGGCCGCCAACGGCCGAGACCCCAATCACATCAAGGTGTTCCCGCAGATCGCCCCCATCATCGGCCGGACCATGGAGGAGGCCCAGGCCAAGTACGAGCGGTACAAGGCCCTCGCCGACTGGCGCGGAGGATTGGCCAAGTTGAGCCAGTACCTCAACGTCGACCTGTCGCAGTACCCGCCGGATGAGCCGTTTGACGTCGACTCGGTCGGCCATTCCGACAGTTCCATCCACGCCCTGGTCAACATGCTCAAGCGGTTCCGAGGCATGACTGTGACGCCGCGATTCCTCGGCGAGAAAATGGCTTTCTGTGGCTTCGGTGCCATGCCGGTGGGCGATCCCGAGACCGTGGCTGATGTGTTCGAGGACTGGGTCAACAACGCCGACGTCGACGGGTTCAACGTGGCTTGTAAGTTTTGATTTCTATCTTCTTGACTGAATTGCATGATCACAGCATGAATCAATACTGACCGTGGGAACGCAAACCAAACAGACGTCTCCAACCCCGAGTCGTATGAGGATCTCGTCGAGCTGCTCGTGCCCGTGCTACAGAGGCGTGGTCTCATGTGGGACGATTACACCGTGCCCGGAGGCTCATACAGAGAGAACCTGCTCGGCACGCCGGGCCATCCAACTGTCCCCAAAGGTCACCCTGCGTACAACTTCCGCTACGACATCTTGAAGGAGAAGTATGGCGACGAAAACGGTGATATCACGATCGACCGCCGCGCCGTTGCCCCTGTCGAGGAGCCGCAGGAGCCACAAAAGTCCGATGGCCAGAAGACAATGCCGATTGTAGAGACGGCAGCTGTCAAGCCGGTGATCAATGGTGGACACCCCCCTGCACCAGTTGAGGCTGCTGCTTAGGAGGCGGTCGGGGCGAACCCCGTCAGATTTATGCATACGGCATGTTGCACAGGCGCTTTATTTCTCTATGGTAGATATGGACACAACAAATGAAATAGTATCATTGCTTTACATTTTGTTTATGCATCTGATATGAGGTTTCTTCTGTTGCCGGAGATCGCAGTGGTTTGAACATGTCTCCAGCTGTGATGACACTGGAGCATGAATTCTCTTCTGTTCAATGCCAGTCACACTTGAAAACGGGCCTCACAAAGGACAGTACAGTTTGTCTCTTGAGCCCTCGAAAAGGCATACGGTCCAAACCCCGTCGGCTAAGTAACATGTGTTGGCGTATCACGAAACAGCAGGAGAGAGCATGGGGCGCGTGCGAGGTGAGAAAGAAATCGGGTTGGCAGGAAGAAGAACAGCAACCCGCTTGATCACTAGATCTAGATTTCCCAACAACGCAAACTCGTTGCCCGAGTCAGGGGAGCACGACAAAGGTCTACCTGCATACAGGTAGCTATGCAGTGCAATGTCCATCATCCGTCCCCTCAATCCAGCGCCTCCAGATCGATAGGACCTTGTTGCTTCCAAGTGACTTTCCAGATATCACTGTTTCCCTTCTCCGTCTTGATCTTCTTGCTCCTGGTCCCAGACTGCTCAGTGGCTTCGAGCAATGCCCGACTGTCGAGTGCAAATGCCCTGACGAGCTCCTGCATTCTGCCACCCGCCACAAAGGCGTTGGTCAACATGGCATTTTGGGCAACCACTTGCGACAGTTCCAGGCATTCCACCAGCCACACCCGGGACACGTAGTGTCCTGCGCAGTACAAGACGCTGTTGTAAGCCAGGATACATTCGGGAATGTAATGGTTGCGGAGAGCTGTCAGTAAAACTCCTTCCATGTCGTCCTGGAATCGGCACATGAATTCCTCGTCGAAAAGTGGCTGCATGGTCTGGCGCACATCGTCAAGTGCCTTCTTCATGTCACGCTTGCACGATCGCACAACTGTTGGATTCTTTCGGTTGCTACTCAACGTTAGCACATCTTCTCAAGTCATCTACACATCTACACGATGGCACTCACGCTTCAAGATTGTCGGCAATCTCTTGGAAAACATCCAAGCTGTCCATGGCGGCAACAAGTTGCTCGAGTTGTCGCCACACCATCGATTTGTATGCTAACGAACCACGATCGGTCCCTGCTCTCGTCAAAGGATGTTCGTGTAACGGGGACTTCCGCTTGCGACTCGGGCTCATTGGGCGGATGTGGTCATCATCCATTTCCTGATCTTCATCTTCGTCCTCGTCCGTAGGCGGCTCTTCGTCGGCGAAATTGAGATTCATCCCGACTGCACTCAACGACATTTCTGACAAGCTGACCCGGTCCAGTAGCTGGCGCAGAGCCACAAAGTTTCCGTCCATGAGGAAGGTTTTGTACAGGATCGAGACCGACCAGGCGGCACTTCCCCAATGTTCTGCATCGACATATCGATACCACTCCACGCTTCGAATGGCCTTCTCATCTTCCTCCGAGACCTCTCCGGTCATCAAGCCAGGGCGAACTCGTAACTGAGCTGTACTGGTCGTCGCTCCTGGCACGGTGATCCGGGGCAGGGTTGGGATTTCTTCAATGTTGCGAAGTTTTTGGATGGTATTGAAATTGGCGAGGTAGAAGATGCCATACGCCACTTCCGACACATCGATCTTGTACTGCTTCATGAGCTTGACCTGCAAATCCCGCTCACGACGGTCCGTCACATTGATCAGGATTGCTCCCAAGACACGCGGAATCCTCTCGTTGGACAACTTCGAGGCGTACAGAGGAAGCAAGGAAAACTTGCCCTCACGCTCCAGCCATCCAATATAGCTGGCAATGTTGTTCTCCATTTCATACTCATGCTCTGCATAGGACGACTCCAAGAAGCCCAAAGCTTGAAGCAACAGTTGCAGATGCACGACCATGCGGACAGAATCTTGATCCTGGGCATTGATGCGAGCAATCTCGCTGACATCATCCTCGTTCTCTTTCATGAGATGCGAGCCTTGATCTGTCGCGTACGCCACTTGAGAAGCAGCTCGTCCCATACTCAGGAAGAAGGTGTCGAAATCTTTTGACACGACCGTCAATTCTAGCAGCTTGTGCGGCGTGTGCACTTCGTCTTTGGTCGCCGGGTCCGATTGGGCTTTGGCGGCATACTGTCTTATATGAGCAGTGGCCGGGGGTTGCGGACTGTATACAGTTGCGCCAGGGTTGCCAAGTCTGTGTTGGTAAGCTTGGATGTAATGTTGGTATCGTTGAATCAGGAGAGCATTGAAGATGGCAAAGAGATGATCCTCGATTGTGTGTGTCGCCGCCTTGGAGGCGCCCGCATCACCACAGAGCACGCCGTAGACAGCTTTCTGATAGACATCCTGGATGGCAGGATTGTGGGCCAGGCTGTGACAACGATGTGACCACTCCGCATTCGACGCTAGATTCAGGATCCGGAGCCACGGCGAGTTGGCCATTTCACCAGTGTTCGGCCCACAGCCTCTTATCACGGCATAACGCCATACTTCTCTTCGTTCCGCCCACCAGGACTGAATTTCTGCCGCAGATTGGCCCCGCCGAAGCATCTCCCAGCACGTTCGCCAGGCCGCCTGCTCATAGTACTCGTCCTCTTTCTGAAGCGCGGCAGACTCGCGGGTCCGAGAATCAGGATCTAGCTGTGCAACGAGTGGTTTGCGATCCGCTTTCCGAGTGTGAGACCGAGTGAGATTGGGAGTGGAAGGATCCAGCGGCTGTGACAATGCCCGGGTCCGCTTCTGCTGCTTGATCGCGGTCTGCGTGTAGATAGGGCCGGCACTCCAGACGCCATCACCACGGTCCGACTTCTCTAGCAGCGCCTTCAATGTGATATGAATGGGAGGCGATGAGTCGGCTGCCCTGTCTTGCAGCCAGGATAATATGCACTCGTACTCCTGGGCGACCACGTCTGAATCCAGAAATGCCCCCCACAGCTCGGCATTGCTTGAATAGCGATGCAGGCCGGCCAGTCTGGACTCTTGGGCAATTTGTGCGTTGTTGACCGTATCTGGAGAATTGCAGTACAGCAGGTTTCGGACCAATCCCCACAGATCAGATTCCAAAAGGACTTTCTGTGCCTGCGAATCCGAGTCATTGGCCGCCGTGGTTGTTGTCCTTGTCTGAGCGATCTTGCTGTAGCGGTCTAACAGTACCAACGCATCTTCCCACAGAGACGCATCCGTGGGCTCTCGGTTGACCACAAATTTGTCCAGCGCCTTGGCGAACTCCTCGACTTGTTTGCTTACTCGGTCGGCGGTGTCTTGCAGCGGTCGAAGGATCTCCTGAGCCGTGGATTGGTAGGGGGACTGGGGGTCTATTGTGTTGATCAGCATTTTCAGCTCCAGAGGGGGTTTGGTGGTCGGTTCAGGTAGAAGGCTGCTCATTGAGTCTACCGAACAACGACCGGGGCTCCAAGGATCGCACCTTCCTGTAGAGACTCTGCTCCATAGTCGTCTGCCATATCGTCATCACTCGTCGTGCTGGGTCCATCGAGCTGGTCCTTTCCCATGTAAGTACAATCCAAATGGTGTATTGTAGAGACAACAGGAGCTCACCTGCGACCGGTCCACAGGCCTGCCCTGGACAGATGATCTGGTGATGGGAGCCATTGTTCGTGTATCTCGAAACACCAGGAGACAAGAGGACGGAGACCTGTGGGATATTGCTGAGTCGACTGCCCTTCGTTCGGTGGGAAACTAGTCTTCAACCTGTTTTGCAGCAGTTGGACTCGAACTTCACACGCGACAACAGACAACAGAACCTCGAGTCTTTGTCCTGTCAGTGGCAGCGCACGACGCGCAGTCTCGACAAAATGACGCTAGTCCCGAAACGGTCGATGGGCGAATAAAACTTCAATAAAACTTCCGTCTCTCATATTTGGCGCTGCTTCGTCTTCCTTTTTCTTCTTCTTTTTCTTCAACAATGTCATCAAGGTGGTCATTAGAGTCTCGGAACAGACCTGGTTACTCATTCTCAATGTTTGTTCAGATCCTACGGGGTCTCTCTGCGTGCTCACGACCGCCTGAGAAGATAGCCTGCATTCGCTGTACAACTGGCCAGACCTCCGCAAGAAGGGTTGATGGTTCGGATAGAAAAAAGTGATATGCTACATACGTTCGTCGGGAAGCCCGACATATCTTTATTATTCGCGGTTTATCCAAGTGCAACGGTCCAGATATCAAGCTCACTGCCGGGCAAGAGGGACTCGAAGCTGGTTGTACCCCTCGTTCCACGCAACCATCATCTCAAATCTCCTTCATCATTGTCCACGCTGCTGCAGCTTCAGCCGCAGCAACTTCGGTTTCGGACAAGACGGCGTGGTAGCCTCGTCGCCTTGTTGCTTGTAGAATTCATTGCAGCACTCATACAGGGCATCTACCGCCGATTGGCACTTTTCCTCCTTGTAGTTGTGCTTCTGCAAACAGTCTTTGGCGAGGGAAAGATTGTTTGATTAGTGTCTTGCTTGCTATAGACTCCTGTGGATGGCAGATCGCGGAACGCCGTGTAGGGCGCCCGGGAATTGTCCACAGTGCTGGACATACCTTGGATCGCACACTATGTCAAATCCACCAAATCAGCAACGCGAGCAGAGAGAGAGGACCAAGGGTGCAGAGAGTATCTACCGCTCTAGGATGGCAAGGAGGATCCGTCTTCAGGTCATCTTGCAAACGGCCCTGAACCGGTCCATCAGCGTTTGTGCCGTTTACAGGGCGAAATTTAGCCAGCAGACAGTCCTGATTGACATACCATGGTGATATTATCTAGTCCCTCTCCTCGCTATGACGATCAAAAACAGGGGGGAGACGGTCGAGGTTTGCCCATGAAATGTTGAAAGCGAATGGTACAAATACTTCGTGTTAACATTATTCGCATAAGGTACCTAAGGTGCCTGGTAGGTTTCAAACCGCAAGCTGTGACGTCGTCGTGTTCCTCTTTCACGCTACACGCTACACGCTGCAATCCTGCGATCATTATGGATTGTCATAAGGAGGTTGAGAAACAGACCTCAATGACTCCCCCCACTACTCTAGAATAAAAATGAGAGACTCTTTGGGAGTTTCGAGCTCGTCATGGTGCTATTTATTGGATTAAACTAGTCGGTCAATGACACCTGGAATCAGATGCTGCCATACAGGCCAGGCCAGGCTGCCTGGAAGCGAGCATCGTCTTGTCCTATGACTGTCTTTGATCCATCAAGACTCCCCGCTACGCTTTGGACAAAGTAAAAAAGGCTGGATGGTGGCCAAACAAAACCAATCAATGGTCCAGGCCCGAATTGCACATCACGATCCCATCATCTCGTCAGTGGTTTCGATGTAACAGTTACACCTCTTCCTCGAGAGGAGCCTCCTCCTCACCATACTCCTCTTCGCCTTCGGAGATGCTAGCTTCCTGGTATTGTTGATACTCCGAGACAAGGTCGTTCATGTTGGACTCGGCCTCGGTGAACTCCATCTCGTCCATACCCTCACCAGTGTACCAATGCAAGAAAGCCTTGCGACGGAACATGGCCGTGAACTGATCTCCGACACGCTTGAACAGTTCTTGAATCGAAGTGGAGTTGCCCACAAAGGTCGACGACATCTTCAAGCCACGTGGCGGGATGGAGCAAAGGGCGGTCTGGACGTTGTTCGGGATCCATTCGACGAAGTAGCTGCTGTTCTTGGTCTGCACGTTGCGCATCTGATCTTCAACTTCCTTCATGCTGACCTTGCCACGGAAGATGGCTGAGCAGGTCAGGTAGCGACCATTTCGGAAGTCCGAAGCGGCCATCATATTCTTCGGGTCGAACATCTGTTGTGTGAGTTCTGGAACCGTGACAGCACGGAAGGAGTAGGCACCGCGGCTGGTGAGAGGGGCGAAGCCGACCATGAAGAAGTGGAGACGCGGGAAGGGAACCATGTTCACAGCCAGTTTTCGAAGATCAGAGTTCAGCTGACCAGGGAATCGCAAGCAAGTGGTGACGCCAGACATGACGGCGGAGACAAGGTGGTTCAGGTCGCCGTACGATGGGTTCGCCAGCTTGAGGGTACGCATGCAAATGTCGTAAAGAGCCTGAACATGTTAGTCCCACCTCGAACATCAGAGTTGGTGGATTCGTACCTCGTTGTCAATGCAGAAAGTCTCATCAGAGTTCTCAACCAACTGATGAATTGAGAGCGTCGCATTGTATGGTTCGACAACAGTGTCAGAGACCTTGGGAGATGGGACGACGGAGAAAGTGGCCATCATCCGATCAGGGAACTCCTCGCGGATCTTAGAGATCAACAACGTGCCCATACCAGCACCAGTACCACCGCCGAGAGAGTGGGTGATCTGGAAACCTTGAAGGCAATCACAGCTCTCGGCTTCACGGCGGACGACGTCAAGAACTTGATCGACCAGTTCGGCACCTTCAGTGTAGTGACCCTTGGCCCAGTTGTTTCCTGCATGTCTGTTAACCTCTGCTCTTGACTCTTAACGGCTGGGAAATCGTACCAGCTCCGCTCTGGCCGAAGACGAAGTTGTCAGGTCGGAAAAGTTGGCCGAAAGGACCAGCTCGAACGGCATCCATGGTACCCGGCTCGAGATCGACGAGAACTGCGCGAGGCACATACTTGTTGCCGGAAGCCTAATAGCGAGAGTCAATAACTGTACGAGAAGTATGGACAGGTTATGGTTATATACCTCGTTGAAATAGACGTTCATACGCTCAAGCTGGAGGTCTGAGGTGCCGTGGTAGCTAAATTTCGTTAGTTTGGCCTTTGTACTCGCCGATGGTCATGCACATACACTCCCGAGCCGTCGAGGCCATGTTCGCCTGAGATGATCTGCCTGTTGACTTGTTAGAGCTCATTGTTGATGCTATCGTCGCGTCCAAGGATTGTGTACCAGAAGGCAGCACCGATTTGGTTACCCTGAATTTCCGTCAGTTTGTACCTTTGAGATCGAGGAAAGAGAGAAGCAACATACACATTGGCCGGTCTGCAGATGAACCTGTTATACAGAAGATTGAGTCAGTTCTTGATGCTTTGAGAAGGCTCATTGATGGCGGGGTGACGATAGAGCAAAGGGGTAAACAGGCCCAAAGACGCGTAGCGCAGGCTGCGGGCAGCACCAAAACTTACGATCTCACGCATATTGGCGAATTGGAGAAGAACTGTAAGGAATATCGAAGGATTGCGAGATGATGATGGTGACAGTCGAAGAGGTACACCAAGGAGGAAATCGAAGAGGTGAGAGAGGTGGTGAGGTGGTCAGTGGTCAGTGGTAGTGGTAGTGGTTGATGGTGCAGTTGGTTGTGGGCAGCAAAGAGAAATGGGCCTCACTCTCTATCAACAAACTAGCACTCTGTAGGACTACTACTAGTACTACGGAGAGGCGACTGTGCCAAGCCTTTTGTTTTGGCTGCACTGCAGTGCAGTGCGCGGGCGCGCGATAGAAAGACAAACAGCCGCTGCACTAATAACTCCGGGCACAGTACGACTAGTACACGCTTGAAGGCGGTGAAGAAGGCGCTAAGCCGCGGGGAGATAAATTCGACGCCTAACAGCTTCATGCCCCTGACCTTTCCGAGTTGGGTTTAGGAGGCCGCCGGGCGCGACAACATTGAAGCACGTGATATCAACAATCCCTTCAAGTTCCCCCTATTAGCAGCTACCGCACATAGGACCTAATAAAGGTATATGGACCTAAGGTACCTATATATGAGAACTGATCATTACTCTGTATTTCATTGCCTGTGTATCCCGCTCCACCAATTCGAAACTTTTTGGTTCATCCATGTCAGCTGGCTGACACGTTCCCGAGTATACATAACATCGTCCGGTGCATCTTTCTCACACCTCATTCGAAGGGTATTCCACCTTTGTCGTAGGGAGCATCTCCTCCTTCAGCGACCGCATACTGACAAAGCGCGACAAGATAGCGGCCGAGCCAGCTTTGTCATTCGTTCCTGACGCTCTGGCGCCGCCGAAGGGTTGTTGGCCAACAACAGCACCTATAGTTGAATTAGCTATTTATTGTTTCGCACGTGGGCAAGGATCTGGTCATCGACTTACCTGTGCACTTGCAGTTGATGTAGTAGTTGCCAGCGGCGTTCCTCAGCGCCTCCTCGGCATACCTGATGGCAGCGCGATCTTGGGCGAAGATGGCCCCGGTCAGGCCATAGTCGGAACTGCTGTCAACCGTTTTGCAGATTTGCTCGAAGGCATCCAGCTTCGAGTCATCATACACATAGGTCGTCAGGATGGGACCAAAAAATTCAGTGCTGAGATTCTTGTGGGCGGGGTCCTTGGTCTCGTAGATTGTAGGGTGCACAAAGTAGCCCTTGGAGCTGTCGTACTTGCCTCCAGTGATCAGCTCGAGGTCCTTGTCATCCTTCGCTGCGTCGATGACACCAGACAGCTTCTTGAAACTAGCTTCATGGATGACCGGGCCAATGAAGTTGCCAAAGTCCTCCGACGGTCCAACCTTCAGACTCTCGGTTGCCGCAACAAGCTTGGACTTGAACTCGGGCCAGATGGAAGACGGCACATATAACCTCGAGCAAGCACTGCACTTTTGACCTTGGTACTCAAATGCTGCGCGGATCGTCTGCGCCACAGCATTGTCGATGTCCGCACTGTTGTGAATCAAATGGAAGTTCTTGCCGCCGGTCTCGCCCACAATCCTGGGGTAACCTCTATATCTGCCCTCAGCAATGCCCTCGCCAATCTGGCTGTATAGTTTGCGGAAGACAGCCGTTGAGCCGGTGTAGTGCAGGGCGGCGAACTGCTTGTGCGAAAGAACAGCCTTGGTCACAGCCTCAGCATCACCGGGAACAAACTGGATCACGCCCGCAGGAAGGCCGGCTTCCAGCAGGATCTGGTGGACCAAGTAGTTGGAGGCGATGGCCGAGGGACTTGGCTTCCAGACCACCACGTTGCCCATCAGTGCCGGCGCACCTGAGAGGTTCCCGCCGATGGCCGTGAAGTTGAATGGAGATATTGCGTAGACAAAGCCTTCCAGAGGTCGATACTCGACTCTGTTCCACACCCCAGGAGAGTTGTACGGCGGCTGTTGGCCATAGAGCTCTTCTGCATATCTGACATTGAACCTCAAGAAATCGGCCAGCTCGGCGGCCGAATCAATCTCCGCCTGCCATGCGTTCTTGCCCTGTCCCAACATGGTGGCCGCCATGATTTCATATCTGTATTTTGTGCTGATCAGGTCGGCGGCCTTCAAGAATATTGCTGCCCGGTCGGCGAAAGGGAGAGACTCCCACGCCGGCTTCGCGGCGAGGGCACCCTCGATGGCATTGTTGACGTCCTCGGTAGAAGCATTGGAGTATTTGGCGATCGTGGTCGCATGGGAGGATGGATTGCTCTGGGTGAGGATAGAGGAGGTCTTGATGGACTTGCCGGAGACCACCAGGGGAATCTCCAGCGGGACCTTGGATTGCAGCGTAGCTACTGCGGCGGCCAGTCCGTCCCGGTCGGGGGATCCTTTGGCATAGTGTCTGTTCGGTTCGTTGGAGATGTTCGGGATCTTGAAGGCTGCCAGGGTCGACATCGCGACGGGAGAGCAGTGGAATCGGCGTCTGGACTGGGGAATGAGAGAAGAGGCCGAGACTGACGCCGGTCTGGAAAGAGAGTGTCGAGGGAGGGAGAGCAGCGTTCTGCTGCAAGAGCCCGCCATTGCTCCCATTCTCTGCGGTAATATGCACCAAAGACTCCCTCGCTCGTATACAGATGGCACCTGACGAGAGGCAGATGGGAAGTGAACTGTGAATTGGAGAAAACAGTCTGCTTATCCTTCCACCCCACGTCGCCGTCGATAGCCCCGACTTTTGTACTCTGAAGCCTCCGATCACGAAGTGCGGCTACTGTCGGTTCACATCGGCATGCTCGACATCAACGTGGAGATGGCCGCCAAACAAGCATCCGTCTAGATTTTATTGATAACAAGCTGTGGTGCGATAGCTTTGCATGTTGTTGGACGATTGTGGTAAAGAGTATATCTACCGGAGTCACAGGGCGCAGCATGGTGTAATCGCTTGAATCTCTGACTCTGACACTCCGTCGCCGGGGTTGTTTTACGTGTTCCGTCGGATAGCAAAAGGGCAGCCCCCCGTTCTGGCCTGTCTCAGTTTCTCCTTGCCCGCTTCCATCTCCTTAACACCTTTCCCAACAAACACCGTCGGGCCGACGTCCTTGACCTCAAATCCTTCAGGGTGCATACCTTTGTCGCCGGGACGAGGCACACCAAGCAAGACACTGACAAGCGCACCAGGCCCCCACCGATTCCACCAGGTTGGTTTGACATAGATTGGCATCGTGTCCCACCAGAGAATATACCTTCGACCCTTGCTGTCGGGTTCCTTGGTCAATAACTGGGGTCGGGTGAACCAGGGGCGTGGAAGTGCGAGATATCTCAAGTACAGCCGGCGCGCCTCCAGGAATCCGTCGAGGAGCGACGTGTACAACGGAGGAGCCTTTTCGAAGATGATGGCCTCCCGCAGCCGATCATCCAGGGGAGCGCTGACCACCCTTGTCAGCACACCCCTCAGGAAAGCCGGGTGAGTGCTGAGAAGAAGTTTTCGTGTCTCGACGGCCGTGTCGTAGTTCTTCCTGTCCGGAACCATATGCACCCTCTCATATTCTTTGGCCCAGGCATCTAGCTCGCGGTAGAAATGGAGGCCGTCCTTCCAGCCTGTGGAATATGACGGCAGCACTTCAAAGGAAATGTCCATCCCATCGCCCATAGCTTTGTGGAAGACCCCCATGGCACAGATCTCCATATCTGTGAGTCGTCTCCATTCATACCGGTTGATCCATTCGACCGGCTGGTTGAGAAACAACGACAGTGTGTACAACATATCCTCATTGGAAATCTTGCCTTGTCTGATATAGTGGCTGTGCAAATAATTCAATCGAGCATATGCGTCAATGCATCTGTCACTCGTGGGTTCGCCTCCGTACATGTCGGAGAGTAACACCGTGGTATCGGCATACCGTCGAGGGACATTCTTGGAGGCAGATAGTTGGGTCGTCTTGACCAGCAAGTCGCTGATGGTCGGGATGCCGTAGGTGCGGAAGAGGGCAAATTGCAATCCTTTTTCGAACAAGGCCGGGAACTCGAAATCGTGCATGATCCGGACGATGTCATGAGCCTCGTCAACAGTCATACCTTCCAGGGACGGGTGTGCTGGGGTGCCGTATTTGTATTTGGCCTGCAACGCCTTGATGCGCCGGTACCGTAAGGCCCGACAGAGAAGAGGGTATGCAACAAGGGCAGGCAGCAGATAATATGACCAGACCCTTGAGAGACCCGACAACTGCTGAGACGACACTGTGGTCAGATTGGAAAAGAAAGGGTGGCCCGATGAACTGTCCATTGCGGTAGAACTCTTCGTGGGAACTCAATTTGAGGTCTTTTTGGACACAACTGTACTGGCGGTCCCTGACAACTTGCAAGGCTCTCAGGAGCTCCCCCACTTGTCACACAATGTTAGTGTTGCTTAATGGGGATGGTAGTATATATATGTACGTGTATGTGTACATATAGATAGATATATGGACATTGATGGAGTACGCACGGCAAACAACCAAGCAGGATAGGACACGGGGAAGATGGTAAGGGAGTCTGACATACATATATATCCATCCCTTACTATATTCTCTCACCACCGCGGCTCTTTCAGCCCCCGGTTGCGGGGACGCTCAGTATACCATCTTGACATGTAACCCATGTTTATAACCGTCAGCCTGATTGGTTGTTCATTCTTCTGATATGCCCGACCTTCCCACTCGTTAAATCCACATCGATCAAAGCGCGGAGGATTGCTGACTCGGGACAGTCCCTGAGAATCCTTCGAGGTTGTTTCGCGAGCAAACACGTCCTCATAGTCGAACCTCCCGCCAGAATGGTGGCCCTCAATCAGGCTATTCGATATGGGAGGCCTCTCAACATATTCGAGCCAGACACAGAATGGACGCAGGACCGTGGCCTGGACTGTCCCTTTGCGCACAATATATAGTATAGATACTGATCCCCAAGAGCACCTACGAGAAAGACGATAGGCAACAATTACTGACCATCCAGGTATAGGGGTCTACCTCACTGCTCATCTCCAAAATGCAACATGGTGATCATCGTCAAACAATATATGTAGATAGAAGTGTGGAATCGTTGATCGGAAATGCTCGCTTTACTCCATTTTTTGCGTCCCTTTTGCAATGGCAATGGCTCGGGCAGCCGCTTCTTCGAACGAATCTGTCACACCTGTCAGCCTTGGCCGCGCCGTTACGAATGGTCCAGCCTGTTGGATAACCTACCAAAAGCATCGAGCTTGAGGCCGCTTTCCTGGATGAGCCTCTGTCCCTCGGTCTCGCGTGTGCCCCGGATCCGAACCACCACGGGAACCTTCAGGTCCAAGTCTCGGAAAGCCAGGAGGATGCCGTTGGCAATCATATCACCCAGAGTCAGGCCACCAAAGATATTAACAAAGATGCACTTGACTCGTGGGTCGGACGTGACAATTCGGAAGCCAGCTTTGATGGTCTCGGACGTGGCCTTGCCGCCCGTGTCCATGAAGTTGGCAGGATGGCCGCCTTGGGCAACAAGAGCGTCGACAGTGTTCATTGCGAGTCCAGCTCCGTTGACAATGGTCCCGATGCTACCCTCCCCACCAAGCTTGACATAGATCATGCCCTCCTTTTCGGCGTCCACTTCCTCTGGCACCTCGCTCTCGACGTCTCTCAGAGCATGGATGTCCGCCTGTCGTTTCGAACTCCGGAACGCCGCATCGTCAAAGCCGAATTTCGCGCCTTGAACTTGCAAGGACCCACCGTCACCGATGACTATTTTCGTTTGCAGCACAAATGCCTCCTTGGACACGAAGAGGTCGGCGAGTTCGGCAATGAGCCTCACCAGCTCCGGTTGACCGTTTGGAGAGATCTCCAGATGCGAGGCTACCTTCTCAAGCATGCCCGGAGAGGTTGGGGCATCTGAGCCGTACGCGAACGGAAATTTCCGAGAGAGCTGGAAAGCTCGTGAGGGATCCGTGGTGGGTGATGCAATTATACAAGGCTGCCGCGCCTCCCGATCGATGGAGATGGCGAGAAACTTCTGATCGTCCTTGGAAGAAGAGTCTACCGTAGGAATCCCTCTGGCCTTCAGCATATCGAATGCTTGCGATTGTTTGATGTACAGCGTGCGGCGCTGTCCTAAAGCAGATCTGCTGGGTCCAACAGCTTTAGGTCTTCGCCGCACGGTATGGTAGCTTCTCCGCTGAGCGGCTCCATTGCGTCCTACACCTGGACTTCCGGCACTGGACCGTCCATTCAGCAACCGCTTCATCCCGCTACCAAACTTCTCCGGGTGGTCGACCACTGTCACCCCGACGTCCTCCAGGATCTTGATCTTCTGTGCAGCAGTGGCTTCCCCCGGAGCTGCCCATGCGCCGGCATGGCCCATGATCCGGCCTGGAGGTGCCTGTATACCCCCAATCAGGGCCATGAAAGGTTTGGGGTTTGCTGTCCGTCGATTATAGTCCTCGATCCACTCGGCCGCTCTCAACTCGGCGCTGCCTCCGATTTCACCTATAACGATTATGCCTTCCGTATGTTCATCCTCCACCAACACTTGAAAGGCCTCGACGAAGTTGGTGCCCGCAAGCACATCGCCACCCATGCTGATGCAGTAAGTCTGGCCAAGGCCGGCGCGTGTGGTAGACGCCACGGCCTCGTAGCTCAAAGTCCCCGACTTGGCCACAATGCCGACATTGCCATCCGTGAAGAACGGGAGAGGCTGGAACCCTAGCCGACAGCGGCCCTGGACGTTGATGATGCCTGGACAATTAGCACCGACTAACCGTGTCTTTGATTGCGTCCGCAGCATCTCGTGGATCCTCAACGTGTCGTGTAGCGGTATGTGTTCGGCGACGGCCACGATGAGAGGGATCTCATTCTCAATGGCCTCTTCCATGGCAGCAACTGTCCCATTTCCCGGGACGTAGATGGCACTAGCATCTGGCTTGAGCTTCTCCACAGCCGCTCTCACTGACGGCAAGACTGGTAGACCCAAATGTTCGCCCTCAAAGCCTGGTTTCACACCCCCGACAATGTTGGTCCCCCATTCCAAAGATTCCTGGGCGTTCATGGTCGCTTGGCGGCCCGTGAATCCTTGATATAGCACACGGGTATGCTTGCCTATCTTGAGATTGTCGATGGTATCGGCATATGACCGCATGCTGGCAGATGTAGTGAAAGGGGACACGTTCCCGCCGGTGCCATGTTTTCGCAGAGTTCGAAACGAACATCTGTGGGGTCGCAATCCTCTAGGCAATATGAACCTCGACATCACTCGGGGCACACTGGGGGGGTCAGATCAGCCACCGCTGGCTGTGTCAGCACGACAGGAAACAAAGGTCGGTTGCGGGATGCCGAGTCGCAGAAGGAGGGTTCATAGATATATGTTTATTCGGCAACATTAACGGCACTCTTACCACACGCTCCGGGAACTATATGGGGGAAAGGAATATCATATATACAAATCCATGCGGACACAGGGTCCTGGCACAAATCCCGAGGCCGGCACCGGGGAGGAATAGAGCAAGAGGAAGAGAAAGATGCGGAGAGAGGATGAGGGAGTGGAGGAGGTTGATATCCACCGCCCTCGAGACGCACGAAAGACTCGGAGCAGACAGTTCAAAGTCCGAGACGCTAACAGAGGATTCCGAGATAGCAGCCGATGAAGTTGCGAGACCGGAGATGAATTGTTGTACCGCTTGGAGTCCAGAGAAGTTGAAGAGCTGATGAGCTTCAAGGGCACGGCTCCCTAGGCCTCGCATGTTGATCCGCTCATACTGATATCGTACATGGTCCGTCGTCTGTCAGCCACTGTCAAGGCAACCGTATATTAGAACACTCGGCTTCGATCAGATATCATCGGATGGCTATGAGGACTCGAAGTAGTAGTAGTATATTAGTAGTAGAACTTATACCTTCAGGTACAAGGTTCATAGTGCTCATGGATGCGGGGTGCAGCAGCAGAACAGTCCCAAGGATGCCTAGAGCAGCCAAAACCACAGCTGCTGCCAGGGCTTGATTCAAGGCGGTGGGAGTTTCGTTAGGGCTGGGAAGCCCTGTAGCCTTCCTAGCCCCCTAGCCCCCTAGCCCGAATACAGAGCACAAATTCTGGAAGGTTTATTAGGGGCTTAAGGGCATCTCAGGCAACGTCACAGCTGCCAGGGATCCTCGGCCCAATGGGCAATAATAAACTAGCCTGAGACCTTAGCCACCAGCCCCTAAGCTCCCTCCCACTATTAAGGCTAGTGCCCATGTCTTAGGTGCTATGTCATTCTCTCCAGAGTCCCAGAGTCCCGCTCAAGCTTTTCCACCCCCCTCCATCCCATCATTCGTCATGTTCTGTCGCGTGCAATTGACGTTTTGACCGTTGTACGCAAGACACCTACGTAGGTACCTGGGGACCTCACCTCACCTCACCTGCCAGGCAGTTATTAGTAACGTGCATGGAGAGTTGAGTGGGCGGTTCCTTCTACCGACCTACGCCCATGCGTCTTTTTAACAAGAACTCGAACCTGTGAAAAGAAACGACTTCCACGGAACCCAATGGATTTCCCACCGCAGCGCACCGCCTGATGTTGGTTTCGAGCTTGTTCTAACGCACCCAATACAGTACCACAGGGCCACGCCTTCTGTCGACTGCAACAGCGACTACAACTGAAATTGAACCTGCTCAGTTGGACCACTGGCAGACAAACCTCCTCCAAGACTCACTTCTTCTCGTTGATTGTCGAAGTACCTCCTACAGATGGAGTCGACAAAGGTGGGAAAGCTGCACATAGATCTACCGGCAGAATCCACCAAGCCCAAGGTCCTTACAAAGACAAAGCAAAAGAAGGAGGAGGAAGTGATTGACTCCTGGGAAGATGACGACGATTTGTCCTCGCTCGAAGACACCGAGACACCCACTGGAGGATCAGACACCGTGCGCAAACCGCTCATGTCCAAAGACCCGGCACTGAGGCCGCCTCCACCTCCACCTACGCCCATTTCGCCCGAGAACGCGGATCAACGTATCGATTGGTCTCCTGCCCAAGTGCTGGGCGGTGGTCGTCCCCAAGCTTACAGACCATCCTCTCCGTTGACGGGCAACGATTCGGATCGAGAGCGAAGGAGGCCAGAAAAGACCACGGCGACCGCAAGTCGCTTGATCGCTGCAGGCTTGGGGATCAAGCCTCCCAAGAAGACCGAGGAACAGAGACAATACGACCGTGCCGTTCGAGAGCAGGAAATCCGACGGAGGACCAAAGAAAAAGAGGATCAGGAACGCCAGCGAGAGGCGGAAGAAAAGGCAAAGGCTGCAGTCTGGGACGCATGACCTCCATGGCACTTGCACCACTTCACCTTCATGCATGTACTGCAATGTGTTAGTATGACAGACTCTTAAAGCCGCGGTTGCGAATCACTGGGCATTGAGCAGCAAAAACAGGCCTCTCTCAGGTCGAACCTATATATAAAAAGTACCGGCGATCGGATTGTAAATTCAAGAAGGCTTTTCCCGCGTTTGTTCGCGTTGTGCCTGACGCATTGTTGTCGTGCAAGCGTCGGCGTGGAATTCAGGCCTATCACAAGGGCAGCTAGTTTCGAGGCCAAGGTCACTTTTCGAAGTGGACGAGCGAGCCAGAAGATGGAAGAAGCAGCACAATAGGAATGACTGAGCACAGGTCAAAATCAGCACAGCAGCACAGAAGTCGCATGGACAGTCAGCAGTTTCTGGATCTCATTGATTGCATTCAAGTTTGCCAGCACCGAGTGACCATCCATCTGGAACCTGAGCGCCTTATCTCCATAAGTCCATGCACCTAAGCAAAAGCGTCTTCTCTCGATGACTGCAAGACGGCACAGCTGTAGTCGTCGTCGTTCCTTTCGCTGCAAATCGCCCCATCCGTCACGGCAGATAAGACGATGGCTCTTGATACCATACTAGTAACATCGCACCACGCGGCAACTCCTCTTTCTGGCCGGCTCAAGCGCCGCCACCGATCTGCTCTTGATGGACTTCGATCGAGTCGCCGTCTTGCATTTCGAGCTGTAGGGAGACAATGGTCAGTATCGGTCCAAGAGAAAAAGCTCGCGTCCGTCATGACTCATTGTAGGAAGCCGAGGCGGGCTGGGCTGAAGGAAGGCGACAACGACAACAAGCGTGACTTACTACTTCAGGCGTATCCTGTGGCTGGACCTTTTGGCCTTCAAACAAGAACCTGGCCGATCGGATGTCTTTGCCCTGTCGTTCGCAGAAGGCCTTCATCAACTTCTCCAGCTTGGTCGTCTTCTTGATCTTGAAGAAGACCTCGTTGTTGCCATCTGTGACCTTGATGTTCATGTGCTCGTTGGCACCTCCGGCAGGAGGCACGTCACCGCCGCCATTGGGCGAGGCTTGACCGGCATCCGACATGGCTGGGTTCTTGGAGGGAGAATTGAAGTAGAGGTGAGGACTGGCGCAGGAAAAGCGCGAAAGGTTTAGATGGGCGCGGTCTGTAATGGAGTTTAGTGAGTATGCGCCGCAAGTGGATAGTCGACGACGAATGTGGGGAGGGCGCGGTACCGGAGCAGGAGAAGGATATTGCAGATGGTGAAGTGATGGATGCGTTCGCGAGAGGTTACTGAAGGAGTTCGCGGGCGCTGGAGAGAGGAGTGAGAGAGGTGGCGAAAGAGAAGAAGGAGAGGAAGAGAAGATGAAGGGAGGTTGATCCGACTTGTAGAAGTCAAGTGTCAGTCAACGGGCAGGAAAATAAAAGCCGCTTCGCACTTCAAGAATGAAAGAAGATGCGTTGTTTTGAAGGTTGCCCGCTTCCTTTGGGGTACGACCTCGCATCAAAACAGCAACATACAACTTCTGCTGGATTCTTCTTCTTTTGTTTGATGGTTTGATTCTCCGTGAGAATGTACTCAGATAGAGGTGAAAGAATCGCAGGTCAACAGGAGCAGGACTCTGCCATTACTAGTTACTGCTCTCTTCTGCGCATTCCATGCATACAAGCTACAGACACACACCACAACCTCTGATTCTCTTTCGCCCCATTCATTATGTCTCTGTCCGTCAAACTCCTTCCTTTCGCATCGACCGCTGCTCCTTTGAATGCATCGTGCTAAAGCACAAAGATGGCTTCAACCGATCACGTCGGCGGGCTTTTTGGTCTCCTGCATAGCATCCACGGCCTGCGCGCTTTCATGCGAACGAAACCCTGGTCAGACTCTGCTCATGCATCCTTTCACAATGAAAGCGTGTCATGTTCTGATGGCAGTTGACAGCGTTTCTAGGCAGTGTCATCTCCAGCTGTACTCTGCCTTGACTGAAACAATCCTTCCAAGCCATCGTCACGATCTCGACTTAGACGAGCAATCCGCTCCCTGTATCTGACACCGTCTGCGTCTCTCTCTCAGCTGTTCTCGAAACTGCTGTCTCCAAGCCTCCCAGTCTTCATCGCTGCTCGAATCTCTCCTTACGATCTCGGCCCTCTGTTCTAATCGCCCGGAACGAATGGTGTGCCTCTCCGGAGACGACCTTTTGCGCAGGGACCGAGTCTTCTTTACTGACGTTTGCGCCACCTCTTCAGCAGGCGGTATCTGCTTCTGACCGTCGGGCTGGAGCATGGGCGGCGTGAGCATAATGTACTGCGGTTGCGGAGAGAAGATTTGGCTGTTGGGTGTGGAAGATTGCGATGGCTGCTGGTCGACGTCGTCTTGATTTGAAAACTGTTCGGTCGCAAGAACAGGCGCCGCCGCAACCAGACCCTCGTATGCTGCGCACAGCAGTAACACGAGGGCCACGAGCTGGAAATTGGAGGGCAAGTATTTGTCCGGCTTCATTGTCGATTTCGTCCCAAGTTCTTATCTCCCCCTCTCGGTCTCTCTTCTGGTTGCGCTCGCTTGATGCAGTTGATCCAGCGCCCTGTCCTTTCGTTTCGTGTGTGTGCAATCCACGCCCGCTCGTCAGAACGAGAGAAATGTCGGACCGAAACAGCCGCAAAGATTCTCGAGATTGGCCCTCTTCTTAGCTGGAAAAAGCCGAAAGTGACGCTCGGGTTCCCAAGAAGACTATTGACCAGCCATCCAATGTCCGATCCTGAAACGGAAGTGACAGATGTCAATGCGCGAGGCTGTGGATCAGGCGACTTTCAACCTCGTCTCTTCAACCTCTTCACCCGCCCTAAGGAAATTCTGCTGTCCCAATAATCCACCTGGATGGGCTAGCTTGAACAAGAGAGATGTGAAGACCCGGTGGGTGAAAGCAGGACAAGGTCCGTGTTTAAAGAGTGGTATATGAAGCACACGTGTCAAGCAAGGCTGATGTTAACATCTCAGCCATGTTCCACCACCACCTCACAGCGCACCATATATATTATTTTCCCCCTTGCGCATTCATCGATCATCATGCATATCTCGTCCTGGCTGATCTCCCTGCAGGCTGAGGGATGATATTGATTCCGCAGCATGGGTCGGCGAGTTCATTCTTGCTGCAACTGCAGGTCTCGATGCTGGCAACACGTGGTCCCCCTTCATACGTTACGACCTTCTTGGAGACAGAGATCGTGTTTCTTCTTTCACCCAGAAACAGGCGAAGCGCAACTGTCTGAGGAGGTCTAAATCTCACGATTGGGCGACAATGCGATAAGACGGCTGTGACGGGACCCCGACGGGCCTCGACCATGGTCTTGTTCGCACAGTTTTGGTCTATTAAGATTAAAATCCCCTCCCAAGACTTTTTAGCACGATAGCACTACACCCACGTCGTCGCCTGCTGTGAGTCTTGAGTCTCTCTGCTGCCTCCGACATCGCCCATTCTAGTGCTAGACCTCTCTTTTGTTGGTGACAGCTGCTGGTTTCCCGCACTGCCCGCGCCGCCCAATCCTCTCTTCATCATCCGGCCCAGGATCCCGACCATTTCTGCAGCGTCTTCGAAGGAGTCGTCGTCCATGCCTTCCTGCGCCTCATACACGTGGCGGATGCTCGTCCTGGCCATGCGCCGAGACTGTTCCGGGTTGTGCAAGCAATCGTAGATATAAGCAACGTACTCCACCTTTACCGAAAGGCGAATCGGGTGGGATCCAGGAAGAAGCCCCTCAGCGAGCTGGTTGGCCTCGCGGAATGCTTGCGTCGCATAACGTCGATAGTCTTGAAGCGGAAGAAGGAAGGTTGCGGTGGCGTTGGCGTTAGTTGAGCCGTTCGGGTAGGGATGTGTGGCGGGCACTGAAAGCCCTGGAGGTGTACGAGTCACTCCGGACACCGGCCCACCCAGGCTGATCGCCGGTGACCGTTGACGACCACTGTTGGGAGATCGACGAGTGGGTTCTGCTGGAGGAGTCTTGAAAGAGAGTTTCGGTGATAAAGGATCGGGAATCAGAGAGAAGGAGTCGGATGTCGACCGATTGACTCGATTGTTGACCGGCGGATCGTTGTGAAAGAGAACGAAAACGTGATAAAACGAGGCCTTCAGTTTGTAAGACAGGACACGGAGCTCAATGTAATTGCCCACCATGGGAAGTACATATTGCTCGACCATGACGAGCCCTTCGCGGGCCAGCCATAAGATATGATGGACGAGATGTCTGGTTTTCGGGTCACGGCCAGGATCGAGACGCTTCGCTCGGCGCGCACGCAGAAGCTTCTCCGCTAGGATGACAGAGAGACCAAGGACGCGGAAGAGAAAGCTAGTAGCGTAATGAGCAGTTAGCCAGGGCATCGAGCTGGTAAAACCCATGACATCCATCCTCTCACCTGGAAAGATAATTATTCTCCGTAGTGGTAACTTTTGCAAAATAGCCGAGAAACTTTTGGTCCACTTCCGAAGAGGCCATCCAAAAAGAATAGAAAGGAGGGTCGTCCGACGGCTGCCACTGTCGAGACAGATACGTCAGTTCAATGAATGCGTGTTCCAATTGTTTCTGCGCGGAATGCCAGGAGTCGGAGGGATCGGGATAAACTGTGTCCATGACTTGCAGAACCTTCGAGCCGTGCTCGAACACATGCAGAGCCACGAGTGCCTCAACCTGGCCTTCCTTGTAGGTTGAAGATGGATGTTGTGATATGTAGACTGAGGAATTGGCCAAGCCGTCCACTCCTGCACCCAGTGAAGCCAAAATCGGCTCTACTCCGCTAGAAGAAGGTGATATACCAAAGCGAAGCAAGGAATAAAGGACGGTGGTGAACCAGACATGGTCAGAAGAAGCTGGAGAATGGCACGTTGCAATTTACCTTTAACCGCCCGTTCTTTATACTGGCGCGTGCAAATCAACCCCGTTCCAAACCCGAATTCTCAGCGGTAAAAATCGATGAATGTGTCGCTGTTTCGTCGCTTTGCCGACTCTGCTGGTTCGAGTCGGAGAGTTCCACTGACTGCAAAATGGATTCAGACACGCCACCTTGAGGAAAATGTGTTCGATGTTCTGCGAAGCTCGTAGTTGCGGAACATGAAACAGAGCGGTTCGCAACAATTCTGCCACTCCAATCAATCAAGCCTCCTTTCCTCCCAGTATTGAGCGAGTGTATGCTGCCGCTACCTCTTGTTGATACAGAAAGCTCAGATGACGACGGCAGATTGATAATGCTTTGTGCGGCGGAGCGGGAATTAGTATTGAGTATTTCGAGGCGCTGTTGTTACAAAAGGAGCAGGGGAGCAAGGAGATTCCGGACTTGCAAAAGGATTGGACAGGACAGTCGTGAAGAACGATCGGGCTGTCCTCAGGTGTTAGGGTATCTATTCCCACAGTCAGCTAGAAGACCAAACATCTTACCATGACGTGCGTTGTCTGGGGAATTGTGAGAGCCAACGTACCGTGGGATTGGCGCAGTAGGGACAAAAGCAGGTGCAAGTATGTCTATGCAACCAGAACCGTATTATTGTAGCCAATAGAGGTGGGACAGGTAGAGCCGGTCGGGATTGCGGTCGCAGAAAATCTGGAAATGAGGCTGTGAGATGCCGCTTGTTCTCGTCTGACGCATGGCTGTATCGTCAGGTGAACGACCGGCGGCCAGATGTCCCAATGGCGGTGCCCAATGGATGTTCAACGCTGCCCGACCTGAACTTCAATCTCCAGGTTCGCAGACCTGACCACCTGGACAGAGATATTGCTTTGGGTTCGGCGTGGCGCGGTAGCCCTTGATCTTGCCGATAGGACGGCACCGATGGGAGAAAGTGGGAGTAGAGAGCAAGCTCAGAGCATGGCCACAAGGCGAAGGAGGGTCCCCCAGACAGTGAGCTGGGACGGGAGATTTGAGGAAGCAGATGTGTTGTATTCGGGGTCGTTCTAGTAGAACAAAAGCACATCAAGGTGATGGCAGGCTGCAGAAGGGGAAACGACCGTGTGCATGACGATGACGCTCGAAGAGTGAGTGATGAACTGTTCTCCTCAAGCCACCAGCTTTGCAAAGAAGGAAAATTGAACGACGAGAAAAGCCGGTGAGACGAGAGGCTGAGAGCAAGTGATGCTGCAAGATGGATCTGCGAGACAAGCTGCAAAACGTGCCAACGCATCAAGCGCGTGTCCCTGGTCGAGATCCTTTACCTGGTTGGCGATAGCGTGTCGACCAGGCGTGGAGTTCATGGACCGGGGTATCAGAGACTAGACCTACTAGTAGTCGTGTAGCAGCGAGTTTGTACCATGGCCAGCATCTTATCTTTACTCGAGAGCTCCCATGAACCCACGCAAGGGTAAGGCTGGCGAGGAGATGCTGTGTATATCATCCGAGGCCCGTTGAAAACCAGGCTGGCAAGATCGGATACTGGCATCAGTGAAAGACCGGTCAACGGGCGAGGACCGAAGGACAGGATGCGGGGAGACAGCACTGATGCCGGGAGAGCAGATCTGAGCGATGGAGACCGCCGCAGCAGGCAGGGAGGAGAATGACTGTTTCTTCTCTGGTCGAACCATTCGAGATCTTCTGACTGAGACCTTGCGGGTTCAGGCAAATCGAAGGAAGAGAAGTCTGGCAGAGGGACAACCAGAAATAAAGAGAGGGAGAGAAGGAGGAGAGTCGAAAGTGCTCACAGAGCAAGGCAAAAACATATGGCACTGCAGTGAATCAATCCTGTGCAGTCGAGGTCACCTGAGAGGACGTTCATTCATCTGCCTCACTATTAGCCATTAGCCATTAGCCATTAGTAGTATCAGGGAGTATCAGGTACCAGCTACCAGCTATCGGGTGCCTCCTTCCGAGGTTGTCAGTGTGTAGCAATCCGCATGCAGTCCATTCTAGTCATTCTCCTGGGAGGAGGTTCTTGCTAGTCCTAGTACTACTACTACCGCATCTGCTGGCTACAACTTTGAACTTCTAGTACCAGTACTGCCCCGGAATCGGAATCGACGACAACTATCAGAGAATTCCTAGGTACTAGTATTTGCTGGAGCCGTACACACGGGAGGACAAGGGAGCACCCTTCAGAGAATTGCTGGTCTTCAGATTCACCAGGGACGTCTCCCAAGAGGAGCAGTTGATGCAAAGCCCGGTCTCTCATTCCTGCATACACGCATTCTCCTCCCCGTTCATAGGCCGAGCCGCAGTCGCCTGCTCTCCTCCAGATGCATGATAGACACAAGTGCACTTTGCAGACACATGGGCCGCTTCCTTCCTCTGAACCCCTCAGCGAGATTGTCTGAGCGGGTTCTAAGCGAATAACCCCCTTCTCCATACGAATAATTCTGTCCAGAACTAAATTGATTGCTGCTCCCTGCACCTTGATAGCAGCCACTCCTTTCCGGCGGGCAGGCTCATCCTTCCCATTTGTCCTTCCATGGCGCGGACCAGCTCCATCTCTAGCTGCTCAGGAAGGGTTGTGAGCACACCAGGCCAGAAATGACAAACCCAGGCAACAAGGATCCCTAAGTCGATAATGCGGGTCCCCGCGTATCCCACGTCGTTTGCGGACAGTCCAGGGATCGATGCTCATATCGCTAGAGTGCACCGAGTACCCTCAGTCCTGTGGCCGCAATGGCATAAGTACGAAACGCCTTGGGCGAGGCGGTGACGATAGGGACCCAGTTGATAGTCTGGTTCGTAGAGGCGCGCCGGACTTGTCATCGCTCTAGGCACGATATGGACTGGCTGTTCTCGGGGCACCGAAGCTGGGGACTTTCCAAAGAATGAGTACATGAGCGAAGCATCTTCACGCCTCATTTGGCATCTTCAGGAGCCCCTTCCATCTGCCCAAATGCAGGGCCTTGTGCTGGTCCATTCACGACAGAGCCATGATTTTGTTGCATCGCAGGGTGCATCTTCTGCGGCATCTGTCCATAACCACCGCTAATGGCCCTGTGTTGCATGGCGTAGCCTTGATGTGGCGTCGATCCATATTGATGGCCGCCGCCATAGCCTCCCCGCGGCATGGCCATCTGCTGCTGAGGATACACTATCGGGCCTCCTTGATTCGACATGCTGAACATCATGTTAGGAGCTGATGGGTGCCCTTGTTGCGACCCTTGCTGCATCATCATGGGAGCGACGCGGCCTGGGCTGGAGTAGCCTCCGTTTTGTTGAGGATAAACGTGACCAGGGTTGGGCGAGTACATGGGCATTTGATGGTTGAACTGTTGTGGGACAGCCATATATGGCCCATTTGAAGGCTGTTGGACCATCATCGGCGCGCCCGTCTGGCCCACCTGTGCATGCATCATTCCTGGCGTGCCTGCAAACGGTCGAACCGGCATCGGCATCTGTCCCGCTACTGTGCCAAAATATGGTTGTTGCTGATATGCCAACTGTGCAGGATGGGTCATGGGGGAAGCATAAGCAGAAGCCTGTCGAGACGGGATGTTGGGCGAAGGATAAACGCCGGGGTTCGCAGCACCGAACTGCATCCGATGACTGCCGTCGTCGTACTGATGAGGGTATTGGTGCGGTCCACCATGGATGGCGTGCTGTGGTGCTGCGATGTGTGGAAGGTTCGAAGGAGCATTGGGTACCACCACTCCCTGTCCAGCAAATGGAAGGTGATGAGCTGAACCAGAACGACTCTGTGAGGGCGAGACGGCAGGCATAGTATGCTGCTCGAATGCTTCTTCGTAAGTCTTTTGGTCATTTTCTGTCTTGACTGTCCATCTGGGTCCCGTTTGGAAAGCCCATGGCATCCCACCGTTGGCACTGTAGTCTTTATGCGTCTCATCCGGCTTTGTGGCTCCAGGGGTGGATTTCTGCGCAAATTCTTCTTTCATACGCTTGATAGGGTTGAAGTAATCGGCGATAGATGGCCGTTCGGAGGAAGGCTTCGGCTTACGATGGCCAAACACCAAAGAAGGGCTTGCCGTCCTCGAGATGGACCCTCCCCGATGAGTCGAAGCAGGGCTGGAAGGAGTCTGCAAAGGGACGCTGGGATTGAAAGTAGCGGCTGTAGGTCGAAATTCTGAAGCCTTGACGTTCAGGTTAAACTTGCCCGATATGGCCGAGGTCGGAGTGTGCATGTTTGATCGTTGAGGGCTTGTCAACCCACTCTGGTCGGCCATTGGGCCAGTGGGAGGCACTCGACCATCAATGATGGGTATTGGAGCAGGTAGAGCATGGGGCTGTGTGCCCTTGCGGTCTTGCTGGTGCGCGGGAAACCTAGGCTGATATCCAGCATTGTTGTTCCGAGCTGGGTACACTTGGGGCTGCTGCTGGTTTCCAGGGCGATCTGTCCGCGCGGGTTGCGTGATGCCTCCCCGGCCACGATTGAAGACCTGCCTGTCGGGCACAGCGGGTGACGCCTGTGGAGCATCGGCTTTACGAGCAGCAGTGTTCGTCACCGGGACTGGTGAAGCACTGCCAGCTACTGAAGCCGACTCGGCGTGCTCCTTCTGGGCCTTTTCGACAATGGCTTCTTGCTTTGCTGGGTCTTTGGCCAGTATGCCAATCAGATCATTTGGTATCGGTGTCTTCAACTTGAAGGTCTTCGAAAAGCGAAGCAGTTCGTTCAACTTGGTTGTCCGGTCTTGATTTTGCTGAGCCTTTCTTCTTTCTTGGACCCGCTGCTTCTCAAGGTCAGCAAACTGCCGGAACTGATTGAGCACCTTGACTTCCACGTTCTCGGTCGGCCCCGGAGATGCTACTTTGTTGACAGTTTTCGAATCTGCTTCTGAACCATCCGCTGCGTCGGGGGTTGTCACTGTCGCTGCGGGACCATCGCTGCTGTGGGTTGCGGTGGGCAGTACGGAAGTTGCACCATCCCCGTCTGTGGTAGTGTTGTCAACGGGAAGAACTGCTGGGTTTTCTGCCGCAGGTGTCTCTTCTTTCGTGGTTTTCGCCTTCTGGCCGTTAGGCTTAGAAATCTCGGGTCCGGACAGACTCGCCGAGATGATTGCAGGGTCAACGGGGACGCCGGCGACGGTTGCCTGCCCTGTCGGTGCTCGTCTCGCTGGAGGCGTGTATTTGTTCGGGCCCCCGACCGGTAGAGAAGGGAAAGCCTTTGCATTTTCAGCTCTCCTGACCCCACTGTATTTTTCTTCCTCGTCCTCGCCGTCATTTTCCAGTGCCTGACCACGTTCTTCACGGATATGGGGATTTGTGGAGGCCGCGCCTTCAATCTCCCTTGCGATCCTCTCTGCTTCGGCTTCTCTGCGTTTGTATGACGGCGAGTTCCGATCGATGACGGTGGTATACAGAGTTTCGTCGTAGGTGCTCTTGGCTCCAAAGAGTTGTGAATTCACGCTAAACTGGTCCCAACTGCCGGGAGTACCAGACTCGAGAGAAAGGTTGGCGGCGTCCGGCCCTTCTGGGACCCATTTTTGTAGCAACCGCTCTCCGCGAGTCTGGTTCCCTGAAATATCGGCGTCGGTCTGGAATCCTGAAGGGGTACCTGTACCTAGGAAGTTAGCCGAGAACAAATAGGTGTGAGAGCGTAGCGAACCATTAGCCAGCTTGAAGTTCTCGGGGGGAGAAAATTCTGGAATGACAAGGTCGGCGATATCTTTCACGTCGAAGTTCATGGCATGCTCAGGACTCGAGCCAACCAAGGCCGCTTCCCGATATCCAGTTCCGTTCGTCTGTCCCGAGGCCGCAGGGTGTGACTTCCTGACCATCTTCATGGTAATTTTGGAATTGGTGGGATTCAAAGTCGAACCAGTTAATAGCCCCTCAAACCGGTCCCCGGATTTGACGGTGATGGCGATACTCAAGCCCTGTCACTAACGGTCAGCAAGTGGTCTGATCTGAAGGGGTACAGGTGAAGCATACGATGGTGGCCCCGAACAAATACACCAATCTGTCATGTGCTTGCTTGTCAGAAACACCCGCCTCTTTTTGCATGGCCGACCTCAATGTGTTCGAACTCCTGGTTTGAAATGAGCTTCCATTTTGCTGGACAGCCACTGATCCCCGCTGCGAGATGGGATTCGAAGACGAACCCCAGGCTTTCTGAGCACTTGGGCGCCTGGCACAAAGTGTTAGTAAGTAGGAACTCAAAAGTGAACGCGATGCACGGGAGCCATGTAGTCAAGACTGCGCCGCCACATCGGGGTGGTATGGGAAGATGAGAAGAAAGGCGTACCGTGAAACGCCGTCAACAGGGCTTTGCTTGCGCCCAGCATCGACAGCCTTTGTGTTGCTGGTTGTTCTCATAGCCGTCCTTGCTGAACCATTACTGTTCTGCTGGGGATGATTGTTGAGCAGGGTACCGGAGGAATTTGCAGAGTTAGCAGTGATGCTGGCGGCAGAGGCCATTAGCTGCAGTTGACTGCTGGCAAGGTCGCACAAAAGGTTTCGGGAGAGCTGAATCGACGGGTCCAGCCAGTCAGACTGCGCTCTGATGCGACGGGCGGAATGTCTGGGGCAAGAAGGACGGACAGTAAGAGGTGATTTGTAGACGTCTGTGTGGTGGGTGGAGGGCACGAGCCTCAAACGACACACGGAGGTGTCCAAGCGAGGTGCGGGAAAGAGGCTGCGTTTAACTGCGTTTAACTGCGGGACGGGGAATCTCGACACAAGAACAGGAACAAAGAAAGAGAGTGACAAACAAGGTGGACTGATAAGCCTGACCTTGAGGCGTCTAGGAGAAAGGAGCAGTAAAGGAGACTGCAGGTGGAGGATGTTGTGGGAGTTGTTGTGAGATGGAAATAAATGGACGGAAAGGAAGGGAAGAGGAGGAGAAAGGAGGAGTAGTAGGAGGAGGTTCGCTGCGCTGCGGTGCAGTGCGGTGCGGCTGTTGTTGGATTGCGGTTAGGTCTGAAGCAGTTAAAAGGCAGGGTAATACCACAATACTAGCAATAACTTAAGGGTAGGCGGAACTTTGGTGGCCCTGGGGACGAAAGCGAAAGCTGGAGAGTGATGGGCGGCTTGATTCGCTGATGACTGCCTTAGGTACCTACCCTAAGCTTGCTGCTGCTGGTGCTGGCTACTAGGGTATCTAATGAAGCATCTACCTCTAAGTACCTCATGGCTATCTTTTTCAGTTACTTTTCTATAACAGCATGAGCGCTGCAACGCAGTTGAGCAGGTCGAACGATAAATGAAGCGTGCGCACCTGAAGCAACCAAGGGTGGCCGGTAAAGACGCGGTCAGCTGGGGCAGGCACTTACAGGGTGTCGGTGAAAGGACGTTAGGCTGGTTGGGCATGCGCAGGAAGCTGAGGTTACGGGCAGGGGTTAACCATAACAGGCGCTGAGTCCCTAAAGAACCCATACTTAGAGGGGCCTACCACGGTCAACTTGAACCTTACTATAGTCTGCTTGTTATGATCATCAGGTCTTTTTTGATTTGCCAGACATGTCTGAGTGCGGTGCTGTGTGCCAATATTGCAGTCTATTATGTACATATTTTCTGCAATTCAGTCATGGCTTGTGATATTTCAGTCCCAACTCTTCTTCCAATCTACTTAATGAACAATCCTTCATCCTGCAACCCCATTGTCAGAATAACAATCGTCGCCCATTCTTTCTCCCTACTGCTGGACGACCAGACAAACCGCCTGCGTTGCGCTTGCGGTGAGAGATGAAGGACGGACCCTGGGACCCTCGTTCGACCCACCGCTCTGCTCAGTCGTCCTCCGACTCGCTAACTTAACACCTAAGACACGGATGCTTCCATCGATGTACTGTGCTGCCTTGTTATTTGTTCCTACTAGGTACTAGCTAACGATGGCAGTGGGCTCTCCCGACGGCCCCGTATTCCCCATGACGCCAACCGTAGACTCGCAAATCATCTCAGTCTACCGATCACGTCCCTGACGCGTTCCCCGTTCAGACGAAAACAAAGGAACAACCCAAGTTGCGGCAAACCTGCGGCCCATCAAATTCTGCACATCAAAAGAAGGACACGAACATAACATCATGGCAGTAACTCAAGACTTATGATTCACTGCCCTCGGACAACTACCTGCATTGGTCCATGTGGCAATGGCACCGCTCAGCGGTGCATCTGTCCACTGATTATTGCCAGAGAAAACATGACCATGGTCCATGGCCAACCCTCGCCGTCGTAGCTTGCACGGTGCCTTTCGTCAAGGCGCCGCGAAAGCAATATCCATCATCCATCAAATTCGTCTTACAGTCTCAAAGAGTTGAGAATTGCCGATGTCATAGATCGATATTGATTCATACCACCTTGCACCTTCTTGAACTGGATGCCGTGAAGTGACAGCAGGGGGATCTTAACAATGCTGATCTCAAACCTGAGCACGAGTCTCTCACCCGTGTCGTCCTGGACCCGCGTTCGTGTCGCTCCGCCATCTTGAGTCTGGTCGCCGGCGTGGCGTACCTGTTGCAAGTATTCTTCCGATCCCTCGGAGTTCGTCACGAAACTCTGGTCCGGTTGTCTCCTCCTCGTATGATGACGGCTGAGTCGGTCGTCTCTTACGTCGTCTTTGTCTTTTCCGCGGAATGCGGCCCCGAAAGAGATTCTTCTCTGGTGCCCTGATGCTCCCCTACCGCTCTTCTCGTCCAGGCCAGCACTGGGCTCGTTGATCCCCTCCAGATTGATGCTGGGTGCATGTCTACAGGAGAATCCTCCTTTGATCACCGTGTACTGTACACCAAGCTGATTCAAGACTCGGATGATATCGTGTCTAATAAATTCTGGAGGCTTACTGCTCGTGGTGGCAGTTGAGAACAACCCTTTCAGAGAGGCTGGTTTGGCAATCTCGGTGCCAGGAGTGTCGGGAAGAGCGGGTGTGTCAAGGTTATCCGGCTCGTCTTGGATGTCCGCATCCGTCTCCTCAGGAACGTTTGCTTGTCGGTCTCGTCGTTCCTCATGGCGTCTTCGCCGAGCCTGGATGCTCTCCTGCCGGGCGTGACCAAGAGATTTCGCCCGACTGGCGGTTGGCGTGCGCGGCGTCACGAGCGGGCTGGCGTTTGCAGCAGGCCTGTCGGTAAGCTCAACGCCCCGACCGGCCTTTGCCGCATTGACACTTGATTGATCCGACCCACTGGTGGGTGGCGGCTCAGGAGCAAGCGACGGCGATTCATTGCCCGAAGCGCCACGATGCAAAAGCCGTCGTGGCCGGTAGTCCGCCGAGTTAACGCTGGTGGATCGTCCCAGGAACTTCCCAGCTTTGGAGAGCCCGCCGCTTGCACTAAGCAGGCCTTCATGCTGGGGTTGGCTTCCACCGGCATGGTGCGTAGTCGGGCTTGGCTCTCTTCTCCGAGCACGTCGAACAGAAAACGACTTCCTCGGGGGTGCTGCTGAATCTTGAGGCGGCTGGATGTTGAGAGCTGGCGGTGGTTGCGGTCGTTCTACATCGCGTTCACGATAGCGCCGGGTGCTGAATCTTCGAAGGAGGCCTATGGCCGTCCCTTCTCTCTTCGCTGGCTGGTCGGGAGGTGGAATCGCTGTCGGTGAAGTGGTACTCGAGTCAGCCTTTCTTTCAGGCAATTCCAGGTTCTTCATAGCATGCACCACGTCATCTTCACCGTTAGTCCGAGCCCGTGGCCGCGCCCGACCACCTGTAGCCTTTTCGCCAGGCATTTCTGGTGCAAATGTGTTAGTATGAGCTGCCTCCGGTGGTGGCAGCCCAGGGAGCTTGAGTGGCGCATCTCCCGGAGTGACAGGCATGACCAAAGCACCCGGATTCTGCTCTCTCCGTTCTCGATCACGCTTCTCTCGGGCCAAGTAGTAGATCGAAATTAGTGGACTGTAGGCATTGAGGGGATCATAACCCCTGATAGCTTCAGTGGACGGAGTTGACAATCCTTCTCTGCTTATCGAATTTCGTCGTTTGTAGAAGTCGAAAACTCCGCGCTTTTTCTCACTGTTGGTCGAGGTATGGCTAAACTCTTCCTTGGTAGATCTGCGGACAGCATTCTGGTACTCTTCTGATTCAATGATGCGGGTCAATTGCTCCGTGATATAAGCTGACGAGCCGAAATCAAATCCTTGCATTTTGTCAATCACCTCAGGGTCGAGCGGCAATTGGAGCGGCTCTCTATGTGGGAGATAATTATCAGGAGGACCATTGAATCCTTTTGTCATCCACGGATGGTTCATGATTTCTTGTAAGCTGGCCCGGTCCCGGGGATCGACAACAAGCATTCGGGAAATGATGCTCTTGCATTCTGAGCATCGTTAGCAATATCACGGATGAGAGACGCGGGTACCATACCGGCCGTTATCCATTGGGGATAGTCAACCAGGCCTCGCTTGATCTTGGCATGCAATTGAGGCATGCTCTGGTCGTCAAATGGGACCTTGCCGCAAACAAGAACGTACAGGACAATTCCAAAACTCCATACATCAACCTCGGGGCCTGTATATTGACGGGCCTGCAGCAGCTCGGGGGCAGCGAAATACAAGCTTCCGCAAAAGGTCTTGAGCAGGGAGCGTGGCGAGTAGAGATTGCTCAGCCCGAAATCAATGATTTTGATGTCGCCCGTCTTGCTGATAAGAATGTTTTCAATCTTCAGATCGCGGTGGACAATACTGTTTCGGTGACAGTAGTCTAGTGCGCTGGCAATCTGACGAGCAAACTTCCTTGCTTGCTTTTCTTTGAGTCTGCCGTGAGCGATAATGTAGTCCAGCATCTGCCCACCGTTGACATACTCGAAGAGCATATACCAGTGATAGTTTGTCCTCTGAACGTCGATCATGCCACAAATATAAGGGTGAGAAAGGAGAGAAACCATGGCAGCCTCTCTTGCCGTTCGAATCTCCTTGGATCGATCGGCGCGTTCATCCTTTGCATGTCCATGATCATCGGCTGTTTGTCGCGGAACGATCTTGATTGCTGCTGTCTCTCCCGTCTCTATGTTCTTGGCAAGCTTGACCTTTCCCATGCTGCCTTGGCCAATTGTCTTGCCCAGCGTCCAAGTACCCGTTTGCGCAGTGATGGATGTTCGTCTGCGACCGACACTAGGATAAATGGGAGGAGCCGTTCTCTCAGCCTGCGAAGAAGGCGTGGGTGGAGGATGAGCCGTCATTCCGTTTGTTATCACTGTGGTCGGCGCTGTTAAATCCTGACTACCACGTCGCGATCCTGGACGAGAGGATGTTCTCCCATGTGATGCGGACTCTGTCTCATGTTCTCCTCGCCCTTCGCGAGAACTCCGGCGTGACGAGGGAGTTCGTGCCATGTTACCCTGTTCCAAGTCGCGGCGAGCAACATTGGCAAGCACCGTAGGGTTCGCCGGAGGAGGGGTTTCGTAGGAGCGTGACTCCGATCGACTGTGGCTTGGTCTCTGGTTTGTAGAACGTGTCCTGGATGGTTGTGCAGGCGACACAGGAGCATAAGCTGTTGTAGGGTTGCGGCTGGAAGAATGACGCCGCACCATAGACGGGGACTGTTGCGAGGCGGCTGTAGCCATTTTGACCAGTGGTGCCAGACCACGTCGGCCGATGTCGTTGTTGGTTTGGCTGGAAAGGTGTTACGTTTGCAGCAGTAGGAATGCGGTACCTTGCAATCCGCACGGACAATGGGAGCCCTTGACCCGCGGGCTTTGCAGCCGCAAGGCTTCGCGTCAAGGTGCTGCTCGATATGGCAGATGCTCTGATGCTATCGAATAGAAGAACCCAGGGAAGTATGCAGGACCAGAGGTGATGCTACTGAACGTAGTCTTGAGGACAGATGCATCGGTCACTATTGTCAGCGGGTTGACAACATTGAGAAGGTGAAGTGACAAGTCGGGTGGAGGGCGGGTCGGTGAATCGCAGCGGGGGGACGAATGAGATTGACGACTCGGGTTATCAGATGCCAGTTTGGCATACACCGATGCGTTGTTTCAATAGAAGACCTGATCCATAAGGGGCCGTGTTGGGTATTCATTAGAAATGAATTGTTTGTTGTTTGATGAGCGCAGGCACAGGCGCAGGCACAGGCAAAGGCGTTCGAACCCTGGAGCTGGGAGAACGAGGCATTTACTAGGCCAGCTTCTATGCCAGTCTGCTAGACGTTGTCTCTCCAAGTTATTAGGGCTGCAGACGTTAGCCTCCCTAACCTCCCTAGCATTTGTTAGGTACCGTAGGTAGGTAGTTTGGAGTCCCTGGGGGCTAGGGAGGCTCCTTAGGCTGGCGTGCTGCCTGGAACTCGATTTGGAGGCACAAGGTGGCACGTCACACTGCACCCCATCGTTTGTCAAATTACGGTTGTCTGACGAAGCAGTACACTTCCAGTTATGCGTAGTGCTGTTGGACTCTCCCGCAAGCCTGGTTTCAGTCAAGTTCACCCGCCAAAAGTGTCGAGAGCTTGCCCGTCAAAGGTTATCGCGGGCATCATATTGATGCAACGTGACCCTAGAGCTCCTTTGCCATTGTAAAACGCAGGGTAGGGATGGCATACAAACGCTCTCGACAGGCCTTCGAAGCCGACCTCCAAAAAAAGTCCTCCCCCTTCGTCGCATACGGAACACCATTGCCCCCCATAGACGAACAGACGAGAGATGATGGCTCTTTCGTGCCAATTTGGAAGCAAGAGGTCACAGATGAGAGAGGGAGAAAACGGTTACACGGCGCCTTCACTGGAGGCTTCAGCGCCGGGTGAGATTGTGGAACATATTATTTGAGAACATAATGGCTAAGATGGAGGGCGCAGATATTTCAATACGGTAGGCTCCAAAGAAGGTTGGACTCCTTCCACATTTGTCTCGTCGAGACAAAATCGGTTCAAAGATGGCAAAAAGCCTACGCAGAAGCCTGAGGACTTCATGGACGAGGAAGATTTGCGCGAGGCAGAAGAGGCCCGGAGTCTAAATGTCTCGGAAGATTTCGCAGGCTTTGGCACTGAGCATGACTCCGTCCGCAAGACAGCGACCATTGACCTTTTCCGGCCTCTTGATGAGACTATCGGCTCGAAGTTGCTCAAGAGAATGGGTTGGAGAGAAGGCCAGGGAATAGGACCTCGAGTCAGACGAGCAGCCAACCTGGGTAATGATGACGGAGAGCCTGCTGAGGAATATCTCTTCGCGCCTGAAGATGCTCGCGTAATCTCCTATGAAAAGAAGACGGACTACAAGGGACTAGGCTATGAGAGCGTATTGTCGAATGCGAGAAAGGCCACAGCTAAACCCGCTTCAGGAGGGGAAGAGATTGAAGCTGGCCGAGGCGGATCTTCTGAAGACGATGCCGGTGGACTACGCACGGCTTCAAGGAAATCTGCTCAACGGGGCGCCAAGAGCGGTATAGGGGTTGGTGTTCTCAACGACGACGGGTCTGACGACGAAGACCCATACTCCATGGGTCCCAGAATCTCCTACCACAGAGTCATAGGAGGCGACAAGAAATCGAAAACTAAATCAAGAAACATCACGAACTCTGCGAACCCCTTGGTGAAGACTAAACCGACATACATTTCGAAAAGGCTGGTGGATCTGAAGGGAGTTTCGAGGAAATGTCATGATGGCCGCCTGCCCCCCGAAGGGTTCGTGTTGGCCGGCCAATTGGGGTCCATGACCATCCAGGACGACAAGTATCGATCGCCTGACGTTCCTGCTGGGTGGAAGTCCTCCAAGTTGACGGAGTCCGTCGCTGACTCTCAATCGCCCTCCATGTCGACTGCTGAGGCGGCGCGGGCATCCGTTCTGACAGCCAAATCGCGGGCCAACATATTGGGAGAACCACAGCTACCAGGGAAGTCTGTATTCGACTTTTTGTCGCCTGCTGCACGTGAAAGGCTTGTTACTGCGTCAGGCAAAGGAAACCTCCCCGCAGCGGGAAACGAAGCTCCTCCCGAGGGGTTCGAAAAGGCGAAGTCTACGTCAATTCCACTACAAAGTCTTGTCCCCCAACTTGCCCCTGATGTAGCGCTCCAAGCGCTTAGCCGTGGTGCTAACGGTTGGATGCCCTATGCGGAGGATGAGAAGAAGCGGACCAGATATCGTACCTATCTGGAGATCCAAGCTGGTCTCAGAAAGGCCGAAGGAGGCGACGAGCTCCCTCCCAGTGCAGAGGGAATGGCGCAGAGCGACTGGGTGATGGAAATGCACGAGTTTGCGCGGGCAGCTGAAGTTTTCAAGCCCATCAGTGGGCTCATGGCTAGCCGCTTCACCTCTTCCTCGTCTCTACCCGAAGGCCGTCACAGTGACTCGGCAAATGCCACAGAAGAATCGCTATTGGCCAGGCCATCTGCCAAACCCGAGGATCCTGCTGAATCGGCCGCCAAGTTGGGTATGTTTGGTCAGTTGACTAGGTCAATGTCCAGTTTCTCTCCGACGAAGCTGCTCTGCAAGAGATTCAATGTGCCTCTACCAGATCCCTCCGCATTCGCAGCTCCCGACGCGGGAACGGGCGATCCCGGCGGAGAACAGCCTGTTGCAGTAGCACAACAGTTCCGCTCCCACATGTCAACTGGATTTCAGGACGAGGCAATTGAAGTTGAAAATGCTAAGAGGGACAGAGACAGTGCTCAAGACAGCATAGCCGAACCAAATGGATCAGGGCGAGAGGCACCGTCGGCAGCGGCTGGCATCCAGCCAGAAAGGAACGAAGCCCTGGAGCAGGAAAGACCTGGACAAGCCGTATTTAAAGCCATTTTTGGTAGTGATGACGAGGATGATTAGGAGCATGCAACCTACACACTTCTGCAGTTCCTGTCTGTGCGTGCGCAGTAGTCCCCAGAGCAAAGAAAGTCCAGGATGTAGACAGCAGAGTTGGCAGGAAGCTCGCGGTACTTGTAGCAACATCCTGACGGCAAGGCTGAGTACAAAGGAGAAGGGTGCGTGGGCTCAGGAGGCCCGGTCTTTTGTTGGACCGAGTCAACTGCGTCTTGGGGAATTTTATTAGAGAGGCCAGATTTGCCCAAATTCACCTCCAACATACCACACGGCGTACTCTCTGGTTATAGATATCTACCATTTACACTGCGTTTAACAATTCTCCTTCTCGTTGCTTGCTACAGTCGCTCTTTTTGCCTTCACGTATCGCGGTGCAGCAGTCCTCTACAGATCAAACACAAACATGGCTCGCCGGAAACAAGTCGCTCCCATGCAGCGCATCCATTCCGGCGAGATCATGCAAAGTCTCTCAGACGAAGCCGAGAAACACGCTCACCACACCAACGGCCATGTCTCGAAGCCCGCCGAGTCAAGAAAGAGGACGTCGTCCCATTCCCAACAGTCACATCCGGGGGTCCTGACCCTCCTCATTTGTGTTTCCGGCATCTATGCGTCTTTCCTGACCTGGGGACTACTTCAGGAGCGCATTACAACCAGACCATATCCGGTCGACGAGTCAGCGCAGGCGCAGCAAGAATACTTTCGCTTTCCAATTGTGTTGAACACGATTCAGGCTCTGTTTGCTTTCACAAGCGGCAGCTTCTACCTGCTCTACAAGACAAAGTCATTCAAAATCCTTCCCTCCAAGGCCGCCCTCGGACCGCTGCTTCTAGTAACACTGACCACGACCCTTGCTTCACCCTTCGGATATGCCTCGCTCGCACACGTCGATTACCTCACCTTCGTCCTCGCCAAATCCTGCAAGCTGCTCCCGGTCATGGCCCTACATGTCACACTGTTCCGCAGGCGTTACCCCCTTTCAAAATATATCGTCGTGCTTGCTGTCACCAGCGGCGTTGCTTTGTTCACGCTCTACCACCCGCCCAAACCGGGCAAGGAGCGCAAGATACAATCATCAAGCGTGTACGGCTTGAGCTTGCTAGGAATAAACCTGCTACTCGATGGCCTCACGAATACTGTGCAAGATCACATCTTTCAGTCTCCACACCGCTATGGGAAGACCTCTGGACCTCAGATGATGGTCATCTTGAACCTGCTCGGGACGTTGTTCATGACCGTATATCTTGTCGTGACACCATACCTTCCCGACTCGCTGCTTCCATCCTTCGCGAGACCCAGTGAGACCCATGAATTGGCGAACGCTTTATCCTTCTTTACACGGCATCCCGCAGTCTTCTACGATGTTCTCGGTTTTGCGGCGTGCGGCGCCATTGGACAGCTGTTCATCTACGCAACTCTTGAACGATTTTCGAGTTTGCTTCTCGTCACTGTTACAGTGACGCGCAAGATGCTCACGATGGTTCTGAGCGTGGTCTGGTTCGGGAAAAGTCTTAGCCACGGCCAGTGGATGGGCGTGGCTCTCGTGTTTGGCGGTATCGCCGCCGAGGCATATATTCAGCAGAGAGATAAAAAGAGGAAAGACAGTCGGAAACGCCATTTAGAGGATTATAAACAAAGGTAGATGCCGGCGCAGACTACGCAACGGCTGAGTCATGCATGTATGGGATATGTCCACCGCAATGCAACAGCTGGTACTGTCTATTGCGACTATGAAATCAAGCTCCCCTGCATCAAAAGCACCGGGTGTACATGATCCTAGTAGTATTAGTGAAAAAGCCACATAATGTTCCCGCCCCTTGGAAGAGCGGCAGGTTCAAGTTCTTGCTGGAACAGGAGCAGCGTGTGTTCACAATCAAGGCAAGAACGGCCAGAAGGCTCGAAGCCTTATCAAAAGGGGCTTTAAAGACAGCGTTCAAATGGGGCAAGTGCGCCGAGATACTATACGACGCAACGCAGCTCGTAGTCCGCAATTCATGCATGTGAGAGGCAGCATCTGCTGCAATTGTTCGTTTGTTTCTGTACCTCTCTGCTGGCTTACTACGTGTGCGAGCACTTCTACTCTTGTACACCGTTTGACCGAGACACTCTCGCATCTACCGGCCGTTGTTGGCTCACAAGATGCCGAGGTGTCATGGACCGGTATCCTGGGGACTATGTCCTCCATAACCTGCCCTTACTTGTTATCTCCGGGTTAGAAACAGGCGGAGACGAGACCGAGCCCATTACCACCGGAAGAACGCATGCGTTTTTACAAGAAGGCGGGTTCAGGCTCAAGGTAGACATTCCAGCGGTCCGAGGGTCTCTTGCGACGCAACTGCTTCAGTCCTTTCGCGCCCAGGATGCCTCAGAAGTGCCATGGCATCATCGGTCACTGGCCGCTCGAAACGGAAAGGTATTCAAGATTGCAACCGTTGGACGGGTAAGTGTTAGTCCTAGCAGTGTTATGATGGGTCTGTAGCTGACTGGAAAACAAAAGGTATACACTCTTCCTCCTCGTAAGGCACCGCCTCCGCCCTATTCTCCCCGGCTGGCGGCTGCTGTTGCAAACGGAAGCCCTCCGCCGCCGCTCGTTCTCCACTCCCCTCTGTCACCCTTGACGCCAGGCTCGCCCTTGTACCCTGACGGTATCATCTCTTCTCTATGGATCACCAAGCATCAGTCCAGGCTGCCTTGCGCACTGTTGACCTTCTTCACTCTTTCCTCGGATCCCAAAACAAGTTCCCTCGCGGACAATAAGCTGAAGTCGGAGATCAACAGCATCCGAAGCGTGCTCTCGTCGACGAATTATAGGACTAGACTTCTCCTTGTCCTGCTTGGCGACAACGATATCGACCCGTCTGAGGTCGAAGATCGCTGCAACAACATCCGGCGTGCTACCGGCCTCGATGGAAAGAGTATCTCGTTCCTTCCTCATGACTCGTCGCCGGCCGAGATCGAAGACTTTGTTGGTTCCGTGCTCTCATATCTCCAGCCTCTCTGTGTAGAATACTACCGAGATCTTTCGAAACATGCTCGGCGAAAGCGTAATAGAAACATTGTCCCTCAGCCTACGGTGCAGCCAGGTACGTCTAGCATATTGTCGTTGCAAGGCTGGAACGTTCGATATGAGTTTAAGCTGGCCGTGTTTGCCGAATTCCGGCAGGAAATGGATGCAGCCTGTCGGAACTACGAGACTGCTTATGAAACCCTGTTCAGTCCGAAAGTCCTAGACGCCATCGCCGTGGACAGTCCTCGTTTCAACGAAGCATGGCTGCTCGCTGACATCATCGCCCTTCGCACGATCAGGTGTCTTCTATGGACTGATCAAGGTACGACAGCGGTGAAGTCCTGGATCAGTCATAGGGAAAGGGTCAAAGATTTGGTCAACCGCAAGGGCATAGGTACGGACAACTATGGCTGGGAAGCATGGCAGTCCACTTGGACCCGGGTCATGGCAGACCTCATCTCAAGATCAGGATATCCACCACTGAACGTTCAAAATCCCGAAAATCCAGGCATGCTTCCTGTTTATGCCCGAACGAGCAAACCTCTTGCCGCTGGAGAGGCTGCCACCCCATGGGAACAACTACACCACGAAGGATATTGGCTTGACATGTCCAGAATATGCGTAAGTAAGCGCCGAAAGTGGGCATTACAGATCCCGGAGGAGGACAGGCAATCCCCAGGCCATTCGTCAGCATCCATGGTTGCTCATAAGTCGCGCTTTTACGACACGTATCTCGCGCTCGAGCCTTACCGCGAGTTTCCAAATGATGGGAGTGCTGGGTATGATCATGTGAAAGAAATAATCGAAACCTTGAATGCAGCAATTGTCCACTTCGCAAAGCGTGGTCAACTGCGTAAGGTTGAGATTTTGGAGCTTCATAAAGGTCTGGCACATCTTAGTACCGGATCGTGGTCGGCGGCTGTGACGACCCTCCAGCCCCTATGGAAGAAACACAATTGGAGGCGTGCCGGCTGGTGGAAGCTGCTCCAACACCTTGGCTGGGCGCTACTGGACTGCGTGCCCGGCACGAAAAATCACACTCTGCTGATCCAGTTGCTCTGGGAGTTGTCTACCAGCGTCTTTGAGGCACGACCAGGGGTCAACTACGACCTGCCCGTTGCTTTGAAGGCTCTGTCTCCGGAGATTGCTCACCCCTCGGTAGCAATAGACGCGGACGAAGCAGTATCACCATTAGTACCCGCTTTCGCTTTCGCTTCTCCCAATGTGTTTGTCGGGGAACCCTTGGAATGCCAGCTGTCCTTGGTTTCACGGGCGCAGGCAAGATTGCCGCCTGTCCACCTCACCGAGGTCAAAATCGTCTTTGAGGGTAGCCTAAGACCTATCCACTTGGTCTCCGGAGAAGGCCAATCTCCCGAGCAGATACCGGGGCGTGCTGAGTTCGTTGATGTCAGCCTCCAAGAATCGTTGTCCTCTACTGCCAAAAGGTCATCTGCCGGGACGATCGCATCTATGACTGGTGTCGCCGATTTGACTATACCACCACTTCACACCAGAATATTTCGGTTTCGTGTCATTCCACGAGAAGCAGGAGAAATATCGATCGCATCCATCACGCTATTGATAGATGACGAAAACTTTACTCTTGCGGTCACGTCGTCAAACTTTGAACATTCGACACCTCACTGGTGGGAGGCAAAGAATGGCATTCCCATTCCTCGCTTGCTTGGGCAAGAACTGAACGCGTTCAACAAGATCGAGGTCAAGCCGAAACCGCCGAGGCTGCAGATTGAAGCACCTGGACTAAGACGGTCATATTATACTAGTGAATCGATCCAAATCGACTTCAATATCATCAATGATGAAGATGAAGACACAATTGCATCAGTTGAGGCACGAATGATCAGTCAGATTGAAGGAGCCGCGCAACTTGGGTGGGTAGCATCTGATTCGGCGTCGGATGTGGTATCAGCTACTCCTTCCGACATAGGCGTGTTGACATTGCCTGCTCGAGCCCTCGGGACGCTCCCTGTATCCAGCAACAGCACCATCTCGATCATCATCACAGACACAGCAATAGCGGTTGATCACGAAGTTGAGATAGTCGCACGGTATAGCCTTGTCTCAGAGCCAGAGACCGTTTTGACCAAGACCTTGACCGTTGATGTGGGCGTTATCCGTCCATTCGAGGCCAATTACGACTTCTTGCCGCGCCTTGATCCGGATCCGTGGCCGAGTTTCTTCGATGCTCCACCGCCAGACGCGGAATCTGCAAGTGCGCAGGGTCTACGACACAAGTATTCGGTAGCTGCGAGTGTCTGTTCGTTTGCGACAGAGCCTGTGGTGATAGAAGCGATTCTGCTGACCGCAACCCAAATCGTAGGAGGTGCATTATGTTCCACCGGGACCGGCCTGGTGAGGAATCGTACCGAGAGAACAGCTGGCAAAGACGAGGCCGCCATCTCTGTGGAAATCTTACCAGACCGGACGGAAATCTTCGATTTTGACCTGACGGTGCAGAAACTGACATTGGGTGATCGGCACACGGTTGGAATAGATCTAGCTCTTGAAATCGGCTGGCGTCGGCAAGATTCAGACAAGGTCAACACCACGTTACTCGAAGTGCCGCGACTCATCGCGCCGATGGCGGAGCCTCGTGTCCTGCTCACAGTCACTGAAGCGGCTTCGTTTCCCTCGGAGTTCTGTGCAAGACGGTTGGACTTCATGATGGAGAACCCGAGCATGCACTTCCTGACGTTCAATGTGTCTATGGAGGCTAGTGAAGACTTTGCCTTCAGCGGACCCAAGGCATGCGCCCTCAATCTGGTGCCCATCAGCAGACACGCCTTGACCTACCGGATACTACCGAATAAGAAAGACCAGTGGATCGTGGTGAACCTGAAAGTGGTCGACGCGTATTTTGGTCAGACATTGAAAGTTCTCCCCGGCGGCGAAGGGGTCAAGGTCGACAAGAAAGGCAATGTTCTTGTAAGGGTTTAGAGACCGATTGACCTAGTGAATGTATATGAAGGGAAGGCTCACGGTTGTCACTACCGGGGGAAGAGGTTGAGCAAGTGAGTCTACCTGCAGGGTTACATATTTCATTTCCTGCCATGAGTACAAAGCCCAGAGTAGACAGAGTAGAAATCTTGATAAACCTGAAGCGAGCCTCGTGCCTCGATACGTTGAACTTGAAGTTGAACTTGAAGTCGAAGTTGAAATTGGATGCAGGCAGTGGACGTCATTGCATTTCTTGGCAAGAGCGCGCATTCTTCTCCAATTTCCAGTTCAACTTGAACCTCCGCAGGTTTTGCCGAAGCTTCAGACGCGCCGCGTTCCAGATTCGTTGATTGTTTGATTCTCTATAACATCTTACGCACCCCTCGAGTGACCACTGCGACCATGGAAAAGCTTCAGAACCTTGTCGCCAGTGTGACGGGAAAGGAGAAAGTCGGGATCCTCGACAGCTCGGCGCAGTCACTCTATGGTAAACTTCAACCCCTCCGCCAGAAGGTGGTGCTTGGAACATACATGTATGAATGGGACTGACACAGACTCTCAGTTGCTGCGGCAGCCATAGCATTCAACCCTATCTTCTGGAAGTGAGTTGGTCCTCCGGATGCAGCCCGCTCGGAATAGCTAACAGTATCAGTGTCGTTGCCCGACTAGGTATCGATCCCACAGTTCAGTTGTGATGAGGGCGTATTTAACCTGAGGCTAGAGTACAATACTCACTTCTTGACCAAGATCTTCCGCTCTCCTTACTATGGCTGTTATGCGCTGGCAGTGACTATCTTCTCGCTCGGTATCCTACGCGACTCTCTGTACAAATCTGCTCTTGACGAACAACCGCTCTACCCGCCCCTGCACCAACCCGCACTAGGCGTGATCTTGTTTGCTGCCGGCAACACTCTGGTGCTCTCGAGCATGTGGGCACTTGGGGTGACGGGCACCTATCTGGGCGACTACTTCGGCATCTTGATGGACCACAAGGTTGAAGGGTTTCCCTTCAATGTCACAGGGGCACCAATGTACTGGGGAAGCACTCTGTCCTTCCTCGGCACCGCCTTCTACACCGGCCGAACGGCGGGCGTGTTGCTCACTCTGGAGGTCTTCGTGATGTATCTCATTGCACTGCGGTTTGAAGAGTATGGCCCGAAGAACTGGCTGGTATTTCTTGTTAACAGTCTCGCTGACCACCATCCAGCCCTTTCACTGCCGAGATTTATGCAAAGAAGGAGTCGAGGCCTGTCACTCGCTCCATGACGCGACCAAAGGATCGTAAGAAGGCATGAGCTGATGAACATTCCCAGCAGGGCGACGACAGGGTAATTGTTCGATTTCGAGGAGCGCCATCTTCCTTCTACCACGGAGGTTGGGGCCATTTGATGGTCGTCTAAGAGAGGAATTCACCACCTGCAAAGATGACATAGCGTTAGGAGGGGGATGACGGAGAAATCACAGGAGCGTGTACATACATAGAATCGGAAGCTGTTTCAACACAGACTATGGCTAGAGTTGAATTGAACTTGTCTACTAGCAGCATATCTTCACCTTTCTAGTTCTTGTTTCTATCCGCCCGGGCAAGGCTGGCATGTAGCCTTGCGGGAGACTCAGGAGCCTGGCTTGGCATTGCGTAGGTCGGAGCAAATGTTGGAGCGCGAGTCATGCGGTCCCAGCCTCCTGGTAGACTTTCTCTGGTTGCATGACTCGAACCATCAATTGCGCGTGTTGCAGTTCTTCCAACAACTTGAACGACTTCACCACCGATTGTCTCGGCTCGGCTTATTCTTTGGCCCTCAAACTACTGTATTATGCTGTCTCCCGTGAGCAATATCTGTATCTGTGCTTGGGTCTTCATTCTCGCACATGGGACAGTCCCTTGACCATTTTTCGCCCACGGCAACCCATTCCCAGCTCGCCAGACACACCTCTCCACATTGCCCAGTGCGAAGCGCTTTCCTGCACCAACGCCCGTCGCCGAGATGCCACCTCAGCATGTAGAGATCGCTGAGACGATCGCGGCCTTGAAACGAACCTTGCGCCGAGAGAAAGAAGGTATGAACCTCAAGCCTCTTACCGGTTGCAATGTGCATGATCTTGTGACTAACCTGGCCAAACTCACCAGCTCCTACCGACCAGCCCATCTCCTCTGCCACTAATCGAGGCAACAAGTTAAAGCGCGGCGCCAGCTATGTTCATGCAGGATCTCTACCATATCCACATGGTCCAGACGGATATAAACAGGTGGGCGCAATCTCCAGGAAGCGGGGTTGAGGACAAGAAGCTCACAACATTCGCAGAAAATCGAACATGCAGGCTACACCCGTTATATCCTCGAACGAAATCCACGGCGGTACAACGAGTATGGGGATGAGTTGGAAGACAGTGAAAGTGACACAGAAGCAGACGCAGATGCCGAGGAGGAGAACCCTTACAGCGGCGTTCGCATCGAGGGTAAGATCGTGCTTTCACGTTCGTGTTTTGTCCCCACGCTGACCGGACCTATACAGAGCTATTACGCCCTTTGAGACACCCTTCAGACCTAGCAGTACACCCTACCTTATCCCTCCCATTTCTCGATAGCGCCCTCCCCAACTTGGTGAGATCAACGGAAGAGACACTGCGGCAGGAGAGGGCCAATCTGTGGCGCGCCAAAAACCTGAACAGACACTTCATGGGCGACGAGTCCTGGATGCCTTTGGGTAGTATAGAGGTTCCTGAGGACTGGGACATGTTCGAACCCAAACCAAAATTGCCCTCGGAGCAGCCAGCAAACAAGAGGAGAAAACGAGAAGTCCTAGATCACACCTCCCAAAACGGTGTCAATGGACACTCCTACACCGTCGAAGAGGAGGACGGCAGTAATAAGGGTTCAGAGATACAAAATCCAAATCAGTCCGGACCGGAAGGGGTCCAGTCCGCCGAGGCAGATGGACTTGATCGAGAGCAGAGAAACTTTGTGCAAGAGGATGCGCAAGGAACAGTGGACAGTCCGCCAGCCACGAACGGAGCACATGTTGATGACAACCACGACTCACCGCCTGCCGGCAACGCGGGAGAACCGAAACTCGAGCATGAGGAAGAACCCAAAGAGGAACCATTAGAGAAGGCGGAACTTGGTACAGATGAACAAGGCGATGCTGATGATGAAAGCCTTCCACAACCTAGTCGAAGAATCACGCGAGCTCTTGCGGCAGAGCACAACACATCAAGTGCTGCAACTCCTCCGTTGTCACCTAACTCGACCACCTCGTCCATTGATTCCTCCCTACTTCACGCCGATCCCTTTTTCCTGCTTCCTCCCAACCTAGGGACCAATCGGCGCGCGATCCAAGATCTGTCTCGTCTTGCTATGCCCGTGGAAGAGTTTATGGAAACACGCCGGTTATTGATGCTGTTCATACAGAAGCAAGAAGAGAGTGTGCGCGCCTACGAAGGGGTCCTGGCCAAATTGACCAAGGCCAAGAGGATGCGCGAGAAGCTCTGGGAATGGTGCAGGACCGAAGGCCATGTGGGCGAGTTGTCGGACGGCGAGGATTGGATCGACGCTGAAGCGTGGGGCCTGACGCCCGATGATCTTAAGAAGGGCAAAGATGAAGAAGACCTGGAAGGCCATGAAGATACCGGCAGAAAGGGCAAGAGGCGAAGAAGAGACTAGAAGTCCCAGATCACCAGGCCGAAAAAGCGAGCCCGCCTGAATTACGATAAATGTCGGTCCATGACATGATGTACAAGAATCCAATCTCATTTGAAGAAACATTGTGCCTTTGCTGTCCTGGCAGACCCTGCACTGGCATAAAAGAAGTAACCGTCTTTGAAGCTTTCGTAAGCCTAACAGCCTGACGCCGTCCCCTTCGACCTGCCAGCAAACTAGACTCGCTCTCTCGGGGGTCTGCGCCCTTTATGAATCCTTCGTGGCGTGTCTTTGCACACCTCTGCGACAATACAAGGCTACAGTGGCTATTTCGAAGCCGATGCTCGCTGCAGTTCCACGCCTCCATCCTGCTCTGCCGACAAATTCATCCGCCGATCACCGTTGTCTTCGATTTCGTCCTGATCGTCATCCGCGCCCTCGCCATCACTACTATCGACATCTTCGATGAACAGCTGCGCACTCTCACCAATGACGCCCGCCTCCTTCAGCCTGGCACGCATCTCCCTCCTCTCGCCATCCTGCCAGCGAGCCAGCGCGGCGGCGGCATGGACACGGAAGCCAAAGATCTTCGGCTCATGGCGGCGGCGCGACTTGACCGGCACGAGCGCCGGATAGACCTGGAACAAGATATTGTGGAACGAGCTGCCGAAATACGCGCCGTCGATGGCGGCATGCCGACTGGACTTCGGGTTGTAGATGTCCTCGCACTTGGCGCAGTACAGCTTGACGCTCTTCTGGCCCGGATTGTCGCTCGGTCCGAAGGGGAGCAAAGGGTGGCTGTCGCACAGGACGCGCGGGCACCGGCCAAAGTCGGACCGCTTGAACTTCTCCACCATCTTGGCCAGCCCGCGGGTGGTCACGATGTAGCGTGCGTGCACCAGGCCGTACAGATGACGGGCCGACTTCTCGATCGTTTCGCGCATGTCGTCGTCGCAGTCGAGATCGAACACGTCCGTGATCAGGTCCAGCGCGTGTTGGTAGTAGTGCACCTCGGTGTTCAGCCCCGTCAGGTTGAACCGGTCCGTGATGTATTCCTCGTCGATCTCGCAGAAGTATTCATTGCCGCGCGATGAAATGAACTGGACAGACGCAAAACATTGGTTAGTAACGAGATGAAACCGCCGCACGTTCAAGCCCAAGCGGAATGTTTCGCACGATGATCCAGGTTAGATGTCCTGACTTTCCCACGAGAAACACTGTAGAGAGCAAAGCAACCTTGAAGAACCCGCTTCAGAGTCTTTCTTCCTTCTCTTGACACGAGACTAGGGAGTGGCCGCGAGTGCGGCCACTCCTGTCTTTGAAATTATACTTCTCGCAGATCAGGTGGACTTATAGTGCATTTGGGTTCGGAGATAGGGAAATGTAAACATACCCAGTCCCGCCAGTAACTGGTGTAGTCACTGTCGGTCTCTGACTGAAAGTCCTCCATCATGATAGGCACATCGACCGCTTTTCGTCAAATCACCCAAAAGCAGGGGAGGCGAATATGGGAACCGCAGTCTTTCAGGAAATGGAATGGAAAAAGTACTGTTGGCTTTGAAAATGATGGATATTGTTTGCGTTGCGCCAGGCTGGTTTGCTTAGAGTTGAAGATGGGAGAATGGAGGGACAAGCGGGAGAGTGATACGTTGGTGTTGAGGTTACAAGGCTCTGATACAAAGGTCCGGGGCACCCACGTGATGTTACGGAGGGACAATTCATAATCTAGCGCAGTTTGTCCTCTACGGCGAAGCGTCTGGCAATATCATGCTCTTGCGCTTCCTTTCACTCCAAGCAGGTCGTAAGATGAATCAAAGGTTTCTAATATGCCAGTAATTTGCGTGCGACGTGTGTCTCAACCTATGTCATGACGGGCGTGTTTTTCGCACGAGCTGTTCATGACTCTGTACGAGGTGGGAATGGGAGAGCATATTCATGTCCATCATGCTGCCCATCTCGCGATCACACTTGTACTCCTGCCTTTCAACCCTGATCAACCACTCAAGTGGGTAAGTGGCTTGGGAGGACTTGGAAAGTGCTGGTTGCGATAGACGATGATATCGCCGTTGATCGCAAGGCTGGACTCGGTGAGAGTAGCCTTCTAAAGCTGACTCATCCGTTGGGGCAAGGCTCACGCATGTCAGGGGCTGGCCATAGGGCGGCGCAGGCTTTGTCCCAATCGGAAGCACACCGCGATCGAGTCCGACAAGTTCCCCAGACTTTTTGTGTCGTATCTCGCCCCCGCGGTCATGGTCAATATCCTCAGCTGTGGCGTGACATGATGGCCTGCAATGTTATAAAGACAAAGATACGGAGAGCTATATCACAATAAGAGCTGAGATGGCACCCATCAGCCAGCGCAGGCATCTCGGCCGCGACAAATTCGGAGCGCAGTTCAGCCTCCTCAAGACTCAACAGTACACCGACCCCTCGACTCGAACCGTGACGCCGACCATGTACGTACCCATCTCCTGGCAATAGGTTTCCCTCGGCATCGAAAGAAGTCTGTCAGTCATCCTGCTTCGACACCTGGGCTGATCTCCTGTCTTGCTTCACAGCCACCGCACCATATCATGGAACGCTTCCGGCGGATTGATCGCCACGGGCGCCAACGACAAGACGGTTCGCGTATGGAATCCAGAGAGGACAAGTCCGCGTAGTCAGACTGAATTGAAGGGACACGGCCATGCGATAGAAAAAGTCCTGTTCAACCCTGCTCGCGAATTCGAGTTGGCGAGCTGCTCCTCAGACGGCACGGTGCGGTTCTGGGATACCCGGAGCAAGACCTGCGTGACCAAGCTCGATGTTGGCGGCGAGCCGTTCACTCTGAGCTGGAGCACGGATGGAAGCACGTTATTAGCGGGAACAAAGGTGCGTTGGGGTGGAAGACCTACTCCGCGGCTTCGAATCGACATCGCAAGCTGACCGCTTTGCCTAGGGCGACGTCCTCATCCCCATCTCCACCGCAATACCATCGTCCCCAGTCATTCTTTCGCGACACAAGCAGACTCTACAGACAAACCAGACGACCTTCTCCAACGCTTACCCTCCTACGGACCTACTGATCACGCAAGGCGACGGCTCGCTCAAGATTCTCGATTTCCCATCCTTTCAACCTCTGCACACCATTTCCGCCCACACGTCCTCCTGCACTGCCATTGCGTACTGTCCGAACGGGAAGTACGTTGCCGTTGGTGGCTCCGACGCCATGATATCTCTCTGGGACACGACCGACTGGGTCTGTCGAAGGACGGTCTCCAACCCCAGTTCAGGGGCTATCAGAGGGCTAAGCTGGTCCTGGGACGGGCGCTACTTGGTCGGTGCCAGTGAGGAAATGGGCACCGGCGGTGGCGAGGGGCTCAGTTCAGGATTCGACATCTATCACGCCGAGACGGGCGATGTGGTCCATACGATTCCGACGGGCACAAGTGGCATCCCCGCCGTCGAGTGGCATCCCAGCCGCTATTCGTTGGCCTATACCCAGATCGAAGAGACGCGACAGGGGAAGTCGAGCTTGAAAATCGTCGGCGCCGCAGGAGGCCCATCGATATGAAGGAATCTATACACTTTTCACTACATCATTTAAGGCCCTCCTGGATATGATTGCCGCACAATGCGCTGGCACCAGCTGGCAGATTGGCCACATACGACGCGGATTCACCCTGAGACGGACCTCAAGGGCCCCTCTGATCACAGCCCCTGCTCGACCCGACCTGAAGAACAGGGCTCTTGTACCGTCAATATCAAGAAATGCAATCTGCTAGCCATCTGCGCCGGCATGTTATCAGGAGAGTGTCACTGTTGTTGTTAGTACTCGAGAGGACGAGATCCCAAGGAGGCTATCGCTCGTTCCAGCAACTCGGCAGGTGCAGGAGTATTTGGAATAAGAGGCTCTTTTTGGTTTCCAGAACGTGTCCAGGTTTTCGCCAGTCTGTCCAAGTCCTTCAAGAAATATCCTGAGCGACTTTCCAAGGCTTGCATCGAGCGAAACACAACATACATGCTATCAGATTGCCGGTGGTAAGGGGGCATCCGGCATCGGTCGCTTCAAGGGATGGTCATAGACAGTGGAAGAAGAAGCATCTTGTGGAAACAGCATGCCGCGGTGAACTCTCTCGATAGTATATATCGGTACGGTATTGTCGACCTCTGAATTTGATAGGCCAGGAGCATGTCTGCTGGACTAGACTAGAAGACTGGATAGAATAAAAGGCATTTGGGACAACCAAGTACTTTCCTCAAGCTTATCTGGACTGCTGTCTTGATTCGGGAACTGGTCTTGTTCAAGACCACTTGGATTAGAACATCCAGTCTTTTGCATGACCCAAAACAGGTAGACTGACTACCAGCTTCTGGCCACCGAGCCGTGTGGCTAGAACTAGGCTGAGGATCAAGGGCGATGGCCGATATATAATGAACATCGGATCTTGGGAACGGAAGTCTGTGGTTACAGCTTCAACGCGCCTCCACCGGATTCCAACGCATTGACACGGTCCGCTTGCTTCCTTTTCTTGCCTCCCAGGTCCTGCAGTTCTCCCTTCTTGTCGATGACCTTGACATTGCCCTTGCGCAGTTCAGTGAGGATGTCGGCCTCCTGATCAGCCTTCTTCTTGCGAGGGCCCGGCGTCCCCGACGTGCCCGATCCCGATCCCGCAACCGGAGCCTTGCCCTGGGCCTGAGCTTTCTTGGTCCGCTCCTTTTCCCTTCGGCGACGACGCAGCTTTTCTTCCCGCGTCATCTCTTCTTTGTTGACGCTCACGCCGCTCTTGCGAACAAGCAAATCACGGTCAGTCCTCTCCTCGCCCGGCCGATACACCTCTTGTGGCGCGAGCATGCTTTGATCCGCATTGACACCCAGCCCGACGGGCCGGGCATCTTCCATGCTGATTGTCGGTTTGTCCTCGACGATCTTGATCTCGGCCTCAACCCGCTTCGGCTTGAAGTGCAAGTTGCTCAGCAGGTCGAGTTGACTGGACACCTCCTTCCAGAGCCGGGAGATCTCTTCGTGTTGCTTCTTGGTGGCGGCTGATCGCTTGTCGACGTATCCGGGGTCCGTGGCGCGGAGGTGTTCCTGTTCATAGACCTCCGCAAGGCCCGACTGTGGCTTCGCATCGTCCAGCTCGATCCGCCCACGACGAGCCTCGTTCGCGGTGCCAAGGGCATCGGGGTGGCGGCGGACGACTTCGTCGAATTCTCGCGCGAGGATACGCCGTTTGATCAGTTGTTCGATTTCTTCCGAGACCTCGGATGTGATCACCGGTACCGGCTTGCCGACCCGTTCAAACTCCAGATCTTCTTCGATCAACGAGTTGAGCGGGCGGTCGGCGGCTCGCGCTTCGCCTGACAGTGTCCAATCGCGTTTGCTCACATTTGCGGCTTCAAGACGACGAATTTCGGCGGCGATGGCTGCTCGTTGTTTCTCATGCGTCGACATATTCTTCGTTGACGGCTTCCCACCATCTGTGTCGGACCCGGACTCAAGGTCGGAGGGTTCTTCATCGGACTCGAGGAGATCACGGCGCACATCGGAGATGGCTCGCTCCATGTCTTCGTCGATATTCTGGTCGTCCTCGGGTCGACGTTGAGGCGTCGGCTGTGTCTTTGGTAGAGCTCGCATGCGCTTCGTCTTCGAAGGCTTCTTGGGCGGGGGCGCAAAGAAGTCCTGATATCGAATATCGTTGGTGTTGTCTAAGCCGGGAAGAGCAGCTTCGAGATTGTTGCCCTCGTCGTCCAACATTTCCTCATCACTGTCTTCGGCGTCCAGGTCAGCATTTCCAAATGTCGGGCCGTCGTCTTCCTCGGATCCATCTTCGGCGTCGGACACATTGCCTTGGCCCGTCGCCGGACGGTTCTGCTGCCGCGTGGACTTGTGAATAGGCATCTTCAGCGGATCGGCATCCCAATCGATTTCATCTTCATCGCTCGGGTTGTCATCCTCTCCTAATACGTCCATTTGTTCAAGGAATTGTGTCTGTTTGTTGAAGTCGTCGATGGAAAAGAAGCCGTCGTTCAGATTGTGGGGATCTTGCACATAGGTTTCTGGCTGCTGAGGCTCCGATTCCGAAGCAGAGTCTTCATCTTCAACCTCATTGTCTTCATCGCCAGAGGCATCGTCTTCGTCTTGGTCTTCGCCCTCATCGAATTGCTCGTCGCCCGTCAAATCCCCCTCTTCATCGAAATCTTCATCGTCGAGAGCCTCCTCCAAAGCCTCATCGTCTAGCACGATGTCGTCCACGCCATGGGGCTCTTCCACGATGTGACCGTCGAGGCCGTCGACACCCTCCTTGCCATCCGCCCGCGCCTGACTCTGCTGAGCGGCGATGTCTCTCTCTACTTCAGAGCATGCGGCATCAAGGACTCTCCGTGCCTGTTCCCATACCTGCTTCACTCCGAGTCCACTGGTGTATACCTGCCGGAGTTGTAGGACCTCGCCTTCGTGTCCAACATCACCCCGTTTCCTCTTCTTCCTGTTTTCATCCCGCCTAGATTTCTGTGCATCTGCGACATTGGTGGCTAATGGGTCGAGGATTGTCTTGAGGGAGGCCAAGGTCTCGAGATGGAGGGGGGACGGAGGTTGCAGGAAGGTATGCGATGATTTCGACAGGCTGTCGAACATTGTCTCAACGCCGGTCGCCATCTTTGCTTAGGGTCTTTACTGTGGTTAGTGCACGAGACTCGCAGTCTCAAATCTGTTGATGCTACAATTTGGTGATGGGTGTCGATTCGCAGGCAGAAAAAGGCTAGACTCTGCGGAGAATTATTTTTTTCTTTGCTTCCCCCCTCGAGGCACAACTGACCAACGGCGGTTGACCGAGTTTGAAGGATCCCCATACAAGTACCATAGTACGAGTACCACAGTTAGTACCTACCTATAGGTGGCTGTTCCAAGTGGCTTGATGGGTGTCAGATGCCCCGGGTCAAGCCTGACTGACTAGCTGCTGTGGCTGCAGTTCGGCTACTGATGGAAACCAACCTTTATGACCTACCAAGTACTCGCTTTTCTCCAGCTGTGTCCGCCCGAACTCGTCTACTACGTACACAGTACTACAGTATACAAGTAGTGTACCCGCTGCCAGCTGGCACACGGGACTGATCCCACAGTCTCAGACCCTTCAGCCTCCCAGTCTGGGGTGGAGCCAGCGTTCGTGACCTTTTTCTTTCACATGGAGGCTCAGGGAATGTCTAGAGGCGGGCTTAGTACCATGCGAGGAGGAAATTTTTCTATCACTCGTGCAGGCGTAGTAAACGTGTTATTGGTGGTCTTATAGCTGTGGGCCGCTGTCGACTGTTCGATCCAAGCACGCAGAACGTGAAGAAGAAAAGGAAGAGGCGATGAGTGGTGACCGAGCAGGACTACGAGAGGGCCGCGATCGTGATCGCGATCAGTTGAGGAATTCGTTGTCGAACGGGGAGATAGGTCAGGTAGGTCCGGTAGGTAGATAGTCCTGCAACATGCTGACATGGCAGATATCAGGAAGATTCGCGTGTCGATACCGGCAGACCGCGGAGATCCCTTTGTAGTTGTGCTTAGGACAGGATGCAGCAGTAGATGGTAGTACTGCAAGATTCCAGAACGGGAAGAGCATGGCAAGAATCAAGGTTCGCTTCTGTTTCTGACCTCTCTCTGTGTATAGAAGTAGTCCTGCGTACTGCACACGGCGTTACGTCGGTGGCCGAGTTGTTCTCTGTGGTACAGAGTGTACAGGTTAGTAGGGATGGGATGCAGACTAGGATACAGGTTTGAAACTGCCGCTGTGGTGGCTGAGGGCTGAGGGCTGAGGGCTAGGGACTGAGGGCTGCTGCTCCCCGCTGCCACTGGTCGACGTTTCTTCTGACAATTTCTAGCATCGAACCAGGTTGCATGCAGCGTCGACTCGCTATCTTGCTATCTTCTCTTCCCCCTGCGCCTCAAAGAAGAAACTGCGGCTAGAGCAAGACACTTGCATCGGCTCAGGGACTGGTGGCGTTTGTCTTGCATTTTATTGACAGCCGGTCTCCATACCCACGTACTTGAGACTTGGGGCCCCCGGTCCAGTCCTTTCTCGAATACCTCCGTGCTTTATCCAAGTCTCCTCCTCTTTCTTCACCAACGTCGGCAGTTTATTTGTTCCTGGTCCTCTCCAGCATCTTACCTATGCATGGTCGACCGACATAAAGTACCCCCCGGCTCCCTCCGGTCTCTGACGTCTACTCGTCTGCGCTGAATCAGAATATCCCCCTGACTGCGTGGTCAAGTTCACCTTCTGAACTTGCAACAGAACCGGTCCGCAGTACCCCAAATGAAGTTTGGACAAACCCTCGTGCAGAGGTCCGTACCGAAATGGGCTCCATACAACGTCAATTACAATGAACTCAAAAACCTCATCAAGGAGAGAACCTCCGCCGGCGTGGCTGTACCCGTTGACATCCCAGCCCAGGGAAAGTCGCGGTGGGAAGAGTTGGATAATCTGTTGTTCAACTACTTGTCAGCAGAATACGACAATGTCACCCTCTTCCTACGAAGCAAGCAAGGCGAAATCGAAAGGCGCCTTGCCCATGTCGAAAAGCAAATCGGCATAGCACGACGGGCGGTGCAGGACAACGCGCTGGACAAACCCATACTGCAGGCCCGCAAGTACCGGCAGCTGGCCAAGGATATTGAAGAGATAGGCGATGAGATACAAAACCTCGCACGCTACGCTGCTGTACAGCGAACCGCTTTCCGCAAGATACTCAAGAAGTACCGCAAGTGGACAGGCTCCACGTCGTTGCAGACTCGATTGGACGTTGAAGTATTCTCATCGAACAAATTGCGGACCGACTTCTCGGATTACCTGCAACAACTGGCAGAGGTCAAGACCATTCTGACCGACGAGCTTGCTGGTCCCATGCTCACTGGACGGCGTCGAGAAACTTCCCTCGGTCAACAGCAGAAACGGGTTTCCGCATCAACAAAACGGTCGCCCATCGCGCAGATCAACGAAGCCCTGCTGCGGGGTCCGCTTGCGTTCGATGCAGCCATCTCAACGGTGCCCTATGGCGAGGCTGCTGGCAGCGCTTTTTACTGGATTCACCCTGATAATCTGGACGAGGCGCGCATGCTTCTGCTCCGGCACATGCGCGATCCTGCCGGTTCTGCCACTCATCCTAGAAGAAACTCCGCCGAGTCGGAGGAAGCCCGCAAAAGAGTCACATCTTTCTCGGATGCCAATTCTGCCCTCAGTCATATGGTGCTCTTTGACAATTCACAGAGGTTTATCAGAGACACCAGTGTCTCCAGACCGTCACGGATCGCATTAAGTGCGCATTGGAGCCGCGATCCCGAAGCCGTCGTTACGCTGGCCGGACTCTCACCTACTTCTTCCGCAGGTACAATACTCACAGTCAGTCGGAAAGCACTAGGCAAAGCCCTTGACCGCGACTCGCTCGCATCAGATGCTTCGAACGAGGTGCGCGCCATTCATCACTATCTGTCAGAGCATAGAGATGTCAAGCCGCTGGCCGAAGTTTGCATGAAACGCTCCCGATACATAGGGATGAACAATACAAACGAGGTTGCCAACTGGGCGACGCTGGATACCGCCGTCACCGTCGCCCCTGTGCAAGCAACCGAAATCGGTGAACCGCAGCATCAGTCGCCTGCCGGCGACGCATTTCCCTATGCAATTCTACACATCCGCTGGGAGTTTGCCCGGACGCCGACTGTCGTTCGGGCATTTGATGAGTCGCACTTGGTGGAGCGAGTTCACGACTTTAGCCTCGAAGACATGGCCATTCACTCTGCTCAAAAAGACTTGCCCCCACCCTCGTGGCATTCTGTGCTGGAGAAGGACATCAGAAAAGTGCCACTTGTCCCTCGCCTCTCCAGGTTTGGAGCGTCATCACGGTCCCGGCTGAATGCCTCGGATGCCGTGGGGTTGTCCTCGGGCCCGTCGTCCACGGAGGGCCGTCCGGATAGTGTCTTTTCAGCACCGATGGGCGGACAGTCTTCCGTAACTTCGGATGACGGTGGCGTCATTGGCACGCCCGCCACTGCGTCCAAGCCAACCCCTGAAACAACAAAGGCTCGACGGAAGAAGCGAGCACGGATCCAAGTTCCTGAACGTGAGTCTCGTCCAAGCAGATATTGGAACGAGTTCGACGATGGAGATTCGGACGGAAACCCCAGTGACGAGTATGTTATCTATGTTGACCCAGACGAGCCCGTGTTCCCTGGTGCCGAGACGGTCTCCAAGGCCTTCGGGGCCATGTATGACAGCTTCAGCAGAGGCACAGGAAAATTGATATCCTGGCTGCCGCTCGCCTCGACGCGCGTGGGACATACCGCCGACGGAGAGCGGGCACCGCTTCTGGCCGATCAACTGAACAGCGAGGGAGATCCCGACTCTTCGAGCTCGGACACGGACGGGTTCACTGTGCCACCGCAGCATCAGCCGCATAAAAGCCGGCGGAGGAAAGATGGTCCCAAACGACAAAGTTCCAGCGGCTACCGACCTCACCAGTTGCTTAGTCCTCGACAGCGAGCGCTGGAACGCACCCTGTTCTATTTCTATAGTGGCTTACTGGCTCTTGCCTACGTCCTTCTGGTCATGTCGAGCATACTTTTGGGGACGGGCCGTAGAAAGGCCATGGTTGAAGTTGACGCTGGCGTCCTTGCCGGGGTCATTTTTGCCGAGATGTGTGCCATCACCGCTGTGATCCTGATTTTCATGAGGAAGCAAAGGTTGAGTGTTTTGCATTGGGGACTTGTCGGAGTCATGGTTGCGAGTGTTGTGGTGATTGGGGTTGCTTTACTCGCCCTGATGTTCGCCAACATTAAAGGCGCCACGGAAAGAAAAGGCCACTCGAAGCTGGCGAGTGGGTGAAAGTGCTGCTTGGTTCATGACTGACAGTGGAAAAGAAAACCAAGTTTCAACAAGCCACCTGGGGTGAGAAAAGAGGGCCAGGCCGGCATTCCTCCATATCCTAATGAACCCTAGGAGGGCATACGTACCACTTGGTGGGCTCCAGCGTATCATGGGATTCCATCTTTTTTCCATGTACGGACTGCAGTCCGTAGCGTCTTGTTAAGGCCGTTCGCTATGGTGAGAATAGGGACAAGGAGGTTTGACGGGCATCGACACAAACGTTGATGAGGCATGCATCATCCTGACGGCATTATATGCGACTACACGAGATGATATCATCAACGCTCACACAGCGCTCAACACAAAGCGTCAATGAATGCTATGAGCTCTGTGGCTGTAGCAACAAGCATGCTACGACTACCGAAAGGATTATATCATGGCGCGTTGAGTTGCCCCTATCTATGCACCACGCCACGATACCCGAGTATTTACTGGTGCTCGCCGTCAAGGTCGTGGACATGGAGTGACGCCAGTGCCTTCGCGGCGAGGTAGTCCTGACGAGGAATATAAATATCAGGCTCGTATCACGTTCTATGAACGCTGTGCTCTACCCCAACTCCCAATTCCGAACTCAAGGCTATTATACCCGTGTCAACGATTCAGCCCAACTCAGCTACTAGTTTCCATCTCAGACTTACATGAGGGAATGCGATGCAGTCCTATAGGACAACGTTGTACACTGTTCGAATCGACGCCGACGTTGCTGCCCACGACAAAAGCACATGCTAGCGTCCATGGCTGTAGATAAGACCAAACTTTGTCTACGATCCAGCTGGATCCATACATGTACGTAGTTATCTTTTTGTTCTCCCAGGAATACTCCCTAGACTCTAGACGCTCAGGTATGGTATTGCTTTTGCAGCTCTCGGCTCGGTGGCACTACTGTTTTGGTCACTTTGCAATGGTGGTTTCTTCATTTCCATTTGCCAGCACCCTAGGATAGACTACCTGGGCCCGCCCCTGTATCGGGCAGGAGGATATGCACCTGATACGCGACGGTTTGATATGATAGCTCCATCGAGCTTGCCCTCGCATTGCACCCTCGCCCCATTCGTGCGACCAGCTTTCTTTCGTGCGACATAGTTGATCAAGCCAATATTGCAACGTGGCAGATTCACTGCCGTTTCCCACCCACTGTCTCTGCACCAGTTCGCAAGGTATCGTTATAGCCTAGAACATCGGCCTGGAGGCGAGAGACTGGGTGAAATGAGAGGTTTTACGCAGGCGAAAGGAGCAACATAGGCAGGCATGCTCTGAGCATATTCGATTGGTGAGGCAACCATTGCTGAAGTGCTACCGGGTTCTGGAGAAATTTGAATCAGAGTGAGAATGTCCTTGACTGCAGCCGTAAGCGACACGACGGACGTGTGATTGGCGTGGAGGATGGGAAGCACGATGCCGAGTCCATTGTCGCAGCACTCTCAAGCCCGAAAGTGGAGGTGGCGTGGATCCTCAGATTGGACAATTCAACGAGCCAGCAGGCAAGTCTGAACAGCCAGAGAGGCTTGGTGGATCGTCGTAAGATGCCTATTTGGGGAGAGTTTGAGGGCGGAGGCGAGTGCGTAGCTCCCAAAGGGTATATCGAAAGAAGTAGACCGTCCCCGAGGTAAGCATAAAGACCAGGGCGAGGACCACCAAAGTTGCACTGGTATTCATTATTGTAGTTGCGTACAGTCTGGTTGAATGATTTCGATGCTGGGGGAAGATATCCGTGAGAGATGAGGCAGGATCCTGCAAGCTCAGCTGTTGTTTTGTTTTCTGCAGTGCCTCGATAGGGACCTGGAACCACGAGGTCGTTGCTCCCCTGCTTCAGGGAAGCGCAGTCACGACGGCAATGCCAATACCAGCCATGGTTGGGGACAAACTGCATTGCGACTGCTGCGCAGACCATATTGTGGGCTCGGTTGCAACTGCCTGGGTTGCTCATCATATGTGAGATGACAGATAAAGAAGTCAAATATCAAGCCATAGTGGGAGTTCCATATATCTCTTCACTTGAACCTGGCGTACAAATGACAGCTCACATTTGTCTGAGAGGCCCGGCATTGCATCGTCCTGTTGCTCGCCTACCTGGGGGGTCAAATCGCAACTTCTAAGCTTTCAGACATGTTGCTGGGTGCGTGTTGAAAAATATGTCGAGCCTTACAGACCGCGTCTGTTCGTGCCGACGCCCTCTTATATTTCACAGCACCCACGTGGGGTGTATAAGACCGGTTCCTCCGCCGAGCCATCGTGTGCTGCTTCATTTACTGAGCGGATGCGCAGAGTCTATCTGAAACGAATTGGTGGAAGGGAGTTCAGGTTGAAAGAGAAACACAGAGGAGAGAGATATTGCTGAGTAATCCATCTCCGGCGAAACATAGGGCTTGTTAGTGCAAAGTTGCTGGCTGGCTTGTTCCGACAGGTTCAGTTGCCGACGTCTTCCGGGCGGTACTTTTGTTCGATTCCAATATTCCTGAAACCTTGCGAGGAGCATGTCCGAAGCTTGCACAATGATTTGTCGAGAGAGTCGTCTGTGATCGTGGACTATCGCTTCTTCGAGGAGGAGACCAGACCGTACGGGTAATTACCCTTTGGAGGGAGATTGGGGACTCGGACGCCACAGGATGTTGGTAAGGTCACAAGCAGGTTGGACTAACAGTGTTCTGTTCTTGTCAGCGCTGGTACAAGTTGTGACCTGCTATACCGTCCCCAAATATGTGACAGATCATGGTGGGTGATTGACTCGGAGCGTCTCTGATCAGGCTTGATGGAACTGAACTCATTTGGTGTCCCTTTGTCCGATGCTCATGGAAGATGGCTGACCAATTTGTACTTTGATCCCAGCTCCGATCATCTGGCTACACTCCGATGATCCATTCATGCCCAGCGATATTTTGGGCCATGTCTTGCACACGAGACCGTTCCGTGGGTTCGATCCTATACCGGACGTGCCGCCCTTGGATCTAGATAACCTGTCGTCTCTCAACAAGTATGGCAAGGAAATCTATCTGACGTCTATCGACAATGTCACCACCAACCCTAGTTGGCTCTTGGGAGAGACACCAGACGCAACCGGGGCACTGAGAAATTCTACTGCTTGTGCTGTTGTGGTCGTCGAGAGGAGCCATCAGCAAGTTGATGCTTTCTATTTCTACTTCTACTCTTTCAATGAGGGTGCAGATATCACCCAGGTTGTACCTCCGCTGGACAGGATCTTCCCGGACGCCAGCCCTGGCAACCACTTTGGAGACCACGTGGGCGATTGGTAGAGTTGCACCGCTCGGCATCACTTGCTTTGAACTACTGCTGAGTCGGCCGCGCTTAGGGAACACAATATGATCCGCTTTAAGGAGGGCAAGCCAACAGGCATATACTTCAGTCAACATGGCAGTGGCCAGGCCTGCAAATGGGACGATGAAACATGCTTCTCCAAACAGGGTGAGAGAGTGAGTGACCTGTCAAAGTTACCATGGCTCGGCCAGTCATGCTAAGCACCTTGCAGCCGGTGGTCTTCAGCGCGAGAGGGTCGCATGCAAATTATCCTTCCGCAGGGCAAGCACTTCCCGTTCTTAGCTTCTGTCAAGTAAATGCTGACTTGAGCTGGGTAGGAGCCATATTCATGACGAAGCTCTGGTGGACATTGCGGATAAAGGTCGGATCTGGGACCCTGTTCAACCAGCATACTTCTACCAGTACGACCCCGCCACGGATGTTCTCACGCCAGCAGACCCAGGCACGTACCCCACAGACTGGTTTCATTTCACTGGCGCATGGGGCGATAAGAAATATAACGACAGCGATCCTCGACAGGTCACGGTTCCCTACTTCGGCCTGAAGAAGTACGAAAACGGACCTACCGGACCGAAGTGCAAGCATCTGGTCCGAAAGGGCTTGATGCCAGACGAGCGGCCCAAGCCGAACATGATGAAGGTCTTGGTCGGCTGGTATTTGTCTCTGTATGGTTGCTGTCTGAAAGGACATAGTGCATGGGTGGTGATCATATTCACCCTCGTGGCTCTCGCGGCGACCATATTTGTGATGGTGTTGACAATCAAAAAGGTTGGCCCTACGCTGAGGAGGCGGCTGCGCAGAAGACGAGGTGAGAAGGGATCGGCCGAGTTGAACATCCCGCTACTGGATGTCGAAAGAGCAGAAGATTAATCATAGACCGACACTCTGGCATGAACACCTAGCGCCAGACCTGGCGACATAGATATCAATCAATATAGACGCTTTGGACATCTGGTTCTGGCCAAGAAGTGCCTGGAGGATAATGAGGTGGAAGTCCTACTGGCCATCCATCTCCCCTGCTCGGGATTGTATACGGCTACTCGTAGCTGGCCCTAGCAGTCCTGTGGTCAGGGAATTTGTATTCTGTAGGGCATTGTCCAGATAGTACAGCTGAGACTAAAACGTACTGCTAGTACTGCTAGTACTGCTAGTATCTTATCTCCCAGACTCGGACGCCAGTGCCACGAGATTTAACCGACGTTATCGCACAAATATGATTGGCCAGGGGTGGAAATGTCGTCATGACGTCAATAAGACGGGCAGGGGCGAACCGCATTGGACGAACCATGCGGCTGGTGACTTTCTCCCCCGGAATTGTTCAAGCCAGATGCGCCAGCAGTTTCCCACTGCAGTTCATAGTTGACTGCCGGCTCGTTGCGTACGCGGCGTCTCTCTGTCCCGGACGTGGAGCTGCTGTCCTTATTGCCTACCTACCTACCTTAGGTAAACTTACATGATTTCGATGCAGACGCGGCGAGAGAGGTCAATTGATTCTTGCTCGTGATTGTCCGTGTTTGATTCTGTACCTTGTACAGGTCAACCATCTCGAGGCTATAGCAGAGCGAGAACACCTACTACGTACCGCATTTCATCGCCTCCATCCGGGTGACCGTCGTCAATACTAATACGCCATGGCCGACGTCGACGCCGAGACCCAAACCGCCGCCCACGAATCCACGCCCCTCCTACCGTCGGACCGAGTCTACCTGCACCGACTACGACAGTCGCGCGACTTCATTGCCTGCCACATCGTCAAGATCCACGGCGAGGACTCCTGGGTGTGGCTCGTCCGCCGGCAGCTGCAGCGCTTTCTCGCCAGCAAATGGGGGCACTATTTTGTGATCCTGCTCGTCTCGGCCGACATCAGCTGCATCTTCGCCGACTTCCTCGTCTCGCTGCACATCTGCGAGCATGCGGGCGACAAGGACTTCAATCTGCATGCGTGGCGGACGGCGAATGACGTGTTGGGCTTCGTCAGTCTGGCCTTCTCGTGTCTCTTCATGGCCGAATTGCTGGGCAGCATCTTTGCTTTTGGGTTCGAGTATGTTTAAACCCCTTTATCCATATCCATATCCATATCCGTCATTTGTTATGCTTCGTCATACTAGCCCCCACAGACGTACCATATTAGTAGCGGCAAGTGTGCTGCGCTCCAGCCCATTTTTGGTTTCTTTGTCTCTTCGTTGGGGTGTTTGGCCCGTCGAGTGAAGAATTACTGACTGATCTGTGGCGCACCTCTAGCTACTTCCGCTCCAAGTTCCACATTTTCGATGCCCTGGTCATCATCGCGGCGTTTATCATCGACGTCCTCCTGCGTGGTCCTCTCGAAGAGGCGGGCTCCTTGGTCGTCGTCTTCCGGTTGTGGCGTATCTTCAAAATCATCGAGGAATTCTCCACCGGCGCTGCAGACGAGCTTGAGGAACTGCAGGAGCGGATCGAAGCCCTGGAGCGCGAGAAAGACGAGGTCGTCAAGGAAAACCAACAGTTGAGGTATAGGACAGGTTATGCCGCTGAAGGGGACACAACTGGTGGGACTAACGGCCATAATGGTGGTGGTTTTGGTCAATGAAGAGACGGCAAGGATGGATAATAACGAGCATGAACTGGTCACTATATACGATTCGAACAGGCGTTTTTGGCGCCGTATGGGCAACGAATAATGACGGGACAAAATAATGAGTATACCGGGTTCAACGAGACACGAGAAGAAGGATTCATGGATATTCATAAAGATAAAGTGATTCGATTCGTTCAACCTGAGGCTCGCTGATGTGGCTCTTTCTGCGATAAAATCGTCAAAACAAGACAGGATCGGACAGCAGCTCAAACTGCGCCGTAATGATAGTCGTCGTATATCCTCACAAAAAAAGTCCTTCCGGATGTTAAATCCTTGTCATCAAGCTGCACTCGCCGGCAACAGCTGGGTCGGGCCGCTACAGACTCCCGTCAGGACCGTGCTCGGTCACACTCCTCGATGAACCTATATATCCCCTCTAGTCCTTCGTAGCCTTTTCCACCTGTCGAAGCGTGATGGCTTTCCTTGGTGGACAGAGGACGTGGCTGGAAGAAATACATGGCAGCGTCACCGTCCCCGTCCGCGTCCGACTCACTGTCGTGCAAGCTGAAATAGCCAGATGGCGACGAAATCCACGGATTCTGTGCCAAAGCCCCACCAAGCATTTCGAACGCGTTGGCTGAGTGACTGGTCGCAGAGACGTGGGAAAAGCCCGCCGAGGGCTGCTGCGGTGGAGAAAGCATTTCGTGCCACTCAATGCGGTCTCGTTTGACCCGCTTCGTCGCGCGGACGTCGTGGGGAGAATCGATGCAGACCTCGCTGGCAGTCTCGCTTGGTGCGAAGGGGAAAAGAAGTGCCATCTCCGTGCCATTGTGGGAGTCGAAATCCTCGTCTTGGCCAACGATTCCGCGCTTGATGTTCAGTTCCCGACACAGGCTCTCCACGGTGTCCGCGTCACAGCCCGGAAAGCGGACTCTTAGAGTGGAACTGTTGTGCAGGGAGATCGGGAGGCCTCCCAGAACTGCTAGATGTTTGAGGTCGTTCATGATGGCCGCTAGATCCTTCAGAGCACGGGCAAAATCGACCGCGAGATTAGACATCAGAGTAACATTGTTCAATGTGTCCTCGTGTGCCTCGTAGTCACAGTCGCAGTCGCAGTCCTCGGAGGCAGTAGAGCGAGGGACGGTGCTCAAGGGGCCAATGGCCGTGATGGTTGGGGAGACTTTGAAGTCGAGGAACGAGCCCGGAGCGTTGACTGGAGACATGTCCATCATGTGCCTGGCTTCATCTTGTAGATTGGACACGGCCCGGAATCGTTTCTCTCCGGTGTGTGGGTGTGCGCCATCAAATCGTGCCTTCTGGCCTGAGAGCCAAAAGGCGCGAACCGCCTGAGAGACGTTGTTGACCACCTGTGCCGGAGCGGCTGGCGAGTGCGAGAAGTATCTCGCTCCACCAGCACGACCGCCTCCAAGGCCGTATCCGCCTGCGGAACGACACAAGGTGCCGCCAGTCAGATTCGGTCGGAGGGCAGAGGCAAACGGTGCACGGCCGGTCGAACGGCCAACTGCAGAGGCGGTCCGAGAATAGGGATAAGACGCTCGACTAGGTCGAGAAGCATTACGCCCTGGTTGCGAGGAGAAGTGTCTGATGGTGGAATTGAGGGCATGTCTGGTGCTGTACCAGCGGCTTTGACTCTGGCGGATCCCCGCAACTCGAGTGGCCGGCTGTCGCTGGGAGACGCGAGCATAGGCGGGATGCGCTTCGGCTTCGATCGGTCGGGAGGCTTGGGGCAGCTTGTCTCGGATCAGTCGCCCCGTCTTCTCGAAGGCGTATCGGATGAGCCTCATGGCCTTGGGGACCAGGAGATGGCCTCCTGATGCCGCCATGATGATGCCCACTCAATATGTAGAGTAGTAGAGGTGTGAGAGATGGTGAGGAGTGGATGGGAAGAAGTTGAAATGAAAGAGGTAGTCAGGTCGTTGATTCTTCGGGGCCTGCGCTGCGCCGTCGCCGTTTGCCACCGAGTCACTCCCCGCATTCAAAACAATGTCCGAAGTCCGAACATGGTCACGTGAAGAGGTCTTGGCGGGTTTGACTTGGGTTTCATTCAGCTTTGGTGGGTACCTAATAACTTCTGTTCTCATCTTTCTACCTTCCCGTTCTTCGATCATGTACTACTATATTGCGCTTGCATGTGTTTCCTGTAATGGCAAAGGAATAGATTCGACTTTCCTATGGTGCGCCTTGTACCACATATCTCGGTGAGCTACTTGTTAGTCAACATAGACATCTCAGCATCTGCTTCATAAAGCCAGGTTTGTCCCACTGCCTCGCCGTTCAGTGCAAACAGTTTTATGTTCTATCTCAGACGCTCTAGCCTCTCCTCCTCTATGTCTGAGATGGATGGAAGGTCTATGGCTCAATTCAACAAGCTAAGGCTGAAGACATCTAAACGGAGAGTCCTGCTGGCCCTTCTCAGTACAGAAACGACGCCAATGAAAGCCTGCAAGGCAGCACTATCAGATAGATGATGGTAGGGGGGCTCCTTCCCATCAAGCGCTCATTTCTTGTGCGGCTGTTGAGCATCCTCGCATCCTTGCATCCTCCATGTAATCACAATGTGGTAGCAGTACCCATCGAACTAGTGACGCTGGCCCCGCTGCTCGAGGCTGTCGACCCGGCCGACAGAATCGGGGGACTATTTGAACGGTTCCCAGCCTCAGAGATCAACCAGTGTGGTGTTGTCCTATGGTCGCCGCCATGGGATCTCCAGGGGTGGGGAGGTGACAGAGGGTGTTTTGGCGGAAATGGGCTGGTTGCTCACCGCATGCACTGATATTATGGAGGTGACTAATCGATGGAGAGGACAAAGGCGAGAGAAAACTCTTGTCATCGAGATATAGGATCGTTGCAAAATACAGACGCCTCCTAACATCACATGCCGCATTGGAATCTGATCGTGGCCATCATCTCCCTCGGTCCCAGCCACAGGCGGCACAAGCTACGGGGCCGCACAGTCCACTATGTTGCCGCTCATGAGTTCCAGAAGGCTTCTAGGAACTTCAACTTGATCATGGGCTGTCCAAAGTACAAGAAATCCGTGCAAGCACGACGAGTGCCATCTACACCCTGTGGGATGGTACGAAGGCTTCAACAGGCTTAACGACATGCCTGGCAGCAGAATGGTGATCACAGCACAACAATAGCCCTTGCAATGTGTCAGGTTCACGTTGACAGAGGTATTTCCGGGACAAGATAGGGGTGATAGTATTATACCTCCTGCCCACAATAGCCAGGACAAGGATTCTCCCAACCTCCTCGACACTTGAGACACGGAGCGTTCTCGAATGCACGCTGTCGTCACTCCCAGCATCAGCGCGTGCAATTATCAACGGCAGTACACTCAGTGATGCTGCACGACGGTCAAGGTGATCGGATCAAGACGAGGCGATCGGTCTAGACCATCAGAAGGCCTATACAGGCATACCGCGAAATGCTTTTTCTTGACAGTTTCACTTCACAACGAGGCTGGGCAACTTATGATGTGTCTACCTGAGCAAGAGCATAGCGAGGGCACCATTCACGTCACGGACGTGGTGCGCAATTGTCAATGTCTGAGTGCCAAGTCGAAGCCTTCAAACTCAGGCAACAGGCCTCAGGACAATCGACATAGGAAGTATCTCAAGCACTAGTTGAATGAGCAATATCGCATTTTGATTGTCCTCAGCGCCAGCCAGCAATATGCAGATTGTGTTAGCGCAAGTCTCGATGATTTCCTGTCCGTCGCCAACTTTCTGTCCCGTTAGAGCGAGCTCTATCGCCAATACCTGTTTGTTGGTAAGGAAGATGACTTAGGCTTTAGGCAGACGACAACTGGCATAGAAAGCCCCCTTTCACTGCAGTCTCAACTGCTGTCAATACTGGTAGACTGACGGCCTTGACGGGTTCATGACAGGAGCTGCTTGCCAGTATACGGGCTTGAAGATCCCGTGTGTTGTCTCCACCAATGGTATGAACATGTGTCTCTCCATCTGAATGGAAGTCACTGTGGTGTTGCGCAACCGGAGTCGCTGCGAAAGGAGGCGACCACGTCCTGCGCGGCTGGACTGGCATGGTACGACGTTGCAAGGGATCAGCATAGCTTACAATGGTTACATCGACGACTCCCATATGGAATGTTTCTTTGCATCCGACGCCGCGTGTGGAGAGAGGATCTGCTTGGCAAACAGCAACAGAGTTTTCCAGAGGGATGGTTCGGGACAAGTACAGGCAAGTGATCTTCCGCGCATTGAAGGGATTGTCGAATCAAAGAACCGTGGCCACTGGTAGAGCCACTGGATATCTTGCCAGACACTTCACGCTGGACTGATGCGACACTTACAACCGTGCGGACGGTGTTCCAAACACGACAAAGCCTTGTCACGAAGTTAATCTTCAGCTTGCAGTATGCATTTGTCAGTGAAACTTGCTGTCGAAGGTACAGTTTTGGAACGAGTTGCCTGAAAGTTAACTTCGCACGGCCTCGGGACGATGCAAGGGGAATTACGTCGTATATTCCGCACCTGCAGATCACCACCTAATTTGCGCATCATGGGCAAGCCCAAAGTTCTGCCTGATGCACAGTCTTGGCTCTTCTCGCGGCGCCCTTTACTACAGCCGGACTTTGTACCAGCAACTTGCGACACGTCAACGTCGAGGTTGCGAAGAGCTCTTGCATGCAGGTGTGCGGAGGGAATAACAAATATTATTATGCACACAAGTGGAGTGTGTGAGAGTGTCATCCAGACGTCGCCTTCACACGTCAAGCTTGGGCCAACCAACTCAATGCACATGGGGAGAAGACAGATGGGAAACCATGTGCAACAGAGGAGAATGAGTAAGCGCACAGATCAAGCAGATTTGAGTCCGTCTAGCGTCTTACCACCACAAATGCATGCGAAAGAACAACGTTAGTTTTGGGGCATGATCTGCTGGACGCTTGTGCACGGGGCTTCCGTGCTGGATCGGGGCGTCCGTGCACTATTCCAGAAGCTAGACGATGATAGTTTGCTCTGTGGCTTACGATAGTCGAGCTTGGAGAACGAGGCTCGTGGTGGTAGGCGAGTCGAGCGATGCTCAGGCCAGGGGTAAGTAGGGCATTGGGACTGGTGGCGATCTCGGTAATCTGCGAGTGACAAAGAAATGTGTCTTTTAGGACATCAAGGCGTTGCCTGGTCCTGGTAGGTAGTCATGCGGCGGCGGAGGGTAACAGGACCATGGGGAGTATAAGAACAGGGACATGGCAGGGGAAGACAAGGAGAGTTCAAAATTGATACCCATATCGCAAGCCCGGGGACTGTGGATATTGCGCTAGTTCTGAAGTAGAATAGTCTTTCAAGCCCCCGGACCTAATCAGGACTAGCGGAAGCCTAAACACACGACCCAGGCCGGTCTTTTTTGCGCCTAACTTGAAGGTTGTTGGAAGAGGCGCCCGTCAACACTTGACTGATTCCCTCGCTCACGCTCAAACTCATCCGATCCTTCTGGTCTCCTATCTTTCTCTCATTCTGTCAGCCACTGTTCGGCGTTCAGGTCTGGCAGTTGTCCTTGACGGCAAGATCCATGCTACAGTCTCCAACGCTGTCAATAGCCTTATGACATTTCCGGGAAGAAGAGTATACACAGTTATGCTACTTACTGGACCCCTGCTCCAGGCGAAGTTTCGTCCATCAGGCACCCGCATTGGCTTTCTCAGCTACTGCAGGATTCATCAGGTTAGCCTTTTTGGGCGAAACTTACAAGCTATGGCACATCGCTTGCTGGTTGGCTTCCCTCGTTTGTTCTTCTGCGCGACCCATGCGTCGTCCCATGCACCTTGGAGCGCCCTTACAGCAATCTTCGTGTGCGGTACTTCCCCAGAATGCTCGTTCAGCCGCACATCATCAACCCTCTGCCAGTCAAATTTGAGGCCCCCTTTCTCTTGCCTTGCTTGTCCTGGTCCCTGCTGTTGTACTAGACGTGGTCGTGGCTGACTGGATGGCTCGGTAGGCTTGACCTTACCAAGCTCGATCCATGGACGTGGCGCACAGTTGTTCATCTCATGGACTTTTGCAGCCTTGAGCAGAAGAACTTCAAGTAGACTTGCATTTCCTCTTGCTTCCTCTTGCTTTGTCTTCCATCAACTCCAAAACATCCTCACTCCAGTTGCAACTTGACACGTTCCTGAACATCGCTTGACCCAACCTTCTCTAGCCTGCCTTGCATCAAGTATACATGTCGAGACCAATGATGTCACCTCTTGTGGTGCAGACCACAGATCCTCTCTGCTCTCACGCCCCACTTCACTTCTCAGTCAAACCTCAAGCAAGATATGATGCAACGCGACATGCCGCTTCAAGGCTGTTGTACATTTCCGACTGGAAGCTGAACTCGGAGTCTGCACGAGATCAACCCAGACTACGAAATTTGTTGGGCCACCTCTCTGTCCACGACCAGGCAAGGTCAATCACACATACCCAAACCAGGTCACCACCACCTGAACCAGAGCAAAGTAACGAGCTGTCTACCTACCTCCAACAAGTGCCCTCGTTCCGAGAATTCCAGGCCGCCATCGAAGTGCAGCTGGCGACCATCGTGCAGATCACAGCCGCAGCAGCTCAGCTGAAATTTGTGAACAACCATCGATATGAGGCGGCCGAGGAAGACAGCGATTGCGACAGCTACGAGGGCGACTGGAGCGACGAGGATACCGCGGCTGAAAGCGATGATAGCTTGACGGACAACGACAGCCTGGGCACAGCGTCGGAATGCAGTAGCCCAACCTCGTGTTCCAGCAAGGTTCGACATGGCGACGGCGACGAGGAGGAGCTGGATCTGTGGGCTCTGCGCCCAATGGCACCGTATATGAGGGAGCAGCCAGTTCTTTCGTGATACGGCTAAGGATTCTTGGGACATGCTTGGCTGCCTCTCAGCTTTCGTGTTTGGTTCCTTGGCAGAGTGTACAGTTAGATTCTGGTATTGTTTTCGTGAGCAGGGCGTTTTGGTCGACAGTCCGGTCTGGGGACGATGTTTATTGGGGTTGCAACGTTGGTCGTCGAACAAGCTACAAAAGGGTGGTGTTGAATGGACTAGTAAGTTGTGTGGAAATATGAAGGGAAAATCGAAGATACCCAGGTTTGAATATGTACTATTGTTGTTGAAGGTGAACTGTCCAGGTCAAAGTAATACTTTGACCGACGATGCCACTGGCAGTCTTCTCCAGTGACCTGCCACATGGACTATCTAATCCCTTCTTTCCCATCTTGGGGAATGTGTGTTGTGTGCTATCACAAATAGCCCTCGCTAATAAATGACCAAACTCCTAGGATCCTGGCAGATGTCCATCCCAAAACTCCGGGGGTTCATCCACACTGGGATCCCATTACATAATGAATAGCCGTGTCTTGACTTCTTGATGATCCTTTTTGTCCAAAAAGAGGCCCTTATGGTTTGAGGCAACTTCTAGTGCTTCTTTGCAAGGAGGTTGTTGACATCGGCACCTTCCGTGAACCACTTGGAGCTGTCAAGACTAGAGTCTCTCTGGCTGAAACGGCGGTTTACTCTGGAGCCTGATCGTGCAGCCTGGAACGAAAAATTGTCAGCCGCAGTTCCAGGGCAGGTACATTGAGGGAGTTGGAAGAGACGTTTGACCTACGACGTTGTGCGCGAGGCAGTCCAGTCGATAGGCATCATCTCCAGCACAAGGCAGAGGATACTTACAGCGTAGGTGACGCCTCCAATGGTGGCTACGGTGGCCGCACCGAAGACACTGTGCATCATTGATCGGTCTTTGGGCGTCATCTGGTGTCCCGTGACCGTCGAGGAGTATCGAGCAGCAGGGGTGCTCAGCCTTGGGCCCAAGGCCGTGACGAGGCGGCGAGAAGTGAGTTGACGTGCAGCGTTCATTTTGATGTGTGTTGTGAGTATATGAGATGATTGTTGAGGAGTTGGCGGAGTGGACTTGTGTCAAGTGGTTGATGCTCGTGTAGTTGAGTGTGATGGGTTTGTTTGAGGTTTGTACTTTCTTGTAGGATTGAAAGGCTGGATTGTGATGCTGATGATGGTCTGGAAAAGCCTACCTGATCTTGGGGAATTCTTGCCAGCTTTTAAACAATTGTGTTGTCTCGTATATCCTGCCTACCTGTGTCATGCCTTACATCACCCGCACAGACGAGCGATGAGGCAGTGTGTGGTGTGCCCAACATCACCAGACAGTTGCGCAATAATCGTCGGCAGGGCAGCAGAAACTATCAGGTGTTGGTCGAGCAGATCACCACACCAGGCACACTGGCAGACTGTCGCAGAGGAGCCAGAACGTTCCTGGGTGGATGGCGCCGGGCTTGGATCGACAATCTGACCACGGCGGGTTCCGGGGTGGTCTGTGGAGGGGCAGGATCAAGTGCCACTGGCACACGCCGCAAGCATTCGATGAGTGACAAGGCTGAGACTAGCAGGAGACATGAGATACAGACAACACTAGAAGACACCAGAGGAGAGGCAGCAAGGCAGCTGGAGGAGTGTCAGGCCACTGCCTCTTTTGGCGGTACGTTATTTACCACTCAATACAAGAATTGTGGGTGCGCGACTATTGTCATTATCGTCATATCAAAAGTGTCTCCTGCCCCAAGGGTCTGGACCCACTGACCGCCAGGGGCTGGACCTGTCTGTGGGATCTCGCGTACTGTCACACTATTACCACACGTGACTTAGTGCGTCAATCTACAATCCGCTATTGGCCACTCTGATACCGTGCACCGCTTGGCAATACCACCGCCCATTCTGTGGCCTGACCTCGACCTCAAACCCTGCATCCTCACACACCTCGTCTATTCTCTCATCCACCTCCAATCCTCCTCTATCGCCGTTCCCATCAATCACATCTTCGCAACCCGGCGACTCGATATCCACCAACTAACGACCTGGAGTCCTCCTCCCTCTCTTCTACCCGCTTTTGCCGGATTTCCTGCCCAGCCTGTGGCCTCGATCACCTTACAACTATAGCCTCAACTCCACGAAACACCTCTGTCCTTCGACCTTGTGGCCTGACACTCTCCTTTCCTCGATACCGCACACCGAAAACAACCGTCTCTGATCTCCATTCTAGCCCACCGATCAGCTCACCGCGTCCTGCCTGTGACCTCGAGCATCAGCACGAATTATTGGCAGAACCTTGTCGCACAGTCTTCGTGGACACTGGGACAGACCAATTGAAGCGTGGCAATTGTCCGAAACGAATGTTGGATACCCAGTCATCGAAACTTTCAGGTCTCCATTCTTGCGACAGTAAACTCGCCCGCCGAAAAGATGCCCTTTCGAGCCGCCTACCGGCAATATGATGCCTCTCATGACTTTCATAAGCAGCAAGGTTTCCACGGTGGCCAACCCCAGTTAGCCATTGTTGATTCCGACACAGGCGATTACCACGGGTGGCATGAGATGGACTTCACCACACCCCTCAGCTCATCCATGACAACCTCAGCTCACACGCAGAAGTACTCGTCCAACATGGACACGGATCTGGAGTCCCCGGCGTATCTACGGCCATCCCATCGCCAGAACTCGACCTCCTCTCATCACCAATCTCCCACCATCTCAGGAGACCTGTACACCACCGGGCCCTTCTCCTACTCGCAGCTGTTGAACATGGAGTCGGAAATATCACCCATGGGTCAGTCCAGCCTCAGCAACTCACGCGGCGACGGTGACTCCAACATGATCAACGACGACAACAGTCTTTCGAACGGAACTCTATCAGGCTCCGACTCTATCAATGCCTCTCCGCCGGTTTCCTCGCTGAATCCCAATGCTGTCTCACTCTCGTCCAAGTCGGATGTCACAGAGAGGCTGTGTCCTCTGATAGCAGGTCAAGTCGACAGCTGCCAACCACAACGGTGTGGCCCGGACGCTCCTTGCATGAACTTCACGACATTACCACCCATCGAAGAATGCACCTCTGTTCCCTGCATCACTCAATCCACATCTCCCAATGAGACCATGATCACCAGCGACAGCGTGTCTGTCTCATTACATCAACGACCTAGTTTGAGCTCGAGGACGAGTACTGCGACCACCGCCGCATCGCTCCGTCGCTCTTCCACCTCATCCGCCGAAAACCAGGTTCAGTCCGTACCACTACCTCCACGACGGTCGACAGCAGCAGCGGCCGCTGCACGCCGCCGAGCCCGAAACAGCACAACCACCTCAACTGCCACCACCACAATAGCCTCTGATGACGATGACGATGACGATGAAGAAACGACGACCAAGTCTACAGCTCCTTCAAAGGCCGACGCGAAACAACGCGCCAAACAAGCCCATTCGCTGGTCGAGAAGAAGTATAGAGAGAACTTGAACGCCAAGATCGCTCAACTCCACATCACGCTTCAATCGTCCCATTACGGACCAAAGACAGGCGAGGAAGGCGAGAGCGATACTCCTGTAAGCATCGTCCAAGCCAGCAAGGTCCGCAAGAGCGACGTGTTGACCGAAGCCATGAACTACGTCAACCAGACGGAAGTGGAGATGCGACACATGGAGAACGAAATCAATCGGTTGAGTGAAAGAGTCCGCGTTTTGGAGAAGTTGGTTCGCTGTGAAGACTGCAGTCTGTTGAAGCAGATGGTCAATATGCAAGTTCAAGTTGTCTGATTGAAAAGGGGAGATGTGAGAGGATCTCACGCCCTCACAAGATGACAATCTCGCCTTGTCTTGTCTTGCGGTCAGCACATGAGCGTTGTATATCTTTCTGGTCTGTACACTGCGCCGGCGTGCGCAGTTTCTATTACGAGGCGTTTCAGTGTTTGGGGATACGCGTCCGGAGCCAGGGGGAATTCCGTGTTGCAAGGCGTTTCACAGAATTCTTGGGAACACGGGATGGCGGTTCCCCCTCAAATTGGATGAGATGGCATCGCATGGCATCGCATGACGCTTATGGCTTTCGTTATTCTGTTCGTGATGTTGTTCCGAGGCCACCCTTCTGTTGCTGAAGGGGCGAGGGACTCGAGAGACGAAGGAGAGACGATCAGAGGATCGTATAGTATATGGCATTCTCGCCTGCATTCCCATACCCGGTTTGCGCGCAGAGTCTGAGAACGAGCACGAGCTGCCTTGAATAAAAAGCAACTCCCTACCCACCTACCTGCCTACCTTACTATCTGTTGTCCATAATTATGCCCCTGTTCTATCTGATCCGGACAGCAGCCTCGTGTACTAACGAGTAGGCGCCGGATATGTCTTTCTACGCCGTTGCCCCTGAACTCATTTCATCATCGTTGCAGACTACATTGTGGATCCCCGATGTTCAATTCGACGATGAAACCTCCGTCAGAATCATGACAGACGTCCTGATGACATTTCCCACAGGCTCAATAGTTTGATCCCGGTCTTCATTGTTCCAATGCCGTTGGCAAGGCTGAGAGCGCATTACCAGCCATTTGAAGAGTGCTTTCACCGCCAATATGGAGGCGAAAGATGTCCCTCCAGCCATGCGTTACCCTTTTCAATTGGGATACAAGCCAGTGGTCGTATCGCGCATCGAGGTCAATTCTGGACTGATAGCTGGGCTGGAATCAAGTTCACATGGTTGTCTTTTTGCATACGGCCGTGGCCTGCGATCTACCTTCCGCCCCGGCCGCGCCATTTAAAGGATCAACATCCGTCATTGTCGCTCCAGGAAGGGTTTGAGACACCTTGTCCTCTGAAGTCTCGCCTCTACGACCCCTCTGCCCGGATGACTTGGTCGTTTGCCATCCCTTCATTGTATAGAACCCTTTATTCCCACCGACTGTGCATGCCTGTTCGTCCGTCGCGCGCAGCCAGGAAATCCTTGATCATTCAATCAATCTCAATACGGATCCCACCGCCCCTCAGCGCCGCGGTGTCCTCGACGCTACGTTTGGGCAAGTCGATCCTCAACAACCCGCCGTCCAGCCTGGCCTTCAGTTCCTTCATCTCCACATCTTCGGGGAGAGTAAATGTGCGGCGCCACGGGCCGAGTTTACGCTCGCCCAAGAGGATGGTGGGTATTGCGTCGGCTCTCAACTCGGCCTCGACGGTTTCTCGGGACAAAGTGCGTTGGATTGGACCGCCATCATCTTCATCTGTTGCCGCCTGGATGATTGGAAAAGGCAGGTTAGCAAGCAAATCACACACGATTGAGGATTTGTGCATGTCACAATGACGAAAACAACCTCCAGCTCTTTCGAACACTCTCATGAGTCTAACGTACCTTTGCATGGCCGGTTTCTTGAGCCCACCCTTCGCCTTCGCCCTCCCAGATCCGCTCGCCCTCCTTGGGATCCAACAGACCGATATTCTTCGGCCGGCGAATGTCGCCCTGCACCAGCAAAGTATGCGGGCTCAACCATTGAATCACAATGTCGTTCTTATCCAGGACCCCCGGCGTTTCGATTTCGATGTGGTACGCACGCATCGTCTCACGAATGTCGGTCGGCGGCACCCACAGATTGGCCGGCTTGGGCGCTGCCACGCTGCCGGGCGCATGGGGCCCGCGGAAGTGCGTGTGCAGTGTGGCCTCGTGCAGCGATGTCCTCGGAAACTGGAAGTGCGATGGATGGCCGTGAGGCTGGACCGGTTCGAGTGTCTGTGCGAATGGCTGCTGTGCGCCCACCGAGCCTTCTTCGACTAGTTGGATCACGTAGTTGGCCGGCACGGCGTAGGGGAGTGACGATGCCATATTTTGGTGGTAGACTCGAAAAGTGAGTCGAAGATAGCTGTGGAAGGAAGTTTTGCGGGTTTGGTTTGAGTGTGATGCTGAGAAGAAGTGTTTTGTGAGGAGAGTAGGTGATAGTGGCTATCTCCTTCTCTTCAGGGCAGGCTTTGAATGTCCGATTCTCGACTGTGCCGGTATGTCACAGTGTGAGATTCGTATCAGCGAGGTAATCTCGTAGCTATGTAGGTGATGTGGTAGGAAGGATAGATCCTGTCCTGTTTGTGAGTGGTAGTGTGGATTGCTGTTTGCTGTTAACAGAGAATACAAGTTGATCCACTCCTCCAAGCTGGGGACCAAGCTGGAGTTATATGTATATATATACACGTAGCCAGCCTACACTACTGACGCTTCTCCAACGAATACTGGGCTATGCGTGCCTTTTCTTGTTGCTGGGGATCCCCAACCGGATCATCAGCTTACCAGTCAACTTCTCGGGTCGATCAATATGCGATGCGACGTCAGCCTGACCCTTCCCCCCATGGGCAACAGGCTCGACTTCGACCGGCGGTGACCTCCCCTCGTCCCCATGCCACCAAGAGGCAGCACCCGCCCGAAAATGGCGAAGGAGGATCCACCAACCACTAACTAACACCCCAGAGCTTGAATGGGGAGTGAGTAAGAAGAGCTCCAGCCACAAATCTCTACGTAGTCTCCACTTCAGGGCTCGATCTAGTCCTTCGTCTATCACGGTCGAGACGGGGGAATCGTGATCGTGCTTCTGAGTGACGACTAAGTACCGACGCAGCAGTAAACATTGTAGTATATTCCAGTTGTACTAGTCCAGCCATGTTGCATTATCAGTCTCCGACCCAACAAAGACCATCATCACGAGCACTCGCCGCGAGATGATGCCATTATTGACGAGAAAGATCAGAGGGAAATATAAACCGATTCAGTTCATGTGCATTCTGCCGCCCAGAAAAAAAAACCCGCGTGGTGAGAATGGATGTCTCTAATTGGCTCAAAGGGCTCCGCTTTTATCCTCCTTCCGGCAGTGGGCAACTTTTCTCAGCCTCTCAAGTTTCGGCGGCTGCTGCAAGTATCATGAGATGATCGGCGCAGGTTACCGACGCTAGCAAGGGGGAAGGGGGGCCGAGGGGTTTGGAGCAGCCCACGCCAGATTCCGGGGTGCGGCGGCTCGAACATAGCACGGTGGAACGGGCGAGGGAGTTGGGGCCTAAGGCCCGGACGAAAGGGGTTGATTATTGCACACATATTGGGGACAACTGCGAGGGTGACTTCACCCGACGGATAGGTATGCTATTAGCTACGAATTTTCTTGAAGGAATGAATAAGCCTCGAGGTGTAAGACGTTGTTATGTTCCGATCCTCGCGGGTTTCGTGTCGAAGTACCGTCTACATAGCCCTCCATTACCTCCCCTAAGGTTACTACGAGAGAAAGAAGAACGAGGAACATTTTGCTAGAGGCTCATGGCCCGCCAATGAATGTGACTGACACCGACACCGATACCGATACTGATACCGATATCGATGGTAGGTAGGTATGGTTGGTCCTTGTAACCCGACCCCAACATTTGTATACATCTACAGCAACAATGATGGCAGAGCGAAGAAGTGGGTTGTACAGGTACAGGAATGGATTCCTCTGTCTGACCGTGCGGCAATAACAATGATACTCGACAACTTGCTGGAAGATCAGGCCCCGGAAGGCTCATCATGCCTCTCATGGCGTGAACAGTCGATAAGAGTCGACGCTTTCCAGGGTCTATCCTCTTGTGCGCCTAATATTCAGGTAACACGGTATGACGGGTTTCGACCACGGCGAGTTTTGACCAGGAAAGAATCGAACGCAGCGAATCAGATGCCATGTTGTACCATTTCCAAACCTATGAGACAGCAAAGTATAGTGACAAGTGGGATTCCAGGTGGTGTGATCCTAAGGGAAACAGGGGTTAGGAAGATTGTTGACCAGAGGCGAGATCGGATCGATGCGAAGAATACAGCCTACAGCCTAGTGAATGCATGTCAGCCTGACCCACACAGCATTGGACTTTTGCAGGGTTACTTTTGTATGGCTGCTATCTCGATCGGGTCAATCTCAACCGACGAAGGGCTAGCTGTTGCGGGATAATACTGATAACACGTACAGATGATACCCAGATATACCTCGACGGGTCAACGAAGATGTTGGGATCATGAGAATGGTCAGTCACGAGGTGCATTGGGTTGAGAGATATTGAAAATGACTCTTTGGGTGACGAATATCTCGCATGTCTGCCGTTCGTAACCTTGAATGACTGACTGTATGTAGACCGTCAGGAATAGAGGCATAGGGGACGTAGCATGCAGACGCTGAATAGCCATGAGTCGGCTTATGCGAGCCATTACAATTGTGATTGTATTCGTTTAGAAACACCCTGACCGTCAATAGAATAGATTCCTCAATGAGGCTGTATGAACAAGTTTCCAATTCATGCGTCAGAACAATCTTGACAGTTCAGAAGATATGCTACATATGTAAAATATGTACTGTGGCCTCCATTGGCACCATTACAAGCTTGTAATCATGCTGCCCGTCTGCGCGGTTGTGTGTCGGGCATTGATGGGAGGCCCTTTAAGGTAGCTGGCGATGTCGCCAGCCGCCCGAGGGGGGCAATCTCGATATACCCCTAGACATTGTTTTGGTTTTGATGTCCCGGGTCCTTCTCCATTTCCCGACCAAATCCTCACGGCTTCGTGGCAATCCAGCACACCTGTGCAAATGATCCCGTCCGTGACTCCGTGTCCCGTTTGAAATAGGCCTATTGTTATTCCTGTTCCCATTACCGTTCCCGTTGTATTTTCGTCACTCGTAGTAGTCTGTCTGATCATTGTGTGAAACAATCGATGTGTGTTTCAGCAAAGTGAATGCTCTTCACATTCTCATCTGTCGGGCTTGCAGATCAGCCACCAACTCTTCGTGCATGATCTCGGTCATTTGATCGGCGGCTTCCATCTCGAGACTCCGTCTCAGTTGCACGATTTCCTCGGGCTCCTCGACCAGACCGAACCTCTCGCTCAGATTTTCGACCGGAGTGACTCTCTCACAGTGGCAGTCATGGTGATAGCCAGATGCAGTGTGATGACAAGGGCGAGATTTGATGGTCATTTGGGTGGGTGGCGACGTGCGGCCGTCTTGATGAGTTTTGGCAGTGATCAGATCTTGGGGACACAGGCCCGAATGCCGTCTCGTGTGATGGGCCGGCCGGGCGGCGGCGTGCTCTGGCATGTGGATATCCGGGCAGAAGCCGTCCCAGGACTCGTCGTCGGGACTGTGACTGTTCGACCGGGCGGTGGCTAGGTGTTCTTGAGATGGTCGACGCATGTGGCACTTTGTGCAGTAGTGGGATGAATGGCCGTGGCAGGAGGACAGCCTTCTGAGTTGTGGATGGACGGCACCAGTGTTGTATTCAAGTTCGCCTAATCGGGAAATAACATATTAGTTCCTGGCAACGATGAACCTTTGAGAGTTAGAGAGTTTGACTCACCATAGGCTTTGGGACTTTCCGGTGGTGTCTGGATATCTGTGACTGTCGATGTTGCACCCTTTTCCCGCAAGGGGAGGGCACCAAGCGACATTGCAACAAAGGAATCGTACTGGACCATTGTTGGGTTGAGGGGATATAGGGCTGAGAGCTGTATAGGTGTGTAGATATGTAGATGTGTATAAGTGTATAGGATGTATGAGTCCTTAGTGTGTCGTTGGGGATTGGGTAGAGGATTGATAGATGATTCTTCAAAGACGTGCTTCTCATGGCAGCATTTATGTTTTCCTATATGCCATTGAGCAAGGAGAGGAGGCACTTACTTAGCATTTGCCATGGCCGACTCATTACCAAAGTGGAAGTCGTCAAGGTTTCCGCTCCGCTACCAATGCACCCTGTACACCCCTGCTCTGCCCTGCCCTGCCCTACCCTACCCGATGACAGAAGGTCATGGATGGCCTTCCGAGCCATCGTGTGATTGATCGAGTCTGGCAGAAGAGAGGACAAGTGCAGCTGACTGGCTGGAAGAATGACAAGAAGCCGGTAACGATCCCTAGACAAATCTTAGGTTTGAGTCTTTTGCCCTGGCTGTCACCCTGATCGGGTATGGTTCACGCTTGAACGGCAGCCGCCGATGTTGGACTCCAGGGGGGATCAGGAGGGCTAACGAGGCCAGACACACGCCACCAGTGCCTGTGGAGACCACCAGAAGCAGACCTAGATCAGTCCACCTCGCACATATCACCCCGGCTGCCACAAGGCAAAATAGCTCGGGGGTCACAGCCTCAAAAGCCTTCCCACTAGGCTAAGGGACCTCTCGCTTGACTGGTATTGCACTCTCATAGGTGTTTTGGGCCCCTGTCAGAGTCATCCTGCCAGCCACGCTCTGGTCTGAACAGGCGTGGTCTAGAACAATCCCAACGCTTTGGTCGGTCGATAAATTTTGTGTACATGGTTTTGAAGATACCAAGGTGTCAACTACGATTGTTCTTGACTCACACTTTCAACAAGAAGCCGGGTATCGATATTCTTGGCTAAATGTGCCGACCAGCAAACCGGTTTTCCCCATGTCCATGCAACGGTACTGCGATTGCAGCAAGAAGACGACTTGCAGCGGGCGGTTGAACCTTCCGACGGCAATAAGACGTCTTGGGCCAATTACCTCAGGCATGTTGGAAGTTGCTGATCCGTCCGGGGACTTACAAGCTGTATTGCGCCAGTGAATGTCAGCACACGCAACCCTTCCAGTCTGAAGTGTCGACCTGAAAGCCAGGTAACGAGTGTAGAACGTCGGCTTCGTATTGTGCAGTATCTGGGGAAGCAATCTTTGCCGACGACCGCACCTGGGAATGCCACTCGAGCCGTATAAACTAGTCGACAGCTTGGGATCCGTTCGCTTTCTTGGGTAAGAATACGCTGCCTGCGACCGGGCTGCAGACAGACCATTGCTGGATAATCGACGCACTTTGAGATGTTCCCGTATTCTAGCGAACCGTATTGACTTTTTGTGCTCGGTCACCCCACAGATCCAGAGATGCTTGCTGACAACAGCACGCAAACGATCTCTCCCGTAGCATCCATGACGTTGTAAGTTTGCTTTGGTTTCACGAGATGTCTCGTCTAGCCGAAGGACACTTCGAGGTCTCCCTAATCTGGGGAGAACGCGGCGTCATTTTCCCAACCCAGGAATCATAGGGAGAACGACCATCTTCCTTCAGGGGTCGGTGTAGGGACCAGGAACGAGCTGGCACTGACCAGCAGTTGTTGACCGCTCTCCTGGCTGAGTCATTTTTTTACCTAGTCAACTGAATATTGTTGCGCATTCTGACCGAATAGTACTATTCGTTGATACCCGCCCGTGTTGCTCTGTTTGTACGTACTTGGTTTCGCACGCTCCCGTAGACCAACGTCCACAAGACGAGTAATGTCAACGTGGTCCACTCAAGCCTGAGATTCAGATCTTGAACAAGCCACGGATCGGATGGCACCCGTGATGTGAAGGAGTCCGGCAAGAAAAGTCACGTTAGTCGAGGGCGATCATTTCACCAAGACCTCACCGTGACGCCCTCTTCTGGGGGATGTCACCTGGCGAGTGTTCAGCAGATGACTAGCCGTTCCTGCAGGGGCATTCTGATACATCATCACAACCCTTTTGATGCCACTCACCAGCCCATGGACTTTTGTCGTCGATCCGAGACCACATCGCACCATCGCCATTCCGTTTCTGTCATTAAAGATCCAGGAGATGAGTGATATCGGGTTCCGCAAGTCACTCTCTTCACCGATTACCACTACCCATGACCCTCCAAGCTCTTACCTCATTCTGGCTTCTGAAGCCTGGGATGGGCATTGGGTTTCCAAATCATGCCACCCAACACCTGTTGTTAATTGCCAATTCGCGATCATCTGTTTGATGAGTGATCGTTGCATTAGATCTCATCCGGCTCATCAATAGTGTCGACATCTCTCTTGTGCCTGCCCGCCGTTGGCACAAACAGACAGTCCATCAGCCTGGTGATGTCCTGCCTACTTTATATTCTATAATTGGTTTTTCTGCTGGACCAACAGCGCGCCATGTGGATTCTGGTTGGATCCTCGCAGCTCGGATGTAGCAGTGATCATTGTGGGATAAAATCAGTCATTGAAAAGGAAAGGCCGAGAACATCTCGACTACTTTACAAAATATATCATCAAGGGTTGATAATAACTATAAGATATGGAAAGGTGGAATGTTCACGTACGTACAAAATATATGGAGGGTGGGAGACGCAGAATAGATTGCGCAAGCAGCCGGGACGATGCGGCAAGAACCCGTATGGGCGAGGCCCCAGCCTTAGGAGGCCCATAACATGTCATCTTTAGCACTCTTTTGTCTATATCTTCGAATTCATAAGAATTGCCACTACGTCTCACTTTGAGGGATAGTGCGAACCGTTTCCTGAAATCTGAATAGATATTCCGTGGTGGAAGCATGAATCAAAAATGAACATGGAACGGTCCGCTGGATTAAATTGGAAAAGTGTTATATTAATGCACGAGCACTGCCCGGCAATGTTTTGCTATGCTATGCTGTTCCTTTTTGTTTTTGGGAATGCATTTTGAGATGCGATGCGATGCTGCAAAGCCCGATCATCAAATCGTTTCATTAGACGAGCTTATCATAACGCCAGCAAGCTCATGAAGAGTACCATACAAGGTCATGAGAAGGTGGTAAGTCGTAATCGTCGTTGTTTCCAGAAAGCCCCGGGGAAATTGTTTTTGAAGTCGATCGAAGGAGTGAAGATCGAGTTGGGCGAGGTGGATGATGTGATGGTGAAGAAAGTTAGCAGCGCTGCAGTAGAGTGTTTCGCGTTTGATTTGGGTCGAGGCGGGTTTTGCAGTCACATCGTTACTGTAGTCATCCTCTTTACTCGGCGGTGATCTGGATCTGCTTGTTGCCCTTGGACTTCTCGAGCTTGGGGACGACGACGCTCAGGATGCCGTTCTTCAGGCTAGCCTTGACATGGTCCTGGTCAACCGGGTTGGGGAAGGCGAAGCTTCTGGCGAACTCGCCGACCTGGCGCTCCGAAACCCAGTAAGTGTGCTGGGGCTGGGATTTGGCGACCTCCTTCGATCCCGTGGTGGCCACCTCTTTGCTGGTGGACTCGCCGTTCTGGGCGGTCTGGTCGGGACGCTGGCCTTCCTCGCGCTGGTGTTCGGTCCGGCCCTTGATGGTCAAGGTCTGGTCGTCCTCGAATTGGATCGTCACGTTCTTCTGGTCGATGCCGGGCAGTTCACCCTCGAGGATGTACTTGTCCTGAGCCTCCTTGACGTCGAATTTGGGGGCGAACGTGCGCGACGCCGACTCGGATAGCTTCTGGAGCTCCGAGAACGTGTCGTTGAACAGGTTGAAGAATGGACCGAGTTCTTGTCGGGACGGTCCGAAGGAGCTGCTGAGTCTTGGGAAGAGAGCCATTGCGATTGATTGTTGTTGATTGGGTTGAGAGATTGTTTTATTTGAAACGCGAGCGATGTTTAGAGTGTATTCGATGTGTTCTGCTGATCTGATCTGGTGAACTCAATCCAGAGCGAGACGGGCAGGGTGATTTATACCTTTCAGCGGCTTCCGTTGAAGCTTCTAGACAGGGGCGGTTGCGTCAAAAGATCACGACATGTGGCAAGACAGAAGTGGTGTGAACTTTCTAGAGAGTGTTGGCCTTTCCTGTTTCGGCTTCTCGATCGTTTCGGTTTTGCGGAGGAGCGGGATACTCTGTACTCGAAATTTCGAGAGCTCTCCATCAATCATATTGCTTTCCCGCCACAGCAGCGTCTCCTGATGGTGCAGAAAGTGGATGACCGGTGCAGCCATGGTGCTTTCCCATGCAGCGTCTCCACCCTCGTCCGGCTCAGAAAGCTCATCCGGTCTGTTCCAGAGAATCATGGCGTCCAAGAACGACGTGTCAAGCCTAAGGAGGCAAGGCTGCGAGGCGGAAGGGGACTTCCCTTGCCGTCGGGTGGAGCGCGTCATTACAAAACAGACCAACCAGATACCGATCACGTGTTACCCCGCAACCGTCTCGATCCGCCTGGAAGTTTCCGGCACTTTGGCGGCGTTGGAGGCATTTTTAGGCACCCAGACCATGCCATTACAGGTAGCCGCTCGCTGTCAGGCTTGTTGATCCGGGGGACACCTGCAGCTTTGGGTGGTCTGCACGTCACGTCATTACAAGTTAGACAGTCGCAATCCTTGGATACATCAACAGCACAACGCATGAAGCATTCAGTTCTACCAGTGTGGATCTCGATGAATAGTTGCTCGGTCCTTGACTTGGATGGCATTGTTTTTCCATCCAGAAAGATCCAGCAATTCCATGGGATCATGTACTATGTGGTTGCCATACACTGCCACCATAAGGTATGCGAAGAAACCGTATTCCCTGCCATCGATTGCTCCACTGCCTCCCACCGTGAATCATGTCTCATGTCGTTCGCTTGCTTTCGTCTGACTGGTTGTGCAGGAAATGGATATCGTGATAGAAGGTCTGTCCACGTCCAAGACCGTCCTCGAGCTTGTCCACCTGCGTCACTTTCTGGGGGGTGGAAAGTCACCTAGACCAGGCCAGCCGAAGGAATCCGATTCGGCAGCGTTGTCGATGGCCTCATAAGTTGCCGCTTCCAATTTTGGTTCAATATCGTGCATCTTATCCCTGGTATTTTTGAAGGAACTCTTCCGCTTGGTGTTAGTTGCATCCTCTGAACCTGCAGCATACGTTCCCAACCCAGGCCAGCCCCAGCTGTCACTCCGTGCTCGTTCATGAGAAGTAAGACCCATGTTGTTCTCATCGAGATCTGAGCGCGCACGAGCTTCAACAGCGGGACTGACTGATTCGTCGGCCTCGGAGTCACTGCGAATTTCTTCTTCCACGCGCTCCCGCTGGGTCTCGTCTTGCTGACGCAATTTCTCCAACCGCTCTTCTACTGTGGACTGATATTTGCGATGGTGCTGCGCATTCTTGTCGCCAAACAGCTTCGCCTGTTCCTGGCTGAGAGCCGTCCGGATTGTGTCGACCATGTGGCCAAGTTTTGAATCACGGCGCTCTCTGTGGGCTTCCGGATTATTGCCTGTGCTTCTCCTGCTTAGCGATGGTGAGCTCGGCGCACCACCGGAGATGTCGGGGCGCTCTGTGCTGGACTCTGAATTGTGTCTTGTCATGGCGGTGGTTTGGTCACTATTGGCTTCCAGTTGTTGGTTACCAATGTCAATCAGTTGGGTATGGTATGTTTGAATTCTCGTGATGCGTGTATCTTGTATCTTGGTTATCAAGATACCACGATATGATATGGGGAAAGCTAGCCTGCCTTGCTAACTATATAGGTAGCCTATGCGACGCTGTCCACGTGAATAAGGGCGGTCTGGGGTCAGCAGCTTAGAAGCAGTGGCGACCCAATGCAATGCACCGTGCCTGAAACGCAGGCTGGGACTGGCCGGTTCTAGGGGAGGTCAACGCTGGGAACCGTAAGCGTGCACTCTTTTGCTCGGCGGCGCCTGACAAGAGATCACACCACTGTTCAAACCTTACTCTGTAGGGCCAAGAAGTGTCAACGGCCACCGCCGAAATCACGCATCCGGAACACTGGACTTTCTCTGCCTCGTCTTGGCTCATGAAATTGGACGACAACTGATCTGGCGATACATCCGGGTCCAACCAGACAGTACAAACGAGATGAGTGTCGAATCAAGGTCGAAATTGCGTTGGTTAGTGGATAATCCCAGGCAACTTTGCCGAGAATCAAATGACACCGCAACCAAGTCAAATGACGCCAAGCATCAAATATCTTCTGAGCCTTTAAGCCTGAGTTCAGACAGACTGGAGGCATCATCCAACCTCAAAATGCCTACCCCTAACTCTCCCAGCGCCCTGCGTGACTTCTCGGTGTCGCTTCTGCAATCGCTGATTTTGGCTGATTTTGGCTGATTTTGACTGAGAATACAGAGGAAAGTGCGGTTAGGCAACACGACAGGTAAGTCCCCATTGCTTGGGATGGTCTGAAAATAGATCCTGGACATGATCAAAGATATGGATCAGCGTTAGGATCACCCGAGGTGCCTTGCAACCCATGGGGTTGCCGAAGAAGACGCAGAGTTTTCCAATAACTAGAACTTTGGGCTTGAAGGTCGGATATGTCAACGGCGACAGCTTGATACAGGAAATGAAACGTGAGCTGGCACGAAAGGGATAGGTCCCGCCCCATCTGGACAGCTGTTCGCGATGGACGTGCGACAAACGTGTCGGAAACAATGTCTATCTTGAGGTCAGACCCATTTCGAAGGTCCTCGAATTAGATGCAAAGGTAATCGTCTGTGGACGACAGGTCGGCAACAGGCCCGTGACTGGAGCGACACGGACTTCGACGAGTCGGCAGGAGCATTGATGGCTGACCATTGACCAAGTATGCCAGTTTCTGTATGAGTTGCATAAAGCATTTACCTCAACTCCGATGTCACGGTAAGAACCTTTGCACAGTCACCAAGACCGTCAAGCTTGCGGGTGAGTATGAGCATGGTCAGATTATCCAATATCAAGGAGTACTCGCCGTCTTCGACATCCAAACAGGCCGTTCCGACCACGGAAGTCATGAGGCCTAGCTCCTTACCAACGCGCGCGGGTATGCCACGAACGAAAAGCAACAAATTGTTCGAAAGTCAGTTGCAACATGCACTGGCGCAACAAGGCCTGGCGAGCGAAACAGCATTGGATCCGAATTGGATCCTGGATTTCCATGTCCTTGGCATTCCCGGACCCAGTCCCAGCTCGCAGGTCTAGAGCATCACGTGCTGTCGCGTCTTGATATACTGCCTATTGACGACGTGGAGCAAGATGTCGATGCGGCACTTAACTGGTCCTCCACGGTCCTCTCTGGCCTTCTGATCGGCTCTGTACAGCCAAGATGGACTGAAGCATGGTGGGTTTCGTAAAAGTCGGCTAACGGTGAGGATGCCCAGACTGCGGGTGTCGGACACCGTCGCAAGATCATAGCCGGGGCGCTGCGGGAGACATACGAGACCGCTCACCCTGTCGAGCTCGGAAGGTTCGGCCCAGCACGCGAAGCCCAAGACTGGGACACGTAATATCAACCCTGAGAGTTTCGTCCGCCGGCTAGAATGTTACCCTTAGATGCGGACAGTCATGCCTCCAACAAAGATCGAGGACTTTATGGGCGACGATTGGAAAGACGATTTCCCCCTTTGAGGGATGGAGTTTTGACACTCAAAACATTTTTGCCATCCAATATGTCATCTATGGACCTCTGAATAGAGGGGTCAGCAGTTGCCGGCTGCTTGACGCCCTTGGTAAGGGGGTTCTAGACTACATTCGGGACTAAGATCCATTGATATATCCGAGAAACCCTTGGGAGGACGAAGACGCTGTCAAAAAGCGAGAAAGACACATGCTGTGAACCTGGTGGATAAATACATGGATAGAAAATTATTCAGCACATTGCGAGCATTGCGGCTGCATAAAGGGCACATCACTACTGGCAGCAAGGTAGGGCCATTCCGTCCGGATATCTCGGTCACGATGGGGCTGTGTGCCATTTCTCCTTTTTGTAATCCTATTCACAAGATGCCGAGGTTCTTGTAGTCAGATTGGGCTCCTGGGCATCTCTCAGCTCTGGTTCGAAAGTGGGACGTAAGTTGAGATGCAGAATGTACACCTCTTCTTGTATCGCGATCAGGACGGTGGACGGCAGCCAGTATGGCAGTTCATAAGATATGCAGCGTTCCTCGCGAAGACCGGGGGATAAGTGCTTAGTGGAAAATACCGCAAAGATGGAGGAAGAAATGAACCAGGGTTATAATGTGCAAGCACACAAGCTCAATGAATGCTTAACAATCAATTGCTTTAGTAGGAGGCGATGACCCGTCCATCGCCATGGTTATATCCTGGAAGACAAAGATCACCGGCCCCATAGGTCATCTACCCGACTTGAGACCCGTTATATAAGCATCTCTAGGTATTTCTGAGACAGTCAACTATGAAGGGTGTGAACTCAGCCACAAGGCTTCGTGAGACATAACGGAGCAGGCTTGCCGGTATGGACTCTCTATGGATCTCCATGGACTCCCACAGAGTTTTAAGCCGAGGCTCACGAGGCTGGCCTTTGCTGCAACTAACCCTAAGAGGCATAGCGGCCGGGATCGCCCCACTAGTCAAAGACAACCCTGACAGGCCAAGAAATCAACCGAATTGATTAAGCCTGAGGACTTCAACATCTTGACCAGTGTGAGAGCTTCATACTGGGAGAGATCCTGAGAGATCATACCTATTATTGATGTGGCTGTGGACACTCTTCCGCAGTTCTCCCTTTTCGGTCCTGCACGGTCGGGCTCGTGTTCTTCCCACGTATCGCGTATCGCTGTCGACTGCTTGTCCACAACGAGACAGCTCGGCAAGCTTAGAAGATGGTGACCTCCCTTCTAGGGCCCTACTCTGGATAAGATTGCCAGATTTATTGGAAAAGATCATGGATTGCTTCGGAAGCCAAGGCACGGCCAGTATTCAAGTGGTTTGGACATGGATTCCAAGCCTTTCCTTGCCCTGTGCGGGAATAAGAGTGGTGGTGCGGCACTGGCATCCACTGCCACCCTCCGGAAGAAGATCGAATTTTCTGTGGCATTGCAGTATCGACCTTGCGGCCGAAAGGCTGGCCACCAATCACCGGCATGAAATCGCAAAACAATGGAACAGCAGCACGGTGACACCGAGACTACGTCAACAATCATGTCGATATTTCCACGCCGGTCGCTGCTCGTCGCTCGTCCGTCCGCCCCCCAAAACCTCCGTTGTGGCCCAAGGTTGTCAAGGTTCATCTGGCGTCTGGCGTCTGGCTTCTGGCTGCATCGGCGCAGCACAACTAAAGATTTCGACCTAATCGCCGCCCCGGCAGTTTTCTTACTAAGTAGTTACCTATCGGCTCTGATGCAACGATCCAGTTTTTCCCAATTCTTTTCACATTGTTTGCATTATTATTATTATTATTATTATTATTGTTCTTATTGTAGGTCCTGACTTCTTTACTCATTCACTCACCCAAATAATCAGCTGTTTCCTCCCGCCGGCCTCGCCCTCGTCCTTTACCACCACTACCGCCGACAACGACAACGAGAACGACAACAACGCTGTCGCATTAAAATGGCAGAGAAAGACGGTCTCGAAGACCGCGGCCCTAAACCCCTACCCTTATATCGACTGGTGATCGACCAAGCTCGCCTGACGCCAGAAGTGATCAATTATCCATACCGTGGCGCAGGAACCCATGAAGACCCCTATATTGTGACATACATTCCCAATGACCCGGGTAATCCATTTACATGGACAAGTACCATGCGGTGGGTGATCAGTTGGATTGTGTCTGCGGAGATCCTGGCGTCGGCGTTCGCATCCAGTGCTTTCAGCGGCACGATTCGAGAAATCGAGATCTCCTTTGGAGCCAGCGAGGAGCTGATCACGGCCGGCATATCCCTCTTTGTGCTCGGCTTCGCCTTGGGCCCTCTACTCTGGGCTCCTTTGTCGGAAATCTACGGTCGACAGATCATCTTTTTCATCAGCTTCGGCGCCTTCACCGCCTTCAACGGCGGGTGCACCGGTGCCAGCAACATCGGAACATTACTCGTGCTACGTTTCTTCGCCGGCGCCTGTGGATCGTCACCATTGACCAACGCCGGAGGAGTCATTGCGGATGTCTTTACAGCATCTCAGAGAGGACTGGCCATGGGAATCTTCTCGCTCGCCCCGAGTATGGGTCCGACGTTGGGTCCTTTCTGCGCCGGCTTTCTTGGAGAAACCCAAGGTTGGAAATGGGTCATGGGCCTGTTGACCATCTTCTCCGGTGTCCTCTGGATTGCGGGCTCTATGCTTGTGCCTGAAACATACGCGCCCGTCATCCTCCGAAAACGTGTCGACCACCTAAATAAAATGACCGGCAAGGTGTACACGTTGGAGGCAGACAAGGAAAAAGGCCGGCCGTCACTGAGAGCTCTGTTGCCCACTGCCCTGATCCGCCCGTGGATTCTGCTGTTCATGGAACCAATCGTCTTGTTGCTCTCTTTGTACATTGCCATCATTTATGGTAAGTGTGGTTCCACCCACAAACTTCCTTCCCTTCCCTTTTGAAATGACCAGAATTGCTTACCTGAGCGTCTTTCTCTTTTCTCCTAGGCACGCTATATCTCCTGTTCGGCGCCTATCCGATCGTTTTCCAGCAGCACCGTGGCTGGTCCGAGGGCATTGGAGGCCTCCCGTTCCTGGGCGTGGCCGTCGGCATGGTTGGTGGGATCGTGTTTTCCGGCTACACAAACAAGTGGTACATGAAAGCGGCCGAGAAGAACGGCGGCGTCGCGCCTCCCGAAGCTCGCCTCCCGGCCTCCTTCTACGGGGCCCCGGCCATCCCCATCGGACTGTTCTGGTTTGCCTGGACGAACTACACGTCGATCCACTGGATCTCGCCGGTTCTGGCGGGAGTTCCGTTCGGCTTCGGCATGGTGGTCGTCTTCCTCGGCGTCACCAACTATCTGATTGACTCGTACACGATTTTCGCTGCGTCCGTGCTGGCGGCGAACACGGTGCTTCGGTCTTGCTTTGGCGCCGCGTTTCCGCTGTTCACCAGGGACATGTTCAACAGACTGGGGCTCCACTGGGGCGCGTCGATCCCGGCCTTCCTGGCCCTGGCCTGCGTCCCTTTCCCCTACGTCTTCTACCATTACGGCGCGCAGATCCGCGCTCGCTGCGTCTACGCCGCCCGCGCCGAAGCCGCCATGAACGAACTGCGTGCAAAGGCCGCCGCCCGAGCCGCCGAGGAGGAAGGCGGCCCAACCGACGTTGCAACGACGCCCGAGTCCCCCTCCGACGAGAGCGACGTCGAGAAGCAGGAAGAAGAGGCCGGTGCAGGACCGCGCTTCGAGCCCATCAGACCCACCAGGACAAACGCATCGGCTGATCGCCTGTCCCTGACGACCTCCATCACCAGGAAGAAGTCGCGTGCCGGCAGTATCAGCGAGGCCGCCGACTACAACTTCAGCCCGTACGATATCGATCGTGTCAACACGGCCCAGTCCATCACCGGTTTGGACATGACCCGATCGAGATCGAGGTCGAGATCGAGCATGGAGCGGACAAGGACGCATCGTTCCTTCGAGCGGTGATTGAACCCTCGATCGTGATATTCGGGCTTTCAACATCCTCCCACAAAAAGCAATGAATTGCCCCCGTTCACTTCTATCGCCGAGGGACGACCATTATTGTAATTCTAATTGCACACTTTTTCTTTTTCATGTGGCATAAAAACTCATGGAGCGTCACGGAGAGCGGGTTACGTTACGGCTGAACTAGATTTCATTTCTCGTCCTTGATTTTGCACATTTCTTTAGTACTAAACACGACAAATGCTCGAGCTTGTTGAGTGATGGTCAAAGATCAATTGGATGATGGCCATACGACGCGGAACCAGTTCGGCGGTGGTCGCCATCTATCTTCTATACATACAGGTTTTCTGTTTTCTAGTCATCCAACCAGACCAATAAACATGCCCTGAGTACAAATCTCCCTTGTTGAAAACAACATTTCATACAATATGAAAATAAATAGACACTGTGGTATCGGAGATCGTGATCGTGATTGTGATCATCGTCGGCCAAAGACAGACGCCCTTCAAGGCACCTCGTCCCAATTCCGTTTCGTCTTCTTCGTTTGGGGTTCAATCCTTTTCATCGCCTTTGAAGCTTCAACTGTTGCACCGGCACACGTCCTCGGTCCTTGTCACGGTCACGGTCACGCCAGATGAGGATTTGGAAGAGGCTGGTGATCGTGTGTCGGTATGCGCTGCAGCGGTCGCTACAGTGTGCAAGGACAACATGGGCAGCCCGCCGAACTCGGCTTGGATCCCGTCGACGACTTTCTTCCACAACTCGCCGAGCACCTCTTGCAGCACCACGGCCGGGTTCTCAATCTGCCAGTCCTGGAATTGAGTCTCGAAACTGATGTTGCCGTTGTTGTAGTCTGGGCCGAGCCAGGGCAGTGTGGCCCCGCTGTTGGTGTCTGGTTCTGCAAGGGATGGCGAGAGGAATACTCTGGGCTCGAAGTCGGCCATTCTTTTTTATATTGATTGTGTTGGTCGGGTGGGTTCTATCTCAAGGAGGATACGGCTTGAAATGGGAGTGTCTTTGTCAAGAGACAGAGTTCTGCCTGGCAGTTGATGTAGCGAGTGATATGCTCTTTTTTTTTGGAGTGGTGTGAGAGATGGTATTTGTTGTCTGATGGTTGGTAAAGGGTAGCTAAGCTGACAAGAGTAGTAGTGTATAGAGAGAGCTCTTGTTGTCAAACTAGAGATGTGTTCGGTGATGACTGTACGGCGTGGATGTTCGAGTAATTCTTTTCTTGGAGACGCTGCCTCCCTTTCCTAGGTAATGAAAGGGGGAAACTCACTCACAGTTATAAGTAGGTATGCTGTGTACCTAGAACGCAGTGGGCAACTTCCTGACCGGGTCAGGTAGAACCGCATGGTCTTCTTGACGGGTGACATGTCTCTTTTTCCAATACTGGACTCCAACAAAAGAAGCACATGTCAAAACACCCAGAACTTCCCATCTTCGGGCCTCTGTCCGAATTGAGAAACCACTCAAAGCCTGGGACGATAAAAAAGAACAATGGGCAACACCGGCTTATGGATCCCTTGAACAGCCTGTGTTGTGGTTCGGGTCCCAGCAGATAGTGCGGTGGTCTGATCTCCCAGAGTCGGATTCGCCGTGTCTTAAGAATACTGGGTCCGCCAGCAGTGGATCTGTTCTCGCGCAGAGCATGTGCTATTTACTCTGTAGAGCCGTGAATGAGGATGATGAATGATTACTATCTCTTTCATCGATGGCTTTTGCGCAGACATGTGTCGCTTATATATCTTGTGTATCTGAACCCAGGGTTAGCGAGAAATCTGATAAGGCTGTCAAGGGGTTCAGACTTTTCACTGGTTCAAGGACAAATCAATAGAGACACTTCTCAGGATTTACTTTTCCGTTTATTAGCATGTGAACGGTTGACAAGGGGTTGCCGAGGTAGTAATACTGGCCAAAAATGCTTGTGCGAACATACTAGCACAGTGTATGTACTATAGGCTGGTTCGTGCACGGTATGGGGCTGCCCTATAGACAGACAGAACGAGTCGTAGGTTGCTCTGATGCTGAATCTTGCAGATGAAGGTCTCGTCGAGCTGGGTAAACTCGATCATTGATCGATATGTCAGCTTCGGTCAATTCATCAATGTGCCTGGTTGTGAGGATATGAGATGACTCGACCTTTAAGACCTCTCATCCACACCCAGCACTGCTTGAGTTGTGTCCCGAGAAGGCTTCTTTCGCGATCCAAGGCTGGACCGTCTGCAGCTCAAGTAGATATGTACTTCAGGGTGCGAGGCTGCTTTGTTCGAGCCCCTATTCATACTCTCTCACGAAGGCTTGATGAAGCCGTGGCCAATGACCCGCTTGGAGCGACCGCCGCACGCATTTCCGCCTGGAGATATACCGTCAGTGGTCTTAGGCTTCAGGCTTCCGTGGCTTGGAGAACGTCGTGCATCTCAACCACCACCCACTTATGACCAGGCACACAGCATTCCGTGCATTCGCCTCTCTGTGACCCTCAGCCTGTAGAGGTGTGTTGGATAACACGGGAAGTTGACACATCAGGGCCCGTGTCCGGAGCGACGCATCTTGAATCCAAACCTCATGAATTATACAGATAGATATTTACTGACATGAGATCAGATCTTGTCAGAGCATCCAGGGTTTCACCTTTTCTCCGACCATTTGTCCTTGCTATGAACATACGACCTTTCTGCGCCGTGTTCGAACGTCATTCATCTCCTCATTATATGGCCCGTTGCCAATGTGTTTTATTACCGAAAGACTTCCATCATTGAGGTTGTGGCGTCGACCCCGGCCAATTGTACATCCAGTCGTTGGCCTCACCCACGCCGCCTGTCGGCCACATTGAATCCGGGACTGGTGTCATGCCTGTAGGGCCAAAATCCAGGTCTTGCACTTCGCCCATCACCCCTTCATTTGACTGATTTGGGGCATTCATGGCACCCCAAGTGTCAGTGGTGGCTAGACCAAACCCTGGTGATTGCTGTTGCTGTGCGTCGTTGGCACCACTCACCCCAAAAGACTGGTTGGGGGGTGAGGTGTGGGATGTCCGCGACGAGTTGTGCTGAGATGACGATGACGGGGTGGGCTGGTTGGAGTGAGGTCTCGAGCCTGAGCTATCTTGATGAGAGTTCTCCGGGGAGGTATCTGTGCCGACCGATTGCACGGGAAAATCGTAAATGACGTCGAACCCGTCACCCATTGGCACCAAGCCTGCCTGACCGTTGCGGTTGCTCTTGCCTGATTCGGAGGAAGCATACAAACTTGGATACGTACCATTGAAGGGTGACGGGTTGATGCTTTTGTCGCCCGGCCAAGCAGTACTGCCTTGCGTATCGCTTGCATTCTGAGTCTGGCGTATTTCGAATATTGGTGTGCATTTCACTCCATCGGTGTTGGCTGGTACTTCTCCCTGGACGGCAAGTCAGCAAGCGAGAATAGACAGGCAGGGAGCACGCACAGGAGGTCGGTGTCCAAACTTCCAGCGGGAACCACTGTTGGGGACATCGAGGCCACTCCCTTCCAGATCGACATCGAGCTGGACCAAGAAGGACTCTGTAAGGGGATTCTTGGCTTTGAGGATATTCATGGCAGAGAGCAAGAAATGTAACGACGATTTGACAGCTGCATCCTCCCTTCGCGCCTTGAGATACTGTACGAAAACTCGGGCAGCGACGTAAAGACAGAATGCAAGGAACGGATTCATCTGAAAGGCGTCAGCACACTGATCTCCGGAAACAGAATGAATCTCTCTACCATAGACAAGTCGATGTGACTGATCATCTTCATTATGTTGGTGATCTGGTCGGCCGCGACAATGCATCGACGCTTCGATTCGGCACTAATCTGAGCGGGCAGTCGGTTGTGGTCGGCCTTGAATATAGCAGCCTGATGTAAACATATAGTGGCGGTGTGGATATTCATATTGAGGAACACAGTATTGGGATCGTTCAGACCTGCTGGCAAGCGAAGATGCGAAGGTAGTGACAATGAAGTGTTTAGGAGAATGTTATCCAGGAAACGATGGCGTTTCCAGAAAGCGCCATTGAGATCATAATCCTTGTCTTGTTGGTCCGGACGATGCAGATGGGTGAGATTGCGGCCATAGAGGGTCGCCAACAGAATGATACCGCCGAATGGCGAGAGTGAAGAGGCTCCTTCTCCGTTTAAGATGTCTGACAGCTGAGGTGTGGGCTCTGGTTGACCTGAATTGAAAGCCTTGTCGCTGGCAGGCAAGTTGGTGAGAATCTGGGAGACATGCCATTAGCAGGGCCTTCAAGACCGACCATCATCCCACGTACATCTTGTTCGTCGATAACCATAGGCCACCCCGTGCCTACCGAGGCATAGCGATCCTGACAATAAGCCGCCCAAAAGGTCCGTCGCCGTTCCTCTCGATCCGTCCAGTCCCGGGGAGGCGGCAGTGTCTGTTTGACGTCGAGCCCGACACGGTCTTGTCGATGTAGACCCATCATCTGGGCCAACCTGGCCGCTTTTCCGACACTCATCCAAGCCCTCGGGAAATACATGTGTTTGAACTCATAGGAGGCCAGCAGCGTCCAGGCTTGACAATGAGCGATGGTGATCATGCTTTCCCCGTGCCCTCGCATTTCATCCATCTGGGCATATTTGTGTGCTCTCTTGTAGAAATGCTCGGCATAAACAGAATATTTGGGGGTCATCGCGCACACATTCGTCCACATGGCATACCTGAGGCTGGGCGCTGGGCGAGCAAGAGGGGCAAGATCCATCGAAGCGAGGAATCTTGCCTTGTGGATCATCGGTAACGATGGATGGACCTTCTCAAAGTAGATCTCATTCCTATCTTTCGTCAGCATCGGAGAAAATTCAACAACCAGATAAGAACAGACAGCTCATCCATAACCTCGCGTGCCGGCAGTGCCTCCTCCAGTCCGAGACCTATCATCTCCCAAGTAAAGTCGTCTCCGGCGTTGAGTGTGAGGTTGTTGATCCCTCCCAGCGGAGGATCTGTATAGTTGTCGTCTGGGATCAAGTCCGGCATGGAAGCATCTCCAAAGGCTGGAATATCTATTGGCGGTATTGAAGGGCCAGAGACATAAGTTTCCGGGGCGGTCGAGGTCTGCGCAGTAGAAGGACCAGCCTCCCTGGGCGTTTCTCTCGACTCCAGGAGATTCTCGACTTGCTTGAGACGTGCCTCCAGCAGTTTGACGTAGCCTCGTTTTGGACCGCTCTTCTTCCGTTCTTCGGAGTACTCGCAATCGTGACTGAGTCTAGCGCAAGTCCCGCAGCTCGGTTTGTGCCCATCGCATTTCAGCTTTCTCTTTCTGCACAGAATGCATGCCATTCTCTTCGGCCGAGGATTGCTCTCACTTGCACCTCCACCTCCATGTGCATCGTCCGTCTCCATTGCGCCCTCGTAATATTCATTGTCGGTAGCCGAAGTCATTTCATGAGAACCGAAATGCCACTGCGGCCTTTAGAAGCGATGCGGTAGTTGAAGTGGCCTGCGGACGACGATAACTCGGGGAGTGATAAGTGCTGTTTACGCCAAAGGCTCGCACACCAAATCTCTGACCAGAATATCGCTGGCCTGTATTTCGGTGACAATGTGACAGGGTGTTCGTAGAGCAACGCGCTCTACTATCTTGCTTGATTCAAGATGCACGGCGGTCATACAATCAGGCAACAGGGCAACGCAGTGCGGAGGACGCGATGTGAGGTGATTTGTGGTTCGCGGTTATCTATCTTAGGTAAGCAAGTCGATGATGACATAAGGCACTCAAAGGGTTTAGGTTCCTGTGGTTCGGCGAACGAGACCCCTGTCTCTTTTGCCATCTTGCCATGCTTAAGCTCTACTTTCATCGTTGGATTTGATAGGTGCAAGGGCGATGCCCAGCGTCCATGGTTAGAAGACGCCGGAGACCTTTTCTATCCGGCGTTATTCATTCTCGGGAGTATGTATTTATTTGATGATGTTCCAAGGACAACCCGAAGCAATGCGGATAGTCTAGTGGGAAGGACCATCACCACCATCGCCCTCTTCATTGAAGAAGACACGGATGGGCAACCAGGAGTCACCGCAGACTTTGAAGCGATCCTTGATGTTGCTCAACTTCTCCATATCCTCCGAAGTCAGCTCCCAGCCATCGAGCTGGAAGTTGGACTCGATGCGCTCCTTGTTGACACTCTTGGGGATGACAGAGCAGCCTCTCTGGAGGTTCCACAGCAAAAGCACTTGCTGCGGAGTCTTGCCATGAGCCTCAGCCACTGCCGCCAGAGTCTTATCGTGCGCCAGTGGGGAGTTGGTTGAACCCAAGCACGAGTAAGCAGTACAGTGAATGCCCTTCCCTTTGCAGTAGGCTATCGTCTTGGGCGAAGGCATATTGGGGTGGAGTTCGATCTGGTTGACGGCCGGGACGACTTTGCATGATGGGTGGTTGAGGAGTTTCTCTAGGTTGGAGATGACGAAGTTCGACACTCCGATGTTTCGAACCTTGCCGGTATCGAGAAGCTTCTGCATCTCGCGCCTAAAAGCCAGTCAGTCAATTGAGGTCAAATATGCAGGCCGGGTCAGGGCATTGCGCACCAGGTGTCGATGAAGTTCCAGTCATCATAATGCTTCTTGAGATCTGCAGGATCGGTGGAACTGGGCCAGTGCATCAGGTACAAGTCGACATAGTCTGTGTCCAGGTTCTTCAGCGAGGTTTCCAGTCCCTCTCGGACGCGCTTGTGCCATGGGTTGTCGAGCTTCGTGGTGAGCCAGATTTCACTGCGAGGTACACCCGAGTCCTTAATTCCCTGGCCGACTTCCGCCTCGTTGCCATATGCCAGCGCCCTATCCACCTATCAGTGCCCGAACAGTATCCAACGACTGGTCGATGGGTCTTACGTATCAATGTGGCGGTAGCCGACGGTGAGGGCGTGCTTGACTGCTTCGCGGACTTCGTTGGGCTTTGACTGCCATGTACCCAGGCCGACACCGGGCATCTTAGCGCCAGTGTTCAGGGTGAACACCGTCCTAGACAACAGGAAATGAGTATGCGAACCATACAAAAACTCAACGATCAGGCGAGATACTTACTTGGTGCCCTTGCCGGACTGTGAAGTCGTCATCGTGCCTAAAAAGCGTGGAGTTGGGGACGATGGTGATGAAGGTTGGCTTGAACAGAACTTGAAAGTAGGAGCAGAGCTGGAGGTCAACCTTGATCTTGATCTTTGAAGGACAGTAGAAAAGTGTCGAAGGGGAGACATGCAAGTTGAAGGGGAAAGAAAATTGCTTTAGGGATCGCTGAGCACATGGGTAGATGTCGTTCCAAGTTATATCCCGGTGGCCTCTTTCCTCAATGAACCATCACTTCTCTTTCCTGCAGTGGTGGGGATCAGTCTCCAGCCCACCATAATGTCAACAACAAACTACCTACGCAATTGAATTTGGGTGAACGAGGGGCATTGGGAACAATGTGTGGGAACGTATCGGGGTCGATTGGCTTCCTTAGCCTTCGCCTTGTCCTAGGGTCCCTGCTGCAGGGCCTTATTAGCCTGAATCACCATTCCGGCTACATTAAAGCGAAATAAAATGCTGGAGTACGACTTGTTACAAGTTAAAGATCAGCATAAATTCCCCCACTCTGCGAGATACGTTGAGACCGGCATTTGGGAAAATATCTGACTTCACTGACTAAGGTACCTATCATGGTTGGTGCGCCTATAGCTGGTGCTGGTAGAAAATAGTATTTCTGCGTAGGTACCTTAAGGTATCTACCTACCTATAGTAGATACTTAGGTACTCTAACTGAGGAGCTAGTAGTAGGTGAGGCAGGTCAACCCGAGTTCTTGGAAAGGTCAACGTCCGGGCCGCAGCTTGCCCCAAAAGGTGAAAGTCGCAGTGTTCCGCAGTGGCTGTTAGGGTTGTCACAGTGCACAAATAAACCCACCAACCTGCGCAACATTTAGGGCCCCTAAGCCATGATCCCTTCACACTACGTACTACTAGTACTACGTAGTAGTACGGGTCGTCCATGACCGTTACAAGGGTTTTCTAAATGGGTGACAGGCCTTCGGAGCCCTACTGTTTGCACTCTCCTACCACTCAGAGCACGCCCCAGTATCTACCAGCCTACTACGTACGTGCTGTTGCAGCACGTTTCCGGAGTACATTGACATTAGAAGCCCGGTCAGGACTCACTCTCTGGGAGCGCACTTTCCTCTTGCATACCCGAGCAAACAATGTCAAAATTCGTGTCAGCCGGAACAGATGCCGACTCACGGCCACCACCAGATGCCGCTTGGCTAAAGGCTCAACAGGAGGTAGAAGCTCGGAGAAAATCCAAAGTGGCCGAGGACGGCAGTCAAGATGGAGGCAAGAGTCTGTACGAAGTATTACAACAGAACAAGGGTAGGTCACGGTGCGCGATGCTCCGTGTCTATGAAAGTTGCTGATACGGCAGGGCTTTTGTGACTGCCAGCTGCCAAGCAGGAAGCATTTGAAGAATCAATCCGTCTGAAAAATCAGTTTCGTCCTCTGGACGAGGATGAGGTGGACTTCCTGGATTCCGTACTGGAGTCGAAGCGAGCAGAGGAGGATGCCGTCAAGCAGCAGACTGCCGAACAGCTTGAGGCGTTCCGGAAGCAACGGGCCCTAGCTGAACAAGCTCTTTTAGATCAGCACGCGACCGACGAGGCGACCAAAGCCGACGTTCCCGTTGGCAAAAACGTGTGGACGACGCAAAAGAAAAAGCGACGTCGTGACAAGAAGGACGAGGGCGAGGGCGAGTTCGAAGTAAACCCCAAGGCCAGGAAACTCTCGCCTCTCACTGCTGATTCTAAAGTGTCTGACACAGACCAACCCGATTCAACGTCTTCTGAGCATCAAAACGCAGGCCCAGAAGCCAAAGTATCTCCCGACAGACCTCAAACAGGTCCTCCGAAAGCAACGCCGATTGCACTTGGCTTGGGCGACTACAGCTCCGATGACGACGATTGATATCAGTTGTCCACGAGAGTCACATTGTTCAACAATCTAAGAAGGCTGATGTTGAGTTTCACAAGAACGAAGTCCCACGAAGAAGCATCACGCCTGCCAAAATCCCAAGGGGCTGTGTGCGTACGATTCAGGCTTCTGCAGACTCAAGGTACAGTCTAAATTTGGGATCTCAACGGCCAGTCCAAAGAGGGTATCAGACGGCCACGCATGGTAGCCTCCATTCCGTCCAGCCGTGATCGAGTCGATGAATCTGCCTGGGTCTCGACCATGATGACATTCATGACTTTGAGTGATCACGTCCTTGGTCCAGGTGCACTGCCAAATACCCGACAATGTGGAGAGAGAGGCCGCCAACGACCACTTTGCAAATGTCAGAGATCGTAGTACGACAAAGTTCAGGCAACTCGGAGAGCTGCGTTCCTCCCGGTATCAGCTTCGACACCGGCACCTCAGGTTCGTCGCCACGTGTTTCATATACTACAACCATGCGGGCGACAGTTGCACCTGAAATACCACTATCATCGTCGTCCGAAGGGCTAGGGTTTTCAAGGGCACGAGTCTATGTCCATTAAGTCAAGTACATGTCCAGATCCGGACTTTAAAAGCGGAAACCCTGGGGACTCATTATGCGTCTCGCACGGTTCGGAAGCACGGGTTCCCTAGGTTGCGGTTATAGGCGTGGTGGCCGCCTGGCCCGGGCTAAGGCTCCCCAGACATCCCCCAATGCGATGCCAGTGGTTGGTTACTGTACCTACCTTTTAGGCATCAATTCCTTCAGTGGGCGGTTGGCTGCTCACTGTCTAGTGCCCACATAGGCCTAGGCCAATTAATCCCCAGGCTGGTGACCACCAAATGTGACTTGCTCGGCTCTTATGACAGTCAACGTTCAGCACTGCATTGGGATTTGCTCGGTTTGGCCCCTACCACTCCATCACCCGGGGGCTTGCGCCCATCTGCTTTCCCCCTATTCGTTCGGGCTAAGGAGGCCACAAGCACTGACCTCCTCCCAATGTAGCGGTGAGGAGGAAAGCTGCCAGATCAACTCCATGCCCTGCATGTTCACGCCTCGAGCCGACGCGTTTATTCGCCAACTGCCCGCTGCAAGTCAACATCGCCAGAGTCATGAGAATATTGCAGTGGTGAACCAAGATCTTTCGGGCGTGAATGAAAACGAAATTCTCTAGTATCTTATTGCCCGTAAATCCCTGTGTCCACGACCCGCCGCTGGCAGATATATTGTCTTGTAATATGCGAAGACCGACCCCTCCTCCCGTCACTCCTTTTCCACGCTTCCTGAATCGGGTTGTGTATCGATAAAGGATAGGACACGATATGAGACAGGCTTGAAGGGTGACTGAGAGAGTGACTGGGGTGTCTATGGATCTGCGGCGCTCTGCAAGGGGAAGCGCGACGAGGGATGTGAACGCCACGCACTCAATTGGTGGTGGTTGCAGACTTCAAACTCGCAAACATCCAATCGCCCCGTGGCTCGCTTGCCTGCCCTCTGCCTGTGACCTCCTGACAACTGCATTCTTTAATCCAGTTCTCCCATCACACTGACATCCTGCCTGCTATCACTCAAGAAGAGGCTCTGTAACCTAGACGCAACCTCGCCCTCTCCCGTCCTTCTCCTCACGCACCCTTCGCGTCGCAACAAATGCCCGGCCGACTCGATCTGCCCGATTTCTGTGCTCAACTCCAGCATGGCAGCCTGCGCAGCCATGTCCCCGGACGCCCAAGTCAGACAAAGCGCGTCGCGTCGACCAAAGACCCGGAGATGGTGGAAGACTGGTACGGATGAGACTGAGTTCAAGATCTCGCGTCTTTGCAGAGCATGGGAGGCCGGTGTATCTCCAACTGCCGATTGGCTCTGCTTCAGCATGCACACCGCCATGCGAGAGAATAACACGCCAGGACAACGGGTATGCAGGGCGTTTCTTTCCACTCTAGTGCGACTCCTCGAGCCCTCAACCTCTACTAGACCTTCTCCCGTTCGCGCCCTGCTCTAATGTTACCATTTCATTCATTCCGTCGCACGTTCCTGACACGAGACACAGCCCCTGGTCGCGAAGACCGATGTCTATCTGAGAGCATTTGCGCTGGTCGCAGCTCTACTACATGAATTGAACGACAGCCCTCCGCCGTATTGGTTCGAACCGCCGCCCTACAGTACCGACGACCAACTCCCGCCTTACGTGCTAGCCGATCCACTTGCTCATTCCCATGTACCCAACCACCCAGATCTGCCGAAGGTTGCAACCTCCTCCGGAGAACTCAAGTCTCCAAACTCTGGGATGGATTATAGTATAGACTTTGGCGACACTACCGGAGTCCAGACGAGAGGGAAGAAGGCCAAGAAAGCTGCCCAAAAGGCTCAGCAGGCCAAGTGGTTCGAATCGGATAATGAAGGCGAGGGTGGTGCTGCTGGCGATGGTGGCGAGGGTGGCGGCGAGGGCGGAAACAACGGCGGCGGGGATGCCGGAGGCTCTGGTGGTGGGGACGATAACAACGGTGGTGGAGGGGACGACGATGATTGGGACTTCGGCGGTAGCAAGAAGAAAAACAAGAAGAACAAGAAAAAGCAAGAGGAGGAAGAGAAGAAGAAGCAGGCAGAGGAAGAAGAGAAAAAGAGGAAAGAGGGAGAGGAGGCCGCCCATGCTACTAATCCTCTTAGTTGGGCTGATGAAACTAATAACGCCGCGGCAGATGATGACTGGACTACAGGTTTCACGACGAAGAAAGACAAAAAGAAGAAGAACAAAAAAGTAAGGCCCGTAGTCTATGTGTTCTGTCAGGCTTGCTGACCATGTAGGGCGCCAACGATGCTGCTGATGAGCCGGCAGCTGCCTCAGCATTTCAAGACATCAACCTGGATGATACTGCTCCGAGGCTGGAGTTCAGCTTTGGCGGCTCCGATAGCAAGAAAGATTCCGGCGGCTTCGGCGCGTGGGGAAAGACGTGGGATTTCGGGACTCTTGATGACGGCTCGACAAAGATTGATGAAGCGTCGAGCAAGAAGGAAAGTCAGAAGAAAGTTGATTCTACTGAACCCGGGGACAACAACCTCTGGTCTTTCGGCAGCAAATCCAAGAAGAAGACAACAACATTTAGCACCGGGTTCGACTTCGGCGATCTAAATTCTGGTGACAATAACTTCAATCTTGATGTTGACGCTGGCGATGCTGGCAACGGACAAGCCGCCGATGATGCTTGGGGGTTTTCGACCGTCAGTAAAAAGGATAAGAAAAAGAAGTTGACCGATGGGAAGAAAGCAGAGGAGCCGACCATAGCGGAGTCCGAACCGAAGGAAGAAGACACTTGGGGCGGCTGGGCTACAACCACTTCCAAGAAGACCAAGAAAAAGAAAGGCTTTTTCGAAGAAGATCCTATCCCACCTCCGCCTCCTGCCGTGGCTGAGCCAGAATCAGCACCTGCAGAGGATGATTGGGCCTTCACAACCAACAAGAAGGATAAAAAGAAGGGCAAGAAGGGCCTAGTCGAAGAACCTGCCGTGGAGACCAAGGCCCCGGGGCCCGATGCAGAAGAGGCCGATGCCACGTTCGACTGGGGTGGGTTCGGGACGAGCAAGAAGGACAAAAAGAACAAGACAGGCTTCGGTGGTTTGGACGATGATCTTCTGGCAGACACTCCTGCTGATCCAGAAACAGCGGCTGCTGACGGAGATGACTGGATGTCAGGCGCTTGGGGCACCAAAAAGAAAGACAAGAAGGGGAAGAAGGGTACCCTAACCGACGAAGTGGCCCCTCCTGCTCCAGCCGCCTCGGAGGCTCCAGCCGAAAATGATGATCTTTGGGGATCCTTCGGAAAGAAGGAGAAGAAGGGAAAGAAAGGCAAGGCTTCAAGTCCTGAACCATCGATTCCGGATCCTATACTTGAAGTGGAGCCTGAACCTGAACCTGCCAAAGAAGAACCAAAGGAGAAGTACGCTGATATCAGTGGCTGGGCCAACCTATCTACGAAGGATCGGAAAAAGAAAGAGAAGGAGGCAAGAAAGAAAGGTCTGCTTATTCCTTCTGAAGAACCTGAGCCACCACCCCCAGAACCGGAAGCCGAAGCTGCCGCAGAGGAAGATGTCTGGGGAGCCTGGGGCACCGCTGCCAAGGGTAAGAAGGGCAAGAACAAAGGGGCCGAAGAACTGGCTGAAGAGCCTGTAGTGTCAGCCAAGAACGAATCGGAAACCAAGGAGGATGATTTGTGGGCATTCGGATTGACGGCAAAGGAAAAGAAGAAAAGAGAGAAGGAAGCGAAAAAGAAAGGCCTCGTTGACGTTGTTGAAGAGTCACCTTCCCCAGCGCCCGAGCCCGAGCCCGAGCCTGAGTCACAGACACCAAAGCAAGATGACGAATGGGGCAACTTTGGCCTGTCAGCAAAAGAGAAGAGAAAGAGGGAGAAAGAAGCCAAGAAGAAGGGGCTCCTGGATGTTGTTGAAGAGCCTCCTGAGCCGGAGCCGGTGCCCGAAACGAAGGACAACGATACCTGGGGTGGTTGGGGCGCGGTCTCTTCGAAAGACAAGAAGAAGAAGGAGAAGGATCTCAAGAAGGGGTTTCTCGACCTGGATGAAGTACCACCTCCACCGCCTGAGGCAGTTCCCGAGATCAAGGAAGACGAAAACTGGGGTGATTTCGGGCTTACATCGAAGGAGAAGAAGAAGAGGGAGAAGGAGGCGAAGAAGAAGGCGAATGCTGCTGCATCTTCTGACCCCGACCCTGTGCCCGAGGTCGTTGAACCGGAATCGAAACCTGCAGAAGACAAAGTTGACGATATCTGGGGCTCTTGGGGCGTCTCGTCCAAGGACAAGAAAAAGGCTGCCAAAGAGAGCAAGACAAAGGCCGTTACAGAGCTTGATGAGCCAATAACTGCCCAGAAAACCGACACGCCTGCTGAGGATGACCTCTGGGGTGCTTGGGGAGTGAAGGACAAGAAGGGTGGTAAAAAGGCCAAAACCAAGGAAGAGCCTCCACCACCTGCCCCTAGTCCCCCAGCCCAGGGGTTGACGCCGGAACCCGAAGCGTCGGAGTTGTTGGACAATGATACTGTGGGTGACACTTGGGCGAGCTTGACGAAAACAAAGAGCAAGGCATCATCCAAGCACAGTGCAGGTTCAAAGTCCGCCACCGCCAACAAGGCATTGGAAGGCATGCCCGGGAAAGCCCCAAAGGCGAGCATATGGGGGTTTGGTACAACAACTACACACTCAACCACGACCAAACTGACCAAGAAAGAAAAAGAGGCAAAGGCCAAGAAGGAGGCTGAAGAGCAAGCCAAGAAGGAGGAAGAGGAGAGGCTGGCTCGCGAGGCTGCAGAGGCCGAAGCCGAATCAGCACGTATAGCTGAAGAAGAAGCTGCAAAGAAATCCAAGAGCAAGAGCAAGAGCAGCAAAGGGTCGAAGACCGACTCAAAGACAAGCAAAACCAAAGACGTCAATGATCTCATTGATGTGCTTGACGATGCGAGTCCGGCATCAAAACTCGACAAAGGCTCCAAATCCAAGACGAGTTCCAGCAAGGAAGACAAGGCGGAAGTCAAGAAGAGCAACGACGACTATTTTGGCTTCTGGGGTAGCGCGTCTACATCCAAGAAGACAGCTGGCAAAAAGGAGATGGACTCGAAAAAAGAAATTACCAAACAGGGGGCGTCCAATGAGGATGCGACACTAGTCAGCCATGCGAAGGACCTCGACTTTGGACTGGACCTCGAAGGACCCTCGACTTCTACAAAGACCTCAAAGGCAATGACTACGGCCACGACGAAGGGCAAATTGGGTTCATCTGTCGCAGACCGCATCAAAGCGTTGGAAGGCAGTAAAGAAGGCAGCGGAACGAAATCGAAGAGCAGCGCTCCGCTGACTAAGAGTTCGACCCCTGTCGAAGACGCTGCATTGCCCAAAGAGGAAAAGAAGACCAAAAATACGGCGTCCGCGGCCAAAACGAAGACGAGTGATCTCAAGTCTGGCAAGAAGAAGTCGGATGCAACGGCCGTTACAGAAGAGAAGAAATCCAAAGACTCTGTCCCTGGAAGCTTTCCTGGTGCGTTGGGCGATGATGACTTCGACGACGTGCTCGGTCTGAACGACCCCCCGGCGCCGACCTCGCCTGAAAAGCGAAAGTCTGAGACGAAATCAAAAGGCGCCGAGAAGAAGGGCACGAAAGCGAAGACTACAACAGCCAAAGAGCCAACCACGAAGAACTTGGACCTCCTGGACGAAGCCCTTGAAACTTCCAAGTCCCCGACCCCTTCCCCGGATGATAAGAAGCCTATCAAAAAAGAACGGCCCCGGGTTGAACGATCTGCCACTACCTCTTGGGGATTCTGGGGGGCAGCACCTCCGCCCAAGAAGTCCACAAAGGACAAGTCCAAGGAGCCCGACATGTCGCCGCCGGCCAAGAAGGAAAAGTCACCACCTGGTTTGACCCGGTCGAAATCAACCCGCACGGCCAAAGAGAAGGAGCGAGAAGAGAAGAAAGAGGCGGAAAAGTCGTCCAGTTCTGATCGGGACACCAGACCGGCGAGAGCGACCGAAAGGCCGAAGACCACTCGAGGGCCTTCGTTCTCGAACTTCATGTTTGGTGGGCCACCACCGTCGGCGATGCGACCGAAGACTACTCGAAGACCCAGCAATGCCAGCAGCTCCCGACCGTCGTCCAGACGTCAATCAATGGACGCGATCACGTCTCCTATGGAGGATGAACCACAGATCAACGGCAAGGTAGCGAAGATTATGGGCTTGAAGTCCGGCAAGGTTGAGCGTCGTCAGTCGGTGAAGGGCAAGTCATCAGGTAAGTCAGACACCTTATGCAGTGGTTGGGAGATAGTTGCTAAAGTCCATTGCTTAGGCGTTCCCGACCCATATCCCATCGACGACGACGATATGGTGATGATCCATACGCACGACAATCCACCAGCTGTCAATGGCGCTTCTGCAACGAAGAACTCAAAATCCAAGTCTTCGAAGTCGAAGAAAGAGGTATGTGCTAGACGGTCCCTGGGTTTGCATCCTCCGCCCAATTTGGTGGGCTAGAGTCCTACAGATCACATGCTGACGGACTGCTGTCCTATAGCAGATCAAGTCAGACAAGAAAGAGAATTCCTACGACGACGATGTGGTACTGGTTGATGGCCTGGTGAACGGTGATCCGTTGGTCACTAGTGGACCTGACGACCTCGCCTTCGTGGATCATCCTCCTGCCCTGAGAAGAAGCAGCACCGCTGCGTCACGAAGATCGACTGGTCTTTTTGGCAGTTTCTTCGGTGGTGGCGCAAAGCACGTTGATGTGGAGAAGGGGAGGCCGAGGAATATGACATTGACAGATGCTGAAGACCACGGACTTCCCATCCGGACCAAGGACCGGTCAAAGAGAAGATCGCGTGTCCCTGACGGCGAAGGCTTCACTACAGACGGTCCTGGCGAAACTGACGCAGACATTGAAGCCCGTCGAATTGAACGGAGAGCGAAACGGGAAGCCCGTGACCGAATCGACGAAGCTGATCGGATCGAGCGCGAGCAAAAGCGCAAAGAAAGGCGGGAGCGTGAAAAGGCCGATCTTGAAGCCCGCCAACGTAAAGCTCGTGATCGTGCCAGACAGGAAGAGGAAGAGGAAGAAAGACGTCGTGAGGAGAAGCGGGCGCGGCGAGCCGCCAAAGAGGCTCGTCTTCGTCAGGAAGAACTCGACACGCATGCAGAAGCTGAGCGACGACGCGAAGAACGGCGGCGTCTCAGAGCTCAGCTTGAGGCGGAGCAAGGTGATGCTCGCGAGGCGTTGAAGGAAGAGCGTCGAAAGGCGTACTATGCAGAAGAAGAAGAGCGAGCACGACGACGCAAAGAAGAGCGCAAGGCTAAGGACCACGACCGAGGAAGGTCCAGTCGCAAAAAGTCCACCGCGCTCGTTGAAGAATACCATGAGAGTCGGAGTGGTAGTGGCAAAGGGACAGCACCGCCCGCCGACAAAACCAGCTCGTGGGTGAACTCACAGGCCGATGAGCCACCAGAGGTCCCACCTGTTGAAGGAACCATCTTAGACCCTAGTGGGGAGAAACCGCGCCGGCTTGCAGATGAGGACGATGGGCCCAAACGCAGCGGCCGGCATCACGACAAATACGCAGGCATGACTGATGCGGAAATAGCAGAGTATCGTGCACGACGCAAGAGTATTCGTCGCGGCGAAGGCAAAAGTGCCAGTGGCGGGAGTGATGAGCGAGAGAAAGACCGAGACCGAAAGGAAAGAAGAAGAAAAGATCGTGACCCGGCCACCGAACGTGGCTACGGTGGTTACGGCTACGACGAAGTGCCGGTGAAGACTTGGGATGGCCGACCTGCTCTTGGCCGCAACGACAGCAAACGGAAGAGTTTTTTAGGGGGCCTCTTTTGATACAACCTCGACATCCAGTTTACGACGTGCAACTGAGGGGCAACCGGAGTTCCTCGCAACGACGAGCGAACCCACGACGACGACAAAAGGCATCACCGAGCGTCCGTGGGCTCGAGGAGTTGGATGGCAATACCTGCTGGGAGGCACTCCGAGTCATCTCAGCCTCCAAGACGCCTCAGCATCGAGATCAAGAGCGGTGTCAATATCGGCCTTTGCTGTCACTCGCTCCAAACCCTCTTTGGATTATATGGAATATCTTCTCCACTCGCATGTCGACCTGTTGCGAGAGCATTTGATTGATTTGATGTGCATTCATAGCACATCTGCATGGAGTTTGGGTTTGAAGGCTAGACCCCTTTTTTGATTCTTTGGCATTCTCAGTCAGTCAGAGTTGGGAGGAAGATGGACTCTTGGTCTGAACGAGTACAGTCCGATTTCTGTGGAGGGTGACTATACATGAAGTTCAGCTAGGCACCGCTGTGTTTGCTTCAAGCTGCTTTGCATGAGATTGCTTTGTTTCTATTGCTGTCTTCGAGCGTGAAGGCAAGCGAAAGGTGACAGGCAAAGTGGAAGTCGAAGCGGGCTGGCACCCGTCTTTGGCTGTGTTGCTTTTCGCTTTGAGCGACTTGTGGTTTGTTGTCTGTTGTCTGTGGTTTTGAGCGAGCCTGTTCTTTTGCATTTGGACCTGGGCACTTTCAAGAATAGCCCTTTTACATAGATACCCCCTTCAGTTCTTTCAATCTATATATTGCACTCGAATAATCATTGGTCACTTGCATTCTTCGATACACTCCTTACTTTACCCATCTGTCCCGTGTACTGTAGGGCCATTGAGAGGACTGTTTCTTCGTGATGTCTTGGTGCTTTCCACCTGGTGTCGACGGCTTTGCCTGCTCTTAGCTTTTGTACCTGTTTCGCTCTCCAGAGCAGCCTTTCGCCCAGGGTAGCTACATACTAGGTACCTTGAAGGACCCCTCTCAGAGACAATCCTCTTTTTTGTTTAGGGTGATATATCCCCGATATGCAAACTTTTGTCAACTGCGATAGGTCGTCAGACCATATCGAGCTCAAGAAGGAGCATATCATTTGTGACTGTGGCATGCATAGGTGACGGATTGTACCACTCATAGCTGCTGAGCTTGTTGATGTATAAGGTGCAGAGGACAGTCATAGGGAGAGGGAAGAGGCGCCAGTGTCCATTTCGTTACAGAGCACTCTTGTCATCGAATTAATCTCGAGTCTCCCAGGTTTCTACGATCCAGAGCCTGTGCAAACCCCGCGTGTCAGCATATCCAAAGGCGCCGGAAGACCACCAAGTCCCCTGCAGCAGTGTTGGTGTTGGTCGGCTGTCCGTGGAGTCGGCCTGATCCGAACACTGTCAGTCAAAAGGCGCATCCACATCTCTCCCCGGTCGGGACAATCCGAGACTGGCATACGGAGTAGAACAACCACCAGTTTCTGAAGTGGAGAAGCTCACATCGTCCAGGGCACAACGGCGATCCCATGTGGTTTGGCATCAGTGGTGATAAATGCTGAACAGATTGATGTCTGGGGCCCTTGCCTTGGACAATACTGCATGTCACAAGGCAAATATCACTGTCGACCATATCAGAATCAGAATCAGAATCTCTTAGTCCGGCACAAGATTCATCCTCATCATCATCCTGTTGATATAACGCGGACAACATGACTTCAACGACAGTCACAGAGACCGGCGCTCCCGCAGGCCAAGTCAAGCTTCGGTCTGCAGAGGATGGAGTGCTCAACTGGAACGTCCGCAAGACGGAGGGTCTGCACGTTATTCCATCCTTCACCGACAAGGAAGCCGAGAGGACGTGGGCGAAGCAGCACATGGCCGCCGCCTTTCGAACGTTCGCCAGGCTTGGCTGGGCCGACGGTGCATCGGGCCACATCAGTCTGCGAGACCCAGTCAACCCGGACTGGTTCTGGATCAACCCTTACGCGAAGCACTTCGCCCAGATGAAAGCGAGTGACTTGGTGCTCGTCGACCACCACGGCCGCCCCGTGCAGCCCACGCCTCACAAGGTCAACGCCGCCGGCTTCATCATCCACTCCTCCATCCACCGCGCCCGCCCAGATATCCATGCCGCGTGCCACATGCACTCCCCGGCCGGCCGAGCATGGTCGACGTTTGGAAAGGGCATTGAGATGCTCAACCAGGGTGGGTTGATTCTTTTTTTTTTTTTTTTTTCCTGTCTGGGTGGACACACATGTCGAAATAGCGTCATCTGACTGACTGTGCCGTGAAACAGACACTTGCATGTTCTACAAGAACTTGGCCGTCTATGAAGGATTCGGTGGAATCGTGTTGGCTGAGGAAGAGGGTCTAAGACTCGCCGGGGCACTGGGCAAGGACTGTTGGAATTTGATTCTTCAGAACCACGGGTGAGTTTCTTCTCTTCTCTGACGTTCTTTCTATCGGCAGTTGGCTTATTTCGGTGCTTGAAGCCTCCTGACATGTGGCTCCACGGTGGACGAAGCCGCCGCATATTTCATCGCGTTGGAACGGGCATGTGAAAACCAGATCCTTGCCGAGTCGGCCGCAGCAAACGGCATCCCGAAGAAATTCGTGGGAAAAGAAGAGGCTGAGTACACGTGCAAGTGTACATCGACTCCAGGATGTGTGTATATGCAATTCCAGCCGGAGTATGACTTGACGGTGGAGCTTTCCAACGGTAAAGTGTTGGAATAGAGCAGATGATGCAGAATCAAGCAAAACCGTGCTGGCGATTTCCAAAATATATCATTGTCTCACCGCCTCGACTATAGCTGCTCCGAACTGATATGTATCTTCACTCTATGGCCGCCTAAGAAGTCTCTCGACGGAGGCAGAAATAACTTTTCGTTCCCCTCAAGCTGGAACGCCCTCTCATTCTCGAATCGATCCCGTTTGTTCGAAATTGCGTTGCGCTTCTGCTATCGTGGAATGAAACTGCCATGATCTCATCATCAAAACTACAGTGCAGCTCCTTGAGCCAGACGCTGGATCTTGTCTGCATTCACCGGAGAGATGGCTTTACCCGTTTCGAAAAACGACCTCACGTTCTCCATGGCTTCTCTGTAACTTCGCTGCCACGAGACGTCTGTGAGACCGCCCATGTGAGGTTGGATCATGACTCGATCGTTTCTGATGAAGTAAGGGCTAGTTGATATCGGTCAGCCAAATGATCGTTATAGAGATGGATGATGGCCGAACTTACTTGATGTTGGGCTCGTTGTGGAACACGTCGAGGCCAGCCCTGGTGACCTTTCCACTCTCCAACGCCTTGATCAGAGCGTCCTCGTCAATCACTGGCCCGCGGCAAGTGTTGATCAAGAAGACTCCGTCCTTCATTTTGGCGAACTGCTCGTGCGAGAGCATGCCTTTGGTCTTTTCGTTGAGGGGGAAATGAGGCGAGATTATGTCGGCTTCGGACAGCAGCTCGTCCAGCGAGGAGCAGTAGGTTGCGTCGTAAGCAGCCTCGTCCTCAGGCTCTAACCGTGTCCTTTGGTAATAGATGACCTTCATGCCGAAGCATTTCGCCTTGCGCGCCACGTGCTGTTGGAAGAGGTGTCAGTCAGATATCAGACCGACGCTGTCATGTCAACTGCTTGGAGGGATTTGATCGTGCTTTACCTTGCCAACGGCTCCCATACCGATGATCCCCAGCTTCATTCCACTGGGATCTTTGGTGGGCACCAGAACTCCATTCGTCATGCCTCTCCAGGTGCCCTTGGCGATGCTGCTTGCTCGGCCTTGCACGTCTCGCAAGATCGACAGGATCATCAAGATGGCCATATCGGCCGTCGCGTCGTTGACTGCATTGCGGCTATTGCAGAATAAGATGCCGTTGCGAGTCATCCAGTCCACGTCGAACTCGTTGTAGCCGGCGCTGGCGGAGCCCATGATCTTGAGATGAGGCGTCAGCGGCTTGAGGATTTCCTCGTCGAATGGCTCATATGCCCCTATCCCCATAAGGATCAGGATGGCATCAAAGGGGCCATCCGACTTGACCTTGTCGGCCAGGTTTTTGATCGTCGTTTTCCTGTCGCCCGGTGTGACCACCTGTATCATCATCAGTCAATCCCGGATGGGGCCTTTCAGCAAAGAGACTCACATGGACTTCGAACTTTTTCTCAAACTCCTTCAGGTAGTCCTCGCCGGCCCATTTGGGCGATGAGATGGCCACCACCTTTGGTTTACCGGCCGCCATGGTGTGCTGCGAGGACAACTTTTGTGGGCGAGCGCACAATGAATATCTCGTGTGTCCTCCCAATGTGGTTCTCCGTATATCTTGTGTTATGGCGTTGCTCAGGCTCAAGACTCAAGACTCAAAAGACTCAGGCTAGAACGTTTTGACGGGACGATCGTGACACTTATCAAGAAACATGCCCAAAGAAGCGAGTACTAAGGACAGACATCAGATCAATAAAGCCAGCCCGGGATGAACCGACCATGCCTGCAGGGCGTGGTCTCCTGAAGAAGACCGTTGGTCATTGGGATATCTTTCTGCCTTCGGATATTGCGTCGTCGATTTCCTCCCTACCTTGGTACATAGGTAAGGTATCTGGCTCCACCGAGCAGAACAGTCAACAACGGCGGCTTCAGACCATCGACATCTAGGGTCCATCGGCTTATCTTGGCCTCTTAGTATCGGGTTTTGGCCGGAATAGCCCGTTGGCTAATGTCAAGGGGAGATAATGGGAGATAAGGGGAAGAGTGGGGTTCTCGACAAGTTCCGCCCTGTCTTAGCAACTATCTCGGAAGCTCCCATACTTACTTGATCGGCCCCTTCGCCGGTTTGCTCTCCTCCTGCCAGACATCAGCCAACCTACAAGGGTCCAGTACTCCAGGAGCTGTCCCTTGAGCCTTGTCGTTGCCTGACTCAAACCCGTGCACCGCATGGGAAGTTGTTCCGGAGGGTAATGACTGATCCACAGTTCTCACGACCAGCAGGCGTACAACGTCGGCCCAGGGTCTCCCATGCCTGTGTCGCATGCCAACAGAAGAAACAGAAGGTATGAAGTGAAAAGTCATCTCACTGGTCATGGCTGCTTCCGGTGCTGATGCCCGTTGCGACAGTGTGACGGTCAGACTCCAGCATGCAGAAATTGTCTTCGCGCAAATAGAGGTTGGTCGTCGTCCCCTGTCCACAAATCTCCCGGCAATACTAGTAGCATGCTCAACCATTCCCAGTCTGCGTGAGTCAGGATCCCTCGACCAAACGCCGACATCCACGAGGCTACATAGAGTTCTTGGAGCAGCACAACTCCTCGCTCGAGAACCATGTCGCTTTCCTCGAACGCACCATAAGGGACAGCCGGCCTGACGTTGATCTGGACCTGCTTCAAAATGGCTCGGCTACATGGAATGGAAACGTTCGACAAGAAGACGGCAATGCTGTTGTCGCCGCGTAAGTCATCTCGTTCCTGGGCGAACCTTCGCTCTGGATTCCTGCTGACGATTGTCGTTTGGCAGGGCGTCAGAGGTCTCGGGCGACTATGCGCTTCAGACGAGCCCCTCGCAAGGCACTGCCTCCAATGCGAGTCCGTCAGAAGCCGTCACCACCGACCAGGCGACGGACGACTCGTCCAGTCTCGAGCTGTTATGCCTACGGTCGGCTGGAGCTGAACCACACTTTTTTGGCGCATCCTCGGGGTATTCATTCACCAAGATGTTCTCTGCCAGCCTGCGATCAGTCCGTGAACAAGCTCCTGGCTTGACCCTGTCCGGCATTGTGGAGAAAACCTGCGTGAAACGAACGACACCGACCCCGGCACCTTTGCCGAACAGACCCATTGTAAATATGTTGACGACGGCCTACTTCGAACAGGTGCATCCCCAGTTCCCTTTCCTGCACCGACCGACGTACGAGAAATGGGAGGAAGAGGTGCTGGCCGCTTCAGAGTCAGGAAAAACTCCCAATCCAACATATGCATTCTTCGTCTACGCGGTAAGTTCAGCCGTGTTTGCTCCTGTGACTCTGTGAGCATCTGGTCTGACACACTGCCTCCAGCTCTGTGCCGTAGGGGCCTTGACAGGCCCACTGGCTGGAGCTACATTACCCGAGGTAAGCTCGTTCGCGTGCCCAAGATGAAGGAGCCTCCTAAAACTTGACTAGGGTCTCTATGCAGCAGCAGAGAATCTGTTCGAGCATGTGATGCTACAAAACTCCCTGGAGTCTATCCAAGCAATCCTAGCTTGCGCAATGTACTCGCTCCGGTCGCCGGTTGGTGTTTCCGTCTGGTATGTTTGCATTCCTGTTAAGGCTGTCCGTGGCATTCGGATTCGTACTGACATCGAGGAGGATGCTCTCCGGCCTGGCACTCCGTCAGTGTCTAGAACTGGGGTTGCATCGCAAAATCCGCTGGTCTAAAATGAAACCCGATCTCGTCAAAGATGAGCTTCGCAAAAGAGTGTTCTGGTGCGCCTACAACCTGGATCGAGCGGTGGCAATCACACTCGGTCGTCCTGTGGGCATTACTGACCACGATATTGATGTCGAGGTAATGCAGTCACCTCTTCCTACTGGTCTTCACATGCTGACTTTGGGCCATAGTTTCCTTCGGATATCAATGACGAGGACATCACTATCGATAGACTCCTCCGAGAGCCTCGACGATCACATACTGAACCTGCCACGACTGTATCTTCTGCGATACACACTATCCGTCTCCGCCAGCTTTGGGCCAAGATGCAGAGCGTGGTATATACTCAGGTGGGGGCAGAAGCGTCCATAGGCATCGTGGAAGCGATGAAAAAGGAGTTCACCATGTGGCTGGAGTCGGCGCCGGAGCAACTGGCCTCGAATCGGATGAACAACAACGCCTTCGCGTCGAGGGAGTGGTTTTCACTCATGTACCACCATTCCATCCTTCTCCTCTACCGCCACCGACTGGTCCAGCCTCGTGGCGTGTCGACATCCGCGTCGGTCTTCACCGATTGCGCCCATTCCTCCCAGGCAATCTGCATGATCTACAAACAGCTGTACCTGAGCCAGCGCCTTAACGACACATGGGGAGCTCTGCACGTGCTCTTCCTGGCCGGAGTCACCTTCTTGCACTGTCTATGGTCAAGTCCCGAGACTAGGGCGGCATACCGACCGGATAAGGTGTCGACCATCTGCACGTCAATCATGATAGTGCTGGCCGTCATGTCTGAGCGCTGGACGGCGGTCGAGGCCTATCGTGATTCCTTTGAGATGCTCTCCACCGCTACGCAGACGATGCTGTATGAGATCTCAACGGCCTCGGCGGCCTCGACGGCCCCGAGCGGGCCTGTGATATCTTCAGAAGGGGGCGATCAGTTTACAGACTACCTGTCGTATATGACGGAAATCGGCATGTGCGCTACGGTGGAAGAGTTACTTTCAACCATGGTGGAATAGGCGTAGCCCTGATGCGTAGATGATGAAGCATAGATGAAGTCTTACGACAACGAACACCCGATATCCCAAGTCATGCCAACATCATTTCCGGCATACTATTGTACTCTCCACTCCATTTCTAGGCGGCTTCACCCACACAGCCAAACAGACCAAGGGCCCTCACCAAGGCATTAATCTCCCTTTGCTTAGGCATTAAGGCGCCCTGCCCCACCTCTATCTGAGGCCTTACCGATCCAGTTGCTGATAAGAGTTCGGATCATTCCGACTCAAATACTGAAACTCCAGTGCTTCATACTAGTAGTAGGAGATAAGGTTAGAATGACTCCTGGTACGAATTTGCCGCCTACAGCCTATGTGATGAGCCCGGTACTACAGAACCTCCCAGATTCGGAGATGTAACACCATACCCCGGGGTACCAAACAACATCAATTTGGGACAGTAACGAGAGCGTTATCAATCATCAAGTAGCCATGTCGACCACAGCGACCAAGACATCGGCCGAGAACGGCCAAGTACCGTCGAAAATTGTGGTGGAAACGGCAAAACACGACCAACACGAAGACGGTGCCTTGGTTGAAGCCGACGGCCAGGAGGACATTGAAATCATCGGCAATCTCTGGACAATTCCCACCTTCGAGGACAAATATCTGGAGAGACAATGGGCCAAGGAGCATATGGCCGGGGCCTTTCGCATTTTCGCGAAGCTGGGCTATACAGACGGGGCAGGTGGTCACATTTCGCTGCGAGACCCTGTCCGACCCGACTGCTTCTGGATCAGTATGTGAATCTCCGACACCGTGCCCACGAGTGTAGGGGGGACACAGTGCTGATGCTGGACATCTGCAGACCCATATTCCGTGCATTTCGGCATGGTCAACGCCAGCGATCTGATTCTCGTCAATGATAACGGCCGACCGCTGCTTCCGACAAACCACAAGGTCAACAAGGCCGGTTTTATGATCCACGCTGCCATTCACAAGGCCAGGCCAGATATCAACGCAGCAGTTCACACGCACTCGCCCTACGGACGGGCGTGGTCGGCGTTTGGGAAACCGATCGAGATGCTGAATCAAGGTGAGACAAGCTGAGCGTAGTCGCTACAAAACTGAATCCTTATTGACCTGCTTTCCTCGGTGCATAGACTGCTGTTATTTTTACAATGATCTTTCCATCTACGAAGGATTTGGAGGCGTCGTCTTTGGCCGAGAAGAGGGTCAAAATATCGCGAAAGCGCTGGGCCCGCGAAAGAAGTGCGTGATCTTGCAGAACCACGGGTACGTCGCAGTGCATGCATGCTTGGATCCCTTGTCGAGCGTCTGAGGGTCGAGTACTCGTGTTCAATTGCTGACGTGGCTAACAGACTCCTGACATGCGGTGGTACCGTCGACGAAGCGGCCGCCTTCTTTCATGCCTTGGAACAAGCTTGTCAAGCTCAACTGCTCGCCGAAGCTGCAGCCGCCAACGGCTGTCAGAAGAGGATCATTGGCGACGAGGAAGCAGCTTTCACGAAAGAGAGGGCCGGAACTGCGGAGGTTTTGTTCACGCAGTTCAAGCCCGAATACGAGATGATATTGAAGGAGACTGGAGGCGACTTCCTCCAGTGATACCGGTTCACGACGAGTTAGGGCCACGGTTGAAAAGATATAACATTTTGTAGTAGATCACAGAAGAAAACACTGTATTATACCTATGAATTGCCTTGATTTTTGTTGTCCTATCCTGGGGATGCAGTAAGAAATGCCCTATCTCGAAGATGCAGCTAATGCAAGTTTGCCATTTGGTCAGTCTTTCGATAAACAACACGCAACCTCAACAAGCATGGATCCTACAACCGAGCAAGTAAACCATTGGCACCAATGATGGAAAGATGTTGCCTCGAAATCTCCTTGATCGATGCACAGCTGATGATCCAGTCATTAGTTGAAAGCATGGCAGAGGTCAACATGGAAGCACTCACCCAGCCAAAGCCATGGCTGTCCTGAGTTCCTCTTCTAGTGTCTTGATGGCCCATTCGACACCCTCCTGGCCATTGTACTGTGCATCCTTGTCAACAAAGTCTTCACGGAGAGAAAGGTCGGTCACACATACGGCAAGACCCCAAAGTGGCACGCGACCCATGAAGCAGACATCAGCACCCAAAGCAAGCGCTTTGAAGATATCGGTACCTCGACGAATGCCTCCATCAATGCCGACCTTGATACGCCCTTTTGCGGCAGCCGCGCACTCTGGCAGGGCATCGATGGTGGCTGGAACGCCGTCCAGTTGTCTGCCTCCATGGTTCGAGACAATGACGCCGTCGAGTTCATACTTGATGGCGAGCTGGACATCCTCGGCGCAATAGACTATGATGTCGTTAACTCTCGGCTGCTCCAATAAAATATCCCGGGCTGGCTAGCCACTTACTTCCTTTGAGCCAGATCTCTAGCTTCGTGTTGGTCTTGACCCACGGAATCACCGATTGCCAGGAGTTGCTCGCATCGCGTCCGGAGTGCTTGTATGACCGGACCACAGTGGCCTTTCCCGAGGCCAAGCTGTTCGCGTCCATTGAGTCCGACAGATTCGGGAGCGACATGGTTTCGGGTAGCTCGAACTTCACCCCGGATCGCTCATTGATTCGCTTCCCCAGCACCGGTGCATCGACTGTGATGAAGAGAGCCTTGTAGCCCGCAGCTGTTGGCCATCTCAGATTTGACAGTCACGAATAAGATTTGGTGGGCAGCCACTTACCCTCGGCTCGCTTGATCCAAGCCAGACTTGTTTGGCGATCCTTGAGAATACTCAGCTGGAAGGCATACGGATTGTCGCCGCCTTCGCGTCTGACGTCCTCCAGTGACACGGTAGAATAGGTCGAAAGGCCCATGGGGATGCCCATCTTCGCAGCTGCTCTAGACGTCGCTTTTTCGCCATCTGGATGTGCGAGGCAATGCATCGCTGCTGGTGCGAAGCCAAAAGGCAGCGGCACCTTTCCTTGCAGTTAGCTGTGCGACTCTTGGTCAGGGTGGGTTCCCCTATATCTGCTATACAAACACAGTACCTTCTGACCCATGATCGTGATAGAAGTGTCGATGTTCGAAACGTCGGATAAGATCCGTGGTCGGATCTTGAATCTGTTAAAGGAGCTTTCGTTGTCGCGCAGTCTGCTTTGCTCTCAGTCTCGCGATGTCCACGAGCACGGCATATACAAGAATCCTCACGTAAGTTGGTCCATCGATCCTCCATTATAGTAATCTGGACAAAGGTTTTAGTTACAGGTGCTAGACATTTGAGTCTGCTGAGATGCGGCCCATACCTCGAATCATTGGAGCCATCTTTCTGGACGCGGCCTCCTTAAGGTCTGCTATCGTCATGACGATGGGCTCTGGGGTTGAGGGAGCCATCTTTGCAGTATAATGCCGCTGTACGTCGCTTTGTCAATCAAAAAGGTACAATAGACGCTGTAAGTGTCCTGTGACAGAAGGCAGAGACAATTGTCCGTTGAAAACAAGCCTGGCACTCTGCACATTAGGGTTTCAAGCATCGAAGCCCATCACAGCAGGTGGATGAGTATTGTTTGTTGCAACGGCATACTGGCCTAGACCACGCTCTACAAGGACAACAGAAAGGCGTGGTTGTCGAAATTGAATGCTGCTTCGGCTCAACCCGATCTTCGTCTCAGTCTCACGGACTCGATTTCGCGCCCCCTTAATCGGCCGGGAAGACAGGCATATCCACTTTTCCTTTGCTGGAAGTATTGGGTGTGGCGACTTGTTTATTTCAGCCTGCTCCATATATGAATTGAAAAGAGTTCATGAGACGTCTGCTTCTAGGTGATCAGGATGCTCTGAACATGCTGCAAAGCCCCTCGCTGTCTCGTTCCAGTCACTCTGTTGTCCCACTCTCTGCAACCACGTCCCAGCAGGACGGTAAAACCGTACGTTATGGTTGAATACCGGTCAACAGCCAAGCCGAGGGATGTCCCAGTCGACTATTGTAGACCAATTAAGGTCATATGCATTGGTGCTGGCATGTCAGGTATTCTGTGCGGCATCAGATTCCCTCAGAAGATTCCCAACCTCGACTTGACCATCTACGACAAGAACGATGAAGTTGGCGGAGTATGGTACGAGAACAGGTATGATTCGTTCCCAATGCCACTTCTGTACTTGGCTGATTCTTAGAAGATATCCTGGTGTTACTTGCGGTATGTCGTGCTGGGATGGGCTCATTCTCCTCTCTTGAAAGGCAGGACTTGATTTAGTGCTGACAGTGATCCGTCTCAGACGTGCCTTCGCATTGCTTTCAGTACACTTTCGCCAACAATCCACACTGGACGAAATTCTTTTCTCCCGGGGAAGAAATTGGCAACTATTTCCGCACGGTTGCCGAGAAGTACGATGTCAAGAAGTACATCCGTTTCGGACATCTCTTCAAATCAGCTCGCTGGCTGGAAGGCAAGGCACAGTGGGAGATCAAAGTCGTCCGGCTAGTTGACAACCTGGTGAGTGACTCGACCAACAAAGTGGATGAGTATGTATCTGACTCTTCTGGGTATCTAGGAGTTCACCGACCACTGCGACGTGTTCGTCAAAGCTACTGGTAATTTGAACAAATGGGCATGGCCTAAGCTGCCCGGTCTGGAGAAGTTCCAGGGCGACCTAATCCACCCGCAGAACTGGAAGGACTCTTTCGATCCAACAGACAAAAGAGTTGCAGTGATTGGATATGGAGCAACCGCTGTGCAACTGGTTCCTGCCATCCTTCCCAAAGTCAAGTACATGGACCACTATGTCCGAGGTCAAGCTTGGATTTCGCCAGCCGGCTACGTGGCCGCCGATGCGAGAAAGGCCAACAACCCAGACCTTCACAACTGTGAGTGGAGTCTTGAGTTATGTGATTGTCCAGGACACTGCTGATCAATACTCTGCCAGTCGACCACCCGGTGGAAGAAAGAGAACAATTTGCCAGAAATCCAGAAGCATACCTGCGGTATCGGCATCAGGTCGAAGACTTTGTCAACCAAGCCCAGTTGATCCACTGGGTTGGCTCCGAGATGAACAAGACCTTTTCAGCTGCCACCGAGGAGTCGATGGCCCGAAGGCTAGCCAAGAAACCCGAGATTTTCGAGGCCTTGAGGCCGAAATATCCTGTGGCCTGCCGTCGGGTCTCCCCTGGACCGAAATACTTGGAATGTCTGGTGGAGGACAAACTCAACTTCATTCCCAAAGGGGTCCGACGAGTAACGGAAACAGGACTCGAAGACGACGATGGCGTTCTGCGTGAAGTCGATGCCATCATCTGTGCTACTGGGTTTGATACGTGAGTGTGCATGGAGCTCTTAGGTTGGGGTCAGAGCTGACTTACTGTTAACAGGTCACTGAAAATGGATGATCAACCTATCTACGGCCGAAACGGTGTTTCACTCGATGACTTGTGGGACGACGAGCCTGGTGCATACATGTCCATCTGCCCACCGCAGATGCCCAACCTTTTCCTCTTTGTTGGTCCGAACGGCGCCCCTGGAGCCGGATCCACCATCCACATGAGCGAGTGTGCGTGCGACTACATGGTGAAATGTATTCAGAAGCTGCGAAAGGAAAACCTTCGCTGGATGATGGCCAAGTAAGATTTCTGAATTTCCCCCTGTCTAGGGAATCCAAGAACTAATCACAATTCTTTCACAGGGATTCGGCCGTCAAGGCATTCATGAAACAGGTCGATCGGTATTTCGAAAAGACCACTTTTGCATTCACGGTAAGAGATGATTCTATTTTGTCTTCGCCTTACACACTAGGATCTTTTGGCTGATGGGATGTCTTGTTCAGTGCAACAACTGGGCGAAGAGAACCAGCAACGGCAGGATGATAGGCTACTGGCCTGGCTCTGCTGTGCACCAGCGGCAAACCCTCGCCACACCTCGATTCGAAGACTTTGAGTATTCATCATTCGACGGGGATGACGAAGAAGACTCCCTAGCATGGATGGGTAACGGCATGATCATGGCGCAGACGGAGGGCCGGTCCACCACGGACTATCTCGACGAGGTCGACATTCCCGCTCTCCCGGAGTCGGTGGCGACGTTGTCCATCTCGGCACCGTCGACTCCATTCTCCATTGTGGAAGAAGTGTCAGTTTCAACAGATAGACCATGAGCCACGGAGTAGTAGTCGTCTTCGAGTGCAGGTTGTGAAAAGCATGACATGGTCAGGGGTAGCATCCCAAACACAATCATCATCTAATCAAGCTCACAAGCCATCTAATTGCATATCTCAACCTTGAAGAATCCGATATGGGCTCATGGCCAGGTATAGTCTTAGAAATGCCGATAGTTGTGAACATAATTGTGTGAGACTTGGGCCCTTTTTCATCGGCGAGCTTCGACCCTCGACTCTTATCAATACCTACCTATCTAGACATGCACTTGTGATCTGAGAAGCCACCACGTCAAGAGGATCATTCCGGTGCGTTTGATCATGGCCAGGTTCCGCCAGCGTCGGCGTGGTCCTGGGCGGGGGGTGCCACTGTCTAGGTTAGAGAAGAGGTGAGGTAGGAGAGTAGCAGGATAGGTTGGTAATCCGAAAGGGGCCATCCGAGGACTCTGGGTGGGTCTCGTTATCTATACCCCCCAAGCGGTCATAGAATGGATACCACCAACTTGAAGTGAAGAAACAGTCTATCCTCGTCCCGCCTTCTGGTCGGAATGGTCCGTATGGGGCACTCGGCACCTCGACTCTGCCATCTGATTGATTGGGAGCGCTGGTTCTCCACCCCCGACCAAGACGCATGGCACGGAGCAGTCCATCTGCAATTGCTTATGGTTTACGCGTTGTCTTGCTCTATCTCAGCAACGTCGCAGTTCTTAGATCTGGAAAACTCCCATAGCCTCGCGGAAAGGGGTTGAATGGCAGGCAAAGAAAGATAAGAACGCGCCTCGTTTACGGTTCAGGCCGACTTCAATCTCGACCTCAGACTCGGTCTTATCTTGCGGTCTATCTCCAACCTCGCAAGGGCCGGTCGTGAAGGATATAAGGTGTGTATTCATGTCTAACGTCGACGATCTATACCATCAGCAGCGCCCTTCCTTTGAGAACAACTCTTGCTGTTGGTTGAGTTGAGAAGCTCCTTGTCCAAAGTTCAACGAAACAAGACGACCCTTCGTCGTCAACACTCCTCATCATGTCGATCACACAGTCATACGAGATGCCGTTCAAAGACACCACCAAGCACATGATGAAGGACTCGGAGTCTCAGCTGGGCGAGCCGGTCAGCAAAGTCGACAGCGACGAAGTCGGCCAAGTCGGCGATGCTCGACACATGGGCGTCTTTGGCAAGGCCGCTGCGGCCGGTGGCAAGCAATACCGTGTGCTCGGGCGGTGGAAGACGTCGTTCGTCTTCATCCACACGGAAGTCGGTATCGGGATTCTCAGTTTGCCATCGGTGCTCAAGACCCTCGGCATGGTGCCGGGCATCATCGCCATCCTGGGCATCGGCGCTCTCGCGACCTGGACGGCCTACCTGTACCTGCTCTTCTGGCGCAAGTACCCGCACATCGACAACCTCCCGGATGCCATGAGGGTGCTGGGTGGGAAGCCGCTGGCCATCATTGGCGCCATCGGGCTGATCATCAACCTGTCGTTCGCCTGTTCATCGGCCGTGTTGACCATGAGTATCGCCTTCAACACCCTGAGTCACCACAGCATGTGCACGGTGGCCTTTGTTGGCTTCGCCGCGCTCGTGTGTTACGTCTTGTGCATGCCGCGGACTCTGAACTTCGTCTCCTATTTCTCAGGTATGTACGGCCCGGGTAGGATTTCGGGTTCGGCATTCATCCGTCTCCAATGCATACGGACCATAGACTAATCATTCATCACGCGCAGCTCCCGCAACTCTGGCCATCATCGTCCCCATCTTCATTGTCATCGGGTCCCTGGTGCACGGCAAGCCACAGTCGGCGCCCGACGTGTGGTCGCCTGACATGAAGGTCGTCGGCAACCCCAACTTCCGCGAAGCCTTCTCTGCCATTCTGAGTATCTTCTACGCCTTCGGTGGCCGACAAGCCTTCCTCACCGTCGCGGCCGAGATGGAGAACCCTTCCAAAGACTTTGTGCCGGCCCTGTTCATCCTGCAGAGCTTCGCCATCCCCATGTACTTGGTGACGGCTGCCGCCATCTACGGCCTGGCCGGACAGTACACCACGTCTCCAGCGCTGGGAAGTGCGCCCCTCATCCCGGCCAAGGCAGCCTACGGGATCCTACTGGTGACGCTTTTCAACACCGGTCTCTTCTACTCTCACGCTGGCATCAAGTATCTCTACGTCTTCGTCATGCGGGACGCCCTCAAGATCCCCGAGGAGATGACCCTCAACAACGTCAAGACCTGGAGCATCTGGGTCACACTCGCCACGGCCTTTTGGGCTCTGGTCTTCATCCTGGCCAACGCCATTCCTTCCTTCAGCAACATCATTGGCGTATCGTCCGCCCTGCTGGTCGGCTGGTTCTCCTTCGGCATTCCGGGTATCTGCTGGTTGCATCTCAACTGGAAGACCCAATTCCTTGGGTGGAAGAACACTTGCCAGGCCATCCTCTGCTACTCCATGATCGCACTGTCCCTGTTCCTCAACAGTGCAGGCATGTGGGCATCTATCACCTCGTTGATCAAGCTCTTCAACAGCCCTAACAGCACCGTCCATGGGTCTTTCACATGCGCTGACAACAGTCTGTTCTGAGCTGGCTGGCTGCTGCTGCTGCTGCTGCCGCCGTGTGGGCTTTTTATAGAAACGAAGAGGGCGGCTTGAATGAATTCATCTACTTCGAAGGAGCTCGTGCATGTCACACAAGAGGTGTCAAGGCCCGTGCGTGGAAGTCGAGAGTGTCTTGTTCGCATAAGCAAGCCGCGGAATCTTGACTTGTAGCCCTGTACCCTTTTCGGTGCTTTTAGATATGAATTCTGGTGTGGTATTGAGCTGGCAAAGCGAGCTGCACCGTACACGTAAACATTGAATTCTCTTTTCTGTTCTACTAAGCACAGCGCACTGGATACTAAGACCTGCAGAATCTTGCGTAAGGAGCGGACATACGGCCTTGATTTCAATTGTGCCAGTCAGTCCAAAGTTATGCAACAAGATTTGACCAATTGATAGTATTTTGGAACTATAACCCGACATCCAGGCGCGTTACTATTGAGTCAACCTTTCTGAAGATCCGCTATCTAGTACTGTCGTATCGCGTATGCGCTCAACCCACCATGGAAACCAGCACCTACAGCCGACTCCTCAGGCGTTGGGGGGCTTCCGCCGTCTGCAGATCAATGTCAACGTCCGGCCACAAGCCCATGAGGCCCTGGGGCGAAGTGTCCAGCACGGGATCCCTCTCAGGCTTGGGCACCGTCCAGACAGAGCGGAACTCGTCGAAATTCTTCTCTCCACCCTTCAGCGAATCCCAGGAACTGCTGCCCTCCGGGTACGCGCCCAGCATGGTGAATCCGGACAGCGGGACCTGGTCGAGGGCGGCGCGCGGGTCTTGGGCGTCAATACCATGCCCGTCGCCGGGACTCAGCAGGGTGAAATCGGCGCGGGGACTGGTGTTGTACGTCTTGTGCGCCGTGCCGGCCGGCAGCAGGAAGACGTCGCCGGGGCGGGCCTCGATCTCGACGCCGCCTTGCTCGCGCGCGGGCCCGTACGTGTTGTCGTCCATGTCGAGCGACGTGTCGCCGACGCCGAAGCGGATGGTCGCCGTGCCCGACAGCACCACCATGCACTCGTGCGCGCTTGAATGGTAGTGCGACCGCTGCGTCTCGCCGTACCGGTAGATCCATTGCACACGCCATCCGTTCTGGCTGAACAGGTCGTAGAACTTGCTGGCCTTGGGCTCGATCTCCAGCCCGCGGTAGTGCAGGAGCGGGTAGGGCGAGTTGGGCATCAGTGCCGTGGGCGGCAGCCGGTATTGCGTGACTTGCATTGTGTCGGACTGGCTTGTTGTCGATGGGAGATGGTAGATTTCAGATTTTGTGCTATATAGTGCTTCAATGGATAGCGGATGTATATAATGTATCATGTAGGCAGAATATAGATGGTATACTTCCTCAATGGTCTTTACCAGCCGTTTCTTCACGGCGTCAATTCGCTTTGATATGCTGTCGCCCTTGAAAGCCCCTCTCCCCTCCCCGGCCCCTCTCGTATCGTGTATATCCGCCAGATATAACATGTAAGGGTGGAATTCTCGGCTACCCATCTCTCCGGAAGTGCGTACGTGCACTACCGCCCTGGGCTGTGACAACAATAGCTAGCTAGCCTTTGCTACCTAGGTAGGTAGGTAGGTAGGTATTATTCAAACCCGGTGGCTGAGGCCAGGGGTGTTCGGATGGATCCGACATGCCCACTACTGACTGATAAGGCTCGTCAGGCTGCGTCTTGGGTGATTACGGCGACGGACCCATCGGTTCAACCCGAATGGGAAGTTGGGAACATCCGATTCAACTTCTCTCCTCGGATCCGGGGAAGATTCAACGGACGACTTGTTTGACTCCTTATCAAGGATCCAGGGATATAGTGCCACAATGGGTTCTGTTCGTCCATCATTGGCCACCACCACATCGATGACTACCATAGGTACTCAATGAGTTGTGACCGAACGCGTCAGTGGGTAAACATTCCGTGACTCGGTAACTGCCCACACGAATTGCTTCTCGGCGCGAACCAACAATTTCGGTTCTTCATCCTACAAGATCGTGCCATTTCTGATATTCGAGGACCACGGTTACGAAGGGTGTCAAGAGATCAAGATGAGCTCATTAGCGCAACCCAGCGCCATCTTCCACCGCTCGCTCAACAAGAACTACGAAAAAGCCGTTGGCGGCGATGGCATTTACATCGTCGCCCCTGATGGCTCTCGAACGCTCGACGGCAGCAGCGGCGCCGCCGTCTCCTGCTTGGGCCATGGACACAAAGCAGTGATCGATGCCATCGTTGAGCAAGCTCGCAAAATGGCCTTCGCGCACACGTCCTTCTTCACCAACAATCCAGCAGAAGAGCTCGCCCAGTTGCTCATCGACCAAAGCGACAACGCATTCACCAAAGTCATGTTCCTCAGCTCTGGCTCAGAAGCGGTCGAGTCGGCCATTAAATTGGCCCGCCAGTACCATGTCTCACGCGGCGAACCGAAACGGAGCAATTTCATCTGCCGAAAGTACGCGTACCATGGTAACACGCTGGGCGCCCTTTCCGCCGGGTACAATCCACCAAGGAGAGAGACGTTCGAGCCGCTCTTGTCTCCAGCATTCCACCACGTCTCTCGCTGCCTCTACCCCCAGGATGGCAGGGAAGGCGAGAACGAAGATGCGTACGTCGACCGTCTGATCCAAGAGTATGAAGACATGTTCACAGCCCTCGATCCGTCATCTGTTGCCGCCGTTCTGATAGAAACTATGGGAGGGGCGACGCTCGGCGCCGCGCCCGCTGCACGAGGATACCTGGCCCGCCTGAGAGAATTGTGTGACCAGCACGGGGCGCTGTTGATCTTTGACGAGGTCATGTGTGGTATGGGTCGGGCAGGAACACTGCACGCCTGGCAGTCACTGGGCAATGTGGCGCCAGACCTGCAGACGATCGGGAAGGGTTTGGGGGCAGGATACCAACCGATCTCCGCGATCCTGGTCGGACGGCAGGTCCATCAAGTCATACAGTCGTCACAGGATAAGTATCCTTTTGTCAGCGGTCACACCTACCAAGGCCACGCGATCGGCTGCGCTGCTGCACTGGCGACCCAGCACACAATCATCAAGGATGATTTGCTTGCCAACGTGAGACAAATGGGAGATCTCTTGGATCGGGAGCTCAGGAAGCGAGTGCCCAAGTTGAAGGAGATTCGGGGGCTCGGTCTGTTCAAGGCAGTCGAATTTGCGACACAGCCCGATCAACGGATTGCCGCAAATATAGCGAGCACCTGTCTCACCAATGGGCTGGCAGTGTATCTGTGTTCGTCGGCGGTGGATGCGGTCCTGTTTGCTCCGCCGTTCATCATCACAGAGGAAGAGGTGCACCAGCTCGTCGACATATTTGTGGCATCGACGAACCAGGTGCTTCAAGAAAAAGGCATATAAAAGTAACAAGTTAAATCAGGCAACGTATCTCACATCTCTTTACTTACCTCCTCCTCCTCTTCCTCCTCCTCGACTCCCATCGCTCGCACGAAGTCCCCTTTCTCAAAGCGTGCAGAACAAAACAGCCCTGAGGGCAGGATCATCGCCATAGACCAGCAATGCTTGATGTCGGGGTTGATCTTCCACGCAACCGTATCTCTCCGCCAGGTCTGTTACATGGCGCCAGGCCCGTTATCTCACCATATCTTGTCAGCTTGGACATTCGGATGCATTTCCCGGATCGATGTGATGCACGTTTCAAGGGACGATGTCAACTGGACAGTCCCGGTGGCTACAAGCTCATACAAATATACCACAGCCTCCATCTCCGATTGTTCACGCCTCACCAAGAATACATCGACGCTGGTCCGGTGCGTTCCGGTGCGGAAGTGTAGTAGATATTCGATCAGATATGCGGCGACGGGTACGTATACATGTTCAATCATCTTCGCAAGCGACCTTTCCATGGATCTGCGTTGCTAGAGACGGATGATTGCAAGACGACACTGAGAGGTGAGACCACAGTTGGGACCACAGTTTTGGCAGTTGGAAGCTGGGGATGAGGAGAGAATGAGGGCGTATTCCCGGTCAACTGATAGCATCGCCCTGGTAAACAATATATTGAAGGCAAGGGAGTGAAGTGCACGATGTACCAGGAGATAAAGAAGAATCGCTCCAAAAGCGGCGGCACTGACTGAACTGGAAAATCGCTTCATTCGTTCGGAGGATAATTCATTCATGCCGCTTTTAAGGACTGACCCGGCTGGCGGCTATACATTATTAGGGCGGCAGCTTACAAACCCCTGCGATCTCGGTCATCAGACGTAAGGCGGATTCTTGGTTGGTACAATCTCACCAAGGCAAATTGCTCTCGGAGCAGTGGTTCGCTACAACACTCCTACTACCAGTATTATCTTGTCCCGGAATGGCTACGGTACACGATCAGTGGCATCGTGGAAGACCCGAAACTTGGGGCAATGTCGGTAGTCAGACCATGTATTCGTGCATTGCGCTTACGACAGAGGGGCGTTCAGCCCTGAGTTTGACATCGTGGATTACTATTGCTCCGATTACTCATGTCTGCCGTTGATTTCTACAGTGATGGTGACGGCGACGGTGGAACTTCCATTTCCGTGAGAGTAGATATGTATATATATATCCCATGTGCATGACATTGGCTTTTGGAAGAAGTCTGCTGTTAGGGAAACAGTAAAATATATTATCCTCAGGAAATATCAACATTTGCTTCAAGGTGTCTTCATCCTAGACACTGCACCAATACTTTCCTCACCTTCTCGTGCTACTTTGTACTATTGTACAATCCCGCTCGCAGAATGACCGATACTACCCAGATCTACGGCCTCACGGCTCTACCTGCGGACCAGACGCTACAGACACCCAAAACGGCGAGCCCTGCCCCGGTGGAAATCTCATCCTTACAGCCACCGGAGACGCCTCTTGCAACGCGCGTCACGGCGTACGCAAAGTCGAAGCTCCATCCGGACACATATCGTCACAGCCTGCGCGTGTACAGCTACGGCTGTGCCATCGCACGGCAATGCTTCCCGGACTTCGAGCTAACCCCGGGCTCGACGTTGGAAGAGACTTGGTTCTTGACCGCGATACTGCATGACATTGGAACGAGCGCCGAGTTTCTGACCACTACCCGCCTCAGCTTTGAGTTTTGGGGAGCCTTCCATGCCCTGCAGCTCTTGCAGGATCCCACGATTACAGACGATCCTCAAGACCATCACCATCATCACGATGACAGTGGAGAGGGTAGAGGAGCGGCGGCGGCGCCGCGAGAACAAGCGGAGAGCGTGGCAGAAGCCATTATTCGACACCAGGATATCCAGGACCAGGGAAACATCACGTTGATCACGCGCCTGATTCATTTGGGCACCTTGCTCGATAATATAGGGGCCGGCGCCGAGCTGGTCCATCCTCGGACCATTGAGAATGTCGTACGCCAGTATCCTCGCCCAGGCTGGAGCGGATGTTTCAAGAACACCGTGATGCAGGAGAAGAGCGTGAAACCCTATGCAATGGTCAGTCGTATTGAAGGGTTTGAAGAGCTGATCGAGAAGAACGGGGAGCCCAGTGGACTCATGGGCAAGTTCGACTAATGAACGGTCATGACGCAAGAGACCTTCCGTCTCGGACAAGCTCAGAGTAGTAGCATGAGTGATGCTCGGGTACAGGAGATCCTTCTTATAAAGAAATGCCGTGCCGTTTCTGGAGTGCTTTTGTCTTGCTACAAAAATCTGAATTCCTTGGTGGCCGCGTTGGCAGTAGTATCCCAGGCCATTTTGTCCTGGATCAACAGCCTTGCTATGCGGAAACGGGAAGTACCTCATTCCTGATACGAACCATATAACCGGGTAGTAAGATAGATGGTGGACTGTTTGGCTGTCATCAAGCTGTGACTGGCGTCCTGGCGGCTGACATTTGATCGCAGCATCCAGGTGTCCACTAGACAACCTCGCTTGATGGAAACAACATCCTCCACACCAAGACAATGCCCAGCTTCATGGCGTCTCTTGGAAGCAAGGCCAAGGCTGATGTTGAAGCATCAAGCCTTGTTTTGGAGCCAATGTTCTTGCGTATCAGGCCGGACCATGAGCAAGAATGTGCCCAATGCCAGGCGACAAACAACGCCTGTGGTAGAGCGACCTGGTTTCATTGCCAGAAGATTTTATCTCGCTCTTGCCAGGCTCGAGGGAGGTGGAGAGTAGGCCCGAGATAACACCGGATCATGTTCGGCATGGCGAAGGGACTGCAGCAAAAGAATAGGTACGTAGTCATATGCAGATTGGAGGCAAAGTTTGATATGATACAGCTTCTAAGATCTTATGCAGACACCGCAATGCCGCCCCCGGCATAACATGGACGCAAACTTGTTCGTAGCTGGTAGGTAGGCAGCAAAAAGAAAACGAGGCGTGTATTCTATCGTCAGCTGGGGCTTAGCATGGGCAACAAGAGCATTATTGATGAACCATCGACTGACATACATTTCGATTACCCGAGAGTGAGCCCAGTGTGGTGAGGACTGGACCAACTGCAGGGAGGCTGCCTGGCTGGCGAGCTTTTAGCACGGTGGCAGTGCAAAAGGCCCTGGCCAATGTTTGCTCCTTCGATTGGATGGAAGCAACTCAACACGCAGTGAGCTGGGGAGGCCTATGACCAAAGGGCGGGGCACGGGTCGAGTTGAGTTGTTTTTTCTCTTTTTCTTGCCTGTCAGATGAAACGGTAGCCGCTGAGCCAGGCAAAAGAGATGTTCAAGTTCAAGGCCATGATGATGTACTTCTAAGAGCGAGGCGGCAATGGCAAGCTGTTGGGAGAGATCAAGCAACACAAGAGGAAGCTTAGAAAGTCGAGATTGCAGAATAGAGACTAGCGACTAGTACAGGGGGGCGCAGCGAGGATGGATCCCTCGAATCTTTAGGGGACGGATTTCCGACATGGAAATCACAGTATTATTACTGTGATATTGTTGTTACCCCAGGTACCATCGGGCACTGCTTAGTAACTTTAGGTATTTAGTGGCACGGAGGAGGTTATCTGTAATACTACTAGTACCCTAGAATGATTACTAGCACTTTCAGGTACTAGTGCCAAGCATATTGCTTGCCGTTGCTTGGCTAAATAGCTCAACTAGAATCTAGCTTGCTCGGATCAGGCATTACCACTGACGGTGTTGTACTAGTGAACAATCCGTACTAGGCACTGCATTCCAGCAATCCACCGTCCTGCGCCCTCTAGGATCGCCATCAACTCACCTACAGTGCACTGTTGACTGATGACAACTCACCCCAGGTCCTTGTAGCATGCTCCTTTTAGTCTCTTCTCCCTTAACCAAACAACGACGGCACTACAGTTCGCCTCGTTTCCTCTGTATATTCTTTTTCCGCTCTCTATGCATTTTCTCGACTGAACCCTCCGCGCATCTATACCTCCCCTGCACGAGTGTTCACCCTCCTAGACATCTGTGTTGTTGGTCCCTTCTTTGCCCAATTCCATGGCATATTCGACACACCCTTCCATCTCGACCTCCTGGTCCTGGCGAAAGACCGCAGCTCCCTCCACTCGCCGTACAGTGGCCGTGACTGCTCAGTGCAGTGAACTCCTCTGAACCTACGTCCACTATTCCGACCGTGTTGGATTTCTTGTTATTGGGGCCGCTGTGCTTGCCTCCGTCGATGTTCTTGGGTATGTCGCTACACCTCGTTTGTTTATTGTTGAAATAGAGCCTCTGACTCGTTCATTGTACCAGTATTTCTTCGCGTTATACCATCCGTCGGCGCAATACAAGCATCTACTGGTCCTGCAGGTCGGATATTTCTGGCGCCCTCACCTTCTTTTCTCTCCCTGGACTGTTTCGAAACAGGCACTTAATCCTGAACGGTTGGCGGGACAAAGGAAAAGAGACTTGAAAGGATCGGGATTTGTTTCTGCAATACACCCACTCCGATACCACCCTGGATCTCAACAATGTCTCCAACACCTCCGGCAGGCCAGGGGTCAGACCTGCCCAAACCACCCCGTACGAGGCCACGAGCCCCAACGATTAGCATCGACGATTCCGCTGTCAGTCAACCTTCTGAGGAGTCCGCCAGCACGAACTCCGATCGGCCTGGCCCGTTGCCTCGCATACAAACCGCAGGCCTCGACAAGGGCCCAGCATCCTCGTCTCCTCTCTCCCTCTCACCAACAGATGTTCGCGCATCATCCGACACTCGCGAGTCACGTCCGACCTCTCCGCATAATGTATCATCTCCCAGATCTCAGTTCCTGGATGGGCCGCCGCCTCAGAACTTCCTCTCCGTTCCTGGAGCAAGGGTAAGGGCCCCATCGCTGGAGTCGGAACTGTCGCCTACGTCCGAATATGGTGGAGAAACTCAGATAGCATCCAGTACATCAGCTTTGGACGAACAGCTGAGCAAGGGCTCGCTCAGTAACAACGACGAGGTGATAAACGATGCGGATGCGTTGAGACCAGATCCTGGAACCGAAGCCGATTTTCAAGTGGAAGACAACAAGTTTGCCTTTACACCAGGTCAGCTGAACAAGATGATCAATCCGAAGAATCTAGCCGCTTTCCATGCTCTAGGAGGGTTGGCAGGTCTAGAGAAGGGGTTACGGACGAACCGCCACAGCGGCTTAAGTGTGGACGAAGCTGGTTTAGAGGGCACAGTCACCTTCGAGGAGGCCGTGCAAGCAGGCATAGAAGCCGAGGAGAAGTATGGATCTGTCAAGAGGGTCAACACAACGGGTTCGATGACTGCTCCGGCGAGGATATCGGAGTCGTCCTTTGCCGACCGCAAGCGCATCTACAAAGACAACCGGCTTCCAGAGAAGAAGGCCAAATCCTTTTGGCAGCTGGTGTGGATCGCCTACAACGACAAAGTCCTCATTCTTCTTTCCGTGGCCGCTGTCGTCTCGCTCGCCTTGGGTATATATCAAACGATCCAACCGGCTCCATCGGAGATCCATGAAGCCCACGTCGAATGGGTCGAAGGAGTGGCCATCATGGTCGCCATTATTGTCGTCACATTCGTGGGAGCTCTCAATGACTATCAGAAGGAACGCCAGTTCGTCAAGCTGAACCGTAAGAAAGAGCAGCGCTCGGTCAAGGTCATCCGATCCGGCAAATCACAGGAAATCTCCGTGTACGACGTGTTAGTCGGAGATGTCATGCATCTCGAACCGGGTGATCTGATCCCGGTCGATGGCGTTTTTATTGAGGGCCACAACTTGAAATGCGATGAATCGTCTGCGACCGGCGAGTCTGACATTATCCGGAAAACCCCAGCTGATGATGTGTACCACGCCATCGAGAACCACCAAAATCTGAAGAAAATGGATCCCTTCATTCTGTCGGGTGGTAAGGTGTCTGAGGGTGTCGGTACCTTCCTGGTGACTTCTGTCGGAGTCAACTCCAGCTACGGCAAGACTCTGATGTCCCTACAAGATGAAGGGCAGACAACACCCCTCCAGTCGAAGTTGAACGTGCTGGCGGAATACATTGCCAAACTGGGGTTGGCAGCTGGTTTGTTACTTTTTGTCGTGCTCTTCATCAAGTTCCTCGTTGAACTCAAGGATATCGATGGGGGTGCCCAGTCCAAAGGTCAACGCTTTCTCCAAATCTTCATCGTTGCTGTTACCGTTGTCGTCGTGGCAGTGCCTGAAGGTCTACCACTGGCTGTTACTCTTGCCCTCGCCTTCGCCACGACCAGGATGTTGAAAGACAATAACTTGGTGCGGCTGCTCAGAGCTTGTGAGACCATGGGCAACGCTACCACCATTTGTTCAGACAAGACTGGGACTTTGACTCAGAACAAAATGAGCGTGGTGGCCGGTACGCTGTCGACCGCGTCTCGGTTCGGCGACAAGCAGGTACCAATCAATGCTACAGCTGCGGCCGATGAAAAACTAGAAGGCCCTGATACGGTGACGAATGATGTCTCGTCCACAGAATTCATGGCTACGCTCTCTTCAGAAACCAAGCAACTGCTGAAGGATTCGATCATACTGAACTCAACAGCATTCGAAAGCGAGGAGAATGGCAAAAGGACTTTTATCGGCTCCAAAACGGAGACAGCCCTCCTTTCCTTCATATCCGACCACATGCCCGTCGGCCCCATCAGCGAAGAGAGATCCAATGCCGAAGTCGTCCAAATGGTACCCTTCGACTCGGGTCGCAAATGTATGGCTGTGGTCATCAAATTAGCCAACGGTAGATACCGCTTGCTGGTCAAGGGCGCCTCTGAGATTCTCATCGCAAAATGCACAAGGATCATCACTGACCCGACCAAAGGCATCGCGGACTCACCGATGACTACTGATCAGATGGAGACACTGAACGGCATTGTCAGCAACTACGCTTCTCGGTCTTTGCGTACCATTGCTATGTTGTACCGCGACTTTGATGAATGGCCGCCACGAGGCGCTGCTTCAGCGGAGGACAAAAGACAGGCGGACTTTGACAAGGTTTTTAAGGATATGGTCTTTCTCGGCGTCGTGGGCATTCAGGATCCTCTGCGTCCGGGAGTTGCGGAGGCTGTTCGCGACTGTCAAATAGCCGGTGTTTTCGTTCGCATGGTCACAGGTGACAACATTATGACGGCCAAGGCTATCGCGACCGAATGTGGCATCTTTACGCCGGGTGGAATTGCTATGGAAGGGCCGGTTTTCAGAAAGCTGAGTTCGAAGCAGCTGACCCAAGTCATTCCTCGTCTGCAAGTGCTCGCCAGATCCAGTCCGGAAGACAAGAAGCTCCTCGTTGGGCATCTCAAAAAACTTGGAGAGACTGTGGCGGTCACTGGTGATGGTACCAACGATGCACCTGCCCTGAAGACTGCCGACGTGGGCTTTTCCATGGGCATCGCAGGAACCGAGGTTGCGAAAGAAGCGTCCGATATCATCCTCATGGACGATAACTTTGCATCGATTGTCAAGGCTATCGCGTGGGGGAGGGCTGTCAACGATGCTGTCAAGAAGTTCCTACAGGTATGTCTTTTTTTCACACCGCGGTGTACCATGTACTGACCTGGTTGCAGTTCCAAATCACCGTCAACATCACAGCCGTCATTTTGACCTTCATTTCCGCCGTCGCGAACGACGATGAAAGCTCCGTTTTAACTGCTGTGCAACTTCTCTGGGTCAATTTGATCATGGACACGTTTGCAGCACTTGCATTGGCCACTGATCCCCCCTCACACTCGATCCTGAGACGACGACCGGACCCCAAGTCGGCACCGTTGATCACCATCACCATGTGGAAGATGATTATAGGACAGTCGATTTATCAGCTTGTGGTAACCTTGATCTTGTACTTCGCAGGCGCAAGCATCCTCTCCTATGGTACTCCGGGTGAGAGGGAACGGCTTCAGAGTACGATTTTCAACACTTTCGTCTGGATGCAAATCTTCAATCAGTACAAGTAAGCACCACCGACTGCCGAGGGACCATTGCATTTGCTGACGTGTTTTAGCTCGCGACGACTGGACAACCACTTCAATGTCGTTGAAGGAGTATTCCGAAATTACTGGTTCATTGGTATCCAGTTCATCATCATCGGAGGCCAATGTTTGATCATGTTCATTGGCGGTCAAGCGTTTTCGATCCATCGAATCAATGGGGCTCAATGGGGCTACTCGATAGTGCTCGGCGCCCTTTCCATGCCTATTGCGGTCATCATCAGATTGATACCAGACGAACTCTTCGCCAAGCTCATTCCGAGCATTCGCCTCCACAAGAAGCGTAGCCCGGAGTTTGTGTTTGAAGATGAAGACGACCAGATCCGGCACTGGAATCCGGCACTGGAAGAGATCCGTGAAGAATTGACCTTCCTCAAGAGGATCCGTGGCGGCCGGATGTCAGAATTGACATACAAGCTGCAACATCCACGAGACACCTTCTTGCCGCGCTCCCGCAGCCCGTCCCGTTCTCGCTCTCGCTCGAATAGCGAGTTGCCTCAGACTCCAGAGACGGAGCAGGCTGTGGCCGACGCGGTATCGGGGTCGCCGTCCACGCCGGAGAAAGTTCGACGACGTGCGCGATCCAGCTCCTCAGTCTTTGGGCCTGCAGCAGCCATGGCTGGAATCATCGCTGGTAGTGTTGCCGGAGGCTGGTCACCGGTTGAGAAGCGGCCTGAGGAGCAGGAAACGGTTCGGTTCACACGGGCTCGATCCCACTCTGGGGTTGAAGGAACCGCTGGAATGGAAATCCACCCAGCCACGCCGGCCGAAGATCCGGTCTTTGCTTCAACGATTCCCAAGAATGGTGTTCCACCTAGCCAGGATCCTGAATTGGCGCCGCATTTCGATCATGCTCCTCCGCATAGTTCTCCCGGCCGAACAAGAGGTTCTCACTCCCGGCATTCATCGTCTGCCGTATGATGGCAGAGTGTTCTCCACATTCGTTGCTGTACTGGGCTCGTTCGGTGCGATTTACATCCATGACTTCAAGCAAGCAAGCGTTGTCCAATATTACTGGTACATAAAGCTGTTTTTATCGAGCATTTTCTAATCGGCAGCGACAATGAGCCTTTCCACGTGTATTGCGGGTCACCACTGGGAGTGGTCAAATAGGCGGCAGTGTCCGCGTTCAACAAGAATCGTTGAGACAACATGACTAGCACCTGGACAGGAGTAGAGGGGAAGAGGTTGAGATGGCCGTGTCCACCATGGCATCATCCTGCCCAGGTACCTCGAAGGCTAATGCGAGGGCGCGAGAAAAGGGCAACACGAAATACGGGATACGAAAGCCTCCAAGCAGGTCAGGGGCAGGGCTCAGAGCGTAACATCCATCAACGAAGTTTACCTACCTTGCTGTATCTGTACAAATAGCAACCGTTCGTTCGGGGGTGAGAACCCTTTTCAAGTTGTGCATCCATATCATTATGACCGATGCCTGGAGACTGGAGATGCTATCATTTCCACCACCTAGGTAACTAGCTGTAGCTGTGCTAGAGTATTCATCAGAAGTCCCGGTTGTATGTGTAGGTCCGGGGTATCGAAGGAGTGTTGATTTCAGTCGATGGGAAATAGCATGTCCCTTGTGAGTAAGATACTCGAGCAGCTGGGGATTAGATACCTTCATTATATGCACAGTTAGTTATGCTGATATGAAAGGAAATGTGTGCTCCACCGTGAGGCTGTGAGGCTGAGGCTGAACCGAGGTAAAAGGAAGGAATTTTCAATCAGTGATGATTTGGGATGCAGGGGAGTGGGAATTCGTTCATGCTTCACAGGTAATAAGGTACCTACTACAGCTAAAAGAGCTCTCGGGATCAGACTGCGCAATTGTGGCTCCCTGACCAGACCAGGTACAAGGTACACTCTGGACATTCTACTCTTGTCCTCTCCGAATCCGTCCTCATCCAGGGCTCTAGGAGGCTCCTAAGGCTCCTCTTATCCTCAGGCTCCATAATTCTTGTGCCCTTCGGCCTCCATCATCGTCTGTACCAAGTGAATTCGCCGTCCTTGACATCCGCCCTGCGGCCCCTGGTGGCCATTCACTTTTCCCTTCACGACCATGGCTCCGGCCCTGTCAACAATCAAGACTATTCCTGTCTATCTCTTCACTATCTCCCCTCGCTCGTCGATTTTGTTGGGCCGCGGATTGCTTCATACTACGTCTTCTACTGCGTCCCCATTGCCCTTCACCTCCCTTCGACACACCCTCCTGCGACAACAGCCTCTTCGCAATCTCACCGGCCTCCGGTCCTCCTCCTCGTCCTTACGCACAAGTGCTCTGCAAAGCCAGGCCCGACAGTCAAGAGTGAAGCAGAATAGCTTTTGGAATCAATATTCCACAGGTGCGCCCAGTATCCAACATCGTCGCGACAGGTGGGACAATGTGCTAATTGTGCTGCAGTTGTCGTTCACAGTAGAGGAAAGGCTCGGTTTCGAAGAACAATCAGCTTTTTGATCATCAGCACCTTGTCCTTCTTTGTCGGAGGCTATTACGCGCTCACCTACGCTCCTCCTATTCTCACGCCGCTCATCATGGGTTCCATGCCCACCGACGTCGAGACACTCTCCCTCTACGAACCTCCCGATGACTTCTCGCGCGAGGTGGACGAACATATCAGAAATTGTGCTCTGGCACAGTCGCTACGAGCAAACCCGGATTTCAAAGAATCGAGACCGCACCTCAAATTTCCCCCGGGAGTCCGACAACACAACCTGACCGCGGGGACTCTGGCCGGGCCTGGCATGCTCGTGGTGCCGCCCTACAATTTCAACGAGAAGGATGGTGAATCTATGGTGCAGATCTTCTATGTTGGTGGCGACATCTGCGGTCACCCGGGCATTGTGCACGGTGGATTCCTGGCGACAATGCTGGACGAAGGACTGGCGCGATGTGTGTTCCCAGCCTTGCCCAACAAGGTCGGCGTCACCGCGAACTTGGAGATCAACTATCTCAAGCCGACAATGGCAGGCCAGTTCCTGGTCTTGAGGGCAAAGACCACCAAGGTGGACGGGCGCAAGGCTTGGGCTGAGGGATGGATTGAGAACCTCGACGTTCCTGAAGGAGAAGAACCGAGCAAGTTTGTGCAAGCCAAGGCTCTGTTTATTGAGCCCAAACATGCGAAGGTATGTCAACTCGTCAGTATTGCCCCTCGGATCTACTGACGCAACTCCTACAGGTGTTACAGTCACTGTACAAGGTCACCGAATAGAGCATGTTTTGGCTTCTCATCCGCCATTTCGCCAGTGATACTTTTGACTCGGTGAACAAGATTTTTGTGCCTTGGAGATACTTAGAGGCTCGATAGACTTCTGGACGGAGTTGGTGAACATCTCTTTGGAGGTGTGTTGGTCGCCGGCAATTTGATTTTCCACACTATTGCCTGACACAGTATCCTTGTGGGTGTGGTTGCCCAACCACTATCCGCGGAGGCATCTCTGGAAGCATACTTTGGCAACTTGAGGTCATGTACACAAGGACCGTCTGGACAGCAGCGACGAAAGAGAGTATACTATTCAAGTGTCTCTCTGTGGTCGCCTTGGAGCGTGACTGGCTTTCAGCTTGGATGGGCAGGCAAGCGCTCATGGCATCACTGGGTTTGTGCAGGCAGGCCATTGGGGACATCGACGTCAGTTGAACTGCCCATCAACCAATTCGTCAGATCCCTGGTGGTGTCCCTTACTTGCCCATGGGCCATTGTGCTCAATGACAACTCCGGGAGACCGGTGATCCTCATCAGCCGCCTGCGGACCTAGTCGCTTGTGGCTGCTGAACAAGGAGCGACCTTGTCGTCCAGAATAGGTAATCTTTGCTAGAATAGATGCTTGGATCTACGTGGACTCCTTTCAGAATGAACAACCACATTAGAACACAATCAAGTCATCCCTTATGCGATGTCTACCATGTGAGCACGATCGGAATTAAAGGGGGCGGCCGAAAAAGCAGCATTTACCGACTAAAAGGTTTGCCGTAGCTGGAACGGCGGAGCTTAGCAGTACCAGATGAAGTCCTCCGCCAATCTTGGATTTGCTTCGGGATGTCTCAATCGCACGTTATGAACATCAAACATGCTCTTGTACTACCTCCATGCGATGAACCTCTAGACCAACTCACGAGCCTGGGCATCCTGATGAATCAGCATACTACAGGCCGACTCCGCATCCTTCCGTCTGGCAATGCTTTGCCCTCTGACAAGGGTCTCCCGACATGGTTCAGGCTGGGCCCGGTTTTCGCACTGAACCCAAAACACAACCTGTGTGATGGATCTTGGTCCGTCATTGCTCATCCCTACTGCCGTACCTCTGTAAGTGTGTGACCGTCTGACCAGAAGGAAACACGACAGATACGCGCACGTGGACAGAAGTCTTCTACTCTCGACCAGGCAACCCAACAAGAGGGCTCAGGCCAAGGACATGACCGAGGCAGGAGGGAAGAGCTCGACGTGGGCTTTCTTCTTGGCTGCTGGTGAAAAGCGCGTACATCGTGCAAGGCCAATCATGGATGCACCCCCCTCCTGTTCCTTGTTATACGAACCTATGGATCGACTACATTGCCCCCCAAGGCTCAGCGAGGGCATGATGCCAGCCTTCCATGCTCTCATCCATCGGCAAGTCGTGTTATACAAGACTGTCCTAGGCCTCGTGTCTGGAGATCAAGCCCTTTTTGCACTGACGGGTCATCAGTAGCAAAGCAATCACTTGAATGATTTTCGGACGGCAGTCGTGGTACAAGGCTTAGGAAGCCACCATCACGACTCTCGCCAAATTGACGCAAGAGTATGTACCAGCTCGTATAGGTCCATCAGCTTGCTCGTATTTGCTTCCATAGGTGGCCTTGGCCTGGAGGAGTTCGCACACGGAGTGCAGTGCCTCATCAGCGGCCTCGAAGGCACACCATAGCGACGCCAACTGCATATACGCCTATCCGCTGTTTTGAAGAGCAAAGAAATCATGATTACGAGCATGCTCCGTGAGCTTGGCAGCTGAGCAACGCCAAATGCCCTTCTCGGTCGTCATGGCTATTGGTGGTTCCATACTACCCCCAACGCCCTGTGACAGGAAGTCGGCTTGCAGACGTCTCTGAGGTGGAACGACAGAATCAAGTTGACCTTGTATGGCAAGGCTATAAGTACCTAACCTGCTCAGTCTCTAGCTATAGCGTGCATTCTTCCATCTTCTCCGCACCTTTGGATCCCACTGGCAAACCAGCAATCATCGAGAATTGATTTTGGGCTAGAAATGTCTTTCGAAGACTCTCCTTCCCTATCACCTGATATCTCGGATGGCCCACCCCATCATGGTCCCAAACCGCCGCCTGGCTTCCTCGCGCCGGCATTGAACGGCCCTCATCCCGGACTGGACAAATTCTCGCTTCCATTCCAGTCAATTGTCAACAAGCTGAAGAAGGAGTACATGTCGAATCCCTCTGACGTTGCATATATCAAAGCAATACATGCCTTGGACACAAGCAAGATCCGTCTACTAGCCAAGGAGGTGGCCAACATACAACCTCTAAAGCCCCAAGAGCGCCGCAGCTTCATTAATGGTGCTAGAAAGGGCCTTGCGTCGGCGGATGGTAAAGATTACATGAAGGAAGCGGCCACCGCTGCTGGCAACGCTTGCAATGCAATCAATGGCTTGTTCACCACTCTTCGCAAGGAGCTCAAGGAGATTGACGACAAAATGGAGGCTACTGGGCAGCACGTCGCTCCGTTCGAGCCTCTGCTCAAGCCGCTCCAACGGGTAGGACAATCTTTGGTAAACATAACTCGTCTGTGGCTGATCGGCCTCGCAGAAATTCAAAGAAATCATCGCCAACTGCAAGACCCTTTCCTCCAAGGTCAGCATTTTGGGGAAAGAATTCAATACCTCCATCATTGCATACGCTAAATCGAATCTGGACACCCCAACAAAAGAGACGAGGATCGATAAATACATTGTGGTAAGCATCCTTCACATCGAGGCCGTGCCCTGGTTCACATTTCTCTTTACAGGAGGCCAAAATGCTGAGTCAAGACTCTGCCTCAATTCAAGCCGACTTGGACCGGCTTCCGGAAGACTTTTCAAAACTAATGGACCGCTTCCATGACTTCAGCAAACAACGACAACCCAACTTTCATGCTCAGATCGAAGTTGCAAGGCAACGGCTTGACCGACTGGACAAGAAGCTCAAGGATTTGAAGCTTAAGTTGACGGCTGTGACGGCATCAGCTGGAGTGGTGGGTACTCTCGCCGGTGCGCTAGCTGGAGTCTTCCCACCAGCATCGGCGTTCATCCTCGTGGGTCAATTCTCAAGGACCGCGCTCATGTGAGGTGCCAGTGACTGAACTAAACCAGGCATCTGGATTACTTGCAACCGCAGGGCTGGGTGTCTACGCAGCTATACTTGCCGCACAGATCGAAGGTAAGCAACGACTTTCCGTTGGACAAGCGTTAGGCCTAACAGAAACAACAGAGATTGAGCGTGACAAGCAAGACGCGAAGAGGCGACTGGATCGTTTGACGGCCGCAGATGCAGCCTACAGAGAAGCGACTACGGCGTTGGAGCAGTTGGGCCTGGACAGCGATGAGACCTTCACATCCAGCATCGACCTGGTGCTGAAGCTTCTCGGAAACGTAACAACAGACGCCGAATCCATCAAGGAATGGCTGTCGAAAGCAGGAGACGACGAGGTATGTGTAGTGTTGTGGGGGTGTTTCTTTCCTGTCAGTGCTCTACTACTTGGCAGGCTGACACGCATCCGTAGGCCTTACCAGAGGTGATGGGCACAGACTTGAAAGAGGCCGGAGACATCTGTACGTCTTGTGTTGTCTCTGCGTCACGCGCATCGTCTCAAGAACTCGTGGGCCTCTCGAATACTGACATCAATCTGACAGATGAAGCAATGAGCCAATATCTCAACATATTCGAGAACATGCTGTAAACGATTCAAGTTGACTGGACGGTCGACCTAGGGAGTAAAGTGGCATGTTGGCAAGCCAGACTGTTATTTGGGATCGCCCTGGGACTTGTGTCAGTGGTAAGTGGCTGGTTGGTCCTGGTCGGAATGTATGGGAGGCATAATATGGGCTCCTTCGAATTTGATATGTTATAGCCAGTCCAGCTATGTATATGATGCTTCCAGCGTCAACAAATGTCGTTGTCTTTACTGCAGACCATTTGCCCTCGTTGTCATGTTCTTTTTTCACATTACTTTCCTACATCAGTAATCTCGGCCTTTTTCACTTGGACCTGAACTCTGTGGTAGCTAAATGACGTGACCCAAATCCTGATGACAGAAAAGAAGATTCTAGGTAGGTGATGGCAGGGATGCGGAAGGCTGTCGTTATAGAGTACAATGGATGCCCCTTTTTGATGAATCGAATAAAGCAGCATATGAGACACACAGAGATGGTTAGACCAAAAAGTGTCTTGGCATACGCAACTTCCGTTTCGGGCGGCGCAGTTGAACTGCAAGTGCAGCTCCAATAACGCTGCCCCAGGAGCTGGAGGTCGAGTCGATAGCGGAATGCAGTGCTTCAGTAGGTAGCTGTTGCAATCCAAGTCTACGAACCCAGCCAGTATCACGACCAAGGTCACCCCGTTAGTAGAGGTCTGGTCGGTCATGCCTTGACATCTCATCTTCAAACCCTCCCTCCAACCGCTCTAGAACTCCGGCTTGTCACCACCGCCTTGCCTTGACCATCAGCATCCCGCAACATGTCTGCCAGATATCTCGCCGTGTCGGTCCCTTCGTCGATAACCCCTTCCGGCCACAAGGAAGATGCCTTCTCTTCTCTCCAGAAAACAGTCAGCTCTTCCAATGGCGAAGTTATAGACTTCCATGTACCAGAGTTCAAGATAGGAACGCTCGACGCATTATTACGACAGTCCGACGAGTTGGCCAAACTCGAAGGCATCTGCAATTCGGTCGTAGGCAAGGTTGGGGAGACACTGAGGAATATTCTCGATGGAGACGAAGAAAAGATCGCCATGCACAAGAATGTCAATGATAGTATGTGTGCGACTGCAGTTGATCACGAACGGACAGCTGGCATGGTGTGGACGTGAACTGACTTCTGCTCAAACACAGAACCACTTGAGCAGTATCTGAGAAGTTTCTCGTGGAACAAAGTCAAATATCGTGCCGACAGGCCACTGGCGGAACTGATTGACCTTTTGACAAAAGTATGGATCCTCGGTGTGGCCCTTGGTTGTTACCGACGTTGCTGACAGCAGCAAATCAGGAAGTCAACTCGATCGACAACGATGTCCGGTCCAAATACAACCAGTACAACTCAATCCGCACGAATCTACAGACGTTGGTGCGGAAACAAACAGGCAATCTCTCCACCAAGTCGCTCTTAAGCATCGTCTCTCCAGACGTGCTAGTGCAACATTCCGAACACCTGGAAACTCAACTTGTCGCGGTCCCCAACTCAGCTGTGAAGGACTTTTTGCGTTCTTATGAAACAGCTGCTCCCATGGTGGTGCCACGCTCGGCCGAATTCGTCGCCTCGGACGACGAGTTCACCCTATATGCGGTGACTTTGTTCAAGAAACATGCACCTGAATTCGTGCACAAGGCTCGGGAGCGGAAGTGGGTGCCGCGGGACTACAAGTACAAAGAAGGTGGAAAGGAAGAGGAGGAAAAAGAGGTGAAGCGCGTCGAGGCCGAAGAAAAGAGAGTCTGGGGTGAAACACTGCGGTTGGGTCGGACCGGTTGGAGTGAGGGTGTCATGTGTCTGGTGCATGTTGTTGTCCTCAGAGTGTTCGTGGAGACGGTCCTGAGGTACGGCTTGCCACTGGACTTTGTCTCGGTGTTGATCAAGGTATGTCCCGACGAGTTTGAAGGCTACCAACACGGAGCCAGATGTTTCGTTTGTGCTAACACCAGACATAGACCGACGCAAAGCGCGAGAAGAAAGTGCGACAAGCCCTCGATGAGGAATATGCCTACCTGGCAGGCAACGCATTTGGCAAGGACAGCAAAGGCCGGATAAAGAAGGACGAGGGCATCGGGTCGGCCGACATAGCAGCCGGTGGCGAGCAGAGCGATTATTCGGCTTACGTCTGTTACCAAATTGCTGTTGATTGATAGGGGCGTGTCTAGGTATGGCCGACTCCTGGGTGCAACACGACTGACCGAGCCGAGACAGCGTAGTCATGGCCATGTCTTGAAGGACTGGCGACAACTTCATGGCTTGAGGCAGGAATATAATTAGAACAAATCCAACGCTACGTATGACACATAGGAGCTTCCACGAGCGAAGCAGGGAGTTGGGGGGAAATCAGCTATGATTTGATTCGCAATCGGCCTCTCCCGAGAATGACCATGAATCATTCGAGTATGGAAACCTCCCTCGGAAAGAATTCGGCATGTAGATCAAAACATGACTTGGTTTTTGCTTGATTCCAAGCTGGACTGGTAGGAATTCGTTGAGCAAACAATAACTACCTAGCAAGTCATATGTATCGTTTCGAGAGAGATCGTTGCGAGCCTCCAGCAGGGATAGTGATTTTCGCGCGGCCACATCCATCTCAGCCCTCTCCTCAGACGCGACTGCTTTGCCATACATGATGTATCCTTGCTGCATTGACATTGACGTGCCCGGTGTTATGTCATGTCTGGTCTGGTCTGCATGTACTGTGCTGTGCCATGAGTGAGAACGAGCACGCGGAACGTCGAGCTTTTCGTGAACCAAGCAAGTACTCAGGGTGGTTAAGTAGTAATCAAGTAATCTCGTCCGGGAACATCGGTGTAGCTCGGGTAGGTAGGTAGGTAGGTGGTTTCGGCTTTTCCTCTTTTTTGCCACCACCACCATCCATCATCATCTTCTGGTGATAAGTGGTAGAGCCATGTTTCCTGAGCAAGCTGTTCTCGGTCTTGACGAGACGTGCTCTGGGAAGGGTTTAGCAATCCAATCCGTCATGATGGGCTGTCAAGGGTCGCTCTGGAAAGGAATGAGCCGATGTGGATTCGGGGGATGCAACATATGCAGTCGTACACTTGTTTTAAAGGTGATTCCGTTCAGATAAGATGTCATTGCTTCCGTTCTGAAAGATTGTGGTCTGTACTGGATGAATTAGGCTGTTTTTATGGACAGAATGAATGAGGAGGATGAGGTCGAAGAGAATAGCAGCCAGTACCAACTGTGCCAGTATACATAGATGGCTTGATAACGTTGGTTTGGCGTGGATGGGATAATGTCAATGTCCCATCGCTGAGGCACCGGTGTCTGGGTCATATCCATATCAGGCGGTGGACGAGGTGTTTGATCGGATCATATCCTGTCTTCGCGAATGACATTGGATGAGGGCAGTTTCGTCTGCGTTGGAATGATGGCAGTTTGTTGTGCAGACGCTTGTCTCACTTCATCATGACAAGTGTCCGTGGTCGGAACGGAGTGTGACATATCCAGTCTCGATACAGGATCGTGGTGATTAGCGTGGGAAAGTAAGGACTTCGTGGTATCTCTTGGTCATTGGCCGGGCTGTTGAGGTTGAGGTTGATCGGTTTGAGAAGGTGTCGTCTGTCCTTGACCTTGACCTTGTCGTTGCCCGTCGTATAAGCCGGAGTAGTAGCCCGCCCAGTAATATGCCATTTTGATGTTCTCGAGTGTTTGGTCTGGCGAGGGACCTAGCAATAGGGAAGCAAGATGTTAGTATCTACATTCAGGAGAAATAGATGGGGAATATGCGTGGGGAAGGATATGCCGACAGATGTTAGATCTGGCGGGAGACAGCCTGGAGGACCTGTGCGGCAGTCATGGCTTGTAGGCGCAGCATGCTGCTCCTATCCTGCTTCTTTTGTGGCAATACCGACAAACGAAGACAAGAATCCATGTGTGAGGCAACGTACCTTGGACGCTGGCAGGCGGCAAGCTGGGTCCTATCATAGGATGATTGTTCATTGATGATGATGGTGGTGGTTGCGAAGCCGACGTCGGAAGAGGTGTTTGGTTCTCTGTTGTCTCGTTTCTCGTGTCGGCGAGAAGATCAGAGGGCGACGGCTCAGGCTCGACTGCTGCGCCTTGCACTTTGCGGCGAGATTTTGTCAGCTCTATTCCTCTTCGTTCTATAACATGCGGAAAGTCAATGGCATGGAATTCACGGACCTTGTCGAGTCAGGGCTTCCTTTGCTGTTTGGAGATCGAGATGGAGATCGTGATCATCGTCGTCGATTTCGCCATCTTCAATCTCTGCGTCTTCATTGGGCTCCTCTTCAGTCACAGCTTCGGGTTGCGCCTTGGTGTGTTTCATGTTTTTGGTTGCGTTCGTGGTCTCGTCGTCTTGGCCATTTGTGGATTCAGCGTCGACTGGTCCCCCGGCCTCGGCGAGTTCATCCATTTCAGCCTTGCGTAGAATCTCCTCGACGTCTTCGCCGCGAGCGTGGATGCTGTGGTAGAACTGCGTGACAAAATTAGAACTGTTGAGGCTGTTGGGACTGTTCCAAATATGCAAGTGAGGTCGTATATCGCAGCTAGGGGCAAGAATGTTGATGTGATGGAGTTGAAGCGGGAACAGGAGGGAGTCCGGAGTTTGGGTAGACTCCCACCAGGTCGAGCGAGTGCCGAAGTGCTAGTGCATAGATGTCTCGAGACGCGCGATGGTTGTGACAGCGCTGAAATGTCCAGACTTGACCTTCCTGAGTTGACGAACATGGAAGCTCTCGTACCTCATATTCAGCGACGGCGTCGTTCCACGATCTGATCAGAGCCGAGTCATCCCAGATCTCTGCCTGGCTCAGTTCGCTGGAATTTTTGGAGAAGTAGTGCTTCGTTTTGGCCTTTTTGTTCTTCGGCATGACTGCGATGACCACCCAAAGCGTCGTGTCGGAGAGAGAGCCGAAGAATGTCTAGGTAGGTATCTATCTAGTAGTACGTAGGGAGGTAGGGAGTAGTACAAACCTGTAATATACAGAGTGAGGATAAACACGTATGAAGCAAAAGAAGTTTAATGCCAAGGCGCACACATGATTGGTCAGCCTCGTCACAGCAAAACACTGCGCAACTCTACGAGAGTATCTTGAGTGACTTCCAGCACAGTACAGATTACTAGCTAAGGTGGTGATTGCACGGAGACGCATCTGACTCAATGAGCGGGAAGTTCCTCAAGGCTCTTGATGTGGAATTCCGTGGTGGCGTTCATTTTCCTCCTCAGCGCACTGCTTGCTGGATAAACCACCCTCCTCAACCGATTGGGAGAGCCGAGGGGTTCCAAGCTCTTCAAGCCCATCCACGGGTCTAGCCTCAACCTGTCCTCCCAGAAATTCTTCAGTGCATAGTTGAAGCTGTCTTGCCTCGGGACTTTGAGGCGAGCGACAGTCTGCCATGGATCTGAGACACAGGACACGCAGTCAGCAAAGCAGGAACCAGGCTTGATGATGAACCGAATCATCCGTGTCTTCAGTGTTCACTTACACGCCTCCGGATCCCAAACTTTGCCAGCATATTCTACAGGCTGGTCCTCGAGATTCTCGCACAGCTGCACCTGGAACAAGTATTCGGCATCATGTTTCCGATGGAAATTCTGCAACCACCTGTGCAGGATGTCCGAGCCGTCCGTAGGCTTGACCGTTTCCTCGTAGAGTTTCTTTTGAGTCTCGCTGTTGGGGACCAGGCAGTACTTGATCACGTAGTCGCCGTAGCGATATGCAGTCTGCGAATACTGCCTGGTAGACTCGAGATGAGTGTTGCGCACAGCGTCTCGAGCCTTTTGCAGGTCGGTATCCTTCCTGGCATCCAGTTGCTTGTAGAGCTCTGGCTGATTGTTGCCGAACTTGATCCGGAGGTCAATGATCTCCCTGGTCGTCTTTGCATCTGCCAAGTCGAGCGCCGGAGTCGAATTGAATTCAATGTCTTGCGTGGGAATGTCTTTCCCAGTGTCGAAGAAGTCACCGTGGACGTCGAACACTTTCATGGCAAACCCTCTTGGCTGGGGAATGCGATCCTAGCAAGACTGATGTCAGTTTCTGAACCTCCGGTGCCTATCTCCTCAGTCTTACGTCCAGACCAGGATCGCCAGGCTCACTGCTGTACCTGCACAAGACAGGCCATTCTCGCTCTTCCGCAAACAAGCTCTGTTTAAGATGAGCAGGAAGATTGGGTTCGGTTTTCAGTGTGCCCTTGACGATCCCCTGTGTTCTTGCATGGGTCCCTTAGGGCTCAGTGAGTATGCATCAACTGTTCGGACTAGGTTCGCGGCACGAACCCGTATAGCAGTGGCGGTGGGAATTCCATTGCGCCTTTTGGATCTCATTGATCATCTCCGCCACGGCTTGGATGTCTTCATCCTCGTGCTCAGGCTTGTGCTGCACCCGAGGGTCGTCGTAGCGGACATAGTGTCGGTCAGTGAGGTTGCTCTGGCTCTCGGCATTGTTGGAAATCTCCATGACGATGGAAACTGATGAGGCTGATCAGTGACGACCGGCTGAGAAAGCAAACACGAGTCTTCATATTTGAGCATTCTGTTGCTCTCATGACCGAAGAGATCCCTTGCCGTGCAGTGGGAGGAGGGTGAAAGTCAATCGTAGCGCATCAGCCAGTCATTGCTATTGGATTGACAAGGATCTGTCACATCCGCACATCTAGATCTCTGCACCCCGCCAGATCACGACGTCTTCTGCACATAATTCGTTGGAGAGCAGATCCTGTGGACCGAATGAACCTCTTCGCGGGTCAGATGCAGAACATCGATTCCAAATACTTGATTGCCGGGATCGTGCTGCTTCCGGTAAGAGACGCCACATCTAGATGGCCTCCCAGGATGGCAATGCTGATGAGGTTCCCCTCTCTGCCGTGTCAACCCGGCAGATTGTTAGCATTTGTTGCAGGCAGCATGTACACATGCCCCTACCACGGGTAGTGTTAGCAGAGTCGTCCGAATAACATGTCATGCGGAGACTGTGTGCTCCGTACCCCCTTCTTTTATTGTCGAGAAATTGCTAGAATCGTAAGACAGACTCGGAATGAAAGAAATGACTGTCCCGTGAGCATCTGGACTGCAAACGACAAAAGAGGCGAACAGGGTGTACATCAATAAAGCAGGATGCGTGCAATCGCATCTCATAGCCAGGAGACATTCTGCACTCCTGCTCTGGGTCACGATGTGGTTCGTTCGAGGGTTTCCAAATGTAGAGGGCCACCCAATCCAGGATAGGATGATAATATTGGTACAGATCTATTCTATGCGTAACCTCTGCGCCGTCTGCCCTGGTTTCTCGGCCGTTGGGTAACGACAAGAGGATTGACCTTGTTCTTCGGCCTCGTCTTGAAGCCTGATTTGGCCTGTAGCGGGTTAGCAAACGTAGCACACGCGGTGGACGAGAATCACAACTTACCGGAATACCCCAAGGACTCATGGGAATGCGGTTTCCCTTGGATTTACCACGACCACCACCATGAGGATGATCTGCCGCGTTCATGGCAAGTCCACGCACAGTTGGTCGAATGCCGAGCCAACGCGCGCGTCCAGCCTTCCCGAGTGAGGTATATTTGAAGTTGATGTTGCTTGCGACTCCAATGGTTGCAACAGCCTCCTTGTCAATGAGCCGAACTTCACCACTTGATAGTCGGACTGTGACATAGTTGGCTGCTTTTTCGAATTTCCTCAGCTGATCCTTGGTCAAGGATGACATGTCCGCATTCCCGCTGTCCCCGATGAGCTTGATCATTTCCTTTTGAACCGTGTCTTCACCCTTTCCAATGATGATTCCATGCGTGCCAGCACTACGACAGATCTTGCCGATCGCATCCCGTGTTGGGGCGATGTTGAAAATCGGCGTCCCAATGGGAATCATGCCCAACTTCAAACAGTTACCCCTATGGGCGGTCTTCGAAGCGATCACACCCTGGTCCATTTGTCCTCCCATCTCCTGGAGCAACGTTTTCGGCAGTCCGGACCGGTAACTCTCCACCACGTCGCCAGCGCGCATGCCTTCAGCGGCCAGAATATATGCTCTTGTCCCATCGTCGATGTTTTTCACCAGCGCAACGTGGGCGGTTCGGCCAGGATCGTGTTCGATGCGCTCCACGACCTGCTTGCCGCCTTTGCGCCGTGCAAAGTCGACAATGCGTATCCTTCTCTTATGCCCGCCCCCACGATGTCGCACCACAACATGCCCAGTATCATTTCTACCTCCTTTCCCATGACCCTTTTTCGGGAATGTCAGGTCGAAGTATGGTCGCCCTTTCCACAGATGGTCGTTCACGGGCCTGATCAGGTGACGGAGACCGGGAGTTCGTGGGGTGTATCGTCGTAGTCGAACTTCCCCCCTGGCTGCACCGACTCTGTCTTGCGGTTCTGCTAACGGAGGATCGGCGTGGGCTGTGTCCAGCACTGAGGTGCTAGGATGTACTGGGTCGATGACTTGTGCATACGAGCGTCGCATAACGGGCAGGGAGGATTGGCATCCCCTGCACAAAGTGCGAAGCGGTATCCGTGGCTGCAGCATCTCTGCAGACGGTTGATACCACCAGCGACCTGTCCAAGTTGTGAAGACGATGCTAGGGAAGTGCAAGCAGGCACATAGCTTCAGGCTGGCATACTTCTGTCGGTGGAGCAGGATCCAATGGTGAATTGAGAGTTGTTGAAGCTGAATTGTACCAGCTTCAATTTTGATCCAAAGAAGCCTAGCAGTAGTCTTCGGCTAACCTTCCTCCCTTAATACTAGTATGTCGTAGTGTTTTCAGCCTCGTCGCGTCTTCTGTGGGGAAGTCACAGCCTTGTTGTTACCTTCGATCTCAGCCTGCAGTCCTGCTACATACTAACCATGGTGAGGCCCCTCCAGAGTTCTGTCCAGTTATTCACATACTGCTTCTTGCTCTCTTCACTACCCAGGCTCCCCTTGTTATTGCACATATCCTTGCACGAATATACTTTGATGCCGGTGTGTCACTATGTCCGACACTGGCTTGGCCGCGAGGGTCACACAGTTAGAAGGTACATTGTCGTGTTGCGTTCTAGATTACCCGGGCTGGACTGACTAAATTGCCTTTAGGTCGTCTTGAAGCGGTTAAGAACGCGCTGCAGACTTTTGAGATCTGGCTCCAGTCCTACGAAGAACGCTCAGCCGCGCACAAGCTAGAGGTGTCCTCAGAACGACATAAAGCGTCGCCAGTCTCGCATCGCCCTGGTTTCCCCTATCCGTCACCCTCTCACCTTGCTGTTCTCAGACGATCTACCTTATGCTCATACCAAGAAGCGGCCGTCATTGTCATTGCACAAAGATCCTACCGACGGAGGAAGACGGGTGGGCTTGCGAACGTCAAAGACGAGGTCAAGGCGGATGCTAACATCTTTAACCTCCCACGAGTCGCGCCTTGTCCAGCTCTCGGAATCTTGAACCCTCGGCCCCAAAAAAGCAGGAGGCCTGTATCAAGACTCCTCTCCAACTCCTTCTCGCCCTTCAAAAAGGCTTCTCAGCCGAGCAGCGTCTGCAGTGAGTTGATAGCTTCTAGGGGTTGAGCACTCTCAAGTGATTATAGATCTACCCGTCTGCACAGAGAACGACAACGAACCCCATACTGCGAAACTCCATATCGAACCTTTACATCGACAACCTCGACCACCAAAAAATGCGATCAATCCTAGGTCTGTCGTGCCATTAGCGGAGCATACAGGAGCCCCGGTGATTCAATACTAATAGATGATTGCAGGTTTGTGACCTCGACGGGTCTGTGCACGCGATATAGCTCAACTGGTATTGCTTCTACTCTAGAACGGGAGATCTGTTGGTTTCCCCCATACTGATAATGACCTCTGCAGGATCGTGCCGGTACGGCATCAAGTGCTTTGGAGCACATGACCCCAACAAACTAGCTCTCTGCCCTTCCGTCTCGCGCGGTGTCAGTTGCTTTGCAGGCCCTCGATGCAGTCTCAGTCATGTTCCCTCACCCGAAAGATCCCCGCTGTGTCTGTTTTTCCAGTTGGGAAGATGCAGTCGGGACAACTGCGTCTACGCCCATACTGTTGTTAATCCCACCGCTCCCCTGTGTACGGATTTTGCTTATGCTGGCTACTGTGACAAAGGCACACAATGTGGGTATCGCCATCTGCGCCAATGCCCCGAATTCACAAATACCGGAGAGTGTCAAGACAATTACTGCCGGCTTCCCCACGTCGTCCGGTCGACTCGGACGAAGATGCGAGACTCAAATGGATCTGGCACTTCGGCCGGGTCGGGGACTCTCGTTGGCTCTCCCGATGATGAAAAATGGGATGATGAATTGGACTCCGGTTCCCCCGTGACTGTCGACCGTGCCCCAGCTGAGGAATACATGAGTGGCCCAGGAGATTTTGCCTCGCAAGATGACTTCATCCGATTGTAGTTAACTCGCAGTCCCCTTGCGTGACAAAGACTGTGCCCGGAAATACAGGGATACGACAGAGGAGTGAGAAGGAAATCTGGATAAGAGTGAGCTGAAAGGGAATCGAGGATTCGGGCAAGCTGGGAATAGGGTGACGGTCTGGATTGTCGGTAGGATATGTTGTGATGGAGTAGCTAGTCCGAGGCACGTCTTCGCCTCCCTTAACAGACACGAGCCAACATCAGGCGCTTCTTAATGTGTATGAATCCATGAATCCATGAATCCATGAATCCACAAGTCTCAACCTTTCTTGTGCACATTCGACGCTTTCGGCTTAAAGAGATTGGAGAGGAAATCAAGCCACGCGCAAGAGGCAGACAGGTTGGCTGTAAGCGTTCGCAGGTAGCCTCACCTTGGGCAGCTATGAGAGGCCCCTGTTTCAGACGGCCGTGGAGCCAGGGCCATCATGGGAAATATTACGCCCGATGGAGATATAGACCCTCAGCAAGCCATAGGCAAGACAATCAGGGGAGAGACACGACCCCAGCCATGGGCCCTCGAGCAAGACAAGGCCTGGTAGACGAGGAAAGTGGCTGTCAGACTGGATGCTTCCCCAGTGATGCGGTTGTTCAAGACAGGAACAACGGGCCAGGTGACTGGGCATTCAGGTGGATCATAGCAGCGGCATCGTCAGCTCGGCATCAGGTCTTGTGTCCATCGATCGATCAGCCTACCGGGCGGCAGATGACCTAGTAACCCTCAAAAGGTCAGGGAGAGTCCAGTGACAGAGCAGGCACTCGCCGACGAGCGTTGGTCAAAGTTGTCCACACACTGGCAGGCAGATATCGGCTTCAGCCACGAGAGGAGCCGACTATACAGATAGATTTGCGAGAAGGATCGCCAAAAGGTCGCAACACTGTCGCTGTCGAATTCCTTGTCGTTTGGAGGGTGCAATCCTTGATAGGCGAGAGACCTCTAACTGTTGTTGGGTACTATTAAATCAAATCCAGCACCGGCGACCATGGAAACTAGTCAAGAGGCCCGAGCCGTTCACCGGACTCCAATCTTCAGCCCGGTGGATGATGGTCTAAGCATCACCTCCCTTGTAGGCTGGCATTTAGAGTGCACCTAGCCATCATCCCCCGGTCGTTGATCTGTTTACACGCCACGACAAACGGGTCTGGCTATCAACCGGGTCGTGTCCGTCTATGTTTGCTCGCCGAGGATTGACTGTCTCTTCAGCTGCTCTATTTCCTGCCTGGCCGAGGCCGCGGAGTTCATGACGCACCATGTCTCTTGTGTCCTTGTCTTGAGTCACTGGATGTTGGATGTGTCCGAACCCTCTGACCCCATCTTGTCTCGTTCAAGCGGTCACCCAACGACGCCTGAGGAGCAGTAAAGGCTCGAAGCGGCCCATCCGAGCCGAAGGGAAACCAGGTGACTGTCTGCCCTGGTCCACGGGATGACGATGCGAGAGGAACTGAGACGTCGAATCGGTCGTGCCAGTGAGGATTTGGAGAGGATGGTGACTGCAGATACAATCGAGGTTTAATGCAACTAAAAGGTGGTCGCACAAAGGGTGACCGCCGGGAGAAGAGCAGCGCAGCCACTCTGGATGCGTTGAGCAAGCAAACTCTGATGCAGGCCGCCAAATGCCATGCCTGCGCCTGCGCCTGCGCCCACTCGACTGACATGAACGGCCTCCACCGACTGACACCACTGACACCAACTGACACCTTGGGATCCCTACTAGGTAGCCGATTCTGCTGCCCAAAAAGAAGTACGAATAAGGATGAGACGCAGATTGAGCCGACGAAAGGGAAGAATGGTGAGACTGAGGACGTGACCCAGTTACTGACTGACTGTCTCTATCCTATTTCTAAGAGAAATACCATCGCAATGCATCCAATCCCACGCGGTCTGTCGTCTTGCCCGCCAACCGTCAGCGCACCCGAAAGAAGCCTGAATCTGTCGTTTGTCCCTCCGAGTCTCTTTCTCCCCTCTCACATTCCCGCCGCCAACAGCCAACAGCCACTCCTACGCCTCCAAATCCATCTGTTGCTGCTTTTCTGCCCTTCCCCTCGGCGTCCGATTCTTGATTCTCTGCCTTCTGCGGGCACTCGACCTATGGCTGTGGGCTGTGGGCTGTGGGTTGGCGGATTGGCATTCGCTCTGGTTCATGGCTCTGACCCTCACTTGCTACTGACCCTGGGTCTTGAACGATTGAGGACGTCTTCATCCTCCCGCTGCTTCGTCCTCTGCTGCTCTTCCACCTCGACCAGCCTCTTACTCTCGGCGTCTCTCCACCTGATCGGCCGCAAACTCCCTCCCTGACCGGCCTCCTCCTCTTCCTTCCGCTGGGTCCTTCTACCACTCGTCCACCGACTAGGAAACGGGGGCCTTTACGACCTTGGGTCGTCCCTCAGGCTCCTTGTCTCTGTTCTCTGGTTCTCGGCCTCCACTCTGGGCCGGTACGGTATTGTATCGAGCCCAACGCCTAGCCTTTCCACATTACATACTAAAACAGCTTCATCCTGCTCCTTCCCTCTCGACGGACTCAGACCCATCTACATCTATTTTGAACAAGTCTCTTCCTGGTCTTTGTTTTTATAACTCAATTCACCATGATTGTTTATCCTGCCATCTTCTGCACACGCACCTAGAGTGTTCTGCCATTTCTTGGTGAAAGATCCACCTCCGGCGTCCTTCCCCACCTTCTCTCACCGCCATTTATCCATCTCCCGCCCGGCGCGCACAACAAACAAGTGCCGTTTCGATATTCCTTCCGCCCATGGCGATGCATTACTCGCAGCAGCCCTACTATCTGTACGGCCATCCTCAGTGGCCCGACGACGTCAAGCCGGCTCTCACTGAAGACGACTCCTCGGTCCTTGACGACAGAGTGCTGGACTCCTCCACCCCCGCCGACCTGGCAGCGGCCGATTCCTCTGACAGTCGACGTCCTTCAATGACCAAGATGGAGGATGAGTACGTCCCGCCGCATGTGTGGCAGGAACGGCCTCTTAGTGTTATGCCTCCGACCCGTCACTTTTCCCAGACCTCTATTCCACTGTCTAGCCCTCATGGCCAGTATTTCGGCCAAGGCAGCTCTGCAAGCTGCGGTCCGGATTATGTCCAAGCACAACCCTGGGCCGTCTCTACGCGTTCCGAGAACAATACACCAACACCGTTCTTCGGAGCGGTACAAGAACCCTTCGGTCAACAGTCCCAATACAATGCGGGCTCGGCAAATTTCTCCAGCTATCACCAACAGGACCCTGCTTCGGCAATATCCATGTCACCCCAGTCAAGTCAGGGCGGGTGGGCATCGACCACCTCGTCCGAAGCAGCTGAAGCCGGACATCTTCTGAGGCATTCCCGGTTCCGGCCCGCATCACCCTCGCTGGTGCAGAGATCCGATGGGATCAGGAAGAAGAATGCAAAGTTCGAGATCCCCAAGGACAGGAATCTGGCCAATATCGATGCCCTTATTATGCAATGCGCGAATGAGGAGGAAAAGAAGGAACTCAAACAGCAGAAGCGGCTGTTGCGAAACCGTCAGGCTGCGTAAGTAACCCGTGACACTCCTTTCTTCGCAGAAGCTAATTGCGTACCCGCTTTAGACTCGACTCCCGCCAGCGCAAGAAAACTCACACCGAAAGGCTGGAGCAAGAGAAGAGGCTTTTTGCAGGTCAGAAGGCTGAATTGGAGGAAACAATTGCCCAGCTTGAAGAAACATTTCAACAAGAAAGAGAGCAATGGCTTCAACAACGGCAACAATGTGACCAGCTTATTCATCAGCTGCAGTACGACCGAGACGAGGCCATCCGCACCAAAACCCTCGAGACAGCTGAACTGCGACGCATGAACAATGTCTTGAAAGAGACCATCAGGGATCTGGAGCGACAGAATACGCATCCCTACTCAGCCGGTGGTCCAGACACATTCTCCAACGACTTCGCCAATTTCAAGACCCTTGACCTTGAGGACAACTGGGATGATGGATTCAGCCTCATCAACAGCGATGACCTGAAGATGGAGGAGCCAGCCCACTTGCAGAGACAAGCAACGCCGCGGCCTCCTACTTCGTCGATCCAGGTGTCTGCAGCTTCCACAGCTGCCAAATCCCACGATATTCAGGTCGATGCCGGCTTCAGCTGGAACACTTTCTATATGTGCTTGCTGGCTGGCGCTTTTATCGTCTCCCAAGCTGGCTCGGAGGGACCTGTCACCGCGCCGCCTGCCGCCGTTGTGACATCTCACATGCCTGCTTTGTCCGATGACTACCGTGCCGAGGCCGGTAACGTCCTTAACGCTGTACTTTCGTCAGGGCCTGAGTCAGCACATGAAGTCCTGCCTTCTCGCCCTGCACCTTCTTCAGGACTGAACAGTTATCCTTCAACTGCAGCCGGATCCGATCTCTCGCCCATGACCACCCCAGTCTCTGGCAATCCCCTTGGAACCCTTCATGCAGACCTCACCACCCCATCACGGCAACAGCAGATGGCTGCCGTCTTCTCCCTTTCCGCAGCTTCCTACAACCATGTTGCGAACGCCGACGGCGCCTTTGACAGCGACGAAGACCAAGTTCATGAAGTAAAGCCTACTCGCCTGCAGCAGTTGTACGCTCAAATGCAGGCTGAAAAGGATGGCATTGAGAAACTTGGCGGGATGGGAAGCAAAGCGTGGGAGAGGAGTGTCTTGCTTGATCGAGTACCAGAGAAGGTGCTTCGAGATTTCCGAGAGATGATTGCTCGAGTGGAGTAGAGAAGTCGGGCACGCGTGACATTTTCTCTCGGGCCTCGACCGTTCCGATGGTATTTTCGATGGCGGTGACCGTGGATCCCGACCTCTTTTCCACCTCGATGATGTTGATTCGACCTCCGAGCACACTCTCGCTGCACACTCCTTTACAACTAACGAAATGGATTTCAATTCTCAGTGCGGGATGTTTTGAAATTTTGATTCTTCAAGGGACCACTAGCGAAAGATGATCAGCTTCAGGGCACAATTTCTTTACTTTTATGTTCCGGCTTCTGGATTTTCAGTCGTGAACTCTCGATATGGATTGATGACATAATGACAACGTTTATGACCTTTTTACGAACCCTTTCATGGGACAGTAAGACTCTGTGCAGGGAGACAGGAGATGAAAGCTCTTGGAGGTGCCACCAGATCGGAAATCCCGGCAGGAAGTGTTTCAGGTTTGGGATTCAGTGGTAGGATATGAGGGAAGAACTGAAAGTGAAGCTGGACAATGTTGATGATGATGACTATGATGACACATGATGTCGACGACGACTACAGATTTTGATGGCAACTAGATTCCTGTCTACAGAAACCATGCCTGAAAGGGGCATGCATGAGCTCGCGCAAATGATTGCAGACACCTAACGACCTTTATGATTATTTTCTTGGATGAGGGAAAGCCAGACTTGGATAGTCCTCACAATTATCAGTCGTTGTGATACTTAGGATAAGAAATGGGTATGAATATCGAACCCAGAACCACGATTTCAAACCAATGGAAAGGCGGATCTAGCCCAGTAAAGCTCGAATAAATAATTGACGATCGGCTCGACCGGCCGCGTAAGGTAGATCAAGCCCTTATGGCTCGTTCTCCTTCCTACCCTCAAATGATACCGGCAGCAGAAATCCAATATTGAATACCCCAAAAAGAGGTCGTCGAGATAAGATACACGCCATGGATGGAGATGGGGATGGCACGACGGCACGACGGCACGGGACGCCATCAGCCACGGGCCACAAGGCACGGACGGGATACGCCATGTCATGCCAGACCGCACCGCATCGCATCGCATCAGTGAGTGGCACAAGACACAGACTTGGCGACGTCGACACTGTGACTGAATATGTCCACAGCATGTTCGGCAAGAGAGCCCAGGGATGCTTCTGTAGTAACTGTTCGCAATTCTCGGCTCAATAATATGAGCTGAATCAAGAACGGACTTTCCAGTGTCCGACGACGCTCGCTCACCGCCTGTTGTTGCCTTTTGCTACCCTGATATATTTCTTCTTTGGTGATGGAAAACAGGGCAGATGACTCGAAGGCGACAAGGGCTGGACCTAAAAATGGCCAGAGGGAATATCGAGCCCGCCGGAACTGTTCATCAAGATCTCGTGACGCCTTGCTGTCGGACACTTGCTCTCACCCACGGCATTGAATCTGTCCCCTCACGCTGAACCGAGGAAAGTGTCCGTGGATAGTTTGCAAGGGTTTGCGTTCGGCCAGCAGCGTGTTTCATGTAGGTGGATCATACTTCTCTTTCCAGATCCTAATCATTACCAGAAGAACATACGTCAGCAGACAGTCTCGAAAACATCGTCCTGCGCTGCATATTGTGATGAGACATTGGCCTTGATGGCCTCGTCTAATGAACATTGGACAGGGAAATGACCCAGCCACCTGATTGCATGTAGTGGATCCAACAAACCAAGCCCGGAAAATAGGGAGAGGTATGTGTGGCCACGAGAAACAGGTCCGTGGCGGTGGGCCGGGTTGGAACAACGGTCGCAGAAAAGACTCTCGGAGTCTCACCGCCAATCAGAACAATCTTGGCCCAAGAATTCAGAAGCAACGCTAGAATTTCGACCGCTTTGATGGGAAATGGTCGGAATACATGGATTGTGTCGTTGGTATAGGGCCGTGCTGTGAGAACGGATCGACAGGCGACGAAACAAGAGCAAGAAACCACGATTCAGGCACTCACCAACTGTTCCCCAGCGTCTTCGCACCATTCTGCTCCGCCAATCTGAGAAGTTGTGCTGCTTTAAACTAGAGCCCGACATGCGTCAGTGTCATGTTATGTTTCTCCGAGACGAACAGAAGACTTGATTCGCCAAAGCAGCCACAGTCAGAACTAATGCAAGGGACAAGGTCAACAGGTCCTGGAAACGGTCGCTGACTGGGGAGGTGGTTTCTGCATTGCTGCCCAAAGTGATGCAGCGATTGAGAGCACGCTGTATTGGGTATTTTGCGTATTTGGGGGCCGCCGCAGCTCGAAATGGTGTCAATCCCACACAGACGGCGTCGATGAAGACAGTCCCGATTTAGAGGAGACGCTCAGGCTGTGCGACCCCTCGATCGACAGACGTAGTGTATCAATGCGGCTCAGCTGGCCCGCTGGCGCAGTCAATCACGTGTGACGGCAGTCTCAATGTTGGGTTTCATTGTGGTCGTCAACTTCCAGGGTACATGTGGCTGCCCCCAGCATCCAGCAGGATTGAAATAAAAGTTCTGACTTACTTTGTCCTTTTTGCCCCCAAATCCTTCCAGATAGCACCAAGCAGCTTCGTTCATGGCGTCGGTGTCTCCCAGGTTGGCTGCAGTCTCGTAATATTGCCGCGCCGCAACTTTGTCGACGGGAACACCCCAGCCGTGCCTGAAGCAGTTTGCCAGTTCAAAGATGGCCAGCACAAGCTCTCCCTTCGCCGGTCCCCCCTTCTTCATTCCAGCTTTCAGGGCATCTGACTCGATGGTGGCGGAATTGGCTGCCGCCGCAGACAAATAGGTGACCGCTCGAGCGGGATCTGGTTGACATCCCCAGCCATGTCGAAGAGACAGGCCGTATAGAACCTGAGATAAGACGTTGCCGGCGTCCGCAAGGGTGCCAAACATTTCGGTGGCTTCTTCGAGGTTGCCCGATTCGTGGAGCTGAATCGCTGTCTGTATGTTGGAGTCGCTGACCGGGTCATTGATGCTGCGTGGACGTGCTGGGGATGACGTTGCCGGCCCCAGGCCTGGGTTCTGCAAGTCTCCTGGGTCTGGTCGTGAGGGCACGACAGGAATTTGGCTAGCTAATATGGTAGCACGTTCCTCCCATTTCGCCTCTTTCTCCTGACGATCTCCAGGCTCGATGTATGTATCGTCAAGGTTTGGAAGGTTTGGCGGTAGGTTGACCGAGCTGGCACTGGTCGACCGGTCTCTCTTCAGGTGCAGACGCTGGGACAGTCTTTTATGTTCCTTCCTTTCCTTCTCGGGAGACGAGTCTGAGGCGGATGGACTGACACTTTTGCGGAAGCGTCCGAATGACCGTCTTGTCACAGAAGGGGTCCTCGGTTCGGGAAGGGGGACTTCTTGCTCGTCTCCAAACGCAGGAGGTTCGATGTGTTCTTCGGTGTGGGTGTCTGTGCGTACAAAGGTGAACTCGCTGGCTTGTGGTAATGTCTGTGACAGCGGTGTGGCCTTGTCCAACTTCTCCTTCTTCCTGAGCAGGTCTTTGAGCGGCATGATTGCAGGCTCCTCCAGATGTCTGCTGGCTACCGGAGGGCACCGGATTTAGATTTATATGGGCGGTGAGATCGAAGGGAGATATAAAGGAGATCAGGAAATGCTTCGGTACCGGCGCTGTCTCTTGACATTCGTGCAGGAATGAGGCATGGCTCAGAGGGAGGAAGGGAATGCGACACGACACGTGTGAGGCTGTGCTAGCGGTTGTTGATGAGGTGGCGGCTACATTATGGAAAGGATCGATGCCTGGAAGCCGGCGAGAGAAGTGCTGTCTGTTCACTGTAAGGGAGTGGTGAGTGGTGAGTGGTGAGTGGTGAGTGGTGAGTGGTGAGATCGAGGGCTAGGGCTTAGAAGTGGCTGCGATGGCTGCAATTGCAAGTTGGGGGCCACTATTATTGATCACTTCGCAATGGGAACCTGTGGTACGCCATCAGCTCGTTCTTGTTCTGGCCTTTGGTTTCTCTTTGTCGTCCGTTCTTGCTCTGGCATTGCATGATGGCTGGAATGGAAACTGAGAGTCTGAGAGTCGGGCATCGATGTGGCAGCACCAAAACCCCTCGCCCACCTGACGCAAGATACCTGTGGTTCATTCTCCTGGAGAACTGAAACTCTCACCCGCGGCTTGCCACCGGCTCCGTCCAAAGGCTCAAAGTAGGCTCCTTAGCCCTGTAGCGTCCACCTGGGGCCTAGGGGACTTGGGGGCTAAGGCTAACCAGGCCAAGGCTCCTTAGGCGGGGGCGGGGAAGCAGGAGGGAAATCTCGGGCAGTTCAAGCGACGCTCTGTACTCTCTTCTACTGCTGTGGTATGTGTCGGCGTCATGTCGCCGCCTTCAACGTACGATACGCTTCATCCTCGACGACGCCCATGGTCTTCGCTTGCCTCACGCCCTTAGTGTCGCGGTCGCCATCTCCACGTTCATTCCTGTGGAGATTTAGCTTTCCTGTGGACGTCTTCAGATAGCCTTCTACATTTCACAGGTCTGCCTATACTAAGGTATCTATCTCATCTACATTAACAGGCACTCCAGACCCAGGCACGCCCAGGTCCAGCCATGGATATTCTCGATCTACCGCAAGAGATTCTTGGTCATATCCTATCGTACCTCCATCCGGCAACCATTGTCCGCTTTGGGCAAACCTGCAAACACGCTCACGACTTCATTGGCCCGCGCAACCAGATCTTGTGGAAGTCTGCCTTCTCGCACGTCTTCGACGATCCCAATGATGCTTGGTCCTTGATGCCAGGAACCTCGCGCGCCCCCAATGGGACGCCAGTGGAATGGGATTGGCACTGGGAGCTGGTGGGAAGATTGCGGGCATTGCAGGTAATCCGGTCGAAATGGCGAGTTGCTGACGAGCACGACCATCTGGAAAAGCATCTGAACGCAGTTCTCAGCATGCTCGACACGGCCAAATTTGCTCCTACCGCGCGGGAGCTCGCCAACGGTAAAGTGCCCTTGGAGGACGACCGGTATCTGTCGCTCAATCTACAAATCCTTTCAGACCTCGATCGGTATCGAGATGGACTGGAGAACCTCATCCACGACACAGGGACGCCTCAATGCATCAAATACTCCGGCTCGGATGGGAATCCATGGAACTCTCCCAGGTATCCGGTCACACGATCGATGAGTTTCGACGAACACGAGAAACACAGGCCAGAGTCGGCTTCCAGACTGCATGTTCTCTACGGCCTCACCGTGCGTGAGCGCATCACCCACAAGGCCCGTGGTGCAGCTCGCCGCAAGGTCTATGACTGGCACCGGGTCGGGCCAGATAACGACTACGGTCCTTTCAAAAGGGATGGTAGCGGCCATGTCGACTGGTCTCTGCTCGAAGGGGTGTGCAGCGTCATCTCGCGCAGTTTTGAAATGTGTGTGGATGGCCACATCGCCATGCCTCAGGGCTTGAGCTTCTCCATCCCCCACCGCTCTTTGATCGACCCAACCACGCCGACAGATTGGGCCCGGGTCACGGGCCACTGGTTGGGGACGTACTCCTTCCTTGATTTCGCCGACCTGTTCGCCTACAATACATGGCACGGCGACGCCCGGCCCAGACTGGATGATGAGCCCGAGGCTTGTGGCGACCTCATGAAGCTCGAACTGAAGCTAGATGACACGCTATCCGGCGACCCGCGGTTGCACACATCTCTTCCCGTCTGTACAGACTTGCCCATGCTCTTCTTTTCGGGTCTGTCCCGAGCCCACGTGGGCGTTCATCGGCCGGCTGTTGGGATTCGCGGCTGTGCGTGCCTGGTGCCCGGAGGGAGAGAGGTACGATGGCGCTTCATCATCTCCTACGGCGGAGAGGACCAGTGGCAACTGGAAGGCATTCAACCAGGTGGCATTAGATCTGGAGGGGTGTATGGCCTGTGGTCTCAGTGTGACCATGACACAAACGGCCCAGTCGGCCCATTCTGCTATTTTCCTGCCGAGCTGTGCAAGTCCACCAGCGTGGTCTTGTTGGCTTGAGGTCCTAAGTGGCTTCCCAGACAGTTCAATACTACTCGACGACGGTTGACGCGAACAGATGTCCGTTGCGACCGGGAGCGTTCTTCTTATCACAGTCGAACCTACTACGAGTTTGATGCTCGCCACAGCCTCCTAGACAGCCAATAGAGTTTGAACCCAACATCTCCTGGGGGACATCGGAGATAAAGGGGAGCCCTCCATTTATAGAGCAAGCCTGGTGTTGGTTACACAAGCCCTACTGAATGGCGATAGATCGACAATCTTAGCTGTCGCCTTCAAGTGCACTGCTCACAGTCGCGCAGACTCGACAGGGCGAGTGATCGCCCCATGGTAACGTCAGGCCCTCGGATGAAGCGATAGCATGTTGTCTTTTCGATGGGGGCCGCAGGGCTAGGCATGGCCATCTGAGGCTGCCATGAGAAACAAAGGACGGGAGGCGGAGCGGACCTCCCGCAGCTTGCAAATGTCGAATACATGGTTGGTTCCATGCTGGAAGTACAGAGCAGATCAGCGACTTCGACGGTCAATTGAGACCATGTTCCTCCAGATCAAAGCACCAGCAAGTCTGTTTTGAAGCCATCCTTACAAGGAGGGTGATAAGGCTAAGGAAGCACTGTACAGCTCGTACGGCTCGCACAGCGACGGGCTCCGGCCGATTCACGTTGACGATTGCTTGAATGAGAACAAGGAGACACGGGTGGAGAAGGGGATATCTTTCATGCATTGCTTCTAGCCAGTCGAGACACTAGCACTCCCTTCGCTTCTTGGGTCATCTACGCGCTGGCCAGACATTAAGCAGTCATCTCCAAGCTTCGTGTCTTGATCGAAGCGCAGCTCCAGAGGGTAAGCCGCCCACGGTGGCGGATGTTGCAGCTCTTTCCTACCTGCACCATGTTTTGAATGAAACACATCGGCTTTTCCCAGTGGTCCCCTTAAATGGCCGTACTGCCAAAGTCGACACAGTCCTTCCAGAAAGGGGCGGCGCCGACGGAAGCGAGCCCTTGCTGGTCCCAACCGGGATCAAAGTGACCTTCAGCATCTACGCTTCGCACCACAGGCGGGACATATTTGAATCGGACGCAGATGAGTCTCGCCCAGAGCGATGGGTGGAAGGAGAGGCTGAGGCCGGCAGGAACTTTGTAGGAGCTTTCGTGCCTTTCATTCTGGGACCTCGTGTTTGTCTAGGCAGTACGTGGTCTTTGCGGTTCATTCTGACATAGCCCATGCTGGCCACCATGCTTCAGAGAACATGGCAATGATGACAGTCTCGTATATCGTCGTCCGTCTGCTCCAGAGTTTCAAGCATATAGAGACGGCGGAGGTGCCAGACTTCGTAAGAGCCCCAAGGCGACGACAAGGCTGGCCGAGCGAGGAGACACGATATGACATGAAAGATGGCCAGACCACATTCAACATCGGAATCACGATGTCTCCCCGTGACGGCGTGTGGGTGAAACTGCAGCAGTCCAGTCAATGAGCCGGCACCGCACAATGGTACAGGAAACGTTGGAAGGTTGGCAGTCCCATGGTCTTTGATTGCGTTACAGGGCTGACCGCCGGATGACCGGTGTTGGAGCGTGACGTTGAATGACAATCCTGTCGTCTACGCCAGGGGAAGGATGTCGGCGTCTGATGTTCCCGCTGACTGTGGTGAGGAGAGTGGCGGAAGGATTTGCCCGGTCCGATGTCTCATTAGCAACCATGATATTTGCAACTTTAATGCAGAGTACACGCCCACGAGGGGATTCCTTGGGATGGAATGGTATCCCGAAGATGTTGCTGCTTCCCCGCGTGAATACATTTTATTCGGCCAAACGCTTGGATGTTATGGAAAACGGTATCCTCACTTCACTCCTTGTAAAGCGTGAGTCCGTTACCGGTGAGTTCGTGGATCCCTACTTGTCGAAACATGCAAACAGGTTTCGTAAAGCGGTTCAGGCACTCGGGGCCGCATAGTGTATCCTGGCACCCGAGAGACCACTCGCAACGAGCTGGTACACAGAGGTGGAGGCGGAAGACGGAACCGTCGACATAGAATCGTTGATTGAACTGTCTCTAACGGCAGCCGCGGCAGCAGTCAAACGTGGTCGCATGGTGGAGGGCTCATTGAAGAAGTCGTCGTCACTGGAAGGACGGCCAGTGCTGAAGATCAAGTGCATCAGCTGTTTGATCATGATTTGCCAGACCTGGAGCTACAACAATAGAGAGGAAAAGACAAATAATTCGCAGAAAATGAGGACGTGGGAGGAGGGGGTTTACAAGACAAGACCCTGCCAGAATGCAGCCATCTTATATATCGGTTAGACAGGAGGAGGGACTCGGTATGTGATCGTTGGTGGCGGCGGGTGACATTCACCATTCAAACTTGGAACGTCACACCGGCGGGCCGATCGGCTCAGATCCGATCAATTCGACGGCGGTATGTGTATATCCATCTCTTCCCGTGCCATGGCAGTGATCTGTACAGATTCTCTGGGTCTGGTCTCTTGAATGTCCCGGCTGTTGCGTGTCCCAGTTTTCACGAGCTGTGGATGCGGGGAGTAGTGTGACATGTAGGACTCGGAGTGGGCGGCAACCAGCGGAATCAAGGTCGCTACAGAGTTGCTCGCTTTCGCTTCGGGGAGTGACGCGGCCTCAGTTGCAGTGTCCGGTGTAGTTTGGTTGTGAACTGGCCGTCCACTTCAGATCGTGAGACAGATAGCATGTCGGCCCTGCAGCTGATCTTGACCTGTTCAAGTGGAAAAGGCATTCCAAGGCAGCAGGTGGGAGAGAGGAGGTGTCAACAGCAAGTTTCGCTCGAGGTACTATATTTCTTGTACTAGTCAGTGCGCACCTGCGCTACTTGTGTTGACAGCGGGCTGGATCGCCCGTTTTGACGTCGCCGGATCTTTCACCACCCTTTGGCATTCTGGTACACTCTTGGTCGAGCCCTTGAAGCGTAATCAGGGCTCACCCATAGGTTCGTCATGGCTTCGCCATTCATCAGGCTTCCCAGTCAAATTGGCTACGAGCGACGGTTATCACAAAATAGGGCAAGGATGCCACTAGTTGCTTTAAACGGCTAAGATACTGTATGCCCCGAGAAAGGAATGTCTGCCGATGGATTCCCTCTAACCCGGGTAGACCACTACACTTATTGTCCCTACCACCTCTTCTTGTCTACAATACCAAGGTTGGGGACATTAGCTCCGTATATAAGGAATGCCACAGGTTACAGGCTCCAGACTAGACCATTTAGAAAGAATTGAGAGACGAAACGCAAGGGCGCGAGTCTGTCGCCTATGATTCTGCTTATAGATAGTCGACAGGCCTTGCAGTTGCTCAATTCGTCCAGTCAGCTCCAACCCGCACCTTCCCAACCTGCTCACTGCTTTCTAGTGCACACTAGATCCTCTGCTCACCACTGCAGCTCCATTGCATATCTGGGTATCAAACGGTCCCCAGATCACACGTGACGGTACCGGGTCGCTTGATTTGGAGTTTGCCACCAATTCAAGTCACGTCGCCCGATGGAGGACGAGAAGGCTTCCCAACACGAACAGTCTCGTCCTCGTCCTCATCCTCGTCTTCATCCTCATCGTCTTCCTCGTCGTCTTCCTCGTCGTCTTCCTCGTCGTCTTGCCCCGCGCTGTCGCTCTCGGCTTCCCCTTCGGCGTCGCCTAGAACAAGTCCATCATGGCATGCTTCTGCACACACGTGGTCACCCTCTGATGGTGGACTCTGTCGGTGGTGGTGGTGACGGTCGTGTTTGTGGCGTTCGCCGTGTTGACGATGCTCATACTGATAAGTGCCTTGCGTGAAAAATAGAGGAATTTCAACTCTCTTCGAGGAAGAAGTAGTTTCCATTCATCTTCTGCTCCTGATCCATCTGGGATTGGTATTTGTTGATTCGAGGACGGTAGGAGTTCGGGTCTCGTCGGAACGTGACGTCCAGATTCTTCAAGAACTTGTTGCATCCGGTCAACAGGCTTTCTGGGGCATTCGCATGAGCATTCACTGATGGTTTGCCGTCAAAGACAATGACACGGTCAGCCAGATACGTCGCCATGATGAAATCGTGCTCAACAATGAAGGCCGTCTTCTTGCTGTGCATGATGAAACGTTTGATGACTCGAGCTGCAATGATTCTTTGCTCGGAATCCAGATAGGCCGACGGCTCGTCGATGAGGTAGATATCAGCGGGAAGGCCGAGAGCCAAGACGATAGCGACACGTTGCAGTTCACCTCCAGAGAGATTCTGGACTTCTTGATCAATGAAGTCATCGATTTTCAAGGGCTTGTAGACGTCCGTCTGGAATTGGGGGTTCAAGAACGAGGCCTTGATTCGCTTGAAGAATAGTTGACGGACAGTCCCTTGAAACCTGGGTGTGATCTTCTGCGGTTTCATCGAGATGTTCATGGCGGGCACCTTCTGGAGGCCATCAGGCTTCTCAACGCCCGCCAGCATCTTACAGAACGTAGTTTTGCCAGTGCCGTTCTCGCCCATCATGACAATGATCTCAGAATCAGTGAATGTCCCGGTTTCGACCTTCAGGTGGAAATTGCCGAGGGTCTTTTCCATGGTGGGATATTGAAACCCACGATTTTTGTCAATCATGAACTCCTCTCCAGCTTCCGTAAGCCTGAAGGTCAGACTCTCCTCCCGGAAACGTAGATTTTCCGTCGGGATATTGCCGTCGAGGAAAATATTGATGCCCTCTCGCACGGAGGCAGGGAGTGTGACAACGCCGTAGACCGCAGGTTTACCGTAAAGAACACAAATGAAGTCGGAGAGGTAATCCAAGACCGACAGATCATGTTCGACGACAATGACATAGTCGTCGGGCCTAAGGAGTTCTCGGATGGTCTTGGCCGCACTTAAACGCTGCTTGACATCAAGGTACGACGATGGTTCATCAAACATGTAGACTTCTGCTCTTTGAACACAAACCAGCGCAATTGCGAATCGTTGCAACTCTCCGCCAGACAACAGGCCGATCTCTCGGTCCGCTACCGCCCTCAGTTCTGAAGTGTGTTAGCCTGTATCTTGATGAATCTAGAGTACCGGTCTTACCAAGAACATCCATGATATGCTCCAAGTTGCCCATTTCGGATTTGGCTTCAATCAGAGGTCGGACTGTCTTGATCGGGCCCTTGATGGCCCGTGGAAGTTGATCCACATACTGTGGCTTGACAATGGCTTTGAGATCATCTTCAAGCACCTTTGTGAAGTAGTCTGTATGAAGTTTAGCGACCCGGTACGGCATGGCATGGCAACTTCAAGGATCACATACTCTGCAATTCTGAGCCACGGAAGTATTTCAAAATCTCCTCCCAGTCTGGAGGATTGTCATATCTTCCCAAGTTTGGTTTCAGCTTGCCACTGAGAATCTTCAGCGCGGTACTCTTGCCAATACCGTTGGTCCCAACCAGCCCAAGAACCTGTCCAGGTCGTGGCATGGGAAGTCGGTGCAACTTGAAACTGTTTGCGGAGTATCGATGCGTGACTTGGCTCTCAAGGTTCGTAGGCAAATTGATGATATGGATGGCACCAAAGGGACATTTTTTCGGGCAGATACCACAACCGATGCACAGCCGTTCAGAAATGTAAGCGATCTTGGATTCGGGAGTGACCTCGATGCAGAGTTTTCCGGTTCGGACGACAGGGCAGGATTTCTTGCACTCCTGTCGACATTTCTGGGATCGGTCAGTTAGGAGCCTTCCTAGCGGGTTCTTTGGATTGCTTACCTTTGGTTTGCACTGAGGGGCAGAAAATATACCGTTAACGAGGAGTCACAGACAGAAAGAAGGATAATGATGGTATGAACGAACCTTGTCGCTATTGACAATCGCAATTCTGCAGCAAAGGTCAGCCACGGTCCAGCTCAAGACATTGTCCTTGCCGCCTCTTACCTGGTCAATTTGTCCGCCATTGTGTGAGTAGTGTCAATGACCGAATGCGAACGAGGAGGAGGCTGAAGAGGAGGATACTGAATGTGGGCGAGAAGAAGGTGACCCAGTACCAAGCGCAAGGCAGGATGAAGAGTGGCTGTATCCCTCTTCACTTGTTTGTGTGAGTCAACGGCAGTAATAGACTCGAGCCCGACAATCGGCCTGGGATTGATTGTGGAAGAGGATGCGGTGAACGGAAAGAGGCCTTGAATGAATGAATGAACTGCAGTGGGCAGAATAGCCACACCCAAAATCAAAATTCATGGTCCTATGATTGGATCAATTGCGGGGGTTGAATGGCCCGCCCGACAATTCATCAGTGTGTTCAGCGTTGTATGTGCGCTTGACCGTACCACAATAGTAGTACTATACCACAATGGGTTTAGTGGCATGTTCTTATTGTTCGTGCCTGACTCGCGAAGGCTTGGCAACAGGCTGCGGTGAATAAAGTCACGTGCCCAGCCACCCAAGGCAGCGCAGGGTACCGTTAGTAGGGCAGGTCCTCAAGCGTCCCTCACTGCGCTCTCACCACTACTCTTTACCCCGAGAAAGCATCGTGCGCCCATACACTTTCATCTTTCCGCACCCACCTCTATACCACTCTTCCACCTTCAACCATTCTTCCATTCCACAACCCACACACCTGTCAATAACTTGTTCTAAGATTCTAACGCGCCTGGAGGGCTCTTCTGGCTGTGGATGGAGTGTAAGTTGTCCCTTTTACCCTCTCAATTTCCCTGTATCGGCTCGCAGTCATGTTGCTTTTCCTGGCGGCTGCTCGGCCTCGCATCAAAAGCTCAACACCATCCGACGAGATGAATATCTCCTCTTCTATGGCTTCTACAAATCTCCCGAGGCGCCGAGGACCGCTCTGAAGATCGCCTGATTCTGTTCTCTTGCCGAATCACGTCGGGAGGGCAGCCAGGAGCCATCCCATCCTTCTCACGCTAAATCATCTCGTCGTCCCTCGTTCTCATCGAATCCATCTTATATTGGTCATTATTTCTGCCAGAAGCCCTTGTAACGGATATTTTTGTCGGTATTTGGGTCGCAGGAGCTCAAATATCATTTCATTTCGTTGTTTTCGGCCCAAAGCCATCTGGTGGCATACCTTGCTGACGCTCTACTTCACAGCCTCTACTATCCTCGCACAACCGCCTCCACCTTCAATATCCGAACATTCACTGTCCTTTGGCGGCGCTTCCGAGCGGTCTGGGGCCGTCATGCAGAACGGAATCAAGCCTAGTGACAGTGAGAGTGATCTGTCAGAACCAGCAGAGCCTCTCGCTGCCCAAGCCTCGCCGTCAGGTGTCCGAGTCGATGGCGACGATAAACTTCCCATAAAAAACGAAGACTCAGAACCCGATTCCGACGAGCCAGAGCCTCACGGCGACGCTGATTACGAGATGGACACATCGATGCAGGCAGACGGGGTCGAGTCAGAGCATCACAACTCCTCATCGGATGAATCCGTAAGACCTGCGAAGAGAAAGGCTCACCAACTTGATGACGAGGAATACATCCGAAACAACCCGGAGATATACGGTCTGAGACGAAGTGGCCGGTCGCGACCTACCTTGAACATGGCAGAATCTTCTGATGAGCAAAATTCCGAGTCAGATGTCGTTGTTCGCCCTCGAAAGCGTTTGCGACAAACCTCGCAGCGGTCCTCCAAGCAGCCTACTCCCGTGGTCGAATCTCCCACTGCTTCAGACAATGATTCCGACGCGTATGGTGGTCGCCGTGCCAAGTTGACGAAGAAGCAACGCCGGAGATTGTTGCAGTCTACCGAAAACCTGACACCTGCTCACGCCGAAATCCGGTTCTCCACGCGTCGAGCTGCGAGAGTATCTAATTACAATGAAGATGATGACGATGACATGTTCGAAGATAATGACCCCGACACTCTTACACCCAACTACTGGGCAAACGGTGCGGAGGACAATTCCCCGGCCATCGACATCGTCTTGAACCACCGACTGAGAGTCGACGTCACTACCCCTTCGCATAACAAAGAGGACTACGAGTTCCTGATCAAATGGCAGCAAAAGGCTTACTATCATGCGACCTGGGAAAGCTACGAGTCTCTTGCGGGTGTGAAGAGTCTTCGGCGACTGGATAACTATATCAAGAAGACCCTGCAAGAAGACATCCGAATCCGCAATGATCCAAGTGTTGCGCCAGAAGATAAGGAGAAATGGATCCTCGACAGAGAACAGTACTTCGACGCACTCGAAGAACACAAGAAGGTTGAACGAGTGATCGGCGATCGCGACGGCGAAGACGGCACCGAATACTACGTCAAGTGGAAAGGTCTGCTCTATGACCAAGCAACATGGGAGCCGTCGAGCCTCGTCAGCCAAATTGCACAGAACGAAATTGATCGCTACATCAACCGGAGACGTCAGGATTTCAAGTCCAATACCGCCGAAAGCAACCCTTCGACCCGGTCTTCCTTCCAGCCCATGCGCGAGCAACCATCGTATATCCAAAACGGTACCCTGAGAGATTTCCAGATGACTGGCGTCAACTTCCTTGCTTACAACTGGGTCAAAGGCAAGAATGTTGTTCTCGCAGATGAGATGGGCTTGGGAAAAACCGTGCAAACTGTTGCCTTTCTGAGTTGGCTGAGACATAATCGTGGCCAACAAGGTCCCTTCCTCGTCACCGTTCCGCTTTCCACAATGCCGGCTTGGGCGGACACGTTTGACTTGTGGGCTCCTGATATCAACTATGTCATTTACAATGGCGGTAAGAACTCTCGAAACATCATTCGGGATTATGAGTTATTACCAGATGGGAACTTTCGCCACCCGCGCTTTCATGTCCTTCTCACGACTTACGAGTATGTTCTACACGATGCACCATTCCTGAGTCAGATCAAGTGGCAGTTCATGGCTGTCGACGAGGCTCATCGGCTGAAGAACCGCGACTCCCAACTGTACGATCGTTTACGTGAGTTCAAAGCTCCTGCTCGCCTGCTCATCACGGGCACACCAGTCCAAAACAACCTTGGTGAGCTGTCGGCTCTGTTCGACTTCTTGAATCCCGGCGTCGTCAACATCGATGAGAACATGGACTTGACCACCGAAGAAGCCAGTGCTAAGATCGCTCAGCTTACCGAGGACATCAAGCCATACATGCTTCGAAGAACCAAGCAGAAGGTAGAAAAAGACTTGCCTCCCAAGACGGAGAAGATCATCCGCGTCGAGCTCTCCGATATTCAGCTGGAATATTACAAGAACATCCTGACCAAGAACTATGCTGCTCTCAATCAAGGTGCAAAGGGTCAGAAGCAGTCTTTACTCAACATTATGATGGAACTAAAGAAGGCGAGCAACCACCCCTTCATGTTTCCAAGTGCCGAGGAACGTCTTGTCCCCGATGGCGCTCGCCGCGACGAGGTCTTACGTGCTCTTGTTACAAGCAGTGGAAAGATGATGCTTCTGGATCAGCTGCTTACCAAGTTGAAGCGTGATGGTCATCGCGTGCTAATTTTCAGCCAAATGGTGAAAATGCTGGACATCCTCGGAGACTACATGGAATATCGAGGTCATGCTTATCAGCGACTTGATGGCACCATTGCTGCAGCTGCCAGACGGATCGCTATCGACCACTTCAATGCTCCGGAGAGTTCTGACTTTTGCTTTTTGCTTTCTACAAGAGCAGGAGGTCTTGGGATCAACCTGATGACTGCTGACACCGTCATCATATTTGACTCAGATTGGAATCCGCAGGCGGATCTCCAAGCTATGGCTCGTGCCCATCGAATTGGTCAAGTGAAGCCTGTTAGTGTTTATCGGTTGGTTTCCAAGGAGACAATCGAGGAGGAAATCCTCGAGCGAGCGCGGAACAAGCTTATGCTGGAATTCTTGACCATCCAGCGTGGTGTCACTGACGAAAAAGCTCAAGCGAGACGCAGCGCCCTGGCTAGCGAGCCTACTAGCTCCAGTGAAATCTCCCGAATTCTGAAAAAGCGAGGACAGAAGATGTTTGAGCAAACAGACAACCAGAAGAAACTTGAGGAACTTGATCTCGATGCAGTTCTCAACAGCGCCGAAGACTACAAGGTTGAGCAGCCCGATGGCACTGAAGCCGATGGAGGAGAAGAGTTCCTGCGCACGTTCGATTTTGTGGATGTCAAAGTCGACGAGTTGTCTTGGGATGACATCATCCCCAAAGAACAACTTGAAGAGATCAAGGCGGAAGAGCAGCGCAAAGCCGAAGAGAAATATCTCGCCGAGGTGATCGAGCAGAACAAGCCGCGAGTACGCAACCTTCAAACCGAGGACCGGGAAGCTCGCAAGGCACGACGTCAAGAGCAGCGACAGAAAGAAGTTGACTCAGACAGCGAATCCGAAGAGGGCCCCAAAGCTGACCCAGCACGCCCTCTCAGTGAGCGGGAATATCGCTATCTCATCAAAGGTCATCTTCGATACGGTTCAATTGACGACCGCCAAGAAGAATTCTTGACAGAAGCACGCCTCCGTGGGAGGGACCTTGGTGTTGTCAAAGCTGCCATGCAAGAGGTCTGGGACAAGTCACTCGAATTATACACTGAAGAGCAGAACCGCATGGCCGATCTGGAGCGGACCGCGAGTCGCCCTATCACCAAGAAGGATAGGAAGGCAATCCTTTTTGAGCTCCATGGAGTCAAGCGAATCAACGCTGAGACAATCCTTGAGCGGCCAGGTGAGATGCGGCTGCTGCAAGAAGTTACCTCGAGGGAGTCCGACTTCAGATCCTTCCGCGTTCCCGAAGCTACCAAGAATGCTGGTTATACTTGCGCTTGGGGTGCTAGGGAAGATGGCATGCTCTGTGTCGGCATCGCTCGGCATGGCTATGGCGCATGGGAGAAGATTCGCGACGATCCCGACCTTGGCCTCAAGGACAAATTCTTCCTCGAAGAACATCGTGTCGACAAGAAAGCTGAACGTGAGAAGGGGGCTGAAAAGAATGCAAAGTCACCTGGTGCAGTCCATCTAGTTCGGCGTGCTGATTACCTCATCTCGGTACTGAAGAGCAAGTACGGGGATGATCCAGCTGCGAAGAAGGCGGTCGAAAATCATCATCGGAATAACAAGAAGATGAATGGTGAAAAGGGCACAGAGTCACCTGCTCCTGGATCCCATCGTAAGGTGAATCGTGATTCGGAGAAGCCTCGACATCGCACCAGCCAAGCTCGCCGTGAGAGTTCCGAGAGATACGGAACCCCGAGATCTGAAGCACGTCCTAGCCATGGGAAGCATGAGGGTGACAGCAGAGATCATAAGGATCGCAAGCACCGCGACGATCATGGTCATACACGCCACAATAGGCATGCAAGTGATCACAGACGTGGCGAAAACAATGCCAATGGCCACGCTCACGAGGTCGATCCTCTGATGGTGATGCTGTTCAAACCTGTTAAGGAAAGTTTGAAGAAGATCAAGGCTACCACGAAAAACGCCATACCCGACGCTCAATTACGAGCAAACGAACTCAGATCGTTGTTGAAAGAGATAGGCAGCTTTATTACTGAGCAAGTTGCGGAGCTCGATGACAATCACGACTCGGTCGAGAAACGCTTCTGGTAAGTCTGACGAACCAGTTGCTTGATATCCAGCTAACAACAAACAGGGAGTACGCGGCAACATACTGGCCAAACAAAGGTATCAGAGGCAAAGAACTGCAAAATATACATGGCAAAATCGTGGCTTCAGACAACAAGCTTGTTGGGGAAGCTTCGCCTAATGATGAATCCAAAAATGTTGATGGACGCGCTAATGGATCATATCACACCTCGCCGCCATCATAGCCAACGAGCCTGGAGACTTCATGGACTGGTATGGTCTGGCAGACCGCGCCAGATGCATACTGATCGCAGGTTTGAGACGGTGCTTAGCAGTTTCTCCAACTACCTCTACCGTTTCAAGGTTACCTTTTGATCAATCGACTTCACAAGCCAGCGAAATGATGCCGTGGGACAATATACTTCCCTTCGGCAGCGGTACCAAAACACCAAAATTCGAAATCATGAACATTTTAGCGATTGCATAGCATGGCCTTGGACGACTGTCACGGGGGTTATCTGGGGTTAGAGCTGAAACGGAAAAAGAACAGACCGGGAGAAGATATCGAGGAGGCGTATCGGTGATGGGGCTTGCTTTGCTTTGACCCATGGGTCATCGGAGTTGGAGGGTTTCTGTTGAGGAGGGCATGATGAGGCCTCCCCTGAGCGACTGAACAAGCATGGAGCCACGGCGTTGGATGTACTTTATCTGGGACCGGCACGTCGGAGGAGCGGAGGAGCGGAGGAATCGGAGGAACCGGGGCGGCATAGCTGGGAGGAACGGTCAAAAAAAAGGGCGGCTACTATATGTTCTGCCGAAGATCAAAGTGGAGGAGGACTGAGGGAGGGCGGGAATAGCAATGCAGTGCAGGACCATGGGGGAAACCAAGAAAAAATTCACGAGAGCTGCTGGCTTGGGGATGAGGACTAGGAGTGGCCGTCGACAAAAGTACAGTCATTGTCCCAGTCATACCAGTTTAGTAGTGCCTCAAAAGGGTACCTTTTTGCAGTGGTGATAGAGCGAGGTTACCTTACCTATGCCTACTTGTTCAACCCAGAACCGGAAACAATCCACTCTCTGCAATATTAAATGGTAGAGGTCTACTACACCACTCGGGAGCGAAAACTGCGAGCCACTGGACGCTAATAAGCAAGGCTGAGATTTTGCAAAAATGCCTTACCCAACAGTAGACTGTAGGTACTACGGGCAATACACTTTCAGTGAGGTCAAACAGACTAGACTGTGTAAATTTCCATGTCATCTGCCTGGGTCTCTTCTATCTGCTTGCAAGTCGGAGCGCTGTTACATGCTTCTCAATACAGTCTTCGAAAATTAAAGGCACTTCAAGGCTAGACATTGAACAACCAGCTCCAAGACGCGGCAGCCAGCAACATGGGACGGCCGATGCTTCCTTGCGCCGTAGACTCCATCGTTTCATTCATCCGCCGAGGGTCGCTTGGGTATCAAAACTCGTCGGGGCCTAGGCTTTCAGCCGCTTCTCCTCGCAAGGCCCGCAGACAGCCTTCTCCTCAAGCTTGCGCATGATGCCTTTCCGCATCTCCTTCTCCGTGGGGGCGACCTCGACGTCGCGGATGAAGAAGCGTCCTTCGTCGCCAAAGCCGCCTCCGCACTCGAAACAGACGAAGCAACGTTCATGGTATTTGCCGCCCAGGGCTTCGACGGTCAACTCGTCCAAGATCTGCTGCTTACACTCCCTGCAGCGTGCCGAGGTGCGCTTGGTGTGGCAAGAGACACAGTATGCGTAGTTGTCGCGCTCCACGAACGGGGTCGTGCTGTCGAACGGGTCGCCACACTCGGCGCAGAAGAAATGTCCGACATGCCACTCCGCGCCGGCTGCGACAATGACTTCGCCTTCAATGGGGGTCTTGCACGAGCGACAGCGGGGGGAGAAAAACTCGTGGAAGTCGAGGTGGCAGTAGAACCGCAGAGGGTCGTTGGCCGCGTCTGCGGAATTGGGATCGATGCCTAGACTTTCCAGGCGCTCTGCACGTTTCTGGTCCGGTTCTGGGTAGAAGGACACGCATTCCAGCAGCGTTGAACAGTGGTGGCAGGAAAAGCATTCGGGATGGAAGCGGCCTTTGAGGTTGCTGGTACTGGAGCCGGACGCGGTAACGATGCGGCCAGAGATTGGAAGTGCGCAGCTCGAACATGATACCGTTGGCAGTGAGTGTCGAGAAAGCCAGGGCAAACGGCTCGACAGGCTCTTCTGTGGTGCAGGTTTGGGTGGGGACGCCGCGAATGGCTGAGGTAGGGGCCTCGTAGGTGGTTTGGTTTCACCAGCTATGCTGGTTGTCGTCACAGGTGACTGACTTGACTCGTCGTTGATGCTGATGGTTGGAATTCCTGGCCCATCATCGGGAAGACTGATTGTCGGTACGGCTGGAGCAGACACGGTAAGATCTGGTATCGCTATACTGGGTCTTTGGCGTGGCGTCTCATCAGGAAGATTGATCGTGGGAATAACAGGAGCGGAAACAGTCACTTCAGGGACATCGCGACCGGGTCTAGGCAAGGGTCTCTCACCCAATTTGGCCGTTGTAGGAGACCCACTGGCAGTTAGTTTGATGACCGGTTTACCCATATCTAGACTTGCCCTGGGCGAGTCATTCGAGGGCTTCCAAGATCGATCGAAGCTGACGATGGGTCGACCCAGATGGTCGCTGACGGCTGTCGGCGTCGGGAGGTTGGGACTCCTATCCTTCCTCTTCATGCTGGTTGCTGCTCGGATCTCTTCACTCCGAATTTCCAAGGTACCGGTCGATTTGGGTGTATCCACCTCTTCGATGACATCGATGGATGGCCCTCGTGGAGGAGTATTAGCTGTATAGCCTGCATTGTGTGACTGGGTAGGAATGTTTTTGTGGATTTCAACTCGATCGACCCTGGGAATGTCTGGAAGGGGACTTTTGTCTGGCTTGTTCGATGGCTTTTTCCTGAGCCAGGGAAGAGTATTTCTGGACTTTGCTCTCAGTGGCAGCGTGGTACTTGGAGACTTGACAGATTCTGCAACAGTCCCCTCTTTGAATTCCGGTTCCTCGTATATCCGGCTTTCGGGGTTGGGAAATGAGACCTTTCGGGAGCCACTGGGTTGTCGTTGGCCATTGCTTTGTCTTCTCGCTTGGGACTTCAGTTCAGGGTTGCGATATGCGGCAGACTTTTCCTCCTCTGCAGCTTTCGGGTGTTGGTGTTTCCAGACCAAATCAGCTGCTTCATCTTGGGCCGCCTCGTAGATCCTCTTTTCGTCATCCTTCTGGTCAATGAATTCCAATGCTTCTCGTAGATTATGGGCCTCCTCCTTCTCTAGCGCCCGGGTTGTTGAGTCCATGTATATACCTTCATCTGATGATTGAAGCACCTGCACAATTGCTGTAGGAGACACCTTCCTGCCTTTTACTATCGGTAGTTCACTCCCGGGAGGTTGTGCGAGCGGCCGACCTCTAAGGGAGGACGGGATGGAGGAAAAGGACACTGATTTGTGTACTGTAGGATGATGCTCGTCTCCGGCGGGGTTTCCATCTTGCTGGTGGTCACTGTCGAGAGAGGCGAGGCTTGGGACAGAGTCGGAATGTGACAGGGCCGTCTGAGAACTTATCGAGCCGTGGGCTTTGGATGGGAACGGGGGTGGGCGGGAACCGGTCGGTCGAGCAGGACGGTTGTTCCGGAGGTTCTCGAGATAAGTCACTGAGCAGGTTTGTGAGTATCGAGACTTAAATGGAGGGCTCCGAGGAGGCATATTCGTCAGGCGAAGGAAAAGGGGAGGAGAAAGAGAGAGACAGGACATACATTTCTGTTCAGCAGTCATGCAAGTTGGTTGAGGCGGAGACACTTTCCTACCACCCAAGCTGCTGCGTCTGTGAAACATTGCGGACGGTTGTGTTTTTAACAATAGGGACTATGCAGAAGATGGCATATGATGCACATGTGTTGTGTTGGATGTTGGGCGCGACCAGGCTTCAACAACGATTAGGACAAAGCAGGTAACGATATACTTGGAGGGTACTGGTAGGCGAATGAAGACAGTGAGAAAATGAAAGAGATGTATAACAAACAACAATAATGTGCAGATTCAAGACTTAACTTCCGGGACAGTCAACGTCGTCGATATGTAGAGACGTTCGGTCCAAGGCAAATAAGGCACAGGCACTGGCACTGGGATCGGGATGATGCAGCGCAGGCAACGTTTCTTTGTTTGCAGCCTACGGTTGCGAGGCCAACCAGATTCTACCCCAGGATGAACCCTTCTGCAGTTGACCCCGATTCGTCGTCTTCTTCCTCTTCCTCCGACTGCCTGCGCTTTGCATCATCATCTATTAGGGAGACTTCCATACTGCGCCTGACCCTCACGATATCTGCAATCATTCGACGCAGCATGTTGCCCAGGTCAATCCAAAGTGCTTGGTGCGGTAGAGAAAGGAAATAACCAGCGTCACTTCAACCCTTCGAGTTGGAGACGAGAAGGACTTGTCCGCCTGCGCCTTTCGGGGTTGCACGATGCGGTCTGCAATGACACTTTCTCTCCACTCCTACGCTTTGCTAAAATGAGACAGTCGTTTCTTTGGCAGACAAATGGATTTCCCAATCTAGACTACCAATATAAATCTGCTTCTTCTTATACGTCTCTCTCTATCTTCCCCTTTAGTCCCGCCTTCTGAAGCGCCTCGGATGTGACTCTCAAAGGTCACAGTCAGAAAAGACCCAGGCCGACATCGTTGCTCTATCGCCGAACTTGGGAAAGAGCGGCGTGAGCAACGGCTTCTGGAAGGGAAAGACGCCATGCAAGAGAAACACCTTTTCCGAAGATACCTGTCCTCAGTGCCATCTCAGGCCACCTCCTTGTCCGTCCGAGGTATTTCTTCTTGCTGGCCGCTTTGTCTTCATTTCGACAGTCACCGCACCCTCCCCTCCAAATTCTTCCGGCTTTGCCAATTTAGGCCAGGTAATATATCCTTCCTAAACTCGACCAAGTCAACAACGCTCATATAGAGCGAAATTCCCCCTGGTTCAATCCCCCAAAAACAAAAGGAATAATGCGATATAGCTATGGCTATACCTCCGTGATTGCGAGGGGCATAGGCACCGCAAGAGAGATGAATATCTCGAACCACTTATCTCTCCGTGCAATAACTCAATATGACGGAGCGGCAGATCCAATGTTTCCAGTACAATCAATAAAGATGTCCGGTCAATCGAGGTTCTGCTGGACAAGTTGAAGCTGAAGGTCCTTCTCCATTTCCTGGAATCCGCTCTCTTGCTTGCTCCTCAAGCATGTGCTGGGATCCGCCGGTTGCGCAGCATAGGATGGAGCGTGTATAACAAATGGAAGATGCTGAAGGAATGTCTTCGCCATATAAGGCGGTGGTCCCCTTGGTGGAGGCGATCGTACGCCTTGACAAAGGGCATCCCAAAAATAATGGCGCTGTAGTCTTTGATGACGGTCTCCACGACTGTCGATAAAAATAAAACAAAACACAAAAAAAGGTCGTCCACCAAACCGAGCCAGCTTAGCCCATGCGGCTCAAGGTCATCAAATCGTCGTAAGTGGAATAATGTCGTAATACAAGACCCTCCCCTGAACGCCATGCAGCTGTTGACCGACACCAAGACTCAGCCATAAAAGAATGCTGTGAGCATTGTGCATTCTGTAGTGAGTTGCGTCAAGGCCTGCAATACCCATATTGCCCGAAACTCCCGCCCACCGTCCAACCCGCCCGGAAGAATTGAGCGTTTGGACTTCCAAAAAGTGGTCATAGTATTACATCGACCCAAGACTCAAGAGTGCCTCAATAGCAGCTCTTTCCTGGGAGTTGTTGACGCCAGCGCCATTGGGCATCGAGAACGAGTGGGGAGGGTTAACAGGCTTAGGGTCGCTTGGGGCGGTGTGAGCGATCTCAGCGGGAGTCTTGGATCGATATCTCGGCTGATATGAGTAAGTCGCGATGGGTTGATAGAGACGGCCAGTCCCAGGAATAGACCGGGCAGCGTTGGGAAGTGATCTTGCACGAAGTGCCTCAGCGCCGATGCTAGCCCAATCTTCCTCGTCAGTGATCTCTCCGTCTCCGAGATCCACGTCAAGAGGTTCGGGGGCGACGGACGACACATAGCCGTCTTCGTTGCCATCTAAAGACATCTTGTCGGCTTCGTGTTCCAGCATATCTTGGTCCTCGTATTCCATTTCCGAGTGAGAAAAGATGGCGGAATTTCCGGTGTAGCTGGTCCCGTAATTGTCGGACGCGGTACGCCAGGACCGTTGGCCGGGTACTTGCAGTCCGATTTGGGAGTAAGACGATGGCAGACTGCCTGGGGGAGTCATGGCAGACCCTTGACGCTCTCTTGGTGGGTGACCCTTGAGACGAGCATCCCATCTTCCCCAGCCAACCTTCTCGAAAATGACATCGCCGTCGCGGCCCGTATTTTCCGGACCACCACCCTTGCCTTCAAGCGCGGCGACAACCAAGCGACGGGCTTTGGCGGAAGTGATGCGTGAAAAACCCGGCACCGAGGTTGTCAGGTAGCCCATGATGTGCCGGATGGCGAGAGGACCATGAGACAAAAGGATATCAGGCAAATGATGCTTGGCCAACATGCCGGGGGTAATAGCCCCGGCGTTGTCCAAGTCACCCAAGCTATCCAGAGCCTCGGCGCTCAGCGCGGTCGGTTGCGGGTTGCCAGGAGCATCTTGCAAATCAATATCCGAATCCAGCTGAGTACTTTTCGGCGACATGGGGCCATGATGATCGCTCGGGCGACGGCCATGAGGCGGAAGATTAGGGGAGATGGAGTTGGGAGGAGTGGGTAGCATGCCAGGATGCTTCTTGGAGGAAGCAGCCGGTGCAACAGTAAAGTTGTCCCGGCCCTGCGTGGCCTCGCGCGGCTTTGGAATATCGACGCAGGCGGATTTGCCGTTGAGCGCCATACCGAGGGCGGAGATGGTATTTGGAGCCATTGTTTCTGCGATTGTGCGATGGAGTCGTGTGAAGCTGAACTAGACACGCAATGAGTCAGTTTTGTGCGATGAATTAGAGAAGGCGTGAGTTGGCGACGCGTCGGCGGTGGTGATATAGCTTTGGTTTGAGGCACTGCAGGTATGAAAGACTCACCACACGACGTCGTCCTGAAAACGAATTCCGCTGACTTCGATACGAACTGTGAGGTTGGCTGAAGCGGCAAGGTTGCGCAAGAGGTCGATGTAGACCAAATGTAGCGACGCAGGCAGTGGAGCTGAGGTGCGTGGAGGTGGCGATAAGAGAGACAACCTAAGCGGAGGTCTCGGTGCAGCAGTTATCTTCCCTTGAATCGAGGAAGATGGGAAGAAAAGAAGACGAAGATGAGATTGCAACGAGTGATGGTTCTTGATAGAACAAGGCGGGGTGGAGCAGGGCGTTGTGTGCGTGTGTGCTTGATGCGCGTTGGATGGTTGATTGCAGCCTGCCAGTTGGTTTGTTGGACTGGCGTGGCCGAGAGATAGAGCCACGAGATGTAGCGCAGCGGGATGACTGGAAGGAGGAGAGGAGACACAGTTGGCAGTCGTGGGTGCGCGTTAAAGCGGGCTACTAGCGGACTGGACTAATAGTAGCAGTGATGGACTCAGGGAATAATGCCCGGCACGCGCGTTTTAGCTGTAGCCGCCTAGCGGGATAGCGGGATTGTGGGATCGTAGGATAGTGGGAGGTGCGAGAGTACCTGTTAGGGGAGGAGTAGCCCCTAACACCCGTCGATGTAATGAACTGTTACTGGCTGATTGGGCGAGGGGTCTCTAAGTCAGATGCCTGTCACTGGTGTGGCTGCCCCAAACCTCGGGCAGTGGCGGGAGACAACAACCACTTCATCAGCCGTCAACCATCAACCATGTTTATTGATCTTCGATCATCGATCATCGTCACCACCACGCCCCGTGACCCGGAAAGGTGGATGTCGCGGCAGATCGGAGCTTGAAAGTCCAATGATAATCCAGCTGGCAGCCACATGAACAGTAGTGGCACGTCATTTATTAGTGAGTCAAACATCCACTGCACCCAACGAGTTCATGCAAAGGGAACCCTCGGCAGGTCAAGCGGCCCCTGCAGTGCCCGAGTCCTCAACCCTTGAACCGGGAGCTTTAGGCTTCTTGGGCAGCGTGGCTTGAATCCTCTCAGGCGTGCTGGGCGCTGTTCGTGGCTGAGATGCCAGCTATAACAGGCTCAATATTTGGACTAGGGAGGCTTCCCAAGCCCCCAACAGAGCACCACAGACTTCCTCCCGGCTTCATTTCAAGCCCCAATACGTACTACTTACCAGGTAGGTAGTAAAGTAAGTGACCACTGTGTGTGATACATGCTTGCTACGGCCTCATTAATTGCATGATATCGCAAGTCGGGGTCATCACTGGAGAGGGAATGAGGTCTTTGTCGCATCTCCTTGCAATAATGCTGTGTGTCTTTTAACTCCACGCTAGAGAATGAATCTGCCGCTGTTCTCGCCTTTCCTTCTCTTCGGTCGACCAAGTCAAAAACCGCCAGTAACCTTCGAGTGAACAGGTCTTGCTATCTCGGAATACGAGAACACGCACCTCGATGAAGATAACACTGGCAGGAGTCAACACTGCAAGGTTAAATTGCCAGGGCGGGTTACAGGGAGGCCCCTTGCGACCTATTTCTCCTAGTCGCTTGAGAGAGTTGAAAGTAGCAACGGGCAATTGCGGAGGAGATGGTACAACCTTGTACTTAGTACTGCAATGTAGGAGTGATGCTGAGGAGCCGACGATGCTCTGATACCTGACAAGTGAGATTTTGAGAAGACAGAAGGAAGCATCCTGCGGAATCCCATTGATTGAGGTCTGTATTCCGGTAGTTTTGATAACCACCTACACCTATACTATCACATAGTGTTCTCTTCTGCTGATCAGGGTCCATGGTCCCGATCATCTTGATCAGGATCAACAAAATTCCTCTCTTCCGCCCGCTTGTCATTCTCCCACGTGCATTCTTTGATGATTGGTATGACGCTTTTCATGATGCTCTCCGTCCCTCCATCTTCTTCCACCCCTCACCCTCTCGAAGTCCTTACCTCAATCGAGTGTGTGAAAAGAGAATCCTGGGATACCGTCCTCAGGAACAGAATGGTGGGAGTCAACTGTATTTATGAGCTGAATACTCCCATCAGAGATCGTATCCCCATATCAACTTGAAATCATTACATTATCGTGCCTTAAGCGTACTGATACACTAATTGATACAGATAATGGCATCATCATCACTCCGTCTCCATAAATCCCCAGACATGGGTATCAATGTCCTTGCAGTATTCTGATTTCGCGAGATCTGATCAGGTCACCAAGAGTCTTGTGGCCCCGCGAGTAAATAGCAGAATATGATATCGCGGTTAGCAACATCTCAATCCCGCATCCACTTTACATGGTCAATCTCTTGCTGTCTCGACTCTCTGTATCCTCAGACACCTCCCGCATCACCAGAGGAAGGGTTGGTGATTCAGGGACCGTTTCATCGTCCCAGCTGTCTCTTGCTGCACTTTGCAGAGTGTAGTGATACGCCTGAGTCCGGCGAGGCATGGATCGAGTGCGAAAGAGGCTCTGCCTTTCCGTCAACATCTCATTCCGGCCCTCAACAGAGTCCATCTGCCGAGCCTGTGGCATGCTTGCCGGCGGCCTTCGTGCCACATCGTCAAGGAGGAATTGGTAGAGCATCTGTGAGAACCGCTTCGAGAGTCACCGGGCTTGAGTCCCAAGATTTATCCACGACATGTCCGTGTTGTCCGGCGTGCGGCTTCGTACTCGTACGTGGCTGAAATAGTCGCCAGCCTCGTCTTGTCGCGTATCAGGCCCGATTGATGGTCGCCGTCCTCCACTGGGCTGTATCGACCGTATCGAATTCGGCATGGGGAAGGGGGGTATCGACGAGTTTTGCGTTCCTGAGCTGTCGCTCGTCTCGTTTGACGCCGAGGTTGGCAAAGGATCTGCAGCTTCCTGGGCCGCCAGATAACTGCTTGGGGGGTTCAGCGGACGTTGAGCTGGACCCGACCAAGTATTGCCTACCGGGGTCCAAGCCGTGTCATGAACGCTGGCCGGAACTCCACTGGAAAAGGCTCCCTCATATTGCTCGTCTTCATACTCGTTGTCATCATTAGTGTCTGTAGTCGCCACCGATGTCGCTCTCGACACTTGTGCCTGAAATCCTCGACTTTGCGAATGGGGAGGCCCATGTTTCAAACTGGGACTTCCCGCAGCAACGCTCTGTGCTTCCAGCCGATTGCCAGCGCTGTCTCGCAAAATGATCTTCGGTGACCGTGTCGAGCTCTCGGGCACCCCTGAACCGGGCCAAAACTCGCTCTTGGTAAGATTTGTACCACCTGAGCCCCGGGAGAAAAACGTCGTTCGGCTCTCGGGGACGGGCTCGCCGTGGAAATAACTCCCCCAGCCATCGTTAGTCTTGCGTTGAGATGCTTTGCGCGCAGGAGCTGGCTTCGCAGCTACTAGGTAGGCGGGGGTCGCCTTACCCAATTCAATGCTGGGCCTTTCTTCGTAGTCGCCCAGATCAGGCATCATCGGTTTGGAGATGGTCAGTGACCCCTTTTCCCGCTCACGCTTGAAAAGCGACTGTCCAAGGCCCATACTAGAGGCGCGGGACCCGGGTAGAGCTCGATCGGAAGAGACCCGCCGGATCAGATGTTTGGGGTCTGGTCTGCCACCAAACATAGCTGTACTGTCCGCCTCGGTTATGACCGTAGAAGGCACCGGGCTTCTTCCCATGGGTTGTCCAGCCTTCGAAAGGGGATGTAGCCCGTTTTCTTCGTGGGGGTATTCACCACTTCTGCGCTTGCCATCGGCATACTCGGTTTGCTTTTCTTTCCGCGCTCTCTTCTTGCGAACTGCTCTCATCCAGAGCAGGAGAATAATGAGAATTGCCGCCACCCCGCAGATGCTCCCAAGTACGGCACCCAAGATCGTCGGCCACCGGGTCTTGTTAGATGACCCTGATTTGGCTGCAATACTGGTCGAAGTGGCACTTGCACTTGCCGATGGCTGCCTGCTTGAGGGAGTGGTCGATGGGATTTCCTGAGTCCCGAGTAGTTGAGTGGGTGGGACCCAGCTATTTGCGGTCTGATTGAAGAAGACTAGCGGATCGTTGTCGTTACCACCGATGAACGCCACCAGTCCGTCGTTGTCTTGCGCCAGGTCGAAACCCGTCCGCTTGGTTGACGGCCCGAGACTGCTGTTATATGTCGGATAACTGTTCAGATATATCGCCCTTTTTGATCTCGAGGAGGAGTTCGGAGTGGCTGTGGAACTTGCGGTTGAAACCAGCCCTCCCACTGTTTCGTTGTAAGCGGCAGGAAGGCCACCCGGATTCAGGAGGACGTCTGAGGTAACTGTGGGCGGAGACTGGCCCAGATCGAAAGTCTGAAGGATCTTGCTGTTGTCGTCCAACGAAAGCAGCGCGCATTGCGCGACAGAAGGATCAGGAAGCGAAGCCGGCAGTGACAGACCAAGGTCTTGCCATCCGTCGGAAGGGCCAAAAGTAAAGATGTTCACATTTGTAGTGCTTCCGCCGACCATCAAAGCGCGATCTTCTGTCCATGGAAGCACGAACGGCTTCACTGTTGGAGGCGCAATTGAGCTATATGCCAACACCCGATATGGCGGAAACATCTCGAGAAGAAACGTCTCAGAGGAGGGCCCTGTGTAGCCATCTTGGGACCCTCCATACACCAATAGTGATGACGATGCATTCAGGTAGGCAGCTCCATGGTTCTGGCGATGTTGAGTGACAGGGACGACGGGCGTGATGGTTGCCCAGGATTTGTCCAAGATTGAGTAACGCTGTAAGCCTGGATAGTTGGAAGACGATGCGTTCGCGGCGCCGCCGACAACATATAGCGCTGGTCTTGAGTTGTCTCCGTCCACACCACCCTTGACGCAAACCGCCCCGGTCACTGACACTCCGTTGCTTTCTTCTTTCCACTCTCTTCCTTCTTTCAGTTCGAGCGACTGGAAAGCCTCAGGCGAATAAACGTAGACGATCCCATTATGGATGATCGAGCAATGGTTCTTGAGCGCGATCGGAGGTTTAGGTGCTGACATGTCCAACGTCAGCTCTCTTCACCGCAACTGGCCCAAGCATTCGTCAGATCCGTATGTGCATATACATTCTCTTGTTTATCAGCAATGAAGGTTTGGTCTCGATAGGTAAGGTCGGTACAGCGTCTCCGAAGGGGTGGGAGTATACGGTGCAAATCAAAAGTGGTGTAGGCAAGAGGGTCAACTGGTTGCTGTGCCAGATGGCGGCGCACTTGCGGGTGTAGGCTCGTCTAGACGGTCACTTTTCATGAGGGTGCTCGGACGTGGTCTTCGGCGTGCAGAGTAGTGGTCGCGTTGGGTGTTTCTCGAGCGACAAAGGCTAGCTTGAACGTAGAGATGGCCTAAGCTTGGGCCAGGGGATTCTGGCGGTAGGTAGTGAATTGATCATGCGATGGACTGACAGCTGTCTGTGGATAAGGGAAGTCCCAAAGCAGGCCAACGCGGCGATCGTAGAACGGAAGTCTCGATCAGTACGGCCAACCAAGAGCAATCAGTCATCCACGTCTAGAGCATCAAAAGCGTGTTCAGGGCGCGTAACTGTAGGCGCGTGGTCCGACGGACCTACCGCTCGCTGGAAGAACTGGACTTGGGAGCAACTATGTAATGCCGTCGCCGTTTATCAAGACTGATCCAGTGAGTCCTACTTTCCTGCACTTTTCAGACTCGAAAAGCCCTGCGTAGTGCTTTTGAGAGGGACAAGTAAGAACGCGAGGTGCCGTTGCAGAGTTGACAACAAGGAGTTCGTCTCGTGGATCTGAGCAAGTGGGTCGAGTGGATCGTGCTCGTCCTGTATCGAATCCTCAATTATGCATTGAATCTTCAGTTGTTCAAATCGTTCCAATTATTGCAAGTAGGCGCATACTTTTCGCACTGAATGTCCTCTGAGATTCAATGGACGGGAGAAGGGGCAGCTGAGGAGGTCAACCGTCAATCATGGAGGTGTAAGGGGGAGTTGTGTGACTGCGAAATGCGGGAGGAGTCTGTCGGTTAGCCAGTCTGGTTGGAACAGAAGGCATAGATAGTCGCAGGCAGAGGAGGAAGGCTTTAGAAGCAAAGCAGAAGATGGCGGGCGCCGAAGAAATGAAGCTAGTTTCAGTAGGGTATGGTGAGTATGAACAAGCCATGTAGCACTGGCACTCTGAATGCCTCTGTTCTTGCCTTTGTGGTATAGCATTTTCCGTTGCTACATGGTCAGTTCGGGTGTTTGCTCAACCAGACACCCTCGAAGAAATCGATGCATAGCATTCTGGCACCGTGGGTGATCTGACCGACCGAGATTGTCACACGAAGAGGGAACCCAATGACGGAGTGGGTTGTTGAAGCGGATGGGATGTGGCAGACTCGAGCTGGATGTCGCGATTAAGGGGTGTTTCTTCTGAAATGTTTCACAGTGTTTGCCGAGTAGAGATGATTGGTGGGAGAGCAGTTGGAGCTAGGTTGAAAACGGTAACGCGTGCAGACGGATTACGGGCTCTTGCGCAGGTACGCAGTCACTAGAGAGATGGGAAGGAGCGACTGGCGTACGAGGAGTAATAAGGATGCTGCGGCGGTGGGTGTCAAACTGCGATGATAGATGACGTGCAGTGGACCAGGTGACCCCCCACGCCCCTACTCCCAGCGCCCAGCAGTACAGAGTGCGTAAGGTACACTTGCCCTCTCCTTTCAGGGGTATCGTGGTAAGGCGTGCTTCTATTCTGTACCTAAATTTGGAGTCACCCTACACCGAATATCGAGCCAATTGGTTGAAGTGAAGCACTGTACTACTGCTAGTAGTAGTATACCAGACAGTCCTGAAGGTGGCCGACGGGTACGTAGCACTATTCTATTCAATGGTAAGAAGTGTCAGATACCTTAGGTCCCGGATATCAGGTCTATGGCATTATCTCTCTCCTTCGATCAGCCAAGTACACCTATTCGTGACACCACTTCACTGCCCTCCCTCGTTGACCTGCTGTTTCGCTTTCCACTGGTGCGCCATCTGTAACAATTTGGACATCTTGGCTGCACTCTCATCGTCCGCCGGGAAGACATAGTCGAGGTACTCCTCGAACCGGTCTTCCTCGATCTTTCTTCTCTTCTTGACCTTGCGAGGCATCTGTCTCTCGATCTTCTCAATGTCCTCCGGCGATCCATGGGTCTGCTCAAACGACCGCCAGGCATTCAACAAAGTCACCCTGTCTTCCTTCATCTCCCTCGACTTGAAGAGCTCATGCGCCCGCTCGAATATCTTGCGCGCCCGGCGCTTGGCTTCCTCGCTGACCCGCTGTTCTTCGTCTTCGCCCACTTCAGGCTCGTTGGGGTCAGGCACATTGATCTCGAACCGCGCATAGTTGATCCAGACCTTGACGTGGTCGGTCTTGCGTAGGAGCCGCTCATACAGCGTCCGCGCTCGATCGTACTCTTCTTCATATTCTTCAAAGTCGATGTACGCCTTCCACACCAGTTCGGGCATGTCTAGTGTGGGCTGTTCAATCGCCAACTCGTAAATGGCCCGCGCTCGGTCGAGATCGTCGAGCCCGCGCTCAAGCTCGGCAAACTGAATCCAAGCTTGACTGTTGGAAGGATTCCATTCAAGCTGTTTCTCGTAGAGAGTGCGACATCGACCAAATTCGAACAGTTGCTTCTCCAGCTCAATGTACCCACGAAAGATTTTGTCTTTCGGACACATTCCAATGGCTTGACCTAGTGTCTTTCTTGCTGCCTGCAGTTGCATTTGGCGAACCTCGAACTGCGCTTTCAGGAGCCAGATTTTGGCGAAGGTCCATTTTTTGTGTGGAATGAGCCTCAGGCACTCTTGGTATATTTGCCTCGCCCTCTCAATGTCCTTATTGCTCATCTCCTCCCACAGCGCATAGAAGATCCACAGGTAGATATATCGCCGCCAGTGTCGCTTCTCCTGCGACGGCGGAACCTGCGCGATAGCTCTCTCGTAAACATCTCTCACACGCTCCACGTCGCCCCCCGCTTCCTCCAATCTTGCGAAATCAAACCACGCGTCGTAATTGCGAGGATTGGCTTTGACCTGTTCCTCGTACTGCACCCGCCGCTTCGCCAGGATGACGTCCTCAACACCTTCTCGGTTGCCGAATTGTTTCTCGAACTGTGTATAAGACTTATGAAGCAACGCCGAGCGAGAGCGTGGAAGTCTGTCCAATGCGTATTTGTAGATCGCCCTAGCCCTTTCATACTCCTTGAGCTTAGCTTCATAGCGGGCGTAGGCGATGAAGAGCCTCTCATCCATGAAGTCGTCGCCTAGTGTCTCGATGGCAACACCGTACACATCCCGCACGAGCTGGCTGGTGCCATTTTCTTCCTCAAACTTGGCCCATCTGATCCAATTTCGTGGCTCGGGATGAACAATGGTGAACCGTTCGAAGATCGCTCGCGCACGGTCATATTCGCCATATCTCTTCTCCAACTTGATATAGGCCAACCAGGCAGCCTCGTCCGGCTCCCAACTCATCCATCGCTCAAAGACTTGCCTGGTCCCAGGAATATTGCCCAGCGTCTCTTCCATATACACATATTTGTACCAAAGCTTGTCGACGCGTGGTAGGATGGTGACAGCCCTGTCCAGTAAGTTCCGCGCATGATTGATGTTCCTTGTCTTCATCTCCGCCTCGATGTATCGAATCCATAGAGCCACATGGGTACTGTCGACATCTAAGGCCCGCTCGAAAATGGACCTTGCACGTCGATATTCCTTTTGTTCCAACTCCCACTGCGCATAGCGCATCCAGTTGTTCATATTAATCCTGTTGCGGCGAACATAGTCCTCGAACTCCTTGCGCTTGCGACCCTGGAATTCATGAAGTTCTTCCAAATCCGCGAAACGTTGAGTCGGCGCCTGTACGCCGGGCTCTTGCCTATCAACTGCTTCACGAAGCAGTTGCTCTGCAGATATTTGCACAGGCGCAGGCGCCTTGTTCTTGACCCTCGGAGGGCCTCTTGAGGAATCCATGTTCAAGGCAGCCGATGTTCAGATCGGTTTCGAGGAAGTCAAAGGTTTCGGATGTATTGTTGGCGGTCAAAATCGTGAGCGACGTTGTACGGTGCCCACAGAGTGCTCCGGAACCACCTGAGCTGACCGGAAAAGGCGGCCCTTACACTCTAGAAATGTTGTGCAGCAGGAGTAGCAGAAGATTGAACTTTTGAGTTGGGTGTCGCAGTGCCAGCACCAGCGCTACTCGGCGATCCTGCGGAGAAACGATGCCAAGGAAGCGAAGAAAACTGCGGTTAGTACCATTAATACTCCTCTGTACTAAATGCTGCCTGTTGGTAGAGCGGGAGCGAGCCAGGTTATAAAATGAGAAAAGAGGTCAAACCATCGCAACTAACGGTATTATTCCTCTACACCTTCTATATACAATCCTGGCTACTTATAACAACTATAGACTTGCTTATATTCATAGCCATATCTGGCAGGGCCACTGTTTTGTAATCTGGCTGGCCGGTAGGTACTAGTGTGATTAGATAAGATACCCAGTTAATTCATGCTAGTGGGTTGTTGATAGTGATAATGATCACGTGAGTGACTCAATGCCCGTGCTGCCAAGCCCCCATGATCGCGTTTACCAGTCGTGGCATTTGGACACTTCTCCGAGTCCCCTGGCTCGCGATGGTCGTTGTCGAGTTGACTGTTTGTAAGAAATTGTTCACTTGCAAACACCCCATCTCCTCTACCTGTTTCGGTGAACAAGTACTTTCACCGCTGGCTTGGAAGGATATCCTTTCACAACCCTTCCTGGACAATGTGCTGAACAGTCGCGACAACTCCTCCCGCTCACCTCACTCGACTACTCCCACCAACGATTGACTACCCGACTCTTTCATTGATTGCCGTCTTTGGCGGCAGCTGCACGTTTCGCAACTATGGCGTCTTTCCTTGATCACTCCTACAGTTTGGTGCACCTCGATAACACCGCTGACCAGCCCAGTCAGCAAGATCTCAAGACCCAGCTTGAGAAGGGCAGCGATGAGACTAAGCTGGACACCATGCGGAGGATCTTGATCATGATGCTGAATGGCGATCCGATGCCCAACCTCCTGATGCACATCATTCGCTTTGTCATGCCATCTAAGAGCAAGCCGTTGAAGAAATTACTATATTTCTACTACGAGATATGTCCCAAGCTGGATGCCAATGGCAAGCTGAAGCAGGAGATGATTCTGGTGTGGTATGCTTGATACTGTCCCCAGGCCTTGACACGGGTACTGACCACTGCTAGTAATGGTATTCGGAATGACTTACAGCATCCCAACGAGTTCGTCCGAGGAAACACACTACGCTTCCTCTCCAAACTGCGAGAGCCCGAACTCATCGAGCCACTCCTTTCCGCCGCCCAGACATGCCTCGACCATAGGCATGCTTATGTGAGGAAGAACGCTGTGTGGGCATTGGCCTCGGTGTATCAGCATGCGCAGCACCTCATCCCTGATGCCCCTGAGATGCTTCACACTTTCCTCGCCGGAGAGACGGACACGACCTGCAAGAGAAACGCCTTTGCCGCCTTGATGAGTATAAGTCACGAGAAAGCTCTGGAGTATCTCACTAGTGTTTTGGATGGGATTCCCAACGCCGACGAATTGCTACAATTGGTGGAGCTCGAGTTCATCCGGAAGGATGCGATACACAATCAAGCAAACAAGGCCCGATATCTGCGCCTGATTTTCGATTTGCTCGAGGCCAACACTAGCACTGTTGTCTACGAGGCTGCTACTACACTCACCTCCCTCACCAGCAACCCCGTGGCAGTGAAGGCTGCCGCTGGTAAGCTGATTGAACTTAGCATTAAGGAGGCGGACAACAACGTCAAACTTATTGTGCTTGACCGGGTAGAGCAACTTAGGAAAAGACATGAAGGTGTGCTCGATGACCTGGCCATGGAAATACTGCGCGTCCTGTCGAGTCCCGATCTGGATGTTCGACGGAAAGCTTTGAGCATTGCCCTAGAGATGGTCTCGAGCAAGAATGTACAAGAGATTGTCATGTTGCTGAAGAAGGAGTTGGGGAAGACTGTTGTCGAACAGTATGAAAAGAACACGGAGTACCGACAGTTGCTGATTCAGTCCATTCACCATTGTGCCATCAAATTCTCGGAGATTGCAGCCAGCGTGGTTGACGTGTTGATGGACTTCATTGCTGATTTCAACAACAGCTCCGCTGTGGAAGTTATTTCTTTTGTCAAGGAAGTGGTTGAGAAGTTCCCGAAGCTTCGATCGTCGATCGTGGAGAAATTAGTGTCGACATTGGGTGAAGTTCGAGCAGGCAAGGTGTACCGTGGCTCGCTGTGGGTGATTGGCGAGTATTCTCTCCAAGAGAATGATATCAAAGAAGCCTGGAAACGAATCCGGGCCAGTCTGGGGGAGATCCCGATCCTTGCGTCGGAGCAACGATTACTAGATGAGCAATCTAGCGAGGATGCAGAACCGAAGGAGCAAGTCAATGGCCACGCCGCCAAGTCAACACCCAGCAGCTCTACCAAAGTCCTAGCAGATGGCACATATGCGACCGAGACCGCCATGACCAGCGATTCGGCGGCACAGGCGCGGTTGGAAGCAGTTAAGGCTGCGCAGAAACCACCTCTACGGCAGCTCATTCTGGACGGCGACTACTATTTGGGCACGGTACTCTCATCCACTCTTACCAAACTCGTGATGCGACACTCGGAGATCTCCTCGGATCAGGAACGCACCAATGCTTTGCGTGCCGAAGCCATGCTTATCATGATCTCAATCATCCGCGTTGGACAGTCTGAATTCGTCAAGGCGCCAATTGACGAGGATTCTATTGACCGTATCATGTCGTGCGTAAGAGCGCTGGCAGAGTTTACAGAACGGAAAGAGCTGGAAAGGTCGTTTCTGGATGACACACGAGAGGCCTTCCGAGCAATGGTGCAGGCGGAGGAAAAGAAACGCGCTGCCAAAGAAGCGGTGGAGAAGGCCAAGACGGCGGTCCAGGTGGACGATGTCTTTTCTATCCGGCAACTGGCCAAGAAAAACGCAGCGGATGGAATGGACGAAATGGAGCTCGACCTTGAGAAAGCCACGGGCGGCGATGCCTCGTTTGAGGATCTGTCGTCCAAGCTGAGTCGTGTCGTGCAACTCACCGGCTTCTCGGATCCGGTTTACGCTGAGGCGTATGTCAAAGTACACCAGTTTGATATCATTCTGGATGTGCTCCTGGTCAACCAAACCAATGAGACCCTCCAGAACCTGTCGGTCGAGTTTGCCACACTGGGCGACCTCAAGGTTGTAGAAAGACCAACGACTCACAACCTTGGGCCACAGGACTTCCTCAACGTGCAGTCTACCATCAAGGTGTCAAGCACCGACACCGGCGTGATTTTCGGCAATGTTGTCTACGACTCACCCTCTGGTACTGACACGCACGTGGTCATTTTAAACGATGTCCATGCCGACATCATGGATTACATTCAGCCGGCGACATGTTCGGAGTCGGCGTTTAGAACCATGTGGACCGAGTTTGAATGGGAGAACAAAGTCAACATCAACAGCAAGAGTACGGATAAGACTCTGCGCGAATTTTTGGAGCAGTTGATGAAGAGCACCAACATGACATGCCTCACTCCCGAAGCTGCGTTGCAAGGTGATTGTCAATTCCTGAGTGCCAATCTTTACGCACGCAGTGTTTTTGGTAAGCTGAACCCGCTTGTATTTAACTCATGGACACCTTACTAACCGAGATATGTAGGCGAGGATGCGTTGGCGAACCTGAGCATAGAAAAGACAACGGACAACTCGATTGTAGGATTCATTCGGATTCGCTCACGCTCGCAAGGGCTGGCGTTGAGCTTGGGGTCATTGAAGGGACTAAAAGCGGGCACATATTAGTTTCTTCTCGAGGCCTATGATGTTGTATGTGGTTGAAACGTGGCAGGGTCAGTAAACAATGAACACTGAGCACTGAACAGCAAGAACTGTTCTGCGAGTCAAATGGGATTCGAGGACTTGAAGTAATGATCGTGACTCGGTGGACAATATGCTGAATCACGCGCAAGGCTGTCTCGACACTGCTACTTGCTGTATACCGAGTACAGAACTAGTACGTAGTACTACCTTACGGCAGACAGTGACTTGGTGCTGGGTTACCTTACCAAAGAGTAGCAATTGTTTGGTACCATGATACCAGGACCTTGAACGATGAATCAATGCGCCGGGGTGGCCGCATCCTGCCCGCATCGTCCCTACCGCTGGATAGCAAATTCCCGGTCTCACCATACCAACTTAAAATAGTCCGACTGTACAGTACGTAGTAGACTCCGGGATCTCAAGAGCCTAAGTAGACAGACACAAAGAGGTAGATAGCTGGTTAGCCAATTCCGCAGCTGGATCAATCTGGCTCTGATTCGAGTCCACCACTGACCATGTCTCGCAGGGGAAGACACCTGAACCATCAAGATTCATCACCATTGATTGTCCTCCCAGCCTTCGCATTCTGCCAACTCATATCGACCCATCTTACCAAGTTTACAGCTTCATGCTGCTGCCGAAGGGAAAACCACTATCACCGTAAGACTTGCTAATGCTTTGTGCTCTCTAGTCATGTTGTCCTCCTGGCCAGGATCGCAGCTCTTGTGCTCTGTCCATCCGCCCAACTGACCCTCCACTTCCACTTGACCTCCCGTTCATTGCCAGCACCCATCGCAGTCACCATCGGTCGTCTCCCGCCATGGCACCCTGGCTGCGACTCGCGGCGCTTCCGACGTCCCTCCTTGCCCTGATCGCCAGTACCGCCGCGCCGGTGGTGTGTCAAGGTTCCAACTGGCCGTACGATCTGCCGCCCGATGCGAAATACTACCCGGAAGATGAAGTGCTGATGAAGCGAGACATTGACATCCAGCAAAAGCTAGAGAGGAGGCCAGTCACGGGAGTCAGAAAGATGAGCACCGACCCTGGGGAGAAGTTCTACCTGGAGTACTGGGGCTTCGAGCAGGAGGAAGACTTGGTCGACCGTTCGAGTCTCACGAACAGGAACGCTACATTGTTCACCTCCTTCGATGCGCCGGTGCGGATGCACTCTCGCCGAGGCAGCACGCGGGCCATCAGCCCCTACCTGCGGCTGCCCGGCTGGCATCTCTTCGAAAAGAGAGGCTTCCAATGTCCGTCCGGGACCTTGTCCTGCACCTCCATCGGCCGTCCTAACAGCTGTTGCGCGACCGGGTCGACTTGTCAAGTGGTAGAAGATACGGGCCTAGGTGACGTCGGATGTTGTCCGCAAGGGCAGGTCTGTGCGGACTCTCTTTCGACGTGCGAGTCCGGTTACACTTCATGTCCCAACAATCCGGGCGGCGGCTGCTGCATCCCTGGATACGCGTGCTATGATGTCGGGTGTGTGCAGACCTCTACCGCTACATTCTTGACCGTGCCGACTCCTTCAACGACAACCGTCACTTCCTACACGACCATCACGCCGGTTGTCTCGAGTCCATCAAGTATCTCATCGTCCCCACCATTGACACTGACGAGTCAACCCTCGACCTCGACCTCGACCTCGGTCTCGAGTACAGCAACCCTCCCGCCACAGATCTCTACAGTCACCCGAACCGTCACGGTCACATCGTCCGCACGCAACAGTCTGACATGCTCGACCAGCTATCGGTCGTGTCCAGCCTCTCTAGGCGGCGGATGCTGCCCGATCGATCGCGAATGCGGCTCTGCCAACTGTCCACCATCATCTTCCACCTCCACGAGCAGTAGCAGTAGCAGTGACTCGCCAACCCCAGCACCACCTGTGCGTCCGACAAGCCTGACCACCACTGAAGAGACAACTACCGTGCCAGGGCCAGGTCCGAGCACCCGATCCACATCGACGCCCACCTCTTCACCGACGTCGACGCCCGTCAGCGGCTGTCCCACCGGCTTCTACGCCTGCAGCGCCTACTACCAAGGCGGCTGCTGCCAGGTCGGACGCAACTGCGACAAAACATCCTGCCCGGCCAGTGCGAGCACCACCCTCGTCGACACGGGCAGTCTCACCATTGTGGCCCCCACCGGCAGCGGCATCACTGCTCCGGGGTCCCTCCTGACCGGCGCCTGCGCGAACGGCTGGACCACATGCGCCCCGGACGTTGGTGGCGGGTGCTGTCCGTCTGGCTATGGCTGCGGAGTCAGCAGTTGCGCCGCCAGTGTTAGTGGCGGTTCCGACGTGGGCAAGGCCGCGCCCAATTCGGCGTCGAGAAGTGTGTCGGTGGATTCTTGGATGCTGGGATGCGCGTGTTCTCTAGCAAGTCTACTTTTGGGGACTTTGGCCCTGTGAAGGTAAACTATGAACCAAGAGGTCGCTGCCGTCGGGCTTTTTTCGTCCTTTGGCAAGCGTGTACAGAACTTTTGTGTAGCCGTCCTGAGGAGACCTTCGCAGCAGCGTCCTCTGCAATGACGAATTGATTTTTGCTGACCCAAGCGTACATTCTTCCACTACATGTCTGTTTCCTCCGCTGAATAATGTCCTATTAGCAAGGTTAGACTCAATCGAACATGCCCTCGTTTCATCTTTACATTGTAGAGAAGGCCATTGGTAGCAGTAGCGCACTTACATAAACGGCTTTCACGATTGGTGCGTGAGCGGAAGAAACATGAGCCAGGGGGAGCAAAGCAGGGACATCACAAGAATAACCTCTTCAGAAAATGCAGGACCGCAATGGGTGGTCAGGGCTGTTTGTTTATATTGATTCTTTCACTTTTCTGTCCTACCTTGCCACGCCACCTCTCTCCATTGTCTTGCAGGGGGGGGATGCAGTTAAATGCCTGCCAATCCATTCCATTTCAATCCATATCCGCAGACAGAAACACGGTGAGATATGTTCTTGGCCATGCTTGCATAGTAGTCCGGCTCTGTTAGATGAAAACCCCCTGAAAACACATCTTGCTCTGTTCTTTGGAAGGCAAGGACCTCAACTGACTAGACCCTGCACATAGGCACGGCGGTGACCCGGACCGTTCCTGGGAAATGCATCGCATACACAATTTGCGGATTGTGACCGATAGGATGCCACGCGATAATCTCCGACACAGACCCTACTGGATCAAAGCGCCTGCCTCGCTCTTGATGATGTCTGCGACTTTGTCGGACAGTTCGGCTGGCTTGTCTGCCAGCACTTGTTTCAGCTGCTTCTTGTACTCGGACAGCTGTTCATGCTTGGAGTCCATGGCGTTGATCGCCAACAGACACTTTGTGGCGAGCAGGTACTTCTTGCGGCGCATGTACAGCTCGAAGCCCACACACTGGCCTTCGGCCTGATCAGGAGAGAACTCCAGCAAGGGGCCGAGGAACTTCATGGCGTCCTTGAGCGGGTCTTTGGTCTCGACGAGAGCCTTGCCGAACGGGTCGGGGTCTTCTTTTTTGGTATCGGGATCTTCGCTCTTCGGTGTGGGTTTGGCGGCCTTCAGGGCAGCCTTCTTCTCCGCCTCGGCCTTTTCCATCTTCTCCTGCTCCCGTTTGGCCTTCTTAAGCGCCTTCTTTCGATCCGCCGCGCTCATCTCGCCGGCTTTGCCTGTACCGTTGACGTTGTCCATGATAGGGCCGTGCACCAGGTCCGGGTTGTCGGCAAGAAGAATATAAGCTTGGACCGCGGAGATGGCCATGTTCGAGAAGAAGGGGTGTTCGCGGAGCCGGTCCTCCCACCTCAGCATATCCACGTATGCTCGGATCATCCCTTTTCGCAGTGAGAAGTTATGGAAGTCAAACTGATCCTCCTGCCAGGTGTCAAAAATGGTCAGGATTTGATGGAAGCGTTTGAGGGCGAGACCAAGCTTCCTTTGTCGAAGGTATGATTGTCCGTCTTCTGTCAGGTACCAGACGCATTGCATGTCGATGAGATCACTGAGCGGACCCCCAGTCTTGTTCTGGGTGAACTTGCCGGCGGTCTCGAGCGCCTTGTCGTTTTGATCCGCCCGCAGTTGGTACTTGGCGCACTTTGTGTTGATGGCCCGATCCTTCTCATCCAACGATCGAGCTTGGTCCATGACCTCGGCGGCCTTGGCCAGGTCACCCTTGTGCTTATACGTCCTTGCCTTGACGGCATGGTAGTCGACCGACTTGGGCTCCAGTTCTATACACTTGTCGGCATATTCCAGAGCTTTGTCAAGATTCCGACTAAGCTTGTAGTTGTAGTGCTGTGCAAGGAAATAGAAGACGGACGATCTGAACCGTGATTCTTCTTTACTCTCGCCATTTTCAGAGGCGCCATTGGTTTGCGAACCCAACTTTCCCGCCGCGTATCCCTCAGCCAGTTCCTGGACAATGTCGCGCTTTGACTCGTTGGTATACAGTTGCTTGATGTTGGCAAATGTAGAAGGGATGCCTCTCCGGAGCATCATTTGCAGATATGCGTCTGCAGTTTGTTTGAATTCATCACCTGCCAGAACATCCAAACGTCTCCGCCTAGGAAGGTCTGCTTTTGGGAATTTCTCCGCCAGTTCTTGGTGTGCCTTCTGAATGTCTGATACTGGGCCATCATTCAGTCCTTTTGCCGCAATATAGCCATCGTAGTAAGCCGAATCATCAGGGTTGCGCTCCAGGAGTGCGGCGTAAGCTGCCTCAGCCTCCGAATTTCGACCCAATCGAGCCAGATAGTCTGCCCTCATTTCCAGGACGGCCTGAACATCTGGACTCTTCTTGCCCACGGCCTCGAGATGATCTAATGCCTTCTGAAGGTCGCCTGACTCTGCTATGATGTAGTTCTTGTAGAGGACAGCTTCCCAGTGCTCGAGATCCGACCTGCTGGGCTTCGTTTTCAAAGTCTCCTCGTAGCTGGTAAGCACATTCTCGGCCTCCTCGTAGTCCCCAGCGAGATGGTGCGCGATGGCCAGAGCGGTCCAATTTTGCCTGATGGCTGGTCTCTGTTGCAGCATATTGTTCCGGCTCTGGATGTACCCTTCATAGTCTCGCATTTGTATTTGAAGATGCGCCAGGTCCCGCTGGATCGGGGCCGAATCAGGCTCTAACCTCAATGCGAATTTGTAGGCTTTGATGGCTTCTTCATAATTCTTCTCACTGCGGTAGAGGAGCCCATAGACGTGCCAGCAAACGTGAGACTTCATGTTGTTGTTCAGCGCAATCTTGGCCAAGGCAAAGGCCTCGTCGGTATGGCCCTGTGACCCAAGTATGAGGGCCTTCATGGCTTGGGTATCGGCATGGTTTGGGTTCTTTCGGAGGATTTGTTCTGCGGCCTTGAGACCTAGACAAAAAGCATCAGTCCTGCTCAACGAACATCAGAAGTCCCTCACCTTTCTTGTACTGCTTATTTTCAAAATGCCGCACCACCTGTCTGAACAAGGCGCCATCTTTGTGGCTCAACTGTTGCTGGGCCTGAGCCATATTGACAAGCCGTTCACTCAATGGTGGATGAGTCGCAGGAATGAGTCGGGCAGGGTGCGGTGAAAGAGATTGTTGCCAAATGAGTGCAGGGCTAGAACATGTTCACAGAGAAGCAAAGAGCAAATTGACAAAGTTGCGACTAAGCCCGCCGCAATCAAGTAGAAGCAGTCGAATCAGTCAGTCGTGAAGAATTCAAGATGGACTTTACCTTCAAGTTCGAGTTACTACTTTTAGTATGACGGTCGTTCGGCCGCCGCGGCTGGCAGCCTCGTTGGGCTTGGCAGTGACATTTGGCCGGTGCAATTCAGCCTCATCTGCCAGACTACATACCAGGTAGCTACACTAACCTACCTTCCTCGGACCATGACTACTACTACTCGACACCAACAATTCTCAGAGACACTAAGTAGATAATGGCTCGAAGGTAACAGGAGTATCTAGGTATTTGTCCCACTGCGACATGTTAATGTGGGTATCCGACCATTCACTCCCAAACGCCACGTACTCCCCTTAGTACCCTCCAACCTATTTCGCCTCGGCAATATACTCCTTCAGCGTGCTTGCACTTTTGGCCAAAAGGTCCTTCTCCTCCTGGATCAAGGGCATGTTGAGGGATCTCACGATTCCCCGGCGTCCCAGGACAACTGGCAAACTCAAGCAGCATCCCAGGTCATCTACCCAGTGGGAGATTGGCCTGACGTTTCGTTGATCGAACAGAATGGACTTGCAGATGCTCGCACTAAGGGCAGCAATGCCATAGGCAGTGGCTCCTTTGGCTTCGATGATCTTGGCAGCCTTGTCTTTGGTTTCAATGGCGATGGCCTTGCGGTCGAGAGTGACGTTGGGGGGCAGACATTGATCCAGGGGGACGGCACCAATGGTCACGCAGGACCAGGCAACCTGTTTGCGAGTCAACAATGCGAGAAACCAGCATCGTGGGCAGTATTCTTCGCTTACCATTTGACTTTCCCCGTGCTCACCCAGTACGTAGGCGTCTATGCTGCTCGCATCCACCCCTACTTTCTCCGACAGGATACCTCTCAGCCTTGCGCTGTCAAGAAAAGTCCCGCTCCCAAGCACCTGGCCTTTGGGGAGGCCTGAGTATTGCTGGGCAAAGTAAGTCAGGACATCGCAAGGGTTTGCAACAATGAGGAGAACGGTGTCCTCCCGAAATGGTTTCATGTCATTTGTTGCGGACTTCAGTATGGCAAGGTTGCGACCGAGGAGGTCAGTACGTGATTCGCCTGAGGGAGCAACGGTCAGATCAGGAGCCACGGTCAGAGGGGCAACCTGCCATGTCTTTGCTTAGCACCGGCGCTGATGACAACGATATCACACTGCCCAGCATCTTTGTGGGTTCCAGCTCGAATCCTGACGCCGCCACCTCTGTAGAAGGGTTATTGATGTCGAGGTAGAGAGTGGGCAGACCAACCCAACAGCACCATGGTAGGTGGTGGCATCTCCTAGATCTTTAATCTGAGCGTCGCGCAGTGCAGTATTGGGATCCACCAACACCACTTCGCTGGCAACGGGATTGAGGATCAGACACAGGCCGATGGCCGAACCAACAGATCCAGCTCCGAGGATGGCGATCCGAGATTTGGCGGTAGAGATTTCGGGGTCCATCGCCGGAGGGTCCATGGTGACGACAGTTGAGGTTCTCGAAGCAAGGACTACTAGTAAGCTGCAACGAAGCTGGGGAGTGAGGCTGACGGAGCGATGACTTCATTCAATGTGGCCGGCGAAAGTATTGGTATTCTTATCGGCGTCGCCTGTGATAGGAGATGTGACTGGGAAAGGGTCGTAGAGCAAGGATTCTCTAGCGGACGGATAAAGATACCTGGAAGCAGTTGACGTGGGTGACTGGGGGAGGGGGGTGTTGTTGTGGACGGGAGGGAAATTCATGCAGTGCCGGATGTTGCTTTTGTTGCTTGGTCCTCACTTGACGAAAAGGAAGGCACTACCAATATGGACATGACATAGCTATCTCAGCAGGCACCTGGATACTAATATGGCAGGTGCTACAGGCGGGCGGTTCAGATGAAAGTGCAAAGCAAACGCAAAGCAGGCAAGCGACGGTTGAACCTGACAGTAACGACCTAGACTTCCATACCTTGTGTATAACGCCAGTCACTTACTACCACTACCACTACTAGGACATTTATCACCCGCTTCTTGATGGCCCAATTCGTCATAGATGGGCATCTTCGTTCAGCCCCTGCATGGGGTTTGGCACGAGAGACTCTCTCCGCACTGTGCGCACCTATCGATTGTTTCATGCCATCAGCCTCCCGCTGCATCTCATTTCCCATGCCGCTGACGTTTGTGGCTAACATGAGGGTTCTGTTATTTAGGTACCTTAGGTAGATGTTGAACATCCCTTGCCCTCACTTGTTTAGGTCACTGTTGTTTGGAAGCTCTGACCGAAGATGCAAAGCGGGTTGCTGGAGTCCTTCTTGGGCGCCCTTCAAGCAACCATCTCCATCATCATGGTCATCTTCTACGGCGTCGTAGCCACCCAGTTCAAGCTTCTAGACGGGCCCGCCTCCAAGAAGATATCTGAAGTGTGCATCAAACTCTTTTTGCCTGCCCTGCTCATCACAAAGGTCGGCAATGAGCTCCACGCCGACACCGCAACACGATATATTCCCATTCTGAGTACGTTTGCGAACAACCATCCTCCCTCATTCTGTGTTAACAGCTCGGTCCACAAGTCTGGGCCATCTTCTATGCTCTTGTTTCGATTGCCATTGGCTTGTTGGTGGTCAGAATCTTCAGTTTCCCTCCTTATGTCACACCGGCCCTCGCATTCAACAATACCACCAGCCTGCCTCTCCTCCTCATTGAATCATTGGGATCGACTGGCATACTAGACCGTCTGCTCCTCGATGATGACAATACTAGAGACGCCATCAACCGAGCCCAAGCGTATTTCCTGGTATGTGCCATAGTGGGGAATTGTTTAACGTTTGCCGTGGGCCCTCGCCTCATTGATGCTGAATTCGCCTCAGACGGGGAGGAAGGCGATGCGGAAGAGCATGAACATGACTCCGGAGAGCCTCCTAGAGAGAGAGATGGCGAGGCTGAACAAAACCGCCAGGACATCGACGATCTGACCTCTCTGCTCCCGGGTCCGAGTCCGTACAATTGGTGATGAAATAGAGGCAAGTGTTTTCAACATCGGCCGGAAGCACTGGATAAAGCTATCTCCTCGTACGCGACATGGTCTCATCTTCCTGTCAGATTTCATCAATGCGCCTCTCATCGGCGCGGTGGTGGGCGCTGTCATTGGCCTCACCCCGCCATTGCACCGACTTTTCTTCAACGACAGTAGACATGGAGGATTGTTCAATGCCTGGTTGACCACATCCCTGGAAAACATCGGAGAACTGTTCGTCACTTTGCAAGTCGTCGTAGTCGGAGTCTCCCTGTCCTCCTCGCTGCGGAAAATGAAACGGGGCGAGGACAATGGCTTACCCTGGATTCCCATAGCCTGCATCTTGTTGGTAAGATTCGTGCTGTGGCCGGCAGTCTCAATCGCCATGATTTGGGGACTCGCCACCAAGACGAGGTTGCTTCCCCAAGATCCAATGTTGTGCTTCGCCATGATGTTGATGCCAACTGGACCGCCGGCCATTAAATTGGTGGCTATGGCAAAGGTTCATGGCGTCGGCGCTCATGAGGAAATGACCCTATCAAAGCTTCTCACTGTGAGTGCAGCTTCCAATGACTCCTGAAGTTGCTCAGACTTACCCGAGTAGCTATCCTATGCCGTCTCGCCAATCCTAGCACTTACAGTGGTCGGAAGTCTTTACGCAAGCGAGGCAGCAATGGTGAACTGAGAATGGCCCGACGGCCGTCACATCCATACTAGCAGCGACACCTCTTGCGACTGCAGCGACGAGCACATTACAACCGTGTCGATTGATGTTGGTTAGCACTACAAGCAAGGGATTGGGAAGTTCAAACGGGATCATGTGCTCTGGGGCAAACACATCTCTCAGAAGTCCCGGTCATGGTCCAGTCACTTGCATGAAACAACTGAATTCTAAAATGTCAGCAGCCCACCTGAGGCCAGCGGGTGTCATAGAGCTCGCATGGCAAGAAGTGCTCTCTCTGCCGAGGGGTTTTCGGAGATCTAACCCAGACTGACAGCACGACCGATTTCCTGGAATCATCCTAGTGAGCTCCTGCAAAAAAACATCGCAGTCTTATCCCGGACCATAGATGTCGATAGCACAATGGCATGGGGGAGACCGGCTCTTTGATGTCACATAATTAATTCAACGTGGCGACACCCCAGTTTTTGTGGATTTCTGAGATTGCTTGACCCAACGACCCAGTCCGATAATGGAGCATGTCTCGAGAATGGCCCATCTTTTTCGGTCGGCATCGTGCGGTGCTGCTACATGACCGATATGTCCGACCATGCCTCGAAACCAGCCTTCTCCAGACGCTGGAGACCAGCACAGCAGAGCGAAGTCGTCGCGGCCGGCCAGGAGTTTAGACCATATGATGTGAACAACGCGAAAGGAGCCGACGTCATGGGTTGATACCGCTCGGCGTGATTGATTGGGCATTTGGAATGCCAGGATGGGCGCGAAGTTGACTCCGGAACACTCATTTTCGCTAAGGAATCAATCATGATGAGACACTGGTAGGAGATGGTCATCTATTGGGCCGACGCGGCGCGAGGCTAACGACTGGGGTCTGGAAATTGACGGCAGATTGACAGAAGCCAGGTGCGGCGGTAGCAGGACACGCTGCACCATTCGTTGGCGATGCGAGCTGTCGATAGAGGCAGCAGACTGACAGCATGAATAGTCAGGGGAAATCTGTAGATTCCGGGTTAGATCAAAGGCATTCTGAGCAGGAGGTAATGAGAGCAGGATGTGAGGGTGTAAACACAGGGAGATACCTAGTTGTAGGTTGTACTTTTCCGTATGACTTCCCACTGCAGTTGTACAAGACCACCGCAACACGTGCACCTAGCATTGGTTCCTCACGAGCAGGGTTCCCTCAGACCGCCAATGATGATAAATGCCTGCAAATTACGCCGGTGGCTTTGTGGATGTCCTTCATCTGTTGCTTCTCCATGGTCAAGATTTGAGCGGGGGCCTAGAAGTGAGCCGCAACCATTAAGACGGGCAAAAGTGGCAGCGGCCGTGGTCGGGCTCATCAGGCTTAAATTGTGGCTTGTTTAGGGGCTTTAGGCTTTAGTTAACCACCCCTGACCACGGTATTAACTGTGAGTCGTTAGCTGTTAGCCTACTAGGGTGCCTCCCTAGCCCCGTGGCTCCGTACCGCTGCACCCTCATTCACCCCCTGTCCGTTTATTGTTGTCTCTCCTTTGTGCATTGATTGCTTTGCATCCGGTCTCAATCTTCTCTACCAGCTCGGATCTGCTGTATCGAGCACACTTGGACCATTCTACCTTTCCTTTCTTTCTTTCTTTCTTTCTTTGTCACTCTTTTTGCCCAGATATCGTCACTCATTTAGCATCTCACCCAAGTCGCTCTTTACCGGCAGCATCAAGCTCTGTTGTGGACCGGTTCCACGCCCTCCATTCCTTTGCGCAGTCTGGACCAACATCTCAAAACCCATTGACCACCCACGAACCTCTACGGTAGAATGCGAGAAGACAGGACCTGATACACCATGCTCCATGCAGCCGACTTCTAATTATCATAATATAACCCTTTACTTCTATACGCAGAGCACTGCCTAGGATCATCATCATCATCCCATTACAATGTCCTCAATCATCCGACCCGAAGATGAACCACAGATTCAGCCTCGAAATCCCTTTGCCCGACCAGGCCCCATTCCGGACATCAGACTTGCCGGTTTATATGTCGAACGAGCACCATCTCTGGTGGCAAGGGCCGATAGCTCCTCGACTGATAACAGTCACTCTGGTGGATCGAGCAACACGGTGCCAATCGTCGTAGGGGTCGTTGTCCCCTTGGGAATCGCGTTGATTGTCTTGATATTCTTGCATCGCCGTCATGTGAAGAAGTTGCGAAGAGAGGATGCAGAGGATAAGCACAAGGCGCTTGATTTTGGTTTGGATGAAGCACAGCAAAAGCCGGGCAAGAAGACACGTCGAAAGGCTCCGGAAATGTCTATGGCCGAGACCAAGGAAGTCGGTCGCCGCGGACGAGGGCTGTCCCTGGATTTGGGTCCTCATAATCCATACCTTTTGCCGCCCGAGGTTCACCAATCTCGAGAGTCATTACATTCCCTGTCCCGTTCAATGAACACCGGTGACGACAAGTATCGGACGACGACGTTTATCCCTGACGATGGGTCTATACGACCGCCTTCAAGTTTGAGAAGCCACTTTGACGATTCTTCCAGCTACACTGGATCGTCAGGCGGCAGGTTTCCACTTGACTCCAAGCAGAATTTGTTGCGCAATGCACAAGAGAACCCGAGGGGACCGCCTTCGCGTCATGTGTCAACAAGCTCGGTCCGGACAGGAGCCGACCCTATATACAGCGGCAATAGAACGTTGGCACAGGCCAGTAACAACAATTTGCTCGCTCCAGTGTCAACAGACCCCGTCCGTGAGTCTTACTTGAGCACAGCCAGCAGCAACGGAGCCATTAATGCGTTGAGGGCGAGCAATAACTATCTGGCACAATTCATTAGCGGGGGCAAGAAAGCTGAGCCCGAAAAGAAAGAGCCGGTTGCCATGGTCACAGAAATCAGAGTCGAACCGCCGGCGGAGGATTTGCAGGTCCCTCCGCCTGCGGTTGTGAAAGATGCTGCTGTTGCGGCTCATGTCATTTCCACCAATGTGGATAAGTCTGCACCCAGCATAACTTTGAATGTCCAGGACACTCGTCAGCCGAGGTTACCACAACTTAGCCTCATTGACTCTGAGGGCAACAAGCAGCACTCTGTCCAGCCCAGCGAGGTTGTCGAAACAGTCTCCGTGACCTCCCACAGCACGCCACAACATTCTAACACCCCTTCGACAGACCTGGCCCATCCAGCAGAGACTAGCCAGACCCAATTCGTCAAATCGAATGAGCAGGACTCTGCCGACAATGTTGACTACTACGATGAATACGAAGCTTATGCATCTCAAGATCACCCAGAGTCCGAATATGAAGACTATCAGTACTACCAAAACTATGTTGACCACGACGAGCGCCGACTTACCATGGGAGTGCGACCCTTGCCTCCAGACGATCCATCGGATAACCCGGAGCAGAGGGCCAACCGCATCAGATCCTTCTACAAGGAGTATTTTGATGAGACAAAGCCACAACCCTCTGCTCAAAACAGCCGGTACCACGATGGTGCCGAGAACTACTATGGACCACATGGCGTACAAGGCCATCACCACCAGGGCGGATTCTACGCTCCCCCCCGAAAACCATTCTCTGGAAGACATCGTGCGATGTCGAATGGAAGTTTTATGCCAGGGCCTAGGGCGTTTTCCTCCGCTTCGAGCAGATACACCGGGCATCATCCGCACTTGACACCGAAGAAGAAGTTGCCACCGCCCAAACCACTCAACATCCTACCCACACCTCACTTGCTCGATGGAGACTCGTTCTTGCCCATTGATTTTGCCCCGCCCCAGAGGTTCCAAAAGCAGCGGGCCGGTACGCCTGATAGCCCTCGAGGCGGTGTCAGACCGTACTCTCCGGTGACTCCAGCTCATCTAGCGCTGGCATCCTCGTTTGATGATCTGGCGGTCATACCAAGCCCGTAAGTCTCCCGGTACGCCGGTGTTTCTCAGCCAACTAACATTATGGACAGTCATGCCTTGAGGAAGTCGGCAACCTTCACAGCCCTCGATTTTGCGCCACCCCGTCTACGGGGAGTGGACACAATGAGTGAGACTGGCAGTATTCGGAGCAATGGATCGGGCATGTCGGCCGTGCATTTGCATAGCATTCGTGCTGGAGCCTACCGAGTCAGCCGTATTCCTAAGGAGGTTGCGGGGACCAAAGATGAGCTTGCAGAAGCGCTGAAGCCGCAGTGGGGTCTGAATCGGGTCTGATCTTGAGCAAGTCTGAACAGAACAGTTGTGGACTAGGTTGAATGCACAGGGACTTCCTCTTGTGCCCCGATCATGATGATTCCAGCACAGCGTGGGGCGTCCAGGGCCGTGGACGGCGACCCTGCATCTCGAGATCTCCAAAATCTCCACCAAGACATTAATATATGCCACGGCGGTCTGCTGGCTTTGAAGTCCTCAAAATGTACATTAAGGCGAAAAGTGGGAGGCCAATCCTGATACAAGGCAAAGCCAAAAAATCTACGAGGAGAGTTCAAGATAACACGAAGTAGTAAGCCATCAAGATCTGAATTAGCTACCTGAACTTGAAGGGGTTACGTCGGCTGATTGAATCTCGGGTTGCCTTCGTTCCTCCGCAGATATGAAGTCAGTGGTCGGGGTTCAGGGCGAGCTGCAGGGCTGCAGGGCTGCCCTGACAGGGTCAAGGTCTTTTGGCAAGATGCAGCTCCCGAACTGCCCTGCATGTGTCTAGGAGACTGGCCAATTGTTCGACAAGGTAAGGTAGGGCGGCGACCCTCGACTGTAGGCATGCCATTGATAAGAATGATGAGCCACATTCCCGGAAACATTTGTATCACCACCACCACTGCAGAGATACTGTACGACCCTACCTTAGGTACTACCTAGCTGAGCTTGGGGTTTTCGTTGGTGACACCGCCTATCTTACCCTTACCCAATGCCCGCAAAGGTGACACGGATGCCAATATCCCTCAAGTCTGGACCGCAAGGAGTCTCAGTCTCAGTGGAGCGGGATTGTCCTTTGTCCCAGCAGATGGAAAACACCCCGTTCAGCCCGCCTCCGGGAAACACAACAGAAAGGACCCGAGCCTGCAAAGAGCCACAACGCAGATCATTCGTATGCCGATATATTTCCATTGTCATGATATCAACCAAGAGTTATTAAAGAGCAACTATGTCTCGTGCACAGCCTGATTCCTCGGCACAGGAGAATGATTCCGGTTGAACAATCGGTGCAGCTGAAGTGAGGTTGGTAATAGATACTAGTACATTACGTACTATGGTATAGTACTGATCAGCAACTACCTCAGGTAGGTACCTTCTTGTTCAAAGGAAGAGCACATTACATATCTCGTTGTTGGATAGCAAACAGTAAGAGTACTTAGCTAATCATGTAGGTAGGGCCTCTCCTCCTAGAGACTTCCCACAGATCATCAATCACAATCGTACCTGTCTCTACAGAGTACCATGGATCACTGTTTCAAGTGGTACCTGGCAAAATAGGTGGTCCGTGGGAAGTTACCTTGTACGTACCTAGGTACCTACCTAGGTAGCTGCCAGTTAAAAATAGCACCTTGGTACCTAGCATTGGCGGGCGGCAGGTGTGTCATAGGTACCTACTGGGCACCTGGGTATCCAGATCCACCACTACAAGCCAGAGCCTGCTAAGGTAACCCCCTAGGCAGGTGTTTTTAGTACTGACCCGAGCAGCGGGACCCTTGCGGACCCTTGACAAGCAAACTGCGGGTGCACACACTACAGTAAACAATAAACAGGCGGCCGCCCAAGTCTCAAACATTATATGTCGCTAACTTACTTTTGGTAAGCTATTGATGCCTAAGGTCGCTCAAGTAGGGATTCCATTGAAACTTAACCGTGAGGCCAGCCCCAAGTGTGTTCACCTAGAGCTCTCCTAAGCCACTCGGCTAGGTTGTTAAAAGCCGCCATTGACACTGTATAGTAGAACTAGGAGGTTACTACCGTACACTAGTACCTTAGGTGGCTAGTAATATGATTACTCCTCCTCCTCCACCTCCTCCTCCACCGCCCTGTTGGCCAACAACATGGAGTTGTGTCTATCTTCCAGCCTCAACCATTTCCCTCGTAATCCTCCTCTACCTACCCAACCTGCTATACCTACTCTGTACCCAGGTGATGAACACCTAGTCCACCGTCACGCTTTTTCGACTCTCGCCCATTGTCACCACATCAGAGTTTCGATCTCGAACTCACTGCGCTGCGTCTCGGATTCCGAGATCTTAGATTCGGACTGCGCCTCACAGGGATCGCCGGTTCTAAACCTCGAGTTGCGGCGTTCTGACACGTCCATCCACTTTCCACTTTCCCTCGCACCTCCTCGATGGGCTGCAATGCAGAGGCCAATCTCACCACCATAACTTCACCAACTTCACCAGCTCTCCCAGTCTCGCTTACGTTGTAAACGTCTTCCCCGTCACCAAAGTCCAGATAAACCTCGACCTTATCTGATTGATACCGCGCTCTATCGCTCCGCTTGCTGCGGCAAGCATACCTATTGCCCTCCTGCGACAACCTCTGTTCGACACACCAGGATAACGGCACAATGTCAGACACCGCTCCAGCCGCGACGACGGCTGCACCTACAGCTACACCTACAGCTACAGACACATACACAGGCGCAGCTACAGACACATTCACAGACGCAGCTACAGACACCTTTACGGGTACAGCTACAGGTACTGCTATACCATGACTGTGTTGCATTTCAAGTCGTTAGCTGACCTCGAATCCAGATACCGCGACGAGCACCGCGTCAGATGGCTCTGTCCTCACCACTGTCATCACCACGACCTCAACCAGTCTGACAACATCTCCTACGACTACATATACCGTGACAGAATCTTCTACCTCGACACCTGACACTTTCATTCCAGAGACCAGCTCCGCGCCGATATCGACTAGCGTTGCTTCCATCTCGGTGCCTCCCTCCACGACCTTCGTCGAAACTACCCCGACGCCCACCAGCAGTCCTCCTGTCGTTGCTGTCACCGCCACCGTGACCGAAACACCCTCCTCAACCGGAGGCACTCAAACGCCTTCTGTCGTCATTGTAACCTCGACATATTCTCCCGATCCTACCACGCAACAAACCTCCACAGTTTCTTCTGTATTCACTACTTCCTCGGCGTCTGCCACTCCATCGGCATTAAGTGCATCAGGCTCCTCATCGGGCTCCTCCAAGGGCTTGTCTTCCGGGGCTAAGATTGCGATCGCGGTCATCATACCAATTGCCGTTATTGCCGCAGCGTTTCTGATTGGATTCTTCTTTTGGCGAAAACGGAAAGCAAGGAAGGATGCAGAGGAGCTCCGCAAGAACGAGATGGCTGAATATGGCTTCAATCCAAACAGCGACCCCACATTAGTCCCAGGTGTAGGAGCATATACCGACAATCAATCCGAGCCTCACGACGACACCAGCGGGTACCGTGGTTGGGGTGCGACCCCGTCCAACCGCAAGGCGTCGACAACCTTGGGTTCCAATGGTCGACCCGCGGCTGGCCCTGCCTTGTCGGAAAGCAGCAGCCAACCGGGAGGGTATGCATACCAGACCTCCCCTAATGGCGCCTCTGACCACTATTCTGCGGATCCTTTGATGAATGGCCACCCTGAAGCCGGAGATGGAGTTGCAGCCTTGGGTGCGGTTGGTGCGGCGGGTGGGCTCAACCGAAATCGCAGCGGTACTGCCGATATTCGTCGTGGTCCATCAAATGCGTCCTCGGCTTACTCTACCGGCCACCAGTCCGAAGCGTCCTTGGAGACTCATAACATCCCTGTCCCGTATTACCAGGAAGAGGTGCCTTACAACATCTACAACGATCACGTGCCCAGCGATGGCCCTTATGGCGACGGTTCATATGGTGGTGCTGGAGGTCAGCCCGTTATACGAGATGTCCAGGCCAGGAGGAACACCCGCATTGAACGAGCCCCAACCTTCCCTCAGACACAAGGTGGCATCGCCCAGAACTTTTAAACAGCATTCTTTTTTGCGGCATTTGGAGGTGTTTCTTGCTTGTTACGCTTGCCCTCGCATTTTGTTGCGTCGTCTGGGACGCTTTTCGGAGTTTGGACATGGGCTGGAGAAAAGTTCATCTCCTGGGTTCTGCCATTGCCCTCTGTCGACCATATCCGATACCCTGTGCTGGTGCTCATAGACACTGGTATTTTACGAATCTCTGCATCATGGGGGCTTTTCTTTTCGCACGTCGCGCTTGTGGCATATTGGACGGCTCGCTGTACACAGCTTTCGGGATATAAATATCTGCTATCGGTCTATACGAGCAGTTAATTCTGGGACACATCTGGAGTGGTGGTGAGGAGGCGGAAGAAGCAGGTCAGGGAGAGGAGGCCTGGGATCTCAAGTGGTCAAGTGGCCTGTATAGGTATTTTTGAGATGGTAATCTGCATCTCAAAGTCTAAGAAGAGATCATTCTCGTGAGATCAGTCAAGGGGTTATTACTGGCATTAATTGAAGAGTCTTCCGTTGATTGAGCATTGAGCGGTCGTGGTTGTGTTGACCCCTATAAACTGCTGTCTATGGTGTAGAGAGTAAAAGTGCCCGCAGTATGAACATTTTGATTCGAGTACGTGTAATATTTGTATCAACCTCCAACAACGTCCACGACTAAACTTCTCAGGCTGCCGTTCAAGCCTTCACCCCTGGCTTTGACTCATCCTCTGTTGTAAGACAGACTTGACTTTCTCGGGCCAGTGAGCGTCGTGGATGAAGTTTTTTCCATAAAGTGCTTCAGATCATTTGCGTCCCCCAAAACCACGAATATATTGACAAAGTCACACACAACTTGCAATATTCAGCCAATAACCGAGTAAAACCCTCTCTCAAGCTGGCTTTCGGGACATATCATTCGACTATTCAAAACACGCATCCTCGCTCGTGTATGAACAGGGAGAAGAAACCCAGGCTGGTCATTTGTGCACATTGTTGCCCAGCTTCAAACCACGCTGTTTGGAGTTGTAAAGGATTACTTTAGAAGATTGAGAATACACCTCCTTCGTGACTCAAATCCTACCATCACGTCTCGGGCTATACAACTCTGCAGGTCTACGACGGCCTTTCCACAAGCTTGGTCATCTAGCATTGGGAGAAGTTTTGGTCTATTAAGTCAACGCCAGTTCACCATGTCGACGGAGCCCGCGGGCAGAGAAAGCGGAAGAGGCAGAGGTGGTGGTCAAGGCCAAAGTCATGGTCGTGGCTCGAGACACGCCTCCCAACCCCGTACTGTTCTAGTCTCCAAAGCCATGTCGCGGCTTCTCCGCCACGCCGCCGTAGAAGAACGCATCCCGATCGACAAGCATGGGTATGTGCGGATGGACCATCTGCTGGGATGGCAGAGGCTACGGAGCATGAAGCCTCCCGTGACGTTTGGAGAGGTCGTCGAGGCCGTCCGAGACAACGAGAAGAAACGCTTTGCTTTGAAATATATTGGAGAAGGAGAAGAAGGAGGGAATGACCCCGGACCTATCCCGGTACGGACAGGGACACTGTCAGAGACACAGACTGCACGTACTGAAGCAGGCGTCACTAAATCGGCGGCGACAGACCAAACAATCGAAATAGCAACAGAGGCACAGGACCAGAGCCAGAGCCAGGAACCGGAACAGGCAAAAACAGACTCAGAAACCCAACGAGCAATTTCCATGTTCCAGTCCAACCAGGACGCCGACGACCTGGACCCCCGCCACTTCCTGATTCGCGCCACGCAAGGCCACAGCATGCAGACCATCGAAGCCGAAAGCCTGCTGACGCCCATCACGCTCGACGACCCGGCGACGATTCCCGAAACGGTCGTCCACGGCACCTTCTACGGCGCGTGGGACCGGATCGTCCAGAGCGGCGGCCTGAAGCGCATGAAGCGAAACCACGTCCATTTCGCCACCGGTCCGGCGCTGGACGACGTCCTGCCGTCGCCACCCTCAAACAACGGTTCTGGAGAAGAGTCGACGGGATCCCATGTCGGCGGCGGCACCTCTGCCGTCCTGCTCGGTAAGGACAAAGTCATCAGCGGCATGCGCGGTGATGCCCAGATCTTGATCTACGTCGACATCCGCAGGGCGTTGGCCGAGAGGCCGGACATGAAGTGGTGGAGGAGTGAGAATGGGGTCATTCTCACGGAAGGGGTCTCAGAGGCGTCACCAACTACAACGCAGTCACTACCGGCGTCGGAGAATGGCGCTGGAGAGGGACAAGGCATACCTCCTGACGATGGAGCACGGCAGTCGGACGAAATGAAGAAGGGCAGCAAACCGCCCGAGCAGGAGAAATTGGTCCCCATGGAGTACTGGCTTGCGGCTGTCGAAGTCAAGGAAGGCCTCGGTCTGCTGTGGAAACATGGAGAGGGCACTGTGCGTGAATTACCGGAACACCTGCGCAGTCGAGCTCTGCCGATGGGCAAAAGAGGACATGGACCTGGACGGGGTCGAGGTTGGGGCAGAGGTCAGGGAAGAGGCTGATCATGATGCGTCAGTTTGACACGAGGCTGTCAAGGCTAAGCAGAGGTGCTCTATAGAGTTACTGCAGACTACTCGATAGATGCGGTCTATGACTAGAGTTTGGACGACCGTATGACTCAAAAGAATACGAATGGTTTGAAGAATCGTGTACCATAGAGGCACGTGGTCAATTGACTATCTGGATCCAATGGCCATTCGAGAGGCCGAAGCATGCATGCTTGTATGCTGAGGGGTTCTCTGCTGTTCCAAGGGGTGTTGCCATGCCCGCTGATGCCTTTGCCGACCCAGGCCAGCTGGAATGAGCAATGTCGGCTCTCAGTAGGAAGCCAGGGCGGACAGCCATTCGACATGGTATAAACCTCTGATGTTGAAAGGCTCACCTTGAAGCTCCCAAGTTTGCGAGGCCGTTCAGCTGTTGCCGCGGGCTTTCCTTCTTCCGTATCAATATTCAAGACTCCAGGCCATCTACGACCGCCATATTTGTCGTCGCTGGTCAGTGACAGAATGAGAACCGCGTTCGGTTCTGCGGGAGTTGTCTGTTTGACCCGGGCAAGCACGCATTTGTGGTCTTGCCATTGCAAAGGTTGCATCAAGACGTCACCTTAGACGTGGGCTGCCAGACGCCATGGCTGTCGTGGTGGCGCCGAGGTTGCCCCTGTGGTGATGGTTTCCCTGACACGACTTGCAGCCTTGGATTGCGTCCCGACCATTGTTCGAGGTGTGCTGAAGCTGCGGCTAACATTTTTCCGAGCAGACTCACTTCGCCGGTGTTGGAGGCGGCCCCATGTTGACCTTCTTTGATGGCGGAACCTGTGGCACCTTGAAGCCTCCTACCGATTGTCCAGAATTAACGTGGGTGAATGTACCACGGGAGAAATATCCAGCACTTTCGGCCTCGCGTTTTCGCTTCAACTCGGCCTGGACTTTGGGGTCGACGAGCTCCAAGCCCTGGACTGGCGTGAACGCGATCGAACTTGCAATACCGGCACCCACACCGGTCGTGCGGAGACCTTGAGCTCGCAGGGTCGTGGCATTCCCACCCAAGGAAGTCCCGAATCCTTTCAAAGACGTGTTCATGCCACTGTTAAGACTCGTTGCTGTCCCGGAGCCGCCCCAGCCCGGGTTCTTCTTGCTCAACTTGGCCATAGTGCGCCGGTCGATCTGCGTCGCACGAATGCGACCGTCGTTCGCCTGGCCAATCATGCCTAATCCGGCTGTACCTGCGCCAGTTCCGTAGCCGACTTCCTTCTCCTCCTTTCCGAATGCTAACCTGTTCTGCTGTTTCCTGAGCTCCGTCATGGCGGTCGCCTCCTTGGCTTTACGAGCTCTCCTACCGCCACGTTTGCGACTGGGTTTATCGTCCGGTGCGGGTAGAGCTCGAGGTCCACGATTCGGTGGAGGCTCCGTTAACTTGTCCAGTCGCCTAAGACAGTCTTCTCGCAATTGCTCTCCTGTCGAGCCGTCTGGTGCCTGATGGACGCTGTCCACACGCGCGGCGAGAATCAGCTTGCCGGATACGATACGCATGGCTTGGACTCTCAAGTCGTTGGGGATGCTCTGGATTAGCGGCGAATGGTACAGGAATCCCTGCTGCCTTATGCCAACGTTGGTGGCTAAGCCGCTCTGCCTCTGCTTCCTCGAGCCCATTGCGGGGACGTTGCGGTCCGGTGTTTTGGCGAGACCTTTCAGACCACCGGCATAATTGAGCAGTTGGGCCGCCGTGAGCGAGCCGATGAGCGCAGTGAGGTTCGGCGCAAACACATTCATCCGAGACTGGACATATTCTGTGAGAACCTTTTTCGCTCTATCCAACTGGAGGGCCATCTCGCACGCGCGTAGGGTCGTCTCAAGCTCCGCTCTACTGAGTTCGTGGCCTCGCGTCGTTGTAGCTTCCACCGTAACCACCATCAACGTGGGTCCATCCAAGACAGACCGAAGAGGTTGTCCGACGATATTGTCGGAGGAATCAGCCAGGGCCTTGATGTTCTCGAGAGGTCCATTCCTGATGATTGCCACTGTTTTCGCATAATCGATCGGGTTCGTCACGAGTGTCTCTAGTTCAGGGAAGCGCGCAGAGTAATGGTCGCGGATGAATTTGTGGACGAGGATGATTTCGCTGTCTATTTGCGTCGAGAGCGAGTTGGACTGGGTCAGTAGGTGGTATTCCGGATTGTCTTCTATCGATCCCACGCCCGTTGTTCGCTGATCCGGCGGGATATTCTGGTAATGGGAAATTCTCTGAGAAGAGGACGAACCGTCAGGACTGTGACCATCTTTATGTAAACCGAAAGGGCTTTGGCATAGCAAGCAGCAGCGGGAGTCATATGCTTACCTCGAGAACTGGCTGCAGAGTCTTCATGAGGCCAGCTACACTCCTCACGTCCCGGACACCTCCTAACCGCATCTTTTCCACTTTGGCTTTGGTGTCATCCTCATCGTCGACGGCGTCTGTCCCGCCCGTATCGGCAGCGATCGCTTCAGCCTCTTCTTCTTCTTCTTCTTCTTCTTCTTCAACGTCCCCCATGCGCTCATCTTGTCCCTCGTGTTCTCCTCCTAGCACTCCGTTTTCGTGGCCACGTACATCTTCGTCATCCTGGAAGCCGTCTGGGTGGTCCTCTTTTTCAGAGCCAGAATCTTCGAAATCGTTCAAGAGCTCGTCTGCGAGGGTCGCCATGATGGGGGGAGGCTTTGGGCAGAAGGTCCAGATATGTTGTCGGCTGCAACCGCAGACAGAAGAGATCAAAAAGTTTACAAAGGAGATGATGTATGCATACTACCTGTAGTTAGTACTGGTGGTGTGGAGAGTCGACAGCCTTATGGCGGTGGCAGCCTTGACATCTTGGAAGCCCAGTGTAATAAACTCTTCCTTGGCGCGGGAGTTTGGGATCAAATCAGGTCCTGTAGGATCTCTCTTCAAGACAACACTTGAGAGTATTACTACCCAGACCTAGGACCCTCTCAGGTCTATCTCTAGACTTCACGACAATAAAGATTTGTCGGTCTAGGCGACGCAGCTATGTCGAACACCAATGAGCCGTTCTACGTGCGCTACTAGTATAGACTCCCCTCCGTCGTCTGTCGAACGAGTATTGATTATGGACAGTTCCGGCCACTCTGGAAGATTCGGCCACGAGTTTTTAGGTGAGATTGCTCTGTTGCTGGTCGCAAGGATGTACGCTGATGGGTTAACAGAGTTTGACTTCCGAGCCATTGGCGATGGACGGAGCGCGACTGCAAGATATGCCAACAATTCAAACTACCGCAACGACTCCCTTATCCGCAAAGAGAGTACGTTTGACACCCTACATAACGTCGCGTCGCTTACAAGGACCCAGTGTGTGTCAGCGCCCTCCTCATCTCCGAAATCAAACGCATCATCAAAGACAGCGAAATCATGAAGGAGGATGATTCTCGGTGGCCGCAGAAGAACAAAGACGGAAGACAAGAGCTCGAAATCAGGCTAGGAAGTGATCATATCCAATTCGAGGTCTGCTGAGAGCCCCTTGGCCATCACGACGGCAGCTGTTGACTGTTTACTAGACTGCGAAGATTGGCTCCCTTGGGGACGTGACGGACTCGGCAGATCCGGAAGGACTGCGAGTCTTCTACTATCTTGTGCAGGATTTAAAGGCATTGGTGTTCTCGTTAATATCACTGCATTTCAAGGTATGCCGGTTTCTTGGGGTATGGAGGACATTCTGACCTGAACTTTGCGCAGATCAAGCCAATCTAGACAGCTCTCTTCGATCGAATTGCCTCACGAATCGAACGACGACACAGCGATCCGCGGCCGCCAGCAGAAATCAGCAGCTTATGAATTCAGCCCATGGGTTTGACAGAAGCGCTTCAAGAGACTACGGAATCATTGCGATCGATGATGCCAGTGACCAATATATGTGCCCATGCCCATGCCCACGCCCGCGCCCAGCGTCCTGAATGGGACGACCTCGACGCAGTAAACGGGGACACTGCAGCAGCCGCCCTGCCTCGTGATAATTACAAGCGGCTATCATGGGACTGACAAGAAGCTGTGCAAGCGTGAACAGACCAAGGTCCAAGATATTGTAACATGGAATACAATGATGAAATCATAGAATCTGGGAGAGTGTCTGGTGAGGGCGAATGTAATGCAGTGTGTCTCGAGTGTCCAATGTTCATACCCCGCAGACACGCCGAAGCCGGTGCTGGTTGTCAAGTACGTACCTAAGGTAGTAATTCAACCATCCATTTCTATCGCGGAACATTAGCTTGTGCCTCATACTTGCGCTCACTACGTACTATCATCATCGACGGTTTTCCACTCCATCTGTTTCTTACAGCGTCGCTCGCCATCTCATCATCGTCAGTTTGGCTATACAGTATACCAACCTCTGCGTCACCGATACCGTCTCCCTCCGCCTCCGCCTCCGCCTCCGCATCACGGTTCATCACGATTCATCACCGTTTCTCCGTCGAACCGGTCGTACCGCTTCGCACCAGCAGTTTTCGCGCATCATTGCAGGTCACCGTCCATAGTCGCTCCATATGATAATCTCGCGATCCGTCACTTTTCAATGCCAACTCATGCATCGGATCCTCCCGCTAGCCCTCACCAAATTGATCTAGGTCAAACTGGTGTCGCGTGTCCTGCACCCTTGACGCCACCTCTAGAAGGCCATGGCAACCATCAAACAGGGCATGGTTTCGCCCAGCAGAGATCTATGGGCGGCGATGGGGTCAGTCGACAGTCTATGAGCGACAACACCGCGACAGGCATGTCGTTGCTTCAAGAGGAGAGCCTGTACAATCCACCGGAGAGCTTCCAGGGAGATCCGCCGACCGAGCCTTCAGCAGAGCTGAAAGAAGGTGACGTTTTACTTGACGAGGGTGTTGCTAAGGTAAACGGAGTATCGCAAACGGAAACATACGAGACCGCGTGCATGATTGATCTGGCGGAGGCCAACCCGAAGGGCCCTGTGTCAAGCAAGACATCAGCCGCCCGAGACATGCAGACCATAATGAAGGACAGCGACTTGGGCACCCTATCACCACCCTCAGAAGTCCGTACAGAGGACAGGAAAAGGGGATTCTCGGGCACCCCAGGCCAGGCTGGGATCCCTTCGATTGATCAAGAGCTGGACTGGTCCAGCGAGGAGAAGGAATGGGACTGTTCGCGCCGGCGGCTTCGTCCACAATATCCATCGGCCACGTTCCAACCATATGCCAAGTTCAAAGGAACACAACAATCAGACCGCCAGGTATACAATGTTGAAGTCACCATCCTGACTGTCGACATAGAACAAGCGAGCATGTCGGGCTACCTGCAGATCTGCGGGCTCACTCCCGACCACCCGACCTTGACCACGTTCTTCACGGGAGAAATCATCGGCGGACCCAACCAGAAATACAGCTTCAGGACGAGAGACCCGGCATGGGGTGCCAGTGACAAGACAGACTTGATCCACTGGGCCCGGTTCCCTGCCTGGCGGCCACTGAGCCCTCATGCGAAACGCAACATCAATTTCGTGTACCCGCTCAACCACGAGGATTGGTGGCAGCAGGAGCACATCTTCATGAGATGGAAGGAACATTTTCTGGTCCCGGACTACAAGCTGAAGAGCATCCAAGGGGCCAGCTTCGAGGGGTTTTACTATATATGTTTTAATCAAGTGGAGGGACGAGTGAGTGGGATCTATTTCCACTCCAAAAGCGAGAAGTGAGTGTTGATGTTTGTTTACGTCTTCCCGGTGTCTGTCGCTGACCATGTAGAAACAGGTATCAACAACTCGAATTGAAGCACGAGGGCCAGCCAGGCGTTTGGGGGAGGGGTGTTTGCCCTGCGATTGAGTTTCGGTAGCGATCTGAGATATTCCTTGACGAGCCACATACTTGCTTGCTATGTATCCTCAGTGTGTACATGGGTTGGCATCGGAACTGCGTTTGCTTGCGTTGCTTCACATACTTAGGATCTGGTACAGCGGGAAGATGCAGAGAGTGGCGGGATACGCTTCAATTCGCCGCGGGTGTCTCTCACCTGCTGACGAGGCCATGGATCGGCAATATGACATGATGAGATAGATGATGGCATTGTCTATAACTTAATGCTCTGGAGTTTTTGTCGCTCGAGGAAGGGATATTTTGCTACCATGAAAACGGGCTGTTGAGATAGAACTGAACGAGCTGCATGTACTCGCTTGTGAGGGAGCTGAACCGAATTGCGGCTGAAAGGTCACATAGAGCGTCGAGGACCGTGATGCGTAGACTCGGAGGAGATGCGCGCACATGTCTCTGTATTCTCTATACAAATGATCAGACCGGGATCACTCATCCAACCACTCTTCTTATTGGGCAGTCTATCATCCTGGGCCGCCTCCTCCTCCTCACTTCGGCCTCATTGACTCTTGATATAATATTGTCGGAGTCGCCACAGCCATTGTCTTCCATTTGCCGTCCTTTCGAGAGCATTTCAAGCCCGTGGCTGGCACTCACTCTCGTTTCGCGTGCGGGTTCTTGCACCGTCCTGCTCATCGTCTGTCGCTCCGCTCTATCTGCGCTCGCCACCGACGGTTGGAGGCACGCTGCTTGCGGAATACTTCTTTGATCGATCTCGACTGTTTCTGGTGAACATATACAGCGGATCCACGTACATTATGATCGCGCATCATGGTGAGTTCGTCTTTGATGCTGGGCGCATCTATGCATTATGCACAACGCCAAAGTCACCCGCGCGCTGTCTTCACAGTCTACGACTAACGCAGCCTGACTTCTCTAGGGGTGCTGTACATCAAGACCTGCGGACTCCGATAGTCCTGATGATGGGCGCCATCCCGGGCCTCCCCAAGTTCGACACTCTTCTCACGCCATCACCTCTCGGACTGCCATCAATGGCGGATCTCTCGACCCTGAACCACGCACCTTCGCTCCTCCTTCCGGCCTATCGGTCCATCACAGTGAGACTTCGAGATCTGCGCTCTCCACCCCTCGGCATTCGATGCAGGAACCGATCTCCCGCCCGGACCGACAGCCGTCCCTTGCCGATCACTACAACCTTCCGCTCAAACGACCGAAGCCATGGAAGAGCACGGAACGGTCCTGGACTCGCACCCAGCTGGACAGAGAGAGACACGAATTCTTCGAGACACGGGTGACAGGAAGACCAGAAATCTGGGATGGCCTCATGCATGCGCTCTTGTGCTTGCGAGAGGGGGATTTGGCAGATGCGCAGGGCATCCTGAACGCGCTCGCCATCACATTGCCCACGGGAAGGCTCGAGGACGGTGCTTACGATGAAGTCGGAAACTTGTACACTCTACCTGAGGCGGTCATATCGGATCCTATCGACGTTATCGAGGGCAGGGCGGATCCGGAGTATGTGCCAGAGCTGGGTATCAGTGACGTGGATGTGCTCTCATCCAAGTTGGAGGCCGCCGGCGAACGACCCAATACCTTGAACCAGGAAGACACCAGCAGCGAGAAGGCCAAAGAAGCCAAGGGAAAGGCGGTCGTGGAGAGGGACGCTATGAAGGTCAAATGCCGTCTGAGTGATCGTGGAGGGCCCGACGTCGTTGTACTCCTCGGCAAGAATCAGAGGGTTGCCGCTCTCACCCAGAGAATCAGAGATGAAACTGAGGTATGCAGGTCAAAAAGGTTGTCGTCGCGTCTCCACACAGCTAACGCTCTCTTTCTCTCTCAGGTTCCTAGTCAGGCGCAAATACGAATTGCATACTTAGGCAGGATCTTGGACAACAGACTCTCTCTGCCCGAACAAGGCTGGAAGGAGGGCCATGTTGTCAACGCGCTGGTTGTCGGCAGGTTTGCTTGATTTGTTCTTGGGCATCTGCGGAGTCCCGCATGACCGTCGAGTGTCGGTCAAGGAGTTATGGAGCAACAATGTCTTGCCAGTGGCCGTTAACGATTCCCGATACCTTGCTCAGGGTATGCCTGACGAGGAGATGTACGAAGGGAAGCAAGATAGCAGCAATCAGCAAATAAGCGGAGGCGTCAGTGGCTAGGAGCTATCACATGGGCTTGAATTATGGAAGGAGTTCTTGCAAGGTTGATCTCTCACGAACAGGGGGAGAAGGGTCATGAACTGTGGGCTGATGATGGTCTACCATCTGGAGTATCGGGCCATGAGAGTTGACGATGACAATAATATCACGGTTCAGCTAATGCTCTTTTTCTCTTCCTTTCCGCATGTGTGCCATTTTCAAGGGGGTTTGAGAGTCACATCAACTTTTTTGCGTATTAATTGATCCCATGGAAAAAGGGGTCAAATTCCTTCCCGTTGCGCGAGGCTGCGGTTGCCAAGGCTGCCTGCGAATATATTTATTGTATTTGTCCAACTCAAACTCGAACTCGAACCTCAGTTTCTCACCCAATTCACTCACTCACCCAATCGATTCTCATACAGGATTGTTCCAGACAATCCGTTATGCTAAATGCCTTGGTGATGCTCGCGAGTGCCTGATATGAGGACCACGCATGCGGTGATATCAAGGAATACGCCTAAAGAGGCCGTCCTGCGACCACCACCATCCGCCAGCTATTGAAATACAGAGTTTATGATTCTGCCTTCTCTACAATGTCAGTAACAAATTCCAGCCCTCCTTCGCCGTCAGCGGTCTCGACATTCATCTCGCACTCCGGGGCCAAATCCGCCTCGGAGGCGCTTGCGCTCGAGATCATGCACAATCTACAACACCAACACAACTGGACCGACCTGAAGCGACACCTGGTCCATCTCAAGGCTCTATGCACTTCAGGCTCAACCGTTCTCGACCGTCCAGTACGCTCAGCGAGCCCTTCCGGCACTGGCACTGGCAATGCATCACCCTCTCCCTCCTCGTCTGGGATATCGACGCCGTCCACAGCTACCGCCTCACCGGGAGCTGGTGTCGTCACCATCATCTCAGGTCTGCCGCCACAACACAGCTACATCCATCCCGACCTGCAGGCCCAGCTGTTGAAGTATGGACTGTCGGACACGGCACTGCCCGTCCAGCGCGAGTTCGTGCTCCCGCTTGCGCTGGGCGAGAAATGGTCCTTGGCCCGGTTCTGCGCCGTCTTTGACCAACTTCCTGAACGGGACTTAATTACGGTCTATGCCACCACCACCACCGGCTCGGGACCTGGGGCGCCAGAGACGGGTGGACGACGACAAGGAATTGCCAACGGCCAAGCAGCTTCCGGAAAACGGAGTCTTTATGAGCACCGAGACCAGAGGCGGGTGTTGCTGGGCATGAGGGCGCGGGAGGGCGGCGGAGGAGATGGCACGGTGGTGTATTACATTATGCAGGAGGGCGAGGTCAAGCCTAGACAGAACGGTTGAAGATTCTTTCTGGGCTGGCTGAGGCTGCCTCAGGCCGTGCTAACCTACATCTCTCGAATGAGTAGCGGCTACTCGACCTGGCCATCCCGTCCGGTCCTTTCTGCTCCTTTGGCGGCAAGACCGGCGTCGGCGTCTGCTGTCTTTGAGCGAGAAACAAGAGGAGCTGGCAGTGAGATGGACCAGGGGTTGATTGGAGGATCACCTGTTGAGACCAGGGATCAACATTTGCGGCGTGAGGGAAGGCTGAAGTACCCTCCCACCTGAGGTTCAGGCTTGTTTCTCGACGAACCAAAGCCCAAGGCTGAGTGCCAAAACAGATGGCGGTCCCCTCAGAACCATCCGGGTGAGATGTCCGCCATCTGTTACTCGTATGGCACCCAGCCTTAGGCCCTACGTAGAATACTTAGGAACTTCTGGGGTCGGGACATGCCCCCTGAAGAAATCCGAGAGACGCTCACCCACCTACTTCTTACCTCTCTGGGATGTACACGTCACGAGCAGAGGGACAATAACCTGGAATATATACCAGAAACAGGATTAAAGTATCAATTACGATGCTTTTCGATTATATAGGTAGCCGTTAACCCAAGACGGTGGTTGCGCCTCTGTCATTCGTGATCATTCATTGATTGTCCTTCCATCCCCGTCCCATTGTCGTGAGTAATTCGGTCTCGTTACGCTCCCTGATCCAGATCTTTCTCCCTCGAGCCTGGACATGTCGCCCGAGTTCGTCGCCCTCGATGACCGTAGCAGTGCACCGCTCTGCCAGTTCACGCTGAAGACAGTAGACCAATAAAAGGGGGCTAAACAATAGGATAACAGAACACAACACAAAACGAAATGAAATGAACTTCCCTCCCAAAATTCGCCAACTAATGTCGAGTGAACCATTGATGGCCCTTCAACTTCTCCGACCGGACGCCGCGACCAGCATCGCCCTGATCAAAAGGAGGAGGAGGCCGAGGGCGGTGCCGGTCTTGTTTGGCCGACTTCTTCGCGTCCTTTTTGTCCTCCTTGGCTTTCCGTTCGTGGAAGTCGTCCACCGACTCCACCACGTCGTACTCGTGCACGGGGATCCCCTCGATCCTCTTGACCCTGGAGCCCTCGACAAAGACGCAGACGCCGGCGAAGATGGCGACGAGACAGCCGAATGTGATGAACACGCCCGTTCCCCATGACGGACGGTCGAACCGGTTGTAATACCACATCCAGACGCACAGACAGACCTGAAACGCCGTATTGAGCATGTACATCCACACGACGAAGTCAAGCGTCCAGGATCTGGTCGGCGGCGCTCTGTTGCCGGTCAACGGGGCCTCGGGCATGGATGTTGCCGGGAGAGGGACGGCAGGATTCTCTTCCAACTTGGCCATCTCTTCCTCGCTGTAAGGGGGAGGAGATTCGGGCGTCCGAGGATTCTTTTCGCTGTACACGGGCGGCGGGCCCATGTCTTCGGGCAGCTGGTCGGAGCCGGGCAGACGGTACCAGGATCGATAGATGCCCGCGAGCCGGCGATGGTAGTGCTGATTGCCGCCCAGTCGCCAGCGCACGACGTAGTAGAGATCCCGCGCCCGCCACGGAAGAAGCCCAAACGCCGTCACGCAGAACAAGCCGGTGAGGACCTGCGAGTCGATTTCAATCCACTTCTGCCGCGCGCTGCTGTCGTCCTCGCAGTTGGGATGGCACATTGCCGGCGCGGCTTTGAGGAGGACGAAGAAGATCATGGCTCCCCAGCCGACGACGTTGAGGCCGTAGACAGTCACAAAGAATCCGAACGGCGTGAGGAAGAACTTCCAGAACGCCCGCAGCCCGATCATGGTGGACTGTGTCCAGGTGTGTTTCTTGGGAAATCGGTAGCCGTTGGGATAGGTGCCAGTGTCGTCGGGCCCGTTCTGGATGTGAACGACTTGCGCTTCATTGGCGTCGTGCTGCGAGGAAGACATGAACGAGACCCTCTCCTGCGTCTCGGCCGTGTATAAGTGTTTCTCGGGAGTGCTTTTGAAAACCATGCTAGATCAGTTACTCGGGCCTATGATGTGATATGTTTAGGGGGGAAGAGGGGTTTCATATACTCATGGTGGTGTACTGGCTGGATTTCTCCCGTACTAGTATGATCCTGGACTTGTACGGTCGCAGCCTCCTCGGCCAGAGGCTCCTGCAGCGGCATCGACGCCTTTCGCGGGAAATACTCATGTCGCTCCTCCACAATGACAGGTTGCGCGCCAGGTACTGCGGACAGAGAGCTCTTCCTGGTCCTGGTGCTGGCCGAACTGGTGCGTGCGATCCGTCGGCGGTGGATTTCATGGGGATTCGTCCCTCGACGCTCCAGCTGTCCTTCATGCGACCACCCTGCGTCTGCAAACGCGCCGTTTCTGATCTCGGGCAGCGTGGGGATCTTGGACCCGACCTCGCCTGTGGCCTGCCACATGCCCAAGGGAGGATTGCTCTCGACAAACGATTGCATCAAAGAAGAGGTGCGCGTGCGGGTGGAAAGGGACAGGCGCGAAGTGATCGACGGCCTTCGGCTCCCGTCTCTACTCCCATCTTCATCTTCTCTCGTGTACGAGTCCCCATTCTCCGTGGTGAAGGCAGGAAACGGTTCTGCTTGAGCAGGTTGGTTGGCCATGGCGGCCGAGGCGTGAGATTGGAGTATTTGACACGTGAAACAGATGTGGTTGAGGAGGGTTCAACGGCGACTAGATGCACGGGCACCGAGACTTATTGTTCTCCTAGGACATAGTATAAAGACATCAAGCATGCAAGGACGACAAGCGCAGGAATGAGGATTTGCAGGTTGGGTAGGTATGTTTGTTGTGCAACGTTGTCCTCCCAGCGTTGGCATTTTCCTTTCATAGTACGGCCGACCAACAACTTTGCGGACACTTTCAAAGCCTAGAATATCAGGGATTCCTTCAGCCTGCAGGGCCCAGTCTAGGCGCTTACTAGGCAGTCACTATCGGGGCTGCTAGACTCTGTCTGGTTAAGGGGACCCCCCAGCAGAGGTGTCCCTAGGGTCCTAATGTCCGCTGCAGTGGGTCGGTCTAGATACAGAGTAAGCACCCCTCCCCCAATGGAGCCCCCTAGCCCACCTGGCACTTAGCTTCCAGCTTGTTTAGGTGTATTATTTAATTGGCTTGGGCTAGGCAGGCCTCCCCGACCTCATTGCCCTAATCCTGGATCAGTCTTCCGCTGAGCTGAGCATCAATGTCATCGACTTCATCCTGACTAACGCATGAACACGAGCCCACGGAGCCCAAAGGTCCAATTGACACCCTGTTCTGCCTGCTGGCACCTTTCACGGGCATCAGGTTGGTGACTGGCGCTTAGTCACATCTGTTTTTGCTCAACTCATCACCAGCGCTTTCTCCCAGCAAGGTTGAAGCTCTACCACCGATGCTGCTCGCTCGGCAATATGCGTCAGGATTCCAACCTTCAGACTTTCTAATCGGACACTCAGTTGTAGACAAGTTATCACAAGCTTACATAGGTACAATGCACATCTCATGCTAGTATATGTGCAAAAACATCCTTGGAGCAATTTTCCTATTCTATCTCCTTGACTCGAACTTGTTACGCGGCACAAATGAGCAAAACGAGTGAGTAAAATGGTATTTTTGCGGCGCTAATGCCGAGCGCTAAGGATGTATGTCCTCTGGACCTCGTAGGTCGCAAAGCTAGGTATCAATGTCTAAGCGCAGCTAATACATTCATTGTCATCATGAACCCATGGTTGAACTGCCCTCAACCTTCATGCCTTTCGTTCAATATCCGCCAGTGCGGCTATGGGCGTTGGCTCGATAATCAGCATCAGAGTCGACGCGAGGATCGAGCTTGTTGGCCAGGTTGGAGGAGTGAGGACCGGCTGTTGCATTACCTCCTGTGGTTGAGGTCGGGCCGTATCCAGAGCTTCCATGAGTCTGGCCATAGCCTCCGCCAACTGCGCTGGAAGCATCGGAGTCAACGCGAGGGTCGAGCTGGTTGGCAATGTTGGAGGAATGAGGCCCCGCCGTTCCGCTGTGTCCCCCAGTAGTTGTGCCATACGCAGAGCTGCTCTGACCATACCCGCCAGCAGTGCCGGTGGCATGGTGGGAAGAATGAGGTCCGGTGGTAGCGTTGTGTGCAGGAGTCGTGCCGTATGCGGAGCTTGACTGACCATATCCACCACCAACAGCGCTGGTTGGCTTATTGCGATGGTCCGCATCCGAATCGACTCGAGGATCGAGCTTGTTTGCGAGGTTGGAGGAATGAGGGCCCGCTGAGGTATTTGCGGTGTTGTGACCATAGCCTGACCCGGCCGTGGTGTGTCCACCGCCGTGACTGCCATGGCCGGTATTCAAGGTCGATGAATCATGAACACCCGTGATGCTGTGGCCATTGGTAGCAGTGGTGTGGCCGGTGGTGGTGTCTTGAGTCTTGTGGCCAGTCAAGACTTCTTTCGCTTTGTTCACGAGTCCGGACATGATTGTTGGGGTACTGAAGTGTTGTTTGTGTTTGTAGTGTTTGGGTTTGTAGTGTTTGGGTTTGTAGTGTTTGATGTTCAGATGATAGTATTTGAGTTCAGTATCAATGGGGGTGCGAGTAGAGGAGATCAGCAGGCTGAGGAGTGGGAATTGCGGTTTATATAGCAGTCAACCAGTGTCACTGCCTGCCTCACCCGGCCGTGAAGAACAGAATGGCAATCACTAACCTGAAACAAGAACGTTTCCAGTGCTACGTCACATCAGGTCACTATTAGCAGCGTTCCTTCCATCCAAGAAGCAAAAGAAGGCGCAATCACGGATTGCAGTGACCGTCATAGTAATTCAAGTTCAAGTTGGCGCTTGCCTTCTCCGGCATCACGAATATTTGCATTGTTGTTGAACCGACAAGGCGTGCTTCCCATATTTGGGAGGAGCTGATTGGCTGCCACAATACCCAGCCACATATCCAGGCACATCGGGCGTCATGGCTCCGTCATTCGCCTGTCACAAGTTGGACCAAGGGTGACGCTAAATTCCCCATCAGGCTTAGTATGCATTAGCTCCGGCCCCCGCCAAGAGAGTTCAAGGAACGATCGCCTCGTGACTGAGGAAATCTGGGGAAAGGCTGACGTTGCATGGACAGGGGCCGGAGAACTTGAATGCGAATCCGAGTATCTGCACCAACCAAGTAAATCGAATTGAACAGCCTTCAGGTAGCAGTCGTGAGGCAGAAGTAGAACAACCAGGTCTGATTGTTTGCTTTGTGCATGAATGGCGACATCAGGCCGCTTAGTTGTTGCCAGCGTTCACAACGTATTTCATCACAGCCTCCTTCAGAGCCTGAATCTCACGCTGTGTTTTGATGAAGACTTCCCGGTATTGGTCCAGGCTCTCCTGCACAACCTCGGTTCGACTCTTGCGACCCTCGGAGATCGCCTTCATCTTAAGTTCCATCTCTTTGCGGAGGAACGGCTTGCTGACACTGACGTCGAGGCCGACATTGTCATATCCCTCAATCAATGCCACCCCAAGTGTCGTAGGAATGAACTCTTGCAGGGAATTGCGCCCGCCTCCGGACCGGGGTCTGGTGTCAACATACGAGCGATCCTTGATCTTGGAAATGTGCTCAGCCATTGTTGCGTCGGTGCCGATCCCATTTGCATCCATGAGGGAGATAAGTTCGGGTTCGGTAAGGTAGCCAGGCGCTGTAGTCTTGCCCTCGGTCATGTTGGCTTCTGAGGGCTCGAATGTTTCGCCCACGGTGAAATTGGGGAGCTGCTGACTGCTTTCCCACTTGTCGTACACATAGACATCAAGGTAATTCCGTTCAAGGACCAGGAGCCCATGGGTGTGAAAAGTCTCACTACCCCAAAGTAGCTCAATATCGGTGGCAAGGCCCTTCGCATCATCTGAACAGCAAGCAAGAAATCTTCTGGTCACAAACTCGTACACCTTTCTCTCGTGTTGGTCAAGGGCGGACGGGGCAGCATAGTTGACAGGATGGATTGGGGGATGGGCTTGGTCGTTATGGCTTCCCGACCGGGGAGTTCTCATTCCGCCATCAAGCAATCCTTGTGCGTATTGTCCCCACCGGTCGTCTCGCGTCTGCCGCTCGATGATCGGACGAAATCCAAACTCGTGAGGGAATTGGTCAGTTTCTGTACGGGGATAGCTGATGAAGCCTTTGGTGTACAGCTTTTCCGCAACAGCCATTACTTGATGACTAGTCATATGGAGGAAGCGGCTCCCTTGCTTCTGCAATTCGACGGTGGTCAAGGGTAAAGGGCGCCATTTCGAGGTTGGCTTCGTCTGCACTTTGGTAACCTTGGCGTATTTGGCGTCAAGGCATGCCTCGAACAATATGGTGACCGCTGCTCGGTCGAAGAGATGGACTCTCCGCCAGTTGAAATTGACGCGTATTCCATCCCGGAGGTGGACGAGCTTGATCAACCAAAAGTTCTCCGGCTTGAAGTTCCTCACCCTGTTATACCGGTCGACGACAAATCCCAGGGTCGGAAACTGACACGAGCCGTAACTGATCGTCTTGTCTCGAAGGTTCTCGCTTAAGCTTTGGAGCTGAAGACTCTGTAACCTCGTGAACGACGCCCCAATGCGCAGATCAAGTTCTATTCTGGCGGCAACGGCGTTGACCTGCCGCTCATCCATATCAATGGGAGAATTGGCAGCCTGAACAACATGGCTACCCAGGGTCAGTGTGTGTAGCTAGGGATTCGATATGGATTTGGTCACTTACGCTCTCTCGGTGTTGCTGAATCTCGCCCGTTTCACGATGATGTTGGGGTTGCCTTTCTTCGCCTGGTCGCGGACTTCGCCACCAATATGCTCGCCTTCACGGTCGCAATCGGTCCAAATGAAGAGGATGCGAGCATAGCGGGCCTGTTGCTGAATGTTGTCGGCAACGGGTTTCTTGTCCTTGTCAATAGTGGTCAAAGTAGTGGCGTCGAACAATTGGCTAGGTGGGCATGACTTCCAGTTCTTATATTTGGGATCAAAATCAACGCCAGTCAGGTGGCCCAAGACACTGGTCATCGTTACCGAGCAATTGCCCCATTGTTGGAAATGAAATTCGAATTCGTAGTTTTTCACATATTGACTACCACGGATGGAATGCTATAAGAAGACATGAGATACAAGAACGCTGACAGCATGACCTAGTGGCGTACGTACCGTGGTGACCCTGCCGCCAGCCAGATGTTGGGCGACTGCTTTGGCTATTGCAGGCTTTTCTGCAACGCAGAGGATTTTCTGACCGGGCATGGTTCATATTGACAAGACGGCATATCCCATGGATGGGACTGCTGGTGGTGATGAGGCGAGGAACAGTTGGGTGTTGGTGACGATGAAGGAGTTGAGTCGTTCGGCAGTGCGAGGATGACTGCGTGGAAACAAGCGTGGGAACATTCATGCAATGGGATGGCGAACTTGAAGTTTGACGCGTTTATTGACGATGTGAGCGCGACGGTGTTAACGGTACCTATACTTTAGCATTCAGAGCCATCCCTTTTCGGATTAGGCGGCTTACCACTTCTAGTGCGAGTAAGCTCTATTATAATGGACTGACTGCCTTGCCAGTGCTGCTGTTCAAGTTCATATTTAGTGCTGCTAACTGAACAGTTTACTGTGCTTAAGCGGCACCAACTAAGGTTCTCTCACACTTTCTAACCCGATGCCCATAACGGTAACGAATAGATTGATAGTTGCACTGTATAGGTCCTTAATACTATCTGCTACTAGTGACTACTAGTACTAGTATGTCTTCGACATCGTTACCAAATCGAGGTTAGCTTAACCTAGACCTTACTAGTATTAGACGTGACCGAGATTGAGCCACTTGGGATGAGGCTCTGATTGGTTGAGATGCCACTGGTACCTGGGGAATAAATCTTCCTTGCGTCATTACTTTCCCAATTCTCGTGGACCGCTGAGCGCAGTATAACAACGACCCTCACATCTCACCAGCTCCTCGCTGGCATTTGATTGTGCAGTATCAGGTAGGAAGGTATTTAAGATCACCACGTCTCTTGCTGACTTCTCTTTCTCACTCCCCTTAAAGGTCATCATTCGGTCGTCGGTACTAGACCAAAGCTTTGGACTCGCGTCTCGCGATCTGGCTCACCATGGCCCTCCCAGTACTTCGCACCTTGACAGACTGTGCCAACTTCAATTCTACCGTGGCGCCTTACCTCTCCCAATTATGTCCTCTTCCGGTTGTCTTTGTCGAGGCATTCACCAGCCCTGTGGCACTGAAGCAACTGTACCTCGACACAAATCCTCTGATCACAGCAGTCGCCTTCTCGCTCGCCATCGCCCCTGTCTTCCTGCTCATCTCCGAGATCAACAAGAATTACTCCCAGGTCGATAGAGTATGGTCGATTTTACCAACCATTTACAACGTTCACTTCGCCGCATATGCTCACCTCGCTGGGATTAAAACTACAAGACTTGACATTGTTGCCGCCATAAGCACTATCTGGAGTGTAGGTCTTGTTATGCCACCTCGCGTTTTCTGACTAACGCCACTGCAGACACGCCTGACATACAACTATTTCCGTAAGGGTGGCTATTCCATCGGGAGTGAAGATTACCGCTGGGCCATTGTGAAGGAGCGTGTTGGCCCTTCGGTGTTCTTTGTCTTCAACATCGTCTTCATTTCGCTTTATCAATCACTCCTCCTTCTCAGCGTCACCACGCCGACCTATGTCCTTCTCCTTACCCAGCGGCTGGCTACGCATAGCTCAAAGATGCCCTCTGTGGACTGGGAGGATTTACTGGCGGGCACAATGATGCTCTGCTGCATAGGCATTGCGTTTGTGGCAGATCAACAACAATGGAACTACCATTCGGCCAAGGCTGCTTACCAGAAGCAAGCAAAAGTTCCAGCGGGCTGGGAAAGAGCAGACTTGGACCGTGGCTTCCTGACCAAAGGGTTATTCGCCTATTCCAGACATCCGAATTTCGCCGGCGAGCAAGGCGTCTGGGTAACTCTTTACCTGTGGTCTTGCCTCGTCACGAAGACCTGGTACAACTGGACCGGCACTGGCGCAGCGCTCTATTTGATCCTATTCCAGGGAAGTACATGGCTGACCGAGCTTTTGTCCGCTAAGAAATATCCAGAGTACAAGATCTATCAGCAGAAAGTTGCGAAGTTCTTGCCTCTGCCGGGGTCAACGCCGGCCTCGTTCACACCCAAGCAAGCCCTTCCGGCCGAAGGCTCCATTCCAATGGATAGTGAAGCAATGAAAGCAAGCCAGAGACGTGATCTACGCTAAATCCCTGGGCGGATCTCCCCTGGATGACGGGACATGACGTGTCGCTGGATCAGATAGCATTCTCTGGACAGGGACAATGAAAATGAAGATGACTTCACATGGCGATAGTGGCTATCCAGATGCCAATAACCGAGGAATACCAGCATTCGACTACATCATAGTTCCATGTAAGATCTTGCAGGGTTATCTCCAGTGTATGGTGTTACTGCCCCTAATGTGATCGAGGATGGCGTCGCATGTCGAAGCAGATGGAACACACTAGCGGCTCTCAGATGAGCAGCGGTATAAAGTTGAGATAATGGACGATAACCACAAGGAAACGACAAAGCTGCGTCGACGTATCAGGGCTATAACCCTCACTCAACCACAACATTATAGCCTTGCAGACGCCGGCCCATGGCTGCCGAGTTAGGGCTCAAAAAGAAGGCTTTATTGCGATATCTCTGGCTGTTTCCTCTGATCGCAGGCACCTCTTGGGGTCTGACACTTTCTATTCTCCTGATCTATTGGCTTGCCCAAGGCCGTCCGCGGTACCCGGATCAATGGAATCCATATGTTGCGTGAGACCATCTGTGCAGACTCGCCCGGAGAGTGGTGATGGTGGTTGTGGTCGGATGCTGATGTCTACCATAGGTACATCTCTAACATCGCCGCATTCGAGCTCAAACCGGTGTTCATCACGGGTTGCACGATAACTGCCGTCAGCTTTGCCCTGACCGTCGTCGCTGTCCACTATGCCCGTTACTCTAGTCACTTATATGGGCTCGTCGAGGATGCGAAATGGAAGAAGAGCACCTCGGTGTTTGCGATGCTATGCGGCCTCTGGGCGTCTCTATCCTTGCTCTTGCTCACCATCTACGACACCTACCACGCTGCTGACCGACACCGCATCTTGCTATTGTCTTGTTTCGCAGGGCTGGGCATCACCTTGATCACTACCGGCGTTGTATGGTTTGACCAAACATGGGGTCCTTCAAGGCTAGAGGGTCTGCGGAAATGGTTGTTGCTGCCTCTCTTCCTGGCTTCCGTGCTCAGGTTCCTGAAGGACACTGAGACTGACAAATCTCGAATCAGGTGCATAGCGAGCAATGTTTTGGTCGTGGTTATCGTCGCGCTGGCAACTTCATTCACGGTCTTGTTGTACAACTCGTGGTGGAAGACTGCCAGGATACTCGAATGGGTGCTGACATATATGGGTGCATTCTGGCTGTTGACCTTTATTGGATATTTGAAGTAAGCTCTGACGATCGAAGAGGATCTGCGTGCACATTGCTGACTCTTTAGGGACGTCAATATTGGCACTGACGAGGATGACTTGGAGAGACGACCTTTGCTGGTCTCGGATGATGGAGAGTGAAGGAAGCAAGGGTTGGGTTGATTTCTTGCCCCATGCAATTGACACCACGATCGAGCACTGCAATGCAGGTATCTTGGTGATCAAAAGTGACCTGATGTAGGTGGTGGTAATGCCTCATCAGCCTAAGGAGCCTCCCTGGCCTCTAGTTATCCCCAATTCTTAAGCGCCCCCAGACTCCTTCACGGTCTGCTCAGTCTGGCTTTAGGCTATTGACCCCTTTAACACCCAGTCGCAGAAGGGTTGGGGGTGGTTTAGGTTTAGGTTGGGTGCTTACCCTCCTAACCCTCGGGTCAGGCCAAGGGGCAACCAGTCGTCCCCCATCACTTCGGCTGTCTGTCGAATTCCAGGGGAGAGATTAGATACTTGTCACTACTACTAGGCCTGTGTACTACTGCTATGTACCTACTTTTGGTACATATTTAGGTACCTTACTATGTCCATTGATTATCCATGACGGCGAGACTCGCCTGGCATTGCCCGAACCTTGCTTCATCCCGCAGCCACAACAGCCAGACTCATGGTTGACAGCTGCTTCGGCAACTCTGCCAAACATGGGATGACCATGTACGATATCTTCGTGATGATGCATACATCGGATTCATTCATCACTGCTGTGCGGATGACGGCAATGGCATCGAGTCTAAAAAGGAACTTGAGGTTCACACTCGATCTAGCATCCACTGACTTGTACACCAGCATCAGACCACAGCTGCACGACATACATAGCTGTCAATCGATCCCGTCCTTTTCCTCCGGCCACGACCGGTTCAAAAATGTCGCGACCAGTGGACAATCTATGATCTTCTGACCTTTGTCCTATTCTTATGTCCCTCTTTCGACAGCCGAAGCCCTCCACAATTGTCTGCCATGAGCTCTGACTGATCTACGGCCGACCTTCATATCAGCCTTGACGTCAACCTCAGTCCTCCCTGCTTGTGATGGACCTGGAAAGACTCAAGCAAAATCTCCGCCTTCGCTCTGGCCGATTAAAAAAGACTCGCAAGGCCACCGGAAAGCCAACCCCTGCTGCCGTACAGTCAAAGGTGCCAGATGCTCGCAGTAATTCGACCAATTTCGCCAGGCCGTCGTCTCAGCCGCCAACCGCAGCGGTCTATAGTCCTATCGGAGAAGAGCCTTCTCTTCGCAACTGGGACACGAATGCCACACTTCCAATAGCCGGTCCAGCAAGTCCTCCAGACCACCGTCCTGACCAGCCTCGTGCAGCAACTCGTTCATATCCGAGTTCGGACCCACGAGAATCGTCGCCTGCCAGATATGGTCGATCAGGGATAGAACGACCTCAAACAGGCGACTTGCCAGAGCCGACAAAAGGCCCTCCGCCTGTCCACAGAGCCATGTCAGAAACCGATATGGGGGCAGTGCTAAATTCAGATGCTTCGGATGCTGTGGACTTTGACCTGCGACCTCCGCCACCTCGACCAAAGCCGCCCTCGCTGGAGTCACTCGCAGAGTCGTTGTTTTCTCCAGAGCATCTCAATGTCCTGCTTCGCCATCCTGATTACTTGGCTCGCTTCACATCCTTTTTGGCCAAATATCAACCGCACATCCAACCCGTTCTTCTGAGATTTCTCGCAACCCAAAAGGCGATCAAGGCTGTCGAATATGCCAATGCCGTGGCCGAAGGATTGGAGCTGGTGCCCGCAGCAGATGATGGACCTTCCGTTGCTGCTAAGCTCGACAAAGCTTTCGCGGAATCGAATGTTTCTGCATTTCGACTACTGGCCGACACCGCCCTCCCCGCGTATATCACCTATAACTTGGTGAAAGTGGCAAGCGACTGCCTCATCGACGAGATCACAGGAAGACAGACGCCGGGTCTGGGAGACCTGGTCGGGGGCCTGTCCGAAATCTTTTGCTTGACGGACCCGAAGCAAGAAGACAACCCCATCATCTACGCGAGCTCCGAGTTCTATCGTTTTACAGGGTATGGGCCCGATGATGTGATCGGAAGAAATTGTCGATTTCTCCAAGGGACCAAGACGAAGCGAGAATCGGTATCGCGCTTAAGAAGCAGCATTGAAAATGGTCATGAGATCTCTGAGACGCTGCTGAACTATCGCAGAGATGGTAGACCGTTCATAAACTTGTTGATGATTGCCCCACTTCATGATGACAAGGGCAACGTCAAATACCACATCGGTGCCCAGGTCGACGTTACCGGCCTGGCTGAGCGTGGAAGAGGCCTAGATGGGTTCGAGCGCTATCTGGTGACCAAGGAGATTGAGAAGCGCGAGAAAGAGCTCAGAGGGAACGTTGTTGACGCAGATCCAGCGCGTGCACGCAAATCAAAGGCGCTTACCAAGTTGCGCGAGCTTAGTGAGACGTTCGACTTGGAAGAGTCCGCCGTCGTGCGTTCGCACAGCAGGTCCGCTTCTTCTACCAGAGAAGATGATGAATACAGCACTGGCAGTAGCCGGAGAGCACCTCGGCGCCTCATCGCGGACCCTGATTCTTCCTCACATGAAGACGAGGAAGATCAGGGATCACAGGAGGATGGTACTTGGAAACTCGGTGAATTTGGACAATTCGGCTCATCTGGGAAGTTGCCCGGTGTCTACGACAGCTACATGCTCATCAGACCGGCACCTTCGCTAAGAATCGTATTCGTGTCTCCTAAGCTACGTCGGCGGCTAGGTGATATTATCCAGCACCCATTCCTATCGCACGTTGCTGCCCCTTCGAGGACGTTGGCAGGCCTTAAAGAGAGTTTTGGAACTGGCGTCCCTGTGTCGGCCAAAATCCATTTCATGCGCAACCGGGGGGAGCGGCGAGACGGCACAAAGATCAGCGCGGACAAGAAGCCGGATGAAGCGGGCCAGAGCCGGGTCTGCTGGATCTCGGCCACGCCACTTCTGGGGAGCGACGATAATATTGGCGTCTGGATGGTTGTGATTGTTGACAAAATGAAAGTGTTAACGACACGAAGACGAGAGAACGGGTTGGAAACGAATGAGAACCAGAACTCAGTCTCTGCCAACACGGGGCTTCCCACGAAAATCGATGTACCTCCTTATGAATCGCTCGGGCAACAACAGTCGCCGCGAGAAGACAAGACATCCGACCAGGACGGGCGACCTGGAGACACACCTATCAAACCGACCAGGCTTGATCAGTCCGCAGACTACCGAAACACGGTTCGGTCGCCTTCACCCCCGAGGAAAAATGGATTCGTAGACAAGGACGGGCCGAGGCAGACTGACTACGACGAGTCACAGCAGGTGCTAGACCTCCAATCAGGTCTTGCTAGCCAGGCCAATGCCGAGCAAGAATCGGATTTTGTTCCGGTGAACACCAACCATTCGGACCACGGCTTTGACAGTCCAGCAGTCTCCAATGACGGGTCTGATGGACAGATGGAACAAGCTTACGAATCAAACGAGCCTCAACCAGGGCATACAGGCGCTGATAGCGACGGAGAGCCGGATGCACCAACAACACTGGAGGTGGACAGTGCTATTGATAACTCGCTCGCGGCAGTCAAGGCTAGCGTCGCGCGGCTTGCCCTCGAGACACCCTACAGTCATGACATGCACGACGAAGCGGACCCGTTCCATGGGTTCTCGGACAACGAGGACACTCCGAGACGGCCACAGCATTTGACACGCTTCGACAGCCGCTCCGACTCTCCCTCAAGACCGGGGACCAGTGCGATGGAGTCTTCGTCCACGAGATCGAACGGCAAGCATTATATGGATTATCTCCTTCATCCGGGAAGCAGGGCATCGTCTGAATACAACCGCCCACTGTCTGGGAGCGGACTCATGTCGTCGATGTATCATCCCGATGATATTGATTATGGAGATGAAGGCGATGATTCCAATGAGGCGCAATGTGTAAGGACTCCCTATAGTGTCGATTGATATCATTGAATTTGCGATGAATATTTGAGGAGAAGGTGGGATATCAACCTTGGGGGGTTTTTGACGTCCGATTTTTATACTTGCAACCGGCTATTCGAGCAGTGAGCGGTGAGCAGTGAGCAGTGAGTCATTCCAGGCAGGGTAACCTAAACCGAGAAGATTGACAGCAATAAATCATATCTTGCACATCATCGTACAATCGTAAAAGATAACCACAGTCGGTAGGCTGCGAAGGGAGTCTCAGCCTCGTCCAACTTTTTGTAATTGGAGACGAGGCTGCACCAGCTCCGTGCCAAGGCATTACGTAATCGGGCTGGATTGTTCTCATACAATTTTTTCGAGACTTTACGCCTTTTCGACCATATAATCAATTTCTTCCCTGTCGTCGGCAAAACCTTTCATTAAGTATTTCTATCGGGTGCTTCCGAGTTACGCCTGGACTTGTTCTTCCCTGTTCGCATGTTTGCGGTTGCTAGGAACGACTTCAGTTGAAACGACAATGTCTCAAGACAGTGAAATCGAACCCATTCCCCCAGTCAAGGACTTGGCCAGTAGTGGTAAGTCGAGTCTCCCACGTTTGTGACATGTTCCTGTCTCTGTATATGGATGGTTATTCCCTCCGGTGTACGGCTTGGCGAAGAGAAGGGTGGAACAAATGTCTTAACACTATCCCTCGGCGGGCGCTCGTGTCAGAGTAATCTTGCCATATCCTATGCGAGGCCAAACTGCCATACTATCCTCCGGCTTGCTGACCCCTGTTTATGGTACAGAACCGTCCGTCAGACGATCATGTCTTAAAAAGATCCTGTCGCACCTCAACGACCGTGCGCCTTCGTCTCCACTGACGCCGACGCAATGTCTTCAACTCTGGCGCGGATTCTACGTTGCACTGTACATGCACGACAGCAAGAACGCGGTCTCTGTGCAGAACTTGACCGCCGAGCTGGCGGGTACCGTCAAGACCATGGCGGCGAAGGACGCAGAGACCGACGACGATGGCGATGCCGGAAGCGAAGGGAAACCATCTTGGTCAGAGACATGGGCCGCCGCTTTTTGGGAGACCATCTGCCGCGAGTGGGTGTCCATCGACCAGTGGCGCTTGAACAAAGTGCTACTCCTCGTGCGGTTCTTTTTGAGAGAGACATTTAACGTCTCTTTTGGTTATGTCGTCACGGATGAGTCTGACGCCAAGAAGGGGTCGAAGATTCTGATCTCAAGGCAGAGACAGGTCGTGGAGACGTGGCCACTGAGCCCGCGTGAGCGAAAGGTTCCAGACGGGCTGAGACTCCATGTCCTCGATGTCTGGGCTGATGAGCTTCTCGGCCAATTCGACGCAGTACACAAACAGTTTGAATCTGAGAACATCGACGCCGCATTGCAGGACGTGGCGAAGGAGTTCATGGCACCAGTCGAAACGATCAGCAGGAACGCGTTGAGCAAGGGCGTGAAGACGAGGGCCAAGGATGCAATCCAAGTCTTTCAGGAGAGATTCCCGTCGTGAACGTTTCCTCTACGACTTTCCTTAATACGGCATGGAGCGGTGAGAACGAAGCCAGTTCCAGGGCTCCGCAAATGACTGGCCAACCATGGGCTACCTACCATCCTTGGATAGCGTGCCTAGATCGTGGACATCACAGGGGCCAAGGTCACCGACTACTCGACCATCTTGCCGCACAGGGAAGGCGCTCTACCGGAAGGATGGCGCGAGCGCATGGGAACGCAGCCCTACAGCCCGCCATGTGCTGTTTGAAGACCATGACCCGGGCGAAGAATTCAATTACGACTTCAGAGCCCCTTTACCGTGCGAGTACAAAACGGCTCAGTCATCAGCCGTGTCTGCGCATCAACTCTGTCCCATGACGGAACAGCGCCGCCTGCCTTGGGAAGTGCCGCGACGTAATTCAGTTGCCCACCTGAGATGTCACAGTTTCGACCTCACTCATCACCAGTGCATTCGCACAATCTCCAAATGGCTTGATCTGTCAACAGAAGATTTGGGGGTCATGTACACCTCTGCCCCCAGGGCAACAAACCATCCGCTGGGAGCCTAGCCACCCAAAACTTGACCACCCAGGGTCCATGGCGGATCGGAGGTCCACCGAGAGGAGTTCCCTGACTTGGGTACAGCCTCGCTTGTTGACGAGGCTTCACCCTGGAACCGGCTTCGACGGAGAGCGGTCAAAACAGAAAGCATGCTCAGAGACGGTCGTGTGCCGTTAGGAAAAGGGCAACGGGTCTGAGGGAACGAATTGCCATAAGAAATGAGATGCTACCTAGACAATCAATCCAAGTCGCGGCCGTAAGCCAGTACATGATGGCGGGATGAATGACCTGGAAAGTGGCAAGATGCAAGATGGAAGACGTTGCAATGAAGTGTGCATTCAATCCTGTTTTGCATGGAGACTGGATCATGTCCGAGGGGAACATATGCTCAAGTGCCTGGACCAGACATCGGGTCACTGTCTTTATCTCTCTCTCCCTCTCTGTACCTGCCTCAAATTGTTGTCAATGGCAGGTGTGAGATATAAGCAGATATGAAATCTGCTGTCACCTGTCTCCTGCAGCCTCAGCATATCACGACTCTAGAAGATCGCAGGTTTCCACCAGCTCCCTGTGTTGTCTGGCCCGGTTTCCTTCTCCTTCTCCTTTCCTTTGGCCCCCTGGCTTGCCGATGCCTTGCTGTTGGATGCTTTGGTTGCGAGGTCCGTGGCAGTAATAGATGCATCTATCGTTCCCCCAAAAATGTCCCGGATATCAGTGTGCGGTTCCTCAAAACTTCCCAGAAGCATACGGTGGGAAATGGCACAAAATGAAATATATTATGATTAATCATGAGAAATGGACATACCAAGACCCGTGGCACCTTCAGATACCTCAACCTCAGGCAGTTGTGGTGCGGAGGGTCCGTCAGTGCCCTCTTTGGCTGCTGGTGTGTCTCCGTCGGGCGGTTGCACATTCTCTTCAATGGCATCCTGGAATGCTGCCTCACCCTCCTGCGATGTGTCATTCTCGGGTTCTTGAGTCAACCCACTCGACTCGGCGGCTGCAGCAGCAGCAGCAGCAGCGGCGGCTTCTTCTGCCCTCTTTCTTTCCAGTTCCGCCGCTCGGGCTTGTTGACGTTCCCAATTCTCCCTGCGTGCCGCTTCGTCTTTCATTTTCCTTCTCCGTTCCACTTCATCCATTCCACCGGTCTTCTTGAGCTTACCGTCCTCCACGAACTTTTCGACTTCCCGTTGAAATTCTCCGACCTTGCGAGTCTCCAATTCACGCTGGCGGACCTTTTCGGCCCTCTCGATGGCCTCCAGACGACCCTCATGGTTTGGCTGTAGGGCTCGAACCTCGTCAAGTACACCACTTTTTGCTTCATGTGGGTCGACGTCGGTTTCGAAAGCCAGATTCTTAGATATTTGGCGCCCGCCAGTGTTCGTAGCCTGCAGGTTTTGCTGTTTGGTGGCTTCTTCCACGAGCTTGAAGACATTGGTGATGTCGTCGAGATCGCCGTCGAGATCGTTCATAAGTTCGTCTTGCTGCGTCAACTCGTCCCTTTCTGTCATAACAACCTGAAGCTCATGTTCCCAGATTCTCGTCCATATGGGCTTCTCACGCTTGACGAAGTCTTTGACTTTGGTCAGCTGTTTGGCCGTCACGCTGATTTCTTTGCTAATATCTTCGAGTTGACGCGGCAGCGGTCGGACGCCTCTTGTCACAACGTCTTTGCGAAGCTCTTCGACAATGTCAGATAAATCGTCCACGCGATTAACAAGAGCCTCAGAATCTCCAGACAGTGCCTTTTTGCTCTTGTTGATATGTGCGCGACCGGAATCGCCTTTGTATGATGAAACCGCCGCTTCAACCGCAACTGCTTTGACATGGGCAGCTTTGGTCTTGATATCATTCAAGGAGGCAGCGAAGTCCGACGACATGGTGGAGTATGTCTGCCGTAGAACGGCGATCTCGCGCCGCAGCGTCTGTACTTCTTGTACTGAGGCGTCAGACGGTACAGGAGCGGCGAAGCTGCCGGGTGTTAGTGTTGGAGTCCGGGAAGGATGGTGACTGGGCACGGCCGACATGCGAGCCATTTCCTTGGAGGTCTCCAGTTGTCGATCAGAAAACCGCTGCATCAATGTCGTCTGTCCCTCGAGCAATGATCGAACGCCCTCCAAACTTTTCTGCAAACCCCCAAGTCCTTCATCTATCTGCTTTTTGACCTCGTCAAGCGCTTCGACATTGAGCACCAGGACAGATCTGTCCTTGACATCCGAAAGATCCTCCAATTCATGCCTGACCCCTGAAACTGGATCTTGGACATATATTTCAGGAAGATCAACTCCGTTGTGTTGCGTGTTCCATGCAAACTTCTCAATGAAAGCCAGCTGTAATCTTGGGATGGTGAGTTCTTCGTAGCCATCTGCCAACACAAACTTTTTGATCTTGCTCTTGTACTGGAGGAACAATGTCAACTCTTTCCTTTGAGAGGGTGGCGATCCTAAGCCCGGCGGTTGCGACTGGAGTGGAGTGAGGGACTCGCGAGGTTCTCGCTGTATAGTATCCGGACTGTCAGCGGCCTCCGTATCGACAGCCGGCTTGTGTTCAGGAAGTAGCGGCGCGGGTTGCGAGTCAACTGATCCCGTATCATGGTATTCTTCTGGCGGCGAACCTAGCGGTCCATTGATCGTCGCTCCCACTACCACGTTTTCTCTACTAGCTTCCCTCCGCGGCGGCTTGTGGTATTCGTCAGGAGTCTTCACCGTCGGGCTGTCGATATCCATCGAATCATCAGGGGCAGTTATCTGAGGTATGTCTTGCAAGGACAGACCGGGAGTTTCTTCCCTCTCCTCGGAGATCCGCTGAGGAGCTTGTACGGTGCCGCTTCTACTTGGCGACGCATCCCCTTGCCGCACCGACGTCGCCCTTGACTGTTGGTAAGAGCTCCGTGAGCGTACAGCTGTCAGAGACTCTCTAACTTCCTTTCCCCTATTCGGTATCGGAGAGTTCTGAGTGGCAGGTATTACAGGGACTCCGTTGGGAGAGGCGCCGAGATGCTTCTGTATCTGGTAGGCGGAAAACCTTCGGGACGCCCGTCTTTCCAAGTCTCCTCCGCGCTGTAATCTGGTGAAAGCATCTGTTTGCTTCGGTGGCGGTGGTGGAGGATGTGGAAAATTAATCGGAGTGCCTGTACCAGCTTGAGCCGCGGCATAGTAGGGAGTTGACCCAGATGCAGATTGGAGTTGGTCCGGAGGCATGTTTGGAACTTGCTGAGAGGGCGGCCCTCGAGGAACACCATCTCGGGGCACTGGCTGTCGGTTCATGAGAGGGGTGTTGGCCGATTGCACGGCTGAAATGTTTGCAGGGGTGTAAGACTGCTCAAGAGCAGGAAGGTTGTCTTGCGGCGTTGGCCCCCGCAGGCTCGGAGCGGTGCTGGGCACATCTTGAAGCATGTGTGTCAATCCCGACTCATTGCTGCCAGTTGTTGACACGCTCGGTTGTCTTGCCGAAGAACCTGGTGTTCTCCCCTGCGAAGGTCCAGCAGCATCCTTCGGTGCTCGTCCACGTAGTCTGCTCTGCTTTCTCTTGAGACCGTGTAGAAGGTTGATGATGATATCCCGGATTCGAGGGAGGTAGTTGTCTAGGGCTTGTGGCGAGGCAGGCTGACTGAGAGTATCCTCGAGAATGTTTCGCAGAAGATCAGGCACGGGACCTAGGTCGGAGGTTTCAACACCTATTGAATTGAAAGCACGACATGCAAGATTGAATTCATATCCCAGTCGCACATATACATCTGACACCTCTTCTTCCTGTGCTTGCCCGCGCGACCATTGTGTCAAGGTCTCGAGGAGCTGTTTGGTCGCTACCAACAGGTGAGTGACGCTCTTTTCAATCTGGGATATCTGTTTATCGGGCTGTAGTATATAATGTCAGTAGGGAAGGGGTGGGACGGCATTCGATTCATCTGTACGCACATTCGTGCTCCTTTGAGATCGTGCTGACCCGGAGGAAGTCCTCACTTGAGACCCGACTTCAGACGGAGGATTCATCGTGGGAGGGGAAGAGTGCATCGGATCCGAGAGGTTCTGGGCACCCCGTTGTGAATGCGGCGGGCGTTGGGCTCCTGATGGGGATGCTGACGCCAATCGCTGCATCATCGGACCAGCCTTGAGCCAGGACGAGGTCTCGCAGACATGATCAATAGACGAGGATATGGCCGCTCATCCTGATCGAGGATTCTATATGGAAGGAGGAGCCAGGCGCGTGGGACGTGACGGGAATACTGGCCAGGAGAATGTTGGAGAGACGATTCGACAGGGAGAACTGAATGTTAGTAGGTCGAGTCGTACGTAGTAGGTTAGTAAAGGATAATAGCCCACACCACGTGCCAATTTGTTCAATGCACTCTTGTACAAGGCGTAAGAAGTCTAGTATATTATATGTATATTTTGTACTGACCAACTAGTAGTTCCGTAACTTCGACATCCGCCCTGGGGCGATTCATCTGGTCAGCTTTTGTTGCCGGTCTCTTCAGCCCGTTGATGCGGTTTATAGCGAGCGGCCAAACCGCCAGAACTCCGCACGTTGAACGGCACCACACGATAGCGGGAGCAAGGTCAACGTGCGGAGTTCTGGTCAGAAAGGCCGGATCTAAACAGTATAACATCAAGTCTTCTCATTGCTCCTGCGCACCTCCTCACCAGTGCAGAATATTCCATTCCGCCGCGTTGCTGAATGCATGTTGGTTTTGCCCGCTCCTCGCCCACATGCCCCTATACTCTATATTGATACAGCTGCCCTCCTAGGCCTGTAGCACCCAGGAAATAGTGATGAGGAACGCCGGGCGCCAATGCTCGAATCAAGCCGGGTGAGACCTTCGCATGGTTCGTCACTCCAGAGAATGGTCAGCTCCAGTCAAAGATAAAGGCCCGCCTTTCAGCTGCGTTGTCCGGCATGATCTTCATACTCCTTCAACTTTTGCTTGACAAGATCGAGTGTGTTTTGCTGGACTTTCTCTTTATCGTCTCTAACATCCACTTCCAGGACGTCCCATTCCATTTCCTCCTCGGGTTCTTCCAATGCCGCCATTTGACTGTGGACCATGCTTTCTTTCATATAGTGACCCTCGCGCTCGGCAACGCGCTTCTGCAAAGTGTGTTCGTCGACCTTGAGGTAGATAAAATGGACTTGCACGGAGGGATGTTCGTAGTTTGCGACACGAATGACGTCTCGGTATTTACGCTTCAGGGCGGAACAGGTGACAATGACAGAGCTGGAGGTCTGGAGGCGTCGAATGGCCTCCTCTCTGAGAGTGATGAGCCAGTCCCAACGGTCTGCATCGGTGAGTGGGATGCCAGAAGCCATCTTCTGCTTATTGGCTGGCGAGTGGAACTGAGATCTTGCATTAGCGCAGGCTGGCAAACGAGCGCAGGTAATGAAGGACCTACATCATCGCCCTCCACGTACGGCCACGACAGCTCTTTCGCGAGGTACTGGGCAACGGTTGTCTTTCCACATCCTGCAGGACCCGTAATGATCCAGATGTGCTCAACGTGACCCGCCTCTGATTGCATGTTTCGAATAGAAGTTGTGTCTTTTGAAGAGAGGGGTCGCACTAGGTGTCGGAGGGAATGAGGCCGGGGGTTCCGTTCTGCAGACAACATCGTTGCCAATATTAGAGAAGTTCAGGGTTCAGGAGGGAGCAAGCACACGACAGCAAACATGAAAGGAGCGTACTGCGTGGGACAGCAACTGCGCGCAGGACAAAGAAGGAGAACCGGTACATACCAAGGGAGGGCGGGCCTGACATATAAGATATAGACCATCACTTTGGCCGGCTGAGTAGAATTTGGCAATGTCAACTTCTGAAAGAGGATCGATCTGGGCGACAGTGAGCTCAACCTCGATCTCGGAATATGAGGCCAGGGTGACAGTTGCCCACTACCCCACACTATTACTGGACTCAGCCAACGCCGGGTGAGCCGCAAAGATAGCCTCGATAGTTAGGTAGAGGTGAGGGAAATGGCATGATTCGCTGGCCGGTGAATGGAGCCTCGACGTCTCGTTTCGGAAGGATAAATTGGCTAGTCAGGTACGGAACTTTGTGACCAGGTTACACGTAGATAGGTAGGAAAGGAAGAAAGAAAGTCCTGGTGCAATTAATGCACACTGGGTGGTCATTAGCACTGGCAGGGCAGGGAGGCACCTTGCAGCCGCAGTTTGACATTAGTGGGGGACGAGAGCCTGAGGTGACAATTCTCGGCAGAATAGCGGTGCCATTCACCAATATTCTTTGTCTGGTAAGGTAGCTGCCTACCTACCTACCTGTAGGTTTAAGGCGACTAAGGTCAGGCAAGTATCATGTCTAAGTCTGTGGGCAGATGTCGTTGTATCTCCGGCCTCATTAAACATGCTCTGGGTACATATAGTCTGTAACAAACGCGCTCTATGAATGTTATTGACTGACAAGAGGTTGAAGTGGCTACGGACAAGGAGGCTCACCCGGGCTCAATAAGATTAGATTTAGCAGTCTTGAAGCGTGATACGCAAAGATATTCAGATCTGACCAGGTTAATCACACTGGTAAAGCCACAGAGTCTTATGAGTTCCACTGCACTTTCAACTGCCAGCTTGCTTGTCCAGAAGCAACGTGGACTGCCCTGTGTCTTGCTGCTGTTCAAGTTCCAGACCAGGCTTGGCAGCATCCCATCTCGCGGTAACGGCAACTCCAGTGCAGCGGGCGCAGCCTGTAGCGCAACTGAAACCATCCCCAGACCAGACGTGCTCACTCGTCGTAACCTCCCCGAGTGCTGTAGCTTCGCAATACAACAAAACAATACAACGTACTGCGCATGTGTCTTTCGCCGACGACATAGATTAGGCGCACCCTGCTTCTTGGCCCGTCGTCTCCGTCATGTCCTCATTCTTCTTCTCCACGCCAGTCGACATCGACATCGTGCTCGACGATGCGGACGAACGCCAAATGGTCGATGTCAAGCTTGACAAGAACCGACGTGAGAAGGCTCCCTTATATCTCGATGGCGAATCCGTCAAAGGTGCAGTCACCATCAGACCGAAAGATGGGAAGCGGTTAGAACACACGGGGATCAAAGTGCAGTTTATCGGATTGATCGGTAGGCTCTCCTCTCTTTCAAGAGCCGGGCGGTGGAGTTGACGGTGTCTATGCAGAGATGTTCTTTGACCGGGGAAATCACTACGAGTTTCTCTCTCTTGGACAAGAGCTTGCCGCCCCGGGCGAGCTACAACATCCGCAAACCTTCCCATTCAACTTCAAGAACGTCGAAAAGCAGTACGAGTCCTACAATGGCATCAATGTCAAGTTACGATACTTCATCCGAGTCACCGTGTCCCGACGGATGGCCGACGTGATCCGCGAGAAAGACATTTGGGTCTATTCATACCGCATTCCCCCAGAGACGAACAGTTCGATCAAGATGGACGTCGGCATCGAGGATTGTTTACACATCGAGTTCGAATACTCCAAAAGCAAATACCATCTCAAGGACGTCATCGTCGGCAGAATATATTTCCTGCTTGTCAGACTGAAGATCAAACATATGGAATTGTCCATAATACGGAGGGAGACGACCGGCGTTGCGCCCAACCAGTACAATGAGAGCGAGACGTTAGTAAGATTTGAGGTTTGTCACATGCCCCTTCCGAGTGAACAGTTCCTTACTGACTGCTTAAGATTATGGACGGCTCTCCCTCGCGAGGTACGTTAACGGCCTGAGAACCGGCTCCAGACAGCTTCGGTGGCCGAGTCTGTTGTCGATACTGACGCACGAACAGGCGAGACCATTCCTATACGACTCTTCCTCGGCGGCTTCGACTTGACACCCACGTTTCGCGAAGTGAACAAAAAATATTCCGTCCGGTATTACCTCAGCCTTGTGCTGATTGATGAAGGTTCGTCCAATTCAGATGTTCCCTGTCTACGCGAGCATAGACCCACCAGGGCCTTTTCAGTTGCTTGCGTCCAAAGATCTGTTGGAGGTTGGCGAGGCACTGTCATCCCTGGAGTAATAGCTGCAACGTGGCTCGGTTCTATGCTCGAGGACGCCTTGGAGATAGACAAGAGCAATGTATGTGCTGACGATCTTCTTCACGCAGACGCCCGCCGATACTTCAAGCAATCGGAAATTGTGTTGTATCGTCAAGCACCTGAACTACCTCCCCCATTGGCCATCGACAATCCCAGCGCCGGAGGGAAGCCACCTGTCCAACCATTGCCCACTCCAGCCTGATTGATCTGACACCTGGGATGGTGGGACCGTGGCTTTGGTGCTCCGCTGCTGTAGGGCACGCGTTCGGCACCTACAATGCAGACGTCCAGATCAGGGAATCCTGGGTGCAATTCGTTACTGCACTCCGAGGTTGAGAGGCGCTCAAAGTTGCCTTCCCCCGAAGCAGATGTGGTATGTCTCGCCCATACACAATGTGGCTTCCCTGCGACAATCCCGGCCTTGCCTGTACCGCTGAATTGCGACTACCTTGTCACAATGGTCTCAGCAAAGCCTACGTCGAGATTCGCCGGCTGAAGCCGTGCAGCAAACAACATCACGCGTTGACTGGCCAGCAACTACTATCTTGTGAGGCCCTGTCCTCTCCGCTTCGAGACTGATGGACTGGTTGGCGGGCGCTACCGAACATGCGCGTGGTTTTCATAAGTCGAGACAGCTACAATCTCAACCTTCAGTGAAGACACTGTAGACCTAGCTGCTTCCTCTGCGTTTCTTTGGCCCTAGCTACTAATATCCCGTGTTCCGCAAGTAAAATCCTCGCATATCCGTTTGCAATCTCGACGCTGGTTACTTCAAAGCTCTCGCTATCCGCTACTCTCTGACTCAACCCTAGTAGAAATCCCAATCTTCTGCCAGGACCAGGTTCCACCGTTCCAAAGTATCATCTATGCCTCTCCCTGGTTCATCGGCTTGCCAGGCGCCTTCGCTTTTCAGTCGAGGCAATTCCCGCCAAAATCTCTGCACACGGAGTATGAATGGGTACAGGACACGGAGGTGCTCTTTCCCGTCTTTCAGAAAGCTCGAAGTCCTGCCCATATCGTCAGACTGTACGTGTCCGCTCTTGCGCGCGGAACCGATTAATCTCTCAAAGGCCTCGTTGTCGCTACGTAGTTCCACGAACTTGAACAGCACGGCTTGCAGCTCGATTTGTTGCGGCATTGGTGGGGGCGTCAAGCCTCGTAGACGTTGATCGGCGAGGAACACTTTGAGTGGATGAACCACCCGCAGACACAGGTAGGGAGATGCAGTGTATGCCAATTTGTGTCCACTGCCGCTGGCAACCTCGCTTTTACTGCTAGCCGGCGGCGGCAACCGCACAAGATCAAACAGTGCGTCCAGGGCAGTGTAGCAGATTTCTCTTCTCACACCAAATGTAGGCTGACGGACACTACCCGGCCTCACCTCTATCAAAGCTTTCAAGGGCTCGTGGGCGAGGTCGTCCGGCATATCACCGAACCAGGGTTCCGTCAGCAGTGATGCCTTGAACAAGGTAATCACATATAGTCGGCAGGTCTCTTCACTGATCTCATCGTCTTGGAAGATTGGAACCACCGCAGCGTGTGCCACTTGGAAGTGATCAATGTCAAACGCCTCGTCTTGGAGAAGAGTTTCTTCAGTTTGCTTGGCTGGAGGTTTCGATAGGCCACCGCATCCGAGAATTCGGGCAACAGTTAGGATGATGTATTTTCCGAGTGAATCGAGACGAGCCAGCTCTCCTGCTGTGGTGCTATGGCGCTCAACGTGGGTCCGTAGCGCCTCCAGCATGGCCACCGCTGTGACTGTTGCATTTCGCCATAGCGGCGCCTGTCGATTGGTTGGAATGACAGTATATTTGGTGTCGATTATGGCGCCGAGGACATGAAGAGATTCTTCCACCGCGAGGACCTCTATGAAATTTTCACTTTTGGCGTGTTCGTGTATCAGGCCCCGTAAGCCGTCTAAACATGCTGACGCGAATGCAATGAACGTAGGCTTTTGGATGGCTTTGGTCAACGCGGGTTTCTTTAGCCTATAGTTGACGTGTCCATCTTGAATGCCCAAAATGTGTCTCAACAATTGAAGAAGAAACCGAGTGTATTCGGCAACTCCGCCAGATAGGAGATCTTTCAAGATCGTCAGGCACTCAAGAGCCTCTTTCTGCTCCGGTGCGAGGCTCTTCACATCGCTGGTGTATGGAGGGTGGGTAGAAAAGATCACTGCGCGCTCGGTTGCCTTCATTAGAATGGACGCCATTCCAAGGTGGTCAAATTGAAAGCTCATCACTGCCGCTGGGCTGGCCCTGTGCGCCTCAATAATGGTGCGCAAGTAAGCGGTAAAGGCGGTTTGATTGGGACTCTCCTCTTCTGTCCTTACCCCTGGACCAGCGCTTGGCCTGATGTCGGCAGGATGATACTGTGCCCAGAGGCGCATTGCTGGTAGCAGAAAGTCTGGGTCGCCTTTGCCTGCCGCTGCAAGGGACGAGAGGAGCTTGGACAAGTTGACAAAGACCAGGGACGATGCGGTTAGAGATAGGGTGTCGAGGAGGTCCTTGAAAACGTCCAGGATGACAAGCCACGTCTTGGTGAAGTCCTCGTACTCCACCATTACGTTCAGGTTTTCGGTAACCAGGCGGATGACCCCATCCGTCAGTTCCGTCGCAGACGCCAACCACTCTGACTGTGCATTGTCAATCAAGGTAAAGTCCTTGACGCAGGCTCGAACAACGTTCAACGGTCCAGCAATCAGTGTCATCGACCAGGCCTTGGAGCTGAGACTGTCGCCGGACGCCTCAAGCAGTTTCAGGAGTATCTTGATGGCTGCGTTACGGATATCAGACCGTCCATCTTTGCACAGCTCAACCAGCTCAACCAATATAACACTCCAGAGTATGGAAGGTCCTGGCGGCTCACGGCGCAGATCCAGATGTTGCGGCACCATGTCCAGAGACGGCATGAAAGTTAGGTCGATTTTTTCGACTTGCGCGAGGACTTGTGAGGCAAGACTCCATAAAAGAGTCGTACTCGTGAGAGCCACGTTGAGATCGTAGGGCTGAGAGCCAAAATCCTGGAGCAGTCGAGCCAAGCGGACAAACGACCTGGGGTTGAGGACGCTCAAGAAATCCGAGGCGATGAGCTGTACCGACCTGAAAGCAACTCTCAAGATTTGTGCCTTTTCTTCAGGGCTCTCTGTTTGATCGGCTGATACATCGCCGACAGGTTCACGCCCATCCCTCTTCACGAAGGTCATTGACAAGATCTTGAAGACCATCGGCCAGCCATTTCCCAGGGTTTCTCCGCTGTGACTCAACATGCTTTCCAAAGCCTCCAGACATATTTTATGGATCTCAAGCTCAATACTGCCATGAATGTTGGATTGTTCCCCATACAAGAAATCTAGCTGATCTGATAAAGCCTGCAGACAACGGGATCGGATGGTATCTGCTTCTTCGACTCCGTTATCGGGGTCGTCGAGCATTTTCATCACTTCGATTGAAATGAAATCGACTATGCTAGCTGCGTGCACGCGATGACTCCCCGGTATGTCACTAGCTTGTGAGATTTCCATTAGTCGTCTGCCGACGAGATCCCAGGAGCAAGAAGTTTCTGAGGTGGACGTGAAGCGGTGAATGTTAATGCGGGAAAGATCGCTGACTTTTCCGAGGACGAAACCAACCTCGAGATCCAGAGTTTTCGACTTTGTCCACAGTCCTGATACGCTCCGGGAAATGCGACGGATATGTCTTTCAGGACCCGCTCTTGCAGGAGACAGAGTAGGAGCAAAAGCCTCCTCCGCAGGCGACTCGATCTCTCTTGGAGCCGCTTGGCCGAGAAGGCGAAACAACGCTCTCACCGTTACAGCAAAGGATTCTGCCGTGTAGCCCCGAGTGCTTTCCAACATCCGCTTCGTCGCGGCTTGCACGGCGGATATCTCGTTCGCGAGTGTAGTCTGACCGTCATTGCCAGAGAGCCCAACACGAGTGCCACCGTATTGAGAACTCATAGCCAACGTGACAGGTAACGAAATCAATGCTTCTACTGTCTGCATTGTCTCAATGAGTATAAACCAAGAGTCTTGGTCCAGTGTAGGTCCAAGAGCAATGCCGAGGTTTAGGAGCGCCCGAAGGCAAAGGAGGTGTCGCACATTGAGAGGCGAAAGTGCGGTCTGAGATGTTGGGGACTGGGGCGGCTCGCTAGGAGACCTCAAGTCTTCTTCTGTACTGTCAGCTTCGAGATCTATGGCTCGACTGGTGGTGGAATTCTGATAGGCTGATATGACGCCGTTTGCGTTGGCGGGAATGGAGGCTTTGGCTAGCGTGGTGAGCAATGCATCCCGAGGCGTGGGAAGCTCTAGGACACCAGACACTTGAGCCAGTTTCTGAACAGATCTCACCAAAAGATGGTAGAACTCAGAGTCCAGGGCTGCATTAAGGAAGGTCGAGCAGGTTGCAAGAGCAGCCGGCCAGCAAGCCTCGATCATGGCGGCACAAGTCCGGATTTGGAGCGATTGCGGATGATCAGCCAGCGTCAAAGGGTTAATAAGACGTTGATACTTTGCAACAGAAGTAGTTGACCGATTGGGCTTGCGAGCAATATCTTCGTCGGTTGGATCCGGCGCTGTACTGTCCCTTTGCGCGGAATCTTGTGAATGGCGCTGCGTGGGCCGGCTAGGAACGCTCAGGGGCATGACGAACTTGGACATACCATCACAGAAAGCTGAGATGCAGTTCAACACTAAAGCGTAAATGTAGGTGCCTGGTATTGCCGGAGGGCCAGGTTTGTCGGGCTGCTCCATTAATGGGACATCCAGGACACTCCATTCCATGCTGATACCGGTAATGTTTGACTCGCCCGCAGATACAGATGTTATTGCACCACCAAGACCCTGGGCTTCGATGGATGCCACATCTTCACTCCGAATCTCGTTGGCTCTCTGAACTGGAACCGTCGACTGACGTCCAAGCCCGATCAGCGATGGATCCTCCGCTGCGATACGGACAAATGCCGACATCATCTGTCCGACCAATTTTGGCGACTCTTTAGTGCCATCGAACAACTCGAACGTGTTCCTCAGCACGGAAAAGTTGGAGCATACTTTTTGGAAGAACTCTAGGCAAAGTGCTCGCCTCCAGGCCGGATTGCCCTCCTTGTCCAATGCAGACAATATGATGGGGATCATTTGTGTAAGCGAATCTTTCAAGAGCTGTGCATACCCCTGCAAAAGCCAAGGGAGTATGGCCCAAGCACGTACCACCATGCCAAACGCGTCTTTCCTGACCAAGACCCGCGAGAGGCCGTTCATCAAATGTTCCCAACAATCGGGATGCTGCTCGGCATGGGCGGTCAGAAATGACTTGTGAGTGGACAACAGGATTTGTATAGTCTCAAGCATGAAACCAGGCGGGACGTTTTCTATTTTGAGAACGACCGGACGCTGCTGGTCCAGCAGCATGCAAAAGTCATAGAAAAGACGATTTGCATCTTTCGTTGCAATCTCCACGGATGGCTCGCTCTGCTCGGCGGCGTCGGTCTCGTCATCGGTCGAGTTGGGAGGGTTTCCGGGTCTGCTTGCTTGCTCGAAGACAGTGGAGACTAGCTGTTGGAAGGTCGCCGCAGCTGTGTTGCTAACAATAGCGGTCCTACTGGATTGGAGCACAGCGCAGATCTCCAGCGTCCTTGCAAGCAGTTCCCCGTGGAGATCACTTGCATAGAATTGAAGCAGCGACGGTAAGGTCTGGAGAACTTTCAATTGTGCCTCGTATCCAGAGGCCACCCCATCGCGGAAAGCATCGAGCACATCGGGGAGCCTGGTTCGGGCAACAGCCGTGCTCGCGGTCATGCGTTGCAAACATATTGTACCAATACTTGCGAGTTTGACGTTCTTGGACTTGCATGCGAGGATAAAAGGGTCAATGAACTGAGGCCGTCTGAGGAGGTCGCCGGCCAATTGCGCCTCAGATGTCACCGTGATGGCCTTAAGGTCGGCGAGTGATTGCTCAGCCGCGGTCCGCACATCGTTGTGCCTTCGCTTCGAATCTGATATAAGGCTAGTCAATTCGGACTGTAGAAATGCCTGTGTCATGCCTGCTGGTATGTCTCATGATGAGGAGATGGAAAGATCTGTGACAGCAATAATTGGTAACCTCATATGCAGGTACCTATGCTGTGTATCAAATATATCATTCAGACGCGTAGGAGGGATATGGATTGATGGAGTACGCGTGCAAATGGTCTGATTGGCAAGAGTGTCCTCAGCAGCCTGCAGTGCAGTGAGCCTTGTGATAGTGCCAAGGATGCGCCTCGACCCCGTCCAGGAAAAAGGGTGATGCCGCCCTGCCTCACCCGCGCGGCTCACCAGTCGTGGGGGCGAAGGACTTAATATGGGATTCAGTGTAGTGGTGACATTATTTTGTGAACACCAGATTCTGTCTAACCGTGCCTAGGTATAGTAGCCAGTACTTAGGAGGTTAATTAGAAAGTCACCAAACTCCTTCCCAATATTCTAGGGCGCTGCTATTAAATATACACTAAGTACCTACTGCACTCTGAGTTGCTTACGTGACAAGGCTGCGAGCGGCGCAGACCGACTTCTACTACGACGTACTACGTCCCTCACTGACGCATCTATTTGCCCCTCACAATTTCTCAAGCCAAAGCACCTTCTTTCTTCCACCTTTTCCGCACCCATAGCAACACCTGCGGTATTATTCTGGGCGATTCGGTCACTATTCCGCAAGATGGGTGCGAAAGTACCTCGAAATTTCCGTCTGCTGGAAGAGCTAGAGAAGGGCGAGAAGGGCCTAGGTGCAGGTGGGTGAATTGTGCTGCGCTGCCCGCAACCGGTCCAAGAACTGACACCGATGTGCAGAGGCATGTTCGTACGGTCTAGCAGATAGCGACGACTTGATGATGACAAACTGGAATGGCACAATCCTTGGTCCTCCCCACGTGCGTTTACCCGTTGAGCCCTCATGAGATGGATTGAAAGCAAGCTGACACTATCCCGAGCAGAGTGCCCACGAGAACCGTATCTACAGCGTCAACATCCACTGTGGTGACAGCTACCCAGACCGGCCTCCGACCATCCAATTCGTGTCAAGAATAAACCTGCCGTGCGTTGATCAAAAGACGGGCAAGGTCAGGCGGAATCCCTTCGGTTTTCATGCGGCTGCTGATGTTTGGGGAACTAGGTCGATCCATCAAAACTCCCTTGTCTGGCGAATTGGAAGCGTGACTACACAATGGAAACAATTCTGCTTGAATTAAGAAGGTAGAGTTCCCACAAGACATGAGGGAAACCAGGCTAAGAGGTGACCTCAGATACATGGCATTGCCTCAACACAAAAAACTGCCACAACCCCCAGAAGGTACTACTTTCTAGGTCAAAGTCTTTGGGAGCATGAAGTCATGGCGTTGGGGTTCTGCCATCATGCAACACAGCGATGGTTGATGAAGGTCTTGACGATGCATATCAGGCGTCGGAATCGGTTCATATGATTATGCTTTTGCAAACAGCTGCAGCGTCAATGTTACCAGGTAGCACGAGAGCTACTCTACTCAGAGCCCGTTTCAGCTCAACTTGCTCGAGATGGGGACATTTTACAACAAGCAGAAGCCCACTGCCGACGCATCTATAGTCAGATCACGTGATGATATCCCGGCCTCGGTTTACTTTCCTAAAGCGCAGGCTGCGGAATGCCCTTCTGAGGATATCTTCAAAGACTTTGGATCCTTTCAGTTTCAATGCACTGTCGCAACAGTAGGTGCGGATGCCCCGTAGTATCGTCCCGAAAAAGTCGGGGTTGCATAGATCAGCATGTAAGATGATGCGCCATCTTCTCGCCATGCTGCACTGACACAGTCTAGGTCTGTCTCTGTACAGAGCCCTACTGCGCGAATGCAAGCGACTGCCGACAGCAGGAGCCTGTGGTCACACCAACAGTCTACCCGGCATCATCGAATCGTTGGTCCGCTACCGCTTTGAAGCGGACCGGACTATTCAGTCCCCGACGCAGATTTGCCATGGAATGGAAGCGGGCCGCGGCTTTCTCGACCTGCTCCAATCCTGTAACCATAAATCAGGCGAAGCGTTCATCCGTCTAGGCCAGGTCCTCGAGTCAGTCAGCCTACAAGCAGAAAACACAGCACTGCTTCGTAGGAGACTTGCCTCGTGCTGGAAACCTCCCCCTCCACACCGAGCCAAGTATCTCGAGAACATCAAAAAGGTCAAACTCAAGGACAACCATCTGTCTAACCCCGACCAACCCCGTATCTTCGAACATCCACGGCCGTTGTCTGAAGTCAAGGCGGGAGTGCGCAAGGTTCCGAACCTGATCGTGACGCAGGACGTCCCTATCCTGAAATACCCGGGTCCACAACCTGTGCTGCTCAATCGAGTCATCAAGCAAAAGGCGCTATGGGGTGTTAAGACGTTTCAACAACACAAGGAGTTGGAGAATGCAGCACATCTGGCCGACTGCGAAGATGATTGGGACGCAATACTGTACCGCGATCACAGAATCATACCTCCTGGGGACAAGTTACTCAAGGGGACTGTCGGTGTAGATCGGGCGCTCGCCGGCAGTCAAGGTGGAACTTGGGCCGGGACATTTCGACAAGCGGATCAAGAGCTGGAGCTGAAAGCCCATGAGCGTGGGAGGAAACATGCGGAACTGGGCAGGAAGCTATGGCAGATAGTGCTTGACGAAAGGGAATTGAAGGAGAAAGAGAGAAGAGAAGCCAAGCATCAACGTCGTATGGCGAGGAAGAGTGCTGTAGCCGGGTTGCCGCCCTAGGCTGAACAGCAACAGTTTTGGGAATGAGAAGTGAGGCACATATCGTTGGGCTGAGACTGAGATGCCGTACTGGCCGGTAGCCGATGTGTGCGCTACGAAGCCTGATGTGCTCTTCAAGTTTGCCACTGCAAGATTTAGAGATTCGACCCGCGAGGAAGCAATTGTACAAAACGACGTAGTAACAAATGTTGGCCGACGTCGAACATCATTCTACTCTCTGTGACTTCAATATTCTTAACTTTTCCATGCTCTCTTTGACTCCCCAACCATGCTTTAACAGCTCCCCCACCTCCTCTAACCCTAGGCCCATGGTCTCTGGGTAGATGTGGTATATGGCGACCCATCCCACGCTACACATGACGGCGTAAGAAACGAAAGTCCACGTCGGGGTCAGCAGGTCCATCATCGGCAGAAAGGTCAGTCCGACAATGGTATTGCTGCCCCAATTTGTGGCAGTCGCGAGGCTGGAACCGAGCGACCGGACGCTGAGAGGAAACATTTCGGACTGCTGCCATGGGACTGGACCAAGACCGATTGCATATGTCGACACGTATAGGAGCAGTGCAAACAATATTCCCAGGGCCGGGAGTCGTGAGGCCGAGGGCAACTCCGCGCTCGATGTTGGGACATCAAAATGATCCGCCGGCGCGCTGCGAATATAAGAGAAGGCCACTGCACACAGTAGCAGCGACACCACCATAACAGGAATTGTTATCAGTAGGATACGCCTTCGCCCGATGCGGTCGATCAGGCCGAACGCGGCCAGCGTTAACAAGAAGTTCGCTCCTGCAACAGTAAGAGAGATCAGAGTGGGTGAGGAGAAGTGAAGCCGCTGGAAGATGGTTGCTGAGAAATACATCAGACTGTTGAATCCGCAAAGCTGTTGCAGGCCCTGTAAAGTGCATGTGATTATGAGGGCTCGGGTGTGTGGTGGATGAAATAGGAGAGAATGCAGAGCAGGTGGCATGAGAGCCGATCGAGAATCCGAGCTTTTGAGCTGTAGGTGAGCTTCCTCCTCCTCGAGTAGCCCCTTTCTGATTGCCAACATGATACCATCGACAATCTCGGTGGTGTCGGGCACCATTCCCCTGTAGACCTTGGAAAGCACAGTCCTTGCGTCTGCATCTTTCCGCACTCTGGCCAGAAAGCGAGGTGTTTCGGGCATGAACGTCAGCATGACAAGCTGTGCGATTGCTGGTATTGAACCAAGCCCAACCATCCACCGCCATCCGCCTCTCGTGGACGAGAACGCCCATCCGACCAAATAGGCAATGACCTGACCACCAGTGATGAACAGCAGGGATACGGTGACAAGCCTACCTCGCAGATGCCCCGGCGCAAGCTCAGATATGTAGAGTGGCACAATCATACTGGCTCCTCCGATTGCGAGTCCCACTATGCTCCGGCCTAGTATCATTCCCCAGACCGAGCTCGTGAATGCCTGCCACAGCGCACCCAGTGTAAAGAGACCGTCGGCAACCACAATCACGTTCTTCCTCCCCATATTATCCGCCATCACACCGGCGACCGGACTTGCAACGAGGGCGAAGAAGCTCGTACAGGAGGTTATCAAGCCTTTGTCGATGTTCGTCAATTTTCGGGAGGAGAGGTCGGTGTCAATGGAGACAAGCGTGCCGCTGATGACTCCTGTGTCGTAGCCGAAGAGCAACCCCGAGACGCATGCAGAAATGGTCAAGGCCCAGACGAAAGTGTTCCCGAATGAGCGCAGATGCAAAGAGGGATTGTGAGGCTCGGCTCCTTCACGTTCGCCGATGAGTGGTGCATCCGGCGCGGTATCTTCGTTGGTGTGTTCCATGGCTGATCCCGCTGGCACTGTAGTGTCAGGGAGAATTTCGACGTCATGAACTTCCACTTCCTCCTCTAGTCCACTGAGAAGAAAATTTGTTTGCGGTCTAATATCCTATCATGAAGCCATGGGGTGTATTCTTGCGCGAGCCGTGCCTGAGGGTAGTAGGTTGGTCGGTAGTACTACTCGACACTGTACCGCAGTTGGTGGTACGGAACCGGACGCGCGCCGCATTAAGAGTCAGGCTGCACTATTCTGTACAGAGTATGGCTGAGCCTTGCCAGCAGCCTTATCGCACGTGACTGGTTTATCGAGCCCGCGGCTAAGTGCGAGCGGCTTCAAAGTCGGTCACTACGTAGTATGCCGGTGGCTGCATGTGGCAGCGATAGAGGTTAGGTCCTTCGTTGCTAGGTACTATAGTACCTACCTAGGTAGGTATCTCAGTTCTTGAATGCCATTTTCTGTTAATCTCCCAGAGAACCAGTGTTACTGCGTCTACTAGAAGACCGCACAGCCTAGTGAGTCCACGTGGTATATTCCTTTCCCAGTCAACTTATTAACATCGTCCCCTATCAGTTCCGAAGTCTTCTATAACCGTGGCAGGACTTCAGTGGTATGATGCCCCTCGCGGTTGTTGTGGAAGCCAGGCTTCAGCATCCGGGCCGAGGTCAAACCCGCGGCACAAACAATCAGGGGAACCCGCTTATGGCCTGGGCCAGATGGGAAAACGGTCGGAGAGGCTTTACGCACGGGGGATGCCAGTCTTCTGGAGGTGGCAAGGCGGAGCTGGCTGAAGCCTATTCGTATGCGGAGGTGGCTGTAGTTGAAGTGTGCGTACTGTGTTATACGACGAACTTTACGCATGAAGACGAAGTCTGGAGTTCAGGAAGTCCTAGGTAATCGTTCTAAGCTGTAAAAGGAATAGTTTTGTCAGAGATGCCGAGGCAATTTGGCCTTGTAGCCGTCACGCTCAACCTGAATGCGACACCGGACCACTGCCATCATCCTTATTGTATTCGACTTATTAAATGGTCCCTTCCGGCCATTGCATGATCCTCTCCAGCTCTGTACACGGTCTTCTAGGTACTTGATACGCCTCCGTTCTTCACCCGGTCTCAAAACATCGTCTTCAAACATGCCTTCCAATCCGGACTGGGTCAAAGCCCTCAAGCCTTCTGGTCCCCAGGGATCAGAGCTCCTCGCCCAGGAGAGGGCCAAGTCGAACCTCAACATCGATCAGTTGTCTGATTTCATGTTCACAAGGGAAATCCTCGAGAGAAATGAAAGAATCTTGAAGATTTTGCTAGCAGAGCCTGTCTTCGACAAATCCCAGAACTACTTCCGGGGCCGAACAGAAAGAATAGAGGCATCATTGGCAAGGGGTAAAAGACTACAACAACTATCTGTCAAACACAAATGGACAAAAGAAGAGTTCCAGGCAGCCAACGAGCTCATCAGTGAGCCAACCCCTTACGGCCTACATGCGAGCATGTTTCTGGTCACTCTACGAGAACAAGGCACTCCAGAACAACATAAGCTCTTCCTCGAGAGGGCAGAGGCGTACAAGATCATTGGCTGCTACGCGCAGACTGAACTCGGGCATGGCTCCAATGTCAGGGGACTGGAGACTACGGCGACTTGGAACCCAGAGGACAAGACCTTCACTCTCAACTCACCGTATTTGACCGCATCGAAATGGTGGATCGGCTCTCTTGGAAAAGCTGCCAACCACGCGGTGGTAATGGCTCAACTATATATCGGTGGCAAGAACTATGGGCCTCATCCATTTGTCGCCCAGATCCGAGACCTCAAGACCCATGAGCCGCTGCCCAATGTTCACGTTGGGGACATTGGGCCAAAGTTCGGGTACAACACTATGGACAATGGTTTTCTCCTGTTCAAGAACGTCAAGATCCCGCATATCAATATGCTTGCACGATTCTCCCGCATCGATCCACAGACCAACAAATACTTCCGCCCTTCGAACCCTTCTCTGATCTACGGCACGCTCACCTATATTCGAAGCACCATCGTTCTGCAAGCAGGCTCGGTCCTTGCCCGAGGTGTGACAATTGCCACTCGGTACTGCGCCGTAAGACGACAATTCCAGGATCGAGACGCACCAGCCAACGAGATTGGTGAGAACCAAGTCCTGAATTACACTATGGTGCAGATCCGCCTTCTACCTCTCCTCGCGGCTACCTACGCCCTCCACTTCACGGGCCGAGGCATGATCAACTTGTACCAAGAAAACCAGAAACGTATGAACGACAACGCGGGCAAGCTGGCCGACTCGAAGCGTGCACCGGGACCAGAAGAACTCAATCCAGGAACCGACCTTCTTGCGGACCTCCATGCCACCAGCTGCGCCTTGAAAGCCTTGGGCTCCACCACCGCAGCTGAAGGCTTAGAGGTCTGTCGTCGGGCTTGCGGAGGACACGGCTACAGCTCCTTCTCCGGCATTGGCAGCTGGTATGCCGACTATCTCCCCACGGTCACCTGGGAGGGCGACAACTACATGTTGACGCAACAGGTCAGTCGCTACCTACTCAAGTCGGCGCGATCGGTCCTGAAGGGAAACGCGCCCGACAACGACACGTCCCGTATCCTCAAGGAGTTCATGGGACGGCGCGACATCGGCGCGGCCTTTGACGTGATTGGAAGCGACACAGACCTTGTGGCTGCCTTTGCCTGGCGGGTGTCGTTTCTGACTTTCGAGGCCTTGCGTCACCGCGACGAGGACAAACAGTCGTGGAACTCTTTGCTGGTGGACTTCTGGCGCCTGTCGACCGCGCACGCCCAGTATATGGTGGTGAAGAACTTCCATGACGCCCTCAACGATCCCAACACCACGCGGCAGCTCGAGGCAGACACCGTCGCGCTCTTGCACAAGCTCTTCCGCCTGTATGCACTGAACACGCTCGAGCGAGAAGCTTCGGAATTCTATTCGAGCTCCGCCGTCACCGTGCGACAGATCACTCTTGCACGAACCAAGACTGTCATGAAGCTGCTTGAGGAGATCCGTCCTCACGCCGTCCGCCTGGTAGATGCGTGGAAGTTCCCTGATTGGCAGCTCGATAGCTCCCTCGGCCGTTACGACGGCAAGGTCTACGAAGACATGTTCTACCGCGCCAGCGAGCTGAATCCTCTGAACAACATCGTCTTTGACCCGTATCCCGACTCGAAGGTGCTGTTCAGAAAAGATGAGCGCCCCGATTTGCGAAGCAAGCTATAAGTGGGACGGGTGTATGTGTTCGACCAATTGGACTCGTAGCAGTCTGGTAGGGAATGGAAGCATGATCTACCTTGTGGGAAAAGCAAGCTTGACAACATGGACTCATATCTGAATATTGTGCTCAAATTGCAAATTGCATCCTCAATGTTGCTGTAGGTGGCAGTATCTCCTCGTGCGCCTGGAATTCTGATTTAAACGTTATTGGGACACCTTGATGTGTAGGGCGGGTATTAGTTGTGGTTGTCAGTACGTACTATTGTTCATCATTACAACGGTATAGCATTGCAAACCATGGTCCATCGCGTTGACCTTTCATGTTTGATTCGAGTCAACTGCTACGTACGTAGTACCAACTGGCATCTGGTCTCAACTAAGGTAATGAGCATGCTTACTAGGATGTCAGCTACAAGCAGGCCGATGCATATACGTAGTTCAACATCTCTTTTATATATTTATATTTGTCAAGTATAACCGCCTGCCTCTTCACCTAATCGCCCTGTCCGCATGGAACAAGCACTCCGAGTCGATGCCAGGAGATGTTCATACTTTAGCTTGGCCTCTTAAGTGGTCGATGATAGCAATTGCCATCTCGTTCTGCGATCACTAGGGTACCGTCGGTTGTTGGTTCTAAATGTGGCGCCGAGTGGTCGGCATGTTTTCTCTGCCATATAAAAATTACGATATATCGAAAAAAACATGACTCTGCTATCACATCCACACCAAGAAAGCTGTATGTAAAAATCTCAGATTGGATATTCAACTCCAGACCAGATCCGGGTCCCTCTCCGTCTATTAGAGAAGGCGCCAAATCCTACATCTCCTGTCTTCCAAACAAAATGGCAGCAAGAACGTGGAAACATAGAGGCCAAACACCTTTTCAGCCAGAGCGAGTCTGACTTCACCACGCGGAATACACAAAATCAACTCTAAGCAGCAGGAGCAGCCGGTGCGATTGGATCCGCGGGCTTCTCCCCAAGATCTCCGTTGGTGGTAAGACCCGCTTGGTGAGGCGTCGAAGTAGAGTCAGGGACGCCGTTGACCACGTCTCTGCTCAGCTCAACATAATCGTAGGCAAACTCGCCGATCTCGGTTTCGTCCATACCCATGATTTCCTCTTGCTCGGTGGCACGGAGCTTCAGGCCGGGGATAAGGTTGATGACGAACAGAATTACCATGCTAAGGACGAAGGAGTAGGCCATGCCAACGACGCCGTCGCAGAGTTGGTACGCGAGCTGGATGTAGTGCTGGTTGATCCAACCTCCGTCGATTTCGGTGAAGCCATCGAGGTGAGCAATGTAGTCTGCGGCAAAGAGACCGGTCAAAAGGTCTCCAACCAAGCCGCCAATGCCGTGGATGGCGAAGATGTCGAGAGAGTCGTCAATGTGAAGAAGGAACTTCAGCTTGGTCCCATAGTTGCAGGCAATAGCGCCGACAACGCCAAAGATGACAGCGGCCCAGGCGGGAACGAAACCACTGCCCGGAGTGATGGCAACCAAACCCGCAAGAATACCACTGCAGAAGCCCACAGTAGACCATTTGCGCTCCAGGCGGTAGTCAAGGACACACCAGGTGATACCGCCCACGCAGGCGGCCAAGTTCGTGACGACGGTGGCCATGACAGCGCGCAGGTTAGCAGCCAGAGCGCTACCGGCATTGAAACCGAACCAACTGAAGAGGAGGTCAGTAACTTGCAGCCACAAATCAAAACTGAGGGATTACGTACCCAACCCAGAGGAAGACAGTTCCAATCACAATGTGAGTGACATTGTGAGGACGGTAGTTCAACTCGTGGGTACCGTGGCCGCGACGCTTTCCCAGCATGAGGGAGTACGCCAGAGCAGCAGCGCCGGACGAGATGTGGACGGGTGTACCGCCAGCAAAATCCAGACCACCCATCTTGAACACCCAGCCAGATCCGTTCCATGTCCAGCAGGCAATCGGGTCATACACGACTGTGGACCACACAAAGGAGAAAACCATGGCAGGCAACATGCGGCCACGTTCAGCAGCAGCACCAATCGCAAGAGCGACGGTGATAGCAGCGAACATTCCTTGGTAGACTGCGAACATGAGGTCGGGGATTTTGGTTGATCCGACAGATGGAGCACCAAGGACGCCGCGGAAACCAAAGTTTTCCATGTCACCGATGAACTTGCCGGCGGTGTGCGAGAAGGTGAGGGTGTAGCCCCAGAAGAACCATTGGAAACATGTGAGCCCGGTGGCTGCGAGGGAGAGCCAAATGAGTGACAAGGCTGACTTGCGGCGTGCTAGGCCGGAGTAGAAAAAACTGAGAGGGAATGTCAACATGGGATCCCAGATCACTGCCAATGGAGATGCTTACCCAACACCCGGAATCATGAGAAGCACCAATGCCGTGGACGTGATCATCCACGCAATGTCGCCTGCATTATAGTAGACATTGAGATCTTGTGTGCGGGAATCTCCTCCAGTCATGGCCGTGCCTATTTCGCGAGCAAATCGCGTCAGCCTGAATCTTTTCCCGATAAGAGAGAGGGCTGGGATGGATCTTGCGTACCATTATACACTTCCAAAGGAACGTAGGGGAGGGATTCGCTCGAGTCCGACATGTTTACGGGTAGGCTCGTAAGCTCGTCGACGGATAGAAGGTTGCGCGGATGCCCTCTAGGCACGAGGTCTGTCACACCCTGTTGTCAAACTGCTGGCGCAAAGAGAAGAGAGGGCGTCGAGGTCTGAGGCCCGGTGTACGAGGGTGAGGACTGAGCAACGGGAAATATGTCGCGAGAGCCGGCAGGCAACAAAAGAAACGAACCGAAAGAGAAATTCGACCAAGTAGGACGGGGCAGAAGCAACGCATATAACAAAACATTGATTAGCGAGCCGGGGAGAGCGAGCCCGTCCGTGTTGTGAGAGTCCCACTGGGGTTGTTAGAATATTGGCTGTTGGTGTGACCACTGTTCTGATACGAGGCGACTCGCTCGGGCTCTCTAGGCTGCTGGGGGCGTGTGTTACCCGAGAGCCCAAAAAAGCAACCCACCGTCTAGACCCCTGCACCACGTTTGAAAAGGAGGATGCGCCTTTTAGCAAGATATCTCGCAGCGCTGAATCCGAGACGGGAGACGGTGGACATGGCCAGCATAGTAGGGCACAGGGAGAAAACAGTTGGCAAGTCCCGGCCAAATGATAACAGTCAGGCTCTCACGGGACACTGCACTCTGTAGAGTAGCAGCGCTAGTAGCAGAGGGGTGCGATAAGGGCAATAAAAGAACGGAGCCTTACAGCTTATCATTAAATATTAGGTACATCATATATTCGTAGTTATTAATCATCACTGCCCATGACTGGCTGTCTCGAGTGCCTAGTAGGTACCTACGCAGTTCGGGTATGTACCTAGGGAGGCACGGAACCTATAGGGGTACCTACCTAGCTAGCTAAGAGTGTCCTGCGCCCTATAACCTTCTGCAGGCGCGCCCGAACCCGCACCTGCACCTGCACCCGGAGACAAGGCAAGCATGTACATACTGCAGTTGTGATCTTCTCCAACGGCTGTCTTCCTCAACATCTCAATCTATTTAAGGCTGTTTCATGTCTGCTGCTGGTGCGCTGTTCTCTGGTACCTGATGAACGATGAACATGGGCATGTGCAGTGGTTAGGTACCTTGGATCCCCTTTTTCCAGAACGTCCAGACGATCACACCTGGTCAAATCACGCATCCATCATGGCAACGGCCCCATCCAACAATCTCCTCTTTTCTCGGCGAGATAAGCATCTCTGTTCCCATTCGCCGCAACATCTCCGCCAAGCTCCTCCCGCCCATCAGATCGTTCCTGAAGTTCTTTCCCGGTCAGTAGCGGGCCACGCCAAACGCACTTGAACGCCGCATTCAGTAGCATTGGCATCCACTTGCGACTGCACCAAGAATGGGAGAGGTCGATGTCTGCAGTGGTGAATCTGCGACTAGTAGCTTAGGGCTTAGGAGGGCTCCTAAGCCCCGACTTTTACAGTTTTACTTTCCGCTTGCTTGTCCCTTCGCGCGAGCCTCGTGGGCATTCAACAACTGACTCACATGGAGCGCGGCTTAGCTTTTCCTGTCAAACCACCGAAACCGGTGGTGCAGAGCTACTATTAACCGTTGACATACCAAGCCATGCTAGCAGCAGAGCCTTGACATCGTAAATTGCGCCGTTCATCGTCGTCTATCATCACCGCCGCCGCATCGAAGATGGAATGCATGCACCATGCCAGAGCAGTTCCTTAGGCCTACTATTCCTTCTTTTGTAATTCCCCTCCGAGTCTCGCTTACTACTTACATCAACCGTTCTTGAGTAGGTAAATCCTCCGCTAAACGTCACTTCAGCCGCGACCGGTATATATCCCTATGCGGCAGCTCCTCGTCTCACGAGACCTCTACTTCAGTTGCGCAGTCCTTGTTGGCACACCACCACGAAACTTTCCTCGCATCTGCCGGCTACCCGGTCCTGTCTCGTTAGCAGCACCTGCATGTTGTCCACAGGCAGCTCTTCTCGGGTTCTTGTCGTCACCTTATCGGAGCATAACCTCGAACTGCTCGCCGCCCCGTCATATCTGTGTCCTTGCCCCCACACCGCCCACTGCCACGCTGCGCACGAATCCCGCGTCCGATTTCAGTCGGATTTCAAATCCACATCTACTACGTAGTACGTACAGAGTTAGTCCGCCTGGTTCCGATCAGCCAGAGCTACCTTTGTGTCGGCGTCCTCCTCCACAGTACTTGGCTTCTCAGCCTCGCTCCCACACGGACCTAAAGTGTAGGGGTGATGGGACAAGTTCTCACTCAGAGTCTATCATGAGAGTCCGGCGAGTCATACACGTGGCTTCACTACCTGGACGAGTACTTTTGACTGCAACTCGCGAGTCTCTCCAGTTGCAGTGAAGTTCATAACCTTCGAGTCTTGCTGGCACTATCAGCAACGTAAACATCATGCTTACACACGATCAGAGTAGAAACCAAGTCCTAGCAGCCTCGGTGAGCATCGTGTTACTGAGCAGGCTCAAGACTCGCCCAATCAATCTGTGGGTGCTTTTAAGGCTCATATCTGGCAGTCAATAATATTGTAATCTGTTGCATTGACATACGCGTGTTCGTTCTTTGTAGACGTACTATTAGGCGTAGGAGTCGTCCTCGGAGCGTTCGACTAAATTACTGCTGGTGGTGACCTTGCGGTCATTTCTTGATGCGTTCACAATGTCTTCCTAATAGTACTACTAGTAGCGTGTTTCAGGTAACACCGACCCAAGATCCAGACAACTTGGATCACCGTCGACGCGACCGTACACCTAATAATACCCATTTTTCAGCAGCGTCAATTGTGCATGGATTCGCAACGGTGTACAAGCAACACAAGGCTGCTAGTGGCAGGCCTTGGTGCTGGATCACAGCGTGAATAATAATAAGACTCGCAAATTTCCAGGTAACAGGCAACAATACACGTACTGGCCTAGACATATCCCATTTGTAGCAGAGCAGTATTGTGGTATCGTTGTCGGAGATGATGCCAGTAATCCGACATGCAAAGCTCGTTTCCTGGCAGGCGCCGCTGTTGTAGCCATTTATTTCATGTTCTGGCTCCGAACAGATTGGGATTGGTATGTGTGGCTGCACCTTTAATTTACGGGCGCTTTAGAAACTGGGAATCAGGTTTAGGGAGCCTCGTCAATCCTGTTGTAACTTGGACCGGAGCAAAGATCCAGTGAGGCGTTGACAGGGACATCATATCCGCAGCCTGGAGGTTCTTCATCCACCTGGGTAATTGCTATTCAACCCGCTGAGCACTTCGATCTGCTCCCATCATACATTTCGTTGACTCCTGGAGCGACTCCGATGAGGGTTGCCATAGACTCTAGAGTGCGGTGTTTAGAACGCCTCATCAGTCAGAATGCATCTGACACTGTCAGCCAGCGGCCCTGGCAGTGGAAATAGTGGCACAGTCGGTCAACCTCTTCAGCCACACGTTCCCCTCGCTCCAACAACACCCATGATCGCGGACTCCCATCAATCTTCACCACCGACAGTAGTACCCTACTACTCAGCTCAAACTCAAATCGTCGCACCCTCGCCGGTGCGTCCATCTCCTTCCAGGGGCGGCCCACGACCTCCCAAGAGTGAAGGGCAGCGCATCGAAGAAGGTCGACTTCCTCTCGTCATGGAGCACGAAGAAATGCCCATCCGCCGTCCGACGAACTCTTCTTCAGGCTCTGATGAAGACAACGCCACCTCTGCTGCCTATGCCTATCCCCCTTCTTCCGCCTACGATGCCTCCGAATCCGCCACCACCTACACACCTACCTCCACCATTTCAGCATATACTCCGTCCGCCGGCTTCTCCTCAGGCCTATCCTCCTGGGCCTCCTACGGAACGCGACCTCGAGGCGGCAGTGGATCGGCCCAGCCTTCAACCATGGACCGCTCCTTTTCTGGTGAAGGTGCGACGGCTTCAGTAGACCCCCGGGGTGTAAGGCCCAGCGCTCCTTTACGGACGCCCTCGAATACCTACGCTCCTCCACGACGGCCTCCGCAGTTCCTCTCCTTGAACTCGAAGCGGGTACACTCCTCGAACGCCACGCGCTCTTCTAGGAGAGATCCAAACGCACAATACAAGGCACAAGAGAAAGCTTACGTGCAGCGGGTGCGACAGCAGCCACAGGACTGGCTCGACAATGACCCTCGGACACCTAGCATCGGATACAGTACAGACGAGGAGACAGATGATGATTCCCCCTCAACTGACCACCAATTCGATGATCCGTACGATCCAGAAACTTTAATGTTCCTTGGGAACGAGGACAATCTTCAACCCTCTGACGAGGAACTGCAGAATCCCCAGTACAGAGAGCGACTGGAATGGCACTCTATGCTGGCTTCCGTCCTCAAAGGCGACGTCGTCAAGCAAGAAAAGCAGAGACTGATCGGGACCACGGACCAAGCATCGAGGTCCGAGATAGGCACCGAGATTTGGATCGGCGCAAGGTCAAAATACTATGGACGGCCATTGCAGATGCAGAAGAAGCTGATTGAAGAAGGCCGTGCCAGCTTGGGACCCATTATCGAGAGCCTCATTGCGTTCGAGATCAAGGGTGAAACTGTTGTCGGGAAGTCGCCATTGGAGCAAGTCGAAGAGGCGGTGGCAAATATCGAAAAGGTGGAATGGTTATATTCATCTAGGAGAGAACTCGAAGCTGCCCAGCCCCGAGCTGCTTCCGATGCTTTTCGAGACAGCTGCGATGCCATCGTTTCCTGGCACAATATCACTCAGCTGATCAACACCGAGCTCGCGGTGCTCCAAGCCTGGGTCGGGAACCAGGAACTCGACTTCACAAAGCCAAAACGGCGGTCCGGTGACGAGGGAGACCTGTCTGATGAATCCTCTTTCATCGACAGAATTCTGAAAGAGGACGGCTTGAAGTCACTTCAAGGGGAGAAGAGCATGTTCAAAGGGATTGGTGAGGTGATCACCAAGGCCAAAAGTACACTCATCGAGAATGCCGAAGCCTTCGCCGCCCGCCACCTGCCTCCCTACATTGAAGAGCTCCTGACTCTGATCAACTTCCCATCAAGGTTGATCCAAGAGATCATCCGGATGCGATTGTCGTATGCGAGAAAGATGAAGGAATCAGCACAGCAATCCGTCATGATCATTGATCAAATGATTGCGCAGTTCCAGATCCTCATGAATCTTGCGTGTCTCATCAAGCAACAATACCTTGCCATCTCGCACCCAGAGCCAGGTTGGGATTTGCCGCCTTGTATTGACGAAAACTTTGATTCGGTCATTGTTGAAGCGCTCAAGTTCTATTTCAAGATGCTCAATTGGAAACTGGGCGCCAACAAGAACACCTTCCGAGAAGCTGAGATCCTCGAGCAAGAATGGGGCTTTTCCAACGAAATCGGTCGTCAACTTGAGGGCGGAGATATTGAAGTCGCAGAGCAATTCAGTTCTCTTACTGCCAAGTCCCTGTTGCGATTGACTGCCTCGTTCGAACGCGAGCTCAGATCGAAACCGGATGAAAGTCAGCAAGAGATGGAAAAGAGATACAAGACAATTTTGGATTCGGTGCGCGTCCGACAGCGAAAACTTTTCCGGTTTTCACGTATTCTGAGACAACGGTTCGAAAACGCGACAGAGTTCAACCTCGGGATGAATGCAGAGCAGATGCAGCATTTAACCGAGTCTCTCATTCTATCGGGTCACTTCTTGGTGGAGATGGGTGCCAACAGTCCGAAAGGCGTGCATTTTGTCGCGTCCCCTTCCCTGTGGAATCGGCCGAAAGAGATTCAATCCATCCTGGGTACATCTTTTCATGCCGATGACGCACCAGAAGATCCTTCAAATCCCTATATACTCATCATCCGGCCTGAAGACGAGATGCAGTGGGAAGGACCAAGGATGGAAGTTGATGTCCTGGAGTTACCGAACGACGTTAGACTGGGGCGGCTCCGCCTCGTAGCGGATGGCTCATCCCTCCGCCTACAGGGCGCTCGCATGGAGTTTGCCAACGCTGTCGGTAGGGAGCTTGATGTTGTGATTGAGCAAAGAGCCAACCTTTCCCGGGTCAATTTGGAGTTGGGAAAGATCAAGAAAACAACTTTCAAGCTTTCGAACACCATCATGGAGAGCGTGGAGGTCATTCGCTCGCAAAATGGTGGTATCGCAAGTCCGGAATTAGTGCAGTCTTGCTTTGCTTTTGCCACTGAGTTCGGCAAGAGATCTCTGACATACATGGATCCCAACCGTCGGATGATGAACAACCTGAAGCTGACCAGGCTCGCTCTAGATTGGGTCAGCTTTATTTGTGATGACTGTGACGCTGCCGACCGAAGGACCTTCAAGTGGGCTGTGGTCGCATTGGAGTTCGCCATGGCAATGACCCGCGGCCGAAACATCCTAGACATCAGCGACGAGGACTTCAAACGCATTAGGGTCAAGGTTGCGGGATGCATGTCTGTGTTGATCTCACATTTCGACATCATGGGAGCCCGGTCCACCCTGGCGGCGCAGCAGGAGAAGTCGAGGATGGAGGCGTTGACCGGTATGAACAAGCGTCTTGATTTTAACAAAATGAGAAACGACGAAGATTGCTGGCGGGAGATGTCTGAACAGCGACTGGCGCAGCTCAATGCCATTGACCAGGCTCGCGAGGAACGTGGTGCCTCGAAGACTACCCCTCTTGGTCGGGTATTGGAGGGATCGAACGAAGCGGACCGGTCACTCACCTTCTTGTCCTCCTCGGCAACCAACATCACCATGAGATGGCAGCAAGGCCAGTTTGTGGGAGGCGGGACCTTTGGGTCTGTGTACGCGGCGCTGAATCTTGACACGGGAACATTGATGGCCGTCAAGGAGATCCGTCTCCAAGATCCCCAACTCATTCCTACAATCGTCAAGCAGATTGGCGACGAAATGGGTGTCCTGGCAGTGCTTGACCATCCTAACATTGTGTCATATTACGGAATCGAAGTACACCGAGACAAGGTCTATATTTTCATGGAGTATTGCTCCGGTGGCTCGGTGGCTGGCCTCCTTGAACACGGCCGCATTGAGGACGAGACTGTCATCATGGTGTACGCGCTGCAGATGTTGGAAGGTTTGGCCTATCTACATCAAGCACATATCGTGCATCGAGACATCAAGCCGGAGAATGTTTTGCTCGATCACAACGGGGTGATCAAATATGTGGACTTCGGAGCCGCGAAAATCATTGCTCGGCAAGGCCAAACCATGATGGGTATAGAGCCTGCTCAACGCGTCAATGGTGTCAACCCCGTCAATGGCGAGCCCGGCCACCTTGCCAATAACCCCGCCGTCGCACGGCAGCCACAGAAGACCATGACAGGGACGCCCATGTACATGTCTCCGGAAGTGATCCGGGGAGATGCGCCTGCGACATCACGTTTCTCCGGTGCCGCGGACATCTGGTCCTTGGGCTGTGTAATTCTTGAAATGGCTACGGGGCGTCGTCCTTGGTCTACGTTGGACAACGAGTGGGCCATCATGTATAATATCGCGCAGGGCAACCCTCCTCAACTGCCTACCGAAGATCAACTTAGCGAGATGGGGATTGATTTCTTGAAAAAGTGCTTCGAGCGAGATCCGGCCAAGAGGAGTACAGCGGCAGAGTTGCTACAGCACCCTTGGATCGTGGAAATCAGACGGCTGGTGGTTGATGATCCTGATGCTCAGACACCGCGGAGCGATACAAGCAGCTCCAGTGGAGGAGCTCCCTTTTCATTTCGGCAGAACTCGGCGTTCTGATGAGACGGTTGGCGAGTGCACACAATAGCACGGAGTTTGTTTGGTATGGATGAGTGGCTCAAGCCAGATGTTAGTCCTGGGGTTCATTGCAGGCGAATCTACAACAGCATCAATGTTCAAACATGCAATAAAATACAGTAATATTATGTACATGATATACACACATAGGTACCTACCTAACCTCTTTCAATAGGTAGACATCTTGTACCTGGCAGATCAATCCTCCCTCAATGTGCCGAAACAGTGCCGCTAACCGATGTTACATAGTATCATGTTTCCGGATTTCTACGGCGATGGCGTGGAAGGTGGTTGGCGGGTCCAGTGTAGTCAGCTTACGCCCGGCTCGGAAACGGCAACCTAGACGTTTATCAAAGGCCGAATCGGGCAGATACTTTCTCACACTGCGTACCTCTATTCCTAATAACCTGCCTTGTACCTCATCTTCTGTCTCCTTGCAACCGGATTGACTGCGTGGGTGGAGGATTCAGCGCGACCCGGGTGACGCTCGCTTCATCAATATAACGATCGTATCTCCATACTACTGCATCACGCTCATTATGCCCTCCTAGACACCATGGCCGGTAGTGGATCCAACGTCTCAGACCCCTTCTCCGATCATGCCGCCGTCCAGGACGAACGCGAAGCAATCGTCGACTCTACTCTGGCCGTCGGCCGCAACGCCACCCTTACCTTGGGCACTGATGCGGTCATTGTTTTAGGTTTGTAAGACTGGCGCAGGCAAAGGGCACGGGAGTCTGACACCACGCTCACAGATGAAGGACTTCGCAAAGGGACTGGATTCAATTGTTTCGGCTTGTTGCCTCAAAGTATGCTCACCGCCGTGCAGACTCAACCCCAGTACCTAATATCCATGGCTAGGAACCACCAGCACTCGCTCCATTCCCTACTTTAATGTTTTATGGGCAGAAATCGTCAAAGACGACCTTACCATCCGATATGCCAAACCCGACTCGAGGTCCGCGGACTCCCCTGTACACGTCGCATACATCAATTACACACTAGACAATTCTACCTATTCACAAGAGAGGGCGTCCAAATGGGTGGCACGCCTCTTGGATCGAGCCTATGCACAATCACAGCGTAACAAGAGGATAAAACTGTTGATCAACCCTTTCGGAGGAGCCGGAAAAGCTGTCAAACTTTTTACCCGGGAGATTGAACCCGTCTTCGCAGCGGCGAGGTGCGAAGTGGACGTGGAGCGCACCACGCACGCAGGGCATGCTGTGGAAATATGCGAAAAGCTCGACATCGATGCGTACGATGTCATTGCAAGCGCCTCCGGTGATGGACTTCCCCATGAATGTATCAATGGTCTGTCCCGGAAACCAAATGCGGCGGAAGCGCTGAGGAAGGTAGCCATCGTCCAACTTCCTTGTGGAAGTGGAAATGCCATGTCATGGAACTTGAACGGGACAGGACAATGCAGCACGGCGGCACTTTGCATAGTCAAAGGGGTGCGGACACCTCTTGACCTTGTGAGCATCACTCAAGGCAACCAACGCACGCTTTCTTTCCTGTCCCAAGCCCTTGGTATAGTTGCCGAAAGTGATCTTGGCACCGAGAATTTAAGGTGGATGGGCGATACGAGATTTACATTCGGCTTTCTCGTTCGACTGCTTGGGAGAACAGTCTACCCTTGCGAAATATCCATGAAGATCGAGATCGAAGACAAGCAGGAGATCAAGCGACACTACGCTCGACAAATGGCCCGGCGAGGAGACCAAAGTATGTTGTCACAGAATGAGCTGGACGGACCCCTAGATACATCCACGAACCTCGGGCTCCCACCTCTACAGTATGGCACCATCAACGACCCCCTACCTACCGGTGCGGGATGGACACCCATGACCCCATTCCCCAAGCTTGGCCATTTCTATAGCGGCAACATGACGATGATGGCTGCTGACATGCCATTCTTCCCCGCCTCGCTTCCTTGCGACGGCCTTCTCGACCTTGTGACGATCGATGGTGATATCGGGCGGATGAAGTCTCTTGATCTTCTCTTCTCCATTCCCAAGGGAACGTTCTTTGACAAGGACTGCGTACATGTCCGCAAAGTCAAAGCCGCGCGAGTGATCCCCCATTATGGCCCCCTGGCACAGAATGCCCGGGGTGTGAGCCAGCGGAAGAAAATCGGGTACTTTAGCGTTGATGGCGAAAAGATGCCTTTCGAACCCTTTCAACTCGAAGTTCACAAAGGATTGGGCACGGTGCTGAGCAGGCATGTCGGTATGTATGAGGCCATAGGGCCACCAGGCTGGCAAGATGTCGATCTTGGCCGAGGAAACGAAGGATTCAATTCTACGTGAGCAATTTGTTTGTCGCGGCAGCTGGCTGTTCAAAAAGAAAGCTTGGATTCACATCCACTTGATACCCCGGACGCTGCATATAGAAGAGCATGAATGGAGTGCGGGTCTGTTTGGAATGTTTCGGTAATCACTCCATCATGGCAAAGCGCTTTGGATATATGGCATTACAAGTTCTCTTGGTTCAGGAGGAATTTATACAATGATACCCCTGTACATGGCTCAAGTTCACAACAACAGGGAAATGGCAATTAACCAGCCCTATGTTCATCCTACAGCCGACCAGATGCCTCGAATACGCTCACGTTGAAGAAGCCACATACACTGGACATAATTCTTTGCCCCATCCATGGTAGATATGGCTAAAGTAACAGACTGTCTGTAAGGAGACGATCTTCCTCATATGACCGTTGCAAGGCTGAAGCTGGCAACTACTACCACGTACTAATGCGGACCAGGCTGAGCGCAGGCTTGGCATGTTTTCCAGCTTTTCAGTTGTTGTCGGCTCGGACGACATCATAGCCTGCGCTTTTCTTGATCCTTCGATATTATAGTATTGTAACCGACCTTCAGTAACCCGACGGCCCCCCTCTCGAATGATGGCTGACGAAGAGCACCCGGAAGAAGGACTTCGAAGCGGGTTCCCTCAATCACCATCCTCGTTTGACGCAGATCCCCGAGTCTCTTTCTCCAAACTCGACAACAAGTTCATCCTCGAGACCGAAGAGGGCGAGTTCGAATGGGATATTGCCCTAAAAAGATGGATTCCAGTGGTAGGCAATACAATAAATGGCTTCCGAACATTCTGGCTGGCGAACCTTCGCCTCTCATACTCCACTTTGCAATACTCTTGAACCATGGTTTCTTGAGTGAGGACAGATTCTAACCCTCTGGATGTTGTTTCCTCATGTAGCTGGACCAGTCATTGTTGGAACAACAAAGCGAGATCTACAAAGTTCCCGGTGTTGACGAAAATGCGGCGCAAGCAAGGGACAAGAAGAAACGGAAACACGCCAACGGCGACGAGGTTGGTTTGATGGGCCCCATATTGCAATGAGCACATGCTGAGTTCGTTCAGGCGGATCCAAAGCCTAAGAAACCTCGAGTCAACACGGCGGTCTATGTCACTTCAATCCCTTTCGATGCGGACCAGGAAGAAATAGAGCAAGTCTTCTCCAAGTGCGGTGTCCTCGCCGAGGACTTGGACACTGGCAAGCCGCGGATAAAGATGTACGAAGATGAGGATGGCAAATTTAAGGGAGACGCCCTTGTCGTGTACTTCCGGCCGGAATCAGTGGCACTCGCAATCCAAATGCTCGATGATACGGACTTCCGATTCGGCACGGAGGGACCGATGGGAAAGATGAAAGTTCAAGCTGCAGATTTCTCACACAAGAAACCGCAGGAGGAGTCGCAGCAGCCAGTCAAGCCGAGCAAGAAAGACCAGAAAAAGCTGATGAAGAGGACACAGAAGATGATAGGGTAAGTCGGGGGAGCATCCTCTGGGAGCGAGACCGAACTGATGTGTTGTAGGAAACTAACGGACTGGGACGACGATGACCCGCAAACACTCCAAGCGACGGGTTCGAGGTGGGACAAGGTCGTGATTTTGAAGCATATGTTCACACTCAAGGAATTAGAGGTGAGAAAGACTGATGTATAGCGTGGACCGGGCTGACCTGCTGTAGGAGGATCCCGCCGCCATGCTTGAGATCAAAGAGGACATTCGAGAGGAATGTTCGAAATTGGGAGAGGTTACCAATGTTGTCCTCTTCGACAAGGAGGAAGACGGTGTTGCTAGCGTGCGCTTTTCCAATGCCGAAGCCGCCGCCGCCTGTGTCAGTGTATGCTGTCTCTCCCCTTCCTCCTCATCCCACGCGGGGCTAACCCTTTTTCAGCTTATGAATGGTCGATGGTTCGACGAGAGACAACTGGAGGCCTATATTTCAACAGGCAATGAGAAGTTCAAGAGATCCAGCGACAAGACGACCGGTCTTGACGAGGACGAAGACGAGAATGAGGGTGGGCGATTGGACAAGTTCGGTTCCTGGCTGGAGCAAGACGCCTGACGCTTGTTGACGGACGATTGTCTCCATATTATACCCAAAGGGAGAGTGGAATCGGATAAGTTCTCTCTGGAGCGTCTTGGAAATCAAGAACTGCTCACAATATTAAATGTCCGCTTGGAATACCTGATGCACGTATGATGTGGTGCGGCTTGCCTCTAACTGGCGTAAGTTTGCTACCGATGGACGGCGTCTAGACCTTCGGTTGGATTACAAGGACCTCTGGGTCGTACTTCTGGGTGCGGAACGACTTTCAAGTTTGTGATGTGCGGCGCATGTTTTTCCTATTACAATCGTTGTGATTGGAGAAATTGCCCACTGACTTGTGTAGAGGCACTGCTCTATTGTTGCCGAATGCTTTCGAACACCGAAAGAATACCTAGGGATCAGAAACTCCAGAGCAAGTACGTACTGCTGAAACCGGCCCCCGAAACAATTTTGTATCCCTCCGCACCGAATCGTGCTTATGCTTGGTATATTCCCTGGCAATCTTCGAACCCGAACACCGCTGATGCCTGTTGACCATTCCAATTGCGCCTGCCAAAAAGTATGGAGATGATCAGCTTTCCTGCTGCAGAACCTCGTCCTCGCTCGAGTTCGTCAAACTGAGGTATGCGGTCCACGCAATGCCAATGGTGCTCACAAAAGGTATCTGGAATTGAAGAGGCATGACGCGGAAATTGAGGATTTGTACGGCAGGCCAGAGGATATAGTTGGCCTTCAGGGTGGGAAGGTAGACGTCCTGGAATTTCCTGATAACATCTCTGGTTCCCCCTCCTTCGGCAACAGTCATGAAAGTGAAGAAGGCCGAGAGGCCGAGAGGCGCAAAGATCACCTGGTCGCAAACCACCCGCTTTAATGCCGGCACAGTGCCGCTCTTTGATGTAACGGGAAACCACTTGGTGAGCTGGCGGAACCACACGAATTGAACAGGCGCCATCAAGAAGCCGTATGCCATGAACCTGGTCAGGCGCTCGAAGTCGAATGGTTGAGGTGCTCGATGTCGAGGAGAGAGGGCGGGCGATAGTCTCGCAGGTTTCTCGTTGAGGTCTTCCAGCTCCACCCCAGAAGAGATGAAGGACCCGGAGTCGGCATCGCTAGGAAGTAGGGCTTGTCTCGCGCGGAATGCTGTTATTGACTGTGCGACAGTGTCTGCAACGCCTCCAAGCACCTGTCTTTCATTAGCCGGGTGCCGCCGCCATTGGATGTTGTTTCACATACCGCATTCGTGATCATTGTAGTCAAGACCGGCTTTTGGGCATAATATGAGTTGAACTTGGCCACGAGTCGTGCCGCCATGGCTAATTCTATGAACAGGATGGTGGCGTGAAGCAGAGGCTATATGGAAAGAGAGACTGTTAGCTGCTGGGTTTCATGGGCGACAAGCCGCACAGGACGACCTCGGTGGGCATTGGGTCACCTACAACTCTACCAAAGATATATTGACTGTTCAGCCAGGCCAAGGTTTTTTGCCTCGATGCCTCGAGCATCCTGGAGAAAGACTGGAAGAACGGGGCAGTCGAGGTTGGGTAGGTCGGTAAATGGAGATGGATGAGGTCGATGGAGTCGACGTGAAGTCGGTGACGCCAGACCTGTGATGCAGTGCCAGGGGCGCAGGTAACACAAACACCGGCGGGACCCTATCGAAAAACTCCGCCGTATTCTGAGGTAGTAGAACAGTGAGGAAGGGTCGTGGAATCAATCGGCAGTGTCAACGCAGTTACTGGACATCGAAACTGAAAGAGTCTTGTCGTACTGAACAGAATTGAATGGGAGGGCTGGTTGAGATGGAAAGGCTGCGCCTCGTGGATCGCCGGCGCATTATTGCAAGGACCAGCTCCCGGAACTCCCGCCATTATTGCAGTGATGATTGAGACTCATCTTCGAGATGAATATCAACAGCTTGAAAGGAGATATCTTCCTTGCTCAACAATAATGATCTGACAATTGAACTACCTACCTGATACTGATGATACCTTTGTACATTATGCTTTCGCTGACTTAGGTGCTACTTACTACTGGGCACTTTCTATGCGGCGCAAGCGTGCATGCAATTGACTTAGGTAAGGCAAGATACCTACCTCACGCTCAACCTTAACGCTCTGTCGTTATATGTAAGGTACTCTGTAGGCATTTGCAATAGCTCCCATCATGCCACACTTGCAGCACCAGTGCACGGGCGAGTTCGTGTTTCTGGCACCCCAGGCGCTTGCCATGCACCTGTCGAATAACTAGGTACCAACAACTTCAGTGAAGCATGCCACCCAGAAAACTGCACAGGGAAATGCAAAGCGACCAAGATGTGCCTCAATGGTCATGAGAGAGCGGTTCCATACTCGAGGAACGAGCTACAGTAGTACTCGCCTACCTACTAGTATCACAGTAGAGGCCCCGAATGCGCCTATTAGCTACGTCAGTCTCGAACAGCCTGAGGTTCAGACCACGCATGTGCTGCGGGTAGCAACTGCTCCCCACCAGATCCTGGTCCAGGTTCAACCCCTCCATCGTCGGTTTTGTTTTCTTTTATGAAGAGCTCGACTGAGCAGTTTCTTTTCTTTCTCGGCTGTGACTGATTTCCCGTCTATCATTACCATTACCATTACCATTACCAGCTATACCTGTACTGAGGATGTCTCTGTCAAACAAGCTCGCAATCACCGACGTCGATCTCAAGGACAAGCGTGTCTTAATCCGAGTATGCCTCCAATCGAGGAACCTTTCCCTCCAGCCCCAACTAACTTGACTCTAGGTCGACTTCAATGTCCCCCTCGATGCCGACAAGAAGGTCACCAACAACCAGAGGATAGTTGGCGCTCTTCCTACCATCAAATATGCCATCGAGCACGGAGCCAAAGCCGTTATCCTCATGTCCCACCTTGGGCGCCCGAACGGCACCAAAAATCCCAAATACAGCCTGAAACCTGTCGTCCCTGAACTCGAAAAGTTACTCGGCAAAAATGTCATCTTCACCGATGATTGTGTTGGACCGGAGGTCGAAGAGACGGTCAACAAAGCCAGTGGAGGCCAAGTCATTCTTCTTGAAAATCTGCGTTTCCATCCCGAAGAGGAAGGCAGCAGCAAAGACGCCGAGGGCAAGAAAGTCAAAGCAGACAAGGATGCCGTTGCTAAATTCCGTGCTGGATTGACTGCCTTGGGTGATATCTACATCAACGATGCGTTCGGCACCGCCCATCGCGCACACAGCTCCATGGTTGGTGTGAATCTTCCACAGAAGGCTTCCGGGTTCTTGATGAAGAAGGAGCTTGACTACTTCGCCAAAGCCTTGGAGAACCCGAAGAGACCATTCTTGGCCATTCTCGGCGGTGCCAAAGTCTCGGACAAGATCCAACTGATTGATAACCTACTTGACAAGGTCAACAGCTTGATCATCTGTGGTGGTATGGCTTTCACGTTCAAAAAGACTCTTGAAAATGTCAAAATCGGGACCAGCTTGTTCGACCAGGCCGGCAGCGAAAAATGCGCCGAGCTGGTGGAAAAGGCCAAGAAGAACAATGTAAAGATTATCCTGCCGGTGGACTATATCACGGCCGACAAATTCGACAAGGATGCGCAGACTGGCTATGCAACCGACAAAGACGGTATTCCCGACGGCTGGATGGGTCTGGATTGCGGCGAAGAGAGCATCAAATTGTACAAGCAAGCCATCGACGAGGCGCAGACGATTCTGTGGAACGGACCTCCTGGTGTCTTTGAGTTTGAGAAGTTCGCCAACGGTACGAAGGAGACCTTGGATGCTGCAGTGGCAGCGGCGCAGAGCGGAAAGATTGTCATCATCGGCGGAGGAGACACGGCTACCGTGGCGGCCAAGTATGGAGTTGAAAGCAAACTGAGCCATGTGTCCACTGGCGGTGGCGCAAGCTTGGAACTTCTCGAGGGTAAAGAATTGCCCGGCGTTGTCGCATTGTCTACCAAATAGGTCACCGCCGTGCCACGTCAGACGGCGACGTCCTAGTGAAACCGAAACAAGTGGAAATAAAATATGATTCCTACGCCGCGGATGAAAACAGTCGGTGCGGTTTTTGAGAGCTCTCAATGCAAATAGAAGAAAACATGCCATACGTAGGACTCTATGCTTCTTTCACGACCCGAACGCCATGTGGTGCAATGCTTGAAAGAGCGGTCGAAGAACCATGGTCTATTTGGTGGCCTCGACCTTTTTCAACTCTTCCCTGTGTGCGTATTAGCGCCGTAGACTGATCATCGACAGATGTAAACATACTTTAACTGTTTGCTGAAATCTTCATTCTGATCATCATCATCCCAACTTTCCTCCCACAGATGGGTTGTGCCGCCCGGCACGTCGGTGTCTTCTTGTGCCCAGTCTGTCCAGAGATCAGTACTTCTAGCTCCATCTTTGAACCCTTGAGGTAAGGCCTGTATGAAGCTGATCTTACCTTCGACTGGGAAATCTTCGAACTCGTCATCTTCTTCCAAGAGTGTAGGCTGTGGATTTGATGTGGGCTTGGAAGCCTGTGCAGGGTCGACTTCGGTCTTCTGAGTAGGTTGCATCTTCGCGGTGGGTGTGTTGGAGGAACCAGACGACATCTTCAAGGGGGTATTATGAATGGGCGCAGGGGGTGAACAGGATCGTTGGATCGGTCAGGCAGTGTCTGCGTCGTCTCCTGGATTGACGTTCTGATGTCTAGGTCGTTCGTTGCGAGAATCGAGGAGAGTTGCGTGCGCTGCGATGCAAAGGGATTCTCGAGGCGCAAAGATATATGATGCCTGGGCTGCTGGGTATGGGATATGCGTGTCTCGAAAACCGTCCAGCTGTGCGAAATGCTGACGGGTAACTAAGGTCTGGTACCTTGTCACTAGTAGACAGTAGTAGTGGGATAGATTGCAAAGTACTGTTGCGCGCCTGCAAGTCTCGAAATCAAGACTGGACGACGGTTGAGCAGTGCTGTAGGCTGTAGGAGCAGCTACCGCAGTTGCTCTGACCTAGGAACCCTACCTAGGGACAGAGGCACATGCGCCCTATTAGGCAGGCCTAAAAGAGCGGACCTTTCAGCACAGGCGTCCCACCATGCGCTCATCCAGGTCTTATTACAGAGCAAGATACGGCGTGCCTGTGAGTGAATATCTCTCTGAACTCTGAACACTGTCCAATGGCCGTCATCATTGATCCCTCGAATGACGAGCACCGTCCATCTATCGGTCCAGTCGCTGTTGCACCGCGGAGCCAGGCCTAAATCACCCTCCAGTTCCAAGATGCCTTGCCCACAGACCTGATAAACATTGAAACAGCTCCGGAAAGCCGGTCGTCAGCTTCTACAGTTGCTTTCATTCATCATTCACTACTCTGGCATTCTTCGTATCGGCCATGGCTTGCTAGACATTGGCGGCGCAGATCCCTCGTGGCGACCATAGCCTGCTAGCTTCTTGACCTGCACATTTGGAGCGAATTACGCCACGCAGCCGGCCTTTCCTGCATAACCGCCATGCTTAGAGTTGGAAAGTGGCTCGATCGAGGCCGGTCCTATGCCAATGCCTCAACACAGAGCCTGGATTCTCTGGCAGAATCTCAAAATCTGGAGACGGCGCTCCGAGCTGTCGAGCTGGTTCTGAATGATGACATTGCGGGAGCGGAACGGGGCCTCGCGGAGGGGAACTCGCCCTTCCACAAACTCGCCAAAGGAACCCTGGGCTTCATGAAGGCTACGTTGGGCTTCGAGCAAGAAGTCATGAAAGAAGCCCAGGAGACGCTGGCCGAAGCCGAATCCAGCGCATCCGCCGGCTATACCAGAGCTCAACATGATCCCCGTGCTTTCGTCTCCAATATATACGACAAGGGCTCCGAGTTTGCACTGTGTCAGGCCGAGGCTCAGATCATGTCGGCTGTTGTCGGAGTGCTCAATGAAAGTCTGACAGAGTCCATTAGAGGCTTTTACAAATTGAGGAAAGCTTACATGACCCTGGACCATTTGGTGCAAATGGAAATGACGTTCATGAAAAATCGAGCGTTGCGGAGCGTGCCTACGTCGAGAACACAGTCCATGGAGAGTCTGAATATAACTCCCAAAAAGCCTGCCGGATCTCGGCCGACTCAACCATCTGCACTGCGTCAAGCCGAGGTCGTCGACGATCTCTCAGAAAATGACTCTAACGAAGAGTTCCATGAAACGGATGTGATTCACGAACAGAACCCAATGACCCAGGCTTATACGGGTCGCTTGGAACTCGAAGCAGAGGCGGAGGACATGTCTGATTTGGACCGCAAAATTGAGGAGGTGAACCTTACTCATCCATCGAGCGAGTTGCAGGCTGAAGGAGTGATGAAGCCTCCTCCTCCCACCACCCTGGGCATGCTTACAGAAAACGCGGATTCAGAAATCTTTTCCGATTCTCTCGACGCTTTTATCCACTCTGGCACCAATCTTATGTCCGGAATCCTGTCACTGCTGATCTCGGTCATACCTCCCGCCTTCAACAAACTGTTGTATATCATCGGATTCCGGGGCGACCGCGAGAAAGGGATTCGAATGCTGTGGCAAGCGAGCAAATTCGCGAACATCAACGGCGGCATGGCAAGCCTGGTCTTGTTTGGCTGGTACAACGGACTGGTCGGGTTCTGCGACATCATTACCGACCCCGACCCATCTCAGCCAGACGATGTGGAAGGATACCCTACCGCCCGCCTCGAGGCTCTGTTGGCCGAGATGCGAAGGCGATATCCCAAAAGCCGTCTCTGGCTTGTGGAAGAAGCTAGGATGGCAGCATCCAAGAGACGACTTGACTCTGCATTGGAGATTCTCTCGGTGACGAACAAGAGTTCACTTAAGCAGGTTGAGGCCCTCCACATGTTCGAAAAGAGTTTAAGCGCAATGAATGCCCACCGATACCAACTTTGCGCCGATTCATTTCTTGCTTGCGTCGATCTCAATGCTTGGTCTCGCGGTCTTTACTTCTACATCGCCGGTGCTGCCCATCTCAGCGCTTACCGGTATGACAAAGGTCTTTCGAAGGGAGAAGCAGCAAAGCATGCGAAGCTGGCAGAAGAGTACTTCAAAACCGCACCCACAAAAGTCGGCAAGAAGAAAATGATGGGCAGACAGCTTCCATTCGACGGATTCGTGGTACGGAAGATTGCAAAATGGGAGGAGCGTGCGGCAAGGTGGAAGTGCAATTTCATTGACGCTGTGGGAGTCAGTCCGCTGGAGGAGATGATTTTCTTCTGGGCGGGTTACAAGAAAATGAACGCCGACCAGCTGCAAGATTCACTGGACAACCTTGCTTGGTCCGAGAACGCCGCACGTTGGCCGCAAGAGGATGCTGACGAGCGTGCCATTCTTGCTGTCCTAAGAGCTGTCATCCTGAGAAATCTGCGCCGACACGACGAGTCCAAAGATCTTCTCAGCCACAACGTTCTCAACCGAAGCTCATCCGACTTTATTGGACAGTACAAGAATGACTGGATGGTGCCAACGGCGCACTATGAGATGGCCGTAAACCTTTGGATGCAGAGAACCGAGTACAGCCGTATCCACGGGACTAAATTCGTGGCGGATCCGCACGAAAAAGTCCCTCCTGTCTCCTTGAAGCACGATGCAGTGCTGGTAAAGGAGTGTCAGAATCATCTCGAGAAGGCCAAGGGCTGGGGGAAATACGAGCTTGATGCGCGCCTGGGGATGAAGATTACGGCCGCCCTCAACGCTGTGAAGAATTGGGAGACGAAGCATGCCACCGCTCTCAAATGACAGGCAAGTGCCCCGTAGCCCTGAGGTGCCCTCCATGTCCAAAGGTGCAAACAGGTGTTGGCCGGCATTCGATGTGAGCTTATGTCTCAACACTCTTCACGATGTACAGAGGGCGATACCCGGCCAATGGCTCGTCAACGGGAGCGTCCATCGTGGAGTTTCTCTAATCTCGGAAGCCGCAGTGCGAGGAAATGCGTTGCATCCAAGGGTGTATCGTAGTAAGGAGGAATATCCTCAAAGCCGAAAGAGCGATACATCCTCAGCGCGGCCACCATGCTCGGGAGGGTATCAAGACGCATTTCATGGTATCCCAGATTCTCCGCCGCGGCAATGATCGATGTGGCCAAGGTCTTTCCCACCCCAGTTCCTCGCCCAGAGGGAGCTACGTACAGACGCTTCATCTCGCACACTCTATAGCCATCTCTAGGCGAACGCAGTGGACGCAGTCCAACACAGCCCAGGGGATGACCAGCGTCATCCCGGGCAAGAAGTAGCTCTCCTGCGGGCGGAGCATACTTTCCAGGCATGCCGGCCATTTCAGCATCGAAGTTCTGGAAGGCCAGGTCGAAGCCTAGAGACGCCGCATATGCATAGAAGAGGTCAATGGTGTCTTTCAGGTCCGCGGCGTCCCGTACAGGAATTATCGAAAAATGAGGTCTCCTCTCAGACATATCGATTTTACTTTTAGGCTGATTGGGACTGTACAGATGTGCATCAAATAGAGATGCGTTATTTTGCAGCAGGTCTGTGGCCACGACCTGTCGCGGAGAGTGATACGATGCGAATTCTCTGGGCACTCAATCAAATGGTCAACGGTTGCTGACCTGACCGTGACTCATATTTGCTTTTTCGGCTGCAACAGCAGTACTGTGGACCGTAGTGAAAGCAGCGGAGCGCAAAGGCCGAGAGACGTGGTTACCGTGCTTCGGGATCGGACTCATACAGGCTGTGATACAAAGTATAGGCACTGTGTACACTATAGACCAGAAGAGGGAAATCCTGCATGTCCATGACTGCGTTGCTCATCTTCCCTCCGATATCGAATCTCGCTAGTTCAGAGTAGACGAGTGGAGGACTCGGAGTGTGTATGTCTACAAAGTGACAGAAGGAAAATCTTGTCGCTTCACGTGTTCAGTGGTGGCTTCGAGTGAGGACAAGGCCAGCCATCGAGGTCCAGCCGCAGTGAAGAATTTCGTTCTGCGGCAGGTGTACGATCACAGTATACGCTCCTTTTCCACCTGATCCCCATCCTGCCTGTTTTACCCGTACGCTAGTGCCTTTCGTACGATGCTTCTGGAGCAGGAGGAACAGGAAACTTTTGGTCAATGACTCCGCCGCGGAGGGGCTGAGGTACGGTGGACATTGAGTTATGGTGTTGCGATTCCGGCCATGGCGCCATCTCCATGGAAAACCGACCCAGTCACCCAGGGACAAGGGTCGATCTCTGGCAGTAACTGGAGTCAGTGTGTCTCGCCACGAGAACGGCGGATGGATGACGGTGGATCAGCAGCGACATCGGATTGCGGACGGTGGGAATGACGGATGGATCGCTGGATGACACAGATCGCGGTTGGGGGGTGGTCGGTAGTAGTTGAGTGGCCGGGGCTTTGGGCCTTGAAGCGAGAAACTTTTCTTCTTGTCAGCCCTGATACTAGTACCTAGATATGGTGTTGGCGGTGATCAATGGGTAAAATAATAAAGGTGAATGTTGGAATCATGCAATGGCAATCGATGAGACCGGTATAGCTCCAAGCCCAGCTTCTTTTATCATCGGCTTTATTTCTTATCGAGCCAATTGTGTGCTCCATTGCCATTGTTCCCACACATAGTTCTGTTGTTGGTGGTTGTCATGGTTGATGGCAGACTACTACACGATGATTCCACTGCACTACTGGCTACAATAATAATGGTATCGCAATGTAGACGCCCTGCGAGTTCGCACCGGGATGGGTAACTCTCTAGCATGGGCCACATGCAACTGGACGCTCCGGTGTCGTCAGTACACAGTAGCCGTGATGCCAGCCAGCCAGTGACTGCCGGGTCAAGATGAAGGTCCGGTAGCAGGGCGCTCCAGGTGAAGAAAAAGATTCGCCGCTCTGTAGTCGACTTCACTCACAAAAGCAACACCTCCCTCATCTTAGTCCCAGTCAACATCCATCTGGGCCTTCATAAACCCGGCATCTCCCTCTTTCCACCTTTTCTGACAAACGATAGCACTCTCCTAGACTTCAGACATCGTCTGTCTTACCATTTCTCCCGAGCCGTGCTACAGACCTGTCGCCTTCCTTACCCCATCTTCAACCTCACGTCGAGCACCATGTCTAACCTTCCCTCAGAGCCCGAGTTCGAGCAGGCCTACCATGAGCTCGCCTCTACTCTGGAGAACTCCACCCTCTTCGAGAAACACCCAGAGTACCGGAAAGCTCTCAAGATCGCCTCCATCCCAGAGCGAATTATTCAGTTCCGTGTAGTCTGGGAAGACGATAAGGGCCAGGTTCAAGTCAACCGTGGTTATCGTGTTCAGTTCAACTCTGCCCTGGGCCCCTACAAAGGCGGTCTTAGACTTCACCCTACGGTGAACTTATCCATCTTGAAGTTTCTCGGCTTCGAGCAGATCTTCAAGAATGCGCTCACGGGTCTGAACATGGGTGGCGGCAAAGGTGGTTCCGATTTCGATCCAAAGGGCAAGTCTGACAACGAGATCCGGAGATTCTGCTGTGCTTTCATGAGTGAGCTTGGAAAGCATATCGGGGCAAACCTGGACGTTCCAGGTAAGATTCTAAGACATAGACAACCAGCTTACAACAAGTCTGACAAAGCCAACAGCTGGTGACATCGGCGTGTCCGGAAGAGAGATTGGATTCCTCTTCGGGCAGTACAAGAAGCAAACGAAATTGTGGGAGGGTGTCTTGACCGGCAAAGGAGGTAACCAGAATCTCACCGCAACATCACAGGCGATTACTGAACACTGCACAGGCACCTGGGGTGGCTCCCTCATCCGACCGGAGGCTACTGGCTATGGCCTCGTATACGTAAGTCTGTTGGAACCAAACCCCATGCATCGGTGACTGACGAGATCTAGTATGTTGGACACATGATTGACTATGCCACGGGCGGCAAAGAATCCTTCGCTGGGAAGAGAGTTGCCATTTCCGGGTCCGGAAACGTCGCTCAATATGCTGCTCTCAAGGTTCTTGAGCTGGGTGGTATCGTACTGTCGCTGAGCGACAGTAAAGGCGCCATCATTGCCACCACAGACAAGGGCATCGACGCCGAACTGGTTGCCAAGATCGCGCAATTGAAGGTTGATCGAAAGCAACTCGCTGAGCTGGCCAGTACTTCCGAGTTCAGTGGCAAGGCCAAGTACCTTGATGGGAAGCGGCCGTGGTTGCACGTCGGTGCTGTCGACATCGCCCTGCCTGGCGCCACTCAAAACGAAGTCTCTGGCGAGGAAGCCGAGGGGTTGATCAAGGCTGGCTGCAAATATATCGCCGAAGGCAGCAACATGGGAAGCACGCAAGAGGCGATCGAAGTCTTCGAGAACCACAGGAAGACCAACAAAGAAAAGGCTATTTGGTATGCTCCGGGCAAGGCTGCCAACGCCGGCGGCGTGGCAGTCTCGGGACTTGAGATGGCTCAGAACTCGTCGCGCATCAAGTGGACATCCGAAGAAGTCGACTCGAAATTGAAGGATATCATGAAGAACTGCTTCGAGAGCGGTCTTCAGACGGCCTTGACCTATGTCACACCGGCTGAGGGCGAGTTCCCCAGCCTGGTGGCTGGCAGCAACATCGCAGGCTTCAGCAAGGTGGCGGCTGCGATGAAAGAACAAGGTGACTGGTGGTAGAAGTTTTCAACTGGATCGCAACTACGAGTTCTCAACATTCATAGGAAAGAAATTTGTATGCTCCTAGAGCCTGTACAAGACGAAAAGGTTACCGATTCCCGCTCCAAAAGTGTCGTCAATAGCCAGCTCCATGCTCGGGGCCCAATATCCGGTAAGAAACAAATAGGAGGAAATCATGTATACGGCGACAAGTTACTAAGTAACCTTTGCTTGCTAGGTAGAATCGTGTCATACCCATTTTCCCCTTTCCCTAGTAGGTCGCAAGGGGTTGGTAAAGCGCTGCTTATAGTATATTGCCATCTTTACCTTATAGCACTCGACCAGACTGTCCGAAAACAATGTACATGCTACTAGTAGTACTAGTATATACGTAGTGCCCACTTGAAGTGAAGGACATGGACTTCAGGTTTGTGAGATGTCTTGGCAAATTTGTCGACCGCGACGGGTACCATTGCAACCGTACCTTAGTCTGCGTGTCGCGCGTCCTGTGAGTCCGCCTGCGCAAACCATTACTCGTTGGAATACATATCAACAACATGGAATTCTGCACTTCGCGTTGCTTGCCTTGATCCTACTTCTCCCCAGATGGGACGCCGGCCACGACTGCAGCCATGCTCAGCCTCTACACGGAAACGGCTTTTAAGGCGGAGCCTGCGACAACAACATCTGCGGTAGACTTCAAAATCCCCAGAGTAGACGGCTCATACAATAGGGCCATACCCTCATCCAGCTCAGCGACCAGTATCAGTGCTACTTTCCGGAACGAAGATACCTTCACTGCGAACATCCTCTCCTGTCAGAGCTCGATCTACTTCCGGCAGTGCAAGTCGTATCCGAGAACATTCTACTGGAGCGTTGTACACAATGGGAGGATTCTGCAGGTTCAATGCGCAGATTATGCGAGGAGTGAGATTGATGTAAAAGAAGCATACTATACACTTCGATTCGAGTTCCAAGACCGGATCCTGCCCAGAGGAGTGTGCTTTGCAGACTTGGAGACTGTTGACGAGCTGCATGCCTTTGTATGCACAGACAAGAACGAGATCTTCAACCTGCAGTTACCGACTGCCTCTTTTCGAGATCCGGAGTCACTCATTCATGAAAGCATCAACCGGTGGTGCAAACCGGTCGAGGACTCATCCTTGAGAATCGATAAAATCCATCAGTTGTCGGTTAACAGTCCGTTGGAAGCCTTTCTATCCTTCACAAGTGGCAAGCTACAGAGGTTGACGAGGCGGTCTACCAATGGTGCATGGAAGCAGGACAACTATAATGAAAAATCTTGGCCAGTCTCTCTTCGCGACATTGTCAGTCGACGAGGTTTTCATACCATCGAGTACGGTCATCATCATTTCGATGCCCGGACGGCACAGTCAATGGTCGCGTCTCCCGACGGCAAGCTCCTCTTCACCGTCTGTTTGAACCACACCCTCAGAGTCTGGAATCTCCTGGAGGGGGGCCTTGTGGCGACCAAGGATCTTCTTGACGTGCAGCGAGACCCAAACGACAGAACACACTTGAATCCCGTCGAGGATGCGCATATCCAGGTTTTCAAAGTTCCTTCGGAGAGATACCCGTCGCTGATTACTTACACACCTCACGATGGTGGGCAGTTCAAAATCTGGGATGTCAGGGGTGGACCAACCGTTTCAACTGTCATCGAGGACAAATATCCGGGTCTGAAACTCAGTGCTCCTGATCCAGATCCATCTGGAAATACCGTATGGTCCATGGTAGGGTTTAAGCTCGATCCTGGAAGTGACCTCAAACCTGCGAGGATCTGGGTATTATGGAGGAACCACAACTACCATCAACTGTACAACTGTCTTTTAGAATTTGGCGATCTCGAGTCCTCATGGGCATCGAACTGGGTCAAATGCAATCCAACCGCGGCTTCGAAGAACATTGCGCCAGACTTCGTCAAAGCGGACGGGGTGGACCCAGCGTCTAAATGGCTGGAGTTCTTCTTTTCCCCCGGACGTTACACTGTAGCCACCTTGGAGACCTCTCTAGCCATGTTCGCAGAAGCTACAGCCGTGAAGCTGAGTCCAGCGCAGAAAGGGGCCACTCTGAGACAACGACTATGCGCAGTCGTGGCCGCCAGTGTGGCACTACGCAAATATGAGGAGTCTGAATTCGACTATGACAGATTTGGTGCCGACACAGATTTCCATTGGCGCAATTTGTACCGGATTGCGGAAAATGTCAATGAAAGCCGTAACGCGCCCCTTGCCTTGGCATACGACGCATTCAACGAGATGGTTTGGATCACAATGGCCGACAAATTCTGCGCCATCAGAGAATGCAGCAAAATCGAACTCCTACAACAGAACAGAATGGAGGATGTCCAGGACCTTGAAAGTGTTGCCGCCCGAACGTGGACACACCGCAAAGTCAGCGCCGATGATGGTGAATCATTCAGCGATATGGCTGCACTGATGACCGCCGCCAAAAGATTCAGAGGGTCTTTCAGCGCCGAGCTGCTGAGAGATCTGAATTTGGCCCTCGACGAGGATTTCTCTGTTGATGCAGAGTATGTCACTCCGAATAGGATTCTCGGGATCTACAACAGTATCGGGTTCCAGGATGCCATCTCCGATGATGTTTTCGATCAACTCCAACAAGATCTCGCGACAATCGGGGGCCTGTCGTCATTGAACAACGAGCTTTTCCTGGCCATTCTTGAACTGTTGTCCACCAGGGCCAAGCGGCCGAAAAGTTCAATGCGAAATACACTGTTTGGGCATGTTCTTTTGTCAGCAGGGGTGCTGGATATCATGGTTGCCCAGCGAGACTTGCTCGTAGACTTATTGGCGCTGGCTGTCTTTGCTGAGGGCGAGCTCGGTTCGGAAGAGGCGAGGACGACGGTATTCAATGCTTCAGAGCTATTTCACGACATCGTACCTTTGCTCAAACTATGCGAACGAAACATCTGGCTGGCATCCCACTCGCGACTCGTTCCTCTGGAGATTATGGGCAGCGATGGTCGTCCAAACGCCGCTCGTCGGCCCTCCACGTCCGTCGTGGAAAATAGGAGGTGGGTTACGATCTTGGAAGACGCGTTGAGCAAGGCTGTCCGGCCGCAGCCGGCCGTTGAAAGACCTTTGATGTACGTGATCACGGATCAACTTTCCGAAATCGACGACTGGGTGTCTGGCAAAGATACGATTGCCCTGGAGGATGGAGCCGTGTACCTCGAATGCGATCTGCTTGCACAGCGCGAATTTGATCTGGCCACAGAATTTCTACGGTTCCAGCCTTCCACGGCGTGGTCGAATTATGTCAAAGGACGGCTCGCCATTGCCAAGGGCGAGTACGACATGGCGAGCAACTGTTTCCGCAAGGCCTCATACGGCCTTGCTTGCGGCAAGGCAGTGGGGGATCTTGTTGCGCTTTCGGCAGGTTTGCTGTCAATGATTGAGGCAGAGTCTTTCAATAGCGGCCTTCCTTCTTATCTGCACCACATCACTACTCTGTTCGAATCAGCCAACGCGTACAGTCAGGTAGCCTATTTTGCACATTTGACCTTGGAAGCATTGCAAACCGGGCAGAAAGAGCCATCGGCCGGATTCCGCGCAGATGTTCTGTCTCGATTGTTCCATGCCGAGTTGAAGCTCTCAAGATTTAGGCGTGCCTACGACGCGTTGGTTCAGCTGCCTGACGCAGCGCTGCAGCGCTCTTGTGTGTCTGCGCTCGCAAGTACACTGTTGGATTCGGAGCGCTCGATAACTGGTGCAAAAGGAACAGTTCAAACGCTTACGTCTTTCCCATGGACCATGCATCCGCACCTCGCCCGCCATCTAGACCAGTACCTGGTTTCGCTTGTGGGAACAAAAGGTACCCTCGGCGGCGTCAAAACCACACACTGGCCTGCTGGCGATACCGAGTTCGATTATCTCAGTATCATGTATGCGATACGCCTCGCGCAGAAAGACTATCGCGGCGCACTTGCTGTTTTGTACGATCGACTGAGGGTGACTCGGCGTCTTGCGCGCGCCAGACATGATCCTCAGGCCACATCATTGCGGCAGGCACTTTTGGCACTGATCAATGTCATGGCTTGTCTCACCCCCGAAGAGGCCTACATCCTTGCGGAGGCAGAGGAAAAGACCGGTCCACTTCAAAGCGCCCGGGACGCTGCTGACAATGGTGCCTCCATATCTGACAAGAGACGTCGCATCATCATCACTTTGGAGGACTTGCGGAAGGAATATCAACACATTCTCGACAAATGCAGCAGGATTGAACGAGGGGATTTCGATTTCGAGGTTGACGGGGAAAGTGATGACGACGCGGAGCTGCCGGCGAACCAGTCGAGACTGAATATGTCTTCTCATGTTGGTGATGCCATGGAGTTTTGAAACAAAAGCTCGAAGGCCGCAATCATCCGACTCTAAGAGCGGCGTAGCTAAGGACAAGATCGACTATTGTAGGACTACGAAGACGGTGACATAGCGACGGAGTTCCGGCAAATAAAAATCCTAGTATTGTTCTTTGCAGTGTGAATGAGATCTGCCAATCCAAGGAGTAGACAGCGTGCGAATAGTAAGAATGACGATATTTCTGGCCATAAGCCGCTTCAATCCGGTTGACTTTTACGAATGTAGATTGTTTGCCCATGTTGCAATCGATGCATTCATCACCACAAGCTTGACGACGATGACATGTCCAGGGTGAAACGTATAGCAGATGAGATAATGACACACGCACCTGAGAGGGAACAAAAGATGATCTGACCGGTCTTTGCCGACAAACTGCAATTGTATGATTAGAAAGGCGCAATTCGGGCACTACATACCAGGAGACGACATTACTCTCGCCAGCCAGATCGCCCATCAAGCATTCCACGCCGGGCTCGATTAGAAACCCATGTCGTGCCTCCGCCGAATCAATCTGGTTGACAAACAAGACAGCAGCAGTGTCCGCGAGGAAGAAACACGTCAAGCCAACAATACACTGACCTGGAGAATTCCGACACGCTGACTGAATAGCTCAATCCTCCTCGATTTCGCCTTCTTCGCTCCCGGAATGCACGCCAACGGGCTCCTGACTCTGCACCTGAGCTTCTTTCTTTTCCGGCTCAGGCGTTTTGCTCTTCCGCTTGTCCCGCGAGCTATCTAGCCTGTCGCGTCTGTGGCGCTTCGCGCTGGGGCGGCTGCTCTCGATGCTTTCGGCTTCGCTGCCATCGGCTCTTCTGCGGCGCCGGTCACTCCCTGCTACGCTGCGTGATTCTTCGCCATAGTTGAGCTCGTCCCTACTGCTCCGGGGCTCTGCGCGTGTCCGGTACAGACGTTCTCGCTCCTCTTCTCGCTCACGCCGCTCACGTTCGTATGAGCTCAGGTGCCGGGACGGCGGAGAACGATCCCGATCCAGGCGTCCATGTCTTTCATCTCGTTCCCTTCTGTCTCGGTCCCGATGCGACGAGGGTGGCGGGCTGAGGCCCAAAGAACTTGTCTTGCGGTATTGCTTCTCCCTAGCTGCCATTGCTTTGCGGCGATCGGCCTCGTAGGCATCGGGTTCGGGAGATTTCGACACCCGGCCACGCCGTGGTTCTGTGCGATGACCATTGCGGTGGTCGCGATCATCACCCCGCCGGGATTGTCTCCGTTCACGGTCCTTCTCGGCATCCTCTTCCTTTTCCTTTAAGCGTTTGATGACCTTGTCGAAGGCGGATTTGCGTAGATCATCGCCTTCTACCGCACGGTATTCATCTGTTTTCTCGACTCGGACTTTGACGTCCTCCCATGTGTCAGTGACGCGCACGGGAGGCTCAAGATGCTTGATGCGCGAGCGTAGTGCATCGACTGCACGGCGCTGATGACGATCCGCAGCGTGCTTCTCATCTTCACTTCGACGGAGCACTTTGTCGTGCAATCGCTGGAAGATAAGTTGGAGTGCATCACGGTCGATGTTGGCTGTTCGGCGATCAGCAAGCATGACATCCAAGAACTCGTCGAAAGAAGTTTTCAAGGTAACCTCATATCGTTTGTCCTATTCTTATCAGCGGATCCGTTGAAATTCTCGAGCTTGGGGAAAGACGACTTACCTCTAGGACATCGTACACAGCATTTCGGCGGCCACGGAGGGCTCGTTCTTCCTCCTCTACCATATCCCAGAACAGATCCAATGGGGTAGATCCAGATTGACCCAGCATCGCAACATACCTTGGATCTTCCTCGATCTCCGGTAAGATAGCCATCCACTTGGTGCCAGCCTTGATCTTTCCCTGGGCGCGCAGCTCTTGAAGAAATTCCAGAAACCGATCGCGGTTCCTTCGCTCGCGTCTCATTTTGTTCGCCTTCTGCTGCTGCCGTGCATCATTGAAGGTCCTCTCGAGGGACTTGATGTGATTTTCAAAAGCCGTCAAGATATCTGACTTACTCAGAAGCTTGAATTTGTCATCGCTCTGAAATCTCTCATTGGTTTGGATGATTTCTTGGGCCTGCGACCACCTGGTGTAAGGCTCTAGGTCGAGCGCCTTCAGAATAGCCACGAGATCGTCTAACGCCGACCTTCGAGCTGCGGCTTCCTGTTCAATGTGCTGTTTCTTAAGCTCGACTATGTATTCTTCGAACAATTGTTTGCGCTCATCCTCGTTGTCCGTAGACCGAAAGACAGTTTCGCCTTCGATTATTGGTCTGATTGTCTTCCATCGACTGTAGTATTTGATCTCCGGGTGTGTCCTCAACATGTTGCCAAAATCTGCGCGTAGCTTAGCCAGTCTTTCTTTGGCCTTTTCCCGTTCTTGTTGGCGAACCTCGACAGCATACTTCTCAAACGCCGCCTTTCTGTCTTTGGGGTCTTTCAATGCCCGGTACTGGGGATCTCTGATTGTTGCTCGCATTGCCTGCTCCCAAGTCCAATCAGGTTGCACGTTAGACCTGCGCAGGAGTTTCATAAACGCAGCCTCAGCTTCCTCGAAACTAGAGTAATCCGGGACCACTTCTTTGTTGAGAGGCGGTAGGGAGATTCCACTGGTGCTGCCGAAGTCTGTCCGCGACTTTGACTCGAACGGCGTGTGATTGTCGCGGTCACGGGGGCTTGATATAGTAGACAGAGTCGTGACACCGCCGGCTACGAACGCAGGTGGCTGTTGCACTGGTTTCGGAGGCAATTGGACTGAGTTGAGAGCATCTCGATACTCAGATGGCATGTCCCATACTGTCTGCTTGGTTTCGGAATTCGAGTAGTATTTTCGGCCATCGGGTGTAGTATATTCCTTCCACGGCTGCGCAGCAAGCGCCTTCTCCAGAGGAGTCATCAACTCCGCAGGCTTGGACCATGTTGTCTCTTTTGTGATGGTATTGTAATAGTAGACGCGGCCATCTGCAGCGCGGGCTTCCTGCCATTGTACTGGAGCGGGTGGTAGGCCGTTCATGGCTTTTGAGTGATCGCAGGAACTGGTGCGCGGTAGTGAAAGGATCGATATGCTCGGGATCGCAATGACACGAGTGGCAGGGCTGGTCTACCGGTAGCTACTGGTACCTAAGGTATGGACCAAGTATGCCGGCAAAGGTCAGGAATAGTCAGAGGCGCGAAGAAGCCTCGAGCGCGATGGCCAGAAAGAAAAGTCCTAGTGTCAATGGTGGTTTATGCACCGAAGAACGACACCTGCAGTCAGTACGTATTTTACCTTGTCAAATCGTGACTGGCGCAGCGGATCCCTTGGCAAGTCAACATCGATGTCGTACTAGAAGAGACACCTACAATGTACCTAGTTATCACCCCAAACTGTTCAAGCACATCGCATTGTTCATTCTCAGCGCTGCCACCGGACCATTGGTGGTTCCATTATGGAGTATTCACATCCCAGTTGCTCGACTGACCCAGAATGAGCATACTCGGAGTCCCGATTCAGGCATGGAGTCAGAATTCTTCAAGGCATCGTTGTTGGATACTATCATTCCCGATGACACTGTAGCAGGGGTCTCTGAGTTTTTGGGCGCGCATAGCATAGCGCAAAGTGATACCGGCCATCTCTTCGCTGTCAAGGAGCGGGAGATTTTGTTCTTCGGTATGCAAGGCTCCTCCTCAGGGTCCCCCTTCTCCTACTCACTCGTAGACCAGATGAACGAGTGAAGACCTATGCGGTGCTCCGTCTTCCTCATTGCGAAGAAGCCACCTTGAAGGCGTACCTTCTACGGCTTTCATACAAAATAGATGTCTGGGCTCTCGATGACTCGGCGAATAATGGGACGGACACAGCACCGCCGCCTAAAGACTTGGTCTTTTCCGTCGAAAACATTCAGGAAACTGAACCTCTGGTCCTGGCAAATCAATCTAGGGACAGCGGCCACAGCCTGACCCTCGTCTGGGAGGTCGAGCTGACTATCCACCGGCCCAGATTTCGTGCCTCTCAGGCGAGCATCATCCTTGTCCCTTCAGCTGTCGTCACTGCTGCGGATGAAGTGGAAAATGACCAGCATACAGACCTGGCCCCCTTCCAACCCCTTGACTCGAACATACTTGAACCCATGCGACTGATTCCAGGTATGGAAAAAGCACCGCCCTACCTTGCTGCTTCGAGGCTTGAACGAGTACTACCTACACCGTCGAGACCCAAACCAAGAATCCATATTGCCCAGGTCTCTTCACGGCGACACAGAGCTGTGTCAGCGGTAGTTGCACGCATCCATTATAGCAAAGTCAACACCTTCTCACCGTCCATGACAAACCTGGCTTTGCTGGATATCGAGGTTATTCCTTATATTCCCGTTGAATTAGTTGTTGAGCACATTGACCTTGTGCTAAGACATGGCCGGACCGAGTCGTTGATGCCGGTGTTCCTGCCGCTTCAGTGTCGGCCTGGAGACTGCGTGACTTTCATGTACAGACTGACTCAAGCGCAATCATTGGACGCCGACATGCCTCTGGGAGGCGCTGTCAACCCAAACATCGACATACTTTCCATCAAGATATGCCTGGAGGTCATTGTGAAACCGCGTTGCCGGGCTGTCGTGGTCATGGACTGGACAACGCATGTTGATTTCACTCAGGCTCTGAATCCAGCATTTGGCCCTCCTTCGCAACCCATCCAACGAGCGAACAGGCCCGCAAGCCTTCCAGTAAGCACTGCAAATGGGTCATCTATTACCACGACGACCGCCAGCACGGGTCTGCAGCCGACCTATGATATGACTTTGAGAACTGGTCTCGCTGTTTCTTTCACAGCGTCCGATCGCCCTGTTTATGTTGGGCGGCCTTTCAGCTGGAAGGTTTTGGTGGTAAACAACTCGCCGAAGCTGGCCAAGATCGCAATCATCCCTTTACCGCGCATCCACCGACAGACGACTCAGGCACAATTCTTTGCACGAAGACATGCACCAAAATCCTCCACCGCTTCATTCCATCCCCGTGAGCGACGCCATACAAAGACTGGAGAAGATATCGACATTGCACAAGCAATCGTGGACGAGAACGTGGTCTACGCCATGCAACATTCAAATGTCGCCCCTTCTGAGACGGACCTGATGACTCTCACAGCAGAGCTGAGAATTGGACCATTGGGGCCAGGACAGTGCCATGAAAGTGAGATTCGGATGATAGCGTTTGAGTCTGGAATATTAAGGGTCGACGCCATGAGGATAGTGGACCTTGTTCAGGAGGCTGAACAGGACAGTGTTAACCCCAGTGTCATGGCTGATATCCGAGACCTGCCTGACATTGATGTGAAGTCACTGAATGACTGAATTCAGTCGTTCTGGGCGATATTCAAGGATGCCAGTCTTAGCGGTTCGGTTTACAATGCGAGAAGCAGAGCAGGCCAACTTCGATGGACTTGCCGGACACTCGATCATATGTGATACCCATCTATGAATGGCACCTCGCTTCAACGTGCTGGACCATGTCAGGCCTGCAGCAGCAACGTTCGCATGCTGGAGATCTGTCTCTAGTCGACCATCATGACGGTCTCCGACAACGGGCCTATTGAAACGCCGTGCTGAATGCAGACTGCATCCTAGATATCAGGAGGCTTCCCATACCGATACTGTGAAGCTGTCCTCTACGTCGGCTATCCAGGTGTCTCGAATACCACGACACTGCTTCACCCGTCGGAATTCTTCTCCGGCACAACGCTGCACATAGCCGCTCGCGGCATCGCCGTACCGTATTACGCTTCCTACTCCCACCTAATGAGCTCGAAATTCCAGTCCTTTCTGCCGAAGGGATTTTGGTATATACATCTCGAAGACAAAAGCGCTGCTCCGGAAATGCGGTTTTGAGCTATGCACAGCAACGCGATCTAATCTCCACGTCCTAATCTTTTGGCCCCAATCGGGAGCCACAGATCAGGGTGCTACAAGCCTGAAAAGAAGAAAACGGTGGCGATGATTTTACTGTTGTCTAGGTCGGTGGCAGATGGACCTCGCGCACCGCGTATTTCACTACTTCACGTGGGCACATGTTTGCATGGTCCTACGCCCGAACAAGACACGCAAACAGGAAAGAGGCCAGAATCCTTGCTCTGCGACGAACAGAAAATCAAAGGTCAAAGCCTCATAATCAGGCAAGAGCTTGGCACAGTTGGTCCGGGGTGATGGAGCCCGTTCGAAGAGTTCTTTGAGGTACAGTGCTGGCAGTGGCGGGCAACTTGTTGTGAACCGAGATGTTTCGAGTCAGCTGGATGAGGCGTTGATGAAGAAGGAGATCGACCGTAGGAGGGACTTGCAAATCTTATGTCTAGCGGGCGTGGCATCTGGTGGTGCCTCGTAAGAGCAATCGACGCGTTTGCAACCAGCTTCTTTCACTACGAGCTTCTACCACTCCTCTTTATTGTCCCGAAACATCTAAAAATGGTGATGGGTCGTTTGTCCACCATGGTTGATCTGATCAAGCACGGCGTGAAGATAAGCATTGCCGCAACCTTGATAAAACCAAAATGTCATAGACACTCACTCAGACATCAGTGGTTATTCATGGGGAAATCGCGCAAAAGGCACAGCCCTGACGGTCAAGCATCAATGGTTGGTGGTGATGGGCTCGAATTATATCAACATGTTCTTGAGAAGTGATGGATGTTTTTTTGGTTCGTAAGTTTGGCCTGTAGTTGTTTATACGTGTACCTAATGTTTGCTTCGCCGTAGGCCACTCCAATTGGTTCTGTTAACCACTGCACAATAAACACCAAAATATACTAGTAGTAACATGAACAACCACAGTCCGCAATTGGCGCACCTACAGCGGCCGTTGCAACTCGAGGAACACGCTGAGCTTCTTGTCCTTCGGTAACGCTCGGCTCCTGTATCCAACATGATACTAAACGGCTGAACATGACTCACAAACGCCGTAACACCTCGTCGCCCGAGCCTGATGAATCTCCAGATCCAAAACCATCGAACCCGTCTGAGTTTCAAGACAGCTGGGATGATTCGGACCAGGAAACTCACCAAGAAGTCCCACGGGTCAATGAGTACTCCGGGCAGGTTGCAGCATTTCCCGGTCTTGCCAACGATGGCGATGAACTCTTCTACGGTCCAGCCTCGGATGGGGTGGACTATCTGCGTATGGTCCGGTAAGTATCCTCCGTGGAGAGCGCCTTCCAGTCGCCGAGTTGCTCTTCAAAGTCTGGGAATCTTTGTGAGCGTGCTGACCCGAAATCACAGGTCCGAAGCCAAAAGTATCCCGTACATTTTGACGGTGCCGGCTACGCAAAAGCTCGATGATGGACGACAAGCCCAAGGGTCATCATTTCCGACCGAACAGGGTGGCTATTTTTCTGGTGGCGCATATATGGCAGCCGCCAGCTTACCTTCGACCAACAGTGATGGCATGTGTGCTGCACAATTGCACTATTACGATTCGCTTCTCACCCAGTTCAGGCTGGTCCAAGCAACCATGCGCTGTGTGCCTCCGTTGTCCGAGATCCAAAGACTTGCTCCCTCGCAGTTCATCTCTTTTCCCCAGGGTTCCCGACGAGCACGCACCCAGTGGCAGTCCCACATCGTGTCGCACGACCCTAGTCCTGTGCAAATAGCCTGCATGGAACCCGTCACCGCCTTGGAACTGATCAAACTACTCAAAAGCAGGCTGAACGTCTTCCTTCGACACAATGACGAGACGGTCATTAGACGGATAGGTACTTGGACGTGGGCGGTATTGGGAAAATGTCCAGATCAAGGCGAACTCATGAGTGAGGACATTGGAGAGATCAGAGCGCTGGCTCAAAGTGCGGTCAAGATGCACATGAGGCGTGTCGGTGGACTAGAGGGCGTATCATCAGACGAGGAGATGGAAACAGAGATTGGCAGCGAAAAGGACATGACTGAGACGCACAATGTCTACCAGGGCGCAGATGCTGTAGGCGGAGGAAACGGCTTGGTGGGTGAGGTCGAGGATACATCGAAAGAAAGGGAGGCATTTCCGCTTGCCACTGTCCAGAGTCCAGACAGAGAGGCATTGATTGACATGACACTGGACATGATAGTTACCGTTGTGGGTGAAGTATACGGCCAGCGAGATTTGCTGGACCTACGACCCATATGGCGTGGCGACGTGGAGAGATGATTTGAGATCGAGCAGTGAAGTATTGGGAATCATCACTTTAACTTGCCTGCGGAAGGCCACTTCCCACGCAGCCGTGTTCGGTGTCTCAGACCACAAACACAAGCGCAGGACCTGTGTTTCTATCTTCGAAGTGGCCAGTCCTCATCTGCTTCCTCCAGTCTGCATCAGCGCAGACTAATTGTTGTCATCGTCGTCACAGCAGTTGCGGATTTCCCATAACACCAACAGTTGAACCTACTCGACACCTCAGGCACCAGAAACGCAGCTGCGCCTACACGACCGATCTTTCACCTCGAAGCCGAGTTTGTTACACAAATTCCCGAACCAGTCTTCAGCATGTTTGCCACACCAACCCTGCATATTACCTGCCTCTTCCTTTTCCTGCCAGTCGTACTCCAGCAAGCCATGGCCGACTACAATCCCGACATTTCCAACGGCACCTGCTACTATGCGAATGGAGAGGAGGCTCCTTCAAGATTCATACCTTGTGGAAATGAGGCACTCGGACACAAGGCATGTTGCGAAAGTCTGGACATGTGCCTATCGTCGAATGCTTGCTACAACGGACAATGTATGAAACTTGAGGCCTTTGCTACATTGCAAGCTGACGTTGCCAGATGGTGTTACCTACCTTGCTGGCTGTACGGATCCCAGTTACGAAGACTCAAGGTGTCCAGATAAAGGCGACTTTGCAGGTGCGCTTACAGCAGCCAGTTTCCTACCGCGACTACTGACAACGTTTAGACCAACCATGGGCAGGTCTAGTCTACTGCAATGGAACCTCAAATGAATGGGTAGCGTGTGAGGATAGCGGAAGCACAGTCTCGGTCCCTGAGCCCTGCTGGTGCCCTTCATCCTCGAGAACAGTGGCATTCACAGATTCTTCTCAACTCACCAATATCATGTCGCTGCCGAATACACCGGGTGCAAGTGTTACTTGGAGAGACGTATTGGCGTATGAGTCGGAACACTCACTTACACTCACCTCATCCCCTACAACAACATCCGACAGTAGCAGCGTCACAACGTTACTGCCACCAGTGTCAGCACGCACAACGAACAGTTCGGTGACTTCGACAGACTCCTCCTCTTCCGAGAGCTCAGCAAGTAAGACTGCCTCAGCTTCTGCAACGCCTGAAAGCCCAACCGAGTCCTCAGGGTTACGTACCGGGCAGAAAATAGGGGTTGGGCTTGGAGCTGCGGGGGGCATGATTGCTATGTTGCTTCTAGGCTGGTTAGTCGCAAGGAGATTGCGCCGTGGCAACGACAAGCGGCGTCAAACACCCCCAATGGTTGATCTCACTCGACCACAATCAGACGGTCCACAGATGGACGCCGACCTGAGAAGCCCGGCCTGGTCAGGACACAAGTCGGAGCTCCCGGCCGACGACAGCACAACGACATCGCCCTCACCAGCATACCAAGAATTTCGGCAACCACAAACTGTGGAAGTCGAGGGAACTCCTGCCCGACCTGCGGCCAGGACCACGCAGGATGGTGGATACAAGATGCCCGGTGACAAGGGCACATATTATGAGATGCCAGGGTAGGGCCAACGAGCTTGCTGGATGTCGTGGTAGCTGCCTCAGTAGTCGTGTATCGAGTTCAAACAAGCAAGTTGAACAGACCGAATGAAGTGCATAGGTACCTCTTGCATACATCAGGAGATGGCTAACCATCTAGCTGGGTCGTGAAAGCATCAGTCTGCGCCACGGGCGATAGATGGTAGGGGGCAGCGCATTATGACAGCCTCGTTAGCCCCTGCGAACTACCAGCTTCAGCCTTGTCCTACTAGTAGTCGCCTTGGTGCATCATCCGATATTGCCGCACCGGCAAGGTTCTTTCGGCTCCCCCGCTCTCTGTCATTAGTTGCCCAACTTCATTCGGGAGGTCTCATTCGACGATGATGCAACCGGAGTCGTCCGGGTTTTTCACGAAGTGCATCTGCTTCTCTCTTCAATTACAGTTTCGTTTTGCTTTGTACCTGATCAGTACTTCTGCCTCGACAGCGAAAATGTCTACCTACAAAGGCCAAACACCGGCATCCGTCCCGGTCGACCCCCGCATCGTCTCTTTCTTCGAGAATTTCTATGCTTTGTCTGACAACCCCACGACGCACGAGGAGTATGTCCAAACTTTGACTGCAGATGCAGACTACATAATGGGCACCAAGAAGGTCAAAGGGCGCGACGACATCCTGACAGCGCGTAAGGGATTGTGGTCAGGCCCGGTGAAAACACGGAAGCACAAATTGGAGAAGATCTTCCCGTTTGGCAAAGACAGCAACGAGGTCATGGTGTACGGCAGTGTGGATTACGGGCTGAAGAATGGAAAGGAGGTCTCGGTCGAGTGGGCTGGCAGGGCAATTTTCGTTGAAGAACAAGGGACCCTGAAGATGTCATTTTACCAGGTCTATTTGGTAAGGCACCGAAACCCATGAGCACACCCGCAACATGACCCTGGCTAACACAGAATACAAGGACTCGTCGCCTGTGGCGGCCGCGGCAAAGGACTAGTATGCACGCGAGAACAGCTTGTCTTAACTTTCAAAAACGTGTTCAAAGCCATGTCATTGTTCCATGCGATGGTCTATTCGTTCTCTATTCTACTGTGGCCCTCGATGGCACCATTTCGAATTCCGGGCAAGGCCTACTGCCTTCTCCTTCTCAAGGCCTCAGTCTCTGAGGGTCGCGAGGGAATGGCGTTGCTTGTCTGACGTTGTCCAAGCCCAAGAAGAACATCACAATTCGATTCAACCCTAGACCGCCACCCGCGTGCGGTCGACATCCTTGCCTGAAAGCATTGACGTAATCTTGGAACCCTTCCGAGTTTGGATCGAGTCCTTTGCTCCTCATGGCTGCCTCAAGCTCCGCAGCATCGTTGATTCGCTGAGCACCGGACATGATCTCCTCGCCGCGCATGAAGAAATCATATGAGTTGGAGAGATTGGGATCGGTAGGGTGCACCTTGGTGTAGAATGGCCGTACGCACATGGGAAATTCATCGAGGACGTAGAAATCGGTATCGTACTTCTCGCGGATCAACTGACCCAATCTCTTTTCTTGAGCTGTCGTCAGATCCGTGACGAAGTTGTCCTGCTCCGTAGTGTCGACGCCAGCGTCTCGCAGGATTTTGATGCCGTCGAAGTACTTGAGCCGCAGAGCTTTGCCGTCTTTGATTCTGAAATCTCCAGCTCTTGGGAAGTATTTTTGCACTACGGCAATTTCGTCTTTGTACCGGGCTTGCAACTCGTGCACAATAAAGACGATCAACTGCTCGGCGAACCCAAGGACTTCGTGATAGTGGTGGTCAAAGACCATTTCGAAATCGAGTCCAGTGAACTGGGAGAAAGATCAGCCTTGTTTCTTCAAGAGGATACTCTGGATTGAGGACATACTTCGCACAAGTGTCGATGCGTGTTGCTGTTCTCAGCACGAAACACGGGACCAACTTCAAACACACTTTCACAGTCAGCCGCAATCAGCATTTGCTTGTACAACTGCGGACTCTGAGCCAGAAAACCACTCTTGCCGAAGTAATTCTTGACCTCAAAGACACCGCTTCCGCCCTCGGTTGCTGCACCTAGGATCTTGGGGGTGTTGAACTGCCTGGAACCGGCCTTTCTCAGGTACTCCGCAAAAAGGCCCTCTACGGCGCTGGAGATGGTGAAGATGGCCTGATTGCACTCCGTTTGCAGATCGATTACACGGTTGTCAAGTCGAGTCTTCAGCGTGACAATGGGGGCACCCTCCGCATCGACCTGGCCCTCCTCCTCTTTGGCCGGTGGTGGGCGCTCGGCGTCTTTGACTTGCATCGGCAGTTGCTCGGCAGCGCGCGCGACGAGGTAGATCTTGGTTACTTGGAGTTCGAGGTTGCTGATTGAGGCAGAGGCGACAGGAGGGTCCGGCTTCTTGACAATGCCGGTGACTCGCACAAAGGAGTTCACGTTGAGCGAAACGGACCACTTGACCATCTGTCTCGACACCGCCTCTGAATTGGCGGCGACCACGGCCTGTATCGTCTTGCCCTGTTGCCGAAGCATTAGGAAGGCCAGCTTCGCGCTCTGGCTTCGGGTGTTGTGGATTCTCGAGATCACGGTGACCTCCTTGTCAACGTACTCCTCTCCCAGCTTCTTCAAATGAGTGATCTTAACTTCATCCTGCGGTAAATCGCCGTATTTGTCCTTGGCGGTGTCTTCTGACGCCTGCGCCTGTTGCGCAACTCTCTTCTCTTCATCTGCTTTCTTCGCCGCAGCCTTTTTTGCGGCCTTCTCAGCCTCCTTCTGTGCCTTCTTCAATGCATTCTTCGAAGGTGCACCCTCGGCCGAGACGTTGGGGTTGTCTTTTGCGTGAGTGGGCAATGAGGACTCCATATTTGCCGTTTGTATACAAGGAGTCGAGGGCGAGGGGGGTTTGTGTATGTGGGAACGAGACAGCTTTTAATATTCTTGCTAAAAAGCAGAATGAGTCAATTGAGTCACTGGAGATTCCCAGGGCAAAAATGGACTGTAAAAGTGACTGCGGGGGATTTCAGCGAGTCGCCTGTGTATAATAAAACTTGGCGGAATGACTCGCCCTTCAAGTTCGCGAGCCTTGCGCATTATGCATGGGCAGAAAGGAGGCATTTTATATAGTGATGTTAATATACCGCGATAGTCCTTGCAAAACATTCCATAGCTATTGTCTCGTTATTGTCCTTTTCTACCGCACATCTTCGTCTATATATCGTTGTCCAGCTCCGCGAGAATAAATCGGGTTGACGCATCTTCTGCCACCCAGCTCTCAATTCTCTCGACGGTATCGCCAACCAGCTTTGCGTATGTCTCTCCGATATTGAATAAGGAGGTGTGTGCCACTACTTCATCAATACCTTCCATATGCACCCTTACCCAGGTATGATCACGCTCACCGGTCTGGCGATCCTTTGCCGGGAGGGCACAAAACTTTCGGTCTTTCTGTTTCTTGATTGTATGTGTCTCTTGCACATCAAGACTCGGGTGCTCTTCCCCGTTCTCAGCAGTCAAGTTCGTCGATTGTTCCTCGTCAGCAAGAATGTCTTGTACTCCCTGTTGCTTAGCAGCCTCTGCTCCTGCTTGGAGATGGTCCTTGTCGTCTTCCATTCGACCTTCTACTACACCCTCGGTCCCCTCGGACGGCTTGGTGTCCCATCCAGAATCCTCCTTGGGCGTTTTCGGGCTGCCATCGACCTGGCTAAACCCAAGAGACTGCTCGAGTATGGAAGATTGAAGTGCAGTCTCGTTGATGGCATCCGCGTCTCCGCCATCATTCTGCCCAGAAGCCGCGAGATCAAGTGCGTTCGCATCGGTGGAGGGTACTGTGGAATCGTGCGCAGGGTCTGTAGAGTCTGTGTTGATGTCAAGTTGTGCAATGTCCTCGACAAGCATCTCGCTATTCCGATATTCTTCCATAGACAATCGCGGACTGGCGGACGCGGCCCCCTTGCCGCTTTGTGTGCTGCCATTTGAAGTTGGCTTTACATGCTCGACTCCGGTTTCCGTGAGCGACGTCTCAACTGGATCTGGTGGCCTTTCCTTTACCGGTCCTGTGCTTGCAGTATAGTAGTTCACGAACCTCACTCGCTTCATGAGACGTCCATTGGATGCTCGAGGTTTCATGATCTCTTGCACATCTTCCAGGGCACGAATCGCGCGGTACCGCTTCCTCAAACCCATATAATCGGCGAGGCAGCCGCCGAATTCGAGGTGGGAAGACACGTAGTTTCTAGCAGCTTTTGCCAACTCCCCGGCATGTTTGTTCCAGAAATACCAAGCCTTCTGAATCTTGCCCTTCCTGTTAGCCAGCAGAACATCGTTCGCATAAGAGGGGTTGTAGGTCGGGTCTTGCGGCATTGCAAAAGGATCGGGAAACAGAGTGGGATCAGGCGGCGGGGATCCTTCCAGTTGAGCAGGAGCTCGAAACAAGCTCGCAATACCTGTGGTCACAACGCCAGGGTGCATACCAAGGAATGGCGTGTCAAATGCAATGAGTCCTAGAATCCGATGCCGAAGGACGTGGCTATCCAGCTCATTGTCTGAGGGAAGCAGGACCACTTCAGCACCGAGAATACCACCCAGGCTGTGCCCAACTAGAACGATATCAGTCGATTCAGCTTCATGCGGGGCGAGCCTGGGACAGGTCAGTTGAAAGAATGGTTCAGGTATGAATAGTCTCGGACAGACCAGTTGCTGAGAGCATCCCGGGCAACGGTGATGTTCTCACGAGACTTGTATCGGGGATAGATCTTGGTGTAGACGACGTGGGTCTGTGCCAATGCACGCGTCAACAGACCATGGACATGCGCCGGGAAGCTCTGGAAACTAGTTTCGTCGCCCAGAAATCCATGGATATAGACAATGAGCAAGGTCCGCCGCTCGTCACTGGCTGACTTGACAAGTCCAAGCGACTGGGTAGATGAAGACCGTGGATCGTGAATGCCACCAAAATAGGGAGATTCAGTAGAGGGTTGCAAGGCTGGAGACAGGTACTGACCGCCGTGGGCGACGGGAGATCGCGCTGGAGGATACATGGTGGAGGTCGACCTCGGCGGCAGCGGCGGTGGTTTTGGTGCCATGACGGCAACGCTGTCGAAGAGAGGCACGCATCAGACGCGATTTGCGAAGATTGGTGAGGATTCTTGCTCGTTTGCCAAATTGTACGCAAGTCAGGTATACCTAGATAGGTAGGTAGGTAGATAGATATTCTACAAATTCGCCTGCCACTGTTGAAGTTGTTCACCAAGATAACACTACTGTGGTCCACGTAGTAGTAGGCCGGACGCCCGCATACGACGACCGCTATCACTATCACAATCGTCCAACACCTTCGTCCCTAACAGCGCGACGTCACTGCGCATGTGCCCAACCGTCTGCATGCAACCTGAAAAACATCCCTACACGGACATCGAAGACTCAGTGTCCCATAGCACAAAACCTCAATCCGCCCAACTGTTCTCTTGCAGATTGTGAAGCTACGCACTCACAGAGTCCCATGTCAGTATAATCTCCGAGGCCGTCATGGCACCTCAGGTTGAGATCTCAATACCCAACACGACAGTTGCAGGGACAACGAAACCGTACACAGTCTACAATGTTACCCTCCGACTTCCTCTTCGTTCCTTCACCGTCCAGAAGCGCTACTCCGATTTCGTCGTCCTGCATAATGGACTTACCGACCAGGTCGGTTCGCCGCCTCCTGTCTCGCTTCCCCCTAAGGTCTGGTTCTCGAAAACCGTCTCAAACCCAGAGCTCACGGAGGAACGGCGGCAAAAGTTGGAGAAGTACCTGAAAACAATTAATGAGGCAGAAGACTCACGGTGGCGCATGACGAGTATCTGGAGGGCTTTTCTGAACCTACCAAGTTCCTTTGCCAGCCAGACGTCAAGTAAAGCCGGAGCTCTGCACTCGGTTATCACAGGGCCAGGAGGAGGGGGCGCGCCCATTACAGATCCCGTTGTTTGGCTGGATTGCTACCGAGATCTCAAAACACACCTGCAAGATGCCCGTCTGAGCCTGACCAACCGCGACCAAGCCTCGACTCCTCAGAAACAGCACGAGGCCAGCGCCGCGGCCAAGAGTAGTCTGGTCAAGGCGGGGTCGATGATTTCCGCTTTAGAGGAGGGTCTTGCAAATATTCAAAAGGCGACAAATGGTGAATGGGGGGTGCAAAGACTGGGAGATGGCGAGATAAGGAGGAGAAAAGACTTGCTCGCATCGGCCAAGAAGGATCGCGACGGACTCGAAAATCTCTTGAATGCCATGGCCACCAAATCAAAACTAGACACTGCTGTCGCCTCTATGCAAGAGACACAGGAGCTCATTGGTACCAAACCCAAGGCTAGTGGGCGGGTGTTGGGAAAGGAAACCACCGAGACCAGGGAATTGGACAACCAAGGCGTGTTACAGCTGCAGAAACAGAAGATGGCAGAACAGGACCTGGATGTCGAAGAACTGGGGAAGATTATTCACAGACAGAAGGAATTGGGCATCGCCATCAATCAAGAGCTTGAAGTGCAAAACGAGATGCTGAGAATGGTGGACGAAGACGTCGACCGTGTACAGGGCAAGATCAATATTGCGAAGAGAAGGATAGGCAAAATCTCCTAGGCAAAAGGTCTCGGATCATGTAATGCTTCATCAATTGGGTATCTTTAGCGTTTCAGCGGGTTTGAGCCTTGCTCTATTTATCGTTACGACTCACGCCTTCAGGCTCATGAACGCGTCTGCATCTGCTTGGCTGACATCTGAAAACTGCGAAACTTCGTGTGTGATCAAACCCAGCTTGCTGATTCGAATTCTGTACCACAGGTCATTTCGGTTGCTGCCCAGCTTCCCAGCAACCAGCTTCTTTTTCAGGTCGCGCAGAACATCATTGTAAAAGGTTGGTTCCTCAAGCTCGAGCATCTCCTGCCGCAGCACACCGAGCCCTTCTACCACTCGGTCATAATTGGCATCTCCAAAGCTTTTGGAAACCCAATTCTGTAGGATTGAAGCCAGTTGCTGGATGCCATCCTTCACCCGCTTCATGTCGTCCGAATGCTGCATGATCTGCTTAAATTCCGGGATCGCATTATCGGGTGAAATCTGAGTGCGTTTTTCATTACGGAAGAGATCCTCCACATTGAGTCCCGACAAGGGTTTCTCAGTTTCTCGGTACTTCCTGCGGCCTTTAGTCCTAGGGGGAACCTTTTTGACATCCGCGGCAGCCATCAGCCTAGTCAGCGCCCCTTTACTCTGCTCTTGAAGATCTTCGGGTTGCCGCGAATATGCAAGGAATGCTTCCGGTGTCTCTGGAATACCGCCTGTCGGATGTAGGGCTCGATACTTGATAGCTCCTTCGATCGTATGCAGAACTGGCGAGAATGTTTCATCTATACTCATCTGCTCCTCATTACCATGCACCAAGCTCATACTGTCAACAAAATCGCTCATGCTTTGCAACAAATCTTCGGATGGCAGGTTGCGGTGCTGCGTGATCTCCTTTCCGGAGACCGTAAGTACTTTGTCCAGGGCTGGAAACCGATACGATCGGACATCCTCGGCAAAGGGAAGGATATTTTCGATTAGACATTCCACGTCTTTGGCGACAAGTGGCGAGAGCAGTGTGATAATGGGCTCCGCCATATCTTTCTTCACAAGCCTGCCAACAGCGACCGACTCAACCTCATGAAGGGCATGGACCAATGAGGATAAGGCAATGGCAGCTCTGTCGTTACCCTTTTGCCCAACAATCATGCTTGAGTTGTCGAGCATCATGTAGCGTTCCACATGTTGGATGGGAATGAAACCCAAGATGTCGTATCCCATTCGAGTCTCGAGCTTGGTGATGTTTTGTTCCGAATCTGATATGGCAACTGCCGTGCGACCGTACTCGAACCCTTTGGCCAACTCGTCGCGATCGACGTCTCGCGTGCCCCCACTGGAGTCATCATCCTTGACCTTGTACTTGTACAAGTTGTGAACCGTGCTCAGCCCTTCATCGGGAGGGCCATCCTCACGGACTGCATATGCACTGGCGGTCGGCGGTCTCTTGATGGATGTTTTGAAGTACCTCTCCACATCAATAGACAGTGCAGTGTCATATCGTTCCGGATCACCCAGTCTCAGTTGGCCTTTGTAGGTCGGAGTAGGTCTGACAGGTCTGATATCCGGTATCGACAGAGCATCAATGGCTTCCTGCATGGCTACAACCTCACCTCCTCCCAGATCGACCATCTTCTTCAGGATCTCCTCATTCTTCCGCTTCAAAGGTGATTTGTCCTCTTCCTTGGCCCCATAATCCCGGTCATCAAAGTCAATGCCCAATACAACCAATTCAATTTTCTCGCGCTTGAAAAAATTGGCGGTCTTTTCAACATCGTCGTCATCGATATTCCCCGTAGCGTTCGTAATCAATACAATCGTCTTCTTGTACTTCAGGTCTCTGCAATGCTGCGTCATCATGTCACCGGCAATGATTATGGCAGAAAGGACATCACGATCGTCGGTCTTGCTAGGTCGTAGCAGGTCCGGCAATGCTTGCAGCTGCGGCAGCAATATCTGCGAAATAGGTTGGAGAATGCTGATATGATTGTAGCCATCAGCCCCCTTTGCCATGGGGTTGGAGGTATGGTCTGTCCCAACCCCCACGATACCGATTTGAAGCGTTTTACGGCCCGTAAAGACGGCGCTTGTAATCTTGTCCCATACGTACTGAAGGGCCCAGTCAAGATCACTTATGCTCCTGCCAGCGTGCTTCTCACCCATGGACTTGGCCAGGTCGATAACGTAGATTGTTGCTTCTTTGTCCATTGCGGCTTTGCTGCGTCGTCGCCGTGTGGTGGAGGTTCTGGAAGGAAGGTTGGAAGAAGCCTAGACACTGGCTTCCATCCAGGAAGGGTATCAATTCGAACACCGCTCGCTCATCTCTGGACCCGACGGTGTGGCGATATGGTGGAGGTATCTTCGTATGATAGATGGATTCTGGGTTTACTACCAGAGGATCTAGTATGAGGAAGCGCAGGCAAGTGGATCGCGAAAGGTGAGCGGTATCACGTGGAATTATGGAGATTCACTTTTCCCCACGACGCGTTCGCCGTGATGTCACCGCCGCGCCGGTCGTAGAGCTGGGTTGGTTCCTAAGGTACCCGAGAAAGTACGTTTGATATCGATGAAGCATCAACGAACACTACAATCTGAACACAAAATTGAAGAACATCTATACCATTGTTCGAGGTGGCTTACTATTCCTCTACAACCATGCCAGATACATCCATACTCTACTCTGCGGCTCCTTATCATATTATCAGGTGCGCCGAGTTTGATCGCCGCTTCTGCCACCACCTGTCCGTCTAACTTGTGCTCAGCTATGGCGTCCTCTTGGGTGCTGAAACCTTCCAGTCCTTCATCGGCGGAATCACAGCCTTCAAAGTCCTTCCTCGGCCACAGTTTGCAACTCTGCAATCAGCTATTTTCCCCATCTACTTCTCAATGCAAGCAGCTCTCCCCGTCATCTTGGCCTTGACTTTCCCCGCCGAACGAACAGCCATCGGCATGACCTCGTCGAGTGTCTCAGGAGTCCTCGACCCCTCGAATAGACTGCATGTCTTGACACCACTCTTGACAATGTTTGTCAGCGGTGTGCTGAACGCGACCTACATCGGACCTGCGACAACAAAATGTATGCGAGAGCGAAAACACCAGGAGACAAGGGACGGAAAAAAGAGCTATGACCCGCCTCCACATAGCAAAGAGATGCAGGCTCTGAACGAGAAATTTGGCCGACTGCATGCAGCATCGTCGCTGGTCAATATGTTGGGCTGGGCAGCGACCATTTGGTATGGCTTTTACCTTGCCGAAAGAATATCTTGACCACCTCGCGGCGGTTCGATGGCGCAAAGCCGCGCATCTGCAAGTTTAGGTTCAGCAACTTTTGACTATAACATTGGCATAGACGCCCCTTTTCAGATTCACTCGGCTTGCTTGCTTGGGCTTAGAGCTATGGGACAAGCCTAGTGCTGCGAGTAGCTTGACCCGACCTAAGGTTAGCATCGCGAACTGGTACTCAGCTTAACATATCCATGGACTCTGCTTGCTTTACCTCCAACCCACGCTCCGCGGCCTTCCATATGCAGTGGTGGCCTTTTTTTCCAGGCAGGCTACGGCCGCAATCTGAGCTGCAGCATGGTACGGCATGATTCAACCCGTGAGACAAGAGATGAAGAGTTGCGCTTTGGAGCTGCCAGCCGCTCAAAAGCACAAAGACGATTCGCGACGGGTCCGCCAGCTCTATGGCCAATTCGGCACCACTATTCTGCTGGGTTTCACGGGCCTGGCCACCATGCATTCGCTTCTTGTTCTGTACAAGACCATCATGCAAAAGTGTGGTGTGGATGACAGTAGCCGAGTTGCTTACCCTGGCCCATGGAATTCCGTGTCTAACCGATCAGACGTACACTACCGGTTTCAGCAATAAAGACTCAAGTCGATTTGGATTGCAACGTCACATTGAGGGTCTTCCCATTTCGACGACAGTATCGATCGACAAAGATAAACAGCACCAGCCTTTGGATTACTGAACCAACGTCTCTGACTCGTGATAGAGGGGATGACCAAATCGATTGCAAATAAACCGTTCGGGTGGTCAATCCGTCAAGAGGCGTTCGATTTCATGCTCGATGTTCAACGGAACTGCGCTACGTTCCCAGCATTCGTCTGTCAGTCTGCGATCCTTCGCTAGACTAATATGCTACTTCTAATGCTGGTGATTTCATGATCGCTGCATGTGTCCCAGTTTCTACCGCCACCTGCGATAAGAAGCAAATCCATGACAAGTCCTCACCACTGCATGCTGGAGCGCCGAAATTGGTTCAAGTTTGACTCAAGCTTCTGTAAGATTTGCTCCCACGAAACGGACTATTCGTTCCAGCAGACTGGTGTATAAATGGAGGTCGCAAAGGCCCAACAACGTTGTCGGATCAGATGTGGCATGAAGCCCAGGCACAATCAGGCGTGATTCGATCCTCTTATGCCAAGATGAGGTTAATCGATCGAGTAACTGACTCGGAATGATGTAGCCTTGCAACCCACAGCTTGGGCGGGAGTTTGTGGGAGATCTCTTGACCGTCTAGTACGAGAGCATTGTTTTCAAGTCAACGCAATTTGCAATGTGTCATCTGTACTTCTGCTATTTGAAATATAACTGCATTACTCTAAGTTGGGTTCTTTCTACACCATACATTTGCACTGACGCGGAGTCTATGCCTTCTCGTCAATTGTTGTGGGGCGCTGTGTTTCGTCGATGGAAGAGTACTCCTCATCCTTGGTGGCGTAGACATGACCTTCGGGTAAGAGATTGAGTTCGTCCTCTTCCTTGTCCAGATTCAAGAACTGGAGGAAGAACAGGAGACCGCCAACGAAGGCAACAACGGCGAAAACACCGTAGTTCCAGATCAACAAGGGGTCACCACTCAGACGGTTCAAGGCTTCGGCAATGGCGGCAGATATGGCGTTGGTAAAGAGAGCAATAGCCTGCACCAGCGACCGCATGTTCGTGGGCGCTTTTGAGTAGGCGTACTCGAGCGAAGTGATAGAGGCGAAAATCTCCGAAAGTGCGACCAGAACGTAACAGCCGGTTTGTGCCCACACGTTGATCGGAGCAGGGTTGACAGTGCCATCATCATTGAAGCAGTTGTTGGCGTGGTAGCCACAGGGAGATTCCTTGTAGATGTAGTATTGCACCACCGCTGCCCAAATCATGGCGGCTGATGCAAGCCAGAATCCTGCAGTGATCTTCTTGATGGCGGTGAAGTTGATACCGAGTCTTCGAAGGCCGGGATACAAGAAGGCGTCGCAAATAGGAATGAAGATGATAAGGGCAAAAGGATCCAGGTTGTTGACAACATCGTTGGGCACGCCATGCAGAGTCATGGTACCGGCTTGGGCGGTAAAGTTGTTGGTCAATTGACCGTACGCCAGCCAGTACAGCGGGTACCAACAGAACACCGCGCAGGCCTTGAATCCTCGGCGCACTTCATCAACCCAGGCGTCATCGAAGGTCATCCAGGGGGGTCTTTGAGATGGCTGAATGTTGGACGGCTTGACCGCCTCCCACAGCGATCCGTCATGTGTGCGTTTGTACATGGTGACCGGGTTGAGAGACCAGCGGCCCTTCATGCCGTAGAACAGGACGCGGACAGACTTTGTAACGACGGAGCCGGCCGGAGGCTTTTGCTGGTATCGCTTGCGGCCCCACCACATAATGAAAGGAGTTGTCATGAATGCCACAGTCGGCAAGAGATAGGCCAACCAGAATCCGACGTACTTCTCACTGTAACTCATACCGATCTGGCCAACGAGCGCACCGATATTGATGAAGAGGTAGAAGTAATGATAGATCCTGGACTGGGTGATGGTTGGATCGACAATCACTCTTTCGCCAGACGGAAGCGTTTTGACGAAGGCTTTCGTAATGTTGATCTGTTCCACGACCAAAGGTGAGATGTTGGGCTTGAAGCCACCCGTCCCCAACCCCATGACGATCACACCAATCATGAAGACAGCGAAGCAGGCGGACTGGTGAGTGATGACTGGCGGGATGGAGCTAATGACGAGAATGATGTGGCCGAGGATAGCGATAGCGATCGAGACACAGATGGTCTTGTATCTACCCCAGTGTTCGTCGGCCATGTAGGCACCCAGTAAGGGAACACAGTACACCCAGAAGGTGTTGAAGGTGTTGATGCCATTGGCAGTTTCAGGGCCCTGACCGAGAGCACCAGAGATACCCTGATCGGTGCCACCACCGGCACCAGTGTCGTGATGCGATCCAGGAGGACCTCCGTGGGCAGGAGGGAGCGAATGGTTCACGAAGTTGGAGTCTGATTAGAGTCAAGAGTCAGAGAAGTTTCTTCGCGAAATATGCGAGAGTTGAAGAAACTTACAAACCACTTGGGTGCCATAGTATGAAAATCGTTCGCACAGCTCGACAAACGCCACGGTGTAGACAGACCAAGGGATAGGAGCTGCAACCCGGCGGAGTGCATGCGGTCCATGAAGCTCTTCAGGGGTAGGGATGTTGTTGTACTCCGCGGGACGTTGAGCAAACGCTTGGAGGGTCTTTTCGTCAACTTTCGTAGACACAGACACACGACGGCCATCGTCGGCGTGCAGGTCCTGCAAGCCTGCGGTCTGAACGATTTCTGGATTGTCGACAGGCATGGCTGTAAATCACTGGTTCGAGTTTCTGGGAGAAGGGGAAATGAAAGAGAACCATGGTCGTGGAGAGACCAGTGGTTCTTTCCCAGGTGTTTTAATACCTCTTGCTGCTCGGTTAGCCCGACTCCTCCAACGGGCAGGAGGTGATAGACGGCTCAGATTGCGAACCGATGAGGAGGGTTGAAGTCACATCGCAAGTGACTGTCCCCCTGTCAAATGCCATCTCCTTATCTACGGGGGCAAAGAAAGAAGGGTCGAAGTCTTCTGGAAGGAGGTGGAGGCAAATCCATTATCACCAACGTCGCCGACATCAGGGCGACCATTGGGCCAAAGGCTCGCTCGACATCGCTCGAGGTTACATCTCCCCGCAGTCCACTTTGTTTTGTGAGAGTCTGTGTGCCATAATGATACAGGTGGGCCGGTCTAAGATGATGGTTATTTGCAGTTTGAGTGTGTTAAGCTTCATTCTGGCCGCGCCTTATCTCTGCTTGTTGCATCGAAGCTTCCATGGCAATCCACCAACGTGCAGGAAGCTAGACTTGAGTGGGACAGTTTCCGAGAACGAGCCAGGGGTACGCGAGATCGACCAATCAGTGAGGTTTGATATGGTGGCGTTTTGATCGCCTGAGTTGACGGTAGCATCACGATCTACGAAAGCCACCCAATCGTCGCCAGTAATATCAGTGCTGGGATTACTCCATCACTCCACTGCCCACGGATAGGTCCGACTGCAACGTCCAACCTAGAAAGTGTTGCATCAGACAAGCGCCACCTTCATTATCATTGCATAGTCTCATGCCACAGGTCTTGCAAGCGCAAGGCTAAAGACCAAGCAGCCTTGCCGGCATTCGTAGATCAGACCTGGCTTACGAAGTAATGTTATCTTTCGTCCTGCCTTGGCGCAACCCTCGAAGCCCACTGGTATCAACGTCCTGATCTTATCAACAACAGGTTACTAGTATTCAGGCCCGCTTAGCGGATCTCCTGATACAAGTGCTTTTGTGTGATCTTGGGAATTAAACTAACGTGAGATGATGTAACAGCCATCTCGATCCCCTCTGAAGTAGAGAATAGACGAGAGCACACACCTGCTTCGAGATATCTCGTCATAGCACTGAAGGCATGACCTAGCTTCCTTCCTTCCAGCAACATAGCTTCACAGGTGGTCTCGTTATCTGCCATGAACGAACAATGGAGTCGTCTGATACCATTCACGTACTAACTTGGTTAAAGTTGTCCTCTTCTGCCGCAAGCGGGCCGTGGATACGACGCAATAGAACATCGTGCGCGCTAGTATACAAGACGTGTCCCACACGTTATCTCAATGGTAGTGCAATAGATACTCTGTTTGGACCATATTCATGCATCTCATTTCAACCCCTTTACGCTACGAAGGATAGCCTGTCTCAAACAACCACTTGCTGCAAAGAACTTTGAAAGGCCTCCAAGCACCAGGAGTAAAGGTTTGCGATGCTGACTAGCATTCGATTGGTAGACCATCAACTTCAGCTGTGGTTGATCGGACATGCCAACGCTCACGTCCCAGCAGAAACGGAAGCAGACCGGTATGAGCGCTGACACAAAGGTGTCGAAATCCCCAAGTTATAGACTAAAGAGAACTACCTAGAAGAGCGTTACAGGTGCGCCATCTACTGACACTGTTCCGAGTACAGTATGAACTGGCTGGCATGAGGCAATAACTTCTCTAGCATCAGCACCCCCGAGCCGAGCTTCATTCAGGGATACGCGTGGAGAAAGAAACATGTGCTCCGCCTCTGCTTCAAGATCGATATATGGCAGATGGACCCGCTCACTATTTAAGAATACTACCCAAGTTCTCATGCTATAAACCGTGGCCAACAGCAATAACAATGACGACCCACCTCGTTAGACGAATCCACATAGTGACCGAAATAACCGCAGTCTTCCGTTGAACATGCCATCTAATCTCTGACCGGGCCTCGGCCATACTCCTTTTCGTCGTCGTGATGGTTCTTACAACACATCAAATTCCAAGGATCATTACGGCCGTAGTTGTCTGGCACGCTTCCTTTGAGCTTCAACTGCTGCCTTCCCCAGCCCAGAAGGAAGAGCGCGCGATACGTTGACTGCCCTTCCAAGGGCGACAGACCAGAGCGACTGATTTTCAGGTTTGTCGACTTCAGGCGAGCTCAACAACGTGATGCAAGCTGATGAAGGCTATGTGAGCTGATCTCCTCCCAGACCCTGGTTGCCTGTTGCATATCTGTTATGCGGACATCATCGAACACCCCGTGATTGTGAAAGCCGATTGTGAGGATGAGAACTTTGCAAAAGTAAAGCTAGCGGGCGATACTGGAGTGCCAGTCCTCTTGATGCACTCGGTTGCGGAGTCGGACACCGATAGCGTCCTCAGATTGCAGACGTCTCGCGAGACTGCTTGGCTTCCCTGCTTCATCCGAATGCCTTAGTTAGAGGGCGAAGTGTGACTTAGTGAGACAGCGTTCAAAGCATCCGCAAAGGGCTTTCTTTGCTACTAGGCATGGCGCTGATGCCTTCTTGATGCTCATCATAGCCGTAAAAGATAGCCAGGCAATGTAGCCCACCGATTTTATATTGGATGATCCTCTTTGAGAAAGCGAACCGTCGGCATCACCATGATCTGTATTCTTCAGAGAAGTATGGCTCGAGCCCCGGAGACAAGATATTGCCCATTATACTGGCGCATGTGAAGCTATCGATGTCACTATGGGACACGGCTCATGCACCTATCGTCCGACTTGCACTGCTGATCTTATGGGGCAGAGCGGATATCGGAAAAGCATTGGATCGCGGGAAGAACTCGCCAGGGTCAGGCTCAAGCCTTTGAGGGTTGATAGGAGGGGTCCACATTGGAGGTGTCCCTGAGATTGAAGCGCGTCTAGCTCAGGCGTGGGACCAGACCGGGACAAGATCGTAATCAAGGAACAGATGGGGACAGCGGCCAGGGTTGAGGCAGCAACCGCAAACCTGCCAAGAACAGGAATGGCGGGTTTGTTTCATCTAGCCAACTGTACGGAGCAACGAATTTGCAACCGCTGATTCTGGCGTTATGAGTCCCATCAAGAATCAGCCTGCTTCAACTTCACTGCAAGCCTCTATACGACGCAGCGGTCGCAGACAGACGTGCCGCCTCGCTTCTGTTTGTTGCAGTTGAAGAGTGGACGAAGATCAAGTTTGGAGGATTGCCTCTGAGAGGGGTGAAGATACTTATCGATGTGTTGCTGAACAGCCTTCCATGCATTGCACGCAAGCTCCCCTAGCTGTGGCTTTTCGGAAGCTGTCTATATATGAGGACTGACATTGTCCAACATATGCCTCCTGGGAGGAAATTTGTGGAAAATGGTGGTTTGCAACATTCTCTTTGATCATTGAGGTGAGGCGTCTCTGACGGTTGCAAGAACTTACTCGTTATCCTGCTCGAGACAGCGAACGGTGTTGAAAGTGGTGGGTTAATGCAGCAGACTCTTGCCAGTAATTCTCGCAGCAATGAGCCCACGAGGGAGCAGATCACGTTCAGAGGTTAAACTGTATGTACATTAGGTACCTACCTAGGTACGACGTCGAAGCCTTGGCGTGTTGTTTCCAGTGAAGTTCGTGATGCAATGGCCGTCACACTTGATGCGTCATCAACCAACCGGAGTGATGGACCGGCCACTCAACACTTCCAACCAGTACAGCAAACAACAACATCGTTGGAAGTCTACTACCTAGTACGTGAGGTAGGAACAACCAACATGGTCTAGGACCATAAGACTGTTCCCTGCCAGTGACGCAGCAACTTAACGGTAACTATTTTGCTCTTGGATCTGACACCTTGAACAACCTTACAAGACATCCGAAGTCGACTGTCATATATCTCACCATTGACTCAGACCAAGTTGCAGCCTTCAAGCCACCTCTTCAACCACAACCTTGCTCCGAATTTTCATGAGCGAAAACCATGATTGAAGGACAAGCCAGACTCGTCATCAGTGGTGCCGGCCAAGGTAAGCATTTCGTGCCGCTTCTTGCAGCAGATCTATCTACTCGCTGCAGTTCCTGCGCTGATTCAGTGTTGTTCAAGGAATTGGGAGAGCCGTAGCAAGACACTTTGCAAGCAAGGGCCACAAGATCTTCATTGTTGACATCAATGAAGAGAGCCTTCGATACACAGCGGAGGAGCATCTGAAGGAATATGCAGATTTAATAGGCTGGTCCAAATGCGACCTCCGCAGCGTTGATGATATTCGTGCCACTGTCAAGAAGGCTGCCAAATTCCTGGACAACCGTATCGACTTCCTGGTCAACAATGCCGGTATTTCGTCACCTTACTGGAAGGATGGCAAAACGATGGCCGATGAGTCAGTCCTTGACGAGTGGCAGGCTTATGTGGAAACCAACCTTACCGGCCCTTTCGTCATGTCCCAGGCGTGCCTTCCCTACATGAAAGTTGAACATCAAGACGAGAAGAGCAAGCTCCCCAAGTCAAATGTCGGCACCGCAGGGCCATGCATTATTCACGTGAGCAGCTTTCGAGCTTTCATTTCCGATCCCAACCAGGAAGGATACGCATCAACAAAGGGTAGGCGTTCTTTCCAGCTCTCTTCTCCAAAGCTGCTGCTAACATGATTGATTCAGCCGCCTTGATGGGGCTTACGCAGAGCATGGCTGTTTCTCTGCAGGACTTCGGCGTTCGCGTCAACATGATCTCACCAGGCCGCGTCAAGGTGAGCCACGAGAACCCTACTGCTGACAAAGAGGGAGAGGAATGGGAGTTGGATGAGGATGATGTTGAGGTCCATCCCACGAATCGAGCAGGGCTACCAGAAGACATCGCCGAGGGCATTGAGTACCTCCTCGGTGCCGGCTTCGTGACAGGTCAGAATTTGGTGGTCGATGGTGGCGTCAGCAAAGTCAAGGGGAAGGCTTAGGGCAAACAATTGTTCTATTGAGTTCTATTATGTTGTATCGTTGCCACTTTGCGTGTTCAAGGGTGGGAGCGCAAGAACCACAACTTGCATTTGATGTCGCCAGTTGTGTCCCTCCCACAATTCTGAGCCACTAAAAGACTGTCCGCTGCCAAATTCAGATCTCACGAAAATGTCCCATTCCACCGCGATCCCATCCTCCACCAGGTTTTCGCGACGACGAAATCTGCTCTCTGTCGTTTGACCAAAACTGCGAAGATTTGCAGGAGGTATACGGTATCGGCGGTGTATTGATTGGCAAGAGTGCGATGCTGATTGTTTTCTCTTCATGGTCTCGTGATGAGATTCTTCGACTTGATTGATGAATTGTTCTGGCAAGCTGAGGTATTTTGCGTCGCAAAGGCCGACCCGAGCTTTACTGGACTCGAGATATTGGCTTCGAAACTTCATCCAGAGAGCGTGATCCGAGGAACCTTCGATTGCAGGACGAGGGAAATATGGATCGTTCCTCAGGAAGGCACGAGCGGCCTGCGTAACACCTGCGTCGTCCATTGCCAAGGGTCTGCAGCAGTCGAAATCTAGGAGCCATAGGGCATGCCTTCCGAAAAGGCTGTGGGTGTGTTCTCCTATCGTTGTCTCCTGGATACCGCCAATGACGAACTCGACATCGTTGGCGTCGATTTTCGCAGTCCAGTGCATCCTGGCGAGCATATCTGCCATATCACAGGCGTAATTCAAAATCTGCAACCCGAGCTCTTCTGCCTGATTGAGATGCAACGGATAGTTACGCAAGGAGAAGAAATTTAGTCCTCGCCTGCCCGAGTTTTGAATCTTCCGACGTCCGAGATAAAGTCGCACCAGGCAGTCTCGGTCTGCGTCGTTGTTTTTAATGGTCGCGATTGACGATGGAGGACAGTATCGATCGATTAAGATGTCTCTTACCTCCTTCGACAATGGTGGAATACGTTCTGAACAGAGTATATTGCATGCAGCATACCTCTTGGGAAATATGGCAAGGTTTGAGTGCCACCACGGATCGTTGTTCTCGACGAACCTTGGCCATCGAGGCACACACACGTTCACCTTTACCTCATCTTGTGAGGCGGCATCGAGCACAAGTCTGTGCATGTTGTAGTCGGTGAGGATAGAGCGTCCTGGCCCGCCGTTCTCTCTCTTCATGGCCACCTTGCCCCCTTCCGCTGCCCAAACAGAGCCGCAGAATCCCTGTCCAATCCGACGGAAGTTGCAGCTGCTCTCCTCTAGTTGCTTCATGGTCTGCATGCTGGAAGACTGTTGAATGTCCATATAAGTGATGTCCGAAATGATGGTTCTTGGAATGAGTGAAGAGCAAAAGCCTGGGAGATGGTTGCAGACAGATATATCGGAAGTGCAAGGTCTGCAGTGCCGAGGACCTACATAACAAACTATGGTTCATCGGCTTGACGACGAAGTCTAAAAGGCCTGGTAAACGCATTTTCAGTGGCTTCGTTGTAGTGATCAGCGGAACCATCATGGTTCTAACCTAATGTCGTTGACTCACCCAATCCGACTTCATTCTCACTCTGCCCGGACAATATAGAAGTACTAGTGAATCTGTGGGGAGATAGGGCCTCTTCCATACGACAGACTTGGACTAAATAGGCTAACAGAATGTTTTACAGATTCTTACGAGCAACCAAGGATCAGGCTTGGCTACTTTCTCTTCACAAACACCGCAGATCTTGGCTTTGCAGGTCTTGCAATACTGTGCATCATAAATGTTAAGTGGGCTTGCCCCAGCATCCCTTAAACCACTATTCGGTGTGAAGATGAAGCTTTCATACTTTACATTGTTTTCAGGGGGAACTTTATGCGTCAGCAACTGGAACTGAAATAGAATGCTTACGGCTCTACAAAGAAACAGATTACTAAGCCTGGACAGAAGATGAGGCTTTAAAACACGTTAAGATGGACGAAGTATATCTGGTTAAAGTATCTAGCCATATGGGTCTCTGCAGTCGTGGATGTCACTTCATGTCTCCTTTCGCCCAACATCACGGATGAGCCATATTTACAGCATATATCGGAACTCTGGATTTCGGTGGCCCATTTCAAACTTCTCTTCCTCTGTTTTGCCTTCCAGACGATGGTCCCGTTTTCCCTGTGCTCTTACACGGTTTTCGTATGCACAGTGGGCGATTCCAATCAGAGCCAGCACAAAGCAGAACACCATGAGTGCAAAGAAAACTGAGTGGCCGGTGTGATACAATGGTGCTCCAGTAGGCAGGTAAGTCCAACTGACATATCATTAGCGGTGGGGCGGAAAGACATAAGGGAAGAGACTCACGTTGACACCACGCCACCGATGGACCCAATGGTTACAATATAGCCTCCAGCCACAGCCGCAGTTGCTGGGTTTCCAGCATCTGCCCTCAGTTAGTCACGATATTCAAGCTGAACACAACCAAAATTGCTTACTGTTGATTCCCCAACTCAACATGCCGGCGCTCCCGGCAAAACAACCGATGGCGTTCAAAAACACGGCGGCGTACTTTGCTTCCGGGCCTGTCGCCCAGCGAAGAATTGCGAAACCAATGATGGCAGTTGGCATGACACCGGCAATGAAGGGACCTCTTTTCCCTGCTCGATCACTCACCCAGCCCAGAGCAATTGTACACACGCAGGCCACCAGGTATGGAGGGACTGACTTGAGCTGAGCCTCTGTTGAAGTCCAGCCGAAAGCCTTCAAGATGCTGGGCACGAAGGCTCCAAAGCTCTGAACTGCAGAATTTGAGCAGAAAAAGGTCCAGGCGCAGACTTGGGTGTGGACGTTGAAGATGGCGAGCTTGACATGCTGCCAGGTAACGCGTTGACCGGGATGCTAGCCGTAGTCAGCATCATTGTTGAACTCCTTCTAGGCTGATACTTACAGCAGCAATTTCTCGATACATGCGCTCCGCTGCAATATAGCGTTGTCGTGGAGTCAGAAAGCTTGCTGTACCAGGGCTCTGTGGGAGATACCACGGAGCGGAAACCGCGATGAGCATTGTCATCAAACCCTCGAAGAAGAAAATGTTACGCCAGGTGTGGATGGGAGCGGAGTCTGCTCCCCATCGCGGTATCTCCGATAAGCCTGCAGCTAGAAGGCCTCCGAAAGAGTTGGCCAGAGAGCTGGAAGCTATGAAAAAGCTCATGCGGAAGAACAGTTCGTTCTTTTTGTAGAAGCAGCTAAGGATGAATGCCACTGCAGGCATCGCGCCGCCCTCAAAGATACCGAGGAAGGCTCGGGTGGTTGCAAGCCCAGCATATGATTCGACGAAGGCAGTGCATAAGGAAACCAGACCGAAACCAAACACGAGGCCGGGTACTGAATGTGTCAGCTTCTGTGTACTAGCGGGAGCATAGGTTTGATTCCACTTACGATACCATTTCGGACCAACGTGCTTCAGTATAATGTTGCTGGGAATCTCGACCCTGATGAAATTAGTCGGAATTGCTCTCATAGAGCCCAAAATGACTTACGCAAGATACATGCAGAAAAAGATCGTGAGGACGATGTTGTACTCATAGCCAACAAGACCCAGATCCTTTTCCATCCCTTCAATTTTCGCGTTTCTTAATAGTCAGTCTAAGTTAAGACCTGGAGTCCTTGTGAGTTTACTTACCCAATAGCCGATCTAGTATCTAAATTAGTAATAGAATCCTGCAGGAGCTGAGAGGACCTACCGATCGATCGCACAGCACAGGTACAACAATGTACACAATGGTGTTACCACAAGATCGAACTTCCTTCGAACTGCAGCTTCTTCAGCCACAGTCCAATCCCCTTCGCTGTCATGGATTGAGACGGAGTTCGGAACACTTAAGGCCTTCATATCGTCCTTGAGGACACCTTTGGCCTCGTCGTTGAAGTTGTCTGCCATGTTTTGTATGAACGACTAGTATTTCGTAGTTCGACAATCAATGGTTCGAGTTCTTTGATTTCTCGGAGGTCAAGCAAAAGGCGTGGTCGCTGGAAGTCAGCCGTAGAGTATCCTCCATGGTCTATGCCGCACTATATATCTTAATGAGTCTTGACGATCTTCGAGATATCTTGTGTATACCGTCGAAGTAAGATAAGGGGTTAAGCCTCGGGATCCTACCCTATCTTTCTCTCAGTAGCTGTCGGCGTGCTGCCCTATCTGTGCTGTTAGACAGCCGATATAACCAGATAAACGACTACGCTTGGGCCCAGTGTCCTCGTCCTCTGGGCCAATCGGGTTCCGCGCCGATAACAGGCTGGATTAGCCTTATCTCTATAGAGGGCACGGTGGATCGCTAAGTAGACATTACCCAAAATTGCACGAGCAAATAGAACCGAGGAAGATATACTGTTCACATCAGTTCAGTCGCGTGAGCCAGTATTGGTCATGTTCCTCCCCTGTTATCACAAGGTTGGGAGGTGGAAACAGAGGTCACGCATCTTTGGTGGTGTGAGGCTTTGTGGAAGACGCGCCATGGATCAATACTTCCGACATCAGAACGGTGCTAATTACTATCCGCAGACTGGCTCTCCTCAGCCATGAGCGCGGTTTCAATCCAGTGTCTGTCCATATCAATGCCGATCGAGTCTAGAACCTCCGTCCACAACTCCATATCATCTCCCACGTCTACTGGCCAATCTGGATCCTGAGGGTTTGGCATAGCGGCAATCATACAGTCTGAGAGTGACACATCTTGGAGCGGCTGGTAGTGAGCCTGTAACGGGTGTTGAGTGATCGCATCACCCACTTCAGGCTCCTCTGATGAACTCCTCGTGTTGCTGGCCGTGATTCTTGGCTTTATAGTTTCCCTGATCTTGGTAAGTAACGCGTGACATGCGCGGATATAGCGGTTTCCCCCTTCCGCCATGCCTTGCAGTACTTGTAGCGACGTATCCATGGCATATGCATCCATTTCTTTGTAAGGAAATGCAATATTTACCATAACAAGCAGCAGCGCCGCTGAGAAAGCTTGTTCTCCATCAATGAAACCATAGGTCGCTAGGGATGATCAGCCAATATTCCTGGAGGAGAGCATGCAACGTACCAACGAGATTGTACTGTGTAGCATCCTTCAGAATCGAAGTACTAGACCTCGCAGCTGCGATAGCGGCGTGGATCACGCTCACCATGTCTGCTGGCAGCCCATCTTCCCATCGTGCTGTATTGGGCCGTTGAGTGTTGGCAGCCATCTGCCTTCGGACTGCATAAAGCAACAATGGCCGTGCGGTCATGTTGATGCATTGGTAGTAGTAAAGATATAGCGAGACGGCCTCGCGCTTGAACTCTTTAGTTAGGTCAGAAGGCTTGGTTCTTGCTTCGACTGGCAGCTGCCTGAACCACTCCGACAAACTGTTCATGATATTTTGAACCGAGGCAGCCAGACTGTTTCCCGACTTCTGTTTCCTCCTGTAGATCTCCTCGCCGATTCTGCCCAGGATTCTCGACAGCGAAGTGTACGATCTGAGGATTGCTGGCAAGCGAAGACCCTCACCCTCGGTTGCACTTGGAGGCAAAACTTCGATATCATCATCCTGAATTGAAATGGGGTGCCCTGATGTCACGCTGAGGAGTCTGTCGAGACTGTAGGTCGACCACCATACTCGACGTCTGCGCTCTCTTTCGAAAGGATCGAGTTCCTGATCTGTGACTTCTTGATGTAGTCCAAGTGAGATCGCCATCCGCATTGCAATTCCGAGATAGAGGTAGGCGGCGTCCCTGCGATTGAGCGTCTGCATATAATATGCTACATAGCTTAGTACTTCGACAAACAAAATGGAACTATCCTCATGCACATCGGGTAGAAACTTCAACGCGTGTTTGAAATAGGCAAAGCCGGGAGGGCCATCATTTCCTGTCCACTGGTTGACAGAATACATTTGGCCCAAGGCGAATACCAGCAGCATTTGACAGCAGATGAGGCATTCTTCCTGGTTGGTAAGATCTGGCGCACGAGAATACACGCGCTTCAATCGCTGATCGAACTCCCCATCACTTAGAAAGGAGAATATTGTGCCGATGTATGCATGCTGTGCAGAGTACAACCGCTTTGCGAACTCGAACGGAGGCAACTGCGATAGCTCTGCGGTGACGGGACGTCTCAGCCACGATGCATCGTCATAGTGAGGGTACATATGCCATGTCAGGGTCTCCGTGGTCGGGTTTAGTCTGTTTGCAATGTACGTGGAGGACGAGTTCCCCATGTAGTCTAGAGATGTCAGTATCGCGCCTCCAAAGCTCAAGCTTGCGGCCATACAATACTGCCCTTGTCCGCCCGATATCCAGTTGTCGGTTCCGGTGAATGCCACTAAATCCACGTGCTTCGAGACATTATCGGCCGGGCCGGTAGGTGGTTCTCGGGATTGCGCATTTGCCCTTCGGGCCTGGGCTTGAAGTTTGTGGAGGTAACTGGAGAGATCTAAGCCATGCTCTGAATTGACAATATCGGTCAACATACCTTTCTGGAATGCTGACCCTTTTCTCCGAATCAGAGTAGGTGCAGGTTTGGTGAGCATCTATGCACGCGGCACACGGATGCGGGAATGTACCGGCGCATTTGGTCTTTCTACCTCGACATCGGTCACAACTGCTGTCTATCAGTCTGTATTCAGATAAGAGTGATCACAGCTAACCGTACGCGACTGATGAACGTTTGAGAATGTCATTAGAATGTCGACGTTTCCTAGACGTCGACTTTTGTGGTTGCTCGCTCATTCTCCTAGTTATCTCACCGCACGCCTATCTGCTGTCTGAAGTAAATCACGAGGGTTGGGCCTCTTCAAGGTGCAAATAAAGTTGATGTTGCCCAGAATCAGGAGATTTCAGCTCGGGCCGATCGTTATCAACCTTCGGAAAACCAGCCCGAAAGTGGGGCGTCACGAGCCGAGAGGGAATACTAGTATTCAGGACATGAAATTGGCAGACTAACGAAATACTCTTTGGGAGAGTCGCACGACCTCCCGCGTCGATTTCGCAATTGGAGCATATATGCCAACATGTACGCTCTTTCTTGTCAGATGGTTGACAAGCTCTTTTCTAGGACGCGGCATATACAAAGCCCTAGTGCCGTGTTCCCGTCAACACTTTGGGCTTCTCCCCCTTCGTATCGGAGTATTAGTTTTCAAAATGCGTTCCATTGCGGGCGTACTATTCCTCCTGGGTTGTTTGCTCCTCTTTGGAAGAGCTGTCAGGGCATATCTTCGTCTTCCTTCGATTCCTGGTCCATTCCTAGCTCGGTTCACCGACATCTGGCGATGGCGAGCGCAGAATTCAAGAGGTTACTCGGCGAAGCTTGTCGAACTTCACAAGAAATACGGAAAGCTGGTCCGGATTGGCCCCAACCACATCAGCATCAGCGACCCAAATGCTGTACCTATTGTTTATACAACAAGTCCCGTTTGGCCAAAGGTTGGCATCTTCCCCTCTAGACGACGGAGTCTGCGCTAATGAGAGTAGGCTCCTTCATATTATGCAGCTGCCCCAGTTAGCGGTGGTCGGGCGGTTCCCAGCATTATCGCCATGAACGAAGCTCAGCATACTGCTGTCCGTCGATCGGTCGGTAGCGCGTTTACTACAAATTCTCTGCTTGACTATGAATCCTCGATCGAGGTATCAGGGCATGACTTGCTGGAAGCTCTGGAGAAGGAGACAGTTGTCGACATTACTCATCAATTGCAACTTTGGGCCGTCGATGTTATTATGCGCATCGCGTTCAGCGAGTCTCTGGGTTTCATCCAAAAGAGCAGCGACGTGGACGGTATCCTTGCTGCCATTATTGGACGTTTTGATCACTGGGGACATTGGGCTGCCGTGCCATTGCTCGACTATCTTCTATTCAAGAGTCCTTTTGCTTCATTTGTCAGGAAGAAGACCAACAGTGCTTTGGCTAGGGTTGGACTAGAGAAGATGCAAACACGACCAATTTTGCCGAGTCAATCGGAGCAAAAGGACTTGATGCAGAAATTCCTGGAAGGTCAAGCAAAACACCCAGATCTCGTGTCGAACGACGAAATCCTTGGAATCATCATGTCTACCATCGGTGCCGGAGCAGATACCACAGCTGGTACCTTGACCTACACTATCTACTTACTGTGCCAGAATCCAGAGGCTATGAAGAAGTTGCAGGAGGAACTCCATCAGGCACTCGAAACCGGCACGATGTCGTATCCCCCAAAATGGATGGAAGTAAACAGACTGCCATATCTCGAAGCCGTACTCAAGGAGTCAATGCGCATCATGCCCATTGCCGCTTGGGGCTTGGACCGAGTCGTCCCCAAAGGAGGCACCACGATTTGCGGCCAATACATTCCAGGCGGAGCTGTGGTTGGCTGCCAGATTGACGCAACCATGAGAGATAAAGGGGTCTATGGTGATGACTCTGACACTTTCCGACCTGAGAGATGGCTAGATGCAACCGAGACCCAGAAACGCCGAATGGACCGAGCCTTCATCGCTTTTAGTGCGGGAAAACGTATTTGTATGGGTATCCATATTGCCTGGTTGGAGCTCAAAAAGGCTTTGCCATTATTGGTCATGAACTTTGATGTGAGTCTTCCCTAGTACCTAAAGGGATGTGGCTAACTTTGATAGATGTCTCTTGTTAACCCGAGCCAAAAGCCGGAAGAGGAAGCCAGGATCAGTGCAGTCAAATACGCTCCTCCCATCTGGCTACGTCTCTCCAAGAAATATCCCAAGGTACAATGAGGCAATGAATATGTCTTCTTATGTTTGCGGGCATGATCATGATCATATTAGCATTCACCTGGGCTCAGTTGGACTATGGAGGTTATCTATCCACCTTTGGCTCGTGTTCCGCGGCGTCCGGGAAACACTCAGGCATTATTGAAGCATAAAAATCTGCAATTGTCATCTAGCATTCCAAGAGCTGAAGAAACGGTCTCACTTTGGTAATCATGATATTTGCCCGCCGTAGAATGCATTAGTGTATATAGATAGGGACAGGATGGTTTTTGTGCAGGTATACTTTGAAATTATCATCAGGTTAGGCATCCACACGGTCTCTAGCTCTGCCGGACAAAATATTATATCTTGTTGAACTTCAATCGTCATCGGACTTATTAAGACTAGCAAGGTCCATTTTGAATATGTTTCCATATGGGTAGAGAGGTCGTATATTGGCCGTCGGAGAGAGTACAAAGTGGTGAAGGGTACCTAGTCATATATAGCAACAAGCTACAAATTCATCCGCTGCGCCTTTGATGTGAGTTATTGATACTATATACGCAGTACAAAGCTGGGTTCACACCTAATTATGCAGGTTCTATACTTCTAGAAGGCAGACCCTCCCACTTACTGCAACGACATTATTGTATACCTTTAACCGCCACGTGATGAATTCAAGACACTTGTGAATAGTTTGATCTTGTTACAGAATAGTATGTCGTTTACTTGGTCGATTTCCTTCCTAAGAGAAATCCTTCCAGTATATCACTCGTTCGGTTTTCAACTTGATGCTTTCTATTCTCCTCCCACTTCTCTCCTCCTTCCCCAAACTGATTGCTTAGGTGACCAAGGAAGAAATCAAGGTTTTTCGAGCACTGGGGAAATGAATTTTTGAACGTTTCGAAAAGCTCCTGGACTTGCGGCGTCTGTTTAGCATTCGTGATCTTTTCCTCGAACAGCTCCAGGTATTTGTGCATATGCGCAAGGTCCTTCTCTTTGTCAAAGTCGTTTCCAGCTTCGATATGCCCAGTAATGATCTTGACTGGGTTCAACGCCTCAATGAGTTGCAATGTCAATTTCCATGCGTTTAGAATTTCTGGCGTTTCAACTTCTTCCACCCACGCATGTGTCGTGCGAGCGTACACCGCGTCACCAGTGATGATAATTCGTTCTCGAGGCAGCCAAAATAGGGTATGGTCGACAGAGTCACCCTGGACAGGCCCAAGGAGGACAACTGGGCTTGCTTCGTCATCTGGGAGGATGAAGAAGGAGTAGTTGTAGACTTCGGGTTTCTTTGGTTTAGCTGGGACATTTTCTTGACCGAACACCGTTGGCCAATAGACCACCTTTTCATCATATTCTCGGTCAATACCGGCACGCACGTAAGGATGGGCGAGAAATCTGGCTTCAGGCCATGCTTCGAGAATAGGATTCGCCGAGAAATAATGGTCTGGGTGGTGATGAGTAACAAAGACTGCCACCACGGGTTTGGAAGTTTTGGATTTGGCCATAGAGACAACCGCTTTTGCATCTGGAACCAAGAAAGGAGGATCAATGATCACTGCTGCTTTACTACCGACAATTAAAGTAGTGACCGAGGAGAGACCTTTTTCGGAGCTCGATTGGGTGTAAACCTCCAAGTGACTCGTGCCGGCATCCATTTTGCTGAGGGGAAATATTCGATTGCACGAATCCCGGGTGAATGTTCTTGGACAAAGCTGCAAGACGAAATTGTTTCAGTTGCAGACTTTGAGCTGTGTAACCAGGAGTGATTTCAAATAGATTGTAGTGAAGACTTGTCCTGACTTGAAGATCTAATTTGGATGCAGGTGCCTCTTTTATACCTGTCCCCCACATAGACTGGGGTTTGCTCCGCACCAGAACATGTCCCCCATCGGCTCGTGAAAAACCTGGGGAAATGCCGAAGGAGCTGAAAAGTATTAGTGTTGGTCCGACAAGGCCACTTAAGCCTTTCTAAGACTAGTAAGAAATGCAAGCTCCCCCTGTCAATATCAGGTAAGACATAATCATCGGCAGGCGGAGGCATCGGTGACGCTTTGTCTCAAAAGCTAGGTAGTATACTGTATGAACGCCGCCGCAGAAGTTAGGGTATATAGGTATATCTGACGCTGAACTGGGCCAAGAGGTCAATGAGCTACCAAATGCCTCATCAGTGTGCGCTAAGGTATCCAGCATCAGAGCTTACCAGCTCCCACTGTCCTCTTCAATCAAAAGCAGCACCACGGAGTTGACAATACAGCTTGCCTAGGTTTACGCTTAGCGAAAACCCCAGAGCTGGATGTCAGACTCGAGAGGGTTGTTCAGTTGCAACACCCCATCGCTGAGCAAAGGAAGCCAATATCTCTTCCATCAGGCTCAGGCTGTGCCGGATGTTACTCTGACCATTGCTTGCGTCCTGTGATAAGCGGCAGTGCACCAAGAATGCTTGATAGTTGGCATATGGAGTAAGCGGTCCAGGTTCACCGACGCCAGCTTCAATGTATACTTGGCTGCTCGTTTAGCGACAAAGTCACAGTAACAGTCAAGTGCCCTTTCCGAGCAATCCATGTCATGCTGATCTTGGAACTGTCGTATTGCGCCTTGTTGCGAGTGTGGAAAAATAGCAGCGCATTCTTCAGTGTGGCTCGTCAGCTCCTGGTGCGACGTGCCTCTTCTCAAGGATCTTTCTAGCCTGCTGCATATTCCCATCGCCCCACAGTGTGCAGAGCATGGTGATCAAGTCTTCGCCTGGGAGAACATTTAGAATGGAGGTCATGGTGCTCTCCAGTTGCCGAGATTTCTCAAGATTGAATTCGAGATCGGCAGTGGGTTTCGAAACATGGATCAGTGTATGGCCGAGGAGGCTGGCTGACTGAACTTCGCGAGCGAAGGGTCCCGCCGGAACTTTCGATGCTTTCATCATTGGTATGGAATCGTTGATTCGGTCAGACTATGAAGCATGGATATATGTCTCATTTACCTCTGCCATCGAAATATATCACGACTGCCAGCATAAAAGAATAATCAAAAGGGCCAGCATCCCATCTTTGTCGTCCTTTTACTCCTCCACCTGAGGTAAAGCGACGGGTTCACCCTTCGAGTTCCGGAAAGCCATGGCATCCATGGCACTCTTGTCTTTTGGCAAAACCAGGTTCAAAAATACTCCAATCACGGCAGCAAGGATGAACGGCGTTTCGACAATCAAGTTCAGCCCTTGCTCGAATCCTTGAAGCTGGACGTTTGACCCGCTGTAATCCAAAATCTTGTCAAACCAGGTGGGAGTGACAATGTCGACGAAACCGAGGCCGAGGGCGACAGTCAAGATGAAGCGATTTCGTCGAGTAAACGGAACCATTCCTAGGACTCGAATACCTGCAACAGCGATGGTGCCATACAAGAAAACCTGCATTCCTCCAAGCACGGATGGGGGCATGGCGCTGAAGACGGCACCGAATTTGCCAAAAAATCCCATAAGGATGAGAAAGCCGGAAGCTGTCCAGCCTGCTCGTCGAGACTATTGTAAAGGTTTCCTGGTCAGCACTCATGAAAAGAACGATGACGACACGTTATCTCGCAGGGGGGCTTATGGAGGAAAGTAAAACTCACAGCACATCCGGTGAGCACAATGGTGCCGTTGTTACCGGCTTGAGAAACCATGGGAAGACCCGTGCCCAGGGCACTGATCAGGCTGCCTATTCCATCACAAAGAATGCCACCCTGGATGCGGCTGTTGAACTCGGTGCCCTCAACATCGACACCGGAAATTTCGGCGGTGGCCAAGATGTCGGGCATGCAGCTGACACCCTCACAGATGAACATGATGAGCAAAGGTAAGATCAACGCCCCGTCCACCGACAGTTTAAAGGTGTGGACCCAAAGGAAGGTGACGACGGGGGCGCTCTCGATGTCCTTGCGAGACCAGTAGCCAGTGGCACCGGAGATGATGCATCCCACAAGTAGGCCGATCAGTACGGCGGCCGACTTCATCATAGGCGAGCCGAACTGTTCGACGACCACGATGCTGAAAAAGACGCTAAATCCGAGGCCGATGAGCTTCGGGTCAGCCCACGGCAGAGGTTTCGGGGCATCGATGTTGGGACACAGGGCGTAATAGCCTGTACCTCCATTGCAGTTGCTGGACCCGGCCCAATTCTGCATGCCGCTGTTGATCAGGTATACGCCGACAAGGGTCAGCAGCGAGCCCGTGACGACCTTGGGGAAGATCTTGTTCAAGAGTCGCGGGGGCACCATGGACAGGAGGATCTGGATCCACAGGGTCACCAGCATTGATCCCAAGAGGGCGCCGTACGCGTCCGGACAGGGTAGCTGGGTCCCGTCTGCGGCGACCGGGCACGTGCCGTTCTTGTAGCGCATGCCGGTGTAAGAGAAGGCGATGGCGATGATGTCGAATGTGTTGGACACGACGGACAAGAGACCCGTGCCAATGTAGAAGGGCGTGCCACGGAGGTGGACTCGGGTGACCTGCAGCGCAGTCGCAATTCCTGTTGTGATGAAGGCCACGGAGACGAGGTACGAGACTATGTCGGGGTGTAAATTGAAGGCGCCCGACGCGACGGCCAGCGGGGGCGAGACGATGGATCCGATCAGGGTCAGGGCGTGCTGCAGGCCAAGGAGGAGGGTCAGAAAGATGGGCACCTCGTCGTTGAGGCCGTAAAAGGGCAGCATTTTGTCCTTGTGCCTGCGATTGAACGGCGGGATGTTGGGCGTGAAGAGGTACCAGTAGTCGTAATCGCCGAACCACGCTTCCTTGGTGCGGATGTGCGAGGAGAATCGGCTTGCTGTCTGACGGAAATTGAACTTCGAAGTCATCTCTCCTTCAGCGGCACCAGTCGCAGTAGAGGCAGGCTCATATGAAGATGAGACGGAAGAATCCGCCGCTGCCGTAGCCGTCTTGTCTTCCATTCTCTTGACTGGGAGGTCCTTTCAATTATTGGGGGTTGGGAAGGGGAGGGCGTGTTCTTGTGTGAATATGAACGCTCCTTACACAGTCCAGAAACTCCAGAAGTTGGGATTCATGCTGAGGCGCCCACAAGCTGGAAAGTTGCTCTGTCCTTTATATGTCCAAAGTGGGCAAGATCAATTAATCGATAATGGTTTCTCATATCTCAGTATTTTGCACAGACTTTTCGTACTATACTGGGTACGCCATGATAAGTAGGGCAAAGGAGTTGTCCTTCGAGTTTTGATTAGTTGGTACGGAGTTGAGCGCACGGGTGATCCGTAGACCGTAGGCCTCCGATAGGCTGATACACAGTGTCGGTTGAGGAGCCTCGCTCAGCCTTATCTTACGATAAAGGCAGAGTTTTTTCGTACGAGATATGCGCACGATACAGCACAGTCGATTGAGATCTCCCCATTAGCTGGGGCGAGATCTCTCCATATCTTGGTGCGACAAGATTAGGTTCCTGTCTTGCCACTGGTGGTTGGTACGAAACAGAGGTCGCTCAGAGTCTAGATGCCTCCATACACTCTTTCTTCTGCCCAATCTCCTCCGTACGATAACTTTTGCAGAGGGCGAGGAGAGCAGCGACATTTCCGCAATAGCCTTCCATAATTCTACCCGCAACAATATAAACCAGGTTCAAAGTCCACTGTATGTCTGAAAAGGAGTCCCCAATATTCTAGAGGTTAGTTCCTCTTTTGAACCTCAGAATGAAGACCAGATCGACGTTGTTCATCCATGCCACCGTCATCACGGTCGACGCTCAACAAACCATTTGGCTGGACGGTGCCGTCCTCGTCAACGCGGACCGGATTGTGGCCATCGACAAGAGCTCCGAACTTTTGGGGAAAATTCCTTCCGACGTCGAGATCGTCGACCTTTCTGGGCGTATTATACTGCCCGGTCTGATCAACACTCACGCTCATCTGGGACAGTCGCTTCTTAGAGGGTTGGCCGAGGACGTTTCGTTGCATTCCTGGCTGTGCGATAAGATTTGGCCTCTCGAAGCGAACTATGAAGGCGAGGATGGTTATGTTGCAGCGAGACTGACCATCGCCGAGATGTTGAGGAGTGGCACGACCTGTTTTTTGGAAGCCATGTTGACCCACGGAAGTGGGGTTGATAATGTTGTTCGTGCGGTGGAAGAAATGGGTATAAGGGGTTGTTTGGTGCGCCACTCTACTTATCTAATATGGAACTTGCTTACTGACGACTCAGGCCAAACTGGTCAAAGTGGAAACAACAAGTTTACTAGTAGACGCCAGAGATAAAGATGTTTCCAGCATGTCTATCGAAAGTGCCCTGGCCGCACACAACAGATATCATGAGTCCTGTGGTGGACGAATTCGCGTTTGGATGGCTGCCGGCACCCCTAGAGGGTCGGGTGAAGCGTCCTACAAAGCTATCGGAGACGCATGTGCCGAACACAACATCTCCTTAACCATGCATTGCGCGGAAGCACCGGCGGACCTTGGGATTTATCGCGACAGCTACAAATGTTCTCCTGTCGAGTTCTGTGAGCGCACCAACCTGATCGGCGGCGAGGGCGAAACCCGAAAAACCGTGTTGGCTCACATGGTGAACTTGGATTTGGAAAAGGATGTGCCTATTTTGCAACGACATCAACGACAAGGGCAAACCTCAAAAAACAACCATGAACGTGACGATGCGCCTTCAGTGTCCGTCGCTCACAACCCCAGCTGCAACTGCAAGATCGCATCGGGTATCGCCCCCGTTCCAGAACTGTTGGATGCTGGTATCAACGTCAGCCTGGGCACCGACGGTGGTCCCTGTGCCAACACGTACGACATGATTCAGGAGATGCGAATGGCGGCTCTGATCCAAAAGGGCACTCGAAAAAACGCCTCGCTCATGGAGGCGGAGCGACTTATCCAAATGGCCACCATCGACGGTGCAAGAGCGTTGGGTCTCGAAAAGGAAGTGGGAAGTCTGGAGGTGGGTAAAAAAGCAGACTTCATCGTGCTAGACCCCTCGGGCTTGCAGTGTTGTCCCTTCGATCCCGACCAGATCCTGGAAGGCGGAGTCGATCCTTTGACGACCGTTGTCTACTCTTGCACGGGAGCCGATGTCAAGACTGTGCTGGTCGACGGCCAGATCGTGGTGGACGGCGGCAAACTCGTCGTGGCAGACGAACGTCAGATCAAGGAGGCCGCGCGGAAAGTTATCCGACGCATTCGCGAAAAGTCGGGAGTAGGCAAATCGAAGCCACAGAGAAAGTATCTTTGATCGTATCAGTTTGGGTTGCATTGATTGCAAAGAGTTCTTTTTCCTTGAGAAAAGAAAGGACCGAATTCAAGATTGCATTGAGGAAGGGTTGATTGTCTGTTGGTTCGTAGATGCGCGCCACAATAGGGTCTATGAATCTCAGTCAAAGTACCCTGTTCTCTGTTGACGAAGTACGCCAGTTTATACAGGAGGTCGGTTTACCTTGAAAGGTCTTAGAATCCCTCGACGCGCGCAGGCTGATACTGCCAGTTAAGAGGCCTGTTGCTGTTGCGCGATTCCATATTGGAACAAATCTCGCCGCTAACATAGATCCAACAAGCTATCCTGTTCAGCCAAAAGAACTTGCATATCTCGACAGCAAATGTTCCTCCACCGTGAAACCTTTACCCAGTGAACCGTCGAGAGGTCTGATGACAAAATCGGGATTCCCGTCCCAGAAAAAAGGGATAGAGTATCGGTCAGTGCCGCTGGTGTTGATGACGCGGTGGACGTTGCTTTTGTAGGTGCCGGCGGTCCAGGTCTGAAGAAAGTCGCCGATGTTGACGACGTAGGCGTGGCTTTGCGGTGGTACGTCGATCCACTGGTCTTGCTCCGGAGTCTTTTTCAACACCTGGAGTCCTGAATGGCCGTCCTGCAGCAGGAGCGTGAGGGCGCCAAAATCAGTATGAGCACCGGCGCCGACAAGACTTGAATCCGCCGAGGGCGGGTGTGGCGGGTAATGGAGCAGTCTGACGGCGGCGATGGGATCCTTGTAAAAATCGCTGAACATGTTGGCGTCAACACCCGACAAGCCTCGAGCCAGGATACGCATGATGTGGACTGCAAGTTTTGCTAGGGCGTCATGATACTCCAGCAAAGGATCCTTGAACTCGCTGTCTGGAATCAAGTTTGAGTCGGGCCAAATGTTGGGCTCTTGAAACGGACGGAAAGGGGGTTTGTTGTTGGGGATTTCACGGTTGATAAAATATCCCTAAATACCATAATCAGGTTAGAGAGTCGAATTCAACCACAACTATCAGTCTCCAACAATATCAACATCAACATCAAGCTGTCTTCTGATTTGGCCAGGTCGAATTCCCTTCTCCCCCTTCTCTGGGCGATGTACCTTCCCGGAACGTAATTACGTACCTCTTTCAAGTCGGGCTTTTTCCCCTCCTCCAAAATTTGCGCCCCGATCACTTCATATCCACGACCAGGATTCCCAGCCAACGTACGTTTAATGTCGTCTGGAAGAGCGAACAGTGTTTTTGCCGCCGCAAATGCTCGTGCCTGGAGTGATTCCGACACACCGTGACCCGTGATTTGAAAAAAGCCACTGGTGGCACATGCTGTGCTGATCTGGAGCACGATTTGTTCAGCCTCGGGCGATTGGGGATCCTTGAAATAGTTGGTTAAATCCACCGTCGGGATTGTGAAGGTAGGCTTGACCTCGTAGCTGGTTGCCATTGTGGTATGTAAAAGGCTCTCCCTGTTCTGCAAGAGTCTTCGGGTGGAGCAACAGGACACTTTATGTTTAACATGGTCTGTCGACAATGATTTAGTTTATCTCCTGCTGGTTGGCTGGCACCTTCGTACCTCACCATGATACCATATGATAAACCTGTAAGATCTAGGGAGTGTTAGCCTTCGAAACTCATTACTTCGGTCACATCGGAAGCCTCCGCCCGTCCTTGTATCTGGGCATGCGATATCAGTCTGGGCCTTTGGAATTCGTTCCTCTGAGTCAATGAACGCTATGCGAGTAAGACGTTATCATGTTACTGAAGTGAGATGTTATCACATTCTCGTACTGAATGCGATTGGAGAGCTTGGCGCCCAAGAGCGACTTATAGGCTGTTGGCAGGGGTTTCCTCTGACGTATTGCGTACAAACCGTTAGTACACGCTGTACGAAAATCAGCAATCATCAACTCGGGCAACGCGGAGTATATAGACCGAGTTGCCACCAATATTGTCGGGAGCTACCGGAAGCCCCGGGTATCCGAGATAATTACCTAACTCGCATAATAAGTGAAGCTTCCTCTTATACTTCGAGTCTTGTAGGGAGACTCTAGGTTAAGGAATACCTAATATATCTATCTACACTCTACTGTTGCACTCTGCTTCTTCACGTAAGCTGTTCCAGCAAATATCGAAATCATTCAATATATTATAGTATAAGTAGTCGTTTGGATTATATGCGATTCTGCCTTTTTGAAAAGTCAGCTCGTGGTCCTGCTGCTCCCTATTACTCGGGCCTAGGGCTACGTTTTGACACCTAGCCCTACCCGCCTGCTATCTCCTTGTGGGTGTAGAATTTGGCCCCGAGTGCCACTATAGGCTGCCACCAACCTACAGTTTTGTGGTTCGTCCCTTAAATACACCCACCCTCAATTCTTCTCTGCTTTCCATTTTGTACGTCCGGTTTCGTACGGCAAAGACATCCTATCCTCTTATTGTCCCCCATTCTCGTTGGCATATATTGTCAGCGCTCTTACCCGATATGCCCACACGACTGAGAGAGACGTGTACGGCATGTTCACTGCGGCGGCAGAAATGCGACCGCCAGTTACCGTGCGGCCGCTGTGTCAAACGAGGCGTCCCCGACCAATGCACCCGACAATGGCCCGACAATGAGTACGATCCGTCCATCCATCGGATCTATCCCAGATCGCGACCGAAGAAGAAACCAAAGGCGATAGCAGGCAACCGAACTCTCACAGATAACACACCTTCCACTCCTTTAACAGCGACTGATATGTCCGATTCATGTCTGCTCGAAGGAAGAAAAGCACATACGGGGGAGGCCGACATTGCTGGTCCGGACGCCGGCTGGACAGGTTACGCCTGGGCGAATGGTGATCCTCGCTTGCAGTATTCTTTCCAGCCTTTGAAACCCATACAACTACGACGGCCATTAGCTTCCGACAAAAGGCATGATGGTGCCACCCCTGGTCAATGGGTCTCGACGACAGGACTCGGTTTCAACTCGAGGGCTGACACCCAAGAGACATTTCTCCAAATGCTTTTTCCGGGCATCGACCACATCTGGAAGTTGGTCGACTACCATGAGTGTTATTTGCTCTGGTACCACGGTTGTTATCACGGTCCGACATTCCGGTATGAGCTGCACAGCCTTCTGAGCTCACAAGAACCATCCTCCTCGCTCGTGATCAGAGGTCTAGACCTTCAATGGTTGGCTTTGTTGTTCGCCATCATGGCCGGAAGCTTGACCTGCGCGACCACCCGCAAACTCGAGCAATGGGGTTTTTCGAAACGCGAGGCCGTCAAGTTGGCGACGCAGTGGTACAAAGCAACCATTACCTGTCTGGGTCTCGCCGAATACACCACCAACCACAGTATTTACTCGGTTCATGCCATCGCCACATTGACCATGTCGGCGCATTCCCTCGGTCGATCTTCCGAACTGTCAGTGTTGTTAGGCGCCGCCCTGAAAATCGCCCAGAGTTTGGGGCTGGACCGGCTCTGTCACAATCCGACATTGGAGCAGATTTTGCCTACAACGTCTGAAGAGCAGCGACATACGCTGCTACAAAGAGAAATTGGCCGGAGACTATGGTCACAGTTATGCGTCCAGGATTGGATGTCGTTACCGTTCGCCGAAAGCCACTGCATCAACCCGTTGCACTTTACCACCACAAAACCCTCGAGTCGCGACCATTTGACCATGAATCCCATCCCGGCGACGTTTCCGACGTATATCAGTTATGGAAACTACCTTTTTGAGATTGCAAAGTTGATGGTTACGCATCACGAGGCCATGCTACGGGCGACGACGGCCTTCACCAAATATGAGCAGCTTTTGGAATTCGACGTCAGGATGCGCACGCTGGCCACCCAAGGCATGCCACGGTACTTCCATGTCGTCGAACCCATCGACCCGACCTGGCCGGAGTGGGTGCGCTGGGCCCGGCGGAGCCTGACCATCTGCTTCGCCCACAAGATCATCATGATCCATCGACAGTTTATTCGGCCGAGTTTCATCAATCCAGCCTACTCCATCACCCGTATAACATGCGTGGCCGCGGCGAAAACAATCCTAAATGAAGCCAAACAAATCGATAACAACGGTCCTATTATTTGGGTCGACAAGGCTTTTTGTGTGGCGGCCGGAATCATATTATGTTTAGATATGTTTCACCGTCAGTCATCGTCCGACCCTGAATACCAAACCCACCGCGATCTCGTGCTGGAATGTATCGCCCTCTTGCAAAAATTCGACACCAGCGTCGTCGCCGTCCGTGGCGCCAGTTTGTTGTCTGCATTGATCAACGAAAGAGAAGCGCAGCCACCAGATCTAACCTGGCCTCCACAAAACATCAAGATGACCGACATTTTCAAGTCCCTAGCGGTTACCACTACAGCTACCGATGGTATTCAGAGTATCGAGCCGCAGTCTATAACTGCTGCCGCTGTTGATATGGACGCCCAAAATCTCAACCAAATACCTGAGCTGTTCCCACCTCAGGCAGGGTTCTGTAATCGCTTCTTGTTCGAGGACTTGCTCAATTTCGACGTATAGTACGTCCCAAGATTAGGGTAGAGAGAAAACAATTGTAATAATTTGAGATGCTGTAGGTATAAGACAAGCGGCCGCCTACTTCATCCCGTGTGGTGGGAGGCTAAGGTGGGATAGGATAGTATTTATATCGCCTTAGTTATCTCCCTGACATATAACCGCCGCTTATGTCTAAGCTTCGGGGCCAAAGTCCGGAGGGCATCTCATAGAGACACTTGCCCTTCACTGCGCTTCAATTGTCCGCTCGAAATCACCAAGGTATCTTGTTTACAGGGAGGCCTGTTGTACTGCCGAAGTTGTCTGAGTCTTTGCTCTAGTCGAATTGTCCATCTATCACAAAGAGGACACTATATAGATCATCGTAGCTATGATGTCCTCATCTCGGCTTTAGGGATGCTAGTCTCCGCTGGTGCGCCCACTCGTGCATACAGCGTAGCCTTGTCCGGTATACAGGCGAATCTTGATTGTATAGAAGCTGTATGATCATGTCGCTGCAGTTGTCATGACCGAGCCTCCTACAAATCTTCTTCGTGTAGTCTGAGAAGACAAAATTTTAAGCTGCCTTGCTTGAATCTTTCTCTCTTCTTCTCGGTTCTGCTACCATAAATATCATGGGCAGTCTTCAGACGCCGACGATGATCATTGATGAGCTCATTGATCGAAAATGGTTTCATCCAATCTGCTGAAAGTACCAGGTGTGTGTCGGAAGCGTGACTCCTATTGATCTCCCACAGCCACATCAGATGCTTTCACTAACTGCCTATACAGCCTTATGTATGCAACCACCAAATGTGCGAACGAGTCCATGGCTCGTTGTTATTCCAATAATTTTGGTGTTAAACACGATGAATTTGCATTCGTGGCAGGGACAACGGCAAACAGTATCTTGACAGGCTTGACTGAGACTCCCGAGCTCCAACAGCTCGGTGCCAAGGAAATGCCGAGACTCGTCAACCCTGAAGATATCGCAGACGTCGTGGCATTGCCGTGTAGTCAAGAAGCAAGGTGAATTACTGGGGATGTAATGTCTTCGCGAATGGTGGCAGTGTCGCCGTTCTTCAAGATATAACTTCCTCCTTATAAGCAGAACAACGACAAGCCGTTGAGACTTCTGAGAAGACTTGTCCTCTTTTTCCGGCGACGAGACAGGTGGCATCGAGCTTTGGAGTGTCGATCAAATCGTCGGGACCAAGCGTACGCTATTTGGCCAGAATGCAACTTCGAACAACGTCACAAACCAGCCAGTCCTACTCGCGTTGGGACAGCCCACAAGTCGTCATACCACATACACGTGTCTCTAGGGTTCGTCGATCTTGCCAATGCACATACTCCACATCGATTCCCCGGAAGAACAAAGATTTTGTGATGCTTGACGATCATTGGGGCCATAGAGGCATACTGACAAGGATGAGAAGGTCTAGGACCCTTGCTTACACCGCATCAATGGATTCGGAGAGTGATAGCGGGCATCCGCAGGAGATGGGCCCATATCAAAATGCCAATGGAGATCGGAATCAGCCAAGCGTCTTCGACGGATTTGGTTACAGGTGTGTTTCGAAGGAATTGGGTTAGGAACACACACACGGCGCTGATATGGGCAGTTGAACAGTCGGTTTTGATATCGGGACTCCACCAGGTTGGTACACCTAACATCTCTACCTCCAGTATACGTTGGATAATAAGAACACCGAAGAAGAGACTGTTTTCTACGATTTTGGGTCTTTTCAGATATGCTGTGGCATCATTTTTGCCCTTTTCTCGTCATATTGTTTTTGCATCTTGGGGTGGAGGCTCAATATCGTGTGGACGGGATGAATTCTATAGCCAAGACAAAAAGAACTAATTCCAAGATGTCTCCAAGACGACCAGTGGCCTTGTATGCTCCATTGTTCTCTCACCATCGCTTTTTGAATGGCTCTTGAATATGAAACCCAAGAAATTGGATGCTCAGCCATGTATATTACGTGTACTCTTATCATCATTGAGCGAGCTCCTTGCTTCACTATCTCCTGCGCAGGGACTGAGATTCACGTAACACAAACTGTCTTATCTCAACTGCGATTCATTGAAGCTGACTTCCGAGAATCGAATCTTAAGGTACCTCCCACTTTGATCATGACCAGAAATAAAAGAACCGGTGCCCGCTCCGGTGGTCGAAGGCACTCCAGACATTCGATCGATCTATTCCGGTGTCGAATCAGTACAAGTGACCTCCCCCCATGGCAGACGCATCTTCAGTCTCCCCGCCGTTGAGCGAGGCTTTCGGCTACGGAATCTTGATAGGTTTGGGGATTGCTTTTGCGTTGTTTATGATCGTTGCCACGTGGGCATTGAAACGGTACCACAACGAGGTTCAAACATCGGAAGCCTTCAATACCGCCGGGCGTACTGTCAAATCAGGTCTGGTGGCTAGCGCAGTCGTCAGCAGTTGGACATGGGCCGCGACATTGCTGCAATCTTCCGGGGTTGCATACAACTATGGGATTTCAGGTCCTTTTTGGTACGCCTCGGGGGCGACAGTTCAGATTATTCTTTTCGCAACCCTGGCTATTGAGTACTTACTACGAGTGGTCACTTCCACGGCATCGGCTGACCTTTCTTCCACAGATTGAAGAGACGTGCACCTAATGCACATACCTTTCTTGAAGCTGTCCGTGCCCGATATGGCAAGATTACACACTTGGTCTTCCTTACCTTTGGTTTGATGACAAACATCTTGGTCACGGCAATGCTCGTCACGGGCGGCAGGTGAGTCTTTTCAATGAATTAGAAACAATCCCAAATACAAGGCCGTGGAAAGAAATCGAAATTAACTTTTTTTGGCATATAGTGCCGTCGTTGAATCCTTGAGCGGTGTCCCAACCGCAGCTGGTAGCTTTTTATTGCCGTTCGGGGTCGTTCTTTACACAATCTTCGGTGGATTGAAGGCAACCCTCCTCTCTGACTGGACTCACGGCCTTGTTGTTCTGGTGATTATAATACTCTTCAGCTTTTCAGCTTATGCAACGAATGAAGAGCTAGGGTCTCCTGGCAGAGTATGGGACCTGCTGGTTGAAGCTTCTGCACGACACCCTGTTGATGGAAATCGAGAAGGAAGCTACCTCACCATGCGGAGTCATGGTGGCGCAATATTTTTCGTCATCAACATCGTAGGAAACTTTGGTACTGTCTTCCTCGACAATGGCTACTACAATAAGGCAATCGCTGCCTCTCCTGTGGACGCTTTGCCAGGTAAGTCTTGCAAGTTCCATGGAATACGCAATACTAACATCTACACTGAGGTTACATTATGGGAGGTCAGTTTATGCAGAGCGGGACACAAGTCACTTCCACTGACTTGTACTCAGGTCTTTCATGGTTCGCCATTCCCTGGTTATGTGCTACCACCATGGGTCTTGCAGCACTGGCGCTAGAGAACTCTCCATCTTTCCCGACCTTCCCAGAACGAATTCCCCCTTCCGAAGTTTCAGCAGGCCTTGTCCTACCATACGCCTCACAGGCTCTACTTGGCTCAGGAGGTGCAGCAGCGTCCTTCCTGCTCATTTTCTTTGCTGTCACCTCGGCATACTCTTCAGAACTTATTGCGGTGTCCTCGATTTTCACCTACGATATATATCAGACATATATCAATCCAAATGCTAACGGCAAGTTCCTCATCAGGATGTCTCACCTCAGTTGTATTGTCTATGCTCTGATTATGGCTGGATTCGGAATTGGCCTTTTTTATGCCGGTGTTGGCATGGGCTATCTATATCTTATGATGGGCTGCATCATTTCGTCAGCGGTCATTCCAGCTACCCTGACACTAACCTGGAAGGATCAGAATTGGATCGCCGCCGCGGTTTCCCCTGTGCTTGGACTTGCTTGCTCGCTTACCGCATGGCTCGTTACTGCGAGACGAGAATGTGGCGAGCTTACGATTGCGTGTACCGGAAGTAACTACCCAATGTTGGCTGGGAATGTTACCGCACTACTAAGTCCGCTCATCTTCGTCCCTGTCCTAACGTACTCGTTCGGACGTCAGAACTACGACTGGCAATCAATGAAGACCATTCGTCGTGGAGATGACTCTGAACTCATCCGACGTTCCAGCATCGACCCCGAGGTGGTTCATGCACATGTCGATTTCACCAACGACGAGCAGGAACAAGCTCATCTCAATCGAGCCGCGAAAATTGCCAGAGTCATGACGGTGGTAATGACATTATGCTTCCTCATTCTTTGGCCAATGCCACTGTACGGATCCGGCTATATCTTCAGCAAACCCTTCTTCACAGGTATGTTTCAACTGGTCTGGTGGGAGCTACTGGCGCGGCTGACAGACTGTAGGCTGGGTCGTGGTCGGCTTCATATGGATATTCTGTACTACTGCTTGTGTGGGCGTCTTCCCTCTATGGCAAGGTCGTAAGACTATGACTCATATCACCAAGGCGATGTGGGATGATCTGACTGGGAAGAAATCTCCGGCGTTCTACGGGACTGAGAGTCGCGAGGCCAGGGGGAATCCGAACGCGCTCACGACCGAGATGTTCACGGCTGATAAAGCAGACTAGATATACAGAGTACCGAGCTAGCTACTGCTTAAGCACAAGTTAGTTCATAAAGCAAGGATGGATTTTATTATCAATATATATCCTGGTAGTATGAGTGCCGTAAGTCCTGCGGAGAGCAAACCGAAGGCTCATGGCCTTTCCAAAGCAGACATTATTGTTATTGTCGTGGTTCTGGCTTTAGTGGTGATTGTCGTCGTCGGCGTCGTGACATGGTGTTGTTGCAAGAGCAGGCAACTACAGCATTTGGTAAACCCAAAGAGCAGAGATCATTCAAGGCAGGGTCTCATTCCAATGAGGGTTACAAAAAAGTCAACTTAGGAAGATATACAGCTTCAGAGTGCCCCCTGACCCTGTAAGTAGAAGCAACTTCCGCATCCACTCACAAAGCCTTGCCATTCCTCTCAGCCAGTCCGTTGTCAAAGCGACTCGAAGACTTGTCCTTCACAATAGGATTGGTGAGCGTTCCGAGACCACCGCTAATCCACAGTCTCAAGTCGTCTCCTTCCTTCAGATACTGGGGCGGGGTTCGCGAGTGTCCGATTCCTCCAGGAGTGCCCGTCATGATGATCGTCCCTGCGGGTATGGTCGTGGCCTGTGGAAAGTTATTTTCCGGTTCGCCTGTACAACACTCTGGCTGCAGCTTACCTGAGATAAATGCGAGACGATCCTCGCTACGGGGAAGATCATGGTATCGAGGGTCGTGTGCTGCATTTCTTCCCCGTTCAAAGTGGTCCTCATTTCCAGGATCTGTGGGTTGGGAATCGCCTTTGCATGCACCAACGTTGGTCCGACGGGAGCAAAGGTGTCGAACCCCTTTCCATGGCAGAACTGGGTGGTGATTGTTTGTGCCCTCCGCGCAGCTACGTCGTTGGAAGTGGAATATCCAAGGATATAGTCCAGGGCCTCGTCGTCGGTCACGTTCCTGGCTTCTTTGCCGATCACCACGCATAGTTCGACCTCGAAATCCGCATCTGCCACGAAATTCGGGATGATGATGGGTGCACTGGGGTCATTCAACGCCGAGTTTGGCTTGATGAACACAATTGGCACCGGTGGAACAGCATAGCCGAGCTCAGCCTGTGGGTGGGTGTAATACCCTGTCAGCAGTCTCGATTTTGCGCTCTCTCCCTCACTGGTTGTCCCTCGCCGCTAGATGGTACTTACGCCATGGTCGTTGTAGTTCACGCCGATGCATCGGATGCTTCCAACTTGCTCTGCTGTGACTGCCAGTATCTGTTCGTATGAATGAGTACTTGTTCCTTGCTGGTCTCGAGGATGGAGACGTACCTGTTTCACTGGGCGCTCCTGTCCCGTGAACTTTGCTCCCTCGTCAAGAGCCGAGCTTGAACTGAGCACTCGGGCCTTGACTACTTTACCCTCCTTTACAGCGAGTCCAACTATGATCTGGTCGTCAGCAGCGTGCAAGTATTCCTCTCTTGGGCTTCTATGATGTGGTGCTTACCATCAATCTCCGCATCAACAGGCTCACCAGCATATATCTTGCCATCATCGCTGACAAACGAGACAAATCGTGCCCAGACCTAGATGGTTACCAGGCCATGGTGAGTATGTGTATTTCGAAGGGTCATTGGGTTTGCCCATTTAGCCAGCTAGCACTCACTCGTTTGTTCGTAGGCATCCTTTGGGAGCTTTGCTTCTTCAATCTTGTGAGAGAATGCCAAACTTGCTAGGGTGGTTGAGTCCTAGTTTCGAAGGATTCAAGAGCAAGTGATACAGCGAGGACAGAGACAGATCTCCCTTAAAACGCCTGCCGCTATCCGAATACGACATCTAGAACAGCTGCTGTACATATGTGGAAAAGCCGACGGTCAAAGTAGGACCAACACATATATCCGCATACAAGGCAAGGCGAGAGGGCTGGGTCTGTCGGAGTGCCGTACCGCGTCGGCAAATACTGGTATCAGCTGCAATTTTCCAGGAACAAGCGGACATGGACGTTCAGCTGCAGACACGGATCAATGTGTCGACCATCGGGAATAGTGACGACACTGAGATAATATGCGAGGGACTTTCGGGATCAGGGAACTGGCCAGAACAACAACTAGTGGTTGATTGCCAGTACACCCTTTGGCATACTCTTTCTATGATGAGATGTGCAATTTACAGAAGTATTCCTACATTGACATGGCACTCGAAGATACTAAGTAAAGCCTGGCTGAGAGAGTTTAGAGTGACGACAGAAGAACGAAACCATGTAGAAGCGTCTGGCTTCGCGTATTATGAATGCTAGTACATCTCTCATTTCAGGTCCGCTTTTAGTAACACCTTATATATGATCAGAGGTCTGCTGCTCAGGAACTGGGCTCATCAAGCGCCCCTTCTCAAGAGCCTCTCGAATGTTTTCAATCGTCCATTCCTCCATCTTCCGCTTTGTCTCTGTAGTGTGTGTCCCCATATGTGGCAGGAGAATCACATTCTTATTTTGAATCAAGCCTGGGTGAATGTTGGGTTCTTCTTCAAACACATCTAAGCCCGCACCGGCAATTGTCCCATTTTCCAGAGCTTCAACCAGAGCAACTTCGTCAAGTACAGCCCCCCTAGCCGTATTGATGACAATCGACGTTGGCTTCATCATTTCTAATTGAGCTGTAGAAATGATATGTCGAGTTTTAGAATTAAGCGGCACGTTCAGACTGAGCACATTGCTTCTCCTCAGAAGATCTTCGAACGAAACGTACTCGATGGTCTCGCCTTCGATCTTTCGTCGGTTGTGATAGATAGTCGACGTTCCAAACGCGGCGGCTTTCGCGCTTATGTTCCTGCCTATGCTGCCCATGCCGAGTATTCCAAGGACTTTCCCTTGTGGATCGTGCCCAAGTGCGACGGGTTGTTTGCCTCTCCAATTCCCTTGACGCAAGGTGTGCATGGATGGGTTGAAGTTCCGGAGTGCTCCAAGCATCAAGAAGATAGCAGTATCAGCCGTTGCATCATTCACAGCGGTCGGCACGTTCGAGACACGCAGCGGTGGTTCCCTCCGAGAGCAAGCCTTTACATCAATCGGGTCGTAGCCAGCCCCTTCCATATTGTGAGTACTACCAATGCTCTCTTTCGAATCTCGAACAGCACTCACCACAGCTAGCCAGAAATACCCAGCTCTTAGGTATAACACTCATGAGTTCTTTGTCGAAATGCCCCGTAATATCGATGGATTCAGCCGTCCGGTAAGCAGCAATCACTCCGTCAAGCCCGCCTTCTTCGCATTCTCTGATAAATTCATCCCTGTTTTTTGCTATTGGTCGAACCAATTCTCCCAGATCATTCAGAGCCTCCCATTGTGCTTGTGCACTAAATCATGTTAGCCATTCATCCCTTCGAGGGACACCGAAAGGGAGCTTACTGGCAGATTTCCCCAAGAAGCAATATTTTGCCTCTACTCGACATCTTCAATTCCGTATTTGATCTGGCCTGGTAGGGTCAAGTGCTCCCATCGGGTCGTCGGCCTTGAACAAGCCTGAATCTTCTATGTCAGGCCAAGCTGCTTCTGAGCATACGACCCAAATCATGGCCACCTAGCTTCGGCCAGAGATGGGAGAAGTGGCCCTATTTCCCATCGTTCGAGAGCCAGGCAATCGTGCCTGTTTCATTCCCCGATAGATTTTCCGACGCCATAGCTGCTCTGAAGCAGTTTATACCGATTTCCCGACCTAGCCAATTTTACGAGATCTGTGCTGGATTTAGGCTAGATGATTTTGTGGGTACTGTTGGTCGGGAGCCAGGCTTTTGCCGACGTGGGCAATCGATGATTGCTAGGCTTGGTTAGTGCAAGGAGGTTGCATTGGAAACTGAAGTGCGAGAGATCTAATTTCACATGAAAAGCTTAGCCAACAGTCAAACAAGGACGGAGATTGAGAATGGACAGATTCTATTGTCTAGAATGCATATTCATTTCACAGTTGAAGCAGTTTCCATTCAGGCTGCAGGTATTGCAGCTATCGAACGCGCTTCGGAGGTCTGATCTTTCTGCCTCCGATTCCTCAGCCTGATCGCGTGATCATATCACGAATCAATTTCCACAAAAACGTTGTATCAGGCAAGTAAGAAGTATAACCACATTGGTGGTTCCTCGCTTAGAATTAGTGATTGAGCCCCTTATTGAACTTTCCAATCGTAACGCTCTGCCCAAGATGCGGCAACCTTTAGGAGAAGGGCATCCTCAAATTTTCTTCCAACAAGCTGCAAGCCCACCGGCAGACGGATGGAGGGGTCATCCAGAGCTGGCGAGAAACCAACAGGTATGCTGAGAGCAGGGTGACCAGAAGCTGCGCAACTCGTCAGTTGAGCCCTTCACTACCAAGGATCTGTTCTCACCTACCATTGAAGGGCGCAGTATTTGCGGTGATGCCGGTCGTACGCTTGAGCCTTTCGAAAATGCTTCCTTCGCTTCTCGATCTGAATATCCTACACGGTGGCAGAGGAGTGGTGGGCATGACCAGGACATCGAAGTGTCTCAATGCCGCGTCATAGTCGTCCTACTAGATATCAGCAATAAGTCTATGTATGTAGGATTCTATGCGTACGCTCAATTTCCGCAACAAGTTCGTGCATCGAGAAACTAGAGCAGCGCCATACGTTTCTCGAAGGAAAAGTCCTCTTAGGTAGAGATTCTGCCCTGCAGTATTGAGGGCATCAAAAGATGACTGACTCAGCCCGCCGTTGCCTAGGGCGGCTGGCCCGGTCATGGCAAGCTCTTTGCGACCGCTTGAATTGAGAACCAGTCCCTGAGTGAGGGCGAAAGCTGGCAGGGCGCACATCCATGCCAGCTCTGTGTCACGGTGCTCTGGTATATAACAGGAATGAATCTCAGCGCCGAGTTCCTCGAGCTTATCGATACTTTGGCGTACTTTTCTCGCCACATGGGCGTCTTGTCGAGGGTGTTGGAACCCTTCTTCCAGGACACCAACCTTGATGCCGTCTAGAGGCCTTGGACCCGCGGTCTCCAGATGCTGGCGAACATCCTTCGAGTATGGAACGGAGCGAAACCAGCTGACATGAGGTTGACGGTCGTCGATTCCGTCCGGTCCTGCAATGGCTTCTAGGAGTAGAGCACAATCTAGAACTGTTCTGGCCATGGGACCAACATGGTCAATGACCGCCCATACCCCGAGAATGCCTGTATAAGGGACGAGACCCCACGTTGGTTTTAGTCCGACGATGCCACAAGACGACGCAGGAATACGAATTGAGCCTCCTTGATCCCCTCCCTGTCCGACTGATTAGTCTTAAGCTGCAGTGGCGATATTCACCACTTACTAGGGCCATATCGACAGTTCCAGCGGCGACCAACCTCGCGCTTCCACTGCTCGAGCCTCCGCAGCTATATTTGGCATGATATAAGTTTCTCACTGGACCAGTGATGGAAGTGTCGCTGACGGTGCTCCAGCAGCCACTCTCACAGGCTAGTTTTCGTTTTAGTCTCGCTTTCAAGGAAGCTCCCATCTTCCATCCTACCTGCTTTTCCGAGAATCGTGCCTCCGCAATCCAAGATTCGTTTTACGACGGTCGCGTCGAATTCAGGGATCCAACCAGCCAGATCTGTTCCATTTGTACACCTTACCCCGGCTAGCGCGATGTTGTCCTTCAACGCAAGTGTCCGGCCTTGCAGCATGTCGTTTTCCGGCTGGGTCGATTTCACAGTTACCTGAAGGCCATGTTAGCATTCGTGGTCGATCAGCACTGATCCTGGTCCCGTCGATGCTCTTACTTTTGTAGCCCACCCACCTCCATCAATGCTGGGGTCTATGGCGATCTGGATGTCCTTGCGTGGATACCTAGTCTCATCAGGCCCGGGGAAATGGTCTATCAAGGCAGTTAATACACCGACTTTACTCGAGAGATCAAGCTCTAACCGTCTCGTGCCATGATGATTTTGGCACATCCATCAAGCGAGGCGATCACCGGACGACATGCCTCAGCGAACTCCTCGGATACCTTAAGGCCCGCCTTCCTGCACAAGGCAAAAACCTCGTTTGTCGACACGTTTGTCGACACGTTTGTTGCCCTAGAAATGGCTATCAATGCTTGTCTAGACCAAGTGATGACAATTCACCTACAACGAATCGTCGAGTAGAGGAACCGACATGATGGGACCTTTTCTATCCAAATGTAACCTCCTCCCGTGAAGAATGGCGTATTCTCGTCTTGGTGAAATGAGGCCAAGCAAAACTGATCAAATACTTGTAAGAACGACAAGGAAGCGCAACTCCTGTACGTTCTGAAATCTATTCACCAAGCCGCAATATTGCCGAGTGGCAGTGTTCTCTCTTCGTCCTGCTGGCCTCTAGCCTCGTCGGATGAAGGCACGCGGAGATGGACGCCACGAATTCCATGGGTGGTTTGGCTTGGGGCAAGTGGTCTGCATCGAGCGCACAACAAAAATACTTCTGTTCGCAGACTGTAGTTGGTAGCAGTTTGAACCTCACCTCGTCGAAATACCCGAGATTCACGGTTCGGCAAATCCTGTGCTCTATAAGTAGGTTCCAATGCCGATCGGCATGAAGCTGAAACAAGGACAAAAAGCCGAAAAAGCTTCAAAAGTGGATGCGCGTATAGGTGATTACTTAAACTACTAGTATGTCAGCGTCGCCTTGCTGTCAAATATCTATCAGTCTACTTTTATTATTTCGTCAAACAATTCAATCCATACACTCGCGACTTAGTCCAAACGTCTAACATGCCATCACTTGCCAAACCCGAAATCGAATTCACGCCCGTCACAGACAGCAAGGGTGTGTTTTCGTCCAGCGTCACTTCCCACTCCAATGCCGATGGCACTTTCACCAACCATCGGACTTACTTACTCTCCCATGATCCCACTACCGGCGACAAAACGATTCTGAAGGAACACTCTCCTGGCAGCGTCTGGGGCGGAAACCCGGGCGACAACTTCGACAAAGACACCGTCTGCTCGCACGACTACTGGGAGGAATGCTACATTATCGAGGGGCGTCTCTACGACGTGGGCAAGAAGCAGTGGTTTGCCGCCGGCAGTTATTGCTGTAGGCCACCGGGGATGTTGCACGGACCTTGTATGGCGGATGAAAAGGTCGGGTGTAGGGAGATCTGTACAGCTAGATATGAGCAGAAGTAGCCGATGAGCTGGTGAGAGACTCGCGTTGGAAATACTCTGATATTACTTTAACACCCGTGAGAGACACAGCGTAGTACCTATATTAGCCATATTGGAAGAAAAAGCGCCTATATCGCATCAGAACATGTCCAGTCCATGTGAAAGATCTGATCCTGCCTCGCCGCTAAGAAGCCCAGGCACCTTCTTCCCAGTCTTAGAAGCTGGCAATGACACGATCTAAACCATGCATATCCGACAAATATGCATCATTTGCCATTCTCACGACTTCTTGGTCTTCTCTAATGTCGTCCGTCCATCTATACACATATACCGTCTTCATCCCGACGGCCTTTGCGCCTTTGAGATCGCTGGCATGTGCAGCCACCATGACGCATTCGTCTGACTTGAGTTTCAAGAGTTTCATCGTGGCTTGATAGCTTTCCGGTGCGGGTTTGTAGAACCCCAACAGCTCACTGGAGAATAGCATGTCGTAGTGTAAACCGGCGGACTTGACGAGATCGAGCTGCAGTCGCGTACTGCCGTTGGCGTGGACGTATACTTCCAGCTTGCTGTCGTTCTTCAACCTTCTCAGAGCTTCCGACACATCGGGCCAAGCGGTTTGATGATGCCAGGCGGCTACCAAGCGGTCCTTGACTTCGGGCGAGAACAAGTGCTTGATGTCCAGATTGGGCGTCCGATCCAGGAAATCATCGAGAACCCGTCGTTGAGTGTCGTCGAAGTCCTCCACCGGTCCCCCCTCGGCTAGGCGTTTGGTATTGGCGTCAAAGTAGGCCTGCCTCCATTCCAATGCGAAAGTTGATTTCTCGGTCTCGGAGAGTGCGGATGGCAGGGCTGTCACGATACTCGAATGCCAATCCAGACAGGTGCCCATGAAATCGAACCAAACAGCTTTGATGGGAGCCGCCATTGAAAGCAGTAGTCAAGCACAGGTCAGAACCTACTACTGTATCACTTGAACGCAGTCGGCAGTCCTACGTATATATTTGACTCATCACATCATCTTGCAGCCCCGCGAGGACCGAAGGATGTTTTGGATTTGGACATTTCCCGAATCGCCGGATGATCATACGTGACTCATGCATCATCCATACGACGGGGTCCATTGGTGCTTAGGGGTGTTGGTGGGTTGGTGCGAGGATGCCTAGTACCTTATGTGGGTCGAGCTCCGACCCTCACAAACTGCCCTTATCATCAATGTCCTTTATCTTTGGTATAAAAGCCGATGCCGGGACTAAACTTCATTTCTCCGCCCGGCAATTGTCATGAATTCTCCAACATCCTTCATCGGTTTCATCAGCAATGCTACCAGGCAGTATCTTGACTCGGCATCGCATACGTTCTTCGGCGCAAATCTATCGCGACTTCCCTTCCGGCACAAAGGAAGACCATGTCGCTCATGGGCGACGAGATGGAAAACAACGTATCTTCCGCCACTGATTTGCAGCTTGATCCGTCATCGGACAATACCAGGCCGCCGCCTGGCGCTCGCAAAAGAGGGCGCAATGCATCCGCGTGCTTGCAGTGTCACACTAGGAAGCAAAAGGTAAGACATTACGGTGGATCTTTTCTACGAGAAGTATCAAGTCAATTGGGGCAATGGTCGGCAAGGCTTAGGTGGCTTGTTACCTATATCTATGGGCCCGATGGTGCATTCCCTGTCCAGGACTGACTGACTGTGGTATGATAGTGCAATGGCCATCTACCTTGCCTGAACTGCATTCGACGAGGGGTGGGTTATCTCTGCTCTGGCCCTCCGGCACAACATCAACGGGAGCCCAGAAGCCGGGAAAAGCGGACTCAGGAACCGAAGCGTCGAGCACCCGAGGCTCGATCACAGTCTCCAGCACCTGATGAAGTGGAAACTACTGGCAACAGTGGACAGGCGCAGATCCCACCTGTGCCAACCGAGTCACAGCCACGGATAGGGCAACTTTGGAGGTCCAGAGGTGCTCCGGCGTTCTTTGGCACCTCTTACTTCGGACCTCAGGTGGCGGCCATCATGATCGACTCTTCCGCCCCTGATATTCCTGCGGGCACTGGATCGAGCAGGGCGATAGATGCACGGCCATTCCGTGACGAATCGGGCCCTTTCTCACAGATCTGGGATCTGTTGGGTCTCCTCCCGAGGCGGAAAACCGCCGTGGACCACCTGGTGGATCGCTTTTTCAACGACGTGAACCAAGACATTGATGCTGTGCATCCGACGTCTTTCCGACAAAGTTACGTTCAGTTTTGGGAGCGTAAGTCGGGCTTCGACGATGTTACCACGGTGGATTTGAGGTGGCTTGCTCTTCTGTTTATTATCCTTGCCATTGGCACCTACCTCGATTGTCCATTGGATAGCACACCCGAGACTAAACGGGACTACGAAGAGGCGTCCTTGAGGTTCTACTGGGCTTCAAGGAGAGCTATCGTGTTGGCTCCGTCATTCTATGGCGAAAGCACAGACCTCGTTCGTGCCGGAGTTCTGGTCACACGGTATCTCATCCAGACCCAAAGACTGGCCGAGAGTTGGTTGACGGTCGGGTTTGCGGCGAGAATCGGCATTGCACAGGGTCTTCACGTGGACGGAGATAAATGGGGGCTGCCCAGAAGGTCCACAGAGACGCGTCGACGACTATGGTGTCATTTGTACACGCTCGATCGAATGATTTCCCTCGCTCTTGGGAGGCCGTCCGTCATCTCTGATGCTCAGAGTATTATGGAAGAACCTCAGAACATCTTTGTGGACGATCTCACCGACGACGAGGCACGCTCGGCACAACCACAGCCGTTAACTAACCCCACGATCAGTGCCATGGCGTCGTTCGAATATCGACTGGCCAAGGTCATTGGGCAGATCCAGGAGGCCTGTTTCCACTTTCACTCAGTCTCGTATCGAGACGTCCTTGCTCTCGATGAGAAACTCATGAGATGGAAGAGTACACTACCACCATACTTCGCGCTGGAAGATCCTAATCTATCTCTCGACGAGACGCACGGCTACTTGAAATGGCAACGGCTGTATCTGCACACGAGCTTCCACTTTGCACGCATCACCTTGCATCGACCTTTTCTTCTCCGCTATTCCATGACCAATCGCTATGAGTCCAGTAGACATGCTTGCCTCTCGTCTGCACGAGCCGACCTTGGGAGTCGGCTGAACAATCATACTTCGGTTGCGGCAGAACGATACGCATCAAGTCTTGCCGCCCACCAACTCTTTAACAGTGCCATCATCCTGGGAATCATTGCCGTCCGGGAGGCCAAATCTCAACAGACTCCTGGAGTAGTCGAGGACCTCGAGGCCTACTGTGAGATGCAGAGGTCGGAGATGTGGCTAAGCGAGTTTGGCCTGGCAGAAATCAAGGTGGTGGAAATGTGCATCGCCAAACTGAAGCAACAACTACAGGGTAGCGCCCATCGAGGCACCGCGACCCAGCAGCAGAGCCCGCAAGCAGCACGGGTGCCGACGGTAGCCGATTCGAGCAATGTCGCGCCCACGGATATTGGTCTGACCTTGACAGCTGACCAGAATTCGGAGCTGATGAATGTTGGTGGCCTGGAAATGGTGTCGCCTTCCACCCTGAACACAGGCGCGACCTCGGTCTGGCAAGATCAACTGTTTCCAGGCTCTTTCCCGGGCCTCACGGATCTGCAGACATGGCAAGAGGTTATTGATAGTATTGATGTTGACTTTCGTTACGACGGGTGATGATAGGTTTCATGATACGGTGCCAGGTTCGTACCGATGGATGCCGAATTTCCGGTCTGAGTCACTCTCGCCGCTCAGAAGCAGTCCTCAGATCATGAGGCCGATGGAGTACCATTGGGAGCTGCGCTGATTGCAGGACGGGTGGCTTGGTCGGTAAAGTCGTTTTGGATAAGGGGAATGGATAGCGGTCCGTGGTTGTCAAAGATAGATAATTGATGCTGAATGAACCACTCGAAGTCTCGATGTATTCGATCAATGAAGTGAGTTCTGGCCACCAGCTGCTTCGTACTTGGTAGCCTGCCTTGCGGGAAAATGAGGATCCATATCGATATCGGACTTCGGGAATTGTGTGTGCAAGCATTTCCTGATCGCTTATCAGTGTTTGGTGGAGTTTCAAAGCTATCATGAGACCTTTGACCCACCGAGAGGCGTCGTCGAGTCAATATCGCCAGCCCAGGTCGACGTCTCGAATCCCTTCTGAACGATCGGTCAATTCGTTATGCTAACTATCATCCATCCGATTCATTTGCCCTCAACAGTATATGAGCGGCCTGTGATCATGGAAATTGGGGATCGTCCTCCTCATAGTCCGAGTGAATCGTGACAGCCAACAAATAACCTGATGGCCTCGAAGATGGCAACCGAGAAAGACCTTGAAGCGACTGTCAGCAACGACCAGGTGGCCGAAATCAGTGTTTCCGATCCTAACAGGGGGCTCCAACGGTCGCTCAAAGAACGCCATGTCCAGTTCATTGCCTTGGGCGGCACCATCGGTACTGGTCTTTTCTTGGGAATTGGTAGTGCCTTGGCCACATCCGGTCCATTGTCGCTCTGGCTGGGTTACTGCTTCACCTCCGTGGCCATCTGGGCCATGGTAAGTCTTGACCAGACGTGGCCCTCCGCATCAACGTGGCTTTCACTTATGCTGTTGTGAACGCAGATGCAATGCTTGGGGGAAATGGCCTCCTTGCTCCCTCTACCAGGTATGGTTGCCCAATTGGGCTCTCGTTTCGTCGACCCTGCCTTCGGATTTGCCATTGGATGGAATCAGTGGTATAACTGTGCCATTGCCATCAGCGCCGAAACTTCTGCGGCAGTGGTGCTTATTCAATTCTGGACGGATATCAACGTGAGTGTGTGGAAGCCTAGTAGTTTAGGGTCAGACATGTAGCGTGGATCGGGGCCGAGAATAGGTGGTGGAAAAATTAAGGTTTGGGCTGTAGCGTGAAATCACATTGTAGCGTGAAATATTCTGTAGCGTGAAATCTCAGCCTCGCCGAGCCATACACTCTTACACTCGATGGCCCATCGCGTCCCTCAACTCCCGAGGTATATGAGATCGACAGGATTCGAGCTTCTTGCTCTTCTATTCACACCATGTCCTCTCCACCCTATCTGTATTCGACCGTGTCACCCTCCAGACATTATAACATGGCGAATCGCGTGGTGTTTCGGCCGGCCGCCCTCCGTTAGAATCTGGAGAAACGCGTGTTGTTTCCACGGATTAATGGTTCTTCCGCTCACACGTGACATTTCCTCCCATCAAAACATACATGTGTTTCATTGGTCCGAATTCGAGCTATGGGGATTAGATCTACGCGGCCGTAGGAAGGTCCGTCCTTCACCGTAGTGGCGGTAG